AGATAATAAGTGCAGGACTTGCTGCTTTCTGCCGTGGGCTTGCCGTTAAGCTGGCCATGACCTGAGAATTGGGAGTGCCACGCGAATTAGATGAAAGTGGTTGTGCACGACTCATGCAGCGCATGCATGTTGGCTAGGTAGGGTGGCTGCAAATATAGGCTTTGCCGCAGATATATTAATCTCAGCACTGAACCGCTCGGGTGAGCAGCAAGGAAACATTCTGGAAGACCATAATACGGTTGATAAGTGCTTCGCTGACTTCCACGGGCTGCAGCTGCAAATCAAAGCACTCTATTAAAGTTCCGACACACCATAGTGTTTATGATAGACGGCATACTTGTGTCCAAGTATCTTCGACTTCGTTACCTGGTAATAGAAGGACATATGTCCCGCCCCATCTTATCCCTGTTGTCTTTCATCTTTTCATCTAGCCATTTGGGCCAGCTGCTCTTCCTGGGTTTCGATTCCGTTTCTTCTTGTAGAGTAATTTATATTCCGTTTCTCCTTGTAGACTCCCTTCTATTCTCGGAATATAATAAAACACTGAGAGGCTTCACTAAAGCTCGCAACAATGCCTTCCGTATGTACCAGCCACAGTGGCTCAAGTCACTAAGCCTAAAGCAGTAATTCTTAAAGTTCAGACTGAAACCCAGACCCAACAAACACCTTTCCTATACGGAAGGCATTCAACAGCCCTCGCGCCCCGCAGGGTCGTACTGGAAGCCTCGCTCTCACGGATGAAACCGCCAGCTGCAAAGTGACGAACCCACCAGTATCCCAAAATAATCACGTTTTCCGCGTTTGCCTGACATCTTGACTGCATGAAAGTCGTATGTTTCTGTACTGTATGGGACTTGACTCTTGAGATGACACATTGCTGACTGCATACTACCTACTACATACCCTTGGCGGCCCAGCGTCCGGGGTTCGGCAGGTTACTAGTCTAGGTACCCAACTCGGTGAAATGATGAATGAGCTGCCGCCTACCCTAGAGGGTATATTCTCCTGGCGATCTTGAAATTTAATATTTGGCAGCCGCGGCTATCTACCGGCTCTTGACCGAACTTACTTGAGCGCCAGTGCCTCTGCCACTGCCTGCCGGACTTACCGTTCACCGTGGATAGCTGGACGGATGGTTACCTACCAAGACAGTGCTTACACATTTGTCATTGTGTTGTCAAAGCCAGAATCTTGCCCAGTGATTGTGTATCGGTCACTCTATGATTCTTTGCCCGATGCGACCCTCGTACCCCTGTACTCAGCCGTCAGGTTGCTCCCTGCTGCCACTGCTACCTACTAGTATCCGCGTGGCCTTCCTCGTTGGCCCGGTGGCGTCGCTGACGATCTAGATTATCTTAACGTCCATGTTATCATCGATGCTATACTGAAACGGTATGCTTCGGGCTTTTAGTCGTTCATTTCAGTATTTATTAGCCCACTTATGTACACACATTGGGCCAGTAAGTCTTGCATGTTCTCGGTGTTTGGCTATCCCGTGATTGTTGGTAACAACCTTCCTTGGCTGCTTGGTCCTATTCTCTGTGACAATGAGGCGATGCACATACATATCCCTGTGTCCTGTGACCAGGTACCTAGTTCAAGATGCAGTTCAAGATGCAGGTCTATCCAATCAGCAGTCTACCCGGTCGTTTCCTATCTGACCACTTCCCCCATTGCAATTTGCGCTGACCGCGTCTGTTTCCTTTTAGTCCTACCGGCGCACCTTGATGATTGATCTACACTCGATGTCGACTGCCGTACTAAGCAGAACGGGACCTTGACGCTATCACATATCACACGACTGGCCGGCCACCTGGTAATAAGGGGGTGGGGCCGTCATCTACCGCAAGCTCTGTGCAATTTGACAATTTGACTCCGAGTGCTCCTGCTTAGCCGCTACCCGAATAGGCTTATCAACTGGCTTGGCAAGTGGCTTATCAGCCAGTTTCTTAGAGCAAGGGACTGATGCACAGCCATATGAGGCTGAAATCTTCTCATTCTGCACGCAAGCCACAGACGCTAAGCAAGGGGACTCGGAGTCAACTTGTCAAATTGCACAGAATCTGCGGTACTGTACCCCTTCATCATCTACCACGCGGTCGCATTGGAGAGCCCACCTGGAGAGGAGAGCCCACCACGGAAATCTCCACCCCCTGCCTGCCCGGAAGCATCTCCAGTCTCCATTGCGTGGACATGGGATGGGGCCAGACTAGCAGCGACCCTCATGTTCGCGGCACCTTGCACCTTGCAGCTCCCACGCTGTCCTTGGAAGTTGGGGGCCCCTGGTCATCCATGGCCCTGGTCACTGGCGTGAGACTGGTCACTGGCACGGGACTGGTCACTCACTGGTCAGTAGGTAGTCACCGGTCACAGTACCCTAGTACTGGTAACAGTCTGGAGCAAGCACGAAAGCACGAAAGCACGGCAAAGAAATGCGAGCGCCGACAGCTGGCTCGAACTGCCCAAAGTATATACCTCTCAGGGATCTTGGGCTTGCAAGATTGAGGGGCAAGCTAGCAGTCTGGCAGGGCCGCCACAAGTTTAAACAGACTGTGAGCCTGCGACAGACCCCGAGGGCCCGAACTTCTTCAGCCTGCACACCAAACAAGTGCTGAGTTAGCGTTCTTATGAGGTTAAAAAAAGCATTTACTGAGCACGTCGTCGAGAAGGCAGAGCCAAGCTTGGCCACTTGGGACGTTGGGCAACCAGGTAACCTGGTAGCGAGCCATCAGGTTGCATCGAAAGCCACAGAGCATGAGCTCCCAGGTCGGATTCGGAATACCATTTGATCTCTGGTACGTTTCAAACTAACCTTAGTTCCCCTGTTCCCCTTTGGTGAATCCATCCATGGTGCCATGATCCAGTTTTGCTACCCTGTTACGGGCGGTTATCCCCAGCAAGCCACGAGGAGGCTCCCCTTTTCATACATACAGTATGATCGGGGCGATAGAGACCAATGTTACGGCGTTACCTGTCCCAGGCGTGGTCCCAGCCATGCTTGTCGGCGCTACAGAACTACGGGTAGAGAAATGCCCGATTGACCCATCTGTACTCGTAAGCATCGACCGAAGAGGCTAGCTGGCTGTTGGACGTAAGGTATGGTTATTATTGATTACTGGCAGTTTGCGGTAGCACACGACTATCCCACGACTATCCCACGACGACGAGGGCCTGAATACTCCCCAGAGAACCGTCTCCTGCCCATGTATGGTGCCGACATGCGTGCAAAACGCAAAACACATACCAACCATCCAGGCGTGCTGGGCCCTCTGCTGGGCCCGGATGCACATCATGCCTCCGAGCGACTGCCGACTCGACAGGCTTTTTCCGTGTGTGCGTGTCTTCTCGCGCTACACCTGCAGCTCCGGCGCAGCTTTTCAATGCGGAGGTTGCATGCACCCAGGAATCCAGGATCCATACATGTCCGGTCAGGGCAGCCGAGCCGTGTGCGCAGGGTGCCGCATGAATGTGTCTGGAGACGTCCATTCATATTTAGCACAGGCTGGGGTCCCTGATACGTATCTAGGGTTCCTCCCGCCGAGCAGCTTGGCGTGCTTCCACTGTCAAGTGAAGTCGCAGTGGTAGGCATAGCAGCAATGGTGGTGGTGGTGGTGGTGATGGTTATTTTACGTAGCCAGCTGATGCTACCATCATCACGACCACCACTACCACCAACGGCCAACCCAACGAGGTTTTGAGCACTACATACTATGAGTGCCCAGCTTTCAGACGATGAAGGGGCGGGTATGTCTGTAGACTTTAGCTAGACTAGCCCATCGCGGCACGACACCACCTTTACAAACCGATCCGCCATCACGGCTGGCTTGTTTGGGCTGGCCTGGGCAGGCTTTGCTTGTCCGACATGGGTCCAGGGTCTACGACGGGGTTTCGTTCTCTACTAGCACAATAGCGACCTGTCCGCGCTCAGGGTAGACCGTCCAGGGCCCAGGGCCTTGCTAGCCCATCTTTGCTCGAAACACGTTGGCTAGCGGGCTTGTTGTGGGATGTACCGTCGATGGACATCACTCACAGCCCTGCTCGGGATTTCCCTTGTGTCATATGCAGGGATCTGATCTCCTTCAAGCAAGCAAATCGTAGTTGAAGGATTTCGCCCCTCCAGATTATATTTCCGGCGCACGGGGAGCCCTGGCCAGACAAGCCAGGATGGATAACAACCATTTTCGCCATCCACCTTGACAAGCCGCGAGCGGACTAGTAGACGGCGAGTTGCCGGTTGACTTCGTCTCCTCAAATCACAGCCTCTTCTAGACTTGCTCTCCTTCTGTCACCGATCGGTCCTGTCACGAGGCGCACACTCTCTAAAGCTTCTAATCACTTCGTTGTCGTTTCTCTGAAGTGACACCGCAGAAGAGCAGTATATGCTACTTCGCCCCGTACATGACCATTCCCGCCTGCCGGCCGTCAGTCCCTTTCCCGTTTAGGCAATCGTCGTCTTCGAAGCTCCCGGATCTTGATAGCACGCCAACCGACTAGCCAGAGAGCCGCAATATTAGATGCTGGGTTCGCGAATGTTCGACCACTCCCAACCCCGTTCACACGCAATCTTCTGGACAACCCCGCGGAAAATTGGCCCGGCTTGGCTTGGGAGGATCTCTAGGGCACGGGACAGCAAGAGGACCAGAGCGGCACTGCAGTAGTACAACGCTGCTGCAACACTGCGAAGCGCTGGACATCAGAATCCCCGAGGGCGAACAACGAGGGTTTGCCTGGACTCAACTTGGACCTTGTGGCATCGGTACGAGGGTAGCTTCAGCCCCCGCCGCCGGATCACCCACTGCATGTTCACCATCCCTAGGTTAATCGCGGTGGAAGGCGAGTTTGATCATCCCTCTTATACTTGACCGTTTCCAAAAGACGTCTCTGCAATATCCGTCTGCATGTTCTTTGAGCGGCAACTCCCCAGAATCCATTCACCTGGGGAGCCCGTGGATATATTGCCGAACCCGGCCGCCGACTACTGGAGCTTTACATCGTCGACCATGGCAGCTTCGTCGCACAATACTTTCCCTCGCTCTCCCAACCCGTCCACAAGATCATACGACTCCTCTTCAGTCTCGTCAGCGACTTCCCCCAGGCCACAAGTCCAGTACATCAACAGCCTCATGAGCACGAGCGTCAGGTCGAACATCTCACATACGCCCCAGCCGATAGGGATCCCGCCACTGCCTTCCGTTGGCCACTCGTCGTTTCAACCATACACACCCGTGACGGCATCTTATGTGATGGGCCGCGACTCCTTGCCCTCCAACGACTCTGTAGCAAGCACCCCGGGCTTTTCGAGCGCTCAACTATCAGCGAATGTCCAGGCTCAGAAGCGAGCTTACCGTCAGAGGAGGAAGGATCCCAGGTACGTTGCGGCTAGAAGTAAGCTACCTCGTCAATACAGTACTAAGAACCTCTAAAGTTGCGATGCGTGCCGGGAAAGGAAGGTCAAGTGTGATGCCACGGAAACGACAAGTTGCTCCGAGTGCTCGAGCCGCAATGTTAAATGTCAGTTCACAAAGGAGACGAACCGGCGGATGTCGTCCATCAAACAAGTACAGGACCTGGAAAAACAAGTCGAACGAGTACGGAGGGAAAACAACAACCTACGGCGTACCTTGGCTGATCGCGGTGGCCAAATGGAGGTCGAAGCTGAGGGCGTGGATCAGCTGCCACTCCATCTCCCAGACCCAAGTTCCGAGCCTAGAAAGAGAAAACGAACACCGGCCGTACATGACCATTCCCGAGCAAGAGCGGCATTTCGAAGCATCTCTAAAGGCATTCTCAAGCCTCCGGCACCACACCGTCAACTAATAGAAGCTGCACCTCTAGACCAGCCCCTACCACAACTACCGCCCAAGGCGACGGCAGAGAAACTACTGCATGCTTACTACGGAGCAGTGCATGTCATGATGCCCATTCTCCACTGGCCGACACTACAACATGAAGTTGACAGGCTATACCAGAGCAGTGATCTCCGACAGGTCCCTACCTCCTGGCTTTCCATGTTCCTCGCCGTCCTCGCGATGGGTAGTCTGTTCAGCGACGATCCGTGTCCCGATCGAACACTGCAAGCGAGCGAGTTCTTAGAAGCTTCGCGAAGTCTGACAGATCCGTGGAACAACGACTTTGTGCTGGACGATATACGCGTGCTGTTCCTGGTCTCCATGGCTTTGAACGAGCTGAACTTGAAATCGGCGGCTTGGACGTGGCTAGGCAAGGCTGTGAGGAGTGCGCAGGATTTGGACCTTCATCTGGAAGTTGGGCTACGCTCCAGAGTCGAGGCGGACATGCGCCGGAGGGTCTGGTGGGCGATATACGTACTTGACCGTACCTTGTCATTGGATCTTGGGCGCCCTTTCATGATCGACGACGCCGACTGCGATACCGCCCTTCCCGAGCCCTGCGACGACCACTACCTCCATACCGAGGGTCCGATCCACCCTCTTAATGCCAGCCCGCTTACCCATTTCCTACACGTCATCATCAATGTGGTACGGTCATTTTCCTCCCTGAGGAAAGCCTTCTCAGCGCCGGTAATCGAGAGACCAAGACTGGCAACATTCGACAACCACTTCATTGCTTGCCAGAAGACCTTTCCGCCCGCTTGCGAACCGAACAGCTCACTTGCCATTGCTCCACATATGCTAATGCCTCTCGCATACCTCCTGAGTGCGCGGCTGCATTTGCATCGACACAATCTGGCTCCAGGGTGCCCTACAGAAGCTCGCGTGGAAGCCATAGAACAGTGCTTGGTGACGGCACTCGATACAGCTCAGCTTATAGGCCGCACCAATGCAAGTCTCGCCGACTCGGCCACGGCACTCCTCGCAACTCACATCTTTCGCTCTACACTCTTCCTTCTGCTAACGGGCTACTACGACCAAGCGAGCACCTGCATGCGAGCTCTCAAGTCGATCGATGCTCGAAGGGATGTCGTTGTGCCCTGTGGACGCTACCTATTCTTCTTCGTTCGCACCCTAGCCACCAAGCAGCAAGAGCTGGCAGTCATGCTCCCACGATCGACACCACCTGGATACGCGCCCGGGTACCCGCCCGCAATCCCGACGGTCGATCCCCGAGCCATGCAAGACGCTTTGATGCGGGATGAGGAGCTTCTGATATATGTCAGTGCTGACATGCAAGCTGGTGCCGAAACAGCATGGGTGTGGATAGGGGCAGAACGCGATCCGCCAGTCATCACTCCGCCCCCGGTCAGAGGACTTGCTGCACCCGAAAAGCGGACGGGGCTAAGCGTCGACGAGCGACAGGATTGGGGAGGTTGGGATAATCTTCTTGAGCTTGCCAGAGGGTTGGGTTCAGGAGTACCCAGCCCTATCGCGAACTACGGACCACAACCTCGAACTCTGCCGCCCATCAAGATGGATCAAGCAGCCGCCATACCCCGGAGCGGCACTATAGGTCCCGACAGCAACAGGAACAGTCCGACTGCTGGGTCGAGCTCAGGCATCCGCAATAGCGAGAGGATCAGCATTGCGAACATCATCTAATCATTCCTCATGCCTTTCTTACAACGATAATCGAGACACGAAAAGCCCCATTGCGCTCCTCCTGCCCACCGAGACTACGAATGTAACGAGCGAAACGGCGACGTTGATACCTACCTACAGTACCTACCTAGGTACCTTTCTTCTTTCCGGTCTGAAACGAAATGCACTGGTGGTTTACGTGACACATTTACACGACTGAATTTATATACCCCTTCTTGCATGGCGACGAGCAAAAGCGGTCCGGGGGCACTCTGACGCGATAGAACACCCATCGGAGGTTCTTTGATTTACCCAATGTTTTCAAGCTTCTTCCCTTCGCTTTGCCGTTCTTCCGCATCTCCACTTCTCTCCTTGGAGCGTACTTTTTAACTTAAGACATCGACGATACCATTTTCTTTTCCGAACCTTATGATTCTCTGAGCGGCGCAGCGCGACCGAGCTGCATGGCGACCACCCACTTTTCACTTGCTTTCACGGGGGTCCTAATGATGAGCTCGATCCCCGAGGGGCGTGCGTGGGGTGCTTGGAGAGCGTACCTATAGCGCGACGTCTTTATGACAGCATGCCATGCCTTTCTCGCTCCTCACGATTATTCTCCTTTCAACAACACTAGACGTGGACGACGACGAATCTGACTGTGAAGACTTTCTCCATACTTGTTCTGCATAGGTGGCAATGCGCCAGCTCAGGCTGGTTGCTTGACATTTGTCGGAGGGTCCATGTACGCGGAGCGTTTTCAATGGACATATTTGCAGCCAGCCAGCGCTCGCATCAAGTAACTAGACCTAATGCCATTCATTTCCTCAATAACTACCAAATTACCATTGGAGTGGATTGCAGTGCGTGTTATGCATTCAACGCGCGTGACACATGTGCGCTTCGTTGCCGCCTAATTCTGTGCAGCCTCTGCAGTGCAGGGGTTTCCCTTGGGAAAGGGGTTAGAGACGAGGTTGGGTGGGTACCTTACCCAGACGTCAACACTGATTGATCTCTGCCAGACAACAACCTAGGGATATTGCCTGAGTTGACATGACTGAACACACTTTGACTGCTACCCCTTTCCACCAGAAAGTCAGAAGTGAGAAGTACCTATGGAAGGCGAAACGATCCCATGCATGCACCTCAAGCTCTACTGCCAGTGAATCCACCCGTCTCCGTGACCGAAAACACGTACAGTAGCTCTCCGACCAATCATTCTAGCGACAACGGACGCCCCTGAAGCACATCAGTACGACAAGCCCAAACATCCTCATCCTCCTCCACCTATGTACCAACAGCCACGGCACTCTTGCTCTGCAGGCTGGGAGTCCGCGCTCTCGCGGCCGGCGATCCACGGATACTGTGGTATGATGAAACTGAAGGCGTCAGTCCACGACACCTGGTTGGCAAATCTCCTCACGCTTCAATTCATGAACACGGGACTCCCTACCGGCCGCTTGGAGCCGCCGCCGCCGCCGCCGCATGAGCACCCAGCGCACACCCCAAGATAAGCGGGAGTAACTACAGAAGAGAACTTCCTCCCAGCTGTGTACATAGGCGCCTCGCTGACGGTGTCCGTGTCGGATATCCATCCCAACCGTACGTGCCTACGGAGTCGCAGCTTACTTATAACATGGTGATAACCACGATGCCACCCACTGCAAGCAACCGCGTTCGTATGTACGACGTGATGACTGGCGATGGGAGTGAGTACCCAGTGACCGCATCAGCTCTACGAATATCGTGAAAACCTAATTCACCATCCAACCATCCCACCAGTTCCGTAGACCAACACACTTCCACCAGTACGCCTCCATCCCGCCCCGACTCCCACGGCAGAGCGACCCCGAGCCAGCCCACCCACCAACCCACCCGTAAAGCGCTCCCGATGTATCTATATTCACGCCGCGTTCAAGCGTCGCCGACCTCGGCACGTATGGTAACTGTCCCTCCACGCGACTACGCGAACCGGGACTACGGACCTCAAAGGCGATTGATTACTTGAGGCAGCGAATCTCCACGACTGGCGCGCCCGTCTCTTAGTAGTGGATGATTGATGTGGTCCAGAATAGGGGGGTGATGCTGATCCTGTATTGTCTTTAGGGCACAGCGCGTGTTGGGGATAGGCTTCGTATCCTCAGATCCGGCTTCTCTGAGTACGATGACCTATTGCACTACTTATTAGGGCTGCAGCCTGATTAAGGGGGTAGCTACGAGTTGGCATTCAATCTTGGGTCCCATGTCGAGGGATCAGCACCCAAGTCAGCTAGCATAGCTGGGCTGGACACTTGAAGAAGCCGATATGGTGACTGCTGGGCAGCGAGGTTCGCGTAGTTCAGAGGGAGAAGTCTAAAGCATAGCAGGACTTGCAATTAATCTTCTCGATTGTGTGCACATCATCAATGAAACATCGACAGCTTACTGAACAAGGACACAAGTACACACCACTAATGTGTAGAGGAGGTCAAATAACAGCACAACCGTGGTTCAGTCTAGTCCTGCATCCAGTTCTGTGTAACCTGCAACATTGTAAAGCAACAAGGCAGCCGAGGTACGGTGCCGCTTAGCAGGCCGCGTGGGTCTTGCCGTGCTTGCCTTGCAACGAATGCTTTTCATTCTGCGGGGGAGGATCAGTATCATGTCATGAATACATGCGTCCACGGGATGACTTACTCGATACTTGGGGTGGTTGTTCTTGTTGTGATGGCTGTGCACGTTGTGCGTTTTGATGAAGTCCATATGCCTCTTGACCTCGTCCTTGTCCATATCCTGCAAGAGTCCCTGGCAGAGTTTGATATCGTTGATCAGCATATCACATCGGTTCTTCGTAAAGTCCTCCCGTACAACGACGCGAAGCATCTTGAGGTTCTCGGTATGAGGAGCCATGGTGTAGGCAGGTACGACCCAACTGCGGGCGCGCAACTTATGCGCCAAAGCAAATTCGTCGTAGTGCCGGTCCTTATCTTCAGGCAGTCGGAAGGCAACTAGCGGTAAGCCTTCGCCCGACTTTTTGCTCATGATGATGAACCCTAGGGCTTCGAGGGACTCGGATAGGTAGTCGGCAGTGCGGGTCAGGTTGGACATGATGGCGCGGTAACCCTTCTTTCCCAGTCGGATGAGCTGGTAGTACTGGCCGATGACCTGCGAAGCGCCCTTGGAGAAGTTCAATGTGAATGATGACTGATCAGCGCCTAGATAGTTGATGTTGAATACCAGCTCTTGGGGCAAGAATTCGGCAGCCCGCCAGACGACCCAGCCAACACCAGGGTAAACGAGACCGTACTGGGAAAGTGTCAGTCCAGTTACGCAGCACAGCAGATCTGGTCGCGTACCTTGTGGCCTGACACATTGATGGAAACCACCTTCTCAAGGCGGAAGTCCCACTCCAGATCAGGCACCACGAAGGGGGCGACAAATCCTCCGCTGGCAGCGTCAACGTGGATCGGGCAGTCGATGCCCCTTTTCACAAGCAGGTCATTCACTGCCTTAACATCCTCGTACTCGCCAGTGTAGGTCGTTCCCAGGATCGCACAGATACCAATTGTGTTCTCGTCGACCAAGTTTACGGTCTCCTCGGGATCGATAACGTATCGGTCCGGGGTGCAGTATACGAGCTTCTCGTCGATCTCGAAGTATCTCGTGGCCTTCTCCCAGCACACCTGCACGGCCGAGCTCATGACGATGTTGGGGTTCTCGGTGGACTTGCCCTCGGCCTTTCTCTTGAGCTTCCAGCGCTTCTTCATAGCCAATACGCCAAGCATGATAGCCTCGGAGCTGCCAATGCACGAGGTGCCAATCGCGTCCCCGCCGTCGTCTGTGGGCACGTGGAAGAGGCGACCAATCATGGACACGCATCGGTTCTGGATATCGGCGGACTGTGGGTATTCCTCGTAATCGATGAAGTTCTTGGAGAAGGCTTCGGTCATGAGTTTCTCGGCTTCGTCTTCCTGCAAGATGGTGTTAGGGTCTGGTGACTTGACGCAAGGACCAGCACATCACTTACCATGTAGGTGGTGACGAACGAGGCCAAACTGTGCAAGGGTGGTTTTGTCAGCCAGCCCATCAACTCAAGACATGAACAGGAGAGCTTACTTGAGCATGGGGTTGCCGTCCAGGCTGAGGTCGTCCTTGATCATGCGGTACGCCACCTCCTTGGGCATCTCGCCTTCGGGCATCTCGTGCTTGGGGAGGTCCTCGGCAGCGAACTTGGAGCCGTAGATGCTCGTTGTGAAGCGGTCCTCGTCATTGCTAAGCTGCAGACTGATCTTCTTGACAGCCTCGGGGAGGTCAGGGCCCGTCTGGCTGTCGCCGGCGATCTTGCTCAAGTGAACCATGGTGGCAGATAGAGGCAGCAAGCACCTCGAGGAAGCTGTGTGGTATGGAGAAGAGGCAGAGGTGCAGAAACCGGAGTAAAAACAGAGTCTGGGAAAGGAGGAAGACGAAGAGGACCAAGAGGACCAAGTTCTTGGCAGAAAGGCCTGGTATATATGTGTGTACCTAAGTGTTACCTATGAAGGTGATGTCAGGGCAGCTCCGTACATTCCAGGATGCATTGGATGCATGTAGCACAGGACATTCAACAGCCAACCAACCCCACGTCCCAGGGCATTGCAGTGACTGCACGTCCAGTTGTGCGTGTCAGGTGCGGGGTAGCTATCCAGAGGGTCGGGGCCCCTGGCAGCCCTGGTGTTACCTCCGGCTCATGCGATAGATCATAGTAGGTATCCATGATGGCGGTGAAGCCAGTCGCTTCGCTGGGGGTGTGACGGGTGTCTCGTAGGTTGCCGGCCCACCATGGTGATTCCTTAGAAGGATGAGCTGTTGTCCACGTCGAGACATTCACCGAATGCCTCTCGTCATCAGTATCATTCTTACTCAAGCTTGACGTATGTGCGCAATTGGAAGTTTGACTTCAGATGACAGATGAAGGTACCTTAAGTTAAGGGATGGGATTTTAGGATTTCGACATGCAGAAATCCAAAACGCGCCGGATCTCATGCCGCCGGGTTGGCAATTGGCGAGAAAGCTTGGCACAGATTGGCAGCTAGCAGCGTCCGCTAGCAGGGATGCTGCATTCACTACCTACGTGGCCAGCTCAACGCTTTCAAGAAAAAGGGGTGGAAAGAAGCAAATCTTGGGTACAAGTCGCAACTGAGGGACTTGCCAGGCTGTCACAGCCCCTCACTTCACGAGAGGGCAGCTACCAACGCACAGGCTGCTCATCGTCAGAGGTAAGCATTCTGACATCGATTATTAGTAGATCCTGATCGCCGGGAACAACATGGCCGCATGCGGATACCATCGAGATCTGCTAGAATAGGATGGTACTAGCAAACTACGGGTCCACCCGAGTCTGATGAGTCTCCGAGATGCATGAATCGCGCAGCTTGGCTCCAGTCACACGGGTTCAATGTTGTAATACAGACCCTACGTTGAACCTCCTCTCTTCGGTATCGAATGCCGACCTTCATACCCAACGCGCAACTTTACCCCTGACTGCACAGCACCGGTTCTCCAGCTGCCGGTAGAGCCATGTTCCATAAGGTTCTCGCTAGCAACGGCCTTCAAGGAACCGAACGACGTGGCTGATGTGTACTACTACCTTATGTCGAAGACTTCCACTAAGCACAGCCAATCAGAACTTCGGATGTGCCCAATTCGGTAGTCGACCATTACGGAAGAGCCTCGAGTACAGATTCCTGCCATCTCGTATGTGCTGGAGATGATTGCCATTCAAAAAATTCTACATCAGGCACGATTGCGATATCATGCTCACCTGCAAGACGTCCGACAACGTCGGTGCTGGCAGAGTTTTGAAAAGAGACCAGGCTGTTTGTTTTCTGACTGCCCCTCTGGCGCCGACGACATGGTCTGTAGCTCTTACTACCTACAAGTGCCCGAGGGTCTCTCAGGCTTCTACTGGCATATGATGTAGACATCTTTGCAATTACCTGCGGCAATTACTTACCGGCGCTAGTATTTCCGTTGCATCTAAACTGGTTCCTTCTGTCGCAAGTACGCACCACTATTGTGGAACGTGGGTAGTGCCCTCTTGAGCGGTAGGTACCTACAGAAGACAGAAAAGGGGTACAGGGTGGGCCATGACCGACGACACACACGGGAAGTAAAGTGTAAGAACGACACTCTACCACCTTACAACGCGAGCCATGTTCCCGTCTGGTGTGAGCCCGCCATCCCCTGCTTTCTTCTGGTCAACATAGCGGTCCTTGCTCATGGCTCTCCCAGAGTCAGGCAGGTATACACATGTCATATGTATACATTTGCGTGTATTTGCTGCCACCGCCAGAAAGGGCTTGACGGCGAGGGCGTCTTGTGAGAGTGATTGAGAGAGTTAGAGCTTTTTTCTTGGACTTGGTTCCGAGTGGTTTGCCCTACCGACACCTTGAGGGCACTTTGAGTTCCAAACCACGAGTCTTTCGATGGATTTCGCACCTATTAGAGGGACGCCGTCTCTCGAAAGAGCACAAACCTCTGTACTTGCTTCCACCCCTCACAAGTCCTCGTTGGCGCACCTGCAATTCTTTCGAAAACAGCAGGTGGCCCACAGGAAGGAGAATTCAGACACGGGAGGAAGCAACGCCCTTGGCTCCAAGTCAGGTCTCCGATGCACCCACATCAGCTTCCCCATCACATCATCTTTCCGACAACCATCTACCAGCTGCCCAACAACCATCCACCAGCTTTTGGCTATTGTTCCAGCATTTCACACCACAGTCGTTATCGATCACAGTACAATACTTTCGCTAGCACAACCTACGGCAGCGTTCCGTCATCCGCCTCGACATGTCGACTGTTCCGTCTGGCGGGAGCAACCCTGCGGAAGGAAGTTCGAGCCCTCCGCAGCCCAACCAAGACGAAGACACGATGATAGCCGCACTCGACCCATTGAGTCTCTCCCAGCCACCAGCACCGAGTCAAGCAAAGAAGAACAACGCCGCCAAGAATCAACTGGAGCTCGAACCAACCATCAATCTCATGAAGGATGACGCGGATAAAGACAAAGCCAAGTTGGACAGCACGCAGTCGAGGACAGACAGCACCGAGAGGAACATGCAGGTGCTCAAGTCAACCAACCAGCGTTTGAAGGTTGCTATGCCGGACAAGAAGGCCCAGCTAGAAAGCGCTGCCAAGAAGCAACGGGAGCTCGAGTCGACCATCCAGCGTATGAAGGCTGACGCGGACAAAGACAAAGCCGAGTTGGACAGTACGCAGTCGAAGCTAAACACCGCCCAAGGGATTATCCAGGAGCTCCAATTAACGATGGATCGCATGACGGATGACGCGAAGGCAGTCAAAGCCATAGAAAAAACTCAGCCCAATATTGTTGAGGCTAATAACCAGGAGATCAAGACTGAGTGTGATAGCCTTGCTGCTGCTCTCGAAAAGGCTCAAATGGAACTCAAAAAGGCTCTAGGGAAGCTCAGAAAGACTCAAGGGGAGCTCAAATCAACCACAGATGAGCGTGATAAAGTTGCTGGTCTTCTCAAAAAGGCTGACGGGTATTTCAAGCTATCCGAAAGCAAGTTACGCGGAGCTAAGGACAAGTTGCGCGTAGCTAAGGTCAAGTTGCGCATAGCTAAGGTCAAGTTGCGCATAGCTAAGGACGAGTTGCGTATAGCTAAGGACGAGCGAGACAAGCTCAAGGCCAAGCTGCACGATATGGAGTCGGCGTCGAGCAACGCCACGGGTGGAGAAGACAACCGCGACTCTCAAGGCCCTGATTCCGCCTACTTCTGGGCCATCTCATCCGCTGATGGAAAGCCTTACCAGTTCCATTACGACCCAGACGGACAAATCCAAGGAGAAGTGCGGATACATGCCGATACAAGCACATTCCGTCGTGTCTGTGTAGGAGCATCTTATACGCATGCAACCCCCTCTGGCGGCATGTACCGTCTTACCCATGGAGGAAGCCACCCTGATGATCGCTACTACGTATCAGGTCGCGAACTGGGAACTATCGCGCTCGGGGATTTCATTACCACTGACGGGGAAGGCCGGGCCTCCGCCTTTCAAATCTAGTTGGTCCCCGTGCAGGGAGATCCTTTCCCGGTCGCTGGCGGTGTTGGACAGGAGGACTGATCAGTTCTGATGCAACCAGCGAAAATGTACTGCTTTGTGATGCATTTGATTTGTTGTATGAAGGTAGATTAGCCATACATAACTACTGCTAGCGATTAAATGACAGGATTTCCAAATTACTGGTCCCAAACTTGTGGCCGGATGCATGCCCTCTGTGGGCTGCCTGAAGTCTCCGTACATCAGACCACCCGTCCAGCAGACGACGTATATTTATTGATTCGAAATAAACACAGTGGAATTGCCATTGGAAGTGCCGTTTAAACAAGAGCTGCTTATTTCTGTCTGCTTATTCTAGCATTACCAACTTTTCGTTGGACGGCTATGCATGGTCGTTCCACCGCTACCATCATAACTGGTGATCACGCCCGAACCGGTGGATAGGTTGGTTACACTCCTTTTGCGCCGGTTATTCTATTCAAGGGGTTATTTAGAGACGACTAGATGCCCTCATCTTGTTATTCATCCAAGGGGTCGTTTAGTGACGCCAGAGCACCCTCGTGTTCTTTCTATCATCCAAAGCCCAGCATCTGGCATGCTGGCAGCACTCTCTTTCAACGCCAACGTTCAACACTAACGGAAGCATCCGTCAAGCACTTAGTCCTCAGCAAATAAAACCACTTCAACAGCCGATAGCCACGTTCAGATACGGAAACCAACAACGAACGATTCAGCAGCCAAGCAGTCACAGCAACACGATCACTAACACGAAGCATATCACGGGGGTCAAACATGCGTAGCCATATTACGAAGCCAGGAAAGCACTCGAAGAGGGTTGAAAATTGAACCCAAATAGGGCAAGATGCCAACACTCAGGATTGCATTTCCAACGCAGACAGCCGTACCGCACACAGAACACACATACAAAGATCACATACACGAACACCACGAATCACGATCATGTTGAGAAACAATACGTCTGGAGGCATTTACATATTCACAACCATCACATCTAGAGGCACCATCACACACATCACTTCCCACGTTGAGAATCAGGGGACCAAACGCACAGTCAAACAAGCAGTCATCGAACGGCAGCAACACCACATCACCACCCCCTTTCCAAATGGACCATTCACAGCGCAGCATTCAATCAACAGCACGTCACTTGCAGGGAATTCAGCAAACGGCTCCTTTCGAGTTTGAGCTCTGTTCGAGCGTTTGGTGGAGGAAGAGCCGAGAGAGCGCGGTTCTTCTGTTTCCGACATGACGGACGGTTCTGCATAGCCAGGCGTCCCAGTTCTGGGCACGTGCTATACAATTCCAGAGACAAATGGACAATCTAGCAGGCAGTAGACCACGATCGATCCCATGCGACCTTCCACTGCTACCATCCTATCTCTTTCTACGTATGATCTGGAACTCTCCCACCATGGCGCGCACGGAGACTTGTGAGGGATGAGTGTACCGTCACGATCAGCAAAATATAGCATGTGCTGATAGGAAGACTGAGAGTAGCCCCCGTCGTCAAGGTCTTGAATATCCAGGGGTATTTTTGATGTGTCCCTCTGGAATGAGCGTTGAGGATGGCTTATGAAGATACAACTGCTTGTTCCATGGTGCTTATTCTGCTGTCGTTATCCTGTCGGGAAAAGAACTCTCGGGTGCGCGGACGGAGACTTGTGGGGGGTTACTGTATTACATATGGTCGGGTCTAATGTCGACTCCAGCCCACGCAACACGGGACGTTCCCCCAGACCCTTCATTAGTCTGATGGTGGCTATCACACCCAATTGAGGACGGAGACATTTGGGACTTCAGAAATACCATGATACGAGGTAAGTAAGGCAGATCTCAAGAAAAAGCTAGAAAGGAGAGGGGAAGGGGAGAAAAGGGGTTAATCCAGCTACGTAGTCCTGCCAAGATATGAAGAAAGGAGCAATGGCGGCTAAACGTCGGCAGCTTTGGCGGTAACGGACACGTCACAGCGCACGCGGAATAGGTACATGTGGCTTGCTGGCCCAAGCTCCCGCCTAGGGACTAATAATGCAACCATGGATGTAATGTGCAGTAGAAGAAGCAGGGATAACTGCTTATGCGAGCTATTTGTGCAAATTATCATTTTAACCGCTTGCGCCGCAGCTGGGTTCCTGGAGGCAATCTGGATCCTGGCGCGTGGATGGGCGCTGGAATCTGGCAGGCAGTGGGTACAGGTTACAGGCTACAGTACAGGGAGGCAGACGCGGGAAGACCGAAGGGGTGTTGTTTTATTTCTGGAAACTGGAAAGTAAATAATGTTAATGCGTGCAACCTTGCATCGCATGCATGAACCATATCATCATCGTCACTCCTCGTCACTCCCACCATCGCTCATGCATCATTGATGCTGATTGACACACCCGCCAGTCTGCCAGTCTTGTGTGCATTTCTCAAAGCTGTGTTGTGTACAAGATTCCTTCTCCTCCTCTTGCACTTGGTCCAACCCAACGACAGCACGCCCTGCGAACGGGAATAAGGAGAAGTGGGTGCCGAGATGCTTTCTTGTGATGCGGTATGGAGCCCGAGTCAGCTGCGTCCCTGGAACGGTCTACGTCGCAGCTATCAACGCTGTCAACAAAGAGCATCAGAGGCAATACCCACTCGGTCCGTGCCAAGTCCAAGTCTAGGAAACTGACCTCGCACCCCTCGAGCTCGGCCTCGTCCATCGCCGCCTCTGACAAGTCCCTGACCTCATTCCCTTCTTTCTCGCCCGAGTCGCCGCGATACGAGCACCCTTATACTGTCGACAGCCCAAAAGAGCCCTCGAACCCCCAGAACATAGTGGACAATTTGACCACGTCCGATGCCCCCAAGACTCCGCGCAACGCCCTATTCGAAGATACCCCGCTAGCCTCCCGAAAGATCCCCGGCGCTCTGCACCTGGCAGACGATGAGCACATCGAGCGGCTTGTCGCGCGCCACGGCTCCGTCAACCTGGTGCGCCAGATCGCCGAGGATCTGGCACAGCGAGATGTCCAAATCGCAGGTCTCAGGAGGCGAGCTGACGAAAGGGAGAGGGCGCTGAGGAAGATCATACTGGAGTGTGGACTATCAAATCTGGACCTCGAAACGAAGCTTCGCACCGTTGAACAGGATCTAAGAGCACAGGACCAAACAAAGCGAGGCCAGGATGGACTGTCCAATATGATGAATGATGCCATGCACGACTCGATGTCCTATGGTGGACTTGGTGCCGATGATGGAAGAGATGCCAAGGAGGGCACGCTCAAAGCCGCCGCGCTACTCACATCGAAGGCAAATAACAATAACAATGGCGGCAGAGGGACAGTCAAGGCCTGGAAAGACTATTTCTGGGGCACTGGCACGAGCAGGAAGAACAGCAGAGCCGCCAGTGTCAATGGGGACGGGTCGAAGACCGCCGTACGTGCGGCGGCATCAGGAGATCGCCGACCCCCTATTCAGGAGGACCTGTTCACACCGCCCGATGCAGTATCCGTGAGGAGCTCCAGTCGCGCCTCAAGCATCTACTCCGGCCACGGTTCCAGAAAGCCATCCACATCCCTTGCTAGCATGGCTCTACAGTTGGTTGCTGGGAAGGTTCCTACCAACCGCGATGCCGACTCGCTTAGAGGGCGATCAGACTCGGCAGGATATGGTGGATCACTGAGGACCTCGTCTGCTGCGAGCACAAAGACCCGCGCCTCAAGCAGGACAGTCTCATCGCAGGTTGGACCCAAGGCCCTGATGGCAATGCGACGAGCGACGCCGGCGCCCGTGAATATTGCTCAGCGTACACAGCCCCACGAACGGTGGGAAGGCATGGCAGCATCTCTCGATAGCCCCTCAGCTATAAGAACAGACAACTCTGGCCCTGTCGAGATGGATACCATCTTTTCGCCCGAGGGACAGCCCCCAACTTTGACCCATATCTACAACAACTATCGCGGATCGGAATACCTGACTGATCGGTTCGGATTCATCTACGACCAGCGCCGCAAGAAAAGGCAGCGTGAAGCTGCCCAGGTCGCTCAGCAGATCAAGCAGGGCAGCCGTGCTGAAATGTTGTCAGGGGGACGGTCGAGCATTTCACCCAACCTACTGGATGATGACAATGCGAGCTCAACCCGGACAACTGTAAGCGACGACAGACCAGACACGCCCGCGTCCCTCGAAGACATGAGTGAGCAAGGCAAGCCAAAGAGGTGGCAAGACTATCTGAAGATTGCTACGTTTCCCACAGAACTCCTGTCACATACGCCGATTACCTTCTCAGCCCTGGAGGTCCTCGAAGGCAATCAAGCGCCCAGATCACCCAATCTCATCACGTCAGATGACCGTGGCTTTGTCCCGCCGGCCAGTACCACCTCGGCCTTGAATAGCGAGCCAACCACCAAGTCGGACGAGGACCCTGCTGTGACCCTCGTTCACGAAGATGCAGAGCCGGTCAAGCTGTTACTAAAGCAATTGAGTGATGTCCACGACGCGTTGCAGAGGGAGAAGTCTGTTCGGTGGAACGAATTCCTGCGCAAGGTGAGAGCCGAGCGAAGACGTGAATCAGAGGCGGCTGCGGCGGCTGCTGCAGCGGCCGCCGGGGCTCGATACCAACGGGCACCAGTGATGATTCCTGAAGCCAAGTTGACCGACGGTGAGATCATCGGTGTCGCAGACCTCGGTGTCAAAGGCAAAGTCGGACGAGCAAAGTGGAATGAGTTCAGGACGCTGGTGCTTGGTGGTATCCCAGTTGCCAATCGGCCCAAGATCTGGGCTGAGTGCTCCGGTGCCCTGTACAAGCGTGACCCAGGCTACTATGAAGACCTCGTCGCCAAGTCCGGCGAAGATGACGACCCGGCAGTGGTCTCCCAGATCGATATGGATATCAACCGGACGCTCACGGACAACATCTTCTTCCGTCGTGGACCAGGTGTTGCCAAGCTCAGTGAGGTGTTGAAGGCCTATGCGAGACGCAATCCAGAGGTTGGCTACTGCCAAGGCATGAACCTCATCACAGCAAATTTGTTGCTCATCATGCCGTCTGCTGAAGAGACGTTCTGGATTCTTGTATCCATCATCGAGCAGATCCTGCCCCGGGGCTATTATGACCATAGTCTAATGGCGTCCCGCGCCGATCAGCAGGTCTTGCGGCAATACGTCACAGCGGTCCTACCAAAGCTCTCGCAACATCTCGAGAATCTCTTCATCGAGCTTGAGGCTTTGACGTTCCAGTGGTTTCTGAGTGTTTTCACCGACTGCCTCTCCGCCGAAGCTCTATTCCGGGTCTGGGATGTGGTGCTCTGCACGAATGATGGCAGCACCTTTTTGTTCCAGGTCGCCCTGGCGCTTCTCAAGCTCAACGAACAGCAATTACTGCAATGTGATAGCCCCGCCGCCATATACACTTATATCAATCACCAGATGACGAACCACGCTATCAGTATAGACGGCTTGATACAGGCGTCCGAGGGACTGAGGAGAGTTGTCAGAAGGGAAGAAGTCGAAGACAGGAGGAATAAGGCCATTGATGCTGAGAAACAGCTGATGAAGGAGCGTGAGGAGCGCGATCAGGCCCGACGCACGCAAAAGGCACCATCCGCTCCAGCATTAGTTACCGAAACGAGCGCATCGGCCACACCAAGCCCAGCTCCAACCCCGGTGCGTTTGAACAGTGAGAGTGGAAGTATCGCGAGTCTCAGCGCCTTGGATGGAGAAGATGGAGAAGAGGTAAGCTTGCATGTGCGCACGCCGATACCCGTGGAGGAGGAGGCAGCATTCGGTCTTGGATGAGATAGGAGGCGATCATCAGGGAGGAGTGCCAGTGAGATTTCCAACTTGTTCGGCTTGCATGATTATCGCTGGCGGGCTTAGTGTTTCTAGATTGGGTCGTGCCGTGATACCCCCTACCGATTTTCCTTATGGTTTTGGTCTGGACCTTGGTCTAGAGGCGTGGATGTCATTCTTGTTACTACAATCAGCATTGCGATTCGGCATGGCGGGAACCAGGGTGTTTGCGCTTTTACGTTGGCTGTACGAGAGTGAAGGGCTGGGGACTCTGTAGTCTCTAGCACCGCAATATATATGCCATTTCGCAGCGTTCTTTTGCCGATAGGCCTGGCCACCGCCAGATTGTGGTAGGTGGACTGGGCTTACTTCGATGGTCTCGCTTGAGTGAAAGGAGTGGGATGAATGAAAAGAATCAGGGGAGAAGCATCAATACTCGAGGGACGTATGGTGTTTTGTCGGGGCCAACGTGGTGGTCGTGTATAACTTTCCTCCGACACCTACATACTCCGCCTTCCCTGATGGATCCCGCAACTGGTCTATCCATCACTCATTTGAGTAGGATTCATAGGCCATCTTGTTGCCATGAACAAGGGAAAGCCAGTCCACCCCCTCGATTGCAAGATGCCAAGAACAAAGAAACTCCATGCAGCCTGTCCTTGATTGGTTCGCCAGTAACATCAGGCCCAGGGGTGATCGGTGGGGTTCGTAGGGGTGGTTGTATTGCTTGGCTTGACCCCCCACGGATCACATCGTATTCATGTTCCCTGCACTCTCAATGCTTTTGAAGTTCATGTCGTACTCGATAGAGACCATGTATCTCTTAAACCGTCTCATGCGAAGCCATCGTCCAATTCCATGACCCTGATCACCTAGCACAGCCTCATCGCTCACCGCTCGACTAAGATGGCAGCGAGACTTGAGTTCAGCATCGACGCATTGAGGTACCCGGTCGACGTCGACCAACAGGCGAATGATACACAATCGGAGGTGACAACAGCACTCCCTACCGCGGACACAGACACGGATGTCCCGGAGGGTTATCTCCCCGAGGACTACAAGATCTTCGCAGTATTGCGCGACTTCCTACAACCAGAAACCGGCATCACCCTCCAAAAAGCCGTCGAGACAACCCTCCACATCTTCCCGGACGGGCAGACGGACCACATGAGGCCCGTCAACACGGTGTGTCTGGAACTCGGCCGGCAGATCCCCTACCATCACCCGTCGCAGCTCAAGCTGGCGCGGTTCCTGTGGCTCTTTTGTCGGATCAGCGATCGGCTGAAGAAGTCTTCGCATGAGGTATGTACATACATTCGCGGGTTGCTTCTGACAAGATATTAAGTCAGCCGTCGTATTTCAATGTTTGTCTTTCGTCCATGAAGTCAGTAAGTTATTAATGAGTCTCAAACAAGGATCCGGCCGTGGCGCATCACACGTTCTATCAACACCTCCAGGAAGATCTCGCCGACAACGAGTTTGAGCCCGGGGACGACGGCAGCGCGCTGGCGGAATACGTCAACTACCAGGCTTTCCTGGCCAATCTCACTGATATGACGCTGTACCTACCCAGGTCGTGCTTTGCTACGCGGCCCCTGCGCGACGCGTTCGCGGGGGACCACGGGGAGGGTGTGAGTGTTCATGAGGCGTGGATCATGGGTGCGGCGATGTGGATTCTGTATTGTGGTCAGGCTCTGTTCAAGCAGATCTTGTACCCGGAGAATGTGGACGACGGTGAGATTACGGGGGATGAGTGGCGCAGCTGGAAAGAGGGCTTTGAGAGGGTTGCGGATGGGGATGGGGAAGGGGTTGGGAGGGAGTGTCGGGGGCTGGCTGAGAGGGCGGCGGTTATGATGGATGGGATTGAACGAGGCATGTCGTTTTGAATTCATCGTAAGGTGGAGGTGGTCGAGTGACTCTTCGATGTCTGGCCATCCGGCAGCGACTTGTAGATACCCAACCATGATGGTGCTATAATGGTAGCAATGTCGCCGCTGCAAGTATCTTACCACCTTGTGCTATGCTTCTGCGCCGTCCAGACCAGGAACCAGGTGTGAGCTTTGTTCACGAGCGCATAACTACAAAGCCTCGACACTACAATGCTGCAATAACAATGAAGAGTCAGTACAATGACATTCTGAGATGTCTTTATGCTCCTGTCTTTCGGCATAACATACTGCTCAGTCTCAAAGGCATTATTGCATTGTGCTTGGTAAGTGCACGGGTGCCATCCCCAGAAAGGGGCGGACGGTACAAATGTAACAAACACCCTGTTTCTTCCCTTCCCTAACCAAAGCACCATACACATTGGAAAACAGAAGCCGCCAACTCGCAAGAACATAACGAAAGAAGCCAGTCTGGTCACCATCAACGAGACATCATTATCCTCGTAATCTTTCAAGCATGGCCATGACGCAGAAGCTCCCGTTCGACATCCTCTACGAGATCTCCAAGCACCTCCCCTACCAAGACCAAGCCAGCCTCGACCGCGCCGACCGGGACCTCCACGAGGTCCTCACCCCGCGCCTCCTCCCCAACGCCCTCTCCGACACGGACTGGAACAAAGCCCGTCGGCCCCTAGACCACGCCATCACGTACGGTAAGATTCCCCTGATGGCGTCCATCTTTGACCTGATGAAGGACACCGACCGCTGCACGGTGGCGAACTGGCAGCGGCGCTGCGCGGAACGGACCTGGGACTGGATCCGGCACCCCGACTTCGACGTCAGCCTCTCGCCCGACATAGCCGTCCTGCTGCAGATGGCCGCAGCGACCAACAGCGACAGTCTAGCCTACCTGATGCAAAAGGCGGACCTCGAGGGTAACGGGATGACGTTCGACTATGTCTTCCCCGAGTGGCACCGCTGGGTGTGGATTCCCGCCTCCGCCCAGAAGAAGACGTCAGCATGATGAACCGGATGCGGGGCGACGAGTTGGTGCTGCGGTACCTCCGCGCAAGTGAGTCGATCCTAGGCCGTGTCGTCTCAGAGCACGACGTGAGTATCTTCCGCCAGTACACCGAGGGGGACTCGCGCCACCGGAAGCTGCTGCTCTGGGTGCGGCGACAGGCCATGAACGAGGTGTTCCAGAAATACGAGTTTGAGGTCCCGGTGACTATCGTGTATAACATGAACTTCTGGACCCTGGTGACGCCGGAGGCGTTCCGGAGCTTGGTGTGGAAGAAGAATCACCAGCGGGTTACCTGCGAGGGCATGTATGCTTGGCTTTCGCTTTCGCGCGTTTGTGCTGTTACTAATCGGGTGTTTCTTGATGCCCTTCGGGACTTGGGCGCGAGCGTCGAGTTTGTTGGGGCTTTGGAGCGGCTTTGTCCTACGGACCCGTCTCTGCTGGAGGCTGAGGCGAGTGAAATAAAAAAACATACATTGGTGGGGATGGCGTCGAGAGATGAGCTGCCAGACATCCCGGACGAGGGGCCAATGTGGCCAATGTCCATCGACGAATTGCCGTACTAGAGGATGCCCGGGCTAAGAAGCAAGGTGGTCATCGAGGAGATCAGACAGGCAATTAAAGTCCATCGATGGGTTACCGCGTGTCTTCAAACGGATATGCGAAAACAGGTAAGTGATTTTCTTGTGTATTTTGTCGAGTAGATGGAAGGGCCAGGTTTGGGCCTACTGGTGGGTAAATGACCAGAGTATGCACTACTGTGCTGTGTTATTGAGGAGCTAGCTATCTTTTGAATTCACAAATCATTCCATTTGCTGAGTCCGAATATGTATCTCTAGAAACTCAAACGAGGTCGTGATGCTTGTTTATTGCCCATGGCGGCCCCCATTCACAGCTATATCGTTGCCCCTAGTAGATCTGCTGGTCATCATATGCTCGCACACTCTCTAAGTATGATTTGACCTGGTTCCAGTCCCGGCATACTGTGCACCTCGTCAGTAATCAAAAGTAAATCCAGAGGGTGATAGGCAGCGATTCACATACCATGCTTAGAGTCCCAGCCGTCGGAGCCTCCATTGTGGTCCGGAAACGTAGTTTCGAGTCCCTCGAGCGCCATGTCCGCACTGCACATGATTGCCTGACGCATGTAATCAAAGCAGTGGATCATGTGCCAGTGGTGGTCATCGGGTATCTCATGGCCGGACGTCAGGCCGGAGTATGTCTGGACGATGGCAAACTGACTAAGTGTCAGCAACGGCATCGGTGGTAGGACTGGGAGGGTGGACATACGAGGCAGTGCAATTGATGTGTTGCCGATGTGGTGAACACCGTCTTGTCCGGCCACTCGATGGGCGTGGGGAGATCGTGGTACTTATGCGTGTCGTTGACCCATTGGAATCCCATACCAACTGTCAAACAGTTAGTACTCAGTGCTTTCTTATAGGGTGCGTATTCATACTCGGCATCAGGTCGTTCCATCTGTTTAGGGTTTCGTTTGTGAAGAAGTCGGCGGTGTTGTTCGGCCCGTAGGACTCGTCTCTCACGAACGTGGTGACCTTCTGGGACACTGTTATACCACGTTAGTCGACCGATGCCTTGAGGTTCTGTGTATGCTTTGGCGACAAACTTCTTGGACCAAATCCCGTCATGTCCTGGCCGAACTGCCAGGTGTCGGTCTCCTCCACCGCAGGCTTCCTCCACTGATCTCGAACCAGCAAGGCCAGTATGATGAGCAAAAGCGATGTATCGATCATCCACCGTGACGACTTCAGCGCGGCCACAAATTTGCCGCGTTTCGTTTGTCTTGTCGGTCTGTTCAACTCCACATCATGCCACTGCTTCTCATCGCCCATCAGAGACTCCTCGACGTCGGTGCTGGAGCTCGAGTCATCGCGATCGTCGACATGGACGCCTTGGTACTTGAGCTTTTGTGAGTCCATTGTGATCTACACGGGAAGCGGCTATTCGGTGATGATGGTGGAAGTGATGGCCAACTTGGGTGAGCGCAGATGATGCGCGAAGATGATATGAGAGAGAAAGCCAAGTGTTAATGATCACTGATCAAAGAGCAATGCAGCACAAGGCCCAGATTTTATTTGATCCGTGGAATCCAAACAGCTGGTCGGTTGCAGCATCTCGTTGAGGCGAGTTTTGGGACGCGGGTGAGTCTGGGGTAGCTGTGACAGTGCCTGTTTCATCACAAGCCTGAGGTTTTGACGCCGACAGGGGTCTATCGCGACATCGCGGCATAGCAGCCCTGGTTCAAACATGGGCGAGACAGAACTTCAGACAGTCAGACCAAAAGTTCCAAAAAGCTCCAAAACGTTGCTATTGGATACTTCTAGTCTTCCACAGCATCATTGTTGGACGCTGAACCGACTGGCATTCATCGTGCAAAGACTGCGAAAGTGGCTAAAGATGATAGTGCCATGCCTGGTCGTACTCTGCATTCCCCTACCCGTATTGTATCAGAGTAGCCTGTGGAATCTACCATGTGAGTGTTATCAGACTGCAATGTGAGAGTTGCTTAGGTGGATGTTCGAATGCTGGAGGCAGGGCTGTTCTCAAAACCATCCCAGACGACGCGACATGCGACCAGTTACTCCGCAGTTCTACAGAGGGACACTGCATTGAATCGAGGCCATTCTGAAGATCACGAGATCCCAGGCCAGATCCCTGACCATCACGTATCGTCTTCCTCGCGGCTCGGCTTATTATCGTGCAAGCGTTCTAGCGCTGTCAACATACCGACGGCCAGTTGGTAGGAAGGCAAAGCGAATTGGCATTCCACTAGGCTCGGTCGTATCAGAGTCGCCCCTTCACCTCTTTGCTGGAATGGTGCTCGTAGCACTGCTGCTGGGCAGACTGGTAGTCATCGGTGGCAGCTCCGTGGTCGAGACAGTCGCATCGGCTCGTCCAGCCTCGCCGTCGTACTCAAGGCCATTAACATCTGGCCATCGCAGATAGCCTTTCCCGTCCGCCTCCTTGATACTTTCCGCGAATATGTGCCCCATAAGCTCATACCCATAGTTAGTGGGATGAGAGCCGTCGGGCCCAATATCACCTATCTCTGGGCGATCAGGGTAGCCCTCGCTGGGATGCATCTCCGCCAACAAGACCGCTTTGTTCTCAAACTTGGACACTAGGTCTCGGTACTGCTTGTTGACGTCCATTATCTTCGGCTCGCAATTGGGCACCGTGTTGTCAGACAAGTGCTGAACACGACGGTCGACAGCGGTGACGTATCTAGCAGGTAGTTGATGAAATCCTCTATGTGCTCCCCGGCCTTGTCGACATCTAGATCTTGCAGGACGTTGTTCGTGCCGACTTGGATGATGAACATGTTCGGCTGCAGCTGCGGCACGATGTGCGTCGCGTGCTCGTGGATCTGGCTGACGCGGTTGCCGCCGTACGCTTCGAGGTCGTTGTCGAGCATGTCGCCGAACCGCTGCGACCCGACCATGTTCACGGGGACGCCGAGCGCGACCAGCTCGTCGCGCATGGTTCTGCGGAAGCCGGTGAGGTCTGTTGACTGCTCGCCGCGGACTAGCGAGGCGCCGAGGGCCATGATGCGCGCCGGCGGCGAGGGTGCTCGACTTCTCCGGCTTCCAGTTGCCGCCTGGTGCCATCGTGACGCCATCGTCTGGGCTGTTGGTCGACTGCGCATCGTCGCCGCCTCCGCTGTGAGGATCGATCGTGTTGGTTGCACCGAGAGCTGAGGTGCGGCATTGGTGTTAGGCATTCCGCTTTACTACTTGCGCTGGACTTCCGACTTACCGATCAAGACAACCGCGACGACTACCAAGATAGATAAGCCGGCGATGGCACGTTTGGTGCGCAGGAATGCGAGGCGCGAGCTTCCCGGCCCCCGTTCACTGACTGTCATCGTTTAAGTTTACTGTTTGCGCACGTGCAAGGTACTGCAGAAGGAGCAGACGGCTCTTGATGCTTCATGTTTTTCTACATTACCGAAAGGAAAGAACCCACGGATGATGCCTTCTCTATACGACCTTTTCGCCAAGAGCTGACTTCAATGTTGCATCCTGCCAGCTTGCCAAGGCTTGCCAAGTCGATTGTACGGTTGCCGATTGCCGGCACGGAAAAGGGGCTGAGGTGTCGACGGCCCTGCCATCAAGAAGAGCATCTAGTTATATAGAGTTGTTTTGTGTTGTGACCATAGGTCATTCAGTTATGGTGGGACCAGAGGTCTTGTACAAGTAGGAATAGTAACCAGTTGAAAGGCCACACCCCCAAGCCTGAAACAGTGACTGGGAATGGACTTGCTGATACAGCCTTCAGCGTCATCAAGAAGAGCATAGTGTCCCAACAATCCTCCATCGGGAGTTGGGGCACATAGTGAAAATTAGCATTTGACTCTCTACGAAGCAACAGGATTGTGGCGCGCTGAGGGCTGTTTGGTTGGTTGAATACAAATAAAGTCCCCCTTGAAGCATCAAATGGATAGCTTTTGGAGTATGTGAGCATGAAATCCGAAGCTAGTCGAAACTTTGTATTTAACTAACTCTCAGAGAAAGGTATACATTTTAATACAAAAGGGCAGTCAGGTCTTGCCATGAAAGCATTCTGTCCCTGAATTCTAATCCTCGGTAGACCAGACAACCCCCATACACACAATTCCCATACACACACTGAATCTTCAAGCTTCCCATTACACCTTGGAACACCACACATCATGGCGCCCGACACTGGCGTAGTACGGCGGTCAAACCGGGCGAGACAGCCGACTGCAAAGAAGCTCGCCCAGACCCAATGTGCAGCAGAAGTTGCGAAAGCCGAACAGGAAACCATCCCGCTGTCCCAACTCTCGATGGCATCGCTCCGCGACCAGTTTCGGATCGCGGTGCACAAGTACGATACTGCCGAGAAACGCTTCATTGGCCTTAACTGTACGAAACGGGCCACTCTGGAGAAAAGCCAGGAGAACCATAGGGAATGGCAGGAGCTGCGAGTGAAGGTCGACGAACTCCGCGAAGAGCTGCGGGTCCGTCGTCAACGTAAACGCGATGCGACACGAATGGCCAATATCAGCCACGGGATCCTGCGCGAGGACTTGTCCCCGCGTCGTGGGCCTGCGGAGATTGGTGTAGAGCATCATGTCGAGCCTTCGTTTCCCGTCGAGCCTTCGTCTCCCGTCGAGCCTTCGTCTCCCGTCGATACTGCGTCTCCCGTCGATACTGGTGTCCCGTCGACACTTGTTTCGGCTCCTCCCAATCTGGTGACATATCGCAATATCAACACAGGCGCCATATTTCGATTCGTTCCCGACGAAAGAGGGCATTTGTCACTGATGTCGCAGTGGTTCATTGGCACTCATCGTCTACGTCGCGAACCTGAATCGCCCACCTCGCCTCAACTTTGTCCTCCGAATCCCGGTGGTCAGTCCGAAGAATCGGCATATCTGTCATTAATTGCGTCTGTATCGAAGCCAGTTTCTCCCGGGTCGTCCTGCCAGCCTCCTTCCACCCATAGTACGCCGCAAGCTTGCCAATAGGCAACGGACTCGTCTCGAACAATTCCGCATGCGCCAGCATGAACGCCTCCAGCTCCTCCATTCTCCGCGTCGCGATCTCCTTCCTGTACACCTTATGTTCCTCGGCATCCATCCCCTCCGTCACGACGGGCTGGAAGAGTTCAACCTCACCGACGGAATGACCAAAAGCAGGAGGATCTTCGCATATGCCATCCACATCCTCGCTGCTGGTCTCGACGACCTCGACCTCAGCCTCGCTGACCGCATCAACCACAATCGTCATCTTCGCCACAGGCGCCGTCCCGTCCGCCAGCTTTATCACGTCCCACGACGCCCGCCGCGTCACTAGGTCCGCGACAACCCCTAAGTCCCTTAGCGTCGTCCCCGTCCCGGCGACGACGCGCAGCACCTCCCGCACGACGCTCTTCCTGCCGTCGATCTCGATAAACTGCGAGTTAACGAAGTCGCCATCGCCGACGCGGAGCTTGGCGTTCCATTCTACCTTGCCGTTATCGTCTTCGCCCGCAACAATCTCGCGACCTTTGTATTTCTCTTTCTCTTCTGCTCGCGCGACGTTGCCCGGAGGCAGGATGATGCGGGAGTGGCGTTGTCGTACCCATAGGCCCAGCTTGCTGAGGTGGCCGTCCTTGGTGTCGTAGTACGTGTCGCGGATGAGCTCGGACGGCTGGCCTCGCACGGTCAAGGCGCCTTGACTTCCCCGTTGGCCGGGTGTGAAGGATGCGCGGGTCTGGGCTCGCGTTTGGGCTCGTAGACGCGATGCGAACTTCGGACCCGGGTTGAACTTGCGCTCGACCTCGACATTGGAGACTATGCGCTTGAGTGGTAGAGAGGCGGGTTTAGATGCCGTCGGTGTCCTCATTGCGGGATTGCTCGGATGCGTTGGAGGAAGTTGCAGCACGGAAAACATGCACATTACTGTACTGTCCTGTCCTAATCTTCAGGCAAGCATAGCATACATGTAGCACTAAAGTCCATTGCATCCATCTCAAAAGCTCAAGCCAACGTAAGAAATCCTGGTGTCAGTTCGCGACTCTGACATGCAACAACCCCTATCTACCAATCCAACGACTCCTTGCCCGCAGGTCCGCAGCCGCCCTCTGCATCCCCGTCTCCATCTCCAAGAACCTCATCTGCATCCTTCGTCCAGTCGTACACGCCTCCACGCTCACCAAACGCCTTCTTATCCCAGCGCACCTCGCTCAGCGCCGTCTCCACCCCGACCTCCAAGATCGACCGCGACTGCTTCTCGACGCCGCCGCCCTTATCCAGAAAGCAGAAGAACTCATCAACCAGCAGGTAGCTCGCGGCCATGACCGAGTTCGGCTCGGGCACGATGCACGCGAGCTCCTTGTGCCTATCGCAGAAGGCCTCGAACTGCGCGTCCGAGATGAGCAGCTTCTTCGCGTTGCGCTTCCGCTTGCTCATGCGCAGGTCCTTCTCGTCGGCGTCGTTCTTGCCCTCGACGTACAGCACCTGAAACGCCTTCCAGCGGAACGGGTCGAGCCGGCGCACCGTGTCGACCATGTCCTCGTGCCAGTTGTGCGTGCACACGACCGTGTTGAGCTAAAACTTGATGCCGGCCTCGCGGCACCAAGCGCGGACCCGGAAAAGCTGCGCCACGTTGTCGCCCGTGCCGCGGCCGATAGCCGTGTTGGTCGCCTCGTCGAAGCTGTCGCAGCTCACGCCCAGCATGTCGACCCAGCGGCCATGCTTCTCGATCCAGCTGCGCGTCACCTTGGTGCCGTTGGTGATGATGCTGACGCTCTCGAGGCCGAGGTCCTCCTTGTAGAAGCGGCAGAGCATCGCCAGCTTGTCCGGGTAGAGGAACGGCTCGCCGCCGGCGAAGTTTATCTTGAGCATGCCGGCTTCTTTGAGCAGGCGCAGTCCGCGCTTCATGTCGTGCTCGGGGCGACGTAGGAGGTCTTCTCGGTGTGGAAGCAGAAGGCGCACTCTTTGTTGCATTTTCGCGTGAAGAAGTAGTTGACAGAGACCGGCTTGACGCCATTGTCGTCGCGATGCTTCCGGTAGATAGAGTAAGCTCCCATGCCGATGGCAACGGCACCTAAGACCGCTGCCACTAGGGTCCAGCTCCAGGGAATGAGATCTATCAGCATGGTTGATGATGTCCCGACCTGCTGTCCTTTCGTCCTGAAAGGTTGGGGGTCAAAGAGACGAGATGGATGGTTTTTCTAAGCTGGGGGAGTCCGGTGCCTTATAGCCGTGGGCCATACCCACGGGCCACCGCAGCAAACGGGAATGCAGAATGAGTCCTCAACAAACACCAAAGAAAACACAGAAACGGTTCTGGTTGCCTCGATTAGTCAAACTCTGTGGTAAACCAAGGAGGTTGCTAGCATAGTTAGCATACAAACCACGCAGATAAGTAATACCATGGGCGGTGGGGCGGCACGATTTTTCTGCCCGAAGAAGCGACTAACCCGCCCCCGCCCACGTTGCTAGGAAGGCCCGTTTGAGCAAACGGTCACTGGGGAAACCCTCACCGGATACCTCTGCCTTGTCACTCTCGTACGGCAATCACCAGGTTGGGGATTCTGCCTACAGGACGGATATAGCCAGAGCCCACCTTTCCTACAGCTCTATAGCTGGGGACATTTCACTCTGATCTGTGGTCTTGCATGATCTTTCATCCCGCAGGGGTTATCACGACCAGCTGCCATCACAGAATCTTCCTCCACCTCTTGACTACTTGGGCGCCCTGCAGATCCCTACCATGGTATGCAAGACAGAAAGCAACACCCCGCCAAGCGGCTGCACCATCATCTTCGTCCTCGGCCCCCAGGCAGCGGCAAGGGCACACTCTGCAAGCGCATCACCGAGACGCCCGACCTGTCCAGCCACGGCTTCCGCCACCTCTCAGTCGGGGACTGCCTGCGCGAGCTTGCCGGGCTCGAGGCGCTCTGCGAAGCCCAGAGCTTCGACCACGAGAGAATCCTGGAGAGCGTGACGAAGAACAAGCTGCTTCCCTCCGAGGTGCTCATCCCCGTGCTCGAGCACAAGATCGCCTCGACGACGCCGAGCGGCGATAGCGGTGCTACTGCGTGGCTGATCGATGGGTTTCCGCGCAGCCTTGAGACTGCGTTGACGTTCGAGGAGAAGGTAGGTTGACGTCTTGGGCATCAGCATTGCTGGGATTCCGAAGACTCTGAATGTTACTGATGTATCATCTACTTCAGATCGGCCGGCCGGTGAGGATCGTGACTCTCGAGTGTGCGCGCGAAAATGCGCGCAGTCGGTTCCTGAATCGCGGTAGGGAGAAGGCCGACGATCGCGAACGCTTTGATAGGCGGTTCGATGAGTACGTCGTGAACATGGAGGCCATTCGTGAGCACTACGGAGGCATCACCGATGCGGTGCGTATTCCCCCCTTACGTGCTGCTGCTATTTTTGCCATTCCTGTTCCTGACTGAGTGTACGTAGATTAGCGTGGATGGAACCCGTGAGGAATGCTTCGAAGAGTTCGTGCATTTGTTGACGGCGAAGCCAAAGGACGGCTAGGGAGGTAGGAAGGCGATGGGATGACGGCTCACAACGTTGGAGAGGATCGTTTGTGGTATCGCACGATAATGAGTTAATCAAGCTTCGGCTCAGAAGCACAGCGACTGCGAAATCGGGGAAATTCCGATGGCTTGTTGGATATAAAAGACCAATGCGAGCGATACTTGGCATTGATGGTTACGAGTAGAAAGCGGATCAGATAAGATGCGGATCAGATAAGATGTCTTGGCCGGCATTGGAACCCCGGTCGGCCGCGTGCGGTCTCGGATCAGATAAAGTGGCTCCGCTCATATAAAAAGCTGGTGCTGCTCCAAGTACCACCTGTCTGTGTTTTTATCCCCGTGCCGAAGATCCGGAAAGCTCAACAACTTGGAAGACATCCTCAGCGAAGCCAATCTGCGCCCACAACAATCTTCAGCAGAACGGACCGTTGTGCAGCGACTTCTCCTCAGACCACTCGGAATCATCGTCCTGTTGGGGTTTCGCGCAGGTTGCATCCACAGCCAACATGCCTTTCGCCGTGCTTCCAGCGCAAATCTGCGACGTCGAGCCCGTCTATGACGTCTATTTCGCGGCATTCAAGAACGAGCCAATCATAGAATTCCTGTTCCCGGGCGGAGGGGATCGCAAGGCCCATACGGCAGGGACGGTCCAATGGTGGAACCATGATCGGAACGGATATACCGTCAAGTGCGTCGATACCGACACGGGCAAGATCGTGGGCATGGCAAGCTGGGACATCTTCTGGAGGCCGGGAGAGGAGGGTGCCTGGCCCAAACCCGATGGCGCGGTTTGGCTGGAGGGCGAGCAGAGGACGAAGGCAGAGGGTGTCTTGGTCCCGCTCTGGGAGATGCACGAGAAGCTGTTCGGCAAAAACAGACATGTTTGTGAGTGGACATTGAGACATGGATGATCAAGAACAGGAAATGAAGCTGATTCGCGTAGATCTTCCCACAATGGCAGTTGACCCGGACTGTCAACGCCGAGGCGCAGGTCGCTTACTCATGCAATGGGGTATCGACATAGCTGAGAAACTCGGGCTTGCGATATATCTGGAGTCAACGGAGGCCGGACTACCGCTCTACAGCCGTATGGGTTTCGAGAGACTGACCTATGTCCACATGATTCACAAGGCGGAAGTTGCTGGGACGGAGGAGGATGTCGAGGTTCCATTGATGGTGAAGATGCCGAGCAAAGCGAAAGGGATGGCTTTCGAGGACTGGGCCAAGAGAGGCTACCCCTAAGACTATACTTCGTAGCAGTACCTGGAAGATCGCAAGTAAGAATCGAAACCTAGAACTGTGTCAGCACCTGTATCAGCGATTCGAAGATCAGTGTAACTTATCCCTCGAAAAGGGGGCTGCCACCGCCTACGAGAGACGAGGACAGCCTAGGACTACCTCCCACCAAGTCTGTCCTTGAAACCAAAACCCAAAGATTGCCAGCAAGGCTGCTCGGGCTCGGTGCCGCTCACTCACAGTTCTCCAAAACCGGATAAGCACTAAGCTTTGACTCCAACTCGAGATGGGTCCCGGTTTTATTCTCCTGCGAGGGGCGACACCTCACCCAGTGCCCATCAACGCCGCAGCACCATACGTCAGCACCCAAACAGATAAGGTCCGTCTTCGACGAGTCTGTCATTGAAATCGGCGAGTCGCAGCATGACGATACCAATGGTCCCACCCACGAGAAGCTCTTTCTGTTGAACGCACTGCCAACGAGGACTAGTTTTTGAATCGCTTCCATCGAGCTTGTAAAAGCAGCAAGGAAGGCATTTACGTACGGCCAAAAGACGTCCATAAAAGCCGCACTGTCGTCTCTTTCTCAGCCCATTTCTGGTAGAGTCGAGGAAGTTCGTCAACTGCCGCAAGAGCAGCCGACAAGAGGGTTGGCGTCCTCCATCACCGTGGGGCGGAACCCACGAGAGGAAGTTAATGCGCCTGGTCGGATCTCACATGTGACACATCGGTGGCTGTTGCCGTGATGTGGTGCTGGGAGCTGGTAGAGCTCAGGGGTAGGTTGGATGTTTTCATGACAACTCTGGTAAAGTGCCAGGTTTTACACCGACAACTGCAAAAGGTTGGATGTGACAAGAGAATGGAGGGTGCCGAGGGCACATGACGTGGCTGTACACGTGTGTATCAAAAGACTAGGCAATTCTGTTGAAGCCGAAATGATCCTCGCTCACCCGACCCAGCCAAGGGATACGATTACGGGTGGTTCCTGCGACATCGATCATCGGTGAGAATATTGAACTGCCAGTGCTTTGACGGTATGAAGCCAACGTCACGCCCTACCCGGTTATCCTCAGACGCACGGATAAGACTCAAAGGCCAGTATCATGTCCAGTCGAAAGCAGTAAGTTGCACCGAACGCATCTCCCAGCCACCGAGCGGTACGAAGCATCACCGGCACTACCCATAATGACCAGAGTACGAGTTCCAGCGGCACAAAGCTGACGAGCGACTCCAGACCAGGAGTTCTTCCCCAAAAGACTCATAGCAGAGGCCCTCGCGCGCCAAAGGCGACTGGAGTGTCCAATCACCGCCCTTCCACCGCCAGAAGACCGCTCGACCACCCCTGCTTTTCAGCAAGAGCGGCGTCGCGGCACAACCTTAGGTCTATAAGGCGGATCTAGACGACTATAAACACAAGACTTTCGCACCAAATGAATGCTTAGGGTTAAGTTCCGAGACGCCATTCCCTGCAGCCGGTCCACAGCCAGTCCAGCTGGCCCACCCTCGCACGACGGACCACACGCGGCAGGCACATCAGGTCCCATTGACCCCGAGCTGCGACGTGTCGTGCGGGTTGCAAAGACCGGCTGAGGGGTCAGAAGACATTCCTTGCGGAAAACGGGAATCGGAGAACTGTGGGGGAGGCGACGTGCGAGAGATGTAGGTTGCTCGGTCCGGATCCTGCCAGAGGGAGGACGAGCGAAAGAGCTTCAACTTGATTGGGGTGGCAATGGTATCGAACATGACGAAACTCGTATCTCGATTGGGCATCGACGACAGACTCATCTCCGGTACCGAATCAGGATGCTGGCGATAATTGGTGTTGCAGTGTGTTGGTAGTACTGCGGAGGGAGTGAAGTAAATAAATCCAGCTGAGACGCGTAAATAATGCAGAGCGCGTCAAGCAGCTGGCGGAAGCTCTGCCAACTGCCAGAGCCTGTCACTGCGAGACCATGAGCACGGACCAACGTGGGTAGTGGCCGCATTTCATTACTCATCTTCGACCATTCCAATTCAAACCTTTGTCAGCCACACCATCCCGTCAAGGTTAGGGTGCGTTCAACAGCCCATATCCGCCAACGCGAGATTTTCTTGGCGTACCCCTTAGCGTATGCGCGCACCAGATATCCACCAGGTCAGAGATTCAGGTCTTATTATAGCTTGGAGGTTTTATCCTTTTAAAGCGATCGACGGCTGTATAATTCGTTATATAAAGTATAAAAAGTCGTATTTATAAACGTAAAATTATATAATAGTAAGATGTACTTTTAATAAGCTAGCCTAGTTAAATTAAAGTTAAACTTTAAATAAGTTGCACCAAATGTGATAGTGGTTCTGGTGTGTGGTTTGACGTGGTCCGTGCGTTACTATAGGATGTATGACAGCAATCAGGTATTGTGTGACAACCAAACAGCCACCTGTCTTGGAAACGGTTGGTCAGGGCGCCAGGCCACCTATTTAGATAGCGAATCGTCCTTTCTGGACCATTGACCCGACATAACAAAGAAATCAACCCGATCCTGATCCATCTCCTGTCTTAACCTCTGTGTGACTTCTCATAAGTTGTTATATATTCGTGATTACTAGTTAGTTAACGTCTTTTCTTTCTTCGTTAACTAACTTATAATTGTCACGAAGCGTAAATAGGATGAGGACATAAAAGTCCTGATTGCACTACCTACGTGTAAGAATCTCTTGGTGGGGAGGGAAAGAAGGATCTGACCCGCCAGCTAATTCTGGTGGGATTAATGATCCTTCCATCCGCCCCACTATTACCTAGCCTAGTACAGTTGTGGCCACACGTCTTGTGCGCCAGGTCATGTGATGCTGCGCACAGGCCACCCTGATGGGTTGACAGACTTCCGGGAGGTCAGACCGTCACAATAATAGTAAATATAAAGCCATATAACTTAATTAATCGGCTGTATACTTTTTAAAGCTTATATTAAACGTTATAACCCCGTTTAAAGATATAAATTTAAATGAATTTAATAAGATTAAAAGTCAAATTTTTATAAACTTATAAACGTAAAAAATCTTAATAAACACGCCTTTATTACGTATAATTGAAGGATTTAAAAAAAAAAGCACTTCATCGTTTATTTTTAAAAGTGAAGTTTTAAAACGAAGTAAAAGAACGAAACGGCACTTAACTTTCTTCTTGCGTTAAGCCTTGCGATCTAATCGGTGCGAAGGCTCTAGATCCCGCTCCGGCGCTAGGCTCTGTATGGCTAGAATGCCTGGCTCCTGGCTGGCTCCCGTCTCCTGGCTGGCTCCCTCGACGCACGGACCAGGCTTAATGCGGAGCACCCCCAAGGCCAGGGCATTCGCGAAAGGAGCTTATCTTACCTCTCCGGGGTGCGCCGCCATTTATATTATCTCTCCGTGGATAACGTACTATTGAGATGCTGGTCTTTCCGTTCACCGAAACACAGTGAATACCAGACTGCGACACAGGCGAACCAAGCTTTTTCGATACCTGCACAGGCGAAATAGAACCACCTGCTCGTCGAAGATGGAGCCTCCAAGAACTGGCAGCAATGGCGACACCCTGGTTTCAGCCATCGAAAAGGCAGCGACCAAGGCGTTCCAGCCTACAGCTGACCCGGTGTCACGATCGGAAGGGCAACATGAATTTGGTGCTCTTATCTCAAGGTAGGCAGATGCGGAGTCGTCCAACATCAACTTTCCTTTCTTTCGTTCTGAACTCTCCGAAGGACAGGTACTTCGGCTCTGATAACTACGTTGAACGTCCTTATGAAGCCGGATCGGGTCCCGGGATGGCTTCGAATCCACCTGATGGATGTCCTCACCCTGCTCCCTCAGCGCCCAGATGGCATCCGGGCCACGCTTGAGTTCGTGTTCTCTGTGCACCCATCGAGCACTTTGAGAGCGTCTGAGGCTGCAACCACTCAAAAACAGGGTGCGAACATCACGATGGAAGCCCTGAAGATGGCCTCGATCCTACTGTCTGTACCACCTGCTTCCGTGAGCCCCGCGGACTGGTTCCCTGGTATTGCGCCACAGCTGTTGCGTCTGTTGGATGGGAACGATGGTGCAGACCTTGTCAAAGTTGCTTCCTATGTGATAGGCTTTGGCATACTAGGAAGGAAACAGTTTGGTGCACCTGGTAAGACCATGAAATACAGCTATCTCCAATCTCTATATATACTGATTACGATCCACCAGGGACACCCGGCTGGAAAGCATTCGCCGAAACCATGCTGGCGGGTATTGACCCATCGTTGTCCACTGAGGCATCTACTACCGAGCCTTTGGTCTTCAGTGCCGGCCCGGATGAGGTGGTTGACCTCCGGAAGCAGGCTGTCCTCGTTAAAGAAGACGACTTGCATGCTGCATTAACACGCCTTGCTGCGCTGCTAAACTCTCATCCCAATCCAGGTTTGACCAAGAGACTACTCGCCCCATTGATGCTACCGTTGTGGGCACTGTCATCGTGGACTTCTAAGGATGAGGGTCTCAAACAACGATACTCTCGTCCCGCTCAAATCCTTCTAGAAATCTTCCTGAAGCTTGCTGGATCTCCTGAGAAATTCCAGGAGCTCTTAGAAAACCTCCTCTTCAACGGTGCTGTCGGTTCTTCCAAGATCCAATGGGCCTATGAACTAGTTGGGGAGTCTGGTCTTCAGGTCAAACGCGTATGGGACAGCACAGATGCAGGCAATGCAGAGCTGGACCTGCCAGCCATCGAGTCCAAGACGGATGCCTTTGTAGACCTTCTGCGCCGGCTAGGTTCTGATTTGGACATATCGACATTATTCTTGGACCTCTTTCAGAGCTCGTTAGCCCCTCAAGGAGACGCAGACAAGATCAAGATCGTCGATGATGATGGCCACGATGCAGACCCAGTAGCGCAGCTGATCAAAGCGCGAGTACTTCAACAGATGATAGAAACCCTACCTGATCGATTGATCTCGGATTCGAAGCACCTACTAGAACTTGTGAGCAAGATACTGGGCGAGTTAAAAGAGTCATCACTTGGTGACGATGCCACCGCTATCGCTCTAAGTCTGCTAAACATAGTCGTCACAACACCAAACTTCCAGAGGTCAGACGCCGATGCGAGTGTCCTGACCTCTATAGAATCGTCTCTCGATAAGATCAGCAAGGCGGAGAACCCCGAAACCTCCCAAACTGCTCATAACCTGTCTCTACTCCTGAAGTATCGAGACGCTATGGATGACCCAGCAGACCGCCCAATTACACCGAGTGCGCGCCAAGTGGAGGATCGCAAGACCTACCAACTGGCCATATCCTACATCACACAAGCAGACTCGCCGCCGCCTGTGCGCTCCGAGGGCCTCAACCTCCTCGCAACGCTCATCAAGGCCAACAGCGCCATCCTCGACATTCCGGCCACGCTGGTCCTGCTCTCATCCCTCCTCAACGAGGACGACGACTACATCAACCTGCGCGTCATGCAGACCCTGACACTCATGGCCACCAGACACCCCAAATCCACAACCAAAGAGATCCTCGAGCACTACGTCGATGCCGACGAGCACGAAAAGACGGACACGCGCCTCCGCTTCGGCGAGGCCCTCCTGCAAGTAATCCAGCGCCTCGGCGAGACCTTCGCCGGCAAAACCGCCACCCAAGTCGGCGAAGCCCTCCTCGCCGTCGCCAGCCGACGCGGCCACCGGCCCAAGACCGAAGTCAAGCAGGAGCGCGCCGCGCGCCTCGAAGCACACAAACACAACGCCGCCAAAGCAGCCTGGGACGACGCCCTGCCCGACCTAAGCGAGGATCTCGCGGACGAGCTCCCCAACGAGCACGACCGCGCGCGCAACGAGATCCTGGCGCAGATCGTCAGCGGCTGGGAGAGCAAGCGCGGCAGCGTGGACGTGCGCGTGCGCGCCTCGGCGCTCTCCCTCTTCGCCGCCGGCATCGACACCAACGTGGCCGGCTACGGCGCCACGCTCGTCGAGGGCGCCGTGGACCTGTGCGTCGGGATCCTGACGCTAGAAACGGGGCCCGAGACGGCCATCCTGCGGCGCGCTGCTATACTACTAATCCTCGCGTTCGTGCGCGCGCTCGCGTCGGCGCGGGAGCAGGGGCGAAGCCTGGGGTTTGGGTTGCTGGAGGGGAGTCGCGTCGAGATTGTTAGGGTGCTGGAGTACGTGGCGCAGACGGACGGCGATGGGCTGGTGCAGGAGCATGCGCGGGATGTGGTCGAGAGTCTGGAGAATTGGCGGTTGATGGAGGTCTTGCCGACGGCGGCGGAGCGTGGTGGTCTGGGTGAGGGACCTGCGTTGACGAGGCTCGCGGGCTTGGATATTGGGATCGGTAGCAGGCCGAGCCTGCCGGCGTTGGCGACACCTGGGCAGGAACAAGCTCGGCCTAGGATTGAGGAGATTGAATAGGAAAATCTGACAGGCATCTTAACTGTGGACAGTCGCAGCGCGTACATAACCTAGAAAGACATCTTGGGTATATTGCTATCTCGCGGGTGGTTACAGCATGCGTGGCTGTGCTATCGACTCTATCGTCCACAGCCAAGTACGCTTCGAAAATTCATGCCTAAGGTGGCCAGGGCCTGGGGCATTCGCTCTATGACCACCTCAATAGGATACATTGTACATCTATCCGTCTATTCGCTCTCAAGCTCCTTCGGCCATAGCAGCTGTCTCTTCCAGAGACATTTGACCATAGTGATAAAGACGAGGGTCCAGACAATAATCAACGCTGCAGCCATAACGCAGCCGAATATCTTAAGCCCATCGCTGTTCAAGGCCTGTGCCAGTGCTTCGGTAGCAGTGATTAAAGCTGTGTTCGGGAATACGAACGACCACCAAGTCATCTGAAAGGGCATCTTGTGCTTGACTCCGCAAGGCCGGACGTACTTCCAGAGAGACCCGACCGATACCAGGAAGAACCATATGCTCAGTCCCCAAAGCCAAAGCCCGATGAGGATGGAGAGTACCTGCAGGATGAATATGAAGTGTGGTTCACCCTGAAGATTGGCGGGGAGGATGATGTCCGCTTGTTGGCCGAGGGCAACTTGACAGATATTAGTTACGATCGACCAAGGATCAATGGCCGTCTTGCGAATGAGAAGCTGGAAACAGAGCGGCAATGCTGGTCAAAGAAACATCCGGATGACATACCAAATCCAGCTACAGTAAACGCAGGAGGTCCAATAGATATGAACTTTTCGGCATCAACAAGAAGGCTCGCTGGATTAGTGAAGAACGTATACTTACCACACCAGGACGTTGCATGTCGCGAGGCAGCTTCTGGGTCATCAGACGGTAGATAAATGCAGCGCATATCATGAAGCTGATAAGAAACCCTGTGCCTTGCACAGTGACAGCACATACCGCAATCGCCAGTCTGTTGATTTCCGGATCACCCGACCCTACTCGATCGGCCGCGATGAGGTTGGTCGCGAAAGGTGCAGTCAACAGTAACGGGTATGCCGGGAACACCCACACCGGAGTCATAGTGTGGATTGGAAAGACTCTACAGCCCCATTAGATTGTGCGTCTCGAACCGAAGTTGAAGCTGAATCTACTCACTGGGTTGACCACAAGATCAGATACATCCCTGCGCTCGCTGAAACGCTGACGATGACGTAGACCCAGAATAACCACTCCATAACATGTTGAAGCCATGGGCCAGTGTAAGGTATGCCGTATTCACATATGTTGATCATGATGGTAGCGACCCTAGCCCGATATCAGAAGGGTGCTTGATCAAGGGACGATTGAGGTAAGAATTACGATACTACCTATTCAAGGTCAGCATGTGTGTACGGGATACTGCTCGCGAATAAGACTTACCACAGCTGGGATGAAGAGGGACTCCATCTGGTCCAAAAAGGAGTGCATGAAACTTCCGGGGACCATCGCGAATCTCATCGCAATCAAGATACAGCTCATAACGAAGAGGACCAAGTTGAGTATGAAAAACACAAGACCGATATACCAGAGCCATTCGGCTTTGTAAACATTTGATACTAGGGTCAGGTTAGGATCGTCAGGACGAGTCACACTGGCGATGGTCGCTCACTAGTATACAGGACGTTGGCAATCCCACCAGTTGCCTAGGTAAATGACGGGAGTGAATAACTGAGCATGGTGGTGTGATCGCCCTCGGTGCCCCTCTTAGCTTACCATTGTCTGGCAACCAGTTAGCAGAGTGGCTCAAGCCGTGAGACGGGTTGGCCTCAGCATACCATCGTAAACCAGGTCCATTGAAAACAACAGATACGATCTCGAAGTCCAATCTTGCTGCCGCGCTTTTCCTTTCTCGCGTTGGAGATCATTCGAGCCAGGCTCTCAGCGTTTGGCTGGTTTGGGCGGGTCACAGAGGCGTCTTGAAATGGGTTTGAAGGGTTCTCCTCGTGGTCCTGACTGTGACCCTTGACGCGGTTGTTTGGTGATTGTGTCCTTCGAGTGAAGAAGTCCTCCCTCGGGGTCATATAGCCATTTTCGGCGACGTCCAGGTCGACCTGGGAGCTCACAGCTCTGGGCATTTCAACATGCAAAAGTCGTCAGGGGTCCTCGCAAAGAGGCGAGAAGCGATGTAGATGCCGATGAGAAACACAGGTTCCACTTGTGCCAGTGCTGAGTGGAAGTTGACCAGAGTTGTCAGGAACACGACGAGATGCAATACGACGGATCCTACGTTGGTGATAGACATAGTCCCAGACGTGACGATTTGAAGTGGCAGAAGAAGTGCGGGATAATTCAGAGAAGAAGCCGGGTCGCCGGCTCCGCGCAGGGGATGGTAGCGTAGCGTAGCTGTCGATGGAGGCCGACGTGAGGACTGTAGCCCTGCCGTTTGCCGAGAGTCACGCGACTTATCAGTGCGGCCCGGATCTTGCTCAACTCTACGTGGAGTTGAACAGCAAGGACAGAAGATCGACGTCGTACTCGGATTCCCTGATGCAACCAAGACCTGGGACAGCAGCATGTGAACGAAGGTGGACGCAGTTGGAGATGAAGGCTGACCAGTGAACAGCTTCAACGTTTGTGATGACTTACAGGTTGCAGTCGATGCGATGCAGCATCCAAAGGGTCGTGGTTGCTGTTGGCGGTCCAATGATCAGAGGTCAGCACGGGTGCTGGTGGACATCCGACGCTTATGACGTACCCCTATAGGCGGCTTCAGGCGGGTGCGTGCTGTAAAGGCTCCCACGACACCGCCCAAGGGCAGCGTTACAGTGGACTGTCACCAATCCAATGGCCCGGGGAAGGCGGGCTCGGTGGTCGTCGTGGATATCAAGAGCTTAGGTACCAATCCAGTCCCAGGCGTGCCAGGTTGCTGGGAAAGAGGACATGGAAGCCACATGAGCCACACCTACGCCATTGGATTCAACTTTCTTGTGATGTGGGATTATTCCCGATGCCCGCTCACGCTCCTAACAAGCCACTTCCTAACGACACCTTCGTTGGCCAGATCAAATACCGCCGGTCCTACTGGTCCTACCCAGTATGCGCGACAAAACTACATTACCCCAGTTTCCTTTTCATCACTCTCGTGTACCAGTATACGGCGAAGTCAATTGACACATTATCCCTTTACCAGCTCTGCTCCGTGTTGCCAGTTGATCTCGTGTCGTGTTATCCTGCGAGTCGGGCCAACATCTATAATACGCTCAACACTGCTTTAGCCAACCAGACACTCGACAATAAGTCTCACGATTGACTGCATTCTGCTCCTGCAGCCTGCAACTGATGGGTAGTCTCGTCTTCCGTGCAACTCTACACAGCTAGCCCTCCGCCCTGGGGTGCTGGGGTTGCCTCTCGTACGATGAGCTTGGGTCGAGGCCCGCCGAAAAGGTGGTCTCTGAGGGACACATACAGTCGGTTGCAACATACGGACCACACTCTGGGAGCCCATCCTAACTGACCAAATCGTCTCGTAGACTTTATCGCCGCCTTCTGCGAACCCCAGATAACTACCAGAAGCCCAGGCCACCCACGAGCTCGAGCCTTTCGGTCTCTTTCTGCGTCCAGACAGGCGACGCAAGACACGAAAACCACGACCGCAACGCATACCGCCGAGTGCCAACCCGGCCATGTTCATCAGTCTGCGCCACACACAGTCCGGCGTGGCTTCCACACATACTTCGTCACACATCTCCCGTCGTCTTCGCTGCATCCAGACTCGCGCATGGCCGCTGGCCCTCACCACAAGCTACCGAGATCAGCCGCCGCACCCCATAGCGAAGTATCAGGGGCGGCGCCAGTCACTCCACCGCACTTGCCCTTGAATCGGGATCTGACGGTGGTCCGTATACCACTGCGGAGCGCGAAGCACCACTTCGGGGTGGCAGAGTCCCGTGGCTCTCGCCCGTACAACGAGGATGCCAATCAGGCCGGTACGGTCGACATGCCTGCGTTCGCCAAGCGTGCGCCTATTAGTCTCGTGAGAAGTGCCATGAAGAAAAGTGGCGAGGGCACATCGGCGGACAGCGCATATGGTGACCCCCAGATCTTCTATTTCGGGGTCTTTGATGGCCACGGCGGTAATCAATGCAGCGAATTTCTGCGAGAAGAGCTTCACGGTTACATCGAAGAAGCCGCGGAAGAATTTGGGTTAAAGAGCAGTCTTCGAGCTATGAGGAAGAGTGATAAGATCAAGCTACTCACAGCAAGTACTGCGCCAACGCCAATTCTGAGCGATGCCGAGGCTGGGGGGCGAAAGAAGCTCGACCAACTCGACATCAAGGGTTCCAAGGAAGTGGAGTCCATAGCTGAGATCCCGGAAACGAACGAGCATGGCGCCATCATAGATCTTGATAATGCTGATGCTATCCCCGGGGATGATCCTGTGCCAGCCAAGGTCTGCCACTCCAAGGCTTTGAAGCTGCAAAAGGACCTCGTGGACGAGTACAAGAGGACCATAGGAGGATACTATCGACGCTTTAGTCCACCATACTTTCACCTGAGACTGGACGCAAATGCCCCCGCGCCACCGATCAGCATCGAATCTGTTTTGACCTACGCATTTCTTCGTGCAGATCTTGACTTTGTCTCCGCTCAGGCCAGGAAACCAGATCCGGATGATCCTTATGTGTCAGATGCCGCGCTCAACTTTGACGAGGTGCTGGGAAAGCCGCATCACCGGCCACCCTCCGGCCATGGCATAGGTGGACGAACCCGGTTTAAGGGAGGTTCCACGGCCTCGGTAGCGCTGATTTCCACACCAACACCTGCGCCCTTTTGGCATCCAGCAGCTACTTCCACCTTGCTGGTTGGGCATGTTGGCGATACGCGAATCCTCCTTTGTGAGACTGCCACGGGTCTTGCCAAGCCACTGACCTCAGATCATCACCCAAGCTCCCCCGTGGAATCCCATCGGCTTCGACGATTCGCGGCGTCCTTTGTGGCGGATTCATTCGGCGAGGAGCGGATCCAAGGTCTCGCCAACTCCCGTGCCTTTGGTGACATGGGTTCCAAGCGATTGGGGGTCTCGGCCGAGCCTGAGATCACCCGCACCGAGCTAGGGCCCGCGCAGTACAGCTTCCTGGTGCTTATGTCGGACGGAGTGTCTGGCACACTGAGCGACCAGGAGATTGTCGATGTGGTCAAGGAGGCCAAGACACCAGAGCAGGGTTCCAAGGATGTCGTGGCTTACTCCACCGAAGTCAGCAGCGAGGGTGACAACGCGACGTGTCTCGTCGTTCGGCTGGGCGGGTGGGAGCGCAGGAGCGAGGGTGGCCTCGGGAGTATGGGTACCAAAGAGATCAGGGACTTTCGAAGGAATGAGGCGCTAGACCCTCGACGAGGACGTAGGTAGAGGCAAAAACAACATGGTGGAATAGGTGCGGTTTCTATGGAGATGGTTGGATAGGATTGCGTTCTGCATACGCAAGCGAAATGGTTGCTGACGATGCCTTGTCTGTCAAGTCAGGCTAGTAGGTGAATGAGACAATGCATTATCCCACTGCACATGAATCCAGCCCTCATAGTGACCAGCGAGAAAAGGGGCAAATTGAGCATTAGAAGCTTGGGTCCACAAGGAGGTATCTAAGAAGCTCTACCAACATGAGGCAACCATTCAACAAATCACCAGGATACGTACACCGTGAATGGTTTGTTTGGTTTTCCGTCTATCGACTATGCCTTTGTACACGCCTTTCCTCGTCCTAAATCACAGGTACTACTCGTATACCGTATGCTTCATTACGATGATGTAAGCGGCAAATATAGCGGCGCGTTTGTATTGGAAGAAGCGTCTAGTCCCAACATGCTGCCCTATGCATTGAATTGTGGTACGTAAATAGGGTGGTGATGAGCAAGATTTGGAACATAAACGGCATGCCAAATCTCGAGAGTCAACCGCTGCTTATGCCTAGGTTGCTTATGAAAATGCTATACACACAGACCAAAGCGGGGTCAACTAGTCCATGTCCCCTTCCCCAACGCCTGGCCTCCTTTCGGCTATGACCCCCTTCCTCTATTCCGCCGCCCCGTCGTCGTCCTTGTTCCTCTGACAGTGGGCGAGCACATGGCAAACCACTATTCCCTTATGTGGCCCATCTTATGGAAATAAAGACACAGATGGCTAACGTTACCGCGAGACGCCCAGCGAGTCCAGGCGGTGGCACGAGCTCATCTCAAAGTCGCGGGCGATCTTCATCTTGTCGGGGTCCTGGAAGAACCAGCCGGAGGCCTGGTCGACGAGGTACTGCTTGGTGCGCATCTCGGTGTCGCACTGCCGCCTTAGCAGGCGCACGAGCCCGACCTCAGCCTCCTTGTCCAGCTGCTTGAACTTGTAGTCGGACCAGCCGGCCACCTCGTGCGGGTCCACGTAGTAGTCGACGTGGAGCCTGGGCGTCGTGCGGTGGTGCGTCAGCGGGGGCAGCGGCCCGTCGAAGGCCATGTTCGGGACCGCCGGCTGCGACTCGCCGCCCGAGAAGAGCGATGTGAGAAGCGGGAAGAGGAAGAGGAAGAGGATGGGCAGGAGCCCGACGAGCGTATCCCAGCCTGTCTGTGGTTGTTGCGGATCGCGTGGCCTTCTTCTGGGCTGGCCGCCGCCGAACTGGTGCACGCGGAAGTTCCTGTTGCCACCGACGTTGAAGACGAACTGCGGTCCTGTGTCGAAGGGCCCTGTGATGCAGCTCGTTAGCTTCCATAGCGTATGTCACCACCTATTTCATGCACCAGTGTACAGGAAATAGGGGTAGATCAGCCGAGGTCTACTCACCACCACCACGAAAAGGACCACCAAACGCCCCTCCAAAGAAGCGCTGGAACATCTCCTCAGGGCTGATCTCATCCTCCCACATGCCACCTCCCCCTCCCCCGGCCCCCGGGCCACCACCACTCGCCGCCCGTCCGCCACCAAAGCCACTAAACGGATTCGCACCGGCCTGCGCGCGCTGGCTCTCGAACCTCGAGTCCGGATCCGTGCCGAACCTGTCAAACTTCTCCCTCTTCTCCTTATTACCCAGCACAGAAAAGGCGCGCGACACCATCTTGAAGGCCTCGGCGGCGTGCTCGTGGCCGTTCTTGTCCGGGTGCGTCAGCAGCGACTGCTTGTGGTAGGCCTTCTTGATGGCGCCGTCGCTGCACTTCGTTTCCAGCTCCAGGATCTCGTAGAAGGCCGTCGCGTTGCACTGCCGGATCCGCAGCACCGCCGCCTTCTGGTCTGGTGTGTACTTTCGGTCCTGGTTCCCCTGGTTGTGCTCTCGTGCTCGCGCGGTCCCGCCGCTGCCGGCGTCGGCGCCTGATGACGTTGCGCTGGGCATGGCGTTGGCGAGCGCGGGGGAATGCGCTCTGTGTCCCTGCGTGCGAAATTTGACGTTGAGGGTTTAGGAGTAGACCCGTAGTCCTTCCTGATGTGGAGTGGGCGAGATTATGGTTTCCTTGGCATGGGCGTCGTGATAGGAGGGTGGCTGTACTGTCGATGTAGTCGGCTGCAATCTACTGTCGTTGTGTAAAGCAGGTGGATGGATAAGGACGGTATGAAACGGGCGTCGCGGTATTTACAAAGAGACAGTAGGTCTGCCAACAACCGAAGTCACAAGGAACAGAGAGATGGCATGCGATGCAGGTGTTGAGAAGCGAGGTGGTTGATTAGATAGACAGGTGAGGCTGAGAATAGGTTGAATGGTGCTCCCGCGTGGTGTTTTCGCCGATCCCATTATCAATGTAATCGACGTCCACGTTGAAAGGTGGCTTCAGTCGGCGGTTGCCGTTGTGTACTGTGGCTGGTGAGCCGTAACGCTCAGGCCACACCCGCAGGGACCCGTTATCTGCAGCACGAACAACCCCACCACGGGCCATGGTGATGTGGGGACGGGAGCTCTGGCAACTGACCAGGGGCTGTAGTGCAATGCTGCAGGGGAGCTCCATCCCTGAGTAAAGCCTCCATCTCAACTTCGAATTCTTCAGACGACGGTAATATCGATACACCCAAACCGCAAACCACAAACCGCTACCACGATTTACCTAGAGACCTTAGCATTGAGAAGCACTCCCATCGAAGCAGCATACTGCGCAGCAACCTCAAATCACAACTCCAGACCTGATATCTCTCTTGCAACTGTCCTGCGCCAACAACAACGTCATTGCCAGGCTCGAGCCTCACGTCGAATTTACCTCTCCTCCATCCGCGCCAAACGAGCTCCCCTTCCTAAACCACGACAAAGATGGCAACACAAGAACCCTCTAGATCTATGCTATCAAACCTTAGCGCATGGGGCAGTACGTCCCCCTCCTCCCCCTCCAGACCCAACACCAACAACTAACCACCCACTCCCCAGACTCCTCCATGGCACCCACGGGCCTCGCAACCCTAATAACAGCCCTCCACTTCCGCCCCCTACAAATCCGCCCGTTACTCTTCGCGCCCGTCCTGCTATTCAGCTCCTACGCCAACCTGCAGGGCTTCAAGAAGGACAGCGCGGGCATCACGGCCGCCGCGAGCGGGACGTACGCGCTGCTGGCGTTCCGGCGGCGGGCCGGCGGGCTGGTGGCGAAGTTCATGAGCGTGCGCGGCGCAGTGAGGGGGGCGGCTGTGGGGGTTGGGTTGATGAACTGTGTTGCGGGTGGCTGGGTGTATGCGATGGGCGATCGGGAGAGGGAGAGGGCTGAGCGGAGGGATAATCCTAGATGGGGGTGAGGGAGAGCTGGGCCTGCGTTGGTGGGATAGGCGATGTGCTGAGAACGGGAGTGGGAGGTGGTATGCGTCTTGTGCTGGGGAGGTTGGACCTTGTACGATGGTGTATCAATACGTGTTCGGATACGATGTTCCCTTCAGCAGTACATACGAGACAGCATGGTGCAATGCATACACATATCCGGCGAGACCGGTCACGACCTTTGCCGCACACCTACTCGCCTTCAGTCGTATCAAGTGAAAGTTAGCACCAACCCTCGGTCACAGAACAGCAGCCGCTCTTTGCAACCACCACCCTTAAGTCTCCATCCAGCATGTCTCTATCCGTTCTTGGAAATTGATGCTATTCACCCTAATGGAATAAGCACTCTGGAATAAGCATCCATGATGGCTTGCCAAATCCAAGCTGTTCATTCCATGGTGCTTATCCCATTCATACCTTATTAAACATACTTCTCGCCTGCTGAACATAGTGGTGTACGGAGACTTTCGAGGGTTCGGTGTACCAATGGTATTTGTTGACCGCAAGCACCGCAATTATTAGTTGGGCCGGTCTAGAATGAAACGGCCACCATCAGACATACTTACACATTGTAGGGAAAAGCTGAAGAGCGCTACGATAGTCAAAGCACATTCAAGCCAGATCAATCAGGCCCGAGACCAGACGTTCATATCTTTGGTCAAGCCAGTGCTGGCTGAGAACCCTGGTTCACCCTGCACATCCTAGCAGATGAGATGTCAAGTGCTCTCTAATCAGAACATGAGGCAAAGGAAATATTTACCGCCAAAGGTGCGATACAAAGTCCACTTAACGCCAGGAGACCCTCAGCACTTGATAGTCTCCGTGTCCTATCCGCCTGAAAAAAAGCCTTGTATCCGTGGGAAAAGGGGTGCGCCACATTGTTGCCGCAAAGATCGCCGTATGGTTGCCACAAAGATTGACAGACCTGATCTCGTTACTGCGCTATATGCTTCTGTCCGAGCCCAGTCTCTGATTCGAAGCCAAAGTCCATATCTCCCCAAGCTCGCAAAAGATCTTATCCTGTGACTTCGTCGTCCAAAAGATCACTCTGGCTCTTCTTGATTCGATTCAGGTTGGTCGTGAGCCTCCTCCGGTCTGTGAGTGCCGACGTCCTTCTGCTACAGGGACGAGGCTTCTCTCGGGCGCCGGGACCAGATTCTCATCTTGCTGAAAGAGTAGATGAAGAGACAGATGGTGAAGAATGCCATTATCGTCAAATAGCCATATCGGCCGATGGTGTGTGTGAAGTTCTTTGGCTTGAGGTTTGGCCTGCATAGTTCGATTAGTATCTGTTCCATGAAGATAGTTTTGTAGGTGAAGGTGTTCCCCCGACCGTGGTTCAATCAAAAGTCCTGTGCAAGCGTGCAGAGCCCGACTTGGGCGATATGGGCCGCAAGACAAATCTGAAAGGAAAAACTTTGCGCTGGAGGAAATACTCACAGGCTCGAGATCTTGAAGTTGGTGAGGTACTTGAGATCGGTCTCTCGAACCTTGGGAGCTGCGAACGTGGTGTACTCTTCTAGTACTCTCTTGGTGTCCCATGAGTTGGTCATGCGGATGACACCAACCACACATCCCGTGCGATGCTTTCCCTGATTGCAGTGGATAAGCATCGGGTAGTTCTCCTTGTCGGTAACCACTTTGATGATTGACTGCATCAGTTCGACTGGGATCTTTTCCTTCTTGGTTCCTCCCATGTCGAAGATCTTGTGCGTGATACCGTTGGCATCCATGAACTGCTGGAAGCCATCTGGCATTTCCTTGCTGACCAAGGTGACAATGGTCTTCAGCTTCAGGCCTTGGATGAAGGAGTAGTGCTCTGCCTCGGGATAACTGCTTCGGTAGAGACCTTGGAGGACAGTGCCGAAATTCAGAGGCGGTTTGGAAGAAGATGTAATATGTCGTTCTATCTGGCCGTTGCCATCGGCCTTTTGAGCTGCTTCATACTGTGCCTCGACATTGTCCATGGTCTGTAGATGCATCGCACCCTCGGTAGAGGCCTTATCCCCAGAGTGGCCTTGGCCGTTTTGCGAGAACTTGCCGTCCATGGTGTGTGAGTGCAAGGCGACCGAAAGAGATGAGATTTGAGTGGTGAAGGACTGCATGCGAGCAAGGTGAATGCAGCTTGCCAACCAAGTTACCGGTCTTTGCCGCGTGGTTGTCGCGTCTGGTGAGCAGCTGCTGGTGAGATGACAGGGAATTTGAAACGAGTAGCGCAGAGAGGAGAGCGTAGCTAGTAGTTATGGCGCGAGGCAGAGGAAGAGACTGAGTGTTGGAAGGGTGCAGGTGTGTACTGGTAGGCAGCTTGAGAGTATCAGGCGAGTGGTCGACGTCGTGGTGGTTGCGGCGCGGGTGCTTGATCAGAGCAGGTCAAGCGAGCAGTGCATATTGGCAAGAGTTCTGAATTCCATCTTGTCGGGTGGGCGGGTGGTTGGATTTTTTCGCGGCAGAGGATGCAACGGAGAAAGGAGTGAGCAGTTATTCTGACGATCAAGAATTGTGGCGTGCTGTCAAGAGGTGAATGGGTGAACCGGAGAAAGATTTTGATGCCAATGTGGTACATGGAGGGCAGCGCGAGAGTTGAAAGTCCAAGGTGCATGTGGGAGAGCTGGAGCCAAACCGTCCCATGGACCGCCAACCTCTAGTGGTCTTCTTAGTGAGCCTGGGGGCGCGGACTATATCCGCACTGTATTCGTAGTGGCGTAGATAGCATTGTGGCGTATGCTGTTCGCTGAGGAAGCCCCTGAGCAGATTGGTAAGCCAGGTGGCTGTTGATGGCGCAACCACCAGAACGCACTGTGTGCCCTTCACGTCACACACAATGGCAGCAGTGATGGAACCTTGGAATGTGGTGAGCTCGTTTGAAAGCCCTGCTTTCTCCTTTACGCGGAAACTCTAAATGTTCGTCATTCTGCTCATTGACCCTGAACCTACATGAACTGCCTCGTGTATGTCACTGTCGCAAGATTAACCTTCAATATTCATCGGTCCCGCCCGTCTTAGCAAAGAACATTATATTTCTCGAATTGGAAGACGCACACTGGAATAAACATTGAAAATACTGTATCAAACTAAACCTCCTTATTTCTATATGCTTATTCCAGTATCTCAAAATTTCCATTCCGGCTGGCAATATGGAATCCTACCTAGGCTGAGAGTACCAAGTATGTAAGTGAGGTCTTGTGGTACCTACTAAGTACCTTGGGTGTTGTGTTGGCGATGGAAAACAGTGGCGCAGAACAAATTTACCTCACATCAAGCCCAGACAGCCAGACTCAAACAGTCTCCACTCCGCGCTTGGTTGTGACTTGTAACTTCAAGTTGCCAGTGGTGTTCTTTGCCTTGTCTCGTCACGTCGCAGTGTGGAAGACCTCCAAGTTCCTGGGGCAGGTTGTGAGAATGACGCACTTCCGCACCAGGCGCCACATTTCGGCGCGGCCACTAACGCGGCTAAGGTGATGAGCTTAACTCCGGGCAGTTCCATTATTATTGATTCTTCTTCGGTCTTCAAATGCCCTCCACGCGAAGCGCCTTCAATAAGCCACATGAGAACAACATGTGTCACCACAATAGCCATTGTTGGCTTTGGCTACCACTGTTACCGAACACGAACAAAGCATGTGTCTATGATGCTTATTCCTTATGCCCTCTTATTCTTGCCAGACGCCTGGCCTGTAGGCATCCCGGCATCTTGTTCATTTGAGAGGTATGTCTCGGGAGGGCTTTGCAAACTTGACCTCGGGCCAACATTCATGAGACGTGGCCCGAGACGTTTACGAACTGTACCGAAGCACACACCAGATCAAGGTTCGGGGCGTCCCAACTCTAACTGCTTCAGACCGACACCACCACCAAGGCTAAGGGGGGCGTGAACCTTCTTGCGTCTTCAGGTTGCTCACCTGCCCAGCGTCTTGAGGACCGAGGTAGATATCACGCATCAGGAAGCCTGATGTGGCCACGTGCGCCGCAGCGGTGCGCTGTCGGTGCGTCACCGCACCTGTCGAGTCTGTCTAGTTTCCTCCCTCACAACAAGCAGAGCCGCGATGTAACCTTCGCGGCTGACTGCAGCCTTCTTCTGCCCGCGCTAGAAAGTTCGAAATGCAGGTCCTGCCTCTTCATGCAGAGGGCTCTGTATTCGTACTACCCACACACCACGAGGCCAAATGCGGCATTTGGCACCAGAAGGACCGCAGGCCCGGGGTCAACCGTCTGAAGTCGCATCTAGATTCCGCCCTCAGCCCTACAGAGGTACTCCGTGCCTTGTATAAGTCGCCGAACTCGGACGGCGGGTGTTTCCAGGAACGGTCTTTACCATGGCGGACCATCAGCGCCTCTTTGCTGCAAGGCTTGCAAGTGGGTGGTCAGACATCTGCTCACTGACCGCTAGATCTGGCCACGATACTCTCTTGAACTTCTCAAGCGCTCTGTTGGCGACCTTGACTCAACACTAATGGAACAACACCGATACTGACGTGTGTCTTCTCAGGCGAGATACGACAGTTCTATTCATGTTCAGACATGTGGTATAGGTAAGAAAGGTGCCTAGTGATACATCCTCGATACATCCTGTTTGTCCCCAAACAGAACGAAAGCAGAAGAAGCCGCCCTCTATGCCATGACTCCGATAACTATGTTACTCCACACGTGTACTGCAAAGGAAACAACCCGCCATATGCACCTGCACCGTCAAGTGACACCAAATCTCATCTCACCCATCTCAGCAGCCCTGCCAAGCTCACGCCCATCTTTTCATGTCCGCCCCTTTCCATTGGGTCACCGTGTCCTTCATCGGTCTTGCCGGTTCCCCCGCAAGAGTCTCCTCCACCATCATCGCAACGTCTTGCGCACAGCCGAAGGACAGACTCCAGCCAGCACCACCGTGGCCGTATGAGTGGATGATTCGGCTACCAGTTCTTCGCAGCTCGCGCTCCACTCTCACGTTGTTGCCTCGGAATGGGCGGAGGCCTTGGGCCAAGGGGTACTCGGGGTCAAATCGAGCGTCTTTCAAGCCTGGCAGGAACTTGTCGCATCGTTCTCGCATCCTGCGGATGATCGGGCTCTCCAACGTGAGATCCAAGTCCCACTCATGCGGCTCGGTTATGCCGCCTATCAGGAGTATGTTGTCGTTTCTGGGTACGAGAAAGACAATCTCGTTCGATGAGTGAGCTGCATCGGCGGTGATAGTCAGAGCCGCTTCCACTTTCGGAAAGTCCTTTCCGTCGTTGATGACTCGAATGAGACCGCCCCTGATGGGGTAGACGCTCTCATCACCCGCGAGAACATGGCCTTGCAGTCCGGTGCAGTTGATGATGACATCGGCACCGAAGCGCGCTCTCAACGAGTCTTCGATATCAACGAGGTCGTCGTGAATCGTCTCCGTGACCAAGTTGGCGCCCTTGCTCTCGACAAGTTCTGTCAGCCAGTGCATGGCCTTGTCGGTGTCGATGACAGGTGCCATCAGCTCATAGGCATCGACAGCACCATAGGACGGGTCGATGCCCCTCTCGTCGATGATGTCAGCACCACGATAGAAGCCCCTGACACCGCTGGCCATGATCTCTGTCATCTTGGAGTGTTGGGCTTTGTCACTGTCCACATCATCGAGGAAGAAGAAGTCTGATGGCATCATGCGCACACCCGACTCCTTGCTCAGCGATGGCAGTGCGGCGATGCCGTCCCATATGTGGTAAGCCGTCATGCACCATCTTTTCGAATGAGCAAGGGAGATGGCGTCCGTGTGCTGCCCGCATACCGCTGGTGGGAACTCCCAGAGTGCACCAGCAATCTGGGACGTCAAGCGAACCTCGTCGCTGACCCACGCACTGCTGACTACGGTGACGTGGTAACCGCGATCCAAGAGGACCCAAGCCCTATAGCAGCAGCTGTCAGTCTGAGTTCTCCATGGACTCTGCGATGGCGACTGGTCCTCCAGAACCAAGTGTGTTTGGGAGGGGGTTTAGGTCGTAGGCGGTATCGACTTACGATATGAGACCGGTGACGCCGCCTCCCACGATCAAGACATGAGGAGACCTGCTAGATGGTTGCTGGAGTGGCTGGCCAAGTGGCGTGATGTCTCTCCATAGTGTAAGTGGCATCTTTCTTGTATCGAGGTTTCTTTCTGTTGCTGGGGTAGATCGTATGATAGGTTTTGGTGAGTCAGAAGAAGACAGTTCTTTTCTCAAGAGTTGGATGGTTGATGTGATTACACCAAAGGAGGTCTTCTCTGGTTCTTATATCATCGAAGTTGCCCCTACAGGATGCCCTCCTCCGCCTCGACTGTCGCTTCCAAGAATAGCAGCAGACCAGCAGTCCTTCTGATGACGAAGCTTTCAGGACATGGGATATCTCACCCGCAGGCGAGGAAGGAGTTGATGATGTCTTCCTGTGGCCTCGGTCAACCCTTGAGGCGGAGTCGAAAGGTGGACTGATCTCCATGCGGTAAGCACCGCCGAACCACAACTGCACTTGCTTACCGGAGACTGATCTCGGTTCTAAAACAGGAGTGCAGTAATGCACCATGGTGACTCTCGACGTCAGAGACGCTCATTCGGAAAGAAGTGAGGGGCAGCATACTACCACTTTGGGCTACGTGGGAAGCCACGAGCTACCACGTGTGCTGCCCTTTGCTGACGAGGCATTCCTCTTCAGGAAGTTGCTCCAGTCCTCGAATCGGTCTGCCTAGGGATGTTACACACACGATACCCTGGTACTGACGGCGGTGCTGACGAAACGCCTATTCCATCCCGCCAGTCCGTTCGACTGGGTGTGTGTACCCCGGAGCATGGCGGTGACGGGTTCTTGACGATTTGCCCTTTGAGGGCACGTGAGGTGACCCATAGGCACCGACGTAGCATCGAGAGGCTCTATGCACTCCGCCATCCCAAACAGCCTATCACGACCTCTCCTGTTCGGTCACTCGGTACATGTGACTGATCTTACGACGCCCTATTTACGACATCCGTTCCAGCGGACGCAAACTCAGCCTCATCTGTTCTCCGTGGTGAGAAGTGCCACCTTAAGGTGTATATGCCATGACATCAACTTATATCTCTTCGGGTTATCAACAACTGTTCCGGGTCCTGATATCCACACTGTTCCAGCCTATAGTTCGTCCAGAGCTTCCTAGTCACCGATGACGAGGTTCTACATGGACGTCCCTGTGCTTCAGAGCGGGTTCACCCCAGCATGCATTACTTGCTCGTATATGCTCGGTGTGAGACAAAATCACAGCATGCTTCGATGTCTCCCGAAAGCACTGGCAGGATCTCGCTGCATCTCGCCTGACAAATATGAGCCAATCGAAGCTGGTTTAGTCTCTGTTAACGTCGGTGGGAGGCCCGAGAGAGGCGGAGCCGCAGCCATCGCAAAGGTCTGACTTCACTCCCGAAAACCGCAAGCAAAATGTATTAATGTGTTCCTTCGACCAGGTGCCGGCCCTCTGCTGATTGTCGGGCCCTTGCTTACGACACTCACGCACGGAACTCGGTGCTCCTGCCGGCTTATGAACCTGTGCTTACTTGGCCATGGATATCACCCCATACTATATCTGGAACATGTCGGCGGCGCCGAGATCTGGTCAGATCTGCTTGGGAGTCACCTACTGACCTGACAGGGTTCCGCGCTGATCAAGTTGATGAGATACAGGCGTATTTTGAACCACCCACCTTGTCATCTGCCAACCGGGGAAGTCTCCCGCGCTCCCCCACGATCTGCTTCAATGAGTTGAAAGAGCGGTATCCCTAACACCGCCATGTTGAACCCTTGCTGTCATACGAGGCACTCTTCCCGCATTGCATGGGTCTTTCTTATTTGTCCAGGTAGTGATCGTTGTCAATAGTCTGCTGTTTTTCTCGCTATGTCTGAGTCAGAACTTATTTCCATCCACGGAGCTGGGTCTAGAAGGCTGACGATGCTCCCGCTGACGCCAGGAACGCTGCCAGCGTCCATACTTAGGACCTTGGTCAGAGGACCATCATCCGGGGGGGGCCTGAATACAACCACTCTCTCTTCTCTAAATGGTCTGGTCCGGTGGCAAATATCCAAACTCAATACCATGCTAATCGGGCGATGTCCCCGCGAGGTCATGAGCGTGCCAAGGGCTTGGCCTTTCAGGCTATTCGACGAGCTTCTTACCAGAAAGAGCCTCAAAACGGTCATGGCACATATTCTCCACAAAGGTCCTAAGGGGGTGTGTGGATCTTTCCCCGTTTCAAGCCGATCAGGTGCCTTCGCGGAGTGGCGGAAGAGCCTCATCCTCAGGTAGGACAGCCGTGTAACACGCCAATCCCCTTCCCTCAATATAAAGGGTATATTGATTCTTCTCCACACCGATCGTATTCTACATGGTGTGTGTGGGCGTGTGTGACGGCGTCGGAACAAGAACCGAGTCGATCCTCATTTGAGTAGACTTACCTGAATAGAATCGACTCCCGTCTTGAATGTCGTTCGAATGTGTTACCGGAAGTCGTATCATCTTTCTTGAAGCCGCATTATGTGACCTTCTTCATCTGTACCCTCCGTACCTGTCACATTCCAAGTCCCTACTGCGAACCCCGATTTGGCACCTTGACCCCAGATCAACCCCATATTCGGGGTGCTTGCAGAATTCCATCAAATGACCATCCGCACCCGAAGAAGCCTGCAGCTCAGCCCTCAATCTCGTTTCCGTTCCTGCGTATCCCGCCAGTCCGCGCACCTGCTCAAGCCTTTCTATGCAGCATGGTACACGTCTCGTACACGTCCTAGATCCTTCTCGTATATGCATACCAGTATTCCCAGCCAGCAGCCGCCAACATGGAAGTCGTCTCTGTCGTACCCGGCTATCAGTGGCATTACCACCAGCCCTCCACCAATGAATCGACGCCCAATCGCCCGGGATTTGGGGGCCATACGTACTGTGAGGGGCTGACCAACACAGAGAGAGAGAGAGCTGCAAGAGCTTTTTGTCCCCATCGGCCCGTCTGTCCAGATCCCCAGCAATGGACTCGTACGAGGGCTTTCCAGCTAGCTGGAGAACATGGGGGCCACGAGGCTAGCGGAATGAGCATGGACCTTTCTTGCAGACTCGTAGGGCTGGATGCATATGTGGGCGTTCTGCGGCGCTGCGGCGACGACCACATGGATCCCCTACTAAGGTACAGTAAGCTACACCGTCCGCGGGGTCCAGCTTCACTCAGTAGGTGAGTTCCCTTACTCAGCGGCGGGCGGACCCAGCAGCTTGTCACCTCGCTTGTAGCTTGGTCAGATCTGCCGTGGGGTCTGTGTACTATATATAACATTTTCTGATTATGTTATGCTACATCGCACCGTTTTGAGACGGGTCAGCGGTGAAGACTGATGAACCCCGCAACGTGGCTTTCATGTGGAAAGGGCTCGCCCTTCTTTCTACATAAATGTAATGCTGTCGACGAGGGGCTTTACGTCACAGAGTTGGACTGAACCGGTAGGTAGGTTCCTGGTGTAAGGTCCTATGACTCCTCGCTGTCTGAGTCACATTCAAGCGTGAGGTCACGACACGTCCCACATCACTACATCGAACACCACGGTACCGGCCAGGCATTGCTGTATTGTTTCGATGACCACTACATCCTTTCGGCTCACCACCTGAGTCAATCGATTTCGACTTGTCTAGTACCCTAGCTCTGGCTGGTCATTCCCTTCAAAGACTGGTCACCGCAGTGAAGCGGAGTCTATCAAAGTCGGCGAATGTGTCTACGACAAGATTAACGACCAGAAGAGAAGTGCAGACTGAGGCCACTCGCATGGGGCCTCAGACCACTGGTCCAATGCCAAACCAGTCCGGGGCGCGATCAAGCACCCATATCTCATTCCCGATCATCTTCGACGTGTACCTTTCACAGCTCGCCCCAATAGCAAATACGGTCCAACAAAAGCCGACCAACCGCCAGAAGAGCGAGTCCTTCAGTCCGAGTCGCTTGCCGAAGTCAATGACATGATCTTCAACCATGATGATTACCGCTTGACCAATGAAAAAGCCAAAGGCAGCGTCGTCCTCGAACGAGCGATGGACAAGCATCGACGCGCCTCCATGAACCAGCGCTGAGATGCCGAACCCGATGAAGAGCTGCAGGTACTTGGAAGCAAAGGAGCCTCTTGGAAGGCGCAGGACGTCGCGGGCTACGTATATTCCCGGTGCCGAACAAACGCGCCGGCAATTCTGGTGCCATACCACTCTATCGCCCGAATCAGCTCCTACTCAAGTCACTTATAGTGCCAGATCGGAAAACTTACGACCACGCATTCCTCACGCTGACCAATCGCTTCAAGTCTCCAAAGGCGCTGGGGCAGTCCCTCGGGTTTGCGAGACCGGTAGCCACGCTGATGATTCCGTACCCTGTGCTCCAGAGCTCGAGAGCGGCGTACGCGAGAACAATATGGAGCCACGCATACGAGAACCTGGACCAGAAGCTCGCGTCGGCGTTGCTGACCGCGGGTCTCAGGTGCGCAATGTCCCTCCAGGTGCCGTGCGGGGAGGCTGCGGCATATGCGTATATGAAGTCCTTGAGGAAGTAGAAGAACACGGCTCGTAGGGTTTTGCGAGCGATGAAGCGGCTTCAGGCGGCTGTATTAGATCGTGGTTGTGGGTGATTGTCGTGGTATTAATCAGACTTACATTCGTGAGTACCCGGCATCGACTTCCTTGGGCACATTCTTGACCTCGCAAGACCAGCCCACGTACCGCGCCGTCGTCGATAATCTCAGACCCCACCACACCCTACCCCAGAACGTCTGTGGCACTGACGCAGCGTTCTTGCCCTTTCCCTGCTCTTTCACTCCTCCCTTCACACCTCCAACCCCCTTCCCCTTCGCCTTGGAACCCGACCCACCGTACTGAATCTTACGCCATGCCTCCTTATCCGGACTCTTGAGTAGCACCCAATCGACATAAATGAACGTGCAACTACACACCACGCAATTCAGCGCGTAGTGGTCTCCCCACGGGCCGCGCCATTGCCGATACAAAGACTGGGCGATGAGAAGGATGTGGACAGGGAGACTGACAGCTACCCTGAGGCCCTGGTGTTGCGGGCCGATGGCGAGAGCGAAGATATTGTTCAGGTAGAGGAGCGGGATTTGCAGATCAATGAATATCGAGGGGAGTTCGAGGGAGGGCGGCATGTTGACGAGATAGAAGGGCGCAGATGGATGCTAACTGACGCTCAGTGAATGAGTGGAAGGAAAGAAAAGGAAAGAAAAGAAAAGAGAGAATGAGTAATAGAAGAGGATGAGTGTGAGTCAGGTCTAGGAGGATACGATTCGTATTCGTACCTACCTACTCAGGATCGCATCGTGAAAGAGTATGAGTGGGAGTCGGGGTTTAGCAAAATACGATTCGTATTCGTACTTGGTACCCGCCCAGACTAATAATATTTGAACGTGGCTAACCTCCGGTTAGCCCAGGTCTTATATTCGCAAAATTCTTAATCGATTCGCGAATTCTGACAGAGGTATGGACAGTTGTGCTGGCATAAGGATCTGTTTGGAAATGAGCTGTAACATGGTTGTGGATCCCAGTTCAGGGGCTAACTGGAAAACACACCTGCAGGCAGCTGCCAGTGCAGCCAGGTACCCCCCGGCACGTGCTGTGATCTAGCCCGAGTTGAGAGGGGGATCTTCTTGGCATTCTCTCGGGGACCTTCTAAGGTTAGTTATGTACCTAGTGACTTCAACGTCCTAGGATGGGCTTCATTGAATTGAGGACAGTTCAGGAGGGAGGAGGCACATGCAACCAATACAATTACACTTTACATAATCAGACTTCAGTCGGTTGAGGCTGAGTCCATTGAGGCCTCATTTGTTGCGTCACCGGGCCACCTGCCAAGCATTCCCGTCCAGAGCTCATTGCCCCTCCTCTTCCAATCAGATTACCCCGCCATCAGCCCTCAGCCATCATCACGGTCAGCCATTTGTGTATTTGACCAGCCAACATCATCACCTACAATCACCCCTACCCGCAGCAATATCTGCATCACATCACCGTGGAAAACTAGCTTGAGGGGCTATCCGACGACGACTCTCTGCTTCGCAATAACCCACAGTCATTTCCACCGCGCGCTCGTCGCTGACAGCTTCGGCATGGCTTTCCCCGCGCTCGGTTTCGGCAGCACGTTGCTGATGCTGGGACTCGTGCTGGTCCTGATGCCCACCAAGGTAGCTGCTTTCGGTGCTGGCAACATTCCCTCCATCGCCCAGGTCGAGGGCACCAACTGGCGCCACGGCGACATCGAGGACATGCTCAAGACCCTCGCCTTCCTGCACGGCAAGAAGTGGTCCACGCTGATGGTCCAGCGCACTTATTTCGGCAACTGGCTCCGCGACTATTCCCAGGCTGTCGATGTTGGCAGTTTAAAGGGCGTCAACGCTGCCACCATCCGCGTCCTGGTCTGGGTCCTGTCCTTCCTCGCCAATGGATATGCCACCGAGGAGTTTGAGGTTACCGAAGAGCGCCTCGGAGTCTACCGTCCCGAGGAGCACATTGACAACCCTCTGGGCTACGCCGACGGCAAGGATGCCAGAACCTTCGATCCGCGGCTCAGAGGGCCTGTCATGCCCGTCGAGACCGAGATTGACCCCAACACTGGCATGAAGAACTACATCGCCAATGAACACGGCAACTGGGCGACTAGCGCAGGCTACCTCCGATTCAGCCTGGGACGCAGCATTCACTTTGGCAGACTCTACACCCACGGCTCCCAGGGCAGTGGCAAGGAGGAGGATCTCTGCGAAGCTTTGAGGTGTCTCGGCCAGTCGCTCCACTGCATGGAGGATTTCAGTGCTCACAGCAATTACTGCGAGCTAGCACTGCGCGAACTTGGCTACCACGGTGTCTTCCCTCATTGCGGAACTGGCTCCGAGATCAACCTCCGCGGCCGCCGCGTATACCCTCTCGTAACGGGCACCTTCGGTGGAGTTGACTTTCTACATTCCGTTTTGGGCGAAGCCAACGACCACTTCACCCAGTCCGAGGTAGACGAGCTAGACATTGCCCTGAAGAACGCGGAGAAGAGTAGCAGCAGCGGCGGTGGTGGTAGTCGAGGATTTGGATTTGGCGGTAGTGGTGGCACAGACTTCATCGGGCTCGTCAGCAAGCTGCCCGGCATTGGAGGCGGCATGGCTTCAGAAGCGGCGGACCTCAAACGCATGGCAGCGGACCAGGAACGACAGAACGAGCAGAGTGGTGCCTACTCTGGCGCACGTGGAAATACTAACTTTGTGCCAGGTATGAGTGAGAATTTTGACCCTGTCAAGGTCTCAAGACAGATCTATCCTATCCTGCAGTTCCGGGACAAAATCGTCAAGTCCATCAACAGAGGCATTGCAAAAATCCCAGGTCTGGAGAGCTTGCTCGAACATATTAGCGAGACGTTGACGGCATTTGTCCTGGGTTTGCTGGCCCCTTTCATTAGGCCAATCATCGACGCCGTCACCAAGGCTCTGAAGGAGGGTTCATCTGAAGTGATCAATTCCAGCGCGAATTCGCAACTGGAACCGTGGAAGAACCCCCACTGCACCGATCCAACGCACTCAATGCTCTCCAAGGATCACTTTACGAATGTCCTTAACTCTTGTGCCGGAAGAGTTGCATCGACCGTTCTCCAATACGCTGTACCGTAGGTCGAAAAGCCTGAGGCCTCTAGATCTCGCGCTAACTACATTCGCAGACGAGTCTTGTATGCTTGGGACAACCCTAGTGTGCCAGTGGATGAGGTGGTTAATGACCTTCTCCGTGCCTTCCATCACCCTGCTATCCGGGACGAGCACGTCGAGATTCAGAAGAGCATGTTCAACACGGTACGCCAGTGGGCTGACGAGTACCCGCGCCGTCATGAGATCAACCATATTCTGGGTTCGGAGTCAGTCAAAAATGGAAAGAACCACCCGACCGCAGGTCAGGGCGACCGCCAAGTGCATTCCCATGGCGGTGGTATCTTTGACGGCGGGATGCTTGAGCAACTGGGTCACGGTAGACCGAAGGGCTCGTTATGGTCACAGTGTGCCACACGGGACATGGACGCCATGGGTGCTGGCTCGGGTGCTCAGCCAGGGTCAAATTATTCGAGCCGCCCGAGCTCATCCCACATACCTCAGCCGCACCAGGGCGGCTACGGATACCATCAGCATCAGCAGCCACCCCAAGGCGGTGATGGGCACCTTGCACCGTATTCTGGCTACGGCGGCCAGCCACCTGCGCAATATGAGGCAGGTAGTCAGGGCGGATATCAACAGTACCCACAACAGGGATACGGCGGATCACCTGCTCCTCAAGGCGAGGGGGCTGGCTACTATGGCTCGGCACAGCAACAACCACAGCAGGGATACCCGGGTCAGGGCCAAGGCTACTACGGAGGTCCGCCGCCCCCTCATCAGCCGCAGTATCAGGGAGGCTACCCGCCGTATGGAGGACAGCAAGGAGGTGGGTATGGAAACCCGCCGTACCCGTCATACTAGTTGCTTACGGCATTGGATTCTGGAGGCGGTGAACGGCGTTGATGGTGAGCTGGGCATTGGGATACTCCAGCTACAGCCGATCTGGATACTGGGCGAGTAGGATATCGCCCTGTCTTGGAGCGGCTGGGCGACTACTGCGAGAATCGCAGCCGAGATATGGTGTTGTGTTGTTTTTAGATGAATTGACTCGTGTAATTTTACACCTGAGAGCCCCCGGTGAGGCATCGTGAAGTTTGTTGGGCTATCTTATGAGTGATTCTCTATTGAGTGGCTCAACCATAGTAGGCATCGTGATACTGATTGATGAGAACTAGGTGAGCGATTGTGCCAAGTGCGGTAAGGCGACACGCAAGTGGGAGTCAAGCCAAGCTGTGTGCGGTAGGTCGATAACAGGATAACACGCGAGAGGTACACACTCCCAAACAATACACTCTCGGGAGTGACACTGAGATAGGGGCTTGTCAACTGAGGGAAGACCTATCCAGTGTCGTGCCGGGCCGTGTTTATGAGCCCCTGTAGATTTGTTATTGATGTCTTGCTTGCGGGAATAGGCAGGTATCTACTCGCTCGGCGTGAAGCTGGTTTCTTTTGAATGGCTCCTCGCTAGCTTGAAATCGATCAGCTGCTTCATGGTCGTCACGACCGGGCTTCGTTTGGATGCGGTAGTCGCAGTGTTGGACCACTAATTATGTCGCTCATTGCTAGATGCGTTGATTTGCCTAACTAGACGGCCATCGGTCGCTTTCAATGCGACAGTGGCCTCCATGGTTGGGTTCAAGTATTTCCACTTAGTGACGATTTGATAGTCAGTAGTTGAGTTCGCATGAGTGGAAATGGTCTGGAGAGTCATTGGATCTGCTATACTCTTAGTAGCTTGCCATGGAACCTCAGTCGGAGCGATTAACTCCATCTTTGAGAAAGGCCTGTGGTTTTGCTCAGAGTGTCTTATTGTCGTATCTATCTATCTATCTACGGGATGACGTGTTCATCAAGATGTCCCAAGCGGAATCCTTTCTACTTGGGTTCCTGAGGTCCCACCCCGAAAAAGCTACGCCTCTTTCACGTTTGTACCAGTAGCCTTCCATCAGCTTATTCTCCTGTGGGGTTTTCGCCTCTTCGAGAGACGGCGTCTCTCTAGTCTCCTGCGAAGGGCTTCTCCGCGTTCTGCTCTCGCCGTCACTTGTTATGGGGACCGGCCGGGAGAGACCAGGCTCTCCATAAAAGAATGGTTCTCGGAATGTCTCGGAATTGTCTGCTGCGCGTTTCCCTTTACAATAGCATAAGCCCGCGGGCAAGGTGCCATACCTATTGACGTTGATCAAGACTTCGAGTTGTTACACGCCGGGTACCACCCCAACGCTGTTGAGGGGCCACACGTGCCTGTCCACGATGTCCCTCAAATACTCAAGGTCTTCTTCGGCCAGCGGCGCATTAACGTCACGAGTGGGTGGATTTACGAGGGCGAGGCGGACCTTGATTGCGAGTCGCTTCAGGTCAAGTAGGTCTTTGATCTTGTAGACCGATTCTAGCCATGGGCGGTCCAGTGCAGGAACGCGGCTTGGTCCCGGAACAACACTCCAGGTATGGTCTCGAACAGGCATACATTCGTACAGCACCCCTATGTCGACTTCCAAGTAGTTGAGGGATCCGGCTCTCGACTCATTCGAAGACAGGGTATCGAAGAACAGCGTGTGAGGCGCGGGCTGTTTGTGCCGCGGCCTGTTTTTCCTATTCGGGAAATGGATGAGGCCCTCTTGGCGCTCAGGCGTGGTGAGGACTGACAAACGCATGCGAGGGAAGAGGATTGCGTCGCAGTGGTCTCGGAACATTCGGCTGACAAGCCATAGGGAAGACGGCGCAATTTTGAATATGAGCGAGCTGTCTAGCGAACAGGAGCAACGATGCGAGTTGCAGAAACGGCCCGCGGTGGATCGTGCGCAAGGGGACCGGCTGGAATAGAATCCATGGACGCGGCTCCTCCCGCGAATCGGCTTCTTTGACTCTTGCCTCCATTCAACGTCGTAGTCCGGCATCACATGACCCAAGATCATGAGACGAAGTTCCGGTGGCAAATCCATGAATCGAAATTGTTTAGCCGCAACTCGAGCCATTCGCTTGGCCGCAATTCGAGCCATTTGCTCGAGACAAGAGTCTGGTCTGTCTCCCAGGTCGTCGAGTACTTCTGGATTTTGGTCAAGAAGTCGCTCGAGGTTGTCGTGATCTTGAAAAACCGTTGAGCCGTCCGAAGAGTGGTTTTCGTAGCCCCGCCGGATCACGTCGCTGCGTATGATGGAAGCTATTTAATGCGTGTGGTGTGTTCTGGGTGAGGTCGGGAAGAGATGATGTGTGTGGTTCGTGGGGAAATGACCGCGAGGTTCCCGTGCGAGGATACGTCCTTATATAAGGCTCTCGTGACTCACCGGAAAAGCAAGAAGGTTTCGCTGGACCTGTATTGGCGTTGAGGCTGAGGGAGATAATGGATAGGGTTCAGCCATAAACCACCAAAACATAACAATCGTTAATTTGCTCAAAGTTGCATGTGCGGCAGAGCCTGAATCGATATCAAAATTGATACCATCTCCTAATATGCTGGGTTGGCAACGTGAAGTCTGTCTCCCAGGCGAATGTGACAGCTGGCGGGTTCGGGAAGCCATTGCAGTGGTACAAGCACAAGACAAAACCGCCTGTGCATCTCCCTTGTAGCAATAGCAGACGAGCCGCAGGTGGAGTTGCTTTGGCCTATTAAGTAATGGGGAGCGATTGTGTCCGTGGCCCCCAAACCGCGAAGGACAGCATCGGGGGCTTCTTACTCGGAACCCAACGGATGCCGCATCGTCGTAACAGCTCCCAGCACAGTTGCTCATATCGACTTCAAGGTGGATGAGAGATTCCACTTCAGTGCGGTGAGGCTATCGAGGGGTCCAAAGTCACGTGTGACGGTGAGGCTGCGGGAAAGGGTTATGACACTTCAAGGGAGGAACCGATGGACGGCGGTGACCGAGACGGCGGTCTCCATTGCTCAAGGTCGCCATCGCTGATAATTTGCGTCGGAAGATAGCGGATGCTGGCAATTAACGTTAGTGCTAGACGTACACAACTGTCGAGGATATTTCGGTTGGTATTGGTAAGGATGCTGGAGAGCAGATTCTCAGGTCTGCCATTGGAGTTCATACAGTAGATTCCCATGCTGCAACGCACCTGCCTAACAAGGAGGGTACCTGGTGAGGCTGAGCAAACCGAAGTCTGGACACTGAACGGTATATAAAAACCGAGCGCTGTCAAACTGGACAGCAAACGGCATGTAAGGCAGCAGCTTGAGAATTCCTTATAGCACTGCGCATGTTGCCATTTCTCAATCTACTTGATTGGTGACCATAAACGCCAAAGCCACAGTAACTTGTACTTCAACCCAATAAGCTTTTCTGTACTAATTAGTAAGACTGAGGTACGTTCACCATCCATACGTCTCCATCTGGCATGCCGCATCCGGTCATTGGACATCATTGGCATGTCCGTACCCATAGTCTATAGACTACTCAAACACACAGGAATAGGAGGCTTGTATCTCACAAGTTATATCTGATGTTTATTCCAATGTGTAAGCAGTCGGGTGGCTCACAGGTGTGCTGTAGCACGCTTCTAGGGGTGACAAGGCTGACAAGGCTGACAGCAGCACTGAAAGGAAGGAACAGCCTGGAAGCGGGCTTTGAGCCTTAGTGTATCTGGGACAAGGGATCTTTACCCTCCGGATCAAAGGCTGGGCATTGCTTTGAAGTTGGTATGTGTATTTAGTACCTGAACAGGTCCCAAGACCCAAGGGTAGATCCGCACCCAGAATGTAAGCAACATGATGACCTGAACCACTGAACCGATCTTTTCCATACAATGTGATTATTACAATCATGACAGACGTACCTTTCGCTTGCTGAACGAGGGGTGTGCGGAGACACGACTACCATGTCTACTAGAGGTATGTACCCATCGAAGGGACGCCGTCTTCCGAATAGGGACTCCAAAACTATGAGCCAAAAAAAAGAAAACTCAAGGAGTGATCCGTATCAATCGAACTGCCCTTCTGGACAAGGCAAGAAAAAGAGAAACCCATCAAAGTGTAGGTATCGTTGGATGCTGAGCGACACAGGATGACGAACGAACGTATGCTGCCAATTAGGAAGGTTCAATTCCTGTCAAGTTCCACCGGTGGCTAGGGGCTTGGCAGCCCATCTGTTATATAATAATAAATAATAATAACGACATATCTCTACCCTTGACCTAGTCGTCGGATCGGGATGTGGGCGGACGGGATCTACCAGGATCGACCAGGGCTACCGGCAAATCTTGTTAGTGCAACCCCGGCAGTACCAATGTACTATGTACAGTATCTTCCAAGTTACAACCAAACTTTCGAGTTGCTGACAGCTGTCTGTAGTCTTTGAGACGACAAGCCGGACTGGACGTTGGATATATCTGAAGAAGTGCTATCTTCATACCCCTTAACCACCTCAGTCATAGGTTTTCAGTGCAAGAAGATCGGCAACGTGGGCGTAACGTCCGCAGTGACGCGTCTCCCATGTTGGTGGACCATAATGCAAGGGAATGAAGACCCTGGCACGCCTGGAAGAAACAATGTCCCACAGGCGAATGCAGGCGCAACGCGTAATGCTGCCGCGCATCGGCAAGCCGCCCGTATCGGGAGGGTTCGTCTCATGTTAACAAATCACGACGTCGGCGTCAACAACGTCCACGACTCCACGGGTATGCCACATGCTGCCCCGTGGCCCCGTCTCCGAGCATCATTACGCTGCCGACGCCGCCAAGCCGCCAAGCCGCCAACACTGCCACGCTGCCTCCGGGCTATGCCGGGGTGGTAGTGGTAGTAGTGGTGGTGCGGTGCTCAACATGGCACATGCAGCACGAAGGGTCGAGAACGTTACGTATGACAATCTGCCGAGTCGCTATTGGGTGGGATGGACGCGACGACGACGATGCCATAGACTACCAACAGCAAAGTCCTGGGCTCCTGGACTCTTGGCGGAAGGCGGCTCAATCCATAAGAGTAAAAGCGTCCCTCGACACGTCCAGTTATGATTCCGTCTTGGCCATCCCAGCACCTCAAGGGCACCGATCCTCTTCCAGTCGTTTCTCGCCAAGCACCTTGCTTATACTCCTCTCGTTCACCATTGGATAATCCCGGACTGCCAGATTACCCAGTCTTTCGTTCAACATGGTCGCTCTATCCAAGCTTGCCCTTGCGGCCCTTGCCGGCTACGCCACCGCCCACCCCGGCGAGAAGCACGACGCAGAGCACATGAAGCGTGAGATTGTTGCGCGTGACAATGCTGCTCAGCTCGGCGCCCGGTCCATGGGCTCGTGCTCCGGCTCGGCCGGCGCCCAGGCCCTGAAGCAGCGCAGCATCGCTCGCCGTGCGCAACAGGTCCAGGACATCCGCCGCAAGCGTGGCATCAAGGCTCGTGAGTGACCGAGACACGCAAGCCTCAGACACCGCTGACATACTCTAGCCGCAAGGAAGAACAAGCGTACCCTCGCGAATCTGGAGGCCTGGGAGGCCATCAACCACAACATGAGCGCTTCTTATGACTATGACATGTGTAAGCAACATCTCAAGTCATCTTTCGCCCCTGTTGGCATATCGGGACTTTGTCCACCTGTTGCAGGAGCTTGGTACTTGAGCTTCAGAGACATGGATTTGATGTCCATGAAGCGTACTTGCTAACCCAAGTGTATGGCAGTCACTCCCATGGAAGAGGTTTTCAGCGCCAACACCAGCTGTATCCTTGCCCCTGAAGTCACCGACGGCCCTTACTACGTTGTCGGCGAGTACCTGCGCTCCAATGTCAAGGAGTCTCTGTATTCCGCCGGTGTCGACGTCTTCTTGGAGATCCAGTACATCGATGTCAACACTTGCGAAGCTATCCCCAGCGTTGCCGTCGACATTTGGAACTGCAATGCGACTGGTACATACAGTGGCATCAGCGTCAGTGGCAACTACGCCGAGGATGGCTATAACTCTACTTACCTCCGTGGTATTCAACTGACCGACCACGATGGCGTCGCTTCTTTCGAGACCATCTTCCCCGGCCATTATGATGGCCGCGCTGTCCACACGCACCTGTTGGCGCACACCGACGCCAAGGTCATGCCCAACGGCACCATCTCCGTCTGGTCAGTACCACCATGATTCACCCCTGTTGCCCTCATCTCACTACTATCACCCCCATGTTGAACGTGCCACATGGTCATGGCCACAGCCAATGCTTCGGTCCTCAACCCCGCACGTATTGCGCAGCGTCACTGACATTCCTTGATAGGGATGCGCCTGTGACGCACATCGGACAGCTCTTCTGGCCTGACGACCTGCGTGCAGAGGTCGAGACTACCTACCCGTACACCGAGAACACCCAGGCTCTTACCACCAACGACGAGGACATGTGGGCCATTCAGGCCGCCGATGAGAGCTTCGACCCCATCCCGCAATTCGTCTACCTCGGCGACTCCATCGAGGACGGTCTGTTTGCCTGGATCCAGATTGGTGTCAACGCCTCTGCCGACTACACCGAGGACGATTACTATGGAATTGGTAAGTCCCGTCTCCATCCATTCTCCCTGTATCCTGGAGTTCCACCGAGCTAACTCATGCGACTAGCTGCCTACTTCGACGCTGAGGGTGGCCACTCTACTGGATACACTGTTGGAGGTGATGGTGGTGGCCCGGGTGGCAACGGAACCGCACCCAGCGGATCCGCCGCGCCCCCTGCCGCTTCATCTTCGGCCGCCGCCTAAGGGGTATGCCACAGCGTTGGATTCTTCTGGAGTTTTCTGGTGTACCAACAGCCCACTATCCTGCAAGTAGAACATGCCATAGACATAGAGCTTTCTGAGGGGGGTACCCATTCTCACTATAATACACTCGTTTTGACCCCCTACCTTGAGACCTGACACCCATGAATCATTTGAGGCTACAATAAAACAGACAAGCGACGGAGGATGTTGAGATCCGAACAATAATTGATTAATATATATACATATCAGGAGTTACGACCTCAAAGTCATGTTCATCATCTGTTCTAGGTTAGCAAACCGTATCATCTCCCCATATCAAGACAGCTCGGCAGCAAATTGATCCAGTGTAGAAGCAAGGTCTGCGACCTGGCCCTCCGCGGCCTTTAGCTGAGCCTTCTTCTCCGCCTCGGCTGCTGCCTTCTTCTCCTTTTCTTCCGCAGCCGCTTCCTCGGGAAAACACACGGAGCAGATACCGTCGATCACGGGCCAGCCCTTAGACCTTTCCTTAGACCCGTTGGTTATGACCTGGTAAGGACACTCTTTCCATCCTAGCCTCGTGGCGAGGCAAATGCTCTCGTTTTCGAACTTGTCGTGCCCGTATGGGCACGACCGAAATTTGAAAGCCTCGCAGGTGCACATCTTCACTATTTCGATGATGTCAGAGACCGGCTCTGAGACTGGGGAATACGTGAAGAAGCCGCTGAGAAGAGAAAGGAGTGGTTCCAGGAAAGCCATTGCGCTTGGTCGACTTGATGATTCTGGGCCTGGTCTTAAGTATAGCCCCGATGGGATTTAATAATGGTTGGGCTTTGAACATTCCGCCGTTGTTTCTTGGCGGCAAGGCATAAGTACAACAATGGGATCCCACAAAGCCTATTGTAGGCTTCACGGCCACCTGCAATGGCTTTGCTATTTTGGCTTTCGTCTTTAGCGGGAGCATTGTCTTCTTGAATGCCGTTTGTACTATTTACCTAGCATGTTGAAAGAGCTCACCAGTGACGCTGTCGGCACCAGGTCGGTCCAGCTCTCGGTTCCTCTTTGAAAAACGATGTCTTTCAAACATGCACAAATTCTAGCTCCATAGCTGCATACGTTGAAGCTTATGTAATCCGCAGACGCTCCGATGGCTGGTCTCTTTGACTTGCCCAGCAGATTTGGTGACAGCAGGCTAGGATTGTAGACTTACTTGCGCGCAATAGGCCCGAATCCTAAGGGATCTGGGCGAGACACGTTTGGATGAGTATGATGAGGAGAGCAGAGCTCAGTCTGAAAATTGACAAAGAGAAATGACCAAAAAGGCAAATCAAAGAAAAACCACGTCGTCACAGGGCCGCAGTGCGTCAAATTAGCCCATCTGGTGACCTTGAAGGAATGGGTAAGTACTGTGGCTGGTGAAGACTTCTGAGTCTTTGGTTGGGCATGGATATGATACTATTTGTTGGGGGATATTTGACAGATCGTGATTCGATCATCATGAAGATTGTGCTCGCTTATCTTAGGACCTATGCACCAGAGTTCTGTAAGCTCAGATGTCCATTAAGGGGGGCAGCTGGGCAGCTGAATCGGTAGGGGCTCGCAGCTGCAAGTAGCCGGCAGTCGTTCGCGCAGTGGCAACTGCCCCACTTCCTTTCCAATGTGGGTTCATCGGGGTTTTCACCCGCCACAGAACTCACCAACAGTCAATACATCAAACCACTTCTCAGTCGCACTCCCGCAGTCCATTCATTGAAGAATAATCCCAAGGGCAAATTGGCTATTTGGTGCTGAAAGGTAGTTCTCTGACGCCTGCACACTACTCCACGGGCCATGGAGGAAGACCGAGCGCAGAGTGACCTCGGTGTTGCGGCCGACATAGAAGAGGCGCAAGCCCCTCCACCCGCACTGAAGCAGCCCAAGAAGCGTTTTGTTGGGAGGAGGACAGCCGGAAGAACCGGTGCAGCAGCAGGTCAAGCAGTCGAGGACAGCGGCACGATCCAGGGTACGTACGGCAGGGATGGCCATGAATGACCACTGTTGACCCAAAGACGTGTAGTTTCACAGACGAGACGCCCGCCGAGGTTACTGAACCAGGTGCCTCCTGAGATTCTGAATGACCCGGAGCTGAAGGATGCGCTTGCGTTGCTGCCAGCCAACTATTCCTTCGAGATACCCAAGACCATCCACCGCATCCGGTCTTCAGGCGCGAAAAGGGTGGCTCTGCAGATGCCCGAAGGCCTTCTTCTGTTCGCCACCACCATATCAGACATCTTATCTCAGTTCTGCCCCGGCATTGAGACCCTCATCATGGGGGACGTCACATATGGGGCCTGCTGCATCGACGACTACACCGCGCGCGCGCTTGGCTGCGACCTCCTGGTGCATTATGCCCACAGCTGCCTGATACCAGTGGACGTGACCCAGATCAAGGTGCTGTACGTATTCGTCGATATCAGCATAGATACTTCGCATCTACTTGCTTCCTTGGAACGGAACTTTGCTCCGCCAAAGACCATCGCGATGGTTGGAACGATACAGTTCAACGCGACCATCCATGGTGTCCGGTCCACACTGGAAAAGGCTGGCTTCAAGGTGCTCATTCCACAGATTGCGCCTCTCTCGAAAGGCGAGATATTGGGTTGCACGTCTCCTCGACTGCCAGACTCGGAGAATGTCGACCTTATCCTTTACCTAGGAGACGGTCGCTTCCATCTCGAAAGCATCATGATTCACAATCCTGCAATACCAGCTTACAGATATGACCCCTATTCACGCAAACTCACGCGGGAGACTTACGGCCACGAGGAAATGCAGAACCTCCGCAAGGACGCCATCGCGACCGCGGAAGGAGCCAAGAAGTGGGGGTTGATTCTGGGTTCTCTTGGACGTCAGGGCAACCCGCACACGATGACGCTGATTGAGAACAAGCTCGAGGCCATGGGAGTTCCTTGGGTGAATTTGTTGCTGAGTGAGATCTTCCCCGGGAAGTTGGCGATGATGACCGACGTCGAGTGCTGGGTGCAGGTTGCTTGCCCGAGGTTGAGCATTGATTGGGGGTACGCTTTCCCACGGCCGCTCTTGACGCCTTACGAGGCACTTATAGCGCTCAAAGAACGAGAGGACTGGAGCGCGACTGGTGTGTATCCCATGGACTACTACGCCAGAGAAGGATTGGGGAGGACGAAGGGCGTTCAAGTTTCGACTTGAAAGCCCAGCCGCTTCACACTGGGCTAGGCCAGGCAGAATGAACATTCGATTTTCCGACATACCAGATATATGGTGAAGTCTGTGATCTCTGTCGCTTGACATGAGGAGGTCAAAGCAGATGTCATGTTCCGAGGCAATGAAAATTGCTGATAGTTGCCAATTCACGGCCGATATCCGTGACACGAAGCTGACCGGACCTCTCACCGACGATTAACGATCTTCATGTCAATTTAATGATCAGTGGCAGCAAGTGAACAGTGAAGCTTTTTCATAGCTTGGGTAATTCAGAGCAAGAGAATGATGTTGGTATAAGGACTTACTCACACATAGTACACCGAAATTTGAAGTCACGTCTCAGTGGAACAACTATCTTGATTCAAGACATCCAAGGCCTCCTCACAAAATGTATAAATGCCCTCCTCATTTCGAGTCCTACAATCCTGCTGAACACACGACATCTAACTTCCTAGGCTTCCTCAATCCTCCCTAACATCTACTTTTGCTTCCATGCTGCTTACTCTGCCGTACCATAACGTACCTCTCCTGACTAAACACCACCCTCCATATACCCAACGATGTCTCGCCTGCGGTTGCCAGTGTCTCTCATCACGGCGGTAGCTTCGTCCTTGATCATATCAGCATACGCAATATCCACAATCCTACAGGAACGAAAACGCAAGAAACCCCCAGCGGCAACCGCCTATAGTTATACCGCCACAGCCGCTTCGTCTCCCGCAGTGCAGCACAAGCGCAAGCTCATAACCATCGGCTTCAGAGGCTGTTCCGAAGAAGAAGCCACAGCCATCAACGCGGCCGGGAAACCCGTCTACGACGCGACCAAGACGACGGGCAAAAAGATGCTGGGTTCGGGGATCTACCTGGCCGACCGGCTGGAGAACGCGTTCAAAGAACCCGGGACGCACGACTGGATCTGCGTCGTGAAGGCCCGACGCGATTGCATACAGGACACGCCCAAGGTCTGGCTGGCGAAGATGGTCAGGCCGTGGAGGGAGGGCCAGGGCGAGGCGGACGTCAGGATCAGCCACGATGATGGACTGATAGATGAGTATATCCGGTTCATGGGGGACGGTGCCGTCGATCCCGCGAGGACTCTACGTCTTGGGATAGGGCATAAGGGGAGTGTCAGTCCGCGGCTGCTGGTTACGCCTGCGCTTGTCGAGGAGGATGGGTTGGGACTTTGGGCGAGGTGTCTGAAGCATGATGACTTGGCGGGCTTGGCTGATGAGAATTTCGATCCGGGCTTCGTGACGGACTATGGGGGTGTGCCGTGGGATAGGCCTGTTTTTAGGGCGGCGCCTATGGAGGGACTTTATGAGGAGTTGGTGTCGCTTGGTCTGGTCTCTTCACTTGAGTGAATGCGTTGGGGGTTGGTTGCCATGTACCGCCAGATACGCCGGTTTGCTTAGGTGCCTACATTAGGTTGTGGGCACATGGGGTTCGAGTATAGATGTATATAGATCATTGAGATGATTATCATGAGGAGTGTGAAACGTTACTGCATATCAGGGGCTGGGCCCGAGTCTCGGCCAGTGCCCGCCTCACTATCAGACCCTGAGTGTGGTGATGCATGTTGATGCTTGGGTGAAAACAATCTCCATTACGCCCCAATCGGCTGTGCAGCTCCCGCAACACACCATGCATTCTCCGATCCTAGCTGAGACACAAAAGGCTCTCAGCGATTCAAAGCCTAGTTCGCTAACGCATCGGCCTCGTGGTTCCTCACACGCGGCACACGCCAGAACTGAATGTCGATGTCCGCATTATCCGGGCTCTCCAAACCCTCCAGTCTCGATTGCAAATCCATAAGCCTGTTGAAGTGTACCGCGGGACGGCCCGATGCGGTGAATCCGCCGCTTGCAGCCCAATCGTATACCCACATCGACATGGTGTTGACCAGGTACTGGGAGTCGGACACAATCTTCACGCGCGTGAGGGAATGGTCGTAAAAGCAGATATCGTAGATGATGTCGATTCCGTGAGACAGGGCCTCGATCTCGGCACGGGAGCTGGTCTGGGGGTCGTAGAGGCTTCAGACGACCGCAAGCATTGTATTCGGATCCAGGGCCGACGAACACACCCCAGGATGCCCGTGCTCCGGGCTGGCCGTTGTTGCGGCAGGCGCCGTCGATGTGGATAACCAGACTACCTGGGTCTCGTTTGAGTGCCCAAGATGGTGGATACACGCCTTGGAGCTGTGCGATCTCCTTTGAGGCGTTGTAGGTTATCAGCTGGGCTTCAGGGAGGATACGGTGGAAGGAGCTCAGGTCTGGGACGAAAAGACGGTAGATCCCTTGACCGCGTTGATCGAAAGCGCCGTCGTAGCCTTGGTGGGAAAAGTAGTGCGCCATCGTGATCTGCCGGGAGGTAGTCGTTGAAAGGAGGAGCGTCGGGTTTACAACAGTTGGAGCCAAGTGGAGAGGAAGTTTGGAGTTTGCGTTCGGCTGGTGGGATGAATTTTGTCTTTCCACAAGGTACCTACCTAGCAGGTAGCTGCTTCCTTGGTTCCAATGATCGCACCTTCGCGACTTGCAGCTTCAAAAAGGAAAAGGCCGTCTTCAGAAGCCAAATACTGTCCCCAGGCAAACAGACGCCTTGACGATAAAGGCCCCACATGATGGATGCTTGTACCCGTGCCAACAGAACAAGAGTAGAGGGCACCCGATACAAACGGAGACACAGCGCCCTTTCACAAACCCTTCATACCCATCTAAGGACTCTTCGCAGTTGAACTACCACTAAAAGAAAGCCTAGCTGCATAGGTAATCAGGTTCCATCTCGGGTTGACCCCCCGTCACGTGGCGCGTACATAAGGCCAAATAAGGGCCAAAGAGTCACGTCGTCCAAGGGAAAGAAGGCGTCTCTCAAACGGCCACATCCCTCATCTGCAAATCCCACAACCGTAATAAGGGAGGTCGCTGAGGATAATACGTCCTGTAAAAGGACTTCCACCTGGCATAAGTTAGGAACTAAGAATCTCTTTGTGGCTTACTTGCCGAAGTACGTACAGGACAAGCTCTCGTTTCTGGGTCCCTGAACAAACCAAATGTGCCATGAGTGCAGGTGCCAAAGAGGATCTAGAAGTGGCCAGGCAGGTCTCCTATCTGCTGAGAGATCATGTGGCTGTGATCGACGTCATTGGGTTTTGTGGCGCCCAGCCCCTTCAAATGTTTGCCCGACATGGTTTCGGACTTAAGCCAGCGCATCATGTATGTACCCGAAACCAGTCAGGTTTGGCAATGTCGATAGTTTACGGCAAGCCAGCCAACATCGACGTCGCGAATGGTCATTTGGTTGACTTGGAACATCTTCAATGATTCAGACCGGAGCAGTCGGAGGAGAACAGCTGCGCCACATGTTCAGTGCAGCCCACATCGTGGAGGACTGGACATCGGAAGCTGCAGATCGGAAGTGTCACTGCACTGGCCCCGTGGTCTGTCTGACTCTGAGACCCTGTACGCTGTGAGTCTGTCTGCGCATCCATGGGAAGCCAAAACTCTCCGACGCCAAATGCAGGAGGTTCTGGAATGTTTATCGAACAACTGGGACAGACCAACTGCCGCGACGGAGTAGTATGGGCCACCAAGGCTTGGCTGTTTCCAACCGGCCGGCATGTGGAGGACCCCCGGAGAGCTTGTGCCAGATTCTTTAACAAGTCAACGTTTGCGAAACCTTCCCCGCAACCCGCGACCAAACGGGCCCATCTGAGAGCAACGCAGTTCCACATGACTGTCGTCGGCTGCCGATGATCCATAAATCATCGTCATCCCGAGGAGCCATGAGCAGCACCCGGATGAGAATAGGTACGAGAATCACTGCCTATATCAGGACACCCCTGCCACAACGATCATGCGACCGGTCTTTGTAACGCTGTCGAGCTCACAGCCAACTCCACAACAATGGGCACAACCACCATCCAATACTGCCAATGTTGGTACTAGTTTCAGTCGGCGACGATCAGCTTTCGTCTGGCAAACACTGCCAGAGGCTGGTCCACCATCGACACTCGATCAACCATGCTCTGATGTCTGTGTCTACCATCTCAATGCTATCACAACAGCTATAACAGCGCCTCGGAATGGACCGTCTTGGTATTTCGTTTCCTTCTCTTCTCTGTCCCATTCTCACCGTCAGACCAGTCACTGCCGGCAGTGTCTTCGATCTCTTATTTTCTTAAAACCACTCTCATCCTTTCGATATTGTAATCTTTCTTAATACGGAGTCGTGGTTTTCGTACCCTTTCCATCATTCACCATGGGTATCGGAGTATTAGAGGACGGGCACCTGGACAGGCCTCCGGGTACCTCAAAGCTGGGAGAGGAGCAAGGGCCAGGCTCTGATACAGCCAGCACGAACGCGTTGAAGAAAGATGGCGATATAATTCTCGTTCCGCAACCGAGCGACTCGCCAAACGACCCTCTCAACGTATGATATCCTTGGCTAGGCAAATCGCAACGTAAGGCTGACGCGTACTAGTGGTCGAAAACATGGAAGAATGCTATCATGTTTGTTCTTGCATTCAGTTCCGGCGTCACAACTTCGTGAGTGAACCTATATCGCGAAGCCTGAGCGGCGCCGCCATACTGATACTCAGCAGGCTTGGTCCCATGATTTCTCCTGGGCTGGTAATACTGAGCCAGGAGTACAAGGTCGCCCCCGATACGGTCTCTGCTTTCATGGTTGGGTCCATCGTTCTTTTCACAGGCTCGGTGACCTTCTTTACGGCGTCTGGCGCCAACATCTGGGGAAAGAGGCCCTTCTTCGTCATATCGACGCTAATGCTACTGGCCTCCAACGTTTGGGGCACCTTTGCGGATGTACGTTTGTCAATACCGATGTGCATAGACGTTCGAACTGACACCTACAGTCTTTCCCCTCTTTGGCGGCGATGCGTATCTTCCAGGGTATCTCCTCGGCTCCGTTAGAGACCCTGGTTACATCCACGGTTTCCGATCTCTTCTTTGTCCACCAAAGAGGGTTTCGTCTCTCAATGTGGGGTGTCATGTTGAGTGTAGGCGTTCTGCTTGGGTACGTCTTCTCAAACACGTATAGTAGGCTCCATTGACACCATCGCAGCCAGATCATTGCCGGCTTCATCATCGAGTCCCTGGGTATCCCAGGAACTTTCGGCATCAGCGCCCTCATCTTCTGCTTGATCCTACCAGCAATGTACTTCCTTGTCGTCGAAACCACCTACACGAAGCCACGAAATGCTGCGAGGGCAACATCGGTGGAGCAAATGGTAGATGAGAAAGGAGGTGGTCGTGAATCGTGGATGGAGCTTGAGGACGATCCAGCAAACAAAACCAAAGAGAGCTACTCGAGCCAGCTCAGACTCTTCCGCGGTCGCCTGTCTCAGGATTCCTTCTGGAAGGGTGTCCTGAAGCCGTTTCCTCTCATTTGCTTCCCGGCTGTCATCTTCTCCACCTTCGTCTACGCCTCATTCTTCACCTGGCTCCTGATGATCGGCGTTCTGTCAGTCAGCATCTTTTCGGCGCCCCCATACAACCTGAGCGCATCTCAGGTGGGCCTTACGAATGTCCCGTTGGCCATCGCTGCCCTCATCTTCTCGCCTATTTCCGGATGGATGGCCGACGCTCTGCCAGTCTGGATGGCGAAACGCAACAACGGCGTTTTCGAGCCTGAGTTCCGTCTCGTGCTGATGGCTATCGCCGTACCTCTTTCCACTGCAGGCTTCATCGGATTCGGCGTCTCCGCCTCAAACGGCCTGCCGCTGCCCTGGTGCCTCGTATGGATTACGATGCACTCAATAGCCGTGCCTTTCGCCTCGCAGGCCTCGATCAGCTACGTTATTGACTGCCACACCAAAGATGCCAACCAGGCCTTCGTCACGATCAACTTCGTCAAGGCACTCATGAGCTTTGTCGCTTCCACGGTCGGCAATCGGTTGTTGACGAAATATGGCCCGAAGCAACTGTTCATTGGAATTGCCCTGTTGAATTTGGGCATTAGTGCGCTTACAATTCCGAGTTACATATATGGCAAGAGACTACGAAGCTGGGTAAGTTTCCTCCTTGTTGACGCGTTACCGACTTGGGGACTAATGTGGCTGTAGGTTGCGCGGAGTGAGTGGGCGCAAAGAATCTAGAGAGATATAGACGTGTTTTAGAGCACCTGGTGCTGCTGGTTGGTTATGTTAGGAGTTGGTATATATATATATATATATGTGTCTCCATAAGATGTCCCCTTGAATGAGACCAGAGGATAGAGGAGCACATAGGCCAAAGAGGCTTCAGGCGAGAGTCAGCTCAGAGGGGCGATCGCAGCAGTATCATCCCAACTGGTGCCATGTCACTTACAGAGGGTACCAATCTGGAAGGCTTCACAATGGGATTTCATCCAGTAGCTCATGTATCGAAGAATGAAGGCACTTGATATTATTGTGGTCAGTCTTATTCATATACTTACAACTTACAGCTAATCGTGGTCTTCTACCGATATAGATAGACGCATTCTTCATCTCACACACCAAACTTACTTTTTGAGCGGAAAAGCAACGTTGGCTTCAAGAAACCACAGCAGCTTGAGCACAATAACCCACCGCCGACAGGCGATCTCGTACCTGTTCTCAACATCCTGCCACCGATCACTTACCGGCGTCCAGCTCACGAACCCGCACGACGGACCCTCCAGGAACCGCACGACCTGGTGCGCGAAGATGGCCGCGTGGAAGTCGAGGATTGAGTACAAGCCGATGCGTGCACGCAGGTCCTCCCGGCTTAGCTGGAAGAGCCCGACCATGTTGACGAACGTCGAGAAGTCGGTGCGCTGGCTCCGCGACTTGGTGCGCGAGCTGCTGCGGTAGGCCCTGAGGGCGTTTAGGGTGGGGGCAGAGTTGATGATGTGGAAGACGTGCAGCGTGTCGCTGCACTCCAACCAAGCGCGGAGATCCTCTATGGTAGGCGGCATAGTGTCCCAGCGGAAAAGCTTCGCAGACGCCGGCTCAAACCGGGCCCGGGTCTGGGAGTTGTTGGTGGTGGGAGCCATTTCGATGAACGTCGAGTCTTCGGGTGCGAGGGCTAGTTCACAAGGCTCGTCCTCCCTGAAGGCCACAGAAGAATCCATGTATCTGATAAGTCAGATGTGAGTGGTATGACAGACGAGATGTTCTTAGAAGGCTCCTCTGTGCTGTGCTTGCTTGGGTGTTGATGCTTATCTGGTTTCTTTAGTCCGATATTGTCGGGCCGATGTGGGCTATATGTACTCGTGATGCCGATGGACAGTCTGTTACGGGCCGACACTCGACAACCTGGTTGAAGCCGAGCGTGTTCATGTAAAATGACCGGCTGAAACAATTATCTTGAATGAGATGACAAGGAAAGAACGCCACGGGCTGGGCAGTGAGATTGTCGTCAAGGAGGTAGCCGGGATTGGGCGTTTTTAGAACAATGATGCTCGCGTTGTTGGGGTCCGGGAAGACAATACCCATGTTCGTGCACAAAGAGCGTGTGAAAGACATTGTTCTTTATAAGGGAAGGTCTGATTGAGTTCAGACAATACCATTTATGGTTCTTTGCTCTACCATGGGGGATCCAGCCCAGCTTTGTCCTTCGTGGCCACCTGCACAGTTCGCGATGGAAAGGGGCGATGATTGAGGTACGGTACAGTACGATGACCATGGAGCGAACAAACCCGTTGGATGAGTATTATATAGGATATCTGAGTCTGGTCCCCACCGTAAACCTCTTTGCCGACCTAGTTGTCGTCTCTGGATGTCTTCTCAGTGATCTGCAAGGAGGCATGAGCGGTGCATCTCCTTTTGGTACCCCGTTCCCCCGGAGGTCTCCGTGCGCCCTTTTGACCAAGGCAATGAGCGTCCACGGGGCAATACGTGCTTTTGGAATAAGCAGACGAAAGATAAGAGGCAAAGGCTGAAACACTGAAAGTTTGTACATGTCTTCAAACCAGACCAGCGCGAGTAGAACAACAATTCGACCAGTATTTTTGTATCAAATGACGGAAGCCACGATACGTCAACCCATCTGCAGTGGCATACCAGGATAGATGGAAAAATCAGGCATTTTTCTTCCAAACGTATAACCTTTGTACACAATTATAAGCAAATGAAGGCTCCGAGTTCGCTACTGTACCCTTCTCCCCCCTTTTCACCCCTGACTGGGTATGCGTTTAACCTTAGCATAGTTAGTAACCCTAACCTGGAATGGCATTGGACATGTCTAGATGTCACCAAGCACATGAAAAACAGCACCTTGTCGCCCTGATATCCCGCTCGCCATTCCTATGTTTGTAGAATGTTCTGTTGTGAACAAAGGCCGAGTGGCATTGATTGCCTGCGCCCTCCGCTCGGGTAGGAGCCGAGCGCCAAGGCCAACCCTGACCCCCACAGCGCATCTCAACAGCTGCCATCCAGGCTGGTCTCAACTGAGAACTGCCAACCTACCTTTTCCACACAAACCGCAATGGTCAAGCTCATCTGCGTAATCGGTGTGACCGGCAACCAGGGCGGCTCGGTCGCCCAGCGCTTCCTGCGCGACGGCGACTACCGGGTGCGGGGCATCACGCGGGATCCCGCGTCCCCCGCGGCGCAGAAGCTGGCCGCGCAGGGCATCGAGATGGTGCAGGCCAACCTCGACGACGTGTCGAGCCTCATCAGGGCCTTTGACGGCGCCAATCTCATCTTCAGCGTCACCAACTACTGGGAGCCGTTCTTCCGGCCCGACTGCCGCGCCCAGGCGGCCGAGCAGGGCATCTCGTGCCGCCGGTACGCGTACGATGTCGAGTACCAGCAGGGCAAGAACATTGCCGATGCGGCGGCGCAGGTGGTCGGGGGCCTGGATGAAAATGGCTTTATTGCTTCGACGCTGAGCCACGCCGGGAAGTGCAGCAAGGGGAGGTTTAAGGAGCTGTATCACTTCGACGCGAAGGCGGATGTGTTTCCGGACTATGTCAATGCAAAGCATGAGGCGCTTGCGAAGAAGATGAGCTTGGTGCAGACGGGGTACTTCATGTCGAGCTACAATTATGCTCCTGATGCGTACTTTAAGAAGGTGAGTAAATCGTCATGTAACTTACCTTCAAATATTAGACGGCCTGGCATTGATTGTCACAGACCGAAGATGGAACTTTCGTAATGAGCTTCCCGACCAGCCCAGAAGCCCAAGTCCCCCATTTGGACGTCAACACCGACGCGGGCCCCTTCGTCTACGCCGTGTCGCAGACGCCGCCGGGCAAGACGTACATGGCGGAGGGCACGCGCTGCAGCTGGCCAGCCTTCTTGGAGTTGTGGGGAGAGGTCAACAACATGCCGACGAAGTACCAGGAGGTCACGATTGAGCAGTTCGTAGATCTGTCGGCTGATGCCGAATTTGGACGCGAGGCGGGCGATATGTTCATGTACACTTCTGAGCCGGGTTATGATGGTGGGGATGAGTCAATTCTGAGGGCAGAGGACTTGAGAAAGGTAAGTCAACCCTCACCTTAATCTGGGAGAGAGACCGGCTGATGTGATGATTGAAGGCGGGCATCGAATGTCCAATGACTAGCATTAAGGAGTATTTTGAGAAGCACGATTGGACATCTGTGCTTAATCAATGAGACTTGACCTTGGCTGGCCGCCATTCCCAGATTTGTAGAAGATTTTGTTGTAAACAAAGGCCGAGTGGCACATCTATTGCCTACGCCTTCTGCTCAGGGTTAGGGTTAGGGTTGTAAAACCCCCGCAGCCAGCGCGTCTCAACAGCGGCCATCAAGGAGGGCCTAAGTTAAAACTCAACTTCACAACGTCGCAACGGCTGCAGTGCCACAAATGCTGTACCTGCAACCACAGCCATCGTCAATATGCCGCAGAAATCAGACCTGATCACCGGCTGCAGCGAAGGCGGCATCGGCGACGCCCTCGCCATCGAGTTCCAGCTGCAGGGATGCCGCGTCTTCGCCACAGCCCGTGGCACAAGCAAGATGTCATCGCTCTCCGCCCTGGGCATCGAGACGCTCCCCCTCGACGTTACCTCCGACGCCTCAATTGCGTCCGTTGCGTCGGCGGTGCAGAAGGCCACGGGCGGCTCGCTCGACCTACTAATCAACAATGCGGGCGTCAACCATATCATGCCGTTCGCCGACTCGCAAGTCGCGGACCTGCGCCGCGTCATCGACACCAACGTCGTGGGTGTGTTCGCCGTGACGCATGCCCTCCTGCCCCTCCTGATCGAGGCGCGGGGCACGGTCGCGACGGTCGGCAGCGTGAACGAGGTCTTCTGCCCGCCGTACCAGGCCGCGTACAACGCGTCCAAGGCCGCCGTACACGCCATGAGCCGGACGTTGCGCGTGGAGCTTGCACCGCTGGGGGTGCGCTTCGTCACGCTGATGACGGGGAGTGTGCATACTAAGTTGTTTGATAACGCCCCGACTAAGTTGCCGGAGGATAGCATGTACTGCGCTGTCGCGGACAACGTGGAGAATCGGGACTTCCTGAAGCAGGCTCAGTGGGCTGAGCCTGATGTGTTCGCGAAGCAGGTTGTCAGTGACTTGTTGAGACCGAAACCGAGGTTGGATATATGGAGGGGCGGCATGGCGACTGTTGCGTGGGTGCTGTCGTCGTTGGGCTGGGAGGGCATGCTGGTGAGTTACTCGACCCCTTCGATCGGTTCTGTGAGAAACTAATACTTGCAGGACTCTACTATGATCAAGGGTAATCAACTTGACTTGGTCCAGCGGTGATCCGAATATCACGGCTCACCAGGGAGACCGAAGACGAGGAGCTAGCTGTCTGTCTGTACGAACCAAACACAGAAGCCCGGCTACTGCAGTTTGAGCAGGAGAATACCACACCGATCTCTTGGTAGCAGCCTATGGGTCTAGTATTCGAGTGCCCCCCTTATTCTGATGAACGGTTATATCCAAGCTCGCTCACTATCGTCTCTCATGCTGCGTCTGATTAAGAGCCATAGCCGCATCAATCTGATCCCAAAACTGAGAGCAACGCTCATAATCCACGCCCCCAACCACCAACCCTGCCAACGGATGGCCCAAATCAACCCCCACCTCCACCCCCTCCGTAAACCGCGGCCACGCCACCTCATCCCCCGGCCGTCCATACTGCGCCATATCCGTCCAGGCGCGGCTCATCCTCCCCGCCAGCGCCGTTTCTTTAGCCGTGAAACTACAGTTCCCATCCGGCCGGGGTAGGGCGGTGGTGGTGTTGAACACGAACGGGATCTCGGCCGAGTGCGCGACGCCGACGTACGGCAGGATGGCGGCCGGGAGCTGGCTTACCCAGGGGCAGCTCGGCGCGTGCGTGAACTCGTACGCCCACACGGGGACGCCGTTGCGCGCGCCCGCCAGCAGCCCGCGGTGCGCGGGGCACTTGTAGACGGCGTCCGTGACGATCTGCGTCATCAGCGCCGCCGCCGAAACATTACTACTCTGGAGCGGGAACGTGGCGTTCACCCGCGGCGCCAGCGAGCCGAAGTTGTGCGTCAGGAAGGCGTCGTACTCGGCCTGTCCGATACTGAAAGTCTGCTTCCGGTACACGGCGAGCACGAACAGCGACCCGTCGTTGGTGTTGGAGCCGAAGATCGATGGGACGCGCACGCCGGACGTGCCAGGGGAGACGGGGATCAGGGACCCGTCGACTAGGGGGCCCCAGTTGGTGCGCGCGCCGGAGCTGCAGAGCTGCGTGTAGGCCTCCGGGACGCCGGGGGTGGGCATGGCGGCTACGGCGAACTGGAGCGCGGCTGGGGAGGCGGCGCGGAAGCAGGAGATCTGGGGGTTTGGTTGGTCAGCGGATGGTAAAAGGGGGGGGGGGGGGGGTGGGATTTAGGGGCTGGCTGGCTTACGTCGGTGGTACTGCAGTTCAGGGCGTTGGCGAAGACGCCGTGGACGGTTTGGGCTTCCTCGACGGTTGCGAGATCCCGCCCGCCGCCTGATTCCATGGCAGCGGCGCGCATTAGCTTGGGCGCCTGCTCAAGCGTGGCTATGGTATAGGTGTCCGTGGCGCCTGCGGATTGGCCGAAGAGGAGGACCTTGTTCTGCGGTTGTATGTCATCAGTACTCACTCCATGAGCAGAGGATATGTAGGACAAGGCCAGGCCTGCACTCACGGGATCTCCACCAAACGCTGCGATGTTCTCCTGTACCCATTCGAGGCCCATGATCTGGTCCATGGTGCCAAAGTTACCACTCAAACCTAAGTCCTTCAAGGCGAGGAATCCGAGAGGGCCCAGACGGTAGTTGATAGATACCATGATGGAGTCGGTGGTCGAGAAGCAGCCATCGTAGGCAGGGTCGGCGACACCGCCGCCTTCGTTGCTGCCGCCGTACAGCCAGACCTTCACCGGCAGATTCGAACCATTTGATGCTCCTGCGGGTGCCCAGACATTGAGATAGAGGCTATGATCATCACAGGTCAGTTATTAACTCGCACGGGTGGTGAAGGGTCTGCTATACTCACCAGTCTTCACTCTGCGTACTCGACTCCCCGAACAGGGAGCTGAACTGTATACAGAACGGAGTCGACTTGGTCGCGTCGAGGGTGCCGTTGAAGTGCCTCGTATACTTCTCCGGCGCCTTGAACCGCAGCTCGTCGACAGGAGGGTTGGCAAAGGGGATAGAGAAGAAGTAGTTCGTCTCGGTGCTGCTGCACTTCCCGCCTTGTATCTTCCCGAGGGACGTCTCGGCCGTCGGCGCACAGGCGGCCAAGGTAGAGCCCAGGATGCCGAAGAGGGCGGCGGAGGGTATCGGGTGCATATTGTCGATGGCTGCTTCGGAAAGTGTTTGCCAAAGTACGGGCAGACGAGTCTATGTTGACCTGGGCATGATCACTTCTTTAAGTACTGCCATACGACGGGTAAGGATTCAAGGTTGTTATGTCTCTTACGCTAGACAGGGAGCCTATTCGGTCACTCAGTGAGGCTGTGACCAACCAACCAACCCACCTTCTCACAGAATGAATGCAGAGCAGGGGCACAAAGTACGTAAGGACCTCGGGCTTCACCTTCGAGAAAGGAGGCTGCCGCTCTTCCATGGACTAGCATACAGTAGGCGCCATGGGTCATCGAGCGACCCCTTGCTATCTCGCATTCGCATTCGCGATGTTGGGATAGTCCCCACACCAAGCCCATATATACATATGGAACTTCGTCAAATCACCAGCCGCAGCCAAAAGCTCGAGCAAAGCTTAGCCTCACGACCTTTGGGGCTGATTACGACGCGCCACAGGGTCTTTAGACAGGGAGTCGCCCGAGGCTGCCGAGGCTGCTGCTTGTTGTAGAGAATGTGTACCTTTCGTCCTGTTAGGAGACCATTATGCAGGAATGAGATGGAGAACTGGGTTTTAGTAGCGCATCTAATGGGGCTCACTAGCTTCAGCGAAAGCGATTGCGAGGGAGTAAGCGCGAAGTGGTGCTGAAGAGCGTTCGCTCGCCCACGCGTGGGTCCTCTAGTACGTGCCGCACCGCAAGAGGGCTGGTTGGCAAAGTGATTCTCATTAATTTTATAGACTAAATTACGAACAGTGGTACCAGGAGTATCAAGACCGCCATCAAGAAGTCCACCCCAAGCGTGCCAGCTCCCGATATCTGGGGCCCCGTCGCCAAAGGACTAGCCAGCGCGCTCCGAGTCTGATTCCCCGGCGCGCCCGTCGGATTACCATGACCACCACCACCACCGCCGCTGCGCCCGCCATCCTAAGGCGTCGCAGTGGAGTTGATGCTGAAGCGGTAGCTAGCCTGCAGGACGTAGGGGTCGCCGCCGGGCGCGTAGATCTGCTTGCTCTCGCGCTGCCACTCGGGGTGGTTGATGGCGTCGATCCAGTCCTCGACCTCCATCACCAGGCAGCCGTACTGGGGGATGGTCCGGGGGAAGTCGGCGTTGTCGTGGAGGCCCTGGTCCGACTTGAGCGTCAGCGTGCCGTTCTGCCCGTCGCACGAGTACATCTGGAAGGCGTCCTGGTCCGAGTAGATGTCGACCTGGATGCCCGACCACGCAGACTGCAGGCGGGCGACGAAGCCGCCTCCGTCGCGCCAGTCGTAGGGGCCCAATTGGTCACGGTTGACGATCCAGCATGTGTCTGAGATGCTAATATTAGTAAAGTGACAGGTGTGAAGCTCGCATGGTTCTAGCCTTACCGTAACCTGTGCAGTTGAAACCACAATTGCCAAGGGCTTCCGGATCCCCAAGGGATGCGCCGATCTGCTTCGGCGCGCTCCAGAAGTCATTGACGGATCCTTCCTTGTTGGCTAGGATATCGCCGGTGGGGATCAGAATGTTGTCGACACCGACGCGCTGGCCGCTGTACGGCAGGTAGAACGTGTGGTTCAGGGCAGTCTGGGTCTCGTTGTTGGCGAAGCCATCCAAGTTCCAGTAGGTGTGACTGCTGAGCATGATAGGTGTCTTCTTTGTCGTAGCGAGGGCGACCATCTTGAAGTCCCAGGTCCACCCGGTCAGAGTGTAGGTGATGTAGGAGATGACCTCTCCAGGAAATCCCTCCTTGTCATCAGGGTCGACGATGGAGAAGGTGATGCTGTCGTTGGTGTGCGAGACGATGGTGAAGTTTCTGTGGTCCCAGCCATCGGGGCCGCCATGCAAAGTGTCGGCGCCATTGGGAGCCTCGGGGGTGGGGTTCTCGTTGGGGTCGATGTGGTAGGTCTCCCCGTCAATGACGAAGGTGCTGTTCTGGATACGATTCGCGTATCGTCCGGGAACACCACCAAAGTGAGGATGTTGGCCGTCAATCTCGTAGTAGCTTGCATTGTCGAAACCACCCACGATGTCTCTCTGGATGCCGTACTGATCGTTGATCAAGAGCTTCGCGATGGAGGCGCCGTAGGGGATGAAGGCGGCCGAGAGACCCTCGCTGTAGATCCAGTACATGCCATTCTTATCCGGACCCGACGTGCCATTGGCTTGCGCCGAGACACTTGGGAGCAGCAGAGCTCCCAATGCCGTGAGGCTAGCTGTGTTCAGACGCATTATGATGGTGTGACTAGGTAGCTAACACGACTGTGACAAGTCGTCGCGACGGAGGAGGGGAAGGTCGAGTAACGCGAGCTAGGAGGTAAGCTACGAATTCCGGGGAGGGACTCGTGACTTATAGGTAGAAGGCGGAGGACCCGTGCGGCTGGGAGTCTGAGGAGTCTGAGGAATCCGGGGAAACATGGACAACGCCGACATCAAGCATGGCGATCTGGGGACTTTAATCTTACTTCTGGGTGCGCGTCCCCTCGCATGTCCCCTCGCATGTCCCCTCGCATGTCACGCCGTCGATGCTGCAGGTGAGCTGCACGTCGACGCAGCTTCTCCGCTTTCTTGGCAGGAAACTTGAAAGTTGGGGAAGCTCGGGGTAGCCGGTCTGCCAGTCTTGATGCTCACCGTTCGTTCACGTAATGCTCGATGTACGGCGTAAGCGGGTTAGATTGGATCCGACATGGCCATGTGCTACAGACGGGGGCTCATTGGACTCGGTGGTTCATACCTTAGAATCTTTGGTAATAACTCGGTCGAGTGAAGCTGTTCATTTGTTCGTTACCAGTTATCCCAGCACTTGAGGTCAGAAGGTCATATGATCAAGCCTCGTACCATCAACACCTCCTCACTTGAACCTACGCTTTCCGAGACCCCAGATCGATAGAGCTAGATTTCGGCGAACTATCCCAATTCACATACGTAACGGATCAGAAGCAGGTACCCCCAAGGTAAAGAAGCGGACAGAGAAGAGTACCTAGACAGCTCGTGTTTGCTTGTGCCATGTTGTTGTGTGTAAGTCATGTCCCCGTGTGTGACTGGCGGTCTGGTCACGACGAGCTGAAGGACGAAGCTGGCGAAGAGCACTGCCTCCAGCAGATGCAATCGATGGCCCTAGATGAAAACCTGAAAACCGGATATGGTTGCCGTATGGTCATTGGTGTCGCAATATTACGACGTGGCAACGAGGGGATCATCGTTAGAGTCCCCATGTTCACATGTGCCTTACAGCGTGCCTCTACCATCCTGAGCCAGCCTCGAGTCTCCAGTGGTGCAGGTAGGTAGGGGACTGAAGCCTCGATTGCACCTGTAGAATCAGAGATACACTTCCAATGCAATGCTGGTAGGTGACAAGTAACAACGCCTTGATGGTATTCAACTTCAAGCCCGACTCCTCTTGTTCGTGAAGAAGATTCCGAGCAGGGACAGTCGGGAAACCGTGGCGGAGAGTTGTTCGGAAACAGCTCTTGACCCGAAGTCAGATCATAACAATATCGAGCAAAGAGCGCAATTGGTGCGGAAGAGATCAGACGCAAACAGGGCTCTCGAGTCACCGTGCTGGAAAAGTTGTTTGTCTGCCCCTGCGCCCCGCGCCGGCCCCCGTGATCGATGCGGGGTAATTGCCGGAGGTTCATGAGGTTGGTTCCCCCGAATCCTTCCACCACTTCCCCACTCTTCAACGCCGCCCTCATCGACCTCCCACTGCCCAGCCCTGCCAGCCTCCTGGCTTCACCTCACCCCATGGGTCTTTGTATCGTCATCTATGCCCATCCATGTGATCTCTCCGGGAATAAGGTACCATAACGGAGCACTTCGGTTTTCCAGGGCCGCACGTCAGCTCAGGGTCTCCCAGGTAACACGAATCACACCGCAATCATATCCATCGTATCTAGGTAAGGTAGCGATAGTACTGTAGCGATTATTTCAGAGTATATTTGCATATGTGCAGCCGGTGTGAGCCGCCCCATCCGCCAGGGCTGCCAACTTCCGTGACCTTGTGCTATGATTTCTCACCGACGCCCTGACCCCTTACGGGGTAAGCTAAGGATTACCTCCTCCTATGCCTCTCTGTTGCCATCATGATCTGGGTCAGCTACTCCCGAGAGCCCGGCCAAGGTCCGTTGAGATGGACTTCCATTATTATACCCGCAATCACATAAATGTACTCCACTATTAATCGAACCGCTCGTGCCACGATACCTTACTTGCCGATTCACATAAGTATCGCAGGATGATGAGATGCCAACCATAGTGTTACTATACAAAACTCCAAGTGAAATGGTCTCCGTTCTCTGTCTATCACTTTCAGCGGACGAAAGCAGCGCTTCGAGTCTCAAATTCAAGTAAGTCATCTCATTTACCTATGGGTATATATAGGACACACCGTCTTGGAGACGAGAACAGCGAGAACAACCTGACTATACCAAAAACCCTGGCTTCAGGGCTGGCGAACGTCTGGCTGGCCTAGATGAAACATGCAAGTCATGTATGACCAAGTCGCGGATTCGCAATGAAAGTCGTTTTATTCTGCGACTGGGGAAAGGGGTAATCCGAAGGAAAGGTACTGCAAGAGTATAAAGTAAAGGTGCTGCAAGAGTAACGGGACAATCAATGTAATTGTATGCTGCTTCGGAAAAGACCCGTACTCCCATGTACGACACCTACACTATACACACGCCCGCCAGTGTCCACCTCTTCATACGTCAACCAGGTTCTCCTCCTGACCCTCTCCGTCCGTGTCCTTCACGCCCTTCTCGTTCTTGTCCTTCCCCTTGCCCTTGCGTTCAGCAGCCGATCTTTGGTAGAACTCATTGATGATCTTGGCGGGGATACGGTTTAGCAGGTCCTTGGGGTAGATGCGCAGTAAGCTCCAGGCAATGTCCAGCGAGTCAAAGATGGTTCGCTGCTCGTATGCGCCTTGCGACACGAATTGACGTTCGAACTTCTCGAGGAACTCCAATGACAGCTTATCTTCGGCCGACAAAGCCTCCTCACCAACGACAGCCTTCATGGCAGCCGCATCACGACCGATGGCATATTTGGCATACAGCTGGTTGGAGACATCGCCGTGGTCCTTTCGCGTCATGCCCTCGCCAATGGCAGACTTCATCAGACGGGACAGCGACGGCAGAACGTTGATCGGCGGGTATACACCACGGTTGTGGAGCTGTCGGTCTACGAAGATCTGCCCCTCGGTGATGTAGCCTGTCAAGTCAGGAATAGGATGCGTGATATCATCGTTCGGCATGGTCAGGATAGGAATCTGGGTAATGGAACCGTTTCGTCCTTCGACACGACCGGCTCGTTCGTAGATGGTGGACAAATCCGTGTACATGTAACCGGGGAAACCACGTCGACCTGGCACTTCTTCTCGGGCGGCTGAGACTTCTCGCAGGGCATCGCAGTAGGAGGAAAGATCGGTAAGAATGACTAGGACGTGCTTTTCGAGCTGGTAGGCATAGTATTCGGCGGTGGTAAGGGCAAGACGAGGAGTAATGATACGTTCGATACTGGGATACACTGTCAGTAAACATGTCCAGGGACATCACCGGGAGTGGCAACCTACGTAGGATCGTTCGCAAGGTTGAGGAAAAGTGTAACGCGCTCCAAGCTGCCGTTCTCCTCGAAATCGCGCGTGAAAAATCGGGCGGTCTCCAAGTTAACACCCATGGCAGCGAAGACGATGGAGAAGTTGTCCTCGTGGTCGTCGTGTACACCCTTGTTTGTAGCCCCCTTTTGCTTGACCAGACTGGCCTGTCGACAAATCTGAGCAGCGATCTCGTTATGAGGTAGACCGGCGGCAGAGAAGATGGGAATCTTTTGCCCACGAGCGATCGAGTTCATGGTGTCGATGGTCGAGATACCGGTCGAGATCATCTCTTCGGGGTACACCTGGACGTGATTAGCCTAAGCCACGCAGGGCGGGCAGAGTACACACTCTTGAGAAGGGGTTGATGGGACTGCCGTTGATGTCGAGGTAATCTTCGGCCAGGACCTTGGGTCCCTTGTCGATAGCTCTACCTGATCCATCAAAGATACGCCCCAGCATATCCTCTGACACGCCGAGCTTCAAGCTCTCTCCGGTGAATTCGACCTTGGTTTTCTTGACATCGATACCCGACGTACCCTCGAATACTTGGACGACAGCTCGGTTGCCTGCATTCATAGAGAAACAGCTGGTCAGCACTGGCAACCGGAGCTCCAGAAGCGCACGACTGGCTTACCTCGAGCTTCGAGGACCTGACCCGACCTTTCGGTCCCATCGGGGAGGGTCAACGTCACGATCTCATTGTAACGGGGAAATTTGACATTGTCCAAGATAACCAGCGGACCGTTGACACCGCCGACGGTGTTGTACCGAATCCTGGGCACGACGGAGTACGAGGACGATTCCCGAGGATCCATGGTGCAAGCGGTCGCAGGTATGCGCTGCTAGGGCTCGGCGATAGGAAGAGAGGAGGGGAGGGGACTATGAGCGCTCCCGGGTTGTCGTCGGGCTCCCGTATGTACGGAGAGGGTATGCAGCGTGGTATGGAGTACGGTGAAACAGCAAGCAACGGGTTGTAGGTCGGTCCAGCTCCAGCCACTGCCAGGTGTTGACGTTGGAACCGGAAGCTCCAAAGCTTGGGCCTTCTGCAGCAGGTGGGGCGGGGCTGCGAATGCGGCTGCCAGTGGACTTCAGTGCCAGTGTAACTGGGTTAATCACATGACCCCCATCCTTCCCACCACCCTTTACTCCCAACGAGCACACCCCTTTCGTGTATCGGATTCATATCAACTCAGGTTCCTATTTGAACGACGGCGTCTTTCGAACAGGCACAAATCCATATCTTTCTCATAATGTATGAAAACATTGTAGTAGTGTCACTGAGTACTGTGACCGTTTTGCTAGACGAACCAGATCTATCACCAGTCTTACTGGCAACTGCAAGGCAAAAGTACCCATTGTGAACTCGTCGATAGCGCGGCTTAAGTCGATCTCTTCTTGGAAACGAAGTTTTGGCGTTGGCTGATATACTTATAAGACGACATTTCCAAAGAATTTCGGAAACAGTCAGCAAGAGCAGCATGTGAGTTCCTACTTGAGAGGCGCCATCTTTTAAACAGTCACAAATCCCTAGGTAGTCACCCACACCCCAACGCAAGAAGGCTCTATCGGAGGTGCTTAGAAGCCAGAGCAACTAGCCACATAACAACCTTGTTGAGTTTTGGAAGCGAGCGGTTCGATCCAGCTACGAATCGACCGGACAATGTCACATGCAATACCTTCCCCTATCCTATCAAGATCGCGTCCGCCTTCGACGCCTTCTTCGGCTCCCTCTCCGCCTCGGCAAGGACCCCATCGCTCTTCCTCTTTTTCGCCATCGCCCCCGAACCCTCCTTGGCATCGCCCAGCTTCACCATCTTGACCCAGACCTCGAAATGGTCTCTGCGGTCCTCCCGCGTGTAGCACGTCCCGTGGTACAGGCCGTTCTTCTCGTCGTGCTCCGGGGGTCGCCGTAGCTGGGCCCCCTGGCCGCTTGGGAGTCGCAGTACGCTTCTGCGGCGCGGTTGGCGGCTGCGGGGGTCTTGAACGCGCCGATGGGGAGCGCGAGGCGGCCCTTGCGGTCTGTGTGGTGGTCGAAGTCCTTGCGCAGGACAATGTAGACCGCGTTGATTGATTCCGACATGTCCGCGTGAGGGAATGAGCTGTGTATAACTTGTTCTGGTCAGGTTTGAGGGTTGTGCGATCACCCTGAGTTGGCCCACCGCGTAACGCACGTAGGTGGTGGACACGCGACTTCGCGGCTGGGTCCACATCAACACCACTAGGGCTGAACCGGGTGGAATAATGTCCGGCTTCCTATACGAATACCTTATTCAGCTTTTGACCGCATTGCTTAACGTTCTCTGCAAGCCCATCACCACTGTCAGATAACTGTAGTGTACCGAGAGATAAATGTGTCTGTTCGCTGGGAGAAAACCCGCAGGACGGTCTTTCCCGGCCACAGATTCTGGGCCGGGGTAAGGCACTCGAGCAAACGTATGTATAGCTATAACATTCATGCATACAAAGAGTTAATGATAGGCACCACGCAGCTACTCCGCGGACCATCGACCAGTCAGACCAGCCACATAGCCGTGACTGGGCCTTGACAGAATCCGCGGCGTAGATTGTTGACTGGGGTGAACTGGGCTTCATGACATTCGCGGGACAATCCAGGTCCGAGACCAGCAAGATACTCCTACAAGCGAGACGATTTAGCCAGGTAAACATACCTAGTGTCTTCTTACTGATCTAGCACCGTTGCTTGAACTCGCCCGGACGCTGTGGATGCCTCGCGTGATCCCGATTAGGGTCTTCAGTGGTACATACAGTAACATTAGTAACAGCACGATGCTGGCTCATTGTGATCGTGTATTGGTCTTCGAGAGAGAGACCATCCAGAGTGGGCTGGTCATATGAGGCAAGGGGTCCCGCCCAGAAGGCCTTGGCACTTAATACTCATTACGTTGTGTACAGCGTCACCCGGGTAGTAGGTGACGCGCGATGCCACCCTTGTTACCAACTACATGCTTTGAAAGTCGCTCAGATGTGGCCATGGTCACGATGAGTTTCGGTAAATGGCGTGAGTAGAACATACGGAAGAGTTCTAATGAGTTGAGGCTACTCCGAGAACCATGCCTTAATGCTGAGAACATGATCTCAGGTTCTGGCATGATTCCGATAAGCTATTATGGAACTGGAAGCTTGTGCGGTCTTTCCTAATAACGACAGGGTTTCCCGACGCATCTCAGAGGAGAATGTATACCACGTCAGCCTACGATGCAGGTTTTCAGGGGGCTTGTGACGTGTGATAGATGTTGAGAGCTCCGTGTGAGAACTCACTTACCTCCTGTAAGCTCTGAACACACCCAGGTTTCATAGCTAGTGCACAGCTCGTATGAAGTATGTCATCTGTTCTGCCATATCGCAGGACCTCCAGTTCAGTCTCAATGGGATTCGCCCATTGACCCAAGTCATTAAATTGGGATTCATATTGTGCAGAGATCTGGATATTTCTCCAACTATCCATTTAGGCAAAACATCTTGGCTGACACGCTCTGGGCAATTTCAGTTGTCTGCCGGATCTTAATCACAATTCTCATATTGCCATGCCTTTCTCCGCTTCTTGGGTGGCAGTCGTGATGGGTCGAGGTCGCCTCCAAAAGTTGACTACCACGTGAAAGAAGATGTCCACGGCAGATGCAAATTCATGGTTGTCTTCTGAAGTCCTGAAGATTTTGGCAAAGTGAACGTACTCAGTCGCATTCCATCGCGTGAATGCCCAGAATGATCCGCCAATTCCTTCCCATTGGGCTGCTTGCAGTCACGGGCGTAACCGCCCAGACCGCGGACACCACGGACAAGTACGACTACATCGTAGTTGGATCCGGGCCAGGAGGAGCCCCACTACTCGTGCCCCGCACCACTTTCCACCTCGCTAGGGCTCACCACGTAAAGTGGTGCTCACCACAGTAGCACACCAACCACAATAACACACCAATATGAGGTTATTTAGCATTAAAATTTACGTAGCGACCGCATCTTCTTGCCAGATTCGTAGATATCAGTAGCAGGTAGTCTCTTAGTAATCCTCCAATGCCTGGCCAACTTTGCTGCCTCCTTAGCGAGGGTTTTTCGTGGTTGGAGCTCTTTCTTCGCCAGGGCATCCGCCTTCTTTTGGAGGCCTGCCGCGGTCTCCTGCTCCTTTTTCCTCGCCATCTGACGCCCAATTTCAACTGTGAGGACTCCTCCTGATTGGAGAGGAGTGTTCTTTACAGACTTGCGCTGTTTGTTAACTCGAGAGGCTAATTCGGTCCTTCCAAGGTCCCTTTTGGTCTGGACTAGCTGGGAGGCGTGGAAGCGCGCCCCCTTGGATAGGAGCCTGATCCTCTCAATATCTTCAGGAGTAAGATCCTCGCCATCGTCCAGGTTGTTCAAGGCCTCGTCTACTTGATATGCGACCTTGTGAATCTGCCGCATTGTAGCTGGGGTGGTAACTGGAGAGGAACCAGGCTGGTTAGGGGGGGGTGACGGGGTCCTCGCGCGAGCTTCGCGTTCCTTCAACTGATTAATCACAACGGACGGTTTGAAAGGATGGATGCCCGTTTTCTTGAAGGCAGAGAGGATAGTGGTCTTCTTAAAAGCTTGCTGGCGAACCCCTTTAATACACGATAGGAACTCGATCTTCCCGATGTGCGTGAGACCATCACGCACCATAATATCCAGGGCTTTAACATAGTAGTGCTTCAAGGGCTGGAAAACCACCACATCGAGCGGCTGCAGTAAATGCGTCATCTTTGGAGGGAGACCAAAAGGGATAATGCCGTTATCGTCACAATATCTAATGAATTATATCGTGTGGTGGCTACCGTGACCGTCGATGATTAGGAGCCTCTTTATACCAACTTGAGAGGTTTTAGAATGCTTATTAAAGTGCTTAATCCACTCTAAGCTGATCTCGTCGTTCGAATAACCACTCTCCGCGGTTACAATCGCCATCCTGGGGTCTAATTTGGGTACCTTGTACCATGATGACATGTGGAGGGTGCCAGAGAGGATAAGGAAGCCTGGGATAACCTCGCCGGCGGCAGAGATAGCTTCTATGCCAGTAGCAGACTCCCTATTTTCTGGTATTCCGAAATAATGGGCTCTTTTTCGCTTGGTAACGACCATCTGGTCCTTTCCAACCCCTAATCGAAAGCCAGTCTCGTCCATGTTCCACAGGTCGTCAGGGAGGATGCCCTCCTCCCTGATGACCCTCCCCAGCTTCTGGAAGTATTCTTTAGTGCGTTTCGAGTCTTCAGCAGCTTGCCGATCTTGTGAAAGGACTTTCTGAAACTGCTTGAAGTATCCGTGGCGCTTGATGAAGCGGGAGGCCCAATTCTTGCCAACTGTAGGTAGTTCCGTGACCGCGGTACTCGCCGACTCCTGGAGCAGCAAGTTGGCAGCCTCTGTGATGAATTCTGGCCTTACGGAGAGATTAATGACATCTAGGCGGTCGATATAAGCACAGACGGCTTTTTCTTGTATTGCATTCAGCTTGGTGGGTGGTTCTTGTGGCCCTTTTTTGGAAGGGATGCCCTGCAGGCAGTTGCGGAAGCGCTCTCTTGGAACCCTAAATTGGCGGCAGATATCGCGTTCGGAGGCATTCGGATGCTTGTCGGCATATTCTACGGCTTCGTAAATACGGGATTCCATCGCGAAAGAGTCGTCTGTCCAAAGAGATAATGACTTTGGTGTGGTTTTGGCTGGAGGGTGGTTATTTTGGAAGACTGGTGTGTTATTGTGGTTGGTGTGCTACTGTGGTGAGCACCACTTTACGTGGTGAGCCCTAGCGAGGTGGAAAGTGGTGCGGGGCACGAGTAGCAGCGAACCTGGCCCGAGCAGGACAAACTTTGCTTCTGCTCGAAGCCGGCACCGACCTCGGCGACAACAGGAACTACTCCGAAATCATCAACTTCAATCTCGCGGGTAACGACGAAAAATCTCGATGGGACTTCTTTATCAAGCATTCGAACGACGAGGAGCGTGAAGCCAAGTACGAGAAGATGACATGGCGCAAGACTGACGGCTCCTTCTACGTCGGCCTCGAACCTCCCGAGGGTGCGAAGAGACTGGGCATCTACTACCCTCGGGCCGCAACTTTGGGTGGGTGCGCCATGCACAACGGTGGTGTATGCACGCTGCCGGCTGACGATGAGTGGGATGCCATCGCGGAGCTCACGGGCGACGACGGTTGGCTCACCAGCAACATGCGCAAATATTTCGAGAAGATGGAAGCGAACGAGTACCTCCCAGTTGGTACTGCCGAACACGGGTTCACCGGCTATGTCAACACGACGATCGGTGACCCGGCCTTCATGGAACAAAGCTCTGACGTGCAAAAAATTGCTAGCGAGATCATCAAGTTGACCGGAGGTGATGCGGCGCGAGACATCAACGCGTGTGATCCAGAGCGAGATCAATCCACCGGAGTTTTTGGCCTCGTCAGCCACGCCGACAAGTTTGGGAAACGAGCTGGTACCAATACGTATATCCGGAAAACTTTAGCCGACCCAGCCAAGTTCCCATTGACGGTGCAGCTCGATTCGCTGGTGACCAAAACCCTCTTTCTCTGAAGATGCCGAGGAACCTACTGCGATCGGTGTCGAGTTCCTCGAGGGACCTTACCAGTACGAGGCTGATCCACGGTATAACGGCACAAAAGGCGAGCTCGGCCAGGTCTTCGCCAACAAGGAAATAATCATCTCCGGAGGGTCGTTCAACTCTCCACAGATACTCAAGCTTAGCGGTATCGGGCCCGCCGACGAACTGGAGAAGTTCGATATCCCCCTCGTGAAGGACCTGCCTGGGGTGGGCGAGAGACTGGCCGACAACTACGAGGCAAGTGTGCTGTCACTCGCAAGTAAGCCGCTGAACGGGTCGGCAGCACCGGTCGCTGTCCTCCTGAAGACGCCCACAGCTCGCAAGAATAGGAACGTCCACGCCTGGTGCGCTTCCTTCTCCTTCGAAGGGTTTTACCCGGGTTTCCCAACCAACTATGGCCCAGCTGAATATGAGTGTGCAATGGTCCACATGAATCCACGCAGCCAGGCCGGCTATGTGCGGCTGCGATCGAGCAATCCCCAAGAAATGCCGAGATCAACCTCAACTTCTTCGAGGAGGGCGGCGACGAGGACCTGACGGAGATATCAGACGGCGTGAAGGTGTTGCGACAGGCCATGAACTTGGCCGGGGCCCCATCACCCCCTTCAACGAGAAACACCCTTGCCCTGGCAAGCTGCAGAATTGTACCGACGAGGCACAGAAGGACTACATTAAGTTGCAGGCGTACTCGCATTACGCCACGAGTACATGCGCCATCGGCCCTGCCGAGGACAAGATGGCTGTCTTGGACTCCAAGTTCAGGGTCCACGGGGTCAAGAACCTGCGCGTCGTTGATGCTTCGGCCTTTCCGTCCGTCCCTGGCGCATTTTCTGTATGCCCTACCTTCATGCTCGGCGAGAAATCCTCCGCGGATATCCTTACGGAGGTTGCAACTGGTGCCCCGTCTTGATCTGTGACGAATCCGTGTATATGGGATTTCTGCTTGCTCAAGACACATCGTCTTTCGATTCGTGTATACAGATAAATGAAGGACGACGACATAAGAACAGACTGAGTCGCATGCAAGCCGGGCACAGGACTCATGTCGTTGTCATCATGAGCGTGAGTGTACTGCACGAGAGACCTGATAGGGCAAAATAATGTTATGGGATAGTCCGGTGCACGACTACTACATGCAGCCACCTACCCATAGATCGAAGTTGGCCATTTTGACGAATTGAAATCTGTTAGGAAGGGTTTTCACTCCGAACCTGTCGCCGGATGAGGGACCGTACATCGTTTTGTAGATAGAACCGAGTCTGCATCGTGAGCTCTATGAGCTGTGACAAGATAGACTGTGGTGATGAAGTGATGATTGGACTACCTCTTCTAACAAGAAGTCGTTGAACGAGTATTTGTGTGGCATTGTTTTCGGTTTCGACGAGCCACCAGTGTGTATGTTTAAGATCCAGCAAAGGACCTCGGGAACATGCCATGGCGGCTTCAATCGACACTACCGCCCCGCAGTCGGTCACAGCTGGCAGCCCCGCGGACCCACCAAAGCTATCGATAAAGAAGTTACCTTAAGGTACGACCAGCTGATAAGATAATATTTGTTTTATTTCTGTACGGCCTCATCTTGCCAATACTGAATAACCGCCTCACCAACGTCTCAACGGCGCTTCAGAGTCGCCAGTATGCGGAGAAAGGTCACAGCGCTGGAGAAGGTCGATGCCGATCTCGCCGGACTGCAATACAGGATCAGGAAAGACCCCTTGGCTTACGAGAAGGAGTTCCTGGAGGTGTGGTCGCAGTACGAGGCAGCACACGAGAAATATCTCGCTGATCCGATCGGCGCCGATGCGAACGGACTCGTTACGTGGCGAGAGCAGATAGATATGGGTATGTGGTTCAATTGTCCGTGTGATATGGTGCACACCGAAGCTTACCGTGTGCACAGTGGCCCATGTCGCCGAATTGTACCCTCAGATAACCGCGGGCTTCCCCGACGACCTCAGAGAAGTCCTGACCAGACACCATGCCGTCCTCGAACCGAACCTCCGCGAGAAGATTGTTTCCAGCCTCACGTTGCTTCGGCGGAAGGACGTGGTCGATAGCACCTACATACACACCGCCTTGTTCCCCATCCTTATAACGACACCGTCGAAGACACTGCGAATGCTTCTGGTAAGTTGCAGGCTATCACTGAGACAGACATCGACATACTGACTATTGGCAGTATCAGAAAATACTCAGCGATATCCGAAATGTCAACTCCAAGGCCTCGAACCACCGCGTCAATCGCACCATGCAAACCGTTCTATTCAATCTGGTGTCGGATCCGACGTCGCCAAAATCTATCTGGGCCTGCAAGCTGGTGAGAGAACTTTGGAAGCGTCAGGTCTGGAAGGACTCCAAGTCGGTTGAGATCATGGTGCGCGCAAGCTTGAGCGACAACGAGAAGACCGTCTCCAGCGCTGTAGCTTTCTTCCTTTCTGGAGACAAGGAGCGCGAGGAGTTCGTTGACGAGGATAGTGAAGAAGAGAATATTGATATGCGGAAGATCAAGCACCAGGCCACAATCAACAAGAAGACGAACAAGAAGAAGGCGGCTATGGAGAAAGCTGCGGTCCGGGTCAAGAAACAGGAGCGAAAGAAGACGACTGCGCCGCACTTGCTCAACTTTTCTGCGCTGCATCTGCTGCAGGATCCTCAGGGGTTCAGCGAGACGTTATACGAGAAGCATCTGGCAAACAAACGCTCCAAGCTAGCACTCGAGACGAAGCTGCTAGTTTTGAGTCTCGTCACCAGATTGGTCGGCTTGCATAAGCTGACTGTCATACCCCTATATTCCTGGTTCATCCGGCATCTTACTCCGCGACAACAATCTGTCACATCTATTCTGGCATCTCTCGCCCAGGCGACGCATAATCTGGTACCGCCCGATGTGATTGAGCCCCTGATACAGAAGATCGCGAATGAGTTTGTCTCGGAGGGGTCGGCTTCAGAAGTGTGCGCCGCGGGTATCAATGCCATCCGGGAGATATGTGTTCGTCAACCTCTGAGCATGAACGAGACATTATTGCAGGATCTCGTTGAATACCGCAGGTCCAAGGACAAGGGTGTGTCGATGGCTGCCAAGGGATTGCTCTCCCTATATCGCGATGAAGGTGCCGAAATGTTGCGCAAGAAAGATCGCGGCAAAACAGCGACCATGGGACTCAGGAGTGGCGACCTGAAACAGCAGAAGTTTGGCGAGGAGCAGCTTGGTGAAATAGAAGGCCTCGAATTGCTTGCGAGGTGGAAGGAAGAGCAAAAGAAGCGAAAAAGGGCTGAACAGGGCCTGCCGGAACCTGAGGCTGGTGAAAAGATCGACGACGAGGACGATGGATTCAACTCGGATGATTGGGAGGTTGCGTCGGCTGACAGCAGCGACTCTGGTGACTGGATCAGAGTAAGCGACTCGGAAGACGAAGCTGTACCAGATGCGAAAAAGCGAAAGGTGGACCCAGAAGAAGCCGACGAGGAGGGTCAAGAAACCGCAGGGGACGAGCCGATGGACTTTATGAAACTTGCGACCAGTCAGATACTCACGCCGGCCGACCTCGCGAAACTGAAGGAATTGCGGTTAGAAGCCGAAGTCGACAAGGCGACGGGCAACCGCAAGCGGAAGCAGGACATGGAGGCTCGTCATCTCGACGAGGGATTGACTGCAGAGCAGATTGAAGCGCCAGCCAGATTACGGAAGAGCACCAAAGAAGAACGAGTGGCCCTAGCTAGAGAGGGCAAGGGGGATCGTGACGAGCACAAATCCACATCCGCTATACGTAAATCCAAGAAGGAGGCGGAGGGCAAGTCCACTACCAACAAGGAAAAGGCGCGGAAGAAGAATTTCCTCATGACGATTGGCAAAGCCAAATCGAAGCAGAAGCGAAGTCTTGTGGACACGAGGAATGCTCTCACAAACCACGTGGCAAGGGCAAAGTCTGGAGGTAGGAGACGGAACGGTGTAGCACGATAGCGGCACTCAGTAGAGCGAACAGCGACCGCCAAGCAGTACTGATACACATATTGCCCAAACCCCTCTTCCATTGCGTCAACTACAATTGTGTAGGGTCTGTTTACAGTCCTCTACATACAGCAGCCCATTGCCAGACCGGGTGGGAAAGATCCCCGCCCTGTGCAGTCTTTGAAAAGGTGCTCGATGGATGACCGTTGAGCGAGGCGTCAAATCCATGTACGTTGACCCCCGTTGTGAGCTTATGAGCAAAGACGCAATACACTGCTGTGATCTCGCGTGGCACTCTCCTCTGTCGTGACTTGAATCTGGATACAGTCTCGCTTCGATGCTTATGACTGCTTCACTAAAGCCGTGGATTGTCGACTGCTGATTTACCTAGATGGTCGATTGCCGGGTGTCAATTCACACTAGGCAGGACACCGCATCTGTTTTCGTTCACATAGTTCAACGCAGCTATGTTCCATTGTAAGTGAACGGCATGATTGCCTTATTATGTGCTCGATCCAACAAGCTCCATCAGTCACTACTCGAACTTCTGGACCGCGACGGGTGGCAGAAATTGGGTGCTCGGCTGATGTTCAACGTACAGTCTCTCTTTCCGTGGATCTTATCTTACCTGATCTACTGACTCCTTCACGGGAGACTGACTGAGAACTAAACAGACCCATGGCAGATTCGAGTACCACATTCCAGCTTGCTTCGATGAGAAGCGGCTAGCGATTGCTTATTCGCGACTCCAGCACGACACCAAAACCGCAGACGATCCTCTTGGTGCTCGACTACCTAGACCAGCAGCCGGGCCGGTGGTATTTAACGACCGAGAAGAGTTCGCGCCTTTCGAACGGCGTCCTGATGGTCCCCAAACAATGCTCGACTGCCTCCACACCGACGCTCCGCAGCTCAGCCTGCACATCGTGTCCTTCGCCGATCTCGCTGTCATGGCCACATACTCTTTTGGACGCCATGGGCCGGACGTCCCTCTTCAACGCTTGGATCGTCGTGCTCGAAGGCCGACACGCCGACGTCCTGCCCCTGCGCGACGTAACGGAAGATCTGCTCGCGTGTCTGGCTTCAACTCGCAAGAGCCATATGCGCTGGCCAACCGCCTACGCTCGCCGTTGCAGGCCCTGCTCTTCGCTGTGATGTACCTTAGGGATACTTACGTCTGGCATCACGGCGAGTAGACGCGCGTAGCCTGCATCCCAGCCTCGACCGTGAAGTCACTGCACCAGGGCGCCCTTGCCAACCTGCGGCAGGACGCCGCTGCCGATGACGAGAAGTCCTTGCCCCTTTTTGTGATCGAGTGTGACGTGCTCTGTGGCTAGATCACCCGGCTCGCACAGTTGCACCTGCGGGAGTCAGGCCACACGGTGTCTATCTTCAATGCGCTCGGCATGCGCGGTGTCCCGGCGAACGATCTCCTGCCCTCGACGAGTGCCTACGTTGGTAATGCCGTCGCCGGCGTATACGCGTCCCTCCCATGACAGAATTATTCACGAAGCCTCTTGCTTGCGCAGCGACAGCAGTGCGCCACTCCATTACCCAGCAGGGTACGCGCGCGTAGGTCGAAGCCCGCGCCGCCTCTGACTCCGAAGCGGGCAGGAAGTGACAGGCCCGCGATCTACGGGACGTCGGGATGGTGCCTGTCATGTTCTCGAACTGGAGCCAGGCCAAGTTCTTCGAGGTGGACTTCTCGGCCGCGGTGGTGCGGCCCGGCGCCGGCTTGGCAACGCGTTCGAATGAGCTGGGGCGGCCGTCGTATATCCAGCCCACGGGCGTGGTGAGCGGGATGCCGATTAGGAACTCGTTCCTTATGGGGAAACTGGTTCTCACTCACGCTGAGGATGGGGCTGTGGACGAAGATGCAGGAGGCTATGGATGAGGAGTGGTGGTGCTTGCGCTATACTTTACTCCGTAATTATAACTCTTATTGGGTCACCCCGTCTCATCGTCATTATTTAGCTTGGTAACCTCATGTCCCATGCGTCTCCTCACTTGTCATTCTTCTTGGCGTCCTTGGCGGCAGGCTGGCCCTTGGCTGCGGAGGCCTTGATGGCCTTCTTCTCCGCTTTCTCCTCGGCCAGCTTTTCCTCTCGCAGCTGCTTCTTGGACTTTCCTCCGGTGGCAGCTTTTGCGGCTGCCTGTTGTTGCTGAGCAGCCTGCCGTCGGGCTAGCTGTTCGATGGGATCGGTTGCGTTCCAATCCGCCGGGTTTGTACCTCGACCATGTAGAAAATCTCGTGCCTTGATTAGGCAAGGTCGTGGTCTGAGACTTGGTAGATTATTGGCATGTCATATATAGTACGAATGAGAGTTTACACATTGTAGGTTGAGTTCGTTTCACTGTGCTCGTTATGTTTGCTGTTGCGCAAGTTGAATTGAGCTGAGTTGCAAGTGAAGGGACGTGGTATGCAGTAGGAAATCTCTTGACGAGATGTGTATGTCGCATATGTGTTTGTGTGGCAGTGGAGAAGACAAGCATGCTTCTGGTAATTTGAAGTCGTGTAACATAGACTTATGGAAAACTCAAACGTCTCCTTTATCAACGAGTCATGGTAACACTGTTCGCATCAGGCACCGTAATGACCCTCTGACTTTGCCACCATGGACCTACCACAAGCACCACCCGCTACCGTAGCATTATAGAACCATAATTCCAAAATAGCACCCCGCCAGACCGCTTCCTCGAGCGGTTTCGCTACGTTGTCTTGCCAGAAGCTCGGGCCTAAGATCTCTTGAAGCACAGGCTTCAGCCCCGAGTTGGGAATGGTTGAGTCTTGAAACTGTTGGCGTCCAGCATGATCAAAGCCGGCCATATCTATCCACGCAAACGGCATATTTCTGTTCTCGATATTGAGTACCTGTGGCTTTCTTCCACCGGCAAAACCGGTAATTTCGCTCGATGCAATCCCTGTTGTACACGCACGCCTGGCCACGTCGCCAGGTTCCGGGTATGACTTTGTAGTCGAGGCTATCGACGTATTCGGTCCTTCCCCTCTTTTTAGGACCGTGGTACTCAATGCCAGTCTCATCGGCCAGCACTTTACCTGTGCCGGAGATGCTTGACAATTCGTTTTTGTCTTCGTCCCATAGAAGGTGACCGTCGGGATCGAAATGACCCTCGTTTTCGAACTCGGTGACGGCCTCGCTGAACGACTTGTAGAAAAGTCTCTGCACCATGTTCATGTCAACCAATTGTTTATCCATCAGTTGATTGATTGATTGATTGATTGTATTTATCGTGGGTGCAGTCCCTCCATAGGGCAAACCACGCCTCCCAGAGCCATTGCATCGCAAGGTTGTAGAGGTGTCAGTCTAGATACATTCAGATCCGCGCATGAACCTATCCTCGCTGTAGCGGTAACAACCTGGAGTGACCAGATGGTTTTAGTCAATACCCAAGCACGATTCTGTCAGAAAAACCTCCTATCTAGTGACAAAGAGACCCAGTAAACCTCAGTCCTCTGGTGTACAACATCGTTCCAGTAGCCGTTCGATATATGTCACATTGGTGGGTGAAGTAGGTGTTTGTTATCTGCTAGCGAGGGAAACCACAAGGGGAAAAACCTCACAGGAGTGGGTATTGTGGAGACAAGCTACTTGGCTATCGGGCTCTACGATAAGGGGCCTCTCCACTGTCGTGTGCTGGTTGTCAACTCGCACAAGCCGGGTCAGAAGGGGGCCATAGCAGGATTCGAACCCACTTGTTCTCGTCGCCCACCGCACAAACGAGAACACAACCAGGCGCATTTGACCATTGCGCCATACGGCCGTTTATCCATCAGTGTCTATCTGCGTCTGCTCACTTTAACTGCAATTGTGCTGTTGTCCTGTTCCGGGGCCGATGCGGCAGCCAAGGTGGCTGAGAAGGCCGGTAGGAGAAGTGCCGCAAGGGACAGCTTCATTGTGATGGTCGTGCTGTGACTCGATAATAGAAAGAGCGTAATGTATACGGCACGGGGAACGAACAATCAAGTCAATCCTCGGAGCGCCTGCGGCAAATATCGTGAAAATTGGACTGGTCTGTCTAGCGAAGAGCCGGCTCTGCGGATGAGGAAGGCGATCACCCTTAAACAATTTGATAACCATAGGGTACGGTAATATAAACGACTGAGTGCTGGAATATGCAGCAGTTTGAAAAAGAGGGACCAGCGATCCGGAACACATCATAATGTGGTAAAGATTTGGACACCAAGAGTATACCAATGACAAAGTTCTAATCCTAGTGACATATTAAATGGCCCCGATCCCCAGTCTGGAATACAACATATGTAAGAACCCACGGCATAGTCTCAGTTATGCCACTTTCACTGGGAAACCCTCAAGGACCGATTGCCTAGACGATTGGTGGTGTTTTTGAAGGGCAGGAAGAACCTCCACTCAATCCAAGGAAGCACCCGGTGTATGTTGATGCCTACGCTGTATGTTGGTGCCTACGCTGTATGTCAATGCCTAAGCTGTATGTTGATGTCTACGTTTCAGTGATTTATTTATGTGCGGATCGTATGTACATGTAGGAAGAGGAAAAGGCCCCTAAGGATCCAATAGCCCATGGGGGGTTCTTCGGGGGATTGCTGATCCGTCCTTACGGGGAATGGGGACCTCAATCCCCTTCGGATGTCAATTTCATTTCTTGCGCGGGCTTTGTAAGGCACACAGATTGATCACAAGGTCCATCAGGCGTGCGAATGGGTCGGTTCGGTCTACGGCTTCGTCGTCAGACATTCACTCGCACGCGTAAAATCGTTGCCGTTCACTTTGAAAGCTATCATGTTTATAATAAACCCATTTTAATAGTATCAAAATTACTACTTTAGATCTATGCCCATGCTCCGTCTAACTACTGTACCCTCGGTCGCAGAAATTGTACACCACGTTGCTCCTGTCATCGACCCTCAACATGGCATCCATGTGCCGCCCCATGAAGCCCACTAGCTGCTTGGCTATATCGACTACCGCTGCGCTGTTGCTACGATGATACGAACCGAGTAGAACCGGACCAGCGTGCATTGACTTGTCGCGAGCCGAATCGACGAGTATCACGGCCTGAAGCCGGTCGTCCGCATCGAGGACGGCGACTGATAAAGCACCGCGTAGAATAGCTTTGATCACAGTGTCCGGACTGTCACCGGAGCCTACACTGATATCAAGCTCTGCTACTTTCTTAGTCAACGGGTTCCGACATTGAAGCCGTCTGAGCTTGACCGGAAGCAGCAGTGCCGCTTCGAATAAAGGGGCCACGTAGCTGAAGGCCACCTCGCACTGCCTATCCACCCACGCGATACGCTCGACGAAAAGGTCGACAGTCTCCCGAGAAACATGTGGCATCGCAATGAAGTGGACCCAGTCACCCTCCGGTCTCAACGAGAACTCCTCGATGATCCACGCGGGCGGTCTCTCAAAGACCGTAATGATGCTTTGCGGATTCCGTTTCGTCACGACGCCGATGCGTCGAAGTCTAGCCTCCAAGTGTGCGGCGTTATCCTGGCATTGATTCAGCATCTGGCCGACATCGTCTGGTGCGTAGATCCGAGAGTAGAGCCAAGTCTCGAAGACGGCTCTTGGGTCTACGCTCGCAGCTAATGATGGGAGTTCGTCTCTGGGACTGAAACATAGCACCTCGCCGGAGACCGTGTGGCCTAGAGCTTTGTGGTGGCTGAGCGTCACGCCTTGGACCATGGGCGTTCCGTCAGGCCCTTGGCTTCCTGGTGGCCCTAGCCTGATGCCGCAGTTGTCGAAGCCGAAGTCGAGGGCGCCGTCCACGTGGATGTACGAGATGGCGATACCGACTTTAGCCAGGCTGTCGTGGATGCGCGTGATGTCGTCTCGAGCCCCGACGAAAGTCGTGCCCATATTTGCGAACAGGACCATACGGTAGCTGTCGCCGCGTTCAAGACACCGCTTCTTATCCTCGACGGCTTGCCTCACGAGCGCATCGACAAGAATGCTTCCGTCCGCACCGCACGGGATCTGAGAGTATCGCGGTCCACTGCCGGACCAGCGATTCGTGAGCCCGTCGCAGTCCCGCGCTGTCTTCGCCACGCTGTAGTGAGTCTCGGCGGAGAAGTATACGACTGCGCCTCGGAAATTCTTGAGAGCAACGTGGATGCCCACGCGGTTGCCCATTGTGCTTCCATTAGTGAAAGCACCCTTGAATAGCGATCGCTCTTCAGGCATGCGGAGACCGAATGCGCTTAGTCGGGCTGTCAGGACTTCGTCAGCTTTGGTTTTGATACAGTCTTGGGGTATGTTGATGTCTAGAAAGCGGCCGACGACGGGCCCGAGGGCGGAGTAGGAGCCCATGTGGAATGGGTAGCCGGTCGCGGATCGGGTTGCAATTTTCCATGATTGCACTTTCGCCTTGAGCTCGCCGATGATGGTCTGAGGGATCGGGTAGAGAGTCGAGAAGTCGATGTATGGAGGGAGCTCTGCCAAGTGGTCGGCAGGACGAGGCTTCAGCGACATGATCTCGATGACCGATTCAATATCACTGGGCTTGACGTTCGGCCGTACCGTAAGCATGACGTCCCCATTGTTGACCACAATGCCTCCTAGCTCCGCGAGTCGCTCCATCTGCACCGCTGAGGAGCGTTTGAGGAGAATATCAAGACTGTAAGGGACTGTAATCGCCGAGATACCCCAAGATTCAAGGGCCCGAAGCAACTCAGCTCGCACGCCAGCGCAGTGTTCGTAAACCTGTCGAAACCCCGATTCCCCCAGACGCATCTCTTGCAGTGCCATCCACAACGGTGCAAGAGCATCTCGAGAGCCCGCAAGAGTCGAGTCCGAAGCCCGGATATACGCGACTCTTGCTTGTTTCTCACCCAGTGAAGCCGGTTTCAACGCAGCTGCCGGTGCCCAAGAGGCATGGCTTGAGCTGCCGGCGACGATGGTACTGACCAATATTGACCCATTGGGGGCTCGAACAGAATCTTTCAAGGGCTTGACTCCCAAGGTGAACTTCTCGATCTCCAAGCGAGTGCGGCCGTTCTCGCTCAGGGTTGTGATGTAATCGAAGTTGCGCGAAGCATCGACATGGAGAATAAGGGGAAATTTCTCCGTGATCTTGCATATGAGCCCCATATCGTCACAGACGCCGTTCTGGTTCGCCAGTGTGGCTGCGAATATGATTGGTCTGGCTCCGGCACATGTAACGTCCTTCAGGTAATGCATGATGGCTTTTTCTCCTTCGGACAGATCCACATGATGCGTCTCCAGTCCGAAGAAGCTCTCGACGGACTCAAGAACAGAGATATCGAAGTGATCGTATACCAACAAGGGCCGCTGCGTAGGAGCGATCTCTCGCAGTTCCTGCTGCAGTGCGCGGATGCAGTACAGGTTGGCCTCGCTGGAACTGCACACGTACCCGGACGGGTTCGGATCGCCCACACGAGCGCCCTTAGCTTGGAGCACCTTCGTCTCAAAAGACTTGAAATGGAAGGGCCAGCTCGTGTCGATCTCGTTCGGCATGTTGATCTGGTTGTTGTGCCAGGGGAGGCCGACCTCGGCGAGTACGCGACCAGTCTGGAGCCAGAGATCGTCTGATGAGGGAGAGAAGGGCTGGAGTTGTCTGGACCTCCAGGTGGTGTGCAGGTCGTTGATTTCTGAGAGGACATCATGGATTCGGTGATGGGGACTGCGCCATTGGCTGATGATGGGGTCGTCGATCCACTGGGTCTTGGAGTTGTTGAATGTCTCCTGGATGGTGTCGCTCTGAGCTGACACTTGTTTCAAACTTGGTGGATAACATGGTTCTTGGCTCTCTGTGTCAGAGAGTCTGTCTGCTATCTCTGACTCAACTATGCTGATAGCTTCCTTGAGTGAATAGTCATCTGTATCAGAAGGTTAGCATGGATGAGATCAGCATGCTGGGAAGACATACCGTCTAGGTCAACTTGCAAGTTGCTAACATCTACCAGAACCGGAACAGCCATGACTTGTTCGTGAGATGGATAGTCCAGAAGTCACTCAACAGAGACTACGCACCGCCCCTTCTGAGTAGTTGATGCACTGGACCAGTCATCGGACACGGGGACCAAACGCACTTCCGGCTTGGGACTCCAGACGTTATATCCTATTTTGGTACATATCTGGCCCAACCCGCATACCGAGGACTGAGCTTCTTGACTTACCACGGACGCTTTTGGTGTACACTAAGTACCTAGGTACGTAAGCTGATCTTGCGTGGCTTCCTCCCAAACAAAAGGAGTAGCTTAGAATAGACGTACAGTTTCACGCGCCAGTAGGTGTCCATACCGACTGTTACCTTACCATTTGGTAAACTATTCGAAAACCCCAGCGCTCTGACTCAGGGTAACACTTCAACCTTGCCGCAGCGATGGATCGAGGCCCGCCTGCATCCTTGGCCACCACACTTCCTCTGGTTCCGTACATGAGATTCTCCGCTTATTGGCTGACGCTTCTCTCCAAAGGAACGAGATCGATCTATTCCTTAGGGAAGGGCGTTTCGACCAAGGGCTGGACATCACGCCCGTCAGCACTTAATCAGACTAACTCAGCCATACGGCTGCCTGCTCCCATTGGAGGACTCGAACTCCTCGGATCACAGGAGCAATCCTTCCTGGCTCGACTTGTAGATTCGAAGAGCCGGGGGTAAGCGCCGGCCGCAAGGAATACGAGGGATTGTGGATATGAATCAGCGCCCTGCTGGATCCAGGATTAAGCGCATGACCTGTAGGGGATGCAACCTGATCCCGCAGTACTGTCCCCGGCTGTCAGCATAGACGTCGAGCAGGTTGCACACCCAACTCAAATATGTATATAGCAAGCCATGAAGAGGTCAGCTTCCAAGCTTGATTCTCCCATCGAAACTCGCCGTGCAGAACCTTTCCGACCACCATTACCGAAGATGCAGCAGGAAGACCTACTTCACCGCCCGCCTCCAGGCTTCCGGGTCAGAGATGCCATACTGGACGATGTTCCCGACCTGACACGGCTGTGGTACGCCTCCTTCAACTCCTCACACGCGTTCTGGGCAGTCATGACGCCGGACGACCCTGCCACCCGCCAATGGTGGAACGAGGCATGGACCATGGGCATACAAGCAGGCCCTGCCGTCCTGAGAACTTTCGTTGTGGAGGACCTCGCTCAGGATGGGTTAATCGTGGCATTCGCCAGGTGGAACGTCCCGCAGGAAGGTGGGAAGCAGGATATCCCGCTGCCTGAATTCCCTCGAGAATGGGATTTGGAGTTGACGGAGGCGCTGTGGGGGGGCATGCCGAGGAATAGGGCGGCGGTGATGGGACAGAGGCCTCATTGGAGTGAGTTCGCAAGATCCCCTATGTTGACGATAATTCCTCTCGCGACTTGGTTGAATTATCCCTAGTGAAGAGCGTCACTGACATCTTTCACTAGTGCTTGAATTTCTGGGCGTCGACCCAGCGTATCAACAGAAAGGCCTCGGCTTTACTCTCGTGGATTGGGGCTGTCGTCAAGCAGATGCTACAGGACTCGAGGTCTACCTCGACGCGACCATCAAGGGCCTCCCCTTTTACAAGAAGCACTTTGGGTTTCAGGAGCGAAAGGCATTGGTGATGCCTGCACGAGTTGATTCTTTTGGAACGTACGAGTTGATGGCTGGTGTGAGACCTAAGACGTTGACTATGCGGGCAGATGTTGAAGAGAAGCATGTCCCCACTAGCAGAGTGGTAGAGCTTGTAGCTGTACAAGGGGCATAATGGGCTCTTTGGAAGCAAGGGTATATGAAGTTACTTGGACCATTTCACATTGCATTTGCTATGTATGGGGACATTAAGCTGGAATATGTGGTGGACTGAGAAGAGCTTTCATTGCAAAACTATGATATATCGACAAAGTAGAGATCTTGGTGAACTTACTTGCCGACGATGGAGCTCCAGGCACCATTCCCGTTCTGGTTTTGATTGAACTAGTATCATTATTAATGCTTCTGGTCGCCTCTCTTCCACTTGGCAACCTCTCGCGACTCCTTGTACGGATCTATCGGAGCTTCGGCAACCCTCAAAACAATAGGAGATGGCGCATGGCCAATCCGTATTTCCAGTTCGGCTATCAGTTCCTTTGCCGTCAAAGAGGGCTGTTCGTTATGCAGACGTTGCAAAATTATCAGTTTGCCTCTGTCCTCATTTGTTGTGATGATCCTTCTTGGAGACGCCATTTCGTAGGATATCTTTGGTAGAAAATGTAGCAGATGTCGAACAGCGAGTTGTGGTAGGGATCAGTATAGTTGTGATGTTGGTCGCTGTGGTCTACTGGTAGTGTATGGTTCAGTGTTTAATATCTCTCGAGACAACATTCGCGACGTATATAGTGCACGGGGAAGGCCAGAGAACAAAGGTCTTTTTTCGCAATCGAACGCTAGTAATTGTATTAAAATCCATTGTCCTACCTCGTGCTACGGAAAAGTCTCTGACGGACAATGCTATGTCAATATCAGTCTTTCTATCGAGTTCTTTTCTTTGACTGATATTTATAGCAATCAATCGTTGTTGCCAAATCCCTTTGTCAGAGATGGTCTGGATCCACTGGGATAGGGGAGGCCTTTCAATGTTCTCGATGAATGGATCGTGACACGTGCCCTGCGGTGTTCGGCCTGGTTAGCAACTATCGCTGCTTTCGGGATATCGCGAGTCGCGAATCGCGAATCCCGAGGTTATACTGCATCTCACAACATACCCCTTTATTTACCGTTGCCTCTTACCGAAGAACTGGTCTTATTGAATCATGCTTTCAACGGGTGACCCCACAGCCGCCGAGCCGTTGAGGTGGTAGTGCGGGGGAACAGGAGCGGCTGGAGCGCTAAGGAAAACTACAGCGAGTGGACGCGCGCTACAGGCGATGGGGAGCCCTCAGGCTGCACCGGATCCCCGTAAAAGCGGCCCCGGGCCCCACATCCCCATTGCTGCAGGGGCTCTCACCTTCCCGTCTGCCGACCTGTCAGCCGCCTGTCTGCCTGTCCTTCCTCTCGCGAACTCGCCATTTGCATCGCTGGCCGAACACTGGTCGTTCATGTAATAAGCCTCCTTCGGCTTATCCTACCGGTAGCTGTCAGCAGTAGTATATTGTGCGGAGGGAGCCCGACCACAAACCACCAGTATTCATCAAATTGGGCTTTCATCAACTAAGTCGCGGACCACCCATTACTACACTTCGACAACACTTCGACAAAGACTTCAAGCTGAGTCTCACCATTTTCCAGAGACATCATTGTCACAATGGCAGTCCTAGGTCTTCTGCTCTCACCATGGTCATTGGTTGCTGGCTGTGTCGCTGTCGTTGCCTACTACGTCTACCCATACTTCGCCACTCTTGGCCATCTTCGCGACATACCCGCGCCCTTTCCGGCTGCATTCACCAACCTATGGCTCCTCTCCGTGTGTCGACGGGGTAAGCGGTTCAGTGTGGTAGATGATGTCCACAAGAAGCTAGGTCCGGTCGTACGAATCCAACCAAATCACATCAGCATTGCCGACGACGAGGCCATACAGGTCATCTATGGCCACGGAAATGGCTTCTTGAAGTCCGATTTCTACGATGCCTTCGTCTCCATCAAGCGTGGTCTGTTCAACACACGGGATCGACATGAGCATTCACGCAAGCGGAAGATGATCTCGAATACCTTCGCTCCGAAATCCATAGGCCAGTTTGAGCCATATATTCACGAAAACCTTGTCACCTTCGCCGATAGGTGGGACGAGCTGATCGAGAAGTCACCGCGCGGGGACCGGACTGCCCATCTCGACTGTCTCCAGTGGTTCAACTATGTCGCCTTCGACACCATTGGAGATCTTGCATTCGGTGCTCCCTTCGGAATGTTGAAAGCCGGCGCGGATATAGCCGAAGTTCGAACATCCCTTGATGCACCGCCGATTTACGCTTCTGCAGTCGAAATCCTGAACCGTCGGGGTGAGGTTTCTGCGACGCTCGGCTGCTTGCCGCAGCTGAAGCCATATGCTAAATGGTTGCCCGATCAATTCTTCAGCAAGGGCGCCGCTGCGGTGCAAAACCTGGCAGGCATCGCAATTGCGCGAGTCAAGGAACGCCTTGCGAACCCGCCAGATATCGATCGTAAGGATCTTCTGGCGCGGCTGCAAGAGGGTCGCGATGAGAAGGGAGAGCCCCTAGGCTTTCAGGAGCTTACTGCAGAAGCCCTGACTCAGCTTATCGCTGGCTCAGATACGACATCCAATACATCTTGTGCTCTGCTTTACCACGTAGCCAGAACGCCTGGCGTGCTCCAGAAGGTGCAGAAGGAGCTCGATGCGGCGATCCCGGACGACAACACCAAAGTTCCTGACTATGAGGCCATCAGAAACTTGCCGTACCTGGAGTATGTCATCAGCGAGACATTGCGTATTCACTCCACATCGGGCATTGGACTCCCACGTCAGATACCGCCAGAGTCACCTGGTGTCACGCTCAACGGGCATTACTTCCCGCCAAGCACGGTGTTAAGCGTGCCGACATACACGATTCATCACTCAAAGGAGATCTGGGGCCCCGATGCCGATGACTTCCGCCCCGAGCGCTGGGAAGATGTCACGCCTCGGCAGAAGAACGCCTTCATACCATTCAGCTACGGGCCGAGGGCATGCGTCGGCCGGAACGTGGCAGAAATGGAGATGAAGATGATAGCAGCCACGTGGATGCGTCGGTATGATGTGTTCTTGAGGCAAGAGGTTATGGAGACGAGCGAGGGCTTTCTGAGGAAGCCGTTGGCGCTAGAAATCGGGTTGATGAGGAGGCAGTGAGCCATACGGGTAGTCAATCATGATGAGCACGGTGCTGCAGCATGTTGGTGAATGGCGACCAGTGTTAGGATGCTTCAAACTTGATTGACCGCAACTTGTTTACCAGGTAGTTAGTTCAAGCCATATTTTGCTGTGTTTGCCTCATCTCGGAGTTTCTCGCCCCAAAGATGGATTCCGTCCTAAGGCGGTACTACGCGCCTACCTCATGCAGCCATGTAAAAAGACCAGGTCCGTACCACTCCGTTGATGGCCAGGCTCCTCAGACAGCAGGACCAGCAGCCTTCCCACTTGTGTTCCACTCGGTGCCATGGCAATGCAGCAAGCGAGTGCAGGAGGACGACAGGTATACAAAGCAAGAGCAGTCTCCGAGCAACGCGGACGATCACGCGCAGTGAAAATGGTTTGGCCTCCATGAGATCGCAAGTCTCAGGCTGTGGACATCCTGCGCCGTGCACATTGGTTAATGATGGCCCTTCACAACATATCCGATACACAGGCTGACCACGACAACCACCAACAGCTCTTCTTCCACCTGAAGCGTTTTTAATAGGCATTCCAAAGCAAGCTTAATCTGTATTTTTTTCAAGACGAGAATTTCAAACCCAGCGACTACTCCTAAGCCATATCACCTGCGTGCAGCCAAGAACCACCACCGATGCCAGACGAAGTACTCTCCTTTCCGACACCTCTCCACCTCGTAAGCCGACGAGCCACCAGCCAACCTCGGTGCAACACAGAATGAGAAAACGCCAACAACAGCGAGGTCGCAACGCGCAGCTTCGCCGGGCGCTCATCGCAACGGGACAGACAATCTTCGCCATCCTCCTGCTCACCATCTTCGGCCTCGCAATCGTCATCCAGAGTGGCCTCATACGGCTGCCGCAGTGGGCCAAGACGTTCCAGGGCGCCCCGCCCGACGTCCTAGCTGCTTATTCTGGCGCGCTGATGGGCATGGTCTGTGGGCTTGCTGTGCTCTTGTTCGGGTTTGCGGTCTGGGTGTACCGATCGGATTCAGCCCACGCCCTCTGATCGAAGAGGTCTGATGGGGGTTAAAGGACTGGTGCTGGCTGGGATGGACTCGGACTATACGTGTTGGGCGATGTGTGAGCGCGCGGGACGGTGATGCATGGTACGTCGCTACGCGCTTGATGCTCTTGCGAGCTCACGGCTTGTGTCTTTTAGGGTGCATCTTATTGACCAAATATCGCAGGACGCTACCATTACCAGCACTCGATCACACCCGCACGGCTTCGACTCCGAATAGCCTCAAGACAGTTTCCTGAAGTCGCTTAAATGCAGCCGGTGTCCCTTCTGCCAAGGTGGTGATGACTCAGGTCCATCAAAGTTACCGACAAATCACCAAGGGCACAAAGAAACTCGAGAACCCAGAGCACGCCGATGAACCCCTGTCTCGCCGTCGAAACCAACGAGACTATAACTGCCACCCTTCGAAGTGCGGCAGAATACCAGCGCGGAGCCTACTGCGCACCAGGAATTTTCAAGATGCTTGAACCTTCTGCACCAGAGTCTGGACTCGCTGAATCTCTCGTCCCAGACCGGTCCTTCTCTTGTGTTCGGGAGCGCCTCTTTCAGCGACGAAGCGACGCAATCGAGTCCTTGGCTTTGAGTACTTAGGAGGCAAGGTGACCCAGATGGTGTAACACACTGCTCATCCTAAAATTGGGATACCTTACTTGGGATACCTTACTGAGAATAAAATTGGTTGGATGTCAGAAGACAGACGTGGGTATGGACGAGTTACAAGTAGCACCGCTGTTCGCATGGGTTTGGGCAGGACTTGGGATAGACCACTCTCAAAAGAATAGCGATACAAACAGCCCAGCGGAATAACTCGTTCAGAACAAGACACATCCAGTTGTTCACATGATTGATTGAAGTGATGCTACTAAATAGGTCATGTATACTATAGTGCAGCTTGCGCAGTTGCGGTATCGCTAATACGAAAACTCCGATGCCTGGAAAAGTGTCCACCAAGCAAACTCAACGCAGCCGCGTAAACCCTGATAAGTTCCATACACCACGCGCCAAAGGAGACACACCCCTTAGCAAGCAATGACCGCGGGACCCGGGTTGGTGTAGCTGGTCGGGACCGGGTAGTAGAGCTGGAACAGAATGCCAGGGTCGGTAGCCTGAGGAAGGGACCCATTAGTAAGCAGGAGAGAAACCAGGCAGATGATAAGTTAGGGGACTTACCGAGTATGCGCCAGGAAGGGCCACGCCCGAGAACGTCTTCGAGCCGCCGCCGGAAACCTCCAACTGGGCACATCCTATGTAGAACTATTCGGTGTCAGCTAGTCAGTCTCCCTATTGACTGAGAAAGGGGGCTCCGTCCTCGTAACTTACCTGAGCACCACCAACCTGGCTCGCGCTATGCAGCGCAATATGCTCCACGCGAAGCAAGTAACTCCCATCAGCAATACAAGTCGGGATCGTGACCTGGACCTCGCTCAGTCCCGAAGAGGGCCAAGTGATCTCGGTCCCGAACGTCGGGCCGTCCTCGTAGATCTTGAACCAGACGTCGCCGTCGCCGTCGAAGTCGTCGGCGTCGGAGGGGGCCTTGGCCATGTAGAACTGCAGCGGGCCCGGGTGCTGGATCTCGGGGTCGACGCGGAAGCCGACCGTGTCGCCGGCCTTGACGGACATGGTGGAGACGCCCTCGGAGCCGTCGGCCAGCTGGTAGCACCGCAGTTGCTCGGACGTCACGTCTTGCACCGGGCCGTGCGAGTTGAAGTTTGTGGTCTGCCGCACGTAGGTCCAGTCGGCTTCGGTGATGCCGTCGTAGATTAGGCCGGGCTGTGGGTGGTTAGTTGGTTGGGTTTTAGTCTTGGTAGCTGTGGGCATGTGCCACTCACGAAGGTGTCTGGGCGTTGGGTTAGTATCGTCCAGCTGGTAGGGAGCGTGAGTGCTTACAGTGAGCCTGAGCGGCACCCAGAAGGGCGAGGGCTGCGATGGTCTTCATGGTGACGGTGACTGATACTAACAACGAGGCTTGGGAAATAATTGTCTGAGGCTTGGCAAGAATGTCCAACTAGTCACGCCTCAGGGGCAGAACGCAGCCTTTTATAGAGTCTCATGCTTACCCGGCAGTCCGTCGTACCCCACAAGGTAGGACGGGCCGTCTGCCCCCGATATCGCGGACTGAGGCCTATGCTGGGGAAGCATGGCAGTTGGAGATGGTTTCTGGGGTGCAGCCCGTGTGGGAGCCACTGAGGAGGTAGCGAAGATGCGAATGGGCAGAAAATAAACGAAAATAAATGAAGGGCCACAAGGAATCAGACGCAAAGGCATCTCATGCGATGACCACCCGTGGATGGTATCGAACACGGCGCTTGCTTATTCTGGAAACCTGGCTCAGGGTGGCTGGCCCCTGTCGACTCTTCGGTATAGGACTGCGGTAATATTGGGACGCAATATATCTGAGCCCGCGCGTTCATCGCGCAGCACTTCGGGTGTGCATGACGCATGCCACCGATGAAATGATCTCGGTATACGTTGAGAGAGTGTTCGAAAGCATTTGGGGCACATCAGTCGAAGCTTGTATCCTTCTAGAAATGTACCTGGGTGAAGGCACTGAAGGATCGACACCAGCGAGCATCTCGAACCTTGAATCCCAGATAACTCTATCTCGTGCACCTGACGATCATGGACCTCATGTTCAGGGGTTCCCCAGGAGCGGCATCAATGCGTCCAGAATCGCGTCAAAAAGACGGTCAGTGGACCAGTGATGGCTACGCAGCGCGCCCGCGGGACGGCACGTCGCGCCGATCACAGCCGAAAAGTATCATCTATGACACCCTGACTTGCCCGTTTTGGAATTGACGGGAGATGGTAGCAGAGTCCCGAAGAGGGAGTAAGACAGGAGGGATGAACTCGTTCCATGGTTTCCCCGGATTTTGCGCCTATCAGGGGGAGTGGGGCAGCCTTGGAGGGTTTCAAGTTGTGGCCCTCTCCGATGGGAGGAAGAGGAGAGCCCGGACGAATGTATTTCCGTTGCGGAAGACTTCAAGACCTGGGGACTGGTACCAGCGATGAACAATCTCTTCTGGTGATGAGGCATAGATACTGCAAGGACGACGCTGGCGCATCTTTGAACGTGGTTCAATCAATGGAAATGCTGGGGGCCCGGGCCAGCCATCATTGCCATACACGTTGCAAGGCCAGAGGATGTCCACCACCACCACCACCACCCAGTGAATGCGAGCATTCATAGGCTCTGCTCACCCGGCCTTCGTTGCTATATGACAGCCGTTCTTCAGGATATCTGGAAGGGGAAGGTGGCAGACAGCCTGGAACATTCGGTAGGCACCCAAGACTACCTGAGTCGACAACAAGGGTGAAGAGTGGGTTTGGTATCATTGCGTGCAACCTCAAGGCTGTATGATAGGTTAGTCATGACCATCCAAGAAGCCTCGGAAGCCATTGGACACAGGTGTGATTGAGGTATTGGCATCGTTAGGGGATTGGACATGACGGGACTTTCTGTCCGTTATAGCATCAGGGACTCGGTATGAAGTCCCTCCCGCGTACAGAACGTATAGGTGATGTCCAATCTGGCGACGAATTGTCCGCTGACAACCTCTACCCAAGACATAGCCTCGATCCTCTGCCACACAGCAATCTGCTCCATGCTCTGTGCAATTCCGCCCTCCCCAGACCCAGCCTCTTCGATCTCGGTTACCCGCTCAACCACCCTGGCAGCCGAGATGCTGTCCCAGGCCGCTTCACGTATCGGTTGCCGTCGCAGAATACGCAAGACGTCGCGTCGGACCACGGGATGCCGGCATTTGACTCCGATCATGTAGAGGACGGGGAGGATTCCGGTTTCCGGCGTAAAAGTCGGCTTGAACGGGCCCGAATACTGCTCATGCGCCGCCGCCACATCGCTCGCCAAGGCCACGCATCGCTGGAACTGGGGCAGGGATTTGTCATAATCCATCTCCCTGCCAGGTCCGTGGCTACTGAGGAGGGCCCATAGGGTAGTATGTTGTAGTCGCAGCAGCGATACGAGCCGGTAAGTATCAGGATTCGCCTCAGTGGAGAGGCCTCGTTGCAGCATGCTGTCGAAGAGACCCGACCACGCTTCCAACTGCCCGAGAACGATATCCTTGAACGACGAGGGTAACGGCGGCATCTCGCCCCCCGGGGACAGCTGCTGCTCTGTGTTGAGTAGCCTCGTTACCCGAGCGATGAGGAGCTGGAGGTGGTCGGCGGCTTGATCGAGAGACCGAAAGGCACTGTCAGAGGGCGGAAGAAGCTGGGATATTAACGTATCTTGCAAGTCGGTGGGAGTCCAATCGACAAGAAAGGTTACGGCCTGCATGTCGAGACGGCGGATCTGTCTTGTAACCTGGCAGATAAGCGTGCGAAGCCCTGAAGGTTGGGCATCTCCATATGTACTATTGTCGTTCAGTATGGCCTTGTCGATGTTACGTGAGAGCTCGACACCTCCGCGTAGGTGTGTTATTGCTTGTACGTAGTTGCCCGTCAGATGGTCGAAGCAGGTGAAAAGGTAGCAAACCAAAAGGGTGATGGCTGTTGTTTCGGTGCTGTCACCACTTTGCTGGCGCAAAAGAAGTTGAATGGCCCGGTTATAGTGAAGCAAGGGGGCCTTTCCCAATGGCCAGTCTTTCCAGGACTGCGGTTGGTGCACACGGTCGCCAGACGCGCGGTCCAGGTAGTTTCGGTGGATCAAGGCCAGAGCCAGGGCGGCATGCCGCACTGATGGCACTGTTTGGGAGAAGAACATGAGAGTGTTCCGCCATGATTCGCAGGGGTGGTATTCATTCAGATGCTTGATGGAGATATTTCCGAAAAAACATATTGCCTGTGTCTGGGTTGGCCCTGTCACGGGCAAGATCATAAGAGGTCCGAGACCCCGAGGATTGATGTCATGGTTACTCGCGTGCCATTGCTCTGGCTGATAGGGGCTGCTTGTGGTCTCTGCTCTGTCGGGCTCTGTGTTGCGATGGTGACTTGGTTCAAGGCCGGGCCTGCCAGTCAGAGTCGATTTACTATAGCCGTCACAGGTGCGACCTGTGGAATGGCACATCAAGCACGAAGGCCGAGATAGATCGCATTTTATGCGTCTAATTCTGAGGGGGGCTGAGTGTCAGTTTCCCAGGTGGTCTTTGAAGACAAGTGATTGCGCTGTAGTAATTCTCAGAGTCGAACTCACTTGCACGTTTTACAACCCAGTCTTGACTTTGGGGCGAACTTGCGAGGCTTCTTCCTCCAAGCTTGATTGGCTGTCTTGGTGTCCACGTTCTTGATCTCGTCCATCATGTTGATGTCAGAATGCCCCGGCCCCCTAAGCCGCCAGTTGCACGCGGCAATGCAGGTGGTGTGGGAAGCAAATAATATCAGGTACCGATCGACTGCCAAGAGGATCGCCTGTCCCTCTATTCGCTATTCGCCTGTTCGTACGGCGGCGAAGACGTGGACATCATCTTGCAGACTCAAATATCCTTTGCGATACCAGCACGACCGGTAGACACTTGAACACTTGTGTGAGAACTTTTAGAAGGAATCAAGCTGAAGGCTGCGCCACGCCACGCGACTACAGTACTAGAGGATCCGCGTGACGGGGCGACCCCATGCGAAATGAGGTATGGGGCGAATCTCCAGGATTGATTGGTTGATTCGTACAGGAGGGGCGCCAAGAAAGGAGACTGACCCGGGGACCCCAGACGCTAAACCCCTTCCAAATTCCCACGTGATCCGCTGCAGGCTCGCACTCGCCCCGCTGTTATAGGTATGTAGTCGAGGTGATTGGCTGTTTCGCACAGGTGCATATGGTGGCAGCTGGAGAGCAGTTGCGGGAGTTCAAGACGATCCGCTGCCGCCTATTCGCAGGCTCGCACTCGCCCCGCTGTTCAGTCTTCACCACCGCTACTACGCCAGGACTGGGGAGATTATGGAGGTAATGTTATCCCTGGGAAGAATGCGGCTGAGTGAGGAACTGAGCAATTTGATGAGCAATCAAACTCGGCAAAGTCGATAGGCAAGCGTCTTCAATATTGGCCAATTCAGCTGGTAATAAATAATACAAGTAGTTCCCTGATGTCGCAACTATGCCGGCTGCAATGATGAACCTCGTCGACTCACCACAGGCACTCTCCTCATCTTGCAAGCAACATAACAAAAACAATGTATCGACTTGCGATTGCATTCATAGTTCTTATAACTAGCTTGGGATGCAAAGCGGAGAGTCGTAATGATTCTGCCATGGTCTATGGATTTGACACCGTCAGTCTTGTCTTGCCCCTTTTCGTACCACATCCTCCTAGGCTTTCGGGGCTTGCTGACTAGCCATCCAGATTGAACCATCATCTAACCTCACGTGGACACCATGTTTCGACGGCTTTACATGCTCTAGGCTGGAAGTCCCTTTGGATTATTCCAACACCAGTCTTGGCACAACATCCATCGCCTTCATCAAACTGGCGGGCAAGAATGCCACTGCCGAGTCCCCAAGCGTCGTACTCATACCCGGTAAGATCTCCATCAGGTCACTCACAATTATAACATGAAAGGTCTGACACTTCCTCAGGCGGTCCGGGTGGTTCAGGTATAGATCTGATCCTCCCATACAAGACCGTCGCAGGGCAAATCTTCGGAGACCAGTACAACATCGTCTCCTTTGACCCTCGCGGTGTGAACAACAGCGGTCCGAGCCTTGACTGCTTTTCTGGCAATGCGGAAGCAAGATTGGCCTTCAACCAACTACACAGCACAGGCGCTACCAACGTCTCATCAACCTCGCTTGAAGAACAGTACTATTCTAGCTCTATCTACGGCGAGTGGTGCAACCATGCTGTAGAGAACGGATCGCCACATGGCTATTATGTGACTACGCACGCTGTCGTCCATGATTTACTCACGTTCATCGAAGCTGAGGCCGAGTTAGCCGGCCAGTCACGGTCAGAGGCCAGCTTGTGGTGTTACGCCGTTAGTTACGGCACGGTCGTCGGCACCACTTTCGCTTCCATGTTTCCCGACCGAGTTGGCAGAATGATACTCGACGGTGTTGAGAACGCCGAGCAGTATTACAGCAACGACTGGAGGGACAACGTCGATCAGATGGATGAGACCATGGAAGCATTCTCGAGCTCCTGCCATTCCGCAGGTCCTGACCTGTGTTCCTTTTGGGGGCCCACGCCAGCGAACATCACGGCCAGAATGGACGGCATCATTCATCAGCTTCAGAACCATCCCGTCCCGGTGAGCGGAGTCCAGAGCCAAGATCTGCCGGCCATGCTCACCTATTCAGACTTGAAGGCGCTTTTCGTCAACGCCATCTACGTCCCACTGACCTCATTCCCAGTCATGGCCGACGTCCTACACCAGCTTGAACGTGGGAACGCGTCTATCCTTGTGGGCGAGTTTGACTCGTTGAGAATCACATCCGACGAACGTCTCGTCATACAGTGCACCGACTCGTATCGAAGCAACAGGCTTACTACCATTGAAGACTTCAAGAGCTACGTCGAGTACACGGTCTCCAAGAGCAAGTACATCGGCGATATCTATCCCATCTTCGTGGAGACGATCTTGTGTAGATCATTCCGCCCGCAATTGCCTGATAGCATGGTGGTTCAAGGTGAGGCAGCCCTCTATGTATATCCTTCTTCCTCTTTCTTCCTCTGCCTTGGACGCAAAATCTGACCAGTTTCTCTCTTTTACAGACCCAGCAATTGGGCTAGACCGGCCTACGTCCTTCCCGATCATGTTCGCGAGTAACACTATCGACCCCATAACGCCCTTGATATCGTACGTCCTGGTCAAATCATCTCTCCATCTGGTGTGTTGCTGACTGACTTTTACCTCTTCGCAGGGCGCGCACGATGTCTTCTCGATTTCCCGGCTCGGTAGTCCTACTGCAAGAAGCCATTGGTGTAAGTTCGATCAACCCATCTCAAACAAGAGTCTAGGCTTACTCGTGGGATGTTTCTCTCGGATGCAGCATACAGTCATCGCCCAGGGCGGGTCAAACTGCTACTTTGGACAGATTCAGGCATACCTTGGAGGTGTGCTTCCACCGTCCAACACTACATGCCCGCGGCAGTACACGCCTTTCGTAGGAGGGACTGTTTAGAACTGTCGAAGCAGCGGAGGGGCTCGTTGAGTTACAGGAGGGAATCGCACCGTCGAACATCAGCATAGTTGGGTGATGCATTGGAAAAAGCACGCATTGATCATATGAACGCAACGTTTCAAGCCTATGCGATCATCGTAGTTGCTGTGTTACATGAAACCCCCTGTTTCTATATGCGGAGGGATTTGACTTTGTTATCAGCGAGCCACTTGGTCACTGTACCATGAATGAGTTTGGCCTTCATGGTCTCCAACCCGGCAGATTGAGATGATATGAATATTGTCATCATTGCGTTGCTAGCTTGGGCACTGAGCTCTCCCCTCCGTCTTCCTCCTCATCCTCGTCCGTTCCGATTTCAATGCGTGAGGATAAGAGTGGACCTTTCTAGATGTTCGAGGACAAGACTGATCTCGGACTCCGTGTGGACTCATTTGAACTACCTAGGTTATTTGGGTTTAACACACTCTGTTTATAAGAGTCCTGCTATTTGCACCTTGCTTTTCTCCCTTTATTTGCCTCCTTATCTGCACATCTGCCACACAGCTGGCAGCGAGGGGGTCCTTAAATCGTGAGTCGCTAACGTTAGTGCCGGGCTACCACACACACCGCTTGTCGTCAAGGTTGTCTCCAAAGACGCTGCACTACCAGCCATCACCATCTGAAATCATCATCATTCTTTTGCTGACATAGTTGCCCCTTGGTTATTGGAAGGGGTGTCATCAAGATGGCCTTGCCCTTTGAGATCTACAGCCACATCTTCTCCTTCGTGCCGCCAGCCACGCTACGCAATTGTCGGCTTGCTACACTTGTCCCACATAAGTCTCCGTACGCTAGCCCCAATTCAATCTTCTGACCAAAACAACCACGCGACACCCTCATCTTGCGATAATTCATAATAAAATCAATTCACCATGGATATTAACGAAATGGGTACCGTTCTGAGCGGCACTCGCCAGCCGAACGGCGAATATACTTCGGAGGCGCATGCAGGCATTATCGCGGCGCGCGCGGAGGGCCGCAGTCGTAGGGATGTCGCACGCGCCTACGGCACGGAACGCGTCGAAACCATTTCTGAGATTTGCTCGTATATTAACACTACCAAAACCACGCGCACTGCGCGAAGGAAAGGAGCTCCTAGGCTTCTTTCGCATGGGCAAGAACGCCATCTAGTTAATTTGGCGCGGAGGTTCCCTCGTCTCTCGTGGGAGGCGCTCAAAGCCAAAGCACGCGTTACCTGCAACACAGAGACCATCGTGAGGGCTCTCCGCCGCCATGGCCTCAATAAATGGCGCGCAGTGAAGCGAATCTCTCTCACGGAGGATGACGCCATGAAATGGCTTGCTTGGGCACGAAAATACCGCACGTAGCGCGCTCAAAAGGAGTTGATGGCCCTTTTTTCCGACGAATGCACCATCCAGAATGATCCCGATAGACCTGGCAAATGGGTCATCCGCCTCTCCAACGAACGGTACCGCAAGGATCTCGTGAACCCACAGAGCCACGGGAGAGCTCGTATTTTGATAATGGTTTGGGGTTTGATGTGGTTACGCGACAACGAAGATGGCCTAGGCAAGCTGGTCTTCTGCGAAGGAGATCCGGATTCACCACGCGGAGGAGTCTCTGCTAGACACTATCAACAGGTCCTGGAGAAAGGTATTCTTCTGTTCTATGAGGTAGGGGACCCTTTTCAGCAAGATAATGCTCCTATGCACGTCAAAGGAGGCTCGCCGGAGTGGTTAAAGGAGCACGGGATCTGGACTATCGACTGGCCTCCTCACAGCCCCAATTTGAACCTTATTAAGCACGTTTGTGTAGCTCTAAAAAAGAATATAAGGGAAATAGAGTCTCGTTTTCAAGCCCTGAAGGACAATATCGCTCACTAGGCATAGGCTAGAGAGATAATCCAAGCCGCGTGATCAGAGTTGGATCCTGACCTCCCGAAGAAGCTCATCAAATCTCTCCCTGATCGGATTGCCGCAGTGGTCCGGGCGCGCGGCTGGTACAACCATTACTAAACCGCTATCAAATGCATATTTTGTTATAATTTTCAGCCTCGTGATGCCTTCGCAATTGAGCAGTGAATGTGGTGGTGACGGTGTGTGGATGGGGCCGTACGGAGACTTGTGTGGGGTTAGTGTAGCAAGCAAATGTGCGACATTGTGACACCAAAGCTCTTCGTTCATACTCGCCTCGAAGCCTCCGATGACGTCTCGCGTTTCGTTAACATTGCCCAGTCAGAACATCTCCGAAGACATATACGCGACATCTGTATTGACACTAGGGTCGGCCCCGGCTTTGAGTATCAGAGGAACGAGGCCTTTAAGCCACCAGCGGCCTTTTTCCGGGCTCTGCCTTGCCTCCGCCTTTTCTCCGGGCTCCAGGAGCTGCATCTCAAGTTCACCGAGTACTGCGGGAATGAAGAGAAAGCGTACACGTCCATTAGTATCGAGGAAGACTACAACTTTCAATACCGGTACTGGGTTTTATGGACTGTCTTCAGCTGCCTTGCAGGAGAGTGGAATGTCGCCCAGTCGCAGGATATCTATGATGACATGGACGCGGCAGTGTGTGAAAATGATGAGCTGGTCGACGGCGAAGACTTCTTCGAGGATCTTGCTAAAGACGCAGCGAGTAGCAACGAACAATCGACGGGCCCCATCGCACTGAAGGCGCTTTCGATATGCAACCTCGCAGACTACGATGATGTCCGCTTCACGTCGTCAGATCTATTCAAGAAAGTGCTGGAATCACCTACTCTGACGGAGCTTAAAGTCTACGTTGTTTTCCAAACAGATGAGATGGATCCGTGGCACAAAATCTATCTGCCTGAGAAGTACGACTTTATGGAATCCCTCTGCAAGACGTGGCTTGCGCCTGCCGTGGCCAAGAAGCTTACGGTATTGTCTCTGTTCTGCGAGGAGCCCTGGGGCTGGAACCCGAAAATGGACTTCCGCGAGGTAAATCCCGGCCGAGGCCCGGAGTCCGGGTTTCCCAACCTGAAAGTCCTTGCGCTCGGATACTTCGTGTTTAGTCACGAGTGGCAGATTGAATGGTTTTCCTCGCTCGGCCGCCTGAACGGCCATGGAGGGCTGCGGGAACTATACTTGGATGACTGCCCTATCATGCATGCCGTTCACAGCCGCGTGCGCTTGGATGAGAGGCCCGAAACCGCTGGGTATCCCTTGAAGGAGAAAATGACAAGTGAATTTCAAGATGTCAACGTGGAGGATCGCCTCTATCCCATGCGATGGCATCACCTACTCACTCACAGGGGCGAAAGTATGTCGGGACTCACAGTCTTCATGATGGATAAAGGCCAATGGTGGAATCAGAGCCACGTCGACCCCCCGTATAAAGAATGGAGTCATCTAGAAGTATCCCGCTTCTTCGATCGGAGAAACTTTGAGACCTACGACTGCCCGGCGCCTGAGCTTGATGATACTGGAAAAAAATTCAGTCGCTATTTTCACGGTGTGGATAGCAGTGCTCCTGAACCTCACTGCTAGCGCCCTGTCCTTCATCCACATCGTACTCGGCACGGCAATCTTCTCCTCGCTACAGTTCGTCGGCTTTTGGGATGTTGTGAATCGAATCCTGTGGAGGCTCGTCCTCTCTGCAGTCGTTTGCCGGGTTATACTGATCGTAGAGCTGGCCGGGCTGAGGGAGAAGCCGGAAGCAGAGAGTTAAGTTGCGCCTGCGTCCTGGAACCGCCGAGCCTACAACATCGACGGCAGGCCCGGTAACAAACGGAGAACATTCATCTGTTCAGACAAAGAAGATTCTTCAGATGCAACCATAGGTTTAGGCTGGGAGCTAGGTACAGATATCCTCAATACCGAAAATTACCACTGTTGTGATGATGACTTCCCTTACCACGCCAGCGAATACTTTGGTTATGTCTTACTTTGGTCCTTTCCCTCCAATCGGCGCAATATGACCTGGTCATATTAGTTCGCTTTCCTACATGATCAGCCGAGGTGGTTAACAAGGGCGAGGGAAACGGAAGGAATTGACACCATGTAACCTCATGGGTTCCATTGAAGTACAATACTCCCTGATGTAGGTAACACAGCAATTTCAGCTCAATCTACTCCACCATGCACATTGGCCAATTTGATGGGAATCGAATTTAGGTTCACTTTTATACGGCTTAACTCATGGCTACGTGTGAGCAACGGGAAAGAAGTTCGATGAGAGCCTTGTCAAGAGTCGTGCGTGGAGTCTGCGAGGCCACACACATGTTTTCAAGAGGTTTAATTTTCTTCATCCGGGTCATTTCAGTACCGTGGCTGGGTTCATCAGTTCCATTGACTCGTATGCCATTAACCCTACATAAGATCTCCCTTGCGGTCTACCACCGCGTGACCAACGAGACCAATAATCTCTGAACCTTCAGGTACACCCAAGACGTCATACTGTTCCTGTATCATAACTACTTAGTCTATGTTACAGCAGTGTTTGTGGTTCAGGGGTGACGGACGGTGCTTACTGGAAGACGATCTTGTTCCTCAACTCCCCGACACCTGGAAGCACTACTTCCACCACATCTCCGTTCTTCAAGAACTGCTTCGGCTTCATAAAAGCCCCAACACCGGCCGGTGTCCCCGACATCACTGCGGTGTACGCAGGGATCGTGGTACCTGTACGCCGCCACTCAGTCAGACGTGAGACAAGAATTTCGCTAGGGACCGGCTCTTACCCTGGCTCATGAAGCTGAGTACCTTCGCCGGGCTGAACACCATGTCCTTCTCGAAGTCCGCCTCCTGCCTGATCTCGCCATTGACCCTCAGCGTCAACTTCTTGCTCATCGAGAACTCGTCCTTGCTGACCAACGTCGGGCCAATCGGTGCAAAGTTGTCGAAGGCCTTGGCGTAGAAGAACTGGCCGCCTCCCTGGGTTGGTAGCTGGAACAGGCGGCAGGAGAGGTCGTTGCCGATTGTGTAGCCCAGGATGGCGTCTGCGGCCTCACTCTCAGTGAGGTCTTTGCAGGTACGAGAGGTGACGAAGACGAGCTCGCCCTGCGTAGTTCTGTCGTAAGCGTGAGTAGCTGGAAGTAGAGGTAGGGCTTACCTCATAGTCAGGAAAGCTGGTCGCGCAGTGGTCATTCATGAGTATGTCTTGACCAGGATTGGCCAGAGTCGCCGCTGGCTTCGTCCACAACGGAGGTGTTTTGGTCACTTGGAGCTGTGAAAAACGGTCAGAGGTGTCGTTACACTCTCGTTGTTGGTGACGGTGCTTACGCTAGCTTCCAGCGCGTGTGTCTTGTAGTTCAGACCCACGCAGTAGATGGGCAGGTCATCACGAGGAAGGGGAGCCAAGAGCTACAGGACCGTATATATCAGCTTCTGGCATCGCGCTTTCTTCATCTTTGGGACCTCACCTTCTGCAGCGTCACTGTCTCTGGGCCGGCCTTAGATACCAGGTCGTCGAAGGACTTGAAGGCGGTGATGCTGGATCCTGCCGATGGGGGCTCCAGGATCTCCTTTCCAAGGTCAGCGATGTAGGACTTTCCATTATCCGACTCAAAGCGGATCAATCTTGTGAACTGTGCCATGTCAAAGGTAGAGGCCGATTAGGTTAGAGTTCAGGAGTCAGAAATGCCAAAAGTGCAGGGAACCCTGCGATATGAAAGATGGTGGGAAGACGCGAAAGGCGACACGGCTAGAAATTGGTGAGTGCGTACCATCTCGGTACATCCCCTTCGCCGGAATTGCGCATCCGTGAAGTATCGCCGACCAATTGCGCGCGGTGGAATTGCCGCTTCGCCGGCGAGTCTCACTCGGAAGGACTTCTCGGAGGAACCTCAATACGCATGACCGCTTTTGCGCCTCGGCAGCAGCTACGCAAAAGCGTCACTACTGTCTGTCATGTAATCACGGGCCAATTCATGTGGACATGCATCAGGTAGCTGACAAGCGTAAGGGCCCTTCCGGGCCCTTCTGCTCATGTGCCGTATCGGTCCGGCCCGACCGGTGTTCACAGCTTGGTCGCTGGTAGGGAGAGGATCAACAATTGATACTGATCACGCGTGCAGGTATGTGACTTTCCAAACCGAATTTATCTCTGCCAACTAACGTAGAGGTTTCCGAGGTCATTGGCGCAGTCGTGCGCAGATGTACTAACAAGTGCAAGCGCACGGATAATTTTTACCAGGAAAGGTGACCTGGTATTGACGTGGGCCCTCCGGAGGTCCGGAACCCCCTGATCCTCCGGCCGACTCCGAGTTGCTCCGCGGAGGAACTCCCCAATTGCGCTGTGCCGCCGACCGTGGTATATTGCTGCGGGTTGGCGCGGTCCATGTCTGCTTGAATGGGCACTAGGCGCAGTTAACTGGCATCGGAACTATGGCCTTCCTGTTTTTCTCTGCAATCTCAAAGCTGCCCAGAATACTTCGCGAAGCGATCTTGCCCGACATGCTTATCCCCCCGATCTCCAACAACCCTTCGAAAGTCCAGCTCGCACGCATAGGGCACGTCTACTTTGAGCATCCCGACTTGGAGCAGTTCTCCGAGTTCGCCTCAGACTGGGGTTTCGTTGAAACAAAACGGACTGAAAACAGAATATGGTACAGAGGGTACGGCAGAGATCCGTACGTCTATGTCGCGTCCAAAGCCAAGGATGGGAACCCAAGGTTCGGTGGTGCTGCGTTCGTAGCTGCCTCCGAGGAAGAGTTCGAGAAGGCGGCGCTTCTGCCCGGTGCGACTCCGTCAAGTCTCGCAGATGCGCCCGGCGGGGGCAAGATGATCACGTTTCAGCGTTCTGACGATATTCAATTCCACGTCATATACGGTCAGACTGAACGCGAGGTCGAAGGGCCTCCGCCGTCGGCCACGCACGAGAACGCAGGCCCCCTCAATGGCCCATTCGAGAAGCCGAGACAAGGTCAGTACTTGACCAGGCCAACTAGAAGGCACCAGGAAGTTAACAGGTTCATCCACAGGCAAGTTCCAACGATACCGCGAGGGACCAGCTCTCGTCCACAAGCTCGGTCACTTCGGGCTCGTCTACCGCGACTTCGACACAGAGCTCGAATGGCACACGTCCAACTTCAACTTCGTCCCGTCGAACGTTCTGTACCACTGGGACTTCTCCAACATCGACGTGCTCACCTTCATGCATCTCGACCTGGGCAAGGAATACTCGGACCACCACGTGATGTTTATGCAGCGCGCGCCTCCCGAGCTCAAGAAGAGCTACATGCATCACAGCTCGTACGAAGTCGCCGACTTTGATACTCAGCTGATCGGCCATCAATACCTGGCCAAGAAGGGGTATGAGAGCGTGTGGGGGGTGGGCAGACATATCCTGGGCAGTCAGATCTTTGACTACTGGAAAGACCCTAGCGGGTATAAGATCGAGCACTACGCTGATGGAGACTTGGTCAATGAAGACACGCCGACGACGAGGGAGGTGGTTGGTCCCTTGTCGATTTGGGGGCCGGAGCTGCCGAAGGACTTTGGGGACGACTCGACGAAGTATGGATTCTCCTAGCAGTGTCAGAACATGACTTATCCGTAAATTGATGAGGGCAATTACCTCTCACAGACCACGTCTATGTAATAAATGATACATACAAACCGGCTTGATGGTATCTCTGCTGGTGCACTGCTAAGCGCTCTGTGTTTGGGGTGTGTTCGGACGATCCTTAGAAAAGGGGGCGGAAATTGACGGAGCGGGGTTTTATGATTAGAGGGGCTCACTCAACAGCCACATTTGCTGAGCCACGACGACCCTAACGCTAGGTAGGTTCAATGTTCAGATGGCTAATTCGGACCTCCATCCCTCAGTAAACTCATTCGCTTGGAACTCCTCATTGAGGATGTCGCAGCCACCTGTGATATCATTCTAGTCCTATTGTCATCAGGCATCGCATGGTACGAGGTTTAATGGCATGGGTCAGTAGTTCTGGCACCCTGCATCGGCGACGATGTCCGTGAACAGCCGGGTCTGCGACCGATGCATCCGGTACGTCAAGGCTCCAGCTGTGGAATCCGCGTCCTCCTTGAAGACGACGATGCTGACGTCGTGCCTGTAGCAAAAAAGTCAAATGTGAAGAGCACATTTACCATTGCGCACGTGGTCATCTTACTTACCGCTTCGCGCAGGTGATTTGCAGCGTCCACACTGCTCTCGCTGCTCTGAAGCAGGCTTCTCATGCTCGTATTCGACCGAAAGGAGAAGGCCTGGTCCACCACGCGGGACTCGACGTCAGAGGAATGCAGATCTCTCTGCTGACTTGACCCCGAACGGCCATTCTGATCTCACACCGGATGACTACCAACAGAATGGTTCATCGGGCTCGGGCTCAATGCCTACGCAGTCGCCGCCTGGAGATCCCATGCTAGACCGAAATTTGGCCTCCGGGGGAACACATCAACAGGCGCTCCAAGACTTCACTGAACTCAGCGTGGAGTTCTCGCCTTATGGATCTATGACTGCGCCATCAGACGGCCAATTCGGGCACACAGGATACTATCTGGAGCCAGGTCAGGAAAGGGATATGTGAGTTATGAGAACTCTACCACCTATCAATTCGTGGCTGACCCTCTTTGACTGGGCCGAAGTCTCGTGCACTTCTTTGATGAAGTCCATGCTGCCATACCGCTGTTCCATGAATCAAGTTTCATAAGGCTGTACGATAATGGCTTGGCTTGTCGTGATCTAATAGTCACGATAGTTACTGTCACTGCCAAGATACTGGGTCCAATCAACTACTGGAAGACAGAAGACGTGCATCTGTGCATGGGTGCCCTACTGAAAGCAACAGCTTCTGAGAACGACTCGTCGAGTACTCAGGCGACTCTAGATCGATTCAGACAAGAGTGCCTCCTTGCTTATTATGAATTCCACCAGTTCCCAGGACCACCATCTTGGATGAGAGTAAGCAGGCTGACACGCAAGGCTTATGCCGTGGGTCTGCACCAAGTCGAGAATCCAGAACTATGCTCCGCTTTCGACGCTGCGCTCACGGATCAGGATGAGATTGAGGACTGGAGATATGTGTGGTGGTGCGTCTTTTGCCTAGACTCCTACTCGAACATAAGCTCTGGTGCTCCCTTCATCGTGGAATTGGAAAGCATCAACACAGCTCTGGTCAGAAGACCCAATTGCAATGACACTGCAGCCCTGGCCTCTACGCCGAAAGTGCTTTTACCAGAGGAGGTCGACCACCTCTGGAAGACCACGCAGGATGTTGTATCGGGTGGCTGTATGAACGACTTCAATATCCACATGATCACGACAACCATCTTACGCCAGGCTGGGAATCTTCTGAGACTCAGAAGTGAAGGGAAGCGATTACCGACCCGAAACGCTGCTCTGAAGGGTACTCTGGCCACCTTGCGACTTGCTTTACCCCCACGCTACCTCAATCCTGCACGTAACGTGTTGAGGGCGGAGAGAAGTGCCGATCACCATACTCGACTCACCAATATCTTGCACCTACAGATGGTTCGCCTTATCACTTCCATGCCTCAAGGCTTAGAAGCCAACGAGGCTGAATGGATGGACAACTGGCAGCAGACCCTGGAGACTTGTCAGGATATCGTCTCAGTCGTCGAGCACTGGAACAGTCAGTTTTCTCCACGTGTGGATCCGGCAATATGCTTCATCACGTTCTCAGCTCTCCGCCTGCTAAACGGTCACCGACGCTGCATCACAGACCCGAATTCGCCGCTGCTGGCCAGCCTTAGTCAGGGCGAGAACGTGCTCTTGCTTTTCATAGAGCAGTTCTCGAGTATGTGGGCTGCGCCGAAGGTCCTGATCCGTAAGTGCGCCCGTCAGTCAGTCCACACCATCGATGCATCGTAGTTGACCCTTAGCAGAACAATTTCGGGATGCGCCAACTAGTACTCCGTTGACATATGCCGATATCGATCGTCTACTCAGCAATTTCAAATCACCCCTACACCCGAAAAGCCTCCAGCCTTCTGCGCTGTCACTGAACAGCGCGGAAATCTACGAGAGTCTGGACTCAACAATGAACTTCGCCGACGTCTGGTCTTTCAACCCTTTCGACTCGGGCGTGTAAGTGCTGTACCCGGCGACTCTACACGACCTGGGCCTGATTTGATCCAAGGCGGCTGTTCTTGGATTTATCTATCAGCTGAAGTTAAGGCGGTTGCTGGACCTGGAGAATGAGAATGGCCCGCTCAGTGGCTGCGAGAGCACAAGGACACTAGCTGAGTGGTGCACAGAGGTAATGAGGAATGTAAGGTGACATTGGGTTTGCATTTGTGTGTTGTATCGGTCGTCGACTAATACGGCTGCATGCAGTCGCAGTAAAGACGGAGCATTCGTGATCTATTTACTCTATTCCTGGTTCAGCCGATCAGACATCTGCTTGGCCGGGTCTCTCCCCATGAGTCGCCACCAGCTCCCGGTCGGTTTTTTCTCTACTGCCGGCTTCTTCTTCTTGCTATCATGTACAGCAGCCCTGCAGCCTCTGCAAAGTGTGCTGATCTCGCGCGTGTGGTGGTTGACGAACATGTCCTTCCTCAAGGTGCTCCGGCAGCATGCGCAGGTGCTAAATCTCTCAGGCTCCGAGAAAGTCATTCTGAATGTGATGTTTGGTGTCTTGCTTTTCGATTAATGTTGATATCGGACCGTTTTGACTCTTGACGTATCTGAGTTTCCAGGTTATAATACTATCACATTAAAGACACGGGGGACAATGATACAAGCTAAATATGGTAGAAAGCATGTGAGTCGATGCCGTTGGAAGTTCGGCTCTTTATAAGATCTTAGAACGCTGACAAGGGCGAATGCGTGGCGGACGAACCCCTTGTCCTTCTCAGTCAAAGAGAATGCCGAACTGGGCTGTCGCAGACAGGCCTAGACTCGTCTATTCTAATTCGAGGATCTCCAACGGGGGCGTGCAGATTGTTTCTTTAATCGGCCTAGAGAGGGCGACTTGGGAAGCAAGCCAGACTCGAACAGTCGCTATTACTACAAGAAATACGTGGCTAATCAACTCCAGATCACAACGTTGCAGTAGTCAAAAGGAGCTACATATTATTATTTGAGAGACCACGGTTGGGAGGGACATAGTACTAGCTGCATAATCGAGGTGTTATTAAGTGATTTATATTGAACAAGCGTACGAGTAAAATTCAGGGGCTAGAATAGAAGCACCAACAAACCTTTTGCTCCAGCAAGGCGTCGCCCTGGGTCTAAGTACATCCCAAGAAGAATGCCGCCCCTGGTCCAGCCATGGGCCCAAGAACACTCAACATACTGTACCTGACCTTTCGCATCAGCAGCAAAAGCTGGAGTGCTCTTAAGCGTTGTGCGAGTCATCCTCCGCGACTTGATCATACCTCTGGTTTCAGGGTTTCGAGAGGTACTCCTGATACTCCTCTACTCCAAGGGGAGATGTGTCTTCCTCGCCAGGTGCATCGTCTTCCTCTGTTGGCGTCAGATCCTTGTAAGTCGGGCTAGGTGGAGGCGACGACTGGGGCAGTGTCATTTCCTCGTCAAAGCTAGACTCATCACCACTCAACACACCGTCCATGAGAGTCTCGATGCTCAACTCACCGTCCAAGAGACTCTCCATGCTCAACTCACCATTCATGATGCCCTCCATCTGAAGCTCAGACGGCATCGTGTTTCCCTCGTAGTATGGGGGTAGCGGGTCGTAATATCCAGGTACGGGCTCGTCTTCAGACGGCATAGTCTGATAGGGGTCGACACAAGGCGTCGGCGCAAGCGGCGAGCAACCGTCGTCGTGGGACCAGGCCGGCGGGTCCACCAGGGGCATGACGGCAAATGGGTCTATGGTACACATATCCGCCCGAGTTTCGATGCAGTGCAGGCAGGAGCAGGCCGCTCACCAGAACGGAACCTACAGATGTGGCCGAGGTCAGTACAACGCACGCATGAGCGTTCTCCCAGGTATGCGGTACGAATATTGTACTGGTGGAGCATATCTGCGTCTGAGGTTGGGATGGCGCAGCACTCGCCGACTTCCATACACCCGTAACACATGCCTGGGACCTCTATCATGCTTCTATCGCATCCCTTGGCGGCCTCCATACAGTTGAGACAGGTGTTAGCTGTGCTGGACATTGTTCAGGCTGGTTCAGGCTGTTGATTTTGGTTGTGGTTGTGGTTGGGTGTTGGGTGTTGTAGTGTGTAAGTTGTTCAATACAGACTTGCCGGATTGTCGAAATCTCAGTCTGTCGACAACTACTTTAGCGAGATCTTGCTGCTGTTGGTGAAAATTGTATGTCTTGTGCCTCTTCTTCGTCGTATGAGACTGAGCAGGGTTTATCGCCTTTAAGTACCCTTCCTGTTGAACGTCGAAGACTGCATTTTTAGAAGTAATGAGCGCCATGCACAACAAGCGCTCTTTGTTAGGAAGGTCCGCTCTTGTTCTACAAGCCAATTGTGACTTACCGTCAGACAATCAGCCTCCGGTCTTCCATTGTCACCGTTGGTCGTTTCAAAGGCAATGGTGTGTGAAGAATAGGGATTATACCAGGCGTCAAGGATATCCAAGCTCAATCAATGCCTTTCACAGATTCCGTTACAAACAGTGTCTCCCCAAAACAAAAATAACTCATGGCTAGGCCATTGTCCCGGATAAGGGGTGATGGCGCTGCGTGGCAGATGCTAGAGGGCGGCGGCTTGGTGACGTCTGAAAGACAACTTCAGATAAAGGAAATGTCGAAAAGGGGTCGGCTCCCGCAGACTCTTCCCTTGCTCTGCATCTGGATGGCCTGCCCTGCTGACACTTTGAAGCTATTTGAAATAGCAGTTCGAATTAATCTTTCAGAGTAGGTAGTGCCGAAGATGGGTCAATGGTGGACGAGATGTATCACATGGCTGAGTCATCGCCATGGCTGGCTTCTGAGTGCGCCGCGCTATGAGTTCGCAGCAGAGTGCTATACACACGACGACATGGATGGGCTGTCACTTATGGCCTTGGACAAGGATGCCATCCGCCAGACGATCAGGATCTTTGCAATAAGCTGAGCGCATCTGACCTCGGCAAACCAGACCTCATTGTGGTTCTTATTAGAGCTTGATCACCTCAGGATGCGACCCGGGGGAGAGCTCGAAAGGTGAATAGTCCTCGTTTCAGTGTTGTCATATGCAGGCAGTCGAGTTTCGCAGTGTCACACGTGGGCGGCAAGAACTCGAACATGTACCCGTAAACAGAGGCAATCTGGGCCGTTTTCGAGTCGCGTAGTTACAGCGGTGGACTGGGCTGTGTTGGAATGCGAAGAGGCCTGCTTTCGAAGAAATCGTATTTATTATCGATGGTATCATATCGTCAAAAGCGCTACTCTAAATGCTATAATATCCGCCCTTGCCATATTACTGGAGCTCGACAGGCTGCTGTTGGGCCGGAGAATGCGTTGATGCGGTCAAATGCGTTGGAGCGGGAGAATGCGTTGGAGGCCGTGCGGCATTGTTGTCCGTATATGCTTCCGGCGTGCAGAGGTGGTGCTGTCCGCCGTCAAGCTCAGTCCCTCTGGCAGCTTCCATCTCAGCTGGCTGTGCTGGTCGTCCTGGTTTGTAATACCCCATGAGCGCCTGTTGATTCGCGTTGTATGCTGGCGCGTTTGGATCGTATGGTTGAGGAGGGCCTTCGTTAAAGACCGTCTGCGGACTGCCGCCGCTGTATGGCTCGTAGGCCTCTTGGCTATTCGTGTTCTTGCCTCCGCCCTTCTTTGATTTTCTCCAAAACCACAGTGCGGCAAGTAAGGCCGCTATGCCCACAACGCCGACGCCGATTCCAACGCCGAGTCCGGTTTTCGCACCACTTGATAGTCCTGTCTCTACTGTAGGCGTTGTCGTTGGGGTAGAGCTGCTAGTCGCCTCGGCCGCTGCGGATGGTTAGCAAGGGCATACCACACACCGGAGCGAGTACATACGTGATGTAACAGCGAGCCCGCTCGTTGCCGTCGCTACTGGCACGGACGCAGATGTTGTGAGTGTGGTCGCCGTTGTTGTTGGATCATCGGCGGTCCCATCATTGTCGCCAATGTAGAAGGACGCGCTCAGAAACCCTCCGTTCGCTTGCTCGTCGGAAGTGCCTTGCGCATTGACTATACGGAACGCATATATCTGCGACGTATTCTTGGAATCGGTGTGGACATCCCATTGGTACCACTTTTGGGACGAGCCGGCTGATGTAACATTAGCATCCCATGAACGTAATGCCAGGCTATGGGGTTTGACTAACTCGCAAGTTGTACGGGGGTGCCAAAGTCCCAGCCGACGATGAGGTAAAGATTGGAGTTTTCGTAAGTCGTGTCCCAGCTGACATTCATGCTCGCTCCCTCGCCGTAGACGGTCGTCGTGGCTGTGGGCTCAGTAAAGTTACCGTCAGAAAATTCCACCGGATCCTCTCCTGGGCCCCAAAGGTCGTAATCAGTGCTAGAGTCATCTTGACATACGGCGACTGCGCTGAGCAGTGCCAGTGGGAGCAACGCTTGAAGCCGCATCGGGACAGACGGCTTGCGAGTTGAGACGGCAAACTTTTGAGGGCAAATCGACGGCGAGAACCACGAAGAAGAGAAAAACAGAGAAGAGCGGCTTGGCGATTGGGCATCGCCCGTGTAATATGAGTGGTAGCCCCAGCTGCCAGCAGCGCTTCTAAATCGGGCAACGAGGGTCTGTATTATGCCAAGCGACTATCAGGTCCACTTGAGGCACGGGGAATCTCTCCAGAGTCCAAGAATAGTGCTAGACCTTCAACCTTCCTGGTCTGTAATAGAATTAGTATGGGCTGAGACGCAGATCTGACAGCAGAGCTGCTTTCTATTGGCAGAAAAGCGGCGGCCTAGAAGGATTGCCTCAGCTTATTCCCAGGTGGCCACCGAAGAGAGGTCCAGAAAGATGCAGCCATGATGATGACCCTCTCCCCTTCTTCCCCTAATGATGGGGGCAACGACGGACGACGAAGACGACCTGAAAGAGCCGTCGCCAGTCACGAGAATCCCATTCAATTGGATATCAATATATGATAGCAAGATGGGTTTGAAGATTCACAGCCTCAAGTCAAGGACCAGAATTATCCAAAAGAGCAGCGCCCCTGGTGGAGTAGGGCTGGACTTTTGACGTGTAAACTAGTAATACTAGTAGTAGATAGCGAAGAGACCGGAATTCGACCGCGTGGGATCACTATCCATGGTCTGATTTGCTAAGTCAGCCTGAGTGTAGTAGGCGCGAGGTTCGTGGGTTTCCGTGCTTGTTCGTCTAGTACAAGCCGAGCATGGCTTTCACAGAACAGAGGCCCAGTCTCGCAGTCTATGCAGCGGTATTGGCTAACAATTTAATTCTTGTATACGTGACGTGATTGGCTACAGTCCCTGACCACGCTAAAACGCACGAGACTCGCGCCTAAAGGGATGGGGAGCCAGCCAATCAGGAGCTCGGACGTCCAGCTCTGAAACTCGCTGCTTTCAAGGTTGCTCAAGGTATTAACAACCTACATGTATTCGGGCGCCGGGCAGCCGCCAGCCGGGCAGCCGCCAGCCGGGTGAGGAAAAACAGCTTCCAACCAGTCGCCAACTCATCGCCCGGCGCCAGCTATTTACTGTGGTAGTAGTCCTGCATTAGTGCTGACGTCCACTGTCAGACCGTCAGTCCAGACTCCATACCCGACGCAGTACTATTTCCGCGTTTGGATCCGGACCATGGGAAACTTGTCTCCTTGTCCAGTGTGACCGCTGGTATATTAATAGCACCGTCGTTTGAGGCTTGGCCACAGCCCGCGTGTACATGTTCCGCGCTTGTCTCGCCGTTCGAATCTGCCCCAGGCTTCGCGCTCGTCTGGCATCCCCTCAGCCCCTCTGGACGAAGCGAGATGGACGCGTTGAGTTCCATTCCGACGAACATGTCTGCATGTGTCTCGGCCACCAGCTGTCAGTGTGGCTGGCGCGCGGGTATGCAGTGAATGGAGAGTGGTCCAGACTCCAAGGGCACGACTCGCGAGTCGCAACCTTTGGATTGCCTGCGGCTGATTCATTCCCTGGACAAGGGTCACCGAGATGGGTCTGACCCCCTCTCTATCTCTCCACCGTGACGAGTATTTCTGCCGTGCCCTATGCCAGGATCGCATCGCCATACGAACCCCTGACCCACCGGTGGGCTGCTCGTAAGCCGAGCTTTTCGTGTTCTCTTCTGAAGCTGCCTGGCACCAACAACGTCCCATTACAGAGAGATGCGGTCCTTCGTTGTTGCTGTCGCCATCCACAGTTTTGTTCCTTTTCCCTTCAGTAGGGAGAGATTGCTTTGTCTGAAATTCTCCCTGCTAGGGCGCAGCTAGATCGAGACGCGACACTTCGCGACCCTTGCTTTCCTTGAAAGCCTCAAGGAAACCCGGTCGCTTCTTGCTTGCTGCTCCCAATTCGCTCTTTGATGATCGATTGATTGATCGGTCGCTCCATGTTGGAGTAGCTTGGACTTCAACGTCAGCAACCTGACAATGCTGTCTCCGATAGGCTCTTGCTTCCCACGCTCGCCAGCGCGCGTTCTGCTGGTAGTCTTGCTATTCTTCGTGTTGCGTCAACTGCTTCATTTTAGGTCACCTGGGCAGCCGGTCCGCCTCAGCGAACACAGCGTCCAAGATGATGACCGCTTAAACTGCGAGGGCCTCGAAGGGCTCAAAGACATATTCGTACTCTTGCGGACAGGGACCACCGAAGCGCCCAAGAAGCTACCTGCGCACTTCGCGACCACGCTACGCTGCGTCCCAAACTACGCCATCTATTCCGACTTTGAAGAGGATATAGCCGGCCACCACATTTACAACGCCCTGGACGAGATAGACCCAGAGATCCGAGCGTCGCACCCAGACTTCGAATACTACAACCGACTGCAAGGGAAGGGCAGGGAGGCTTTCACAGCTGAAGAGATAGCGCAATGGTCGTCTGCTAAGAACACCATGGGCGGACGGGACAGTCCGGGGTGGAGGTTGGACAAGTGGAAGTTCCTCCCGCTGGCCGATAAAGGGTACCGCGCGAACCCCAGGGCGAAATGGTACATCTTCGTCGAGTCGGATACCTTCATCCTGTGGAAGACGCTTCTCGAGTGGCTCTCCAAGTATGATGCTTCGAAACCGTACTACTTGGGCCAGCAGATGCAGATTGGCGACGTGGTGTTTGCGTATGGCGGAGCCGGGTTTGCCGTTTCGAATCCGGCCATGAAGAAGGTCGTGGAGCACCGCAGCGCGAACCTCAAGTTCTACGACGACTTCACGGCCGGTCACTGGGCTGGTGATTGTGTCCTTGGCAAAGCCCTTTTGGACGCCGGAGTGAATCTCCACTGGTCGTACCCGACACTTTCGGGTGACGAACCAGCAGATACGGACTTTGACTCTGGCTTCGGCGGGCCGGAGAGGAAACCGTGGTGTTACTACGCCGCGAGCTATCATCATCTCCCTCCGTCGGAGTTTGCGACCTTCTCCGAGTTTGAGCGGAGATGGAACAATGAAGTAAGTAACTCCAGCAACGATCTATATCTTGGGCATAGACCCTGACAGTGCATGAATCAGAACACCACGCTCATGCGTCACTACGATATCTTCCGGAACTACATTCAGCCGCGTCTCCGGTCCGAACGTTCAGACTGGGACAACTTGTCGGAGAAGGAGCAGACTTCGGAGAGCTCTTTCAAGGCGTGCCGCGACGCGTGTCAGAGTCAGCAGGATTGTCTGCAGTTCTCCGTCTCCGGCTACAGCTGCAAGACGTCTACGGCGCTGAAACTGGGCCACAAGAGCTCTGCTGAGGAGCAGGTCGCATCCGGGTGGATGCTGGATCGCATCGAGGATTTTACCAAGCGCATGGACGCGGCCTGCGTCGACCGAGACTGGATCATGCCATAGAAGCAGGACCTGTATGAAAGTCTCGAGCACAGTGTGAGAGCGCAGCTCTCATACGAATCAGGGCCTTGTCCGCCTGGGGCATCGTGTGCCATGTGCTGGCCACAGTCCTTGGATCTGGCTCACCGGAGCTCTCCAGGCGGCCATTTCGTGTAGACAAAGTACCGAGTTGCCGGAACATGAGTCACCATTGGAAGATGCCACAGCATCTATGCCAGGGTGGGGAGCCCTCGGGCGCATTTTTTGGATATCACGATGGCGAGCAGGAAGGGCTGCTTGGTGGCCCGGTGTCCCGCAACGCCTGGAGGGCCGTGAAGATCGCACAATCGCCCAAATGCGGAAATGGTGGCGCTTCTTCGGTTTTCCAGCTCCAGTAGGCCCCAACTCGAGGCAGATGCGCATGCACCAGAATATAGTAATATTAATGACTAGAGCTGTCCTATCTCAGTAGCATCACGCCTTGTGAGCGCTCAGCCTTGTTGTATATAGCTGAATTATGATATAATTCGAACTCGAGACTATCCGACTGAAGAACTTACTTATCATCAAGCGACAAGACCATTCGTGGCATCGGGGAAGCTTCAAAGGACACTACTGTCGTCCATATTAGCCGCGTCGTGTACCGTATCACAGTTACCAGTATCACACGTCTGGTAACTGTGAAACGGTACGCGGCGTCACTCCGATCTCCGTGGTGAAATGAAACCCAGTGTAGGACAGCTCCGGCACTACACCACTCAGGGGCAGCCACACCTAGGTATAGCCTTGGTGTCCCAGCAACTTTGGTGCCATTCCCACTAGGGCAATCCTTAACGGCTTGGATTCAATGATACGGCCTTTCAGTTGCCCGACTTCGTTCCTCCTACGACATTGGGTAGCTGGCTGCCGAGCTCTAGTTCTTGCACTTGGTGACGGCGCCCCTTGAAGGTGCTCGAGCGAACCATGAACTGCCCTCTCGGTGTTGACACTACCAGCATGGGCATGGCCTGATAGCCTTAAAGCTCCTATACCTGTAAGCTGCTCGTGAAGGTGTCAACATCGAGCCTCGTCAGCGACATTGCTGTTAAGATCCTGTTTGCTCCAGCAGGCTCATCAGATCCGTTTTGTCAGAAGTCCATATTACGCCAAACCGCACCAAGGATACTGCTAGAATCGTCCTCGATTCCTTGACGGTAGGCCTGTAGCGTGTGGTGCGGTGATCCTAGGCAGGTTGTTGCTGAAGGTGATTCAATCACCACGAGAACCCGCGTGGCGCCACAGACTTTCACTATCCCCTGATATGGACTCGATTAGTGGCTCGGGTGCTGCTAACGGCTGGAACGCAGCATCACGCAGAGGTCCGGGGGCAGGTTAATGACGGAGTATTTGGACCGTGGATTAGTTGCAAGTTCAAAGGCAGGATCAAGGGCACCGTCAGGGGCAGGGGCAGGGGCAGGATCAGAGGGCGAGATCAGAGGGCGAGATCAGAGGAAAAATGAAAGTCAGGATCAGGAGTATGGTCAGCAAAATCAGAGGTTGAATTCAGGGCAGAACCACAAGATCAGACGGCAAGATCAGAGAGCAGGATCGGGGACAGAATCAGAGGCAAACTCAGCAAGATCCAGGGCTGGATCAGAGCCTAAGACGGGAGGCGGCATCAAGGGCAAATTCAGGATCAGAGGGCAAGATCGGAGGCACAATCAGGGGCACGATCAGGGGCAGATTGAAAATAAAAAGTGCCAAGTCAAACCAGGATGAGGGACAATACGAGCGTTAAGATCAAGGCAAGAGTCAATATCAGGAGACTTTATCAGGGGCAAAATCAACATCAAAGGCAAGATCAGAGCCGAGATCAAGTCCGAGATCAAGATCAGAGCCTAAACCAGAGCCTAGATCAGGGGCAGAATCAGAATCGAGACCAGGGGCAGAATCAAGATCAGGGGTCAAATCAAGATCAGGGGCAGGATCAGAAGCAAGATCAAGATCAGAGGCGAGATCAGAGGCGAGATCAGAGGCAAGATCAGCAGCAAGTCAAGATCCCAGGCGAGATCTAGGTCAGAGCCGAGATCAGGGGTAGTGTCAGAGGTAGGGTCCGAGGTAGGATCTGGCGCACAATCAGGATCAAGCGCACAATCAAGATCAGGCGCAAGATCAAGATCAGAGGCAAGATCAAAATCAGAGGCAAGATCAGAAGTAGGATCAGGGGCAGGTCAGGTCATGTAAACCAGTTGAAGTCAAATCAGGCCAATCAGATGCCAGATCAGAAGGGAATAATTGATTAAATCAGTCAATCAGAAACTAAACCACGTTGTATACACAGATCACAGATCAATCTGCTGAGCACAGACCACGTTAGGGGTGATTGTTGGCGGTTGCTCAGGGGCTCAGACCACGATGGGTCCCACTTTTGTGCAAACATATTGACACTGCAAAATTAGTGATTCTACCAAGATCAACACCAATAATAGAATAAATCAGTTATCCTCAGCCAATGAGAATTCAGTGTTTGAGGCACCTTCTCTTCCTAATCGGGTTTAGTGGTAAATGTACAATCAGCCAGACCTCCCCCTTTCCTACATAAGAAAGGGGCACCTCCCAGGTTTTCGTACCTTTCCTTCCTTTCCTTCCCCACCCTCCGAAGAGATTCAACATTTGTCAATCCCTGATCTTCAGTCTTGAGCATCGCTTCACTCCTATCTTTGATCTTTGCTTGACATCATCGTCGCCTCTCTTCATCACTCTGGACCTGGTCCGTCCATCTATCACACACGCTCGTCTGCCTCCGGGTAGCAGCATCACTTCAGTCTCAACCTAGTCACGCGAGTCTCTCGTACATCGTCGCTTCTTCTCACGACTGCATGAGTTGGCGACACGACTGTATCGAGTTCTCTGAGCCTAGTCTTCTGCTTTCGGGTCTCCGCATTCAACGTCTCTTGTTCCTGAGAGAGGTTTGCATTCCATCACTGCTTCTTCTACCATCATGTCTGACTTTCTAGTTTCGTTGATCTTGTCTCTTCCTCTTGTCGACCCAGTCGACGGTACATACATACGACGAGCCAGGCATTGACCTGCTCATATATCTACTCTCAGACAACATCATCTCTCTCTTTCCGAAATCATATCTCTCTCTCCGACATCATCCTCTCTCTCTCCGACATCTCTCACTTGCGATTACTTCACCCTTCATCATGTTCTTCAGCAAGATGTTCACGGGTCTTCTCTTCCTGGTTGCCATTGGCGCCGCACTTCCTATCCAGATGCCCCGCACTGGTGTCCTGAGTGATGTCGTTACCCAGGAGAACTCCACCACCGTCCACGGAGGCATCCATGCCATGACTCCGGGCGCTGAGGGAGCCAAGGGATTGATCTCGTCGGACCTTCACCAGAGCAACGTCACCGTCAATACCACTCTGCTCGAACCGAGAAAGGGTGGTAAAGGAGGGAGCTCCGTCAAAGGACCACCAGGAGGAGCCGGAGGGAGCCTTGCATCAGGAGGGTCAACAGTCATCATCGTCGGCGGCGGCGACGACGAGGCCCTGGCGCCATTCTGGATCGCTCTCATCGTCATCACGAGTCTCACTATTGTCATCTCCGTCACCATTGGCATCCTCAATGCACGGACAGTTGCTCCGGTTTCCGTAAGACTCCCGAGTCCAAGGGTATTCACCAGCTCCGCATGCGAGCAGAACAGGCCGCCACGCTGAACAACACTGACAACGCCAACAACGGACCCGAGCAGCCATCGGAGGTTTTCTCGAATGTGGATCTTGCCATGACAGGCGGTCAGCCTTTCCTCGCAAAGAATGCCGCCGAGGGTGAGCAGGCGAAAGCCGGCCAGAAGAAGAAGCGACACCTCTTCTTCTGCGTTTAAGTACCCCACAGACGATTTCTCACGCATATTTTGCTCTATTCCGTCGCATTCTGCCGCATTCTTCGTTTTGATTCTCTACTCGCACTCTGCGAAGCACCAGAGTCATTGCGGCCTGCACTTTCATCGGCAAGGATCACCTACGTAGCTGGATCAATTACCCGAATCCGGAAGTAGATGACTGGTCCGAAGAGTCTGACTCACTGTCTCGGCTGTTCCAAGCAGTCAGCATCAATGCGCCACCGATCTGAGCAGGCGCTTTGCTATACGCCTGAGCACTGTGGCCACCACGTACCATCAAACGAGTGAGACTCGACGTGATTGTAGGTGCACTTCTCTCCTCCCGGAACCTCACTGCGCCTTGCTAACACACATCATAGGCTACCAGAGACGAGACATCTACAGTTCTTGTCTCGGTTACCACGCGGTCAGCCCCCATACTGCGTTGCACATAACATGAATGGCAATTCCAGCAGTAAGGAGACTCGTAATTCCCATTGCGGATGCTTGTTAACTCGGACTCCTAGGCAGCGAACCTTATTGAGACGCTCTTAGGAAAGAGTCTCCAGAAACCTTGGCTCTCCGTCACCTCAAATTGGGTTCGGACGAAATACGTCTCATGCTCAGTCTTCACATATGTCTGGGTTTTTCTGGGTTCAGACTCTTTCTTCGGCATTGACAGGCCTTGGGGAACGCCGTAGCTTCCTACACATGGATGCCTTATGTTGGAGATGCATATGGGTTACGATGTCACTGGGGGCTGTTTTCCTATTTGTTGGATGGGAAACAGGCGGAAATGGGCACATACAATCTCTGTTATCAGAGCTGCAAGCAAGGACATCTTGCCGATACCCTTGCTATAGTGCTTCTTTCCTAATACAGGCACTTGAAACTCTGCTTTGGATGCCTCTATGGAAGCTGACATGAGTGAAACTCTTCATATCAATGTGAGACATGTTACAAGCAGTCAAGCCATCAGCCATTGTTCTTCAAAGCTTCGCCTAGTGGCGAGCAGACCTACCAGGATGGGTTCTATTCTCAAGGAGGCCTTAGATGTAAATGTTACACGTTCATATGATGACACCGGAATAGGCAAGAGTCAACAGTATCTCATATCAATCACTATCGTGTCCATACATTGCCAAACGCCCAATATTGTCGCTTGCCGCGAGTCAACAGCCAGGTTCCCTCGTGTCCTCCAGTAAGATCAGATGCCTTGCTCGGCATGACAAGGGTCGTACCGGAAGAAGGGGGCGTCTATCGAGAATCAGAATGCTGTGTCTACAGTACAGGTATATCGAGTCATTCCAGCTTGGCACGACTGATCGGGCAAGGATTCATCGAGCCGACAGGATGAAGGCATGATAACCAGCCTTACTGCTGCCACTTGGATGCCTTCGGGCAAGATGACACTGATTCAGACGGCTGATGGTCGAGCACACATCGATCCCAGGCCCGTGACCACAGCCCCTGAGAGTGTCGCGGCGGTCACTCTCCGTCCACACGTATGTACTCACGGTTGCGCCCCTGAAATTGATGGCAGATGACCCAGGCTACAGTCTCTGCGAAACACACCACGCCAAAAAAAGAGTTCCACAAGCTCAAAGGATAAGTTGATCGATGGTTACTGCCCTTGATATGGATATGGATATGCAACGGTAATGTTGTGGGACAAGGGTATTCATGGCTGGCGACTATCTTCTGTACGTCTCCTCCATGCCACATTTTCTGATTAACAGGGTGACTTACGTGCGACCACAGACCTCACCTACACGTACGGCTTCGAAGTTCGTATTGACTCAATGTTCTGCGGGGTTTGGGAAAGCATTTATCCCCACGTCTAACCGGCCATCCGACCGGGCAAACTATACCCCACTGTGACTTCATATTGCCGTCTGATGGAAGTCAGTCTGTATAAGTCTTCTCGATCTTCCTCAACCGACTCTGCTTTTAGCAGTACAATCTGACTGTGCCCATAACCAATCGCATCAAGGACACTGCAGTCACCATGTCTAGCCCAGGAATGCTCTATGTTACTATGCAGCCCAAGCCAGGCTTGCCCATCCAGCAATTTCATGAGTGGTACAACAACGAACACGGCCCAACCCGGCTTCGGCTGCCCCAGATCTTTGGCAACGGGCTCCGTTACCAAGCGACCGATGGGAAGGAGCCTTCATATCTCGCCGCTTACGACGTGACATCAATGTCGCATCTGGTGACAGAGACATACACCAGTCTTCGAGCCAACAGATCCCCTCGCGAAGCCGAGACCATTGGACAGGTGGAAGTGAAGCGGTATTTCTGGGATCTGGTGTCGACCTATCAATCGCCACTCTTCATTCCAGTTGAGCAGTTGACAGACGACGAGGGCGAAGGAATTGTCTTCGTCGCCGTTGAACTGAAGCCTACAGAGGCAGACGGCGCAGAGGCTGAGATCAAGAAGTGGTACGACGAGGAGCACGCAGCTATGCTGTCAAAGGTCCCTGGCTGGCTACGAACACGCCTATTCAGAACATCAACTCTAGAGTCCGGTGTGCCTACTTCGATCATCGCGCTTCATGAGTATGCGAAGGACAACGGGATGGGCGGCCCCGAGCACAAGGCTTGCCTGACCCCGAGAAGGGATGAGGTGTTCGGAAAGTATGCCACACTGGCGTCTTGGAGAGAATACTCGCTTTTCTACATCTTTGGCCCGGCGCCGCGCGACTTGCTCAACCTTTCCCAGCTCCCATCAGCTTCGTCGACCTTCAAGGCAGCAGATGCCAAAACAGTGACTTCGAACACCCCCGCGCCCACCATCACATCCTATGTCACTACTCCGGACGGGCTTTCTATCCCGTACAGACTGGAAGGCAACCCGGACCCCAAAGCCCCCACCATCGCCTTCTGCAACTCGCTACTCACCTCGTTGCATATGTGGGATCCTCTTGTCGACATCCTCAAGCAGAAGCGGCCCAAGTATCGCATACTTCGCTACGACACCCGCGGTCGGCACTCGGTGCCGTCACCTCCCAAGCCTGCCACCTTGGATATGCTGGCGGATGACTTGAGCCATGTGCTCGAAGCCCTACGAATCCCAAAGCTTGGCATACTGATAGGTGTCTCCATAGGTGGCGCAACGACCTTGGAATTCGCACTGAAGTATCCGAGCAAGCTGGAGAAGTTCATAGCATGCGATTTCAACGCCGCGTCCAGCCCGGCGAACACAAGCGCCTGGAAAGACCGGATTGTCGTTGCGGAAACACCCCTTGATGACGGCGCCCCTGGCATCAAGAAGCTGGCAGGACAGACAGTGGAACGATGGTTCCACCCGGCCACCATGCAGAAGAAACAGGACACGGTCCAATGGATGACGGATATGGTGGCTGGCAACGACGTCGAGGGCTTCAAGTACAGCTGCCAGGCGCTGTGGGACTACGACATGAAGGCCCAACTGAAGGATTGTGAGGTTCCCGGGCTGCTGGTCGTTGGCGAGGGAGATGGAAAGGGCGCTTTGGTCAAGGCGATGGATGGGTTTAGGGGGGCGGTGGGGGAAGAGGGGGTGAACCTCGTGGTCGTACCCGAGGCCGGTCATTTGCCAATGTGTGAAGAGCCCGAGGGCTTTTGGAATGCCGTGGATAACTTCTTGTAGGATGCATCTGTTTGCATCGCGGGCTGCTTAGGTAGTATACGTACAGCAATGCTTCATTAGACAACGAACCACCTGGTGGCCATGGCTGCTTTCCTGCCACCAAGGTTCGCGCGACGTTGACGCCATCGCAAACCTTGATAAGGGACAGCCAAATATTCATTGTAAAAACAGATTGTGAATTACGTAGACCAAAGATATCGAAAGCTCCTGTTCTCTCAGAAACCAGGATTTTCCTACCTGCAAGATAGGGTGTGAGAGTGGGTTAAGTGCATCGATTTGGTAGAGGAATATCGGGTCCTGCGCTAAAGGTCGAAGTTTGAGGCTGCCTCAGTTGAGTCACGCCCACTTCATCGTACCTCCCTCGTCCGCTGCCGGGCGACGAATGTGTTCCTCGAAAACGCGCCTCTACGCCTGGTGTCCTCTGAGTCAGATACGTGTTTGCTTTTTGTTGCACAGCATCGAATCACAGCTGCAGGCTGCGGCCCCCGCTCTGTCGTTTGCATGCCTGCCTCCAGCACCCAGCCCTCATCACCATTGAGACAACCTCCCAGCTTCACCTTCACACCACGTTCACTTTCACACCACGCATCTCATTTTTCGCTCCCTTTCAGCAGAACCCCCGAGAGGTCTTCTCGTAGGATGACCGATCAGGGCGCAGCACAACTACATTCTTTTTCCATCAAGGTGCAGTGAGGCTGCCCGCAGCTCCCCGCCAACGTATTCAAGGCAGCCAGGTGACCTGATCTTGGCTGGTCGTTTCGCTCTTCAAATTCAATCCCACTGTCAGAAGGCGTTGTCTGTGTAGGTCAGCATCATCTTATTTTTCACTGGGAAAGTCAGTCAATCAGGTGCTTATCCCACTATCCCACTTACAGGCTGGACACCACACAGAGACGCGTCGCGCTACTTGAGGCTCTTCGTTTTTGGTTTGTACCAATCACCCCCATCTTGGTCCCCAAGGGACGACAACGCTGCCAACCATGGCAGGAATGTTGGTATTCATGAGCAACCTGCCCCCGAAGATGACTGAAGAGGGCCTGAGGATACAGCTGTTGCCTTTGATCACTGAACACGGCGTTCACGATTGGTCCTGCCAGAAGCCAAAAGGGAAGAATATAGGCTTTCTCTCTTTCCTCCGTCGCCGTGAAGGCGAATGGTTTTTGGCCAGTTATGGAGAGCAGATCATCCCGGGAGCAATCGGGCCAGACGGCAAGCAGCGATCCCGCTCTCGTCTGAAGCTCCTACGCATGTCCGTCTTTTGCAAGCAATCCGACAAGCCCTTGGATCCGTTCCTGTACAAAACCTTGGTCAAAGCAGCTGAGGACCGTGCCCACGAAGATGAAAACGAGCAGGAGCCACAGAAGCATACTGTTGTCACCTTTGAAATGCGAAGCCTTTCTTGTGGACACTTCGAATATCTGCGCGACCACCTAGCCTACACTGCAGATATCGAGTGGAACCAGCAGGGGATTGCCAAGTTCGCCAGAGATGCTCTGATCGTATCTTTCGACATTCAAAGCGGGCCCTTCCGTGTTGAGATGCCATACAGGATCATCCACGATATCACCACCTGTACTCGCCCATCATCCTTGGTCCTGACCCTTCTGGAAGCACCGAGATTCTTCGGTCCAATCAGCGACCAGGGGATTGCCGGCATAATGGCCCAATTGGGCCTCACCGACAGCCCCCAGCCTGCGAGCGATACAACGAGAACTCGCCTCAGCCACATTCCACACCACACGGATCATCGTGATATCATGGGGCAGTGTCTCGCCTATCGCATTGAACTGTCGGCAGCGGACTTCCACCTGAAGGTTAAGAAACTGAAGGAGAAAGACCACCTCAACTTCACCTACTACAATTTTACGTACTACCCACACGGTCGGACCTATATGGTTGATGGGCTGCAAGATTTTCGAGGCATGATCAACTTATGCTCCAAGAGCATCCCCTTTGACGTCTTGTTTCAATTACAGGCACTTGTCCAGAACGGATATCTTTTGCCACAGACTGTCGTGAGCATATTGGCTCGTCTCCATAAGAGCTCGAAGCACACCCTCGGGGCTGCGGTGAATCATGGTGTGAGCATAGGTCATCGTGTGTCCGCCAGGACCAATGGCACATCGAGTATTTCAGGTTGGTCATTTTCCCTTATCGTCATTTTCACAAGGGTTCTCTCAATGGGACCCCAGTAGGCACATCGACAGGCATTTCGGAGGGATCATCCCACGGCAAACAGATTTGTCCCTGATCTTGAACGCTCAAGGCTATACTGCCCTTGACGAGCTATACCTTTTGGGAAAGGCCTGCTAAGTTCGTGTATTAGCTTAAATGGGGCGCTAACTCATCATCTAGACTGCAATGACAGCAATGGGGTCGGATGTCCAGGGCTATTCTCGGCGAGCGCAGTGAGGAAGATATTCGCCCAGATTGCATTTCCTGGACCGGACACAAAAGCCTGCCTCTTTGATCCCAACGAGATCTGGACTTGGCTTGAGGCTAACGAGAAGGAGGTACAAGAGGGAATCACCAGACCCCTGATTACCGAGCGAGCGCGAGAGAATCGGACCATGATACACAAAGTACACGTCACTCCTAGCCGAATAATTCTCCTCGGGCCTGAAGCTGAGGCCAAGAACCGCATTCTGCGCAAGTTTAGCCACCATACAGGCTACTTTGCTCGGGTTCAATTCTGCGACGAGGACGGTCAAGACCTCTTCTACAATCCCAAGGTATCACTGAGCGAGGTATATGACAGGTACAAGCAAGTTCTCCTGACTGGAATACCGATCGCCGGAAGGGTGTATCAGTTTTTAGGTTTCTCGCATTCCTCACTTCGGGCGCGTGCTGTTTGGTTTATGGCTCCATTCGTTGACCATAACGGACAGTCCCAGACTTACCATTCTGTCATAGTGGATCTTGGTCGCTTTCAAAACATATTTTGTCCCGCAAGGTGTGCTGCCAGGATTGGCCAGGCCTTTTCTGAGACGCCATTCTCTGTTGACCTAGACCAGTTGGGTGCTCACGTATACCTTTTGCCAGACGTTAAGTCCGCGGACGGGGCAAGAGTGTTCAGCGACGGTGTCGGAACAATATCAAGGGACTTGATGGAAGCTATCCAGGAGGCCATCCCGCACAGGGCTGGTTCGGCAACCTGCTTCCAGATTCGGTGGGCCGGTGCGAAAGGCATGTTATCCCTTGACGATACGCTAGAAGGTATGGTGATGCGTGTTCGTTCAAGCATGATCAAATTCGAAAGCGACGACAAGCAAAACCTGGAAATATGCGATGTTGCAAACAAGCCTGTCCCACTTGTTCTAAATCGTCAAATAATCAAGATCATGGAAGATATGGGAGTCCCCGACGCCTGGTTTCTCAAGGCCCAAAGCCGAGAGCTTGCTCGTCTATGCAAGATCACGGGGAATGTCGACAACACAGTGATCTTCCTGAAGAGACAGATGATCGCGGACCAGATGCGATTCTTCCAATTCATTCGCCGCTTGCACAAACTCGGAATTGACTACAAGAAGGACAGGTTCCTCTGTTCTATCGTGGAGACCGTCATTCTACGTGAGGTACGCTTGCTCAAGCACAAGGCGCGGATCCCCATCGAGAAAGGTGTCACATTATTCGGTGTGATGGATGAGTTTGGTTATCTAGGAGAAGACGAAGTCTATATCACGTACGGGCACTCCGACGGAGCGCCACATCACCGAGATTTGCACGATCGACTTGTCATACTCACCCGAAGCCCTGCACTCCATCCGGGCGATGTTCAGATTCGCAGAGCGATCGTCCCGCCCGATGGACACCCCCTTCGAAGCCTGACCAACTGTATTGTCTTCAGTCAGAAGGGTGAAAGGGACCTTCCTAGCCAGCTCAGCGGTGGAGATCTTGACGGAGACAAATTCCACGTGATCTATGACGATGTTGCAGTTGAGGGCTCGAAGCGGGAGTTCAAACCGGCCGATTATCCTCGTGTGTCGCTTCTTGACGTTGGCCGCGAAGTGACCCGCGAGGATATGACCGACTTCTTCGTCAATTTCATGTCGACTGATCAGTGAGTACTTCCGCAGATTTCCCGATTCAAGCTTTTGGTCTGCAAAGGCAATGCTAACTGACTCTTACAGACTCGGCGTGATCGCTACCAGACATCAGATTCTCTCTGACATGCATGCGGCCGGTACTTTGCACGAGGGGAGCCAAATGCTGGCTGAGATGCATTCAATGGCAGTCGATTACTCCAAGACCGGCATAGCTGTACCGATGTCTAAGTTGGGTAAGATGAACACTACGTATCGTCCTGACTTGTAAGTTCAGATAACCCCCCCCCCCCCCTTCCTGTCTCAGCTTCAATCGACCCGCAAACCGCCAATTATACCCCTGACAGTAATATCTTTGCTGACCTCATAGCTAGCATGGCCCCGTCCCCCACTGCGAATATTATCGACCGAACTGAGATCCAGTTCGAGGCTCCTGTCGCACCTGCGACTGACTACGACGAAGACGACGATACGGGCCCGAAGTACAAGTACTACAAGTCGGAAAAGATACTTGGAAAGTTGTATCGCGCGATCGACGAAAAGAAGACATGGAAGAATGATATCCACCTGACTGTCAATCAGTACGATGCCTCGGTTTGGGACGGAGTCTTACTCTACACTAATCGCAAATGTGAAGAGCTTGGTGGCGTCGACTGGAAGTCAGCGTTGAAAGAGGCTCGGAGCATTCGGCAAGCGTAAGTACACTCTGCTAGGTCAACGGTGTCAAACCTTGCTGACCCTCCTCAGCTACGACGACCAGATCTGGAATGCGACGTTCGAGTTCTCGGAACATTCATCCATGGGGCTCACGGAGCTTGAGGTATTCACAGGCTCTATCTTCAATAAGTCGGGGAAGCAGACGCCGCGGCAGCGAGACAAATCGACGCAACTCAAGGACGAATTCGACCGCATTTCCAAATGGGCAGAGGACCTCATTCGAAAGCAAGGAGATAAACCGCCAGGAGACTATAATGACGATGACACTGAGGACGAGGATGACGCCTATCAGGGCTCATCGCCGCTAGAACTCAGCATCGCTTGTCTTCATGTCGGTGTCGAAAGGGCGACTTTCGAGCCCGGATCCAACAGAAGGGGAGGGGGCGATTTTCAGAGCTTCAAGATCGTGGCAGCCCATTGTGCGCTGCGTGAACTCGAGCACGCCATCAAGCAGGGTGAGATTGCGGCCGGGGTTGCAGTCATGGGAGGTGGATTTCCCGGCGTAAACGCAGGAAGATCCTAGTTTCATATTTGGCTGAGAACGTGGGCATTCTGCTCGCGGCTTGTGAATGGGCTGCCTCTGGAAAGGTAGCTAGCTATGTGATGATGTACGAGTCCATGATGATGATTTTCAGCCATGACGGGGTTGATGGCTTGGATTGCTCCCATTTGCTTGATACAATGCGTGGACAAAAGTCTCCGCCCGATCCCCAATTTTACCCCTTCCATCTACTATACCCTCCAACTCAATTGAACCATAACACATCCAATTATGGTGATAGAATTCTCAAATAAATTGTATTTAATAACTAAGTCAATAATGTGTATACCAACCACCGGCGCGCCTCACTGCAGCTATTCGGTCCTCCAGTGACTCCATCAAGGCCCGAACCTGCTCCGGATCGATCTCTAACCACGCCTGCTCAATTAACTCGTGTGCGTAGCGATAATGGGGGATATTATCCTTTAATTCAGAAAATTCAGGCTCAATTTCACGTATGTTCTTCTTCAGAAGTCGCCAAATGTGCTCGATTGGGTTCATATCGGGGCTGTGAGGAGGCCAGTCGATACAGTGGATGCCGTGCTCCTCCATCCACTCCGGAACACCGCCAGTGAGGTGAATTTTCGCGTTATCTTGAACAAAAGGATCTCCAGCCTCGTAGAACGGAAACAGGCCTTCCTCAAGAACCTATTTGTATGACTCTGTGGATACTCCTCTGCGCGGAGCATCCGGATCGAGTGGGCAGAAGACCAACTTGCCTAGTCCTCCTTCTCCGCCGCGTAGCCAGATCATAGACCACACCATTATCAAAATACGAGATTTGCCGTGATCCGTCTTGTTCACGAGATCATAATGGTACCGCTCTGAAGAGAATCAGATGGCCCAATCGCCTAGGTTATCGGATGAGTTTTGGACCGTATATTCGTCTGAGAACATAGCTCGTAACAACTCCTCCAGGCGCTCTGGTGTGCTATAATAATTGGCAAAAGCGAGCCTCTTCTGAGCGTCCTCATCTGTGAGCTTGATTCGCTTTGCTGTGCGCCACTTCTGGAGGCCGTGTGCATGACATATCCTCTTGATAGTCTTAGGAGAGCACAAAATACAGGCTTCGTTTCGAATCTTCTGCCACGTCGCCCTGGGGAGCTCTCTCGCCTTTTCGATCACATGAGCGCGTTTACGAGTATTCAAAATGGGTGGGCGACCGCTCCTTGGGGCAGATTTTGGTGTAGGAGTGGCCTCAAAGTTGGTGGTAATATCGGAGATGGTTTTCAGGCGCTTCGTTTTAAATACGGTTACAACATCCCTACGCGTTCTGCTGTCGATTCGTGCCGCCACGATTGCTGAGCGAGCTTCTGAAGTGAATTTGCCGTTAGCGACGCGATTACCGCTTAATTCGTCCCCAAAAGATCGTAAATCTATTATCAATTGCGGTGTTGAGAGAGTGGTGGAGTCGAAGGGTGATTGACGCGTTGTTTTGATCTGAAGGAGATTGTGGTGGGTTGGGCGGAGACTTTTGTCCACCTAGTTTACCTTGCATCCAGATGTATATATAGGTATGCAGATCTGACAGCAAAGTCTGCTTGCTACATTCTTTCTCAGCTTTTCCATTCTCCAGATTTTGACATGGGTAAGACTATGGTCTCGTGCTCTTTGCAACCTTCCACTAAGTAACAGCGGGGGCATGCAGATGGGACAGCCCCGCAGATGGGACAGTTCCCCCACCAAAACACAATATTTGCACCCACCCACATCTCTATCGGGATTGAAGCTGTAGATATCATAAATATATCGTCTGGATTATCTTTTCTTGGTGTTTCTTCCAATATGGAATTTATTAGGTGTCCTACAGCGGGATGTCCCGTGGCGGGGGTCGGAAGTTAGCACGTCCGGCCCTAATCTAAGGGGTAATGGGACCCGTGCCCCCTATCCCCTCCAACCAGGCAGAAGTTCTGTGATTCTTTTTTTCCTTTTTTTCTGTAAGTATCACAAGCTTCAGTACGTCGAAATGGCGCCTTTATACACCGAAGAAGACCTTGCTGAGGCAATAGCCGCTGTGAACGGTGACGATCTGTCTCTCCGAAAGGCTGCCCAGCGCTATAGAGTACCAAAAACCATCCTTTCTCGCAAAGTTAAAGATTCCACAATGCCTACAACTGGCACCTAACATAAAGGACATGCTCACAGGCAAAAAATAAGCCCTGTCCAAGAAAAGAAGGTAATTTTATGGATTCTGTAACAAGAAAAGGCCGGCCATGCCCCTACTCACGCCAATGTGAGGTACATCATCCAGAAGATCCTATAATCCCAGGGAAACCCGCCTCATCTTGGGGGCTATTATATGCGAAATTTCATCTGCTGGAACCCAGAGATAAAGACCAAAATGGGCAGAAAACTCGACTACAAATGTATCAATGCTGCCATTCCCGACAACATCCATGGCTATCATAACCGCTACACAGATTATGACCTCATCAAGCCCGGGAACTGCACAAATGTCAATAAGTACGGCATCATGCAGGGCCGGCAGTACATACGTCCAATCTAAGTGTTTTTCAGACAGCTAATCAGGAGGTTATAGGTCTGATGGCCTTATAATAGGCAGTTCTGGCTCAAAAGGGGCCAACGTCAAGTCCAATGATGACCGCATGTGGACTATCGTGGTAGAATCGATCACTGCTACTGGGAAAAAGCTCCGGCTGCTGGTTATTTTCAAGGCGAAGTTAATACAGATACAGTGGTTCAAAGAGCAGCTTATTCTCAAGTATCCCGGGGTAGCAGACTGGATAGTGACTTACTCTGCTAATGGCTGGTCTTCGAACGCGATCGCGCTCAAATGACTTAAAAAGGTTATTTTATTTTTATTTTTTAATGTTAACTATATGCTAAACAACCTCCTAGATCTATCTGCCAGATACTGTCCCTGAAGACCCGGCTGAGTTCCGCCTGTTGGTGCTCGACGGCCATGGCAGCCACTGCTCAGATGATTTTATGTATCTGTGCTATATGAACAATGTCTATCTGAGCTTTTTTCCTGCCCATACGGTAGGTTATATCCTCAATTAGTAGTTATTCTGTTAATAGGGGTAGTCTCACATCTTCCAACCCCTAGATCTGACCGTTTTCTCTATGGTAAAGGCCGCCTATCGCCGCCTCATTAATCAGCTCGGTCAGTTGAACGATTCGGCCCCTATTGGCAAGATTAAGTTCCTTTCTTGCCTGGCAAAAGCCCGTGACAAAGCTATTCCTGTTATCATGCATTTGGGATGGCATCCTGCTGGCCTTTGGCCCATAAATAGGAACAAGACACTGACAAACGAGCATATAGTAAAGGCAGCAGAGATACAAGCAACAGCTGCTGCTATAATGAACCCTGAAACCAACCCTGATACCCTGGAAGCCCTTATATCAGGGCAGGATATAGCCCTGATATTGTCAACAGTCACGGAGACCCCTGAGCAACGAGCAGCAGTACGCTTGGTCGCGAAGTCATACAATGAGATGGTGGTTGAATTAGCCATCTTGAAGCTACAAAATAAGGTAAAAGATGACAAGATCGAGCATCTATAGCCTGAAAAGCGCTATAAAGCCCCCCAAAAAGAGCCTAATTAACGGCTATAGAGGATGGGAGACGTTATTCAGGAACAGATCGAGTATACGGAGGCCGCACGAGTGCTGATTGACCAGTGGGCAGAGAGACGACGACTTTTGCACGAAGTGCAGAACCTGGAGACCAAAGAATCAGAGGAATTGCCTTTTGAAGACTCTCTCTCCTCAGATTCAACAGATTTAGAAGATCTAGACAAAGGGGTGGTTATTGACAAAGAGGGCGAGGGGGTGTCTGACGAGCCGGATAATGAAAAGGAAGAGCCCATTGTGATGCGATCTCGGCGTCGAGAAATCCGCCAACCCGCGCGCTACCACTAAAAGCACTAATATTACTAAAAACACCAAGAAAAGGCGATTCTTTTGATATATATATACATTATCTATAGCCTCAATACCAATGGGGTTATATGTGGGTGCAAACGTTGTGTTTTGGTGGGGGAACTGTCCCATCTGGGGGGCTGTCCCATCTGCATGCCCCCGCCGTTAGGTAGGTGTCCATGCCACCACCCCTTTCTACCGGACGCAGGAAATATCCCTATACCCAGCCAATAGCAACGTTATCCCCGATAGCACCCTTACAGGAAGCTTGACCATCTCGAGCTGCTGCATTGTAATTATTGCAATGTGGCAGCATCAGAGGTGATTAATAGTCCCCTCTGAACCTTCCACTCGCCCTATCAGCATTTTTGTTGCGCTCAATCGGCCACTGCTGGAGAGCCATGGGACCTTTACCTCGAAAACATCGGCTTATTCATCATTGGTAAGATGTTCGAGGGCAAAGGTGCGTCCTTCCTTAACAGACGATTGTATTGCCTCTTCCGGTAGGTACCTAAGACTTATGCATCGGACCAGCCGCGAAACCAGCCGGCAGCAGCTGCCCCACAGTCAGACAACGGAAGGACCTCGGGAACTTTGGATGCAACGCTTTTCTGGCTCGTGTTCACGCTCATGTATTCCCTTGGCTTTTTACCCAGCTACTATGCACTATTGATAGACTTACCATGCAGATGGCGGGATGGAGTGTCGCTGCAGGTCCTACCCGTCATGTCCGTCAATGTTCTTTGCAGCGGTCTGCATGTTGGCAGCTCGTAACGTTACCCATGTTTCAGTGGGTAATCTGACGGCCTCGACAGCGTTTTGGGAGCGTTATCACGAAATGCCTTCCAGATTGGAACGAGTCGGACCGCTTTGGAGATGGGCGTCGCCGTGGGAGGCAGGGCTGTGTCAAACGGTCAAGGCAAATCAGCAGCTCGGGCTGGGAGAAGTGGCTGCTTCTGGCTTCTGATCGTTGCAAGGGTTCGACCATGCGCATCGCGATCTCGCCAAGACTCAAGGGGACAGGTCGACAGGCGACAGGGTCATTTATTCCGACGAGGCGTGTGGCATGCGGCACGTGGCCCGGTGCCCGACAAGTGTCATGTCAAGACTTTTCGTCAGGACCACTGGAGAGAGTGCGAGAGGGCGAGAGGGCGAGAGGAAGAACAGCTTGCCCATCTTGGTCGCTCGCAGGTCTCGTCCCATGGAGACCTGTTCCGGCTCACCGTCGCGACCTTGGCCAGTACTACATAGTAGCCAGATGGCCCGGCTGAGATCTGACGGAAAATCTCCATGTCGGATTTCCGACCAATGGTGGTGTATCAAGCACATATCGGCTGGGCGGGTAAGGTGGCTTACACATGGCTCCTGGGGATGGATCTATCGCAGCCGAGCAGACAGACCCAAGAATGAGGGCCAGGAGTCCAGGACAATATATCCGCCCGTCAACTGTCAGTCTGTCTGTCTGTCGTCTGTCAGAGCCTGTCAGAGCCAGCGGTCCCCACGTACTGTCTCGAGTGAGACGGACCGCCAGGGGCTGCATCCCACGCTGGCCCAGTTCCACGGAGCTTCGAGCCGGCTCGTCAATCTAAAAGGCATGCCTGGTCGGCCCGGGCTGCCGCAACGGGCGATACCCCCATGCAGCTCACGCTCGCCCTCCCTCGTCGCCCGTGGATCCGTGGCCCTTGGCCCATGGGGAACCCTCATCGACGTGGGCTTTGCCGTATTTAGTCGCTGTGAACCCCGCGGTGCCCATGCCCAGGTGACTGAGGTGAGAGTAGAGGGAACGGAATCTGAATGGCCGAGCCAGCCAGCACTGCCAGCACTGCCAGCCCACCAGTGAACCAGTCTCAATCTGCCAGTGAACCAGTACCGTAACCAGTGGCCAGTGAGAAGAGGTCAGACGACACAGGCAATCCGAAGAGAGACAGACGACCGGGCGCGCACGGCAGCAGGGAAAAAGGCCGACATGTCCAACGTTGATGTGGTACAGCGCACAGCCGCTGCGCTCCCCACCCCCTTTGAGAGCGCAATGGCTGCTGCTGCGACGGCCACCGCCGTCAACATGAACATGTCGGCGAAGTCTACCCCAGCACCCACCACTTCCTTGACCTCAACGACGACGGCGACGACAACAACCGCGACCGCGACCCCGACACCACCACCACCACCACCATCCAGGACCCCGTCGCATAACGGCGTCATCGGCATCAAGCGCACAAGGCCCGGCGACCACGGCAGAGACGGCAGAACCTTGAAGAGCAGGCAAAGATCATTCGTCAAAACCATGGAACCTCCCGTCTTGTCGTTCTACGGCTCGCACCCCGTGCCTCTCCCCTCGCGGTTCGGCAGCCTGAAGCGTCGTCTGGTCGCAGGCCACGAACCAGCGCTCGAAGCATCGTGGGGACGCTTGATTGCCGCGCTTCGCGACGAGATCAAGCACATCGAGACCTACGGCTCCGACTTGATTCCCTCGATTGACTTCAGCGAGATTGACGATGCGACCAAGGTTGCACCCTTCAAGACGCATCTGAAGCGCTACGGCATCGGCGTCGTCAGAGGCGTGGTGCCCGCGGCGGACGCGAAATCGTGGGTCGAAGAGACCAAGAAATACCTCGAGACGAAGCACGAGTTCAAACCGCCGCCCGCGCAAGATCCGACGTGTTTCGACTTCTTCTGGACGCCCGCACAGGTGCGCTCGCGTGCACACCCGAAGGTCCTCCAAGCGCAGCGATTCGCCATGTCGTTATGGAACACAAACAACGACGACCGGCTTGCGACGAGGTTTCCCATCACGTATGCAGACCGTATTAGGATAGAATCTACCACCAATGGAAACATTACCGTAAATGGGGCTCCAACCGCCGCCATATCGCCCGAGGACAACCTGATTGCCGCTGCGGCCGCGGCTTCGTCGGCGCAGATTGCACAGGTCGATAATGGCAGCTTGGAGCGCTGGGAGCAGGACGGCTACGGGCGCTGCGGCCTCTACGACGCCATCTTCAGGGGCGAGTGGGAGTCCTACAACGCTTGGGATCCGGCGGGGCGCATCAACGCGACCTCGGATCTGTACAACGGCGCCGGCGCATGTTCGATGATGCGTCTGTTCCAGGGCATACTGGCCTTGACCGTGGTCGAGCCAGGAATGATCCGACTGCTGCCGTCCCCGAAGCTGTCTACGGCCTACTTCCTGCTCCGACCGTTCTTCTCGCCGAAGGAGGGGCCTCCGGAGCAAGGCGACAGCGCCGACAAGTGGGAACGCTATCTCGACGCGTCCAACTGGTTGTTCGACCAGGACCAGTCGACCATAATACACGGTGCCGTGCCCGGCCACGCGCAGCGAGTCACCGCCGCCTGGCACCCGCATCTGCAGCTCGACAAGAGCCTCGTGACACCGCCGACGTTGCAGGCCGGCGACTACATCATCTGGCATCCGGACCAGGCCTACCAGTTCTCCAACACGAATTACCGCAGCCGCAGCAGACCCCAGACGTCGTCGGGAGATAGCACCTCGACCACCGCTATGCTCGTGTACACCCCCGCCGCGCCCTTGACGCAGACAAACGCGCTGTTCCTCGCCCGCCAGCGCAAGGCCTTCCTGCGCGGCCACCCGGGTCCGGACTTCGACTCCACCGGCACAGGCCTGGGCAGCGAGGCGCCGCACACCGGGCGCCTGGGCGAGAAGGACATCCGCGAGGTGGGCGGCGAAGAGGGTCTGCAGGCTATGGGCCTGGCGCCGTGGAGCTTGAACAAACCGGTCATAAATGATATCAAGGTCGGGACGCCGACGCCGTCGGAGGAGAAGAAGGAACCTGCTGCGGAGATGGACGGACGCGAGAGCGCCATCAAGAAGATCAAGATCGCGGCTTCCAATACGCATGCCGAGGCCGAGGTCATCCGGCTCGCTAACATCATCCTCTTCCCTGACCGCTACGACTTTTACATGCCGACGCGGGCGAGCAGTCCGGTCCCGGTCAAGGAGAAGGAGAAGGAGAGGGAAAAGGACAAGGACAAGGCGGCGGAGAAGCCTTGAGCAGATTTATTGTCTCTCTTGATCTCTGCTTGATATGTACATAGTTCTTCGGGCAACCTGGGTAAGCCCGATGGTTCACACCCACTGCATTAAATGATCCGAATATATAAGGTACTGCGTCTCAATGTTGCCTCACTCGATTTACTACCTATTCGAAGGCGAAAAGCGGAGTAATCTGGTTGCTTCTGCTCGTTGCCCTGACATCATCCTGTAGGTGGTGATCATGCGAATGATTGTGTCAGCTGCTGCCACATGTTGAGTACTTCGAGACGCTTAATTCTTCGGGGACAATCTCGTCGAGTACGTTATGATTATTACTATGAACCCCGACCTGCCTGATAGCTTGGGAGGGTGGTCAGACGTGCTTTCCCGGTCATGGCGGACGCAGCACAGAGCAGCTTATAGTACATATCGGAAGTCCTTGTTCTCAAACTCAGTCTGATCCTGCATACCGGCCTCATCGCTAGACTCCTACTCAAAAGGTCAGTCAGTGGTCGACTCGTTTCCAGCTGAGGCGCACCGTACCTTGTTTGCCAAACCATAGACTCTGTCGCGCCGTTTATTGTCCATGAACATGTATCCTTTATCTCTCGTCAGTACCGTTGCGTTACCAGTCTAGCGAGTATTATCCAACACACCCAGGAGAGCCAGATGACACCCGGCTTTGATCGCATAGCCCACCAAGAGGCCTATAGTCGCTCCTCGGTAGTCGGGGGCCTCACTTTCTTTGACCACGAAGGGTCCAGCGAAGTTACCCCAGCAGTAAGCCGTGCTGGTCTGTTAGCGGCCTGGCCTTGACTTGGTGTACGACCAAATGTGGCAGACTTACAAGATCATGGCACTGGCGAAGGACCTATGGGTGTAGCCGGCCACGTTGGAAGATATGGTGGTCAGCGACACAGTGAAGCCAACTGACTGGGTGTTTACCAGCCAAAAGGAGACCAATCTGCCCCAAGTGTTTGACCTGGGCAAGTAGGCCATGCAAGCCGCAGACACCGTGCAGAGGATGTTGGCGGCGGTAGCCGTGAGGAGTCTCGAGTTCGGCACATTGAGCGTGATTGTTCCCCCGACTATCAGTGCCACAATCTGCAAAGCATCGCCCACCGACTTGAGTTCGGTGGTCTTCTCGGTAGAGAACCCCAGGTCTCTGATGATGATCGTCGAGAGGGAATTCACCACGCCGTTTGGTATCGCCGCAGCAAAGACAGAGATGAACAGCAGAATCGCCTTGGGGTCGTAAAACGCAACGAGGGCTTGATTCTTGCTGAAGGCCTTGTTCTTGATGCCTGTCTCGTTGGCGGAAACCCGCTTGACGGCGATGACTCGCTCTCGGTGGTTTAGAAACCGGTCATTTGAAGGCGCGTCTGGGAGGAACAAGTAGACGAACACCGCCCACAACATGGTGGCACCTCCCAGGATGTAGAAGATGAGCTCCCATCTTTCCGGTGTCATGTCTTCCGGCAAGGACGATATGCCTTTGGAAATGTAACTTCCGATGATCCCTCCCCACCCCAGTGAGGAATACCAGATACACTGACGTAGCGGGATCTCGCGTCGTGTGTACCAAAAGCCAGTCATGAGGATCAGTCCCGGCGTGACAGCTGCCTCGAAAATACCCATCAAGAACCTGACGGCTAGGGCGCTCGAGTAGGATCGACACTGGGTCATGATAACGACGAAAAAGCCCCATGCCAGAATTGAGACCGAGATGACTTTCTGAGCTGAATATCGACCGATCAACCAGCCGCAGGGGTATTGTCCCAGGAAGTAGCCAAAGTAAACCACTTTGCTACGTCAATACACACTCTACCCCATCCCACCTCGCGCCAGATGTACTTACTCGCAGATAGGTAGTTGAACTCCTGGCCGCGCAGGTCCAGAGCCTGTTGGTAACCAAACAGGTTCGCATAGTTCAATGCAGTCTTGTCCATGAATTGTAATGCCTGCGTCACCAAGAAAATCGGCAGGATGATGAGATCGATTTTCCACCGTACGCGGCGGCTCTGGGAGGCATTAGCAGAGTACCTTAGTTTCGATGGTTCAACGACTGACCTCCTTATCCGATACTTCAAAATTGAGCCCCTCGATGTACTCCCGATACCCAATTGCGTCCTCCTAAACCAGGCGGGAGTCAGCTTACGCTCTTCGACGAGGCTAGCAGCTCTACCAACCTCGTGGACCGCGTCGAGTTTTGATGTGTGCTTTGGTTCCATGACTGAACCAGCTGGGTCAGCCTGGGCTGATATGGTTGGTCTGGGTTCAGTGCTCATTGTGCCCATTCGATGAGTCCGTCTGTGTGAAGGGTGCTTCCAAGTCAGACTGCAAGATCTTGAAGCTCGAAACTGAAGATCAGGGAGGAAAACATAGCTGAAGAGTCAACTGAAGAAACCAGTCCAGGTGTGACGTGCGGGCCGGTACCTGCACACTTCGGCTGGGAGAACCCAAATATGGACGAGCTTACCCAACAGTCGGGACACGGTAGCGAGGTCATGAGGGACATGGAGAGCAGCTATGAGCCCCAGGGCCCCTGAATGCCGTGATGGCAATCGGGCACTGGGTCGAGCGTCACTATTTCTCAGTGGGAGAAAACTCATGCCTGTAAAACTGCCGTAAGCTCACCCACATCCCTCACCCCGCATCGTGGAGATGGATGGGGACAGCGGGGAAAGCGTGGAGTCGTTCATCGTGTCCTGGTCAGCCCCAACTAGTCCACTGATAGTCCGCGGCAGTATAGTATTGCTGTGCTGGGTGGAGGTGTTAGTTCATGACGGGGTCTGTGTAGTCCTTGTGTTTGAGGCCCATCCGGTGTAGGCGAAAATGTGAACGTCTGACGGGACTAGCTTCTGGTCCATATTCTGGTTGTACTGTTCAAGAAAACACCACGATGACGAAGGAGAGCGAGTACACGACAAGCCAAATCCGGACTTTGACTATGAGGCCTGGAAGTTGAAGCATACCACGTTCGCCAATGAGAAGGTCCCAGTATGGGTCAAGGCAGTCAAAAAGATATACGATGGACCAGGCACGCAGTACGCCTGCGTCGGGCAAGTGTTCTGGTATAGCCTCTGTGACCATCATGTGCTCTGACAACCGTGTTGTATATACTGCTTTGGCGCACCGTACGTGTGGGATGAGCTTGACAGTGGTATCTGTAAAGCTGGCGCGTTTGCGCATCCAGCTTTCCTGAAGGACCACCATTTCCAGAACCTCAAAAGTAAGACACCTTCAGACTTTGGCGGCAGACAGACCGGCGACGGTTAATTTCCCTTTGGAGATCCATTGTTTCTATCCTGTTCTCAGACTGACCACACTTTCCCGGCTGACGCTCGGAACAAAGCGATGGACATTCTACAGGCAGGTAACAAGGACTAGCACCTTCAACTGTTCTCGGGCGTAGAGCATGGCTTCGCGCTCAGGGGCAACATGGAACATGCGTATGAGCGTAAGTCTGCCCTGTACCTGCATCGGGATAGAAACCCCCTTCCCCATCTTCTGACGTCAACTTAGGTTGGGTGAAGGAGCAGAGCTTGAAAGGGATTGTTGCATGGCTCGACTTCTAGTTTTCTCAATGAGTAATCAGCCGCAATACAGAAAAGGTAATCAGGGAATGGAATGGATGAGGCAGTATAGCTTGTTGTTCGATATTTGTTGTCGTAGTCGAGTAGTGAGTCTACTAGCGAGGCCTTCGTGACCTGGACTGTATAGAGATGAATCATCGGATAAGAGTCTACCCATAAACACCATCAGTCCTCCATTTGGGTTGATACAACAGCTGTGAGCCGACTAGTTTTGCCCATGTGGATAGTAGGCAAGAGTCCCGACGGCGCAGGGTTCCGATCTAGGCGGGTTCAAATGGGAGAGTGTCCGGAACTTCGGTACCGTCGCCCCGGGAGCGCCTGCGGGGGTGGGGATATGGTAGGGCCGCCGGTTCATTGGCCACCGGGCGGGCTTGCGGATCACCTCGGTGACCTTGCGACTAGACTACCTTAGGTATCCAACAAGCTAGATGTGTCGTATAGCTGTCAGGTTGATTCCTAGAAGAGCCCAAGGCCAGCTCTGTAGAGCGGAAAGATCTGGAAAGGCAATAGTATCACACTTCGAAGCGAGCATCCAACCTCTCTGATATTTTCGTGTCAGCAGGCCGTCGACCGGGCTACTTCACGAGATGACGCCCCCGAAGGCATTTGACTTCGAGGGCGAGGTGGCTATCGTCAACGGTGCCGGTTCTCGCATGGCTGGTCAGTTGTGGCTTTCAGACCTGAGATTGGATGTTTGAAGCTGATTGGTCATAAGGCGAGATTGGGAATGGTCGCAAGAGACCAAGCGGATGGTCGAGGAGAAAGGGGGAACCTCCGAGGTGATCCAAGCGGATGTCACGAGCGAGGACTCCTGCGAGCAGGCCATAGTCAAGACGATCGAGCTGTTCGGGATTGTCCACGTCTTGGTGAATATCGGTATGTGTTTCTCAGGGAAGCGTACCTCGTTCCTTTACGATGGCTGACCTGACCAAACTGGAAGTGGGCGTTGGAGGTGTGATGGGGACGTGATCAAGGTCGATCTAGATGCGTGGGACCGCGACTTTCGCATCAACGTGGCCAGCATGGTACTGATGGTACGTATGAAAACATCCCGTCCCAAGACCCTGAGCCTTGTATTCGGGAACAAGCTTTGTTGTTCCCTTTCCTTCTTCATCTAGAAAATGGCCGTACGGGTTTAAAGACAGGATGTTAACGTACACGCAGTGCCGTCACGCCATTCCTGAAATGCGCAAGAACGGCCGCGGGGCTATTGTGAACATGTCTTCGGTCAGTGGTCTCTAGGGACGGACCCCATCACTACTGTACCCTACCACCAAAGGCGCCATCATAGAGATGACGCGAGCAATGGCGGCCCAACACGGACCCGAGAACATTCGGGTCAACTGCGTGGCGCCGGGCATGGTCTTCACACCCATGGTGAGAGGCTGGGGCATGACCGACGAGATGAGACAGGCGCGGATCAACCAGAACCTCCTCAGACAGGAGGGAACTGGGTGGGACGTAGGATATGGTGAGGAACCACAAGACTGTCAATGGCTGTCGACTAACGCGGTCTTACCGATTCTATTCCTGTGCAGCAAGGAGGCGCGCTGGATCACGGGCCATTGCATGCCAGTCGACGGTGGTGCAAGTCCATTGAGTGCGAGACTTCTGCTCAGACGACCTGCTAATACGCTCTCACCATTGGTAGACCACAGCCGGCAGAGCAGACCGGCCAGCTCTCAAGGCAGACACACTTGCAAAGAAGAACACGGGCATACCGAACGGGCAGTCATAAGCGGTGGTGGTGCATGTGGTTGTCCGGTGTTTTGACGATTAACAAAATTATAACCCGTTCTTGGAGGATGACGCTGACGATGGATCAGCTCGAAGTGGCGACGGGGCGGGATACCCGTGGACGTCCGGGTTTGTGTAGATAGTAGATACGGTACGCGGTGCAATAATCCGGCCGGGCATTTCTTCTTTTTACAGGGGACATTCTGTTACAGGGGACAGTCTGTACAGGGGCAGAGGAGAGTGGCGCCTGACTCATCAAATGGCGCGTCCATCAGCGCTACCCACCACTATCCGGCCTCTTATTGCACGTGAAAGAGACACCTGCAGTCACTCTCGGAATCGGATCCGGCTCGCATCTCTCTCTCTCTGTGTCTGCTTCGGCGTAACCTTGCTTGCGATGAAGAACCCGCCCTCGGCATCCCCACTATATATGCTGACACTATCATCCATGGGACCAACCATTCTACGCAAACTTCAAAGTATGTTGAAGATATCGTCAGTCTCCAATCTCCGTCGTCGGCGCGGCCCGAGTGGGTCGCGGAGCTGCAGCTGAGGTGCCTCGGTTCGTCTAAAGTACCTACGGAATGTCTAAATTCACCGTGTTACTGCCTACTTCCACGGTGATAGAGAGAAGGCGACAACCGAAGGGCTGCAATTAAGCCGAGCTATGGTCCTGACCCATGGTAACTTACCGGCTAGGTGCTGACCGCTCTCTGCTCTCTGCTCTCTGCTCTCTGTCAACTGACTGCATCGTGATTCCGTGAACCCTCCCCTGCCTTCAATCTGATTGAGCCTCAGACGTGCTGCCGACACATCCCGTATTGTCATTCTTCCCTCGTTACTCGTATGACCAACCGATGGCCTCGGCCCCCGCGCGGACGTTGCCTAACCCTTGACGTCAGGGATCTTCCCACAACTTGTATGGGTCTGAACACGCACCCATGCTTGCCGTGTATCAAGATGATATATATCTCAACGTCGCTGGCCCTGGAGTTGGCCACTCGGTAACAACACATCACATCCAGAATGGCCGCCCAGTTTTTCATGTCCGGTCGCTCCAGCGAGCCCGCATCAGGGGCGAAGCCCATTCCGGTCCCTCCAGGTCTACCGTTCCTTGGTAACATTGGCGATATCGATCGGGAGCTGCCCCTGCGCTCCTTTGTCGCTCTTGCCGAGAAGTATGGTGAGCGCATCTACAGCAGTACAGCAGTACGGACACACATCCAGCACGTCCGCTAATCATCACCGCCAGGCGAGATTTACCGCCTGAACTTGCCGGGCCGTACCATGGTGGTCAACTCAAGCCACCGTCTTATTAACGAGCTTTGCGACGAGAAACGATTCATCAAGATTCCCAAAGGCGCGCTGGATGTGAGTGGCGTGTCTCAAGTCACATGGTGTGCTCATCTCACTGAAACTGTATAGCAAATCAGGAATGGCGTTCACGATGGCCTCTTTACTGTGAGAACAAGTGAAAAAAATCCCCTCGCATCTTCATCTTCTAACCATAGTCTAGGCCCGGCCCAATGAGCCTAATTGGGCCATTGCCCACCGAATCTTGATGCCAGCGGTAAGTAGAGAATCGTTCAGTCCTTGCCATCTCGGTGCTTCATCTATCGGGTGAATTACACGTCGGCGGTACTGTATCAGCTGTGCTAACGGACGAGTAGTACGTTGAATTTCCCGGACATTTCCCTCGTCTGGTCTCGTCTATCCGCACGCTGAACTGGAGCGCAGCGAGCTGGATATCGAGCTTGGCTCCACATACAAGAATGCGATGCTAACTTGAACAGATTCGGGCCAGTGTCCATTCGGGGAATGTTTGGGGAAATGCATGGTGAGTCGGAACACTTTCATACGTCAATATGAGTGGATTTCATACTGGGCCAACCTAGTGACACAACATTCGCTTGGTGGCCTGGCCTCGGTGAATATGCTGTCTTCTCACGCGCCCATGTACCTCAAACACCTACATGTACTGACACCTGAGCACTATAGATGTAGCAACTCAGCTCGCCCTCAAGTTCGCTCGCCATGGTCCAACCACGCCCATCGCGGTTACGGAAGACTTCACACGCCTGGCACTTGACACGCTGGCTCTCTGCTCAATGGGCTACCGTTTCAACAGCTACTACACGACAGGCTTACATCCCTTTATTGAAGCCATGGGGGACTTTCTGACCGTGTCTGGCACACGTGCCAGTAGACCAATGCCAGATTGGTTTTACCGGGCAGAAGACGCCAAGTATTTTCAAGATATTGAAGTACTTCGAAAAACTGCTATGGATGTCCTACGATCACGAAAAGAGCAGCCGAATGATCGCAAGGATCTCCTCAACGCCATGCTGAACGGCGTGGACAGCAAGACTGGACAGCGCATGACCGACGAGAGCATCATTGACAATCTGATCACCTTCCTCATCGCTGGCCATGAGACGACGTCCGGAACGCTTTCATTTGCCTTTCATGAGCTTATGAAAAACCCTGAAGCATACAGGAAGGCACAGAAGGAAGTCGACGAGGTGGTTGGAAAGGGACCGATCACAGTTGAGCATATGTCCAAAGTGCCCTACATCTCAGCCGTACGTCGCGCGCGCGAATACATGCCTCGTTTTCGTCTGGCATCATGCTTACTAATCCGTTACAGATCCTGCGTGAAACCCTCAGACTGGATTCACCCATCACCATATTTAGTGTCGTTCCCGTAGAGGACACTTTGTTGGCTGGACAGTACCCGGTGTACAAGGACGAAGCCATGATGCTGTTCGTCAAACAGGCTCACGTGGACCCAGCAGTCTACGGAGACGATGCCCACGAGTTCAAGCCGGAGCGCATGTTGGATGAACAATTCCACAAGCTTCCAAAGAATGCCTGGAAACCTTTCGGCAATGGGGCTCGTGGATGCATCGGAAGACCATTCGCCATCCAGGAGGCTACCCTGGCGATGGTTATGCTCCTTCAGAACTTCAATTTTGTTATGGATGATCCGACTTACCGCTTGTCGCTCAAGCAGACCTTGTATGTAAATCCAGGAGTCCTTTGTTTCCCCTTCTGATCATGTCTTGGGAGTAAATTGCTTAATCGACATGGTCTGATGAGCCTTCGTTCCCGAGACATACATCCAACCCCGTACTTGCCGCTAAGTTCACTGCAAGGGGTGATTACTGACTCCTGGTTCCTGTAGAACTATCAAGCCGGACGGGTTCTACATGCGGGCTATCCTACGTGATGGTCTCACGCCAAGCCAGCTGGAACATCGCCTGGCCGGCACGGAAATACCACCAAGTTCTGCGAAGCACCAGGGTTCGGGGCATTCCCCGGGAGTCTCCGCCGACGGCAACGCGCAGCTTATGAGGGTTTTGTATGGTAGCAACAGTGGCACTTGCGAGTCACTGGCCCACCAACTAGCCAGGGATGCCTCTCTCCATGGCTTCAAAGCCGACGTCGATTCCATGGATGCCGCGAATGGCGCACTTCCTAGAAACCAGCCAGTCATCATCATCACTGCGTCGTATGAGGGCCAGGCTCCAGACAACGCTGCGCACTTCGTCTCTTGGGCGGAGAACGGCCTGGATAAGACATCGCTCGACGGCACCAACTATGCCGTCTTTGGCGTCGGCCATCATGATTGGGCGCATACATTTCACCGGATTCCGAAGTTGATGGACAGTAAGCTGGCAGAAGCAGGTGCTACACGTCTCGCTCCTATCGGCTTGGCGGACGTTGCTTCAAGCGACACCTTCACCGACTTCGAAACCTGGGAGGACAATGTACTGTGGCCGGCACTCAAGAAGCAGTATGGCGCGGGCAAGAGCGCTGCCGAGCATTCGCATGCTTCTGGGTTGAATGTCACGGTGACGAGCCCACGAACGTCTACTCTCCGCCAGGATGTCTTGGAAGGCCTGGTTGTAGCAACCCGAAGGTTGACGGCTGAGTAAGCAACTTTCTGAGTTATTCCATGTCCCTTTTCCGACACTTCAAGAGCGAGATCGCCTATTGTGGCCAGAATGTGGTCTCGGATCATCTGGTCACTCCCGACCCTCTCAAATCCTCCTCACAGGGCAATCACTAACTCGAAGCGTTGCAGAGGAGAGCCGCTGAAGAAACACATTGAAATTGCTCTGCCTAGCGGGGAGACTTATAGGGCTGGCGACTACCTCGCGGTCTTGCCAGTAAACCCCAAAGAGACCATCCAGCGCGTCTTGCGTCAATTCCACTTGCCATGGGATGCGCACATCACCATCGCTGGCGATGGGCAGACAGTCCTTCCTACGAACACATCGGTACCCGCACAGAGTATTTTCGGGGCATATGTTGAGCTGTCGCAACCCGCAACGAAGAGGGCAAGTGAAAACCATACAGATCCGAGGAATAACTTCTCAGCAGCCAAAGAACATGAACTAACTAGGGTTCTCACAGAACGTTTCCGCACTTTCTGACTTCACGAAGAACGTCGACGACCAAGCCTCCTTGAAGCGACTCGCAAACGAGGACTACCAGGAAGTTTTCCAGAAGCGAATCTCCGTATTAGACCTTTTAGAGAAGTTCACCTCGGTAGACCTTCCACTGGGAAATTTCATCGGCATGCTCCCTCCAATGAGAGTCAGACAGTAGTCAGTACCAACCACTGGCATAGCTGGGAGTCACCACATGATGCTGACTTGCAGTAGTTCGATCTCTTCTTCCCCGCTTTGGAACCCTTCTCACGTCACTCTAACGTTCTCCGTTCTAGAGGCGCCCTCTAAGGCAGGCGAGGGGACCTATGTCGGCGTTGCCTCGTCTTACTTGGACTCATTGGCGCCTGGTGACAAGCTCCATGTCTCGGTGCGTCAATCCCACGCGGCGTTCCACCTACCGCAAGATGTCGAGAAAACGCCGATCATTTGCATCGCTGCCGGCACGGGTCTCGCACCTTTCCGTGGGTTCATACAGGAGCGGGCGGAAATGTTGAGTGCTGGCCGCAACATAGCGCCTGCCATCCTACTCGTCGGCTGCCGTGCCCCTGGATGTGACGATCTGTACGCCGACGAGCTCGCCAAGTGGGAGAAGATCGGCGCAGTGACCGTAAAGCGAGCATACAGCAGGGCTACGGAGAAGTCGAACGGACAGAAGTATGTGCAGGATGTGCTCAGAGAACGGAAAGACGAAGTCCTTGAGTATTGGAAGAACGGCGCAAAGCTCTACATATGCGGCTCTCGAGCCGTCGGCGAGGGGGTCAAGGCGGAAATGGTGAAGATGAAGATGGATCTCGAGAAGAAGAACGGCAATGACATGACCGAGGAAGAAGCGAGGAATTGGTGGGAAGAGATGAGGAACGCGAGGTACGCAACCGATGTGTTCGACTGAGCTCAAGCGATCAAGGTTGTGAGACGCATGATACGCTGCGGTATGGCTGGTGTGATAGACCACTAGCATTAGCATTGGGTGGTAGACTTATCTCAACTCAGCATTCACTATAGGATAATAGGTGATCGAATGTTACGCTCTTGCAGGGTCATACTCCATTCCCATGCCCAGGAGTCTCACAGTACCAGAACTGCTCCCGGTTAACAAGTGATAGCTAGTCCAGTGCTTGCATTGAAGTACAATTTCAGAAGGTGACTATGAAGACTATGAAGGATTCCCTGATTGACATGTCTTTGTAGTCGATCTGCAGTCCATTTCAAAAACAGTGCGCACATTACAGGGGTACTACACGTAGCACACCCCACGAAACGGCAAACCACAACAGCGACCCGATAGATTCTATCCGGTTTTCCTCAAGACCAGTTGCGCGTGTCCGGGAATTAGAACGATGTATCAATTGTCTGAATTGGTGGCTCTTTGTTCACCTACCCCTGGTTGCCGCATGCGACGCCGCGAATGTGAGACCCCCAAACGTAAGACAAAGCCGACGCCGTCAAAACCGCAAACAGACAGGCCACCAGGTCGGAAGGTCAATTGCAATGCCATAACCCGGCCAGATATCACTGCACGTTCTGCCAGTCGCTCAAACACGGTCCACCATACGAATCTCGCAACTTTGCTATCTTCTGGAGGTGACTTCGAGTCCGAAGGATTAACGCCAGCATGAGTTCTTACAAAACCTACCCGACCTACCAGTATCAGCCGGGATACAACACCGAAATTTACGAGACCGACTCCGAGTCTGATCCCGAGTACGATGAGGTGCCAATAGTGCGGTCGCCCGTGGTGAAGGTGGCGCCCGCGAACCACGGCCGCCGTAGCATCACGACAGAGGCTGACCTGGATCCTTTATTCGCAGCGTCAGAGAGGGCACGGAGACGCAACACCCCTTGGAGCGCCACCTTTCAGAAGCTGGTACCCACCCTCACCACCATCGTGTTTGTAGTCCTCTGGCTAGCCTTCTGTTGGGGCCTCTATCTTGCCCTATGGGCCCTCGTGTACAAGTACGAGGAATGGGCTACTGCCAACGGATTCATGGACGTCCCGGGGCTCGAGGTGTTGCACCCAGAAGATACAGTTTATCATCCTGATAATTCGGCATCGACGACGCCTAACAGGACCAAGTTCACGACGCCGGAGCACCCGTTCTGGGACAATTATCGGGACGTCCTCACCAACAACGAGTACGACTCGTGGTTCGACGACGTCGACGCCGGCACCGAAGCCATCAACAAGATTTGGAACAACATAGCACTGCCAAAAAATGCAGAGGATGATGAACAGGGGAAATTCTACAGCGAGATAATAGATCACATAAAGAACCGCATGCGTCTGGTGAACCACGCCAAGATAGTGCACAAGAAGTTCCTGGACACACGTACCAGGATGGTGCGCGACATGATCGGCTCCAGCACGCTCTGGCACATGTACGTCAATGGCCAGTTCGTCAACCAGGCGAACCAGGAGGGGGTCTTGTGGAAGCCGGTCGCCACGCACTTCCACCAGCAGCACAACGGCACGCTGAACAACATGACGGGCGTCCAGTACGACAACAAGACGTCGGCGGAACTGACGGCGTCGGCGCGGCAGGTCACGGACGACCTGTCCGAGAAGCACACCGAGCTCTTCCGTGCCGACGGCAGCGATCTGGACCTCATCTACAGCATCCGCAAAGAGCTCTACGAGGCGGAATCCTACGAACAACTCCTCATCCCGCGCCTCGCCACCCTCGAGCGAAACTTCAACCTCGCCACGTCTCTGGATCCCAAACCGGACCTGTGGACCCCCAAGCTCGCGGCCGCATCGCAGATCCTGCAGAGCAAGATGTTGGACCTGCAGACCCAATACACGGAGATGACGGGGCATCTGATCCAGATCAAGCAAGAATTCAGCAAGGAACGGCAATTCACCCTGCAGAGCGAAGACGACTGGCAAGAATGGGCGAAGAAGGCAACCAACGTCCTGCAGACCTGGACCTCGGTGCTGATGGACACGCAGGAGGGCGTGCTGCTCATGCTGCGCAAGAAGGAGCTCGAGCGAAGCAAGAAGGAGCTCGAGCGAAGCAAGAAGGAGAATGCTACCGAGATTATCGACTTAGACGCCAACTGGGACGCCTGGAAGAAGCGCAACTGCGGCTCCACGTCGTGCTACGAGCCTCCGAGCGCGCTGAAGGCAGTCAAGGACATGTTCCTCTCGGGATCAGCATTGCCGACGGCACACGTCGCGCAGGACGAGGTCGAGTGGAGCAAGAACTTCAACGACAGCGACAAGGTCAGGGTCTGGGTTGGTGTTTACGAGAAGGCTTGTTGCGAGAACGGCACGCTTGCGAGGCTGCTCAGGCAGGGATCGAGGGATATGTCGAAGTTGACTGTCGTCCAGAGTGCGTGAGCCCCCGGGGGGGGGGGGGGGGGGGGGGGGGGGGGGCGCAGTGGCGATCAGGGGAGATAGATGGGGTGGCTCGATTTTTTTTGACTGTAGAAATATCATATCAATACCCAATGTGTTTCCAATTGACGTTTGCTACCAGTATCAATCGTCACCTCTGCTCGATCATGCTTTGGGATGCCTGCCTTCGTCTGTAGATGGTGCAATCCAAACGTGCCCTCCATCCAGACTGCATCTATCCAGTAAAGTTACCAAGACAATATCGATCTTGCTTAGTCCAACGTCCCAAATATCTTTTCCATGACATTCAAGCCTCTGCCCCCGACGCCACTTTGCAAACAGAGTCAGTCCAGCCCTTATCACCGCCTCGACTCACTTCATACCCGCCTTGGCCGATTCATCGACCGCATCGCAGTCCCAGACTTCCAGCTGAAGGGAGCCCTCCCGGAGATCAGTAATGTTGGCAAAGTTGTCGATCGGGGCCGTCTCACCAGCTGCCGACAGCCGAGCGTAGACAACCAAGTCGGAACCGTGCGGCGCGAGCGTCGCCTTGATGTCCTGGACAGTCGCACATTCAGGGGCAACCGCCATGGAGCAGGTGGGCCGCTGGGGCGCAAGAGGATCGCGGCGACGCGTACTGTGGTCGACCACAGGGAATGAGATGTGGGATAGCGACCACGGATACACGTAGATCTCCTTCATTGCCATCGACTGGTGGTGGTGATAGGACGAGGTGGACGTCTCGGCAGCCGACTTGGATGGCGCCTTCTTGCTTCCCCTTTTGGTGGCGTGCTTCTTGGAAACCTGACGGATAGGGGGTTCGTCCAATGCTGCATGATCCGTACCCGGGTTTGTGGGGGTCGTGTCCATTAGGTTCCAGTCATTGACTTTCTGGTTGAAGTCTTGCGTCGGGGCGGGTTTGGGGCACTTCGGACAACCATATGCTCGTTGCTCGCGATCGGGTGATGGGAAAGATTGGGAGGGCGCTGGGGAGAAGAAGTAACGATGGTCCGGGAATGGAGGGTTGGAACCGAGAGACAGTCTGCCACCGCCGCCGCCGTAGAGAGGATACGCCATCTTCGGTACTGCTTGAGCCTTGTCGTGGTCTCTTGGTGTTTTCTTCTTCCTCTTCGTGTGTTGGTGTTTCGTCTTCGTCTTGACCGTCGTCTTCTTCGCCTTCTCCTTGGAATGGCGACGTTTGGGCCGCACACAGAAGAACTCCATGACAGGTATTTGAAGGCTCCAACCCCGTTGGAAGACCTGGAGCTGGCGACATGATGGCCGAGGCATCTTCTGTTGTCTTTATTGACATGGTCTCAATGGATGGTATATGGGTAAAGGTGCGAATAAAGCCATCCTGATTGCTTTGCTGCGCAGTTACAATACTGTCAAGGGCAAGCAACTCAGTGGTCAACCACTTCTCCAAAGCACAAACCAAACATGAGTACCTCGTGGTGCTTTTCGTCAAAAGCCATCCGGTATGTCAATAGTGGATGACAAGAGCAGCAATGCCCCTTCGTTGTCTCAAGAACCCTCAAGCAACGTACACCTTGAGGGGATGAATTACCCAGCAGACTTCTCTTTCGCATAAGGTACGAAGAAAGATTAGACCGAACCAAAGACTGGCTACTCAGCTAAGGCATCGAGCCTGGTGCAGCAAATCCTCGCAGATGAAGCCTCTCCTTACATGTAGGTACCTGGGCAGGTTGATTTATGAGTCTGAGTGATTCTGGCAAAGGTGAATGACAAAAGGACTCCATGACAAAAAGGGGGGCGGTTGCAGATGCAGAAAAGGCCCCAGGGCTCTTCCAGGGGTCATCACCACTGAACCTACAGTGGGGTGCAAGCCCTGAATGTGTGCTGGCGCTAACTCAAGGCAGGCTAGACGTCTACGATTCTAGTTCTGGCCACGTTCCATTCAGCTGCCACCTGGCCACTTCTGTGGTTACAGCTGTCCACCATCACCTTGCGCCCTCACGAGTCACTGCCGTCCCGAAGCGACTTTTTATTTCCACCATCGTCCATCACCACATCACCACCACTCGATCATTGCAGGCGACTGCCTTCGACTTCTTCTCGCTCCACGATACACGACCCTATCTTGTACCCCTTATTCCAGACATACTCCAGACACAGTCGCCAAAATGGCCGGACTCAGCCCCCAAATGTATGTCGCCAGTTAATGCTTCCTGTGTGCCGCAGTTCGCGTGGCCATGTCGTGCGTCCAGCCCGCTAATCAAAGTCGCGCGCAACAGAACCAACCTGGTCATCATCCTCGGAATGATGCAGGTATCCAAGCGGATTCCCTTCGACGACCCCAACGTCCTCAACGGTGTCCGCGCCATGTACGTGCTGAGCAATGTCATCATTGCCGGCATCTACGTCTATGTTCTGATGCAGATCAACAAGAAGAAAGGTGGGATATATCTCCCCAATACCCCGACACATTTGCGCACGCACGGCGACAGTTGACTGACTCGAATTTCGTGTAATAGATCTGACGACGCTCAAGTACGTTGAGCCGGCGCCGATGGGCTCCTCGGAGGAGGGCAAGCTCGTGACGACGACGGTGCACGCCTACGACTCGCAGCAGATCAAGAACTCGTTCCGATCGCAACTGATGGGCCTCGCCATGATGGCGGGCATGCACTTCTACATGAAGTACACCAACCCCCTGTTGATCCAGTCCATCATCCCCCTCAAGGGCGCCTTCGAGTCCAACCTGGTCAAGATCCACCTACTCGGCCAGCCAGCCAGCGGCGACCTCAAGCGCCCCTTCAAGCAGCCTGCTGGCATCATGAGCGGTCTCCAGGGCGGTGCTGCCCAGAGCGACAAGAAGGCGGTCGAGGCTGCCGAGCGTTCCGGTCGTGGGGGTGTCAAGGACGAATAGATGGATTATGGGACTGTTGATGTCGTTGCAGCAAAAGGGGTTTAGCCGGATGCAGTGAGCCACAACTTGCTGTATGACGGCCTTTCGATGGCATGTTCGTAATTAGGTATATACAGTGCATTATCATGTCATTGGCACAATACATATTCCTTGCTCGCTGTATCTCGACTCAACGATGCAGATATGGATGCCATGGCATGTTCTGCTAGGTGCAGATTGATTTTGCTAATGATTCAACGCCTTTCGCAAGTCAGGTAGGTGCCTAGGCAGTACACGATGCATTCAATCCATGGATGTGTAGAAGTGGTAGACTGGGTGTTTCGGGGGCGATGGAATAGTGTGAGTGGCGGCGGCGCGCTATGCGTAATACAAACGCCGACGTCACCGACTCCCGGCTCAAGTCCAGTCTTTGTCAACCCATTACCTGCAACCCTCGAAATTTGCCCGCGATTTGCTGCCTACTCCCACCATCGACCTTCTGTCTACCTACGTAGCCTACTTCGGGCAAAATACACAAAACACTGGTCACCGTGGTAAATAGCAGTCATCATGGAGCGTCCCGCCACTCCGCGCAGAACGACACGCTCCTCCAGGCCTGTCTCCCCTCCCACTCCTGAAGTCACCCGTCGCATTGTAAGTCCGTCTGAACTGCCAACGTACGCTACACTCTACCCAACGGCGAATCTGACAAAGTGGCGACAGGAAGAGAACCGCTTAAAAGCGAAAGCAATCCGCGACCAGCACGAGTCCGCCGCCCGCGCATCCGGCGTCCCATCGCTCTCCCGCACCCCGTCCGGCTTCGTCACCACCGACAACGTCCGCCTACCGAACACGCGCAAGCGCGCCTACGAGTCCATATCCAGCACCGCCAAGGTCCGCGACACCCCGTCGACAAGTCGCGATGGCCGCGCTAATGGCGCATCGCCCGCGAAAGACGGCGCCATCCGGCCCGCGAGGAAGTTTGCCAAGTTCGTCGATTACGATTTTGGCAAGATGACCGACACGAAGGGCGGCTTCCTGGCCGCCGAGGACGACCCCTGGAACAAGGCCATGTCCGGCTCCGCGACGTCTGGGGGCGCAAATACAAACGGGAAGCCTGGCGCGCCCGAGGGCGGCCCGGCGGAGCAGAGGCCCAAGGGCATGACACAGCAGGAGTGGGAGAGGATGCAGCTACTAAAAAAGCTGAGACGGCAGAAGGCCGGTCCCTTCGAGCCCGGCATGAGCGCGCTGACGGACGAGAAGGAGCGGAAGAAGTGCAAGGAGTGCAAGAGCCTGGAGATCGACTTTGTGTGGGAAGAGGTGTTTGGGTGCGCCGTCTGCGGGCTCTGCAAGGAGAAGTACCCCGAGAAGTACAGTCTCTTAACCAAGACCGAGTGCAGGGAGGACTATCTTCTCACGGAGCGTAAGTTGTTTCTTTTCTCTAAAACACACGACTCGCGCTGCGATCCAGCACTAATTACATGAGACGCACAGCCGAACTAAGAGATGACGAATTACTGCCCCATCTTTCGCGGCCGAATCCTCACAAGTCACACTGGCACGACATGATGCTCTTCCTACGGTATCAGGTCGAGGAGTACGCCTTCTCCGCGAAGAAGTGGGGGTCGGCAGAAGCGCTCGACGAAGAGTTCGTGCGCAGGGAAGGCGAAAAGAAGAAACGGAAAGAGACAAAGTTCAAGGAGAAGCTGCTCGATCTCAAGAAGCGGACCAGAACCGACGCCTTCAGGAGACAGCAGGGCAGATTCGGGGATCAGGTTGGAGGCGGAGGAGGTGGTGGAAGTAGTAGTAAGGCTTCCGGCAAGAAAGCCAAGTTTGGTGATACGGTGGCGAACGGCGGCAAGCATGTGCATGAGTGGGGAAGGGTGATTGAGAATGAGGATGGCGCGACGGTCAAGACGTGTACGATATGTGGCATGGAGGTTGAGGAGATGGAGTTTTGATGATACCCTGACAGTGACGAGAATACCTCTGTTGTCAACGACTGGCTGAAGATTTGCCAGATAGCACTTGAAGAAATCTATTTGCCTGCCTGGTCATAACTTACACCACTTCTCAGGACGGCAATAGTTCAAGATTCTTAGCAAAGAGCGGGCAAGTTTTCACTCTCTATTGTTTACTGCGATTCATAACGACCTAGATAATGATCCGGCGAATGTCCTTGGTGGTCCAGGATTCCAATATTGGGTTGCCCAACCGGAACACTTCGGAATCCGTGGCGGTCCTGGAGTGAATGTGGGACGATTACTGAATGACAAGTTAACGTCTACTCACAGCCAACATGGCCTCAAAATCACCACTGGCCCGCCCTGACGCGGACGATGGCAGCATCTTGCTGGTAGATCCCCCCAAATGCTGGCTGCACTCCAGTGGTTGTGCCCCGTTGACCGGGCGTCAACGTGGATTCCGAGCCCCCTTTTTAAGAAACTCTCAAGAAAGACGTCTACGTCTTGTGATAGAAAGCACCATTTTGCTTGTCCGTCATCCGGCCTGCGTTTTGCGTGGGGAGACTGGAGACACTCTCATCTAGGATACCCTCTACTAGACCCATGATTGGACCGGTTGGCATGCCTCCGTGAGGTTCTGAGAGGTAGGATGCCAATGGACTAGTCGGGCACTGGTCTTTCATGTGGAGGCCTTGAGGAAGAGTGGGTGGGAATAGGGTGTTGGATGCTGTAAGGTTGGAGCGCTAGGTGCGCATAGCGAGACCTGATAAGGGTGTCTGAATGATCCATTGCTGGAACGCTGAAGTGTACCGACAGAATCTTGCTGACAGGGTGTAGACAGGGCAGTCAACCGTGTCTTGACGATGGACGTGCCGCGAGCTACCGTGTTACGCATGAGTAAGGGGGGGGGGGGGGGGGGGGGGTGTTGCAACCGTGACGTCTTCAACTTAATTGGGTCTTCAGCACAATCAGCTTCCGGAGATAGTCAATATAAGTTCAAATGCTCCAGAAGAGGTTGGAGCATCGTCGGCAGTTGTATGGGCGACCCAGACGGGGAGTGGTGTGATTTGGCATGGAACTATAAGGCCAATCGTATCAAACAACTATCAACAGTATAATCTCCAATGGTATAGTAGTAGAATTGTTCACATGTCGAAGAATGACATCGAAAGAGCCGCGCTGGATTATGTCAAGTGGCCCCTGCGAGGTATGATTCGGGACGTGGTGGAGGTATATGTACCAATCCAAAGACAGAACCACATAACATCAATTACACTATGGTACCACGACCAATGTTATCAGATGCGTGCCACCCGGCAAAACCCCCAAGGCGTGCCGAGTTCCGTGATATGTTATTTCATTCTGATACGATCTCTATATCCCGTTTCTCACCTAGTCTGGCCCCTGGGTCGGTTCTCGAAGTGGTAAATTCAAGAGCCCCTTGCATTCGGCACGTGAGTGACCCATGAATGCTTAAAGCAGCCATCATTGGACAAGTCTATGTGGCACGACAGGAAGGTAGGGTGGCATCGAGTCCGGCAGCTATAAGCAGGTGAACTGTTTTAGCGAATCGGAATTTCCCGTCCTGCACTCGTCTTTGTCCGGCTCGCCTAATGTGGTTGCGGCGAGAGCTAGATGTCGACCAAACCGGTTATGAATGCCCAATGACGAGTTCGAGCCGCATAGGTGGAAACGAGACTTTCCCTTTTCACTCAGCCGCATCAAGGATGGTATGATCACTGGCCGTCAGATATTGGAAATGGCGGGGGAGCTGGCGAACCCCCATCATGATATGAGTAGGGTGTCAAGAGAGGTCATCAGGGGACAAATGGGAACGGTGCCCTAGTTGGCACAACATACTGTAGTGACACATTGGAGCTCTAGTCCCGCACATCTGAAGATTTGGGTGTGAATCGTGTGATTTGGGCTTTATGTGGTGTCCTTCTGTTGCACGGCATGCTGCAGTTCTTGGCGACACGACGGTTGACGGTTTTTCCAGTCGACTGCGCGTTGCTGTAAGACCGGCCTGGTTCACTGATTTGCCAGCGTAGTTTCAAATTCCTCGCTTGAACATGAAATTCGGTCGACCTCCATCAACGGTGAATGGAGTATGGCCACATTAACTGTGTCCGCACCTTACCACGGAGAAGGTTCTCTTTGGGCCGTATAGGTCCACCGTTTTACCGCCTGAACAGACAGCTATATGCTGTAGTAAATAGTTGGGTTCGGAGACAGTGCCTTTAATGAAACTGGGGCAGAAACGTACCCACCAGACCAGATGAGTTGTCGGGCATATACACAGGTTGTGGGGGAAACGGCCCGCTCAGAGTGTCCGTATAGTCGGGAGGAAGATGACAACGATAGACTGCGAGGTCTGTTTGAGGGTTAGGTCTTGATTTTCTGGGAATACGCGAGTTTCGAAGCCAAGGGACGGCCGGGGAACCTGCCGTTGCAGTAGCCGTCGGACTGGTGGCGGCCAAGCATTAAACCTACATGATAATGCGGCGTCCGGGCCTAGACAACCACTTATTACTCTTCGAAGTGCGGGGCCAGAACCAGCAGACTGGATCATGTCGTGCTAGAATAACTCGCTTCTGGAAGGAGTGATATATGTGTGTCAATCCCGGTGGCTGGGACGGGCAGTCAAGGCTGGCTCGAGGCCGAGTATTTTTCTCAAAAGTCATACAGATACGGCGAGTGTATTGCATTGCAGTGTGGGGGTGCCTGGCCAAGGTGTCTCTTCAATGTTGTCCGTTCTGAAGTGACAAATAATGAAGGGACATCGAATGCTTGATCGTGACGAGAATGTCAGCAAACGTCGTGACATCTCACCATCTTTGACATCGTAGTCTGCTATTGAATGTCACCCGATGCAGAGCAACCAGTAACGGCACGTAACATTCGAGCACTCGAGGGACTAGCATTGGCTTAACGCAGTCTTCATAAGGCTACAAGGTTGGTTCCTGGGGATTACCTGAGTGAAGGTGATGACAGGGCATCGTGATGGTGCTTGCGTCGACTCACCTCTCGCGCTGCGTTCCGTACGTCTGAGACATGCAAGGGCGGCAACTGGAATTTCGCTTCCCACAGAGTTCCACGGCCCCCGAATTGGAGGCTGACGGTTGCTGCTTTTTGAGAGTCCCGCGCGGACTGTCGTATAGCGAACCAGTCGGTCCCAACTTGCTGCCAGCACATCGACGCAGGTTGTGCGGGAGCATTCTGTATGCATGCGTGGCACCTCGTTGGCCCAACCGAGATTTTGGAGATTTTGGATCGCGTGGATCATGTCCATCCCGTCTGCGACCTGTATAACCCCACAGGCTATCGCTTCAACTGCTCTGTTATGCATCGTAGGGGGTCAGTGAGTACGTCTCTTTACTGTCTTCTACGCTGAAAGTATCGTCACCACCATTATCACGGAGAACAGCGTGATGTGAGCAAGACTTCTTGCGCGGTGTACCTGGGTAGAATCAGCACACCAATGCCGACTTGGGCGCAATGTATCTCCCGAGTTTACGTAAGACTGGTGCATTCGACGAAACGCATCCCATAGATCTAGACTTAAGAACACTGAAACTCATTGGCGAACCATGAATCATCACTGAGGTGAATCGCCGCGCGTATTGCCACACATCGAACCTGATAGAGTCTGTTTGCTGGCGAATCGCAAACTGTCCTCGAAACGGCCGCGCCTGGCGAGAAGGGGTTAACTGAAGTTCTATAGCCAGGCATACGGGCAAGAAAGTCCGCATCATGAACTCGAAGGAGCTGGGTCTGCATGTAGGCGCAAGTCGAGAAATGAGGGCGCTTCGACGTGGTGATGTCGTTGCAGAAGGTTTGGTGGGTGTGGGAGTCTCCAGCGTAGCAACCCATGGGGGTAAATCCCTGCGCATCCTTGAGAGGCGGAGAATAGTGTTGGGATGATGTGCACGGGGTAGACTAGGGGTCCGGGTTGGTTATCCGTGGACCGTCAGCCAGGGCCCGCGCTGCTGGCTGTGCGACCCTCCCTGCTTCCCCCCCCCTTATCATCTCACGCCGAATATTGACGATGCCCTCCACCGCCGCTGGCGAAGAAAGTTCTCCCTGCACAAGTCGGAAGTCCTGTATGGGAGGGGCCGAGCTAATAGGCGCCCGGTCATGTCTTATCTTTTCTTTTCAGCCTCATTCAGCATGTTTTCACGCGGCCGCCACCGCAGGAAGTGGCACGGAATGGAAGGCTGCTGGCGGACTGCGGGCAAGAATCCTTCCTACTCATGGAAGGGTGCCAGTTGTGGTCATCCGCGCCGCTCCAGAAGTCCCTATTGGGGAGCTTTAGATCCTTGATGTGCGAGTGCATGCATGGATGCGAGAGTGACAGGTGCTGATGCGGATGCAGCATGTTGCCTGCTCATCATGCTTACTGGGATCTTGCAGCTCCGTGCGACGATGCCCGCAGCATGGCCATGAGGTCCGTACATGAGCTTTTGGTCCTTGGATGCATGTAGCTGCAAGTGCAAGGTGCGTGTGAGGGTCTGAAGAACCTGGATTTCGGTCATTTCTATCATATATCACATTTTCCTCCGCTCGTGAGCCGCTTTGACAACACCTTCGTCCAACGCGAAGCTCGGAATCGTTCGAACGACGGTGGCTGGATTCGTGTTATCGTCGTATCCTATCCCGCTGCCATCCCAACGTGGAGTAAGAATGTTCTGATGATGGATCCTCCAGGGCCATGTTCGTCGTATTCGTTTCTACACTCTGGTCTTGGAAGGATGGACCAGTGAGAGGCTTCGGCTCCTCCCGTCCTTATCACCTGTCTCCTATGACGGTCGTGGCCGCCAGGCTCCAGCAGTGTTTGACGTGTATGCAACGGTGATCGCGCGCTCCGCATAGACCCTGGGCGTGTAGGGATTGCAATTGATGCATTGCAGGGGTTCCACCGTTGGGAACGGATTCATGTCACGAGCAACCTCCGTACCATAGTAAGGACGAGCCGTGGCCTCCATCTATGTCAGGCCGTCACCCATTTTGACGTGCTTTCTGTCAAGTTTTCAACACACTGGGGCCGAGAAGGAAGCGTGGCTCACACTGACACAGGTCAGTGCCTACGTCGTGGAGGCAAGGGATATGGGAGGGCATACAGGCAAACGTACGGACAAGGCGTACCTACCCCTGGCAACATAAATAAGCATGCTGCCGTCGTCCCAAACCTGGGGTCGATCCCTTTGCTTTCCTGGATTATCCTGGTAGCAGCATTGCCCTGGATACCCTTCCCGAAAGACTCTTGGTATCTTTCCTCTACTGCTTGGACTCTCTTCGTCCCTCAGTAAAACCGCCGCTTTGCTGTCAGCGGACAGTAACACCTACTCCTCGCCCACCACTCGAGTCTTTGACGAATATCACACCTTTCCTCTTATTTTCCGCAACATCCGGCGAAGATGAGCGGCGGTTTCTACAAGTACCGCTGCAAAAACTTCTATACCTACAATTGTCAGAACTGGGTGTATATGAATAACGCAGCATGTTCCAGCTGCACCGTAAGTCACTGTCACCGTCACACCTAGCTCACCCTGCCCCGCTGGTTTGACACCTCTGACGCCTCGATACGGTATGTAGGCAGATGGGCGAGACGAGACTAAAGCTCCGGCCTGGAGAGTCTCGAGAGACATCTGCGTCCCTCGCGCTGAAGGGGGTGTCCTGTATTACACCCTCATGGAGGTTGTCGCCACGGGCGAGGCTGGCCCGAACTACTGGCAACTTCGATACAAGGCCAACCAGCAGCCCCAAGCTTCGGTCGTCGTCACGACCAGTGCCACTCCTGGGGTGGCGATCCCAGCTACTACGACCCACTGACCAGAAGATGACCGTGCGGTCGACAAGGGGCGAGGGTAGGCTTGCCTGCAGCAGAGTTTTACGGCATTGGGGCCCGGGGAACTGAGCTCTCGAAATAAGGGCAATCGGTGCTGGTTCACAGTTGTGGGAGAGGGACAGAGAACACATGGGATCCATCAAATGGACACAACGTTGGAAATGGAATGGTACGGCTAGGGTATGAGAAGAATACGAGAAGAACGCTTCTTAAGTGGAGGGAAGTGATGAATTAGATGACGAAACGTATACATGTACCTTACGACATGATCAGAATGATCAACTTCGGCACGTATGTCGAACCCGGCTTAGTCGAACGAAGCAAGGAGAGATAAGCTGCTGACGGCTCCATCATGGTGTTAGTGCTTCCGTCTAAGCTGCTGTGCTGTCGCCGAGCAGAAGTAGTAAGCCACATGGAGCAGTGTTTTATTACCTATTCTGCGATGTCAGGTGAGGTGTGATTGGTGACGGAGCCGTGTGACGACCGAGGCCGAACTTCCTGGGTAAGCAAGCGTCCGTTGCGAGGTATCCGGCCCGCCATGTCAGGTACCGGGACCATATTATAGCTTCGGGGTGTCAGGGCTCGGCAATACCAAGACGATCTTAAGAATCCACAACTGGGGTCGTATAATGGAGCGGCATTGTGTGCCTCGTGGGAAGCGGCGTGTGATATCCGACGAGTGCAGTCAGTACACGATGTGGTTCCAGGCAATCTTCAACCTCTCGAAAGGCATTAAGCAGATGAACAATCGACAGACAATGCCTTCAACCCATCGACGGCGGTTCTTGACCGTCATCTCCATGAAGATTCGTGTTCTGTACCCCAAAGAGAAGCCTAAGCGCCGGGATGGATAGCACAATGAAGCTACCGTCGAGTTACCAATCTTCCCGATTAGGTACCGCTACGTCGTCGCCTCGTTCCGGACGAAGTGAGACTCAATTGTCAGAGGCTCCAGCTAGAGTGCTAGGATGTTCGGAGTGCATGTGATAGTAACATCGGGCGACTTGAATGCCCGGTGGGCACGTAGACGTGCCCGCTGCCTCTCCAGCCTTTCAGGCGCAGAACCAGGTTGAAACATGAAAGGCATCCTCTCATCTTGAGTCAACATCAAGTGGTCGGAATATTTACCGACGACTGGGAAGAATAACGGAACATACCCATGAGTCGCGGAACAAGCAGCACATACGACCGGACACCTGGACTTCATTATCACCATACCACTAGCAGTCAGCTGTGCCCGTCCAAGCAGTCCCATGTTATATCAGGAAGTCAGCAAAAATGCTTAATTACATTACATTAGCGTCATCTCATCAAAGACGGGAGTACTTATCACAGCCCATGCTGCCGCCTCTCCCACTCTGGCCCATAAACACTCCCACTCCCATTGCAGGGCCCGACGTCTCAGCATAATCCAGCTGATCTATGCTTAGAACAGTCGTGATTCATCGACGTCGACGACCTTTTTCGGTCTCACCATCAACAACATGCTGGAATGAGCCCGTACCAAACCGAGGGCTTGCCGCATCAAAACCCCTGATTCTCTTCAACATCGGAGCTTCCCCTGATGACCCCAAACCTCAATTCTGGTCTTCGAGATTTCGCTCCGAAGCGAAGCATAGGACTACGATCCATATGCTTATCAGTTTCTAGGATGTTGGAGCCGGCAGGTGTGACACTCAACTGGACCTCGGCTTCTGACTGTTGCGGAGATAGGGCCCTGTACCTGAAACACGCCGTGTTTGCAGGGGACCATTCTTTCAGCTCGGCTCAAATCGTCGTTCGGGGACGGAATGGTGGTCGCCTGGGTGACTAGTTAGCGGCCGGCTGACGAGCCGTAACCCTGCTGTGCATAGCCTGGAATCGACCCAGCCCCTTCGAGGGGTTCGCGCACCGTATGAACTGCCCCTAATTGGTAATCAGCAAGCCAGGCTCAATGCGCCACACCGGACATCGTCTCCTCGGGAGAAGTCATGGGGTGGGCCGTGATAGGCGTACAAACGGAGGAAGACAGCACAGGAGGGCACTTGAAATGCCATGCTACGCGACTGGTTGCAGTGAGTAAACCGAACGGAGGCCATAAGGAGGTTCAACTGCCAGCACCTACGTGGCAATGTCTATCATAGTCGGATGCTCGTAATTATATCGTCATCATAAGCCCAATGCCCATGATGGCACAAAGGGAGCAAACTGGACCATCGCCAGGATCAGCGCCGCCCCCAACATGTACGGGTTCCAACTTACAGCACCGCTGGCGCTGTTTCCAAATCCCCGACCCTGGTATTCAAAGGTCACATTCTGTTTGACGGCCTTGTTCCAGCAGTTGCCGCCTACAATGTCCACGTCACGGAGGTCATCCGCGTTTACAAAGAACATGTACTTTTCCTGGTCGATACCCTTGAATCCCGAGGTGTCGTACGGGAACAGATCTCCAGAATCCGTAGCAGTTGTGTTGCGTAGGAAAATGCACTGAACCTGACCCGGGTAGTCCTTCACCATCTGGGGGTAGTCCTTCATGACGTCCGAGTTGGACGTGTCGGCCATTAGGACGAACTTTCGCTGTGGGAACGTCTGGAAAATCTTGTCGAGCAGGAATTTCCTGATCGAAAGAGTAGCCGAGACGTCACTGAAGTTGAGCGGCCTCGTGTCGAAGCTTCCGAGTGGATACGTCTTAAAGATGAAGCTGAGCAAAGCCATTAGCATTTCCCCGATATACGCAAGTAAAACCTTCCCACTCACTCCATGTAGTTTCTTGTAACCTGCTCGGGCGTTGTAGTCAGGTAGTGGAAGTGGAAGTCCGGGATCGTCGCGGACCAGTTGGCGTAGATTTCGGGCATATCCTGCCACGGAGTGAAGGCTCGAGCGAAACTGTTGAGTAGACCTTCCTTTGGCTCGTAGATCTTGGTAATACGCAGGATATCGTCAATGTCGTTGACAATGGTGAAACCTGTCGGCGGGACCAGGTATGCGGTCGCGTTGCCAATTTCGGAGCCATTGGCATACTGCAGAAACAAGCTTAGTAAATGCATTACCGTCAAACTCTCAGGATTTAGAATTGGGGTTGAGTATTACTTACCATATTGAGCGCTTGAATCGAGCTGGTCTCATTGCCAGGGAGCAAATAGCCACCATCTGTGCCAGTGGTGTTAGAAGTGACGCCAGTGGTGTTTTTAAGAATGATGAAAGTATCAAAGTCTCCCTCATCAGTCGTAGGGTATGGCAGTGTTATGGATTGGTTGCCGCCCTTGGCATTCACCACGCCGCCGCTGGCGTCAGGTCGGACGTCGACACCCGTTCTGAAGTTCATGGTCACGTTGACGTCGCGTTGCTGAACGACGAAGATCTCGGCCGTCAAGTTTCGCGCCTGATCCTGCTCGCTCGGTTGCAGTTGGTCAATGCTGGTGCCGATAAGGAAGACATTGGCAAGGTCGTTGAGCTTTGACTCATTGGTGTTGGGCTGCTTGTAAACATTTCCATGCACGCGGACATTCCATCCTTGATCTGTCCAGTTGGCGTAGGCGGGTAGGTTGAGAACTTGTGTTGGTAACGCGGCCAGTTGGGAGTCGTCAATACCGAGAGAGCTTTCGACCTTGTCGCCAGTAGGGAAGTCCTGGAAGTACTGGGGCACTCCTGATATTACGTAGCTGGAGACATCACTCCCGAGACTCCCCAAGAGGCTTTTCGCGTAGCTTGCATAGTCGTCGAGGCCACGTTCGGCAATCTGTCGTGCTTCCAAACTCGGGGCTGGGGTTATCATAGGATGCGCGGCGCCCAAGACGGTTGCCGCAAAGAGCGATGCGGGTAGAAGGCGTTGGAGAGCCATAGCCACGGGTGGTTTTATGGTCTAGGTATGTCGGCAATAGGGATAACGCGTAGGGTTGCGAGCTGGACGTAAACAAGACGTCCAGGATGTATATACAATGGTGCTCGCGGACATGAACAGAAGCCGCCCAAAAAGAACGTGGGTGAAACGACAGTACAATGACCTGGTCGGTGATTGTGAGATGTTGTTTCGATCAGACGAGACTGCAAAGCGAGTGCAGTGCAGATGTATCAACCCACAGCAGCAGCGACCTCAATTGACGACAAGGCGACCTGGGGAAGTCGTACAAATTGGAGATCTGTCGGTGGGAGGGTGATCACCTGGATTTGCCATTCAGGGGCGGCTGGAAGTAATAGCGCCCCCTAAAATTAGCCTGACCCGACAGATGTTGGTTCCATTGGAACTTCCAAGGCACGGCCAGCGGCCCAGCGCTGAATCCTGATGAGTCGGGTGCGCCGCCGCCAATGGCCTAATGCCCCGATGGGTCCAATAATATTGCTGTGGTAGCCACTGGTAGGCACCTGGGCATGAGCTGGGATGGAGCCAGTCAGCCCTGGAGGCACGCCTGCACGCGCCATGACATCACTTCCTTTTTAGAACGATATGGGGGGGTAGTTACGGTGGCGGAATGGTTGTGGAATGGTTACCAGGTGTGTAGCACGGTTCCTAATCCGAAACGGTTCCACATTCTGGTACCGTGCCATGCCTTCCGTAAGGAATGGTGTTTATTAGGTGTAGGTTGCAAGAATCAGACCCGAACATTATCAAAATTACCGGAATAGGTTTAACAACGCTAAACCTCGGGTTATTAACACAACCGCACTAGCTAGCTACCTTAATAGCTACCACATTAGCTACCGTATCAGCCACACTACTGCACTAACGCAACCACTTTACCGGTACACCACGCATCTTAAAAGTATAGCTGTCAGATGTGGTGGTGGCTCAGGGTGTGTCACCAGGTGGCTTGTGCGCTATGGGTGGGATGGTTGCCCCACAGCTTTGTTACCACCGCGGATAAACGAGTTGCAACCATATTTAGGTGTGAATCTGTCCGTACCAGGTAGACTTAAAACAACCAACAAACACGCACGTATAAACCGAGTATTCCGCACGACAAATTCTCACAAATAGCGTTTGAATCTGGGTAAAAGCAATTTTATTATTATTAAATTACCCACGAATCTTAAAAGCACGGCGTTCAAATCCGGGTAAAAGCGACTTTTTTCTTTCTTTTTAAAAAATTACCTATGTACCTTGAAAACAAAGCGTTTAAATTTAAATAAAACCGACTTTTTCTTTTTTTCTTTTTTTCTTTTTTAAAAATTACCTACGCACTTTAAAGTCATAAAGTTCGAATTTTAATAAAAATGACTTGTTTTTTCTCTTTTAAAAATTACTTATGTATTTTAAAAGCATGAAATTTAAATCTAAGTAAATTGTGACGAGCCGTCTAACCTATAAGATTAAAGAGTTTTATAGGGTTTATGTTCTGAGGTAAGTCAACACAAAGGACAATAGAGGCTTCTGTCAACTAGAAGACACTCAGATGCTGGGGCTTGGTCTGAACTGGGTTCACTGTGTAGTCGAGTCGTCAGGAGATTTCTCCCACCTTAGGGTTGGCTAAGATGCTTAGATTGATCACTGAGGTAGAGCCTGTCTATCTATTTATTTGAGAAATGTCTGTTCTTATATATCCAATCTCTTCCTCACTGATTAGGTGGCTCACCATGGTGATCCAGTGATCCAAATTCTTAGTCACGTGACCTAGGTTCTGCTGGTCACGTGATCTGTGTACCGTTGCTCCGTTGCTCCGATCTCTCCACTGATCAGTACCCCACTCACTGGTCAACCTGTTTCCAATCGTCTCCTCTTGGCCTGCTATCAGGCCGCACTGTTTGTTGGTTCGTAACAATATAGTTAATTTAAAAATACCTGTAAAATGTAGGATAAGTTATTGACTACTAATAATAAAATTAAAAATTAAAAACTATAAAGGTTGCGCGTTTAAGTTAAAAAACTTAAAAAATTTACTTAAAAAGGGGTTTTCTAACATTTGCTCCAATCGGCATGTAACCGTTGCGGTACCGTCGTAAAATGGTTCCAATTTTTTTTTAACAGTAGTAGAATGATTGGTACGGTTCCTCTAGTTAGAACAGTTGGACCTCTATGAGAACGATTCCTAGTGAGGAATGGAGCCGCACGGATTCCAAATGAGGAACCGTTCCAATCAGAGGAACCGTTCCAGCACGGTTACGACCCCCCATATAATTCTGGTAAGGTTGGAACTTGCGCAGCCAGCCGAGCCTACCGAGCCCCATCTCAGATCCTGCATGTAACGATGTAAGCTGGCGGGCTGGACGGGCATATCGTCGATGACGGTTGGGGAGTGTTAGGAGTGTAGCTGGAGCGGACGTGAAGTCATCACCAATCTCCTTCCCGCCTAGCAGCATCTTAGATCGTCTCACCTAAAGTACCCTAGGTGGTGTTGGATTAGGCTGACGCTGATCTGCCGGTGCGCGACGTGAAATAACCGTTGAATAAGAGCGGCAGTAGCTTGTTAGTAACGCTCATCTACATCGGTAATCGAGCCCCTGGAGTCTGGCCAAATTTACTGGCAGTAATGTGCCTTTCTGGGTATAAGGCCTAATGAGGGATTTGAGTCCGTTGTGAAGTCTGCTGGCCTGACAACGCAAGCGCTTGAGCGGTCTGGTGCCCGTGAGGTGCGTGCCGTGTCTTCAGATCGGTGTAGCAAGAGGCATAACCATGAACATCTTTCCGGAACGACTTGAACGCTGCCACTGTCGCCTGCGCGCTATGTACCATAAGGCAGTCATTGTCGGCGAGGTATGCACTTCTGCTGCTGCTGCTGCTGCTGCTGCTGCACTACTGCCTGCGACTGCTTGGCTGCTCTACATTTTCATACCACTCAAACATCAATCGCGCCGGTTGGTGCTGTTCAGAGGGCAACTGCTTCTTCCCCTTCTGGTTACGTACTCGTTGACTGCGTCCAGGAGTGGTGTTTCATCGTACTCTGCTTCTCCCAGGTCCCGGTATTCGGAACGTGGTGAATCTTCTTCGTGCCCGAATAGCTCGCCACATATACAGGCCTTGTTCAGCTGCAGGACCCCCCTAATTTCAGGCAGAAGCAGTTGCCACGATGTCGTTCTCAGCTGAATGTCGCGTAGGCACAGGCTCGTCAGGGTGCCTTTGTGTCGCTTAAGCACGGCCATCAGATCCTGTCGCTCACAGGTAATGTTCCCGAGAGTAAGGTCGGCCAAGTGGTCCCAGTGATGTTGAGGTTGCATGATGTCTCCTAGCTTGGCGGGATAGCCGTGTTCATCTGAATGCCACACGAAGACGATGTACAATGTCTCGAGACATTGTAAAGATGCGATAAAGTCACGCAGCACCCCGGTCTCCATCAAGCGGCGGCATCCGGGGACTTCTATGCCCGCCTCGGGCACGGCACGGCCGGGAATGATCCCCTCCTCCTCCTTCCATGCCCGTCTCGATACACATCTCGAGGGACCTGAGGCTGGTGCACGGGGAGAGAGCACGCTGGAGCTCAACAGGCGGCTTGTCGAAAAAGCGCCAACTGAACGTCCCCACGGTCAGTTCTGCTAGGCTGATCTCGGCCTCACAGAGGGCGGCGAGCAACGACTCGATCTGCCGGCAGCCTTCTGGCTCGATGTTGCTGCCTGGGTTGGTCAGACAACCTTCGAAGGGAGTCCTCCGCATGCCTTTGAGGAACCAGAAGCCAGACGACATGGTGACGCTTCGAAGCGCCGCGAAGCGGGCAATCGCGTCCTTGAGGTAGGTAATATCCGTATTTCCGCTTAGTATCTTCTCCTGCTGATCCATGACTGCCTCGTATTTCTTGAACAGAACTCCTAGCTGCCGTTGTTTCAGCCTTGGTGGCGGCGCCTCATTTGCCAGTTGAGCCTTGACCTTCTCGCCGGACCTGACGAAGTCGTAATAATAGCGCATAAACCGGTGAGAGGACATCCTATCGGATTCCATGGTATGGCCGACATAGACAAGGGAATGGACGTTCTTGGAGGCGATGGGGCGCAACGAAATGCGCCTGAGCTCGTCGAGATCGTCCTGATGGAGATAAAAGATGAGCTCGCGATGAGCATAACGGGCGCCTACGTCGGCGTAGGCCCTGCAGCACAGCCTGAAGGTGCGCACATCCTCGACGTCGAGAAACGAACAGACTCGATCGAGGACTTCGGGAATGATTATGTCCATGTTCTCGGATCGGATGAGAGGACCAGCCGAGCAGTCCCCAGGGCAGTGCCTAGCATTGGCACCCGTGTGCGCAGATATACGTCTTTTGGGCCTCGATAATTGACGCTCGATGTCTGCAATGGCAAGCCGAGCAGTCTCCAGGGCAGTGCTGTATGCGGGTTGGGGCTGATGAGCGATGAGCGAGGATCTAGGTCAGAGAAGCTGTGGGCTTGCCGCTTCAGAAAAGGTAAGAAACTGGAAGCTGTGGGGATTGTCACTTAGTCAACCTCGTGCCTTCCCCAAACCCCGCGGTAGCTGCTTCCCCAAAAATATACATTTGCTAACTGTTCTGATCTATAATTATCTGGATGGTAAGGTATATACATAGCTTTATAGAGTTACTTCCCGTTGTATATTATTAGCATAGGAGTTACTATTCTATGTACGGACCCATACACCCCATCCCCATCCTCCGTCCTCTGAAACCGCTAACCATTGGTACTGTAAGTGTAACCCGTATATTTACACCCACAGGTCATGTTGGCACCATTCCAAGGTAACCTACTGTAACGATCACGACACAAGACCTCACGATTGACGAAGAGGCCGACGATGGCGACTGGAGGAATCAGCACGTGGGCATGTCGAGTCGGAACACCAGCAGTACAGTATCACAATCATCCTCCTGTCTTCCCCGCCCCCGCAGTACTGTATTCTATTGTGGGAGGGTCAAGCATTCCCTTATCTTCTCCCCATCCATCTTCCCCGCCCCCACCCCCCATTCAAAGTCCACCGCCGTCCTGGTCTATCTGTGGTCATCCGACTTCACCAAGACATGGATATCATCCTCCTCGACTCTACTTTACCAGGGTCAGTCATTGCCCGCACACCGACCACTACAGTAGCAGTTGGCCGTTTAGCTCGACCTTCACAGCTACCCCGCCCTCTGATGTTAGTAGATGGTCAGATGGTCTTGGGGGATGATAGAGGGGTCTGACATCTTCCGACCACCACTCAGTGGGTTAGTTGGCTGAGCCATGCAGGTAGGAGGCAGATAAGTATGTTGGACAAGAAAGGCATATCATCAGTCAGGTACCTAGGTAGGTAGGTGAGCAAGGCTCATAAAGGTTGAGGTACGGGACCTTCATACCTCTCTTCTCTTTCTTTTGCCGGCCCTCACCCTCATCTCGACCTCGACCTCAACCTCGACCTCGACCTCACTGGCAGTATTCGCCCACTTCCTTCTCAAGCTGCCGGGGTTCGAGCGGTAAGTCGAGGTCATGCCCCGGACGTATCTCTCTGTGCTGCTTGTCCTGGGTCTGGAGGCCTTGGGACTCGAAACCATGCTGCCACGTCCACTGAGAGGTGTGTTGCCGATACTCTTCCTCACAAGGGAAGCTCTAGCTCAGTCTAACGCCGAAACTGTTCGGTCATCTTTTGCATACATTCTCTACGGGGAGAGAACGCCTCTACGAGGTAATACGGCACCAAGCCTGACCCCGCTGGGTGGTCAACAGCTTTATACACAAGGCTCCGTTTTCCGAGCCCGCTACCTATCGAATGGCAGTCTATCAGAAGATGACAGCCGGGTTACCACGGCTTCCCCGGTGATTGGCCTCGAGGAGAATGCCATAGACAATAGTCAGCTATCTATATACAGTAGCACGGATGAATATGTCTTTGGAAGCGCTCTGGCTTTCATGCAAGGGCTGTATCCGCCTACTCCCCATGCCTTCGCCGTCGACGGCGAGGACCTTTCCATGTTGGCTAATGGAACGACCGTCGAATATCCCCTAGACGGCTATCAGTATCCAAATGTTCAGACGCCCTCAGTCTTGGATCCAAACTCTGTCTGGTGAGTCATGCACGAGCTCAGGTTCGTAGTACACAGTATGTGATTCGTATCTCGGATCTATCCCGGTGTCAAAGCTGGCGACTTTCACCAGAACACCCACGACATCGTCCGGTGTTTGACATATGGACGCCAATTCCAGGTCAATACTAACCTCAAGCTAGGCTAGAAGGACATACCTCATGCGCTGATTACTGGTCTTCGGCTCGTGACTTTGATGACGAGGCCAACACAGTCCGGACGTACAACTCATCGTTCGACTTCTACCAGAAAACATGAATCGATGTGTTCCCAAATACTCTGCCGTCTTCAATGATCAACTTCGACTATGCGTACGATCTATACGACTATGCGCTATACCACTATAATCACGACGAAGCAGTTCGTGACCTCGTCAACGACGACCGCTTGGCATTCCTGCAAACCCTCGCCAACGACCAGCAATTTAACTTGCACGGCAACCTCTCCGCCTCTGGGTTCAAGGAAGGAGACATGATCCGTGCATTCGCCGGCCGCACGCTCCCTGCCCAAGTCGTTGCGCAGCTATCGGAATCACATCAGGCGGTAGTTCAAACAAGCTGAACCTCATGTTCGGCTCGTTCGAACCATTCCTATCGTTCTTTGCCCTCTCCAACATCTCCGATGACTCAGGAGGTCTCTTCACACAGATTCCCCAACCCCGGCGGAGCCATGGTCTTCGAGCTGTTCAGTAACGGAAATGACACGAGTTCATATCCAGACCAGGATGAGCTCTGGGTTCGCTTCCTCTACCGCAACGGGACCGACCCCGACGTCCCACTACAGGAATACCCATTATTTGGCCGTGGCAACTCGGAGACACGCATGCATTGGACAGATTTTGCCTGGGACATGGAAAGGTTCTCAATTAAAGACATCGGAACCTGGTGCCAGACCTGCGATGCCGTGACGTTATTCTGCACCGCGCTCAACAGCAAGTCCGACGGAGACGGTTCAAGCTCGGGCTCGCTATTTGGCCCCGGCAGCAGCAGGTCCGTCACGCCCGCCGTCGCTGGTATCATAGGTGCTGCAGTCGCCATCGTGGCTACTGCTCTGGCTGCTGCGTCGACCTTTTTCTTTGGGGGACTACGGATCCAACGGGCCGACAAGGGCCACCGAGGCAGCTTGGGTGGGTTCAAGGGCGCCGAGAAGATGGCATCTGATCATGACGTGTCCATCGCGAAGAGCGGCGCCAGGCACGAGAGGGTCGGTGGTTGGGAACTCGGTGGTCCCGGACCAAATACAGACAACGGACTGCCTCCTAACATTGCGACTGTCTTTGGCGCTTCGGTCAGGCGAAATGGGTATGGCGAGGACGACGGAGACAGTATTCTGGGACATACACCGATACGGCCGCTGGAAAGTATATAGGAGGTGGTTATGCCGTCGAGTTATGTCAACGGGTGGCGAAGTCTTCAATTCTTTTTCCTCATTTCCCGAGCGTTACTTATCGTCAATTCTATACAGTCGTTGATACCCGGCGGGAACGCTTTATCATAGAAGATTCATTGATGCTAAAGGCTTCCTTTCAGGACTTGAGATGCATTTGATGTGTCATCACAGCTCTGGTCATTGAGCTGTGTCATTCGGTTCTGTCGAGGATCTGCTGTTCAGTGTCACATTGGGGATCCCACCCCTTTTTCAACGTTTTACGATCGCTTAGTTTTACTGCAATGCTTGGGCCGGCCAAAAAGTCCAGGACATCAGTCAAAATCAAGTGAGATTCTATATATGCAAGACCCATCCTTGGCTGCCCCTATAAAGCCGTCCGCCCCCTCTTCACACTCCTCAAAACGCCCTCATCAGCCAGCCGCTCCCACATATTCCACAGCATGAAATCGCAGCCCCTCCTCGCCACCACACTAACCGTCACCGGCACCATCTCCCGCCCAAACGTCACATTGCTGAAATACGCCACCTGCCCGATCGGAATCGTCATATCGACGCACCCGTAGATCGGACAGAGACTCGCCCCGGTGATGCCGGCCCCCAGCGGCGTCACAGCCAGGAACGCCGCGGCGCTGTTGTTGGTGTTTAGCGCCTCCTCGCGGTACGACGGCAGGCCGCCCGTGCCGATGTCCCACAGCATGATGCTCTCGGAACACGACTCGGGCGTCGCGTAGAGCACCTGCGACTCGAACCAGTCGACGGCCGCGCGCTTGGTGGCTAGAGACTCGTCGTACAGTGCGGTGGTGTACACCGAATCGTTGTACTCGCGCCAGCCGGACCGACGCGCCGGGTCGATGGGCGGAAAGCGGCCGTCGTACTTTTCGGCCCACGCGCTCATGAGCGGCGCGGCGACCTGCTGATACTGCGTCATGGTGTCCAGGACGCCCGTGGCGTTGTCGAGAGCGTCGTACTTGGGGACGGCCTCCGGGGCGCTCGCCACCACGGCCGTGAGGTTCAGGTCCTCGACCGTCATGCCAAAGACGGACGTCATGTTTTGGATGAAGGCCTGCAGGATAGCTTCGGCGGTCGGGTTGGCCAGGGGCAGGTAGTCGGTCAGGTAGAGGATGCGCTTGGGGAAGCCGTATGAGTCGGGGGTCTCGAGGGGTGAGAGACCGGTGATGGAGGTGTTCTGGTGCATCTCGGGCGTGTACCAGTGCTTTGCGAAGTGCACCCAGTCGCGCACGTCGCGGGAGAAGACGCCGGCTGTGTCGGTCGCCGCGCCGAGCGGCATCACCTGCTCGAGGGTCATCATGCCCTGGCTGGGTCTGTTGCCGAACGTGCCCGACACGGCCGCGGGTCTTCTCATCGAGGAGCCTGTATCAGACCCGATGGCAAAGTCAAGCCAGTCGTACGCCGCGATGGAGCAGCCGCCGCCGGAGGATGATGCTGAGCAGGTAAGCCAACCGTCGCCGCGGGGGTTAAAGGGGTAGTGCTCGTCCTGCCACTCCCACGGATTCGCCCCAGATGCGAACTGGGCCAACTTGAACTTGCCCATGAGAACACCACCCAAATCAACGATACGCTGAACAGAGGGCGCGGGCAACTTCAGTAATCTCCGCCCAGGCCTGACTTCCACCCGACGTAATCAAACCCTTCATGTCAAATAAGTCCTTGATGGCGACTCTGTACTCCGCGAACGGCAGTGTATCGCTCCAACTGTAGATCCGGGACGAGACCGGGATCATAGGACCCCAGAACCGGGAGTTGAAGATCTCGACGGGGTAGAATGTCCCCTCGCCATCGTTGGAGTCGTACGTGCCGTACAGGAAGTCCCGGTACTCGTCACGGTACAGCCGGTAGACCATGCCGAATGAGACCGAGTCTTCGGAGATTGAGGCGGCATAGGGGCCAGCTGTGAGGTTTGAACCTTCAGGCGCGTTGATATATGCCACCGCAAGGTCGGAAGTGTCTATATCACTCCATGTTAGCCGCCTCTGCATGTTACAACTCATGCAGGAGTCAAGTGAGACATACCATCAACACCCTGAAACCCCGTATCCAAGAATAGATACACCGGCTCCAAGCCCCCCAAATATGCCAGCGCGCTGTTATCTAGCCTCGCAGTCGCGGTCCCATTGCGGGCGAGGTACACTCCCTGCAGGAAGTCTTCGGATAAGACGTCGTCTCCTTCCAAGTAGCTGGCCACCACGCTCTGAAGATATGCGCCCGTCACGAGTTCGTCTTCGACAAAGATGACCGTGAACGGCACCAGAGAGCCACCACTTGCTGCCGCCGCGGCTGCTGATGAAGAGTTACCGCCAAGGATGGCCTTGGGATGTTGGATGTTGGCCAGGTATGTCACATTGCCCAGCGCGAACGCGACGTCGCCATGCTCGGTCGTTTGCACATGCTTCCATTCGGCGCGCTTCGTGACTGGTGCTGCAAAGACGGACCATGACCGTAGTAGCAGATTTGCCAGAAACGGGAGAAATCGCGGGAAGGCCATCATGGTGAAGTGACTGGGCTAGGGAGGGCTGTCTCCCTATATTTGACGACGAACGAGAGTCTGAACCACTCCTCTTTCATGTATTCTTTGGAGTATATAGCCTCACAAAAGAGTTGTCTCGGATATCCGCCCGGTGCCGAACAGCAACCACAATCTACACAAGGAGTACGAGTCAACACAACATGAAACCAGCCATGTCCTGGACAGATAGCAATCCGCTTCTTATACGAGCACCCAAACCGACCGGCACCATATCGGGGAAGATGGAGCGATAGTCATATCTTCGTCTAACGCCGCCCACCCCCAATGCAGCTCCTTATCAACACCGCTTGTTCGCTTCCCCATGGTATCGCGATCGGTTCGGAGCCGCCCGTCGGCAGCGGTCCAGGGGGGCGGTTGCAACTGCAGTCAGTGGGGTAGCGAAGATGCTTATTGAGGCAGTAATAAGGCACAGTAGGTACTCCCGTTGATACATCATAGATAGGAGGAAAGAAATATGGTAACAGTCTTGTCAGTGTTGACGATCGCGGTCTTGTGGTTGTATATGGCACAATATGATACTCTGAATATACACAAAATACCCATGTATCACGCACCACACGCCCCAGCCAGACTCCTCACCCTCTGAACATTCAACCCCGTAATCCTCCCAGCATTCCTCTCCCCAACCACGATCCACGGACTCAGATGACAGACGCCTCCCTCCCCAACCCAAGTCCAAGCCAAACACGCATCATCCCCCTTCAGCTTCTGCCTTAGACACAACCCCAAGCACCCCAGCGCGCTCTCCACCCCCTCCACCGTGACGGTATACTCGTCCGTCCTGCCCACATGGTCCCAGTCCCGTCTTAACGGCTCCTCCTCAAACGCCTCCCAGGCGGGCGCCCCGAGCAACGCCCAGACGTCGATCCAGCGGCTCGGCGCCGCGATATTGCTAAAGACGCCGTGCACGCCCCGCATGGCCTCCTCCGTCTTGACCTCATGGAACGACACGACAGGCGCGCAGAACCGGTCCGGCCGGATCTTAGTAGTAGCAGGCGTCTCACCATTAAACAGGCTCCGCCAGCCTTCCTCCACATAAACACCGACGCGCGCCAGCGCCTCAGCTAACAACAGATCGCCCCAGCCGTGGATGAGCGAGGCGGCGTAGGCGCCCGCCGCCGCGCGCGGGTTCTCGGTGAACAGCCTTTGCAGGGCGCCGCGCGAGAGCACCACGGCCGAGCCGCCGTGCGCGAAGCGGTAGTTCCACCCGCCGATGGCGTTGCCCAGGTAGTACGGCTTCGCGGGGTCGAATTGGCCGAGGAGCTGCTGCAGGGTCGGCCGGACGAGGTAGGTGTCGTCGTCGACGAGGACGTACCATTTCTTGTCTGGCGCGGTTCTGTAGGCGAGTTCGAGGCTCGAGATGAACTTTGTAGAACGTGTTAGATAGGGGGGTAGGTCATAATCATGCAACCCACGTGTTTGTGACAACGTACCTTCATTGCATCAAGGGGGTATCCGACCTCCTTCGCCAACGCGCGCGCAGCATCGCCATCACCTTCCTCGATCGCAAGACTCAGTTTCGCATGCATCGCCGCGCGCGGCGACGTTCTTACCAGAGCAGGAGGCGCGCGCGCCAGCGTCCGCGCCACCACATCGTGCACCGCAAGCGGCAGCCCACCATTGCGAACGAACCGGCTCCCGTCATCGCGCGCAAGCGCAGCAAAGTCCGCCACCAGAAACAGGTCCCTGAACACCGAGGCGTCCTCCAGCGTTTGCAGACAGCCCGCGACGCGGTCCTGCGTGGCGTAGCCCGTCTTGAGGATGTAGGCCACGTCCTCGGACAGGTCCGCCGGGAAGGGGGCCGCCTCTGACATAAAGGGCTCGATGGCCAGGGCTGGCCGTAGTAGGGGCCCGGTCAGGTGGTACTGTAGGGCTATCTTGACCCGGCTGTCGTAGGGGAGGAGGTAGACGAGGAGAGGCACGATCACGGCGGTGAATGCGACGAGCCGCCGCTGATACTGGCGAAGGCGGTGCGGGCGTGCCCAGACAGGCCACAGGAAGCGCATCTCATGTTGTGTCCGGTCGTGTCAGACAGGAAGACTCAAGTGTGCCAAGGGGGTGAGATATCACGACGACTGTGTATTTTCTCGTAGGATGGCCATTGTTCGTCATTGGCACAGCAGCACCCGCAGATCTCGCGTACAGGGTGTGTATGGTACACAGGGCCCGGTTCAGGGTCGAACCCCTGCACAGCTCGCCATTCAGCCCATTCTCAATCATACCGTCTGATCCTAGCGCATGGTAGGCTGCAGCGTATGGTAGGTTGTAGCGCATCGCATTGACGGGCACTCAAGACGATGTGATAGTGTCCATTGTGCCTCGGGAGGTAATTCTGGCGTTATGGTATGGATGGTTCATTGGGAAAGGGAAGACGTGATTCGATTGAGCCGCCGCACCTTCAAGGCATTACTCTGCTAGAGACGAACGAGTGTCTTTGGGGTATTGTTTTGGGATTTCGTCTAGTCTATAGCTACATTCAGAGGCAGCTCAGGCTATTCTCTCTAAGCCGTCAGCCACTCCCAATCTTGAGTTGAATGCTCCATTACATACAGGGCCATTACACCCCTTGCCCTTCAGTTGAAGGAACAGTTTGTACCATTCGCACATCTCACCGTGAATATGCCCAGCGCAAAGACGCTCATCAGGATCGCCTTCTTCTTTAGCTGCAACTGGGCTTGGATGAAGATCGGCATGGGAAGAGAGACGATGGTGAGCATGGTGTCACCGTTGAATGCAGGACCGTTGAAGCAGTCCCTCTGAACCTATCATCTCCCAGGTGCCTCGCATGTCCTGATACCAGCATCTGAGCAACCTCGAAAAGGGTGGTATCAGCCGGTAAAACCTTCATGACGTTGCCACCGGAGGTCTGTAGTCGTAGTCCGTCTCCCATCACGAGTCGTGTTTCTGTAGTTTGGTGCTCAATCAAGACCTCAGCGGCCTCCTTTCATGGCAGCACGGCGTCTCATTTTGTCGGCCACGGCCTTCAGTGCCAGCTTCACATCCTTCTGTCCCTCCCAACTGTCGAGATCGTAGTAGACGGGTGCGAGTTCCTGCAGCAACTGAGTTAGCCTGATGTCTAAACTACTTGGGGGTATTTGTATGAGGGGATGAAGAGGAAACCTACCAAGAGCCATTCCGGTGAAATTCGAGTCACCGTTCGGATGTATTGCTTGGATGTCAGCACAAACTCGTTGTAGACGACCCAGTCGTAGTCCGCCTTGAGGACCGTGCTCGGGTGAAGCATCACCGCCTGGTTGTTGTCTTTCAAGGTGCGGTAGATCTTGTTGTTCTCGCGCTTGGCTACTTGCATGAAGAAGCCCGTGACAAGCGCGCGACGGATGTTGTTGTAGTAATTCTTGTCGTTGAAGTCGGTGCTGACGAGATCCAACCCGTTGGTCTCCATGATGCGCTTGAGCTGTGCCCGTACATTGTCAGCACTTGACAGATGTCGGAACGAGAGATAATGCTCGTGGCACCACTTCTTTGCGTCTTGTCCCTGGTTTACGATGCCCTTGAAGGCATGGTAGACGTTCAACATGGTGAGATGATCGCCTTCGGGATGCTGGAAGAGATTCTTCATCTCGTCGGCTTCCCGTCTCTTCTGCGCAGGGCGTACGAATAGCTGCGGGACCGACAGGAGGGCAGTGATGGACAGCATCTCGTTAGAGCAGTAGAACTCCGGACTCGATATGAGCATGACAGCCAACGAAGGGTCGAGAGGGAATGCCGACGCCATAGCGCCCAGAGGAGTCAGCTCTCCTTCGTCGTCCAGACAGGCCAAGTAATTCAGCTCCTCGAGCGCACGCATCATGGTCTCGGGGGCAGGAGGGTCCATGAGGTCGAAATGGACAAGATCCTCCACCCCGAGCTTCTTCAGCTCCAACACTGTGTTCGCAAGGTTGGAGCGCAGAATCTCGGGATACGTTTGCTCGATCAACTCTTCCTTGAAGGCCTTCTCCGTATACAACCGGAAGGCCTTTCCCGGCTTTGTTCGGCCGGCTCGACCGGCTCGCTGCTGTGCTGAAGCCTTGGATATAGCCGAAACGAGCAGGGACTCGACTCGCAGCCGGGGGTTGTAGATCTTCTGCTTACTGAAACCAGGGTCGACCACATAGACGATGCCGTCAATCGTCAAACTGGTCTCGGCAATGTTTGTGGACACAATACATTTGCGACCGGGCTTTCCACCTTTTCTCAAGGGGTTGGGTGCAGGATCGAAGATTCTTTGCTGCTGATGGGGCGGCAGTGTTCCGTACAGGGGGTAGACGGTCATTGGACCAGCATCGGTTTCTCTGATGAGCTCATCAACCTCGAGAGAGATTTTTCGGCATGTATCCTCGATCTCCTCCTCTCCGGTCAAGAAGAGTAGAATATCGCCCTCGGATTCGCCGGCGTGTATTTGCAGAACAGTCCGTATCGCGCCTTCGACGTAGTCCTTCTCCGGCTCCGGGGTGTAGTAAATTTCGACAGGGAATGTACGACCGGGAACCGCGAGAAGAGGGGCATCGAAGAAGTAGCGCTGGAACTTCTCGGCATCCAGAGTGGCGGACATGACGATGAGCTTCAGGTCCGGCCGGCGCTGAGTGATCTGCTTGAGCAGGGCCATAAGGATATCGGTGGCCAAGGTACGCTCGTGGGCTTCATCCAGAATGATGCAGCTGTATCGAGACATGTTGTTGTCGTGCATGGCCTCTCTCAACAGCATACCATCGGTCATGTACTTCAGCATCGTCTTTGGACCGGTTTTGTCTTCGAATCGAATACTGTAACCGACCTCCTCGCCCAGATTGACGTCGAGTTCGTTGGCCACACGCTGGGCGACCGACATGGCAGCCACTCGTCGGGGTTGGGTACAGGCGACCATCTTGTGGTTGAGATGCGGGAGCTCATCGTATACGACATATTGAGGAATCTGGGTGGTTTTACCCGAACCTGTCTCACCGACGAAGACGAGGATCTGCGCCTTTTGGTATAGGTCGAGGAACTCTTGTCTGCAGCCACCGTGTTGTTAGCAGGCAGTCAACAGAAAGCAACTGATGGTTAGAAGCAGAGTAACAATGACTGGCATACCTCTGCTTGTGAACGGGCAGGTTGCGCCGCGACTTCAGGATACCGAAGTACTGTTGCGAATGGGGCTGACCCGTAAAAGGGTTATTGTCACCACTCTCAGCCTCGAAAGCCTGCTTCGCGGTGGACTCGCGACGCTTGAAATTCTTCAACGGATCACCCTCGGAGACGATGCCGTCCTTGTTGTCGATTCCCTCATCCCAGTGCGCAAGGTACGGGTTGTACTTGGGCTGCTCATCACCACGTGGCTCGGTCTTGATTCGCTTGACTGGTGAATCAGTTTCGCGGTCGCTGCTGGAGCGCTTGCGGTCGATCGCGCCAGCCTTTTGGTTCCTCGAGTCCGTCATGGTGGATTTGGTCCTCAAGAAATCTCCTCAAGAAGTTTGTGATGAGGAAGAACCTGCCGTATGTAGAAGATTCCAATTCCAACTCCAATTCCAAGTGACCCAGGAAACCACAGACGAGGCTGAAGAAAAACAAGTGGATCGGTCATTGCAAGGTGGGATGAAATTGTTTTTGGTAAGCTGTGACTCCGATAACACTGCTGCCGATAAGCCGTGGCTCCAGTAACGCCGATAACGCCGATAAGGGGGGCATGCGCTGGAAAGAATAAACCGAAAGGAGCTTCATGCCCACCTAAACACGGCAACTTTACCTAGCATTTTATGTATAACGCAACCATTTAAAAATAATATAAAATAACGTCTATATAAAACTTGACAAACAAAACATTCTTATAATTTTCGTAGGTATTTTTTATCATGTTTTAATTAAGTTATAGGCAATTAACCAAAGGTGATGATATATAGGGCGTGTGGCTGGTTGTGGCTTTTGGCTTTATTGTATGCCTGGCTAGGGGGGGGGGGGGGGGGGGGGGGGGGGGGATGTACAGTCACCCCTCATGTTGGAAGTCTCCGTCATGCTTTCGTTAATAACTCTTAAACATTTACTAGAAGATGCTCTGACCAAGTGCACCCTCTGAACGGAAGCTATATTCGTAAGTATCCTTCTTGGTTGGGCCGGTCTTGTTGCCCAACGTACAAAGTACCTTTGGACAGTTTCTAGTACTTGAGTGACGTTCTGGATAGGCCAAGCTCCCATCCTTCCTAGACATTCAAGAATACAAATCATCACCCTATCGTGTCATGGTCCCATTCTGGAGCCCTGCCAGAAGGCACATACGGAGACTTTAAGAGGTTCAGTGTACCGGACTGGCAGTTATCATGGGCATATATCAAACCCCTCAGTTCAGCAACTCGATTGTATCTGGGTTGCTGCGTGCTCCTAAGAATGGTCTATGTGTAATTCATGTCTCTGTCAGTCTAGGCCGGTGTCATCATTATCATGGCATATGGTCCCTGGAGGCAAGGGGAAGGAACCGAGTTCGCTGTTTCAATGACAGCTGATGGCGGTGCTAGAATGTCTGCTACGTAAAGTACATATGAATGTGTCGAACAGGTGGTCTTGGTTGGGCTCTGTCACGAAGAGCAGCGGCAATGCACACCAAGCTACAACATGTTCACAACGGCTACGGATAAGCATCGCAGGTCCGCATGTCATGGGCGTCACCACGAACACTATCAGGTTGTCAACGGTGAAACTTAGAATAAACCATCGCTCTGGTTGTTCATGTTACAATCATGAATCTGCCTAAGCAGGCCGCATGCCGTATCTACTATACATCAGCCGGACTGGCATATCCAGTCCAATGCTGATCTCGTCCGGAAATCGAACGAGCAGACGAACCAGCCTGCGTAGGCACTTGGTCTATGCTTGAATAATAAACTGCCGAATGGTATTGAATCCCAGTAGCCCTAACGAACGCCGCTTTCTACGCCGAACTCCATTGGAAACCCCACCCCGACCTGCCTGGTAGTATCGCCCCATAGTCCTCGTTACCCATCAGCCATTTATGTCATACACACTTCGATCACCCCAGAGCCACTAGAAACCATGAGTGGTGCTCCCATAAATACCACTAGCCTTTTGCGCATTCCTGATAATGCTCTCAACTAGCTCCATTGACCCATCTGACACCTCAGGGAGATCCCCTGTAGTTGCCGTTCCCGAAGGCTTCATCTCTGAAAGTGATATTGGGATGGGCTGTGAATAACGTTGGGCGGCGGATAGGTATTCGGGGGTGAAGCTTGGTAGGTATTGAGATACGGCAGCTGATTCTGGCTGCTGTATGCCATCGGACTGCCATGATTGTGCGAAAGCTGGCTGTGCCGAGTGTCCAGTACGTGGTTGCGATTGCTGTACGGCCCAGGAGCCGGAGGACTGTAGCGCGGGAGCTGGTGTTGACTGCTGTAGAACAGTTGATTCGGCAGCTGGCTGTGGTGACTGTACGGAAGCTGACTGTGGTGACTGTACGGAAGCTCGCTCTGGCTGCTGTACTGAAACTCGTTGTAAGCTGGCTGGTTGAAACTGTTGCTGTTAGGCATGATCTGCGGAAACTTCTGCCAGAAGGGTCCGCTTACATTATAGGACTGGTACCCTGGACTTGGTAGGTGCCTGGACAGCTCAGGTCCGTTCTTAACAGACGGGCTCTGCGAGTTTGGCGTCGTACCGAAACTACCTGAGGCTACCGAAGCGGGTGATGGTGCCTGTTGAGCTATCGCCCGCTGATCAGGCTGCTGGCCAGGTTGTTGTAATTTTTGCATTGTCTCCCAAGGTCTAGGCGGAGGTACGTAGCTTTGTCTCGGTGGGACAGATGGATGTTTTGGCTTGGGTGGTCCAGTTGCAGAGGTAGCTGGTATAGACGGGACAGGAACTGGCGTCGTCGACACAGAAGGGGTAACCTTACGCGCAGCCGAAGCTCCAGGCTTTGGCGCCGATGCCATGGAGACGGAGGACGTGGATTCTGTGGGAGTCGCCGGTGCCGATGGTGGCGCCGGGGTTGATTGCGCAGACGCGACGACCGGGCGCGTAGGAGCCACCTGTGCTGCCGGCTTTGTCTGATCAGCTGTGCCCTGTTTCAACATTTGCATATAGTTGTTTTGGAGCATTGCAGCATAATGAGCTCGAATAGCTGGATGCAGCTGGGCAACCGGGTCCGAATCCAAACCAAAGGAGCTGGCACTGTGTGTTGACCCTCGGCGCCAATCGGACTGAGTCGTGCCCGCGGAGGGTGTCATCGCAGACGGCGTCACCGGTGCTCCATACGGGCTTTGGGAAGCATGAGCAGACATAGGCGTTTCAGCTGGCTGCTGCGGGGCGCTGGGAGCCGCAGGCTTGGGGGCTGGGCTGATGGAACTACTTGTGGCTGTCACATTGCTCAGTGACTGTCGAGGAATCGAGGACAGCGCAGGTGTCGTGCCACCATTGAAGCCACTAGATTGTCTCCTCATACTGAACAAAGCGTCAGGTGTACTCAGCAGGTGAGCGCGGAGGTTACCCTCGTAGCCGTTTGTAAAGCCACCCCAGAAGGCATAAGGTGTCCTATACTTGGTAGAGTCCCTATATGAGTCAGCACATGGGGATTGTTGGCACTGGAAAGATGGAACATACCTGTTGTGATGGACCTGGAAAAAGGCATACTTCTGAATGACACTGGGCCGCGGCTCTCTACTCGTGTTCGTACTCGGTGCCGGTAACATCACCGACTGAAGCTGACCTGCCAATGCTTGTGCAGATGCAGATGCCGAGGTCGAGGGCCGGATAGCAGACGAGGTCATCGGGGTATTGCCATTCGATGCCAAAGAACTCGACCTTGCCCTCGCTTGCGCCTCGAAACGTTGTCCGTTCTGCGGCGATGGAGAAGGTCCAAGACCGCGCGGCTGCATGAATCCCTGACTGAATGGCGACTTGCCATTAGAGTCAAACCGACCAGATCCATAAGAGGCCGGTGGCGTTCCAAAGCGTGGCCTGGAACCAAGAGGGAGTCGACCGTTGAGGCTGCTGATCGAGGACTTCTTCCTGGAGTGACCATTCTGCGTCTGTATCGGAGGAGGCGTAGGTCTCGGTAGAGAAACCGGCTTTGGTACATGCGGCTGTATAGTCGCAGGGGCAGGTTTGGTAATAGCCGGCTGAGCAGTATAGGGGGCAGGCGAAGGTACGGCATGCAAAGGCGCAGTATGTGAAGGTGCGGTACGATGCGAAGGCGCAGCCGGCGAGGATGCCGGATGGGAAGACTGCGATAGCTGCGACGGTTGCAGTGCTTGTGGTACCTGTCTTGCCTGTGGTGTGTGCTGCGCCTGAGGTATACGCTGTGGTTGTTGTGACTGCGGCACCTGAGGTATACGCTGTGCTTGCTGTGGCTGCTGTACCCGCTGGGTTTGGTGCACAGTGGGGTGTTGCACATTGTATGACTGTTGCGTATGATGTGGCTGCGGTACCTGGTGTGAATACTGTGACTGCTGTGTTTGGTACATTGGGTACGTGAGGTACGTTTGATGTGGTTGGTGCGTCTGGTGCATCTGCGGTGACTGTTGGGTGGTACCGTAGGGAGCTGGCATCGGCGTCGTTGGCGGAGCAGCAGTGTAGGACGAGTACCGCGTCAAGGCATGCTGTGGGTGTTGGAAGGTGCTGTAAGGAGACAGCTTCGGGGTGAATTGCTGCGGAGTATACGGAGAAGGAGAAGGTTTGGGCATAAAATGCTGAGCAGTGAAAGGAGAGGGAGGATACGATGGTGAAGCAGCCAAGGCAGATTCCCTGGGCTTGTACTGGTACGGCTTCTCTGTCTTTGGAACTGCAGGGCTCGGAGTATGTACGGAGAACGTCGACCCTTGCGGCTTTCGAGGCTGGACAGGAGCAGTAAGACGCGGCACAGTGTCCAAGAAGTTGCTTTTTGGATTGTGCTTGGTCTTCTTCGGATCCTCCGTATACTGGGGTCGTGCATCCGTTGAGTATCTCCCAAGATAGTACCAAATCTGGTTCTCTTTGGAAAAGTCAATCTTCGTCTGTGCTTTGTTAGTACTGACGTCGTGATGGTTGAACTCGGCCCATGTGAAGTTCTCGACGAAGGGCGCATCAGCACGTGGCAACTCTTCCGTCCGTCGCTTGGTTGCGTTGATGTGATCCTTTGCCTTGCGCGACGTTGGCATTGGTATAGCGTTCGCTGAGGCCTTCTGCAAGTGGAAGTCGGCTGGGTCAGGAAGCAGCAGCCATTTCCACTCCACTTCGACTCGGTCCCTGGCTGAAGTTAGCAATCGTAGTCTCTTGTTAACACCGGTACTGTGAGTTACGTACCCGTTTGGTATGATGTCGAGGAGAAATGTTTGTTCGTCAGCCCTGTTCTCCGCGATGACGCCGGCAAAGATGTCGCCTCGGTAGTACTGCAGTTGGCAGATATCGCCCTTCTTGAGAGCAGCAGCCGCTTTGCGGGTCTTTTGGCAGTCATCCAGTGCCTCTCCATCCAGTTTCCTGTCACGTTTCGATCTGTGGAAACGGCAGCTGAATTCAAATGCCTGTTCTTTGTACTCAGTCCCATCTTCGCCAAAGATCGGGACCTCGGCCTCCTCAACCAGTACTCCAGCGGCGGCAGCGCAAGTGGCATGGTAGGACCTGACGCACTTCTTCTGGGAGCATTGGAAGCATGCACCTCTCTTGGAGCGACAGTACAAGCACTTGAGTTCGGCACGAGCCTTGCTGATGTTGGCCACATTTGCCACGATCTCTTGGTCGTCGACTGTCTCGATATACGTCTCCGCACCATAAAGAGCGCATAGGCGGTGGGCCTTGCGACCGTCATCGGTCGGCAGTAATGCTTGGCCGGGTATCTCGTGGGGACAAAGACAACAAGGGGGTTCAACTTGGCTCTTGATGCGAAGACGAATCTTTTTCGCCTTCTTTTCACCCTTGTCGTTGGCTGCTCGCTTCCGTTTTCGAGATACCTGCTTGAACTTGACAGCAGAGGATCGAGGTGCTGGTATGTCAGCGTTGGCATCATCGTCCTCGTCCTCTTCCTCTTCTTCGTCTTCTGTCTCTTCGTAATCTGTCTCTTCCCCGCGCAACTTGCGCTCGACCTCATGCACGTCGATCCACACACTGTCCTGAGCCTGAGCACATTCGCATCTTTTGGCGATCTTTCCCATAGGCAACCAGGAATCCAATGCAAAGTTGACGGCTTCTGCGCAATTGTACCCTAGGTTGTACCCTGAGTGGTAGCCGTAAGGGTAGGTCACAACGAATTCTCCAGGATACGAGACGACCTTGTTGACCTTGATGTTGAAGTACTGCAGCAGGTGATTCGGGGATATCAGGAAGGCTTTGTGACGCAGGAACTGGTCGCAGGCCTTGGCATCCGCGGGCCAAATGCTCTTCATGGCTGCCTCGAACCGACGCGCATCGCCCTGAGAGATACTGTACCACTGTTTGGGAGCTCCAAAATGGAGGTAGTTGATACTGTATAAATCCACATCTTCAAGATGCCACGCGAAAGTTGCCTTCCACATGCCCAGGTAGAGATATGCTGTGTTGACACCGGGGATCTTGGTGCCGAGGACATCAAGCAGGTTGGGAAGCGCATTGAGGTTCCAGCAGTCAGTCGAGTCGTCGAAAAGGGTCCCCAAAACATCTGCGCCATATAGGGGCGGGGCGTATGTCAGGGTTTTCCAGTATATTCGCTCGAGCTCCTCACATCTCTCTGGAGTATAGTCCGATATATCCATACGATAATCAAAGTCCCGGAACGCTTCCTCGTCAATCTTGGCAGACCCTTCGCGTCTTGCGTATTTCCGCCGAGCTGAGACACTCTGCATCTTGGGTTTGGCTTGTCTCGAACCGCCCATACGACCCACGGGGCGAACCTCGTCATCCTCGTCAGGCTCGGCGCCTGGGTCTTGCTCCACAGAGTCAACAAGAGCTTCGCTCGGCCTCGGAGAGACAGGAGTCATGGGACGCTCCTCTTGATCCGCGTCCTTGGCTGCCCCTCTTTTGCCCTTGCTTCTCGTAGTCCGTCCCCCTCCTCCTGCAGCATTGGCACGTTTTTTGGCAGCGGTAGAAGTTGTTGCGGAAATTTTTGGCTTCGGGGGGGCCTGCGCACGCCTTTCTCCTCGCCTCGCGGGGGGCTGATGCTCGCTCTGGTCGCAGAGTTGACGCCACTGCGGTAGGTTGTAGGATCGTTGATGGAGGACGTTGAGTTGCCGGTAGGTACCGTTGGAACCCATAATGTCTTGCTTGATAGGTTCCTTGACTCTGACCTGCTTCACCAGCTGATCCAAAGCGGGTTGCTGGTCTTTCCATTCTTGCGGGGGCATGATTTTGAGGATGCCAGACTTCATACCATAAGGGTCAAGCTTGGTCATCTGTGACGCAATATCAGTTCACGGCTCCAAAATTGGATGGAGAAGAATGCATTTATAGATGACGTACGAATTTCTTAAAGTCCTTGAACTGGTGCATGCTTGGCTTGAAGACTGGAACCGTGCCAGACCAGTGGTCTGGGACGACCTCGCCGATGTCCTCGTCCTCTTCATGGGCAGCGGGCTCGGGCTGGGGCTGGGGTTGGGTGGTCGGCGGCTGATCAACATCAATGGTAGGATCTTCGACATCGCTAAGTTCGGAGTCGCTCCCATCTAGCTTCATTGCGCTGTTGCTGTCGGGCGGGGAGTGGAGGCCGGTAGGCTTGAGTGCATCGTGCTTGAGTGCATCGTGGGGTGGTGATGCATCATGACCGTGGGAGGAGGGTTCGCTTGCGACGTCAATGTCGAGTGCAGGCTCGGGTTGCATGTCAAAGTAGTGATGATCGGACTCATACTCATGCTCGGTGTGCAGCGGGAGGCAGATGTCGTCGCTGTGGAGCATCGGCAGCGGCGACGAGGACTCAGGCACAGGCGCCGATGCCAATGCGGCGGTCGCTTCGGCGGACATGACTGCGCTGGGTGGGCTACATGCGATCAACGAAGGGAGTTGAATTTCTTCATCGACGGGGTGCTGCGCCAAGCGGTCATTCCTGTCGAAGCCCGCCCTTTGTCGAGATGTGCACGTCGAAGCCAGGCAGACGGGAGTGGTTGACGGGCAGTGCGAAGCAGCAGGTGGTGCGACGTTGGCGTTGACTGGCTTGTTGGACGAAGGTATTCGATGTGTGGTGGAGGTATGTGAGTGTGCAAGTGCATGGGGGGGTGTACGGCAAAGGCAGGTGAACTGGCCTGGAAAGTCGAAAAAGAGAGGTCGGCAGGTCTCGGTGGCACTGGACCCTCCGGGCTAGCCTGGCAGCCTGGTTCAGTGGGTGCCCGGGTATTCTGCGGGGAAGTCGTTAGCGAGAGATAAGTGTGGCTTGCGCAGCTGGAAGTGGTACGATGCACTGCTGTAAAGGGCTGAAAATGACATGACCATGCGGCGTACCTAGGTAGAACGAGTGGCCTGTGCTTCTGTTTTCTCATCTACGGCTTAGATAAGAAACCTGGAAAAAAGGCTGAGGCTCTGATGACGACGAAATGTCGATGGGAAAAGGGGACAGGAGGTCAGGTGATTTATGAGTGAATGCAAATGTCAAGTTTCCTACCAGAGAGATAAACATTAACCGATTCTTGCCGCTTGTGATCAGGTGGCAGCAGAAATGGTATGTAGGTAGGAGGTACGCAGGTACGTCGGCGAACCAAACTCAGGTGTTGCTTTCTAGAGGTGATGGGCTGGCTGGCTGGTCGCCGCACACGATTCTTGAGGTGGATTATCTGAGGTGGATTATCTGATCTACCTCAACCTTAGTAGTGCACGGACCACAAACTGAGGCTGGGGTGTGCCTTCTGGCAGGGGCCCAGAATACCATGTTACGATGACTAGTATTCTGGATGTTCTGCTTGCTGTCTAGCAGGATGGGAGCTTGTCCCATCCGAAAGGTCTGTTTAGTCTAGATACAGTGCAAACGATACCTTGTCCCTTGGGCAACAATCCGGCCCAACCGACAAGACACCCGACAGCTGGAATCAGCTGGATTCACAGGGGTGGTTCGTCAAGACACTCCCGTCGGCGTCAGCCCCTTTGCAAGAATACATTGTGTACTGCACCATATACTCGAGGCCGCTTCATTACCAGCGCCATTGTCAGCTTTGTTTCTTCCACCTGATTGATTCATGCAAACAGTGTCACGCTTATCTATAATACTCGAAAGCCTCGCTCTCGCCGCCACCTCGTCCATATATATTCCACGTTTGCTACTGTATGGTCGAAGCCATGTCTCGTGACTCTTTCCTTATTTTCCCACTTTCCGCTGGCTACTTTCTACGTAGTCTTCTCGACACTGTGCAGGTGCTCCTATTGAACAATACCGGAAACAAGAGGCATTTTGGATTCTGCGGTCCTACGCTACGTTCTCTGTCGCTTGAGGATCAGCGACCCCCAAGAAGCATCAGGATCAGTCACCAACCTCCTGCGTGGCATCGGGACAAACACCCCCCCATTCATCGGACCGGAATGCTTATGAAGGAGTTGAATGCTGAGTTCGGGAGCACCTGTGAGAAAGGAGAAGGGTTATCTCGCTAGACCTCATTGAACCCTCGCCAGGCCAACACCATGACCAAGAGATACAGTACAAGCGATGATCAGTCAAAAGCGGGCAAGAGACTATGACATGACCAAATGCTGCTCATTCCAATGCAAGTTATCAGCTTCTCCCCATTACCCTCTAGCACTCAGCACAGTGATACAGTCATACCTACTCACAACAGACCAAGTTGGGAGGTCTTCTCAGCACTACGATGCTGAAACTGGCGAGTGTCCACGAGTCATCTCTGCTTCCTGATAGCTCTCATCGAGTCTCTTGCATACTGCCCTCTTTCGGTGGGCACCTATCAGCCGACGCTTCCTTCGGGCGGACTCGGCCAATTGCAAGGATCTCTACGCAGACCACCATGGAGCGACGTAAAAGCTCGAGGAAGTCTTGGAAGAAACCCCAGGACGTGGAGAAAGCACTCAGCCAGAGGTGGGAGAAGGGAGGAGGAGAGAGGCGAGACTGATGCGCTGAAACAGGTTCAATTCGAATTGGACAAGAACTCATTGATTTATTGGCCATCGATGTTCTCCGACTGAGACCCCTTTTAATCAACGGCGACGCTACTGTGCCGCGCGAGTATCTAGTAAGCGGTCGATGAGTTAGGTCATCCATCCGCTTCATTTGTTTGTTCCCTCGGCATGGTCCCCCACATTCGCATTATTATGCACATATATTCGTTCTCTCCTTCACGAGTTTCTTCTTCATCCGTTCCTCCTATCAATCCTCTTTATCTTTCTGTCCCTCGTTCTGTTCTTTTCACGCGCTTTGCCGCGTAGCCGTTCCTTCAAAACCCCCAGCGGGTCGTTTTTAGCATGCATTGGTGGAGCGTTTTAGTGGTTGCGCTGGCGGCGCCAGTCTGGTCTCGCAGCCACGGCCACGGCCACGGCCATCAGCACGCAAAGGTCAAGGAATCTGTGACGTCCCGAGCGACGACACCAGGACGAGCGGTCTGGATGTGGAATTCGGACCTGATCCAGGAGGACGCCGAGGTGGAGCAGTTCCTGTCTTTCGCCGAAACCAACACCATGAATACCGTCTACGCACTCATTGACCGCGACATGGGCAACGCCGTCTTCGAGAGCTTCATTTCCAAGTGCCATGCGAAAGGGATAGCCGTTGAGGCCCTGATGGGCAACTCGCTCTGGATCATTGAGGCAGGGGACCCCACGTTGGAATCACAGCTCGAATGGATTGAGCAATACCAGGGCAATGCGACTGCAGATGCCTCATTTGCCGGGATTCATATGGATGTCGAGGTAAGATCACTGTATCCCAAGCCGGGCATGAGGAAGGGCGTGTATTGACTGCTACTTGGATAACAGCCTTGGGGTCTTGACGAATGGGAGCTGAATCAGGGGACCTACATCGCAAGACTACAGTCCATCGTGACTCAGGTCACTTCGCTGGGTAAAGCACTTGGGTTACCAGTTTCTGCAGACCTACCTTACTGGGCATACACGATTACGTGCCCAACTACGGGACAGACTCTGGATACCTGGATGCTCGACAACTTGGACACGGCTACGTTCATGACGTACCGCAACACGGCGGCTGAGCTTATCGACATTGCGTCCAAGGTCCTCGAAGCTGGCAATGCGGCCGGCAAGCCTGTCTGGCTGGCTGTCGAGACTGTAGACGCGGCCGATGCGCTTCTGATCAGCTACTTTGGCAAGACAGTTTCCGCCCTTTATGAGGATCTGGCATCCGTCCATGCCAAGGCAGCCACGTATGCGAGCTTTGCAGGCATTGCTATCCATGACTACGGTGGACTCAAGGCACTTGGCTCATGATGCGACCAGGCATGGTCGTTCACTTCGTTCAGAGGCTTTGGGAACCGAGGTCTCCGCCATGCATCATCTTGATGACTTCATTTCTTCATCACAACTATTACAGGCGGATCGCCGAGCACAAATCATTTACGACTTCTCTTCACTTCGGTCATTGTATCATGCTTGCGGCCATACTTACCTAGGACAGCGCAGTCCTCAGCATAACTGGTGGCTCCTACGGGGCAGAGGATGATACTCCAGCTCGACTGTGTGCCAGTTTTTCCAGCGTACCAAACGAGTGTCATGTTGGCACCGACTTGGTAGAGATCAGCCCCTAGCACTCAATACACTTATATACAGTCATATCTGCTTCTCATAACCCCAAAACCGATGCCGATGATTCCGAACTCCAGATGTTCGGAAGGCCCCTCCCCAACGTCGTAAGCTTCCCCTGGTTCCAGTTCTGGCATGCAAAGAGGTGCTGTAGAGCGAAATCATGCCCTGGAAGCCACTCCTTATGCCAAGTGGCTTGACTCCCCGCGGTCTCGACGACAACGACGACCTTGACTTGGACATCCGAGCTTCCAAGCAACGTGAACATGCGAGCCATGTGTTCAAGTACCTCCATCCATCCTTGGTCCACGCAAAGGTCCAGTCGGTCGATGATGATGTACACCAGTTTGCAGGACTCATCTTTCAGCCTAGATAGCACTTGACCAAGCAAGTCCACCACTGAACTCGCAGTCCAATCGCCCCCGGATCTGGCCAAAATCCGTCGGAACTCGGTTTCGTTGGCCCTGAGCATCTGAGTTTGCCAGCCCAGGACTTGCAGAATGATGGATGAGATGACAGTGCTGATACCCAAGTGCTCAGGCGTGCTCCCGGGAAGCGCAGAGAAGAACGCCACCTTGCTGCCCCTGTGGATTGAGTTGTGGTGACATTAGTTGTCACGATGTTGCACTTTAATCCTCTTGTACTCATCCCACAACAGGTCATTCGTCGATGAAGCTAATAGTAGACTGCAGACCAAGACCATCGCAGAGTCTGCCTTGCAGCAGAAATACATCGATCTCCTGGAGAAGCGAATCAGTCAGTTGGAGTTGGCTGTGAACGAGACAGCCTCGAAGACGACCGAAGACAGCAAGGATGACACGAAGGTACACACAGAACTTCAATGGTTTACCTTAGGAATGAGGCAAACTACTAATGCTAACAATCGTCACAAGGACGCCTCCGACAAAGCCAAAGCAAGTGGACGTACGTAGTTGCTCTCCGAGAATGGGACAACTCGACGGCATCGTACAAGGACAAGAACGTAGCAGAAAGTCTACTGAAGAAGGAACAGCTCAAAGATGTGGCCTACGTGTACCGCCGCGTTGTCTATGGCACTTATTCTGGTGAGAAGAGGGCGTATAGTGAAATTGAGCTGGAGGACCCGAAGCTAGTCCAGCTATTGAAGAGCGAGATTGACAACAAATATCCGGGAGTCAACTTCGATGGCAACACAGTCTATATGCAGGCTCCTTTCCCAGCAATCGTAGGGCGAACCCCCCAAGCTGGCCGATCGTAACTAATCCTTCGTCTTAGATACACAACTGGGACAAGCTTCGCAAGCGGACAGAACGTGAACCGGATTCTCAAGCATGCAAGGATCTCACGCATCTGCTCGACCGGATCGAAACCGCAGATGAACTCGAAGACTACTTCAAGGCTCGAGAAGCAAACATGAGCAGCAAGGTCACAACCTTCGAAACCCTCTGGACGTTATTTCCGCCAAAGGCCCTTGTGGTTGTCAAGCCTTTCAACGGAGTAGCACAACTCTTGCAGGTTTCCAGCCCGCCAATTCCATTCCCCAAGGCGCCCATCAAGAACATCTAGAGGTTGTCACTGCTAGCATGGTGCTGGGACTGGAATGGGAAGAAAATGGTCAAAGTCTACTACAACCTCAAATTCTCTCGATTCCGGGGTACGAAGCGGATCGACGAGCTTGACTACTATGCTCTGGCCTACTTCAAGAATGCGGAAGAACTATGCAATAATATCCGAGATTGATCAAGGCAATTTTTGCTGACGACGAAGTTCTGCAAACTGGGTGCCGGTCAGAAAAGGATGTACGACGGTGCCGCATATGTGACACGCAGAAAGGTCGTTTCTGGCACCAAAGAAGACGACGAGGTGAATTCGGGTCGTTCAGATGACTTGAAGCAAGTCACTAACCGCGCGAACAGGATGAACTCGTTGGAAAGGACTATGAGGACGACGAAGATGCCTCCAATGCTAAGTTGGTTTCTGTAAGTGCATATGCCTAGCACCTGCACCTTGGAACCGACTCTTTGCTGACCAGAACAAGATCCAGGGAGAGATAGTATGTGACGCTCAAGCGTACCTCCAGCACGGTATGACCAGAGCCTCATATACCTCGCAGCGAACTGACAATTCCAGCTCATGCGACACGTTGTCATGCTTTGGGGGACTGGGAGCAATTTGACACGGAAGAACCTCAAACCGAGCTCGACGATGCTTTCGCCAATCTCAAAGAAGATTATGTCAGGAACGGTTACGATGCAGTGAAGCAGAAAGCCGACTGGGACAAGGCCGAAGCACGGTGGAAGGCCACTATCAGGGAAAATTCGAATTACCTCATACTCCCAAACCGCTTGCTAGGCTATTCGACACGGGTCAAGCTCTGGGGCCAATTCAGTCCGTTTTTCCCCTTCGGAAGCGTCTCGAAAGCAGCTCGTCTTTGACGGGAAGAGTGGTTACTGACGATAGATGTTGCAGTGATAGATGACACCACTGAGCCCAGCAAACCGAACATGGACAAGTTTCACAAAGACTTGCAGCTTGAAACCAGGTACAGGGATCTCTTGAAGCATTGGTCTTCACACACGAGGAGGGGCACAAGTCTCGCCAAGTGGAAGATGTGGTGAAAGACAAGGGGAAGGGGCTCGTGCTACTCCTTCATGGTACGTTATTTCCCTGGTCTCGTGCTTGAATATAGCTGACTAGATACCCTAGGGCCTCCTGGAGTTGGTAAAACAGTGAGTCAATGTAGTCCACGTGTGCCTATTCCATATTGACAGTCGACGTGCAGCTTACGGCGGAGACCATTGCTGAAGCTACTGGCAAGCCGCTATTCGTCGTCAGCGTAGCCGAGATTGGCCTTGATGCATCCAGGGCAGAGAAGAACCTTGAGAAGCTGCTCCATCTGGCCACCAAATGGGAGGCTATCCTCCTGGTTGACGAAGCCGACGTCTTTCTGGAGACCCGCGGCGCTACATCTGATGCGTCCCGTAACGCACTGGTCTCGGTCCTGCTGCGAGTCCTCGAGTACTACAAGGGGATCATCATCTTGACGACTAATCGCATCAAATCAATCGATGTAGCTGTCATTTCACGGATCCATCTTGCCATTCGATATGAGGACCTCGGAGAGGACCAGATGAAGAACATCTTTAGATTCTTGGCCGTATGGCGCAATGGTCAAATGCGCCTGGTTGTGTTCTCGTTTGTGCGGTGGGCGACGAGAACAAGTGGGTTCGAATCCTGCTATGGCCCCCTTTCTGACCCGGCTTGTGCGAGTCGATAACCAGCACACGACAGTGGAGAGGCCCCATTTTATCGCAGAGCCCGATAGCCAAGCAGCTTGTCTCCACAATACCCACTCCTGCGAGGTTTTCCCCCTTGTGGTTTCCCTCGCCAGCAGATAACAAACACCTACTCCACCCACCAATGCGACATATATCGAACGGCTACTGGAACGATATGTACACCAGAGAACTGAGGTTCACTGGGTCGCTTTGTCACTAGATAGGAGGTTTTTCTGACGGAATCGTGCTTGGGTATTGACTAAAACCATCTGAACACTCCAGATTGGTACCGCTACAGCGAGGATAGGCTCGTGCGCGGATCTGAATGTATCTAATTTGACACCTCTACAACCTTGCGATGCAATGGCTCTGGGAGGCGTGGTTTGCACTACTGAGGAGCTACCCCCCACGTTAAATACAAAACAAACAAACAATCTTTAGATTCTTCCTCGAACAGCTCGAGCCGACCGATATCCATGACCGCGACAGCATCGACCAGTTCGTCGATGGATTCGGCTATTATTATAGCCTCAACGGGAGGCAGATCAGGAACGTTGTGTCTGCTGCTTTGGCATCAGCCCGCCACCAGAAGAATCGACAAGGTCAGGGCAGTGGAAAACTTACGACGGAGCATCTGAGGAAAGTCTGCGAGATGACAAGGGCATTTCAAGAGCAGCTCAAGAACGAGTCGATGCTCCAGAGAGCCAATAATGAGGTTCCGGGAAGTCGTGGTCCTGCTTGGAGATAAGCTGTTTGCTTCACCTTGATCACCGTCTCTATGATGTAGGTTCCATTCCTTCTACATCGGCAATGACCCAAGGTCATACCACCGCAACAACGGGGATGGGCTCGTGAGCGGGACTGACTGTACTTATTATCTTGATACCTCCACAACCCTGCGATGCAGAGGCTCTGGGAGGCGTGGTTTGCACTACTGAGGAGCAATCCCCCACGTTAAATACAAAACAAACAAACAAACATCTACATCGGCATCATCTAAGCTGTCTGCGAGATAGACTTTCACAGTTTCTCGATGGTGTCGATTGTCCTGATACTGCAGTTTGATGGGAAATGAATATTTCAGTGTAACATTTCGTTGATATAAGACTACTCCTCGCTTGACCTTCTAGATACGAGTCTGACCACTCCGTCACTGGCTTGTCCAGACCCCGAGAGAGGAAAAGTCATTTTGGGTATGCCCCATCAATCTACCTGGAGAGGGAAATCATACGAAGTTGGCGTCTTTGTTACATGGCGTCAACGAAGCGAATGCGACTATCGCGGCTAAGTAACTCTATATGTTCGACCGGACGGCCGGGAAGTTCATGGCTGCATGTGCTTAATGTCTTGCCCTCTCGAGGACAGGCGAAGAAATGACCTACCAAACGAGTTCCCGGAATTGTCTTGACGGACGATCCTGCTGTGTAGAAGGCACATAATAGAAGGCAAGGTGGCTAAGTATCTGCGATGGAAGTTACGTATAAGGTCCCGAACAACTCAACAGATATCCACGGTAGATTGATATGGACGTAGATGTCCATACTAACTCAATCTACGAATATCCCTGCAGCCTTAGCAACTAACTTAATAATAAAGCTATCGTAAGTTAATATTAACGTAAATATTGGAAATTTATAGTAAATTATTACCTTAATATTAATAGTTATATAATACTTTAACAATAAAAATATTGAGTGATTAAAAAGTTAACATAGTTAAAAATTAATATTACCTCAAAATAAATAATACCTTATTAATAATATAATTACGATTAAGATTATAATTTAATAAATAACATTATGATTTTTGTGGTAAAATTTCAATTAGTTTCATTTAATTAATAATTTAATCAACGCTTAAAAATATTACTAAACTTATTTATATATAAAATCACGATAATTTATAAAAAAATTATCATATAATGACTTTTAAATTGAATTATTATACATTTAAATATAAATAACTTTTTATAATATATTTTATTTATATTTATCAAATGTTTTTAATAAAACGAAGATTTTATCTATTTAAGTTTATTAAATTTATAGTTAATATATCTAAACCTAACTTCATTGAATGTTTTTAATCAAACGAAGATTTTTATTCATTTGAGTCTATTAAATTTATAGTTGATATATTTAAACCTAACGTAGGTCACAAGCGAGCGGGACTCTTTTACCAACCTCCTAACTGCCATGTCAAATAACTTAACCACAACGCATTCAATTCAATTCAATCAATCGGATTCCTCTTCCTCAGAGGTTTCTATCTCTATTGTACAAGTTCGCGCATTATGGCCAGTGTTGCCGCAAACGCCACACCGTCGCTCACGCGCTGCCGCCTTCCTTGGACGATGACTACCTTCATCCATTTCCTGTCTTGCCAGCTCATTACTATCCTTTGTAGCCTGAAGACTCACTATATCTTTAACAGAAAGTATTCCTTCTTTCACCAAATATTTGTTTTTTGTTCTTTGGCGTTTACTTAATAAGTAATTGGCCTCATCTAGCTCGCAGACCCAGGAATCAACCAAAGCGACCTTGTGCATAAGACCATATGTAGCCTTTAAAAACGAGCTCAACGCATCAATTATTGATATAGGTGAGCTTTTCTGGTGGTTTCTGACTCGATTTCGGATATAAACCGATTGGTTTACCGCTTCGTTAATAGTGTGTCAGATAAAACAGATAAGAACATCGTGCGCAGAATGACTGCACACCTTACCCTTTTGGTCTAAGGGTAAAATCCAACAATGGTGGTGGGCGTCTTGGAAGTCCAAGTAGTGGGTGGCAGATTGGGGTCTGGTGACGGTGTTCGTATGACAGCAACAGCATCTAGCTTTGAAATGACACTTTCTGGGTCAAAAGGAACAAGCTCAGTGGCACTGAAACCTGCTCGGATGTTTCCTGGCGTCATAGCAGTGTTGTGTGCTTCACAAAACGCTGTGAGGAAGTCTTCCTTTGAAACATGGGTTATATGACGCTGGATGAGATCCTCAATCATGCGACCGTAAGCTTGTTTGAGCGGGCTAAAACAGCTGACATCTAAAGGCTGGAGCCTGTACGACGAGTAGGCAGGCATGGAAAAAGTAATGATGCTATTGTTCTGACAGTTATGAAGGAGCAAATGGCATTCTCTTCGGAAACTATAAGTTTCAAAGAATTGGGCATGCTATCGCGTCGTGATGATCGGCCGGTGATTCTTTGAGCCAGTGTAGAGATTGGTAGGTGGAAAGTTTTAGCAAGCTTTTGAACAGAAATATGAGGATCTCGTTTTTTAGCTTGGACAGCTAGCTGCATGTCTGAATCATTATAATGCGGTGCCATTGTCGTGGGTGGAGGAATACTGGTTGGAAGTTAGAAGTTTGAGAGGTTCATGAAAGTGTCCCACTCGCTTGTGTGTCCTGCTCGCTTGTGACCTACGTTACTAATAACTATATAATTATATTTTAAATTATATATGGAGGAAAAATTGGAACAATAAAGTGATATAATTATTTATAACGTAAATATTTTAACACGGCTTTTTTTAATAAATATTTATAAATAAATATTTATAATAAAAAAAAGATTTTTTTCTTAAAAAAACCTAACCAATAAACTTAAACTTAAATCTTAACCTTTTTATGTCTTATTTTTTTTAAAATATTTCTTGATAAATAACGTTAAATAAGACTGACCACGACTTTTTTAAACGTTTAAAAATATAGATTTCGTTGTTAATATTCTTATAAAAAATTTAAACAGCCGAAATGTTTTAAAGTCAAACGCCCTAAAAATTAAAAGTCTCGTTTAACTATATGAAATATTTTAAAAAAAACATTTATTTATAAATAATATTATATAAAACTAGCTATAACCTTTTCAAACGCTTGAACGTTTAAATCTTACTTATAATATTTTTTTTCAATTTATTATCGCTAATAAAAATCACCTAAAAAAGTCCTTATATTTTACATTAACCCATAACAATATCAATTCCTGGAAACAAAACCTCTTATTAATATACGCGCATTAATTAAACGATCACGAGGTCGTAGATAGTGTTAACTCAACTCCACGAAGGGGTCTTGTTAACGTGAATTGAGTTGGTCGGGACCTTGGTCAAGTACAAGGCCAAAGGGCAGACTAGATGGTCTGCATTGCGATGCGATCCGCACCCTCCTCCAGTCTGTATGGCCTCTGCACTTGCAGTGTCTGGCTGCTCTGCGACTTTATCGACCCAGGTTCCAGCCCCCCTGGCATCCATAGGTAAGTCGACCATGCATCTGTGCTGATCGAGAAAGCGATATAATACATAGCTCGACAAGCGGCCCGGCGACTCCCCCTCTCTCACGCCCCTTTAGCCTTCTTTCAGAGACCTATCACATAAAGCCTTCTTTTTCTTATCTCCTACACCTTCCTCCCTGGATATCCCGTTCGACCCTCGACGTGCTGGATCTCAAGTTGGCCTGGGCAGCTTCGAACACCTTGCGAGATGTTCAGCCGTAGCCGTCGTTGTTTCTTATCATCGATCCATCTGCCTGCAAAAGCACAGTCTTGCGGTTGGCATTGTAAAGACCTGGGCAAAGTGCCCGTGTATAATGAATAAGTACAAGAAAAATAATCTGTGTAGGAAATCATTTTGCAATGCTGCTGTCGATGCTGCTGTCGATACTGCTGTTGATGTGTGTATATCAAAGAACAGAGTTAGCGGTGGAGGTCTTTCTATATATGGCTCCGACATCGAGACCAGGTTTGGTTTTCTAACACCTCGAGGGCGTTCAGGGATTCAAGCTTCGAGTTCCCGGCGTAGAGGTTCCCCTGAGGAGCCGCGACGTTCCTTGACTGGAAGGACATAACTACTCTATGGCTGAGGCTTAACATGGCAATGTACCCCAAGACACCTATCGGGCCCTCGTCTCGCATCCCGACCGAGAGCTGACCCCCGAACAAACCCGCAGCAACATCGAGAACGTAATGGCCAACCTTCTGAAGGTCTGCATGCAGTACGAGGATGCCTACCGACGCATCCGTGGTGGTGATGCATTCTGGCTCCTCATCCTCTCGGCTTTTGTTGATGGTGATGGTGATTGATGAAGCAAGTTGATACTGCAAAGCAAGCGTTGGTTGTTGTGAGTGTGTATGGATGTGGTGGATGTGGTGGATGAGGATGAGGAACGCCAATCAACATCCTGCGATGGTCTGAGAGAGGTTTCGCAACTGGATATTCCAGCCTGTCGATAGCTGTCCGGTCCAGAATCCGTGACCTAGCAACTCCTCAATATCCCCATCGCCACCAATCATCATGGTAAGATAATTTGGGCCGACTCTCAAGCCAGTATGCTATGACTCCCCAGCGTCTCATGCGTTATCGTTGCAATGTGGATCCCGTGATGGCGAAGAGGGCGTACTAAGGTGGCATGGAGTGACGATCTAAGGGAAGACTGTCCAAGTGCTTGTGTGTGACTCTGTCGAAGTGTTTGTGTGTAACTCTATCCAAGTGCTTTTGTGAGCATACTTGCCACTGATTCGGAAGTGCTAGGGACCACCATCAAGACAGCAAGGTTTGGAGACCCCATGACTATCAGATGCAGCTGTAGTTATCTACATCTGGTCTCGGCAGAGGTATTTGATTGATAAATTTCTGAATACATGCAGGCACTAGGTAGGTAGTCAAGAAGACGAGTCAAGCAGCAATTCACGACACCATACGAAGAAATATTGATTGTTCACAGATTTTGATTGATAGATATCGAACATGGTTTATGATGTACAATACTCTGTCCAGAGATCTCCTCGGCACCCCAGGAACCCGCGAGGGCCCCGGAGCCGGAGGCTGGAGTCGCCATCGTCGGGCGACCCAGCAAGATAGTAACGTCCCCTATTCATCCGCCCGCCAACAGATTGCTATGTTCAGTGTGCTTCTAATATGTTTGTTCCAACAGACAGTGGTGTACAACAGGATCGGATGCTGCACACGGATGGTGAAGTCCCTTCCGGCATCCCGCTTTTCCGTCTTTTCCTATCCAGAGCGCCAATACAAAATAGATACTATGAAGGTAGACACTAGTGATTATCACCAGGTTATGAAGCCGGACACCCGACCTCCCCAATACCGTCGCAGGCCGCGTTTCGAGTCAGGGGCGATGAGGGTGTCGTGGAGATGGGACCCCGAGTCTATGCCATATCCCGCCAGTCCGGTGTTCCGATGTCCGGTTGATCCGTAGCCTTGTATGTGTAATGCATATGTAGTAGTTCGCCGACTTCTTCATTGCGTGCCCAACACCGAGCTAAAAACGCCAAGGGAGATGCAAAAGTGAAATATGTGCACCGAGGCCCGGTTCTCCGAAACGCCTCGCGTGGAATGGGTGTCCAACAGTAGAAAAGACACTAAGGCGCTTCCGCTGATTCATTGCCTAAGCTCGTGGTGCTGTCGGGGCTGTGGGTGCATGTGTCAGACAAGTGACCAGTGGCATCTCTCTATGTGCAAGACGGGAAATCCATGAAACGTTTCAAATGAGTGTAAGTGACGTTGGAGTCGTAATGGTCGTTAGGTTTCGTAAGATGAGGCCCGTGAAGACCGCTCGTTGACCAGATCGAGTCGAGGGGGTATCGCAAGGTCTATTTCCTCAGTGAGACTCGATCGGTCAAGTTGCGCCAGAATCCAGGGCGCTTTCGTTCCATGCCGCTGATGGCACACATGGTTGCTTCGCGCACCATGGGGCCCACGATATCCTCGTCGCCACGTTGGGGGAACTTTCCCTCGGCGTCCATCCTTGGTACGATGGTAAGGCCTCCTTCGTCAAACTTCTCGCAGGCGGTTGCTTCGCCGCTGGCCACAACCGCCTCTGCCACCTCATCGTGGTGACCACGCCAAGTCCGCTGCGTCTCGGCCCATTTCGCCTCAGTGAGCGCGTAGGTCTTGGAGGTGATGCCGTAGTGCTCGCCAGTCCGAACCAGGTGTTTCGTGTAGTTGACCCGCGCAGTTTCCCAGTCGGTTCGAAGCTGTTGCAGAGAATACAGGGCCGTCACCTCTGGCTTGTACGGGATCGGCATGATGGTGAAGTTGGCGTGGCCCAGCCGATCAGACCAGGCGTCTGGTGCGGGCATGGGGTGCAGTTCCTTCGAAGGCGGCATCCGGAAAGACGAGATCGACGGCTTGGTGCTGAGCGGCGGTGAGAGGACCAGAGGCGAATGGGGTTCTCCTTCGGTTGGACACGCGATCGCTGGTAGTTCAAGTGGCGAGGGCTGTGCGGTGTGCTGCTCGGTGGACGTTCCGGTCATCATCGGCGGCAGAAGGGGAGTATGCGCTTGAGACCGCTCCCGCTCAATTGAGGATAGAATGCTGTTGGCCTTCTCGATATCCAAGGGCCCCGGCAGGGTGACGCTATCACTGCTCTCATAAAATGACAGAGCAGGGGTTGGCGGCAAAGGCGGCTCGTTTGTGCGGTCAGGCACGAACCTGCCCGATGTTGACAGAGAAGAAGAACGGCTTGAAGCCGCTCGGGACAGCGTTGGGCGTTGCTCGAAACCATAGTCGGATACGGGAGAGTTGATTGCGCTGGACTTTTTGGGCATCTTCCACCTGCTCAAAGACGGGAATCGGGACCCGAGCTTATGCGAAAAGCCCATGAACGGTGGTTCTGATCCGTTTCGACGCTTCTTCAATGAGCTTGGGCTGGTATGGTAGTCGCTGTCGCTGAGGAACCCAATGTCGTAATCGACGTCTCTACTCTGGGCATATGCATAAAAGTTGGATGTGCTTTGCACCAAGTCGGCGTCCCTGTGCATGCAAGGTTCGTCGCCTAACACGAGCATTGTCAGCTTTGGAGATCTTCACTAGCTAGCAACGATGAAGAGTTAAAACCTACACAGGCAGTCGTAAAGATCAAACCGATACGACGCATCGTCATCATCGTCGCTGTCGTCTCGGTCGTCGTCACTGTCAAAACTCCCGTATTCGAATGGCTCTTCTTTGACATCGTCCAATGTGCGTTTGCCAGATGTTTGCGTTGCTTGCTTCGGCGAAGAGGGCATCGCCTCGGGGCTCGCCGGTGTCGCCAGCTCGAAGGACGACATGGAGCTGGAATACCGGAGGTGGCCTCGCGCAGAGAAGGTCGGGGTTACGGGTGAGGTAGCGTCGGAAGAGGATGAGTCTGTCGTGTAGACATGGTAGAAAGCCTCGCCATCAACACATTCGGCCTGCGCCGCCTCCTCGGCTTTCCTCCGCTCTTCGACCAGCAATGGCAATTGCAGAGGTCGTAGTCTAGGAGACATGTCGGCCAGCGCAGATCAGCGAGCACGCCGCTGTCCGACTGGGGTTCAATTAACGAGTGAGTATGTTGTCGTGGTCACGGACAGTGTCGACGAGACAAAAGCCGACAGTCGATAGTTAAGTCGATCCGAGTTGCTCCAGTGTTTGTTTGGCGGGGGGTTTCGATTCGTCAACGAGAGCGCTATGCTTTGTTTCGTGCTGCAGCATCAAACTCTCTTGTCGGACTAGAACTCTTGTTTCTCCCGGGATAGCTACGCCAGCATCTTATATCCACCAGATAGAGTTGGGTGACGTCCGCTTCGAGATGCTGCTTCCCTTCCTCCTAACAGAGTCTAATATTGAGAGGGTCCGATTGCTTCCGGAGGTTCATACGTGTACCGCTGTCGACATATGTTCGTCTAGTTGCACTGGTCCACGTGTACTGGTATATGTATAAAGTTTCGTGCGGTTGTAGTCGGGCTGCTGTGCTGTGCTGTCTTTGAGAGCGAGAGTGACGCTTCGCCAATCAAGTCCGGTTGAGTCGGCCCAATTCCGACACAGCGTCCGGGTCTTGTGCAGGTCGCCCGCTGTTACCCAGCCAATGTTCAGAACGACTAGTATTGTGACAACAGCACGACAGAAGCCAATGGGTTCCAGCTCCAACAGAAACGCGGGGTTTGGGAATATATTGTGTGCAAGGTGTGGTCTCCCAACGCCAGGTTCACTTTGGTTGGACGAATACGCTTGGAAGTGGTGGTAATGCGCGAAGGATGGTGCGGGAAGGGCAAGAGGTGCATATGTGAAAACTACGTGAGACGATGGGATGGGATGGGATGGCGTGTGGGAGAGGTGCAGGTCATAGGTCGTGCAACATGGCAGTGCATGGGGGGAGACTGTTGGTGGGTTCACAGCTAGTTCTGGCTGGAAACAGAAAAACAAACACAAAAAATAACGGCATCCTCTTGTGTCCATGTAACGGGGCTCCGCTCCCTGCTCGTGGCGTGCCAGACAATGCCTGGATACCGCAGGTCCAAGAATCAGGGTGGCCCTGGGCGGTCGGGCAGAGACCCATCAGACAACCTTGGAACTTTTCCCGACCCCTGCACACCCTCTTCGACTGTGGGAGTGGAGTCTCCTGGGCCTTGCTAGCCCGACAAACTGGTTTGGCATCTTTGACCGACAGGGCAACAGCAAGATCCTTCATCCTGTCGAGCGCTCCGTACTTCTCAGGCATGGGGGTCTCCGGGGGCTTCTTTTTCCGTGGCCGCCCATATGGAATATTCTGGAGGCCCACTCGGACTCCAGCTAGGTACTGCGTGAATGACTCTCCTCCCAGCCTGTCTGCCTGTTCGTTGCCTGTGTGGCAGTACTGACTTGTGGCAATTCATCGTGGACTTTGGGGCTGTGCATCATGGTTCCTCTTTATCTACTAGTAGCGCAAGGAGAGGGATCCCGGATCCTCCATGGTCACTGGCCCACCGTATTGTCAAGTCAACCAAGTGGTGCAAACAACACCAAACAGCTCACGATCGTGGATCGAGGGTCACGGACCCCAGAGGAGAGCCGCATGGTGAACCTGACACCCCCGACCATGCAAGGACAGTGTGAATCCCGCTAGCAACCGAAAGCAAGAGAAATACCAAAGTCTCTTTCCAACAGGACTCATCGAGGTTCTTCCGCCGCTTGGAGTTCTCCTGCCCTGTCTGCTCACCGGTTGGTGCTCGCCGCCTCTCTTCTTCTGTCTCGACAATCGCCGTCCCCATTTTCGTGAAGCACTTCACTTTAGCCACATGACGGCAGCTCTACATAGTCAGTTGGCACTGGATCCGAGGCAACCATGGTGATTATGACTTGTGCGGACGCAGTAGTAATAATATGCCCCTTCCTTGGAAGTTGGAGGCCGGGAGGAACCCTGAACCGGCTTCGCATCCTGATGAGCAGATGCGCGGATAGGTCGCCGTGGACAGGGATGGAGCTCAATCCCCGTTTCTCTAGTCAACCCGGTCTTGACGGGTCAGCACCCCGTTGAGCCGTCGACGTTGCCTCACAGTGCTTGGCGTGCAAATAATAGCACAGTGATGGGCACAGCGTGGCTGCGCGGACGATGTCGGTGTTGATGTCAGTGTGTCAGTGCGTGTCTACTGGCCCAGGATTGGTAGGTTAGGTACGTAGCGAGCTGCACAGCACAACCCCATGAGCCAAAAACGGTGAGTGAGTGAGCTGCGTCTGCACTGAGACCTCGACCGAATCGTCCAGGCCGTTGGCAATCGTACACAGTATTCGTTGTCACTTGACAGGACGTCGCATGTATATTGGTTGCGTTGTGCTTCTTACGCTGCTCGCATAGTGACATGTTGTACTGCTGACTGCCAACGAATTGTCATGGCAGAAATCGCCATCAAGCAGTCCGGAATCAGCAGCTATCCCGCCGCGGTGGCTTTCACAGGCCGTGTGGCTTCGGGAGGTTTCCCCTAGCGTATCATATGCCTTACTGTATGTATGTAATATGGTGGGTGCTTCGGATGCAAAGGATGCTGTCAGGACGACACGTCCATCACCGGAATTTGTCCGGTTGCTGTGACTGTTGTTGCAACTGCCGGAGACGGAGCACAGCGCTCGACGAGAGATTTCGCGTTGATTTCCTTCTGACCAATCTGCGCCAAGTGGCAAATGTTCCCTCATTCGGCTTGTTTAGCAACGAACCCACGGCCTTCCGTAAGGTCCGTAGGAGACCCGTATGAGAATCTTGCGCAAGAGGTGTCGCAACGTAGGTATCTTGTGGCTTGAGTGATGATGCTCAATCCGTAATGGTGAGGGGAGATGGAGGATGGAGGATGGATGAAGAACTGCGCACGATAATGCTATGCGCGATACGGTGATAACAATGCATTGAAATAACTCTTATATTGTAGTTAAGGAGGTAAGAGCTACGGCGAACGACTTCATGCAGCTAAGCATGCCACACTCCCCTCCTCACTCCTCTTTCACCACTTCTCCTTCTCCCCTCGTCTAAAAGTAACGCCCATTCATCAATCACCAGCACCCATCATGGCACGAACTTGCGGTCGGTCAGCTACATATCAAGCTGCGTACAGATGAAAGAATCTGTTGCTCCGCCACCTTCGTGTTCAACCCAGGCTCTCCGCGTCTATACCCGTTGAGGATCTATTCCGATACCTGCCGGCGGCCTTCCGTTGAGCTCAAGCCCAATACCCGTGCGCCATCAGATTCACTTTGAGTTTGTCGACGCGAATACCGCTGTCCTTGCCTGTTTCGTGTCTCCGTCTCGCCCGTCTGTCGTGTCATGATGTCGTGTATTGTGGCAAGGCTTATTAGCCAGTCGTGGCATCGTGCACCCGCCAATGGAGACCTCATTGTCTGAGCTGAAAGTTCCCAGACACAGCACAGATCTCTCAAGATTGTGTTGTCTCGGATGAGGGTTCGTCTACGCCCCGCAAAGTTCCGCGTGAGATAAGAAAGATCTCACTTCAGATGATCCTGTTGAGCTGAACCAGGCCAACCACGTCATCGTCAGAGTCCTTCGACATGATGCGATACTTACGTTACGGTACGGACATTCCTTGGGCAAAGGTGGTCGAATCCTACCGCTACCATGCCGGCGGTATTTTGTCACTCTCATCCCGGCGATCTCTTTTGTCCAGAGGTTCGCGAGCCTGGTACAACGTGTTGAGGGGACCGACTGCAGCGTAACCGCCACACGTTTCCAACAGAGCACACTGGTGCCACGAGGCACAAAGTGACAGCAACAAACCATTCTCGTCTTGTGGGCTGCCAGTACGGCTCGTCACAGCCCTAGAGTCTGGGGTAATCGATTAGATCCGTTCCTCAGCTGTGCCAGGTTGCACAGCAGCAGTTTGCTGGCTTCCCAGAGAAACGGTGGTTGGCACTGATCCTGCAAACCAGTTGCGATTGGTAATGTTCTCGCTTTGAGATGGTTTCACCTGTCGTGACACTGCCGATATGAAGGTGTCGGTTGAAAATCGAGGTTGACATGTGTTGACGTGCTACCTATTGGTCTCTCTTTCTTCCGGCCACTGACTGACGGCCAATAGGCTCTTCTGCCAGTCTCCTACCCTCCGGCAACAGGGGCACGACTTCGACAAGCATCCCAATTCCGCTGGGAACTCATGTCATGTCAGATATTGCGATATGATATATCTACCTGACCGGCAGAAGCGGCCCAAGTCTGATCATGCCGGATTCGATTCTCGTCATCTCTCCCGTCAGCAACTGTCTTCATGTTGAGTGAATGTATGGGAGTCAGGCAGTTCAGGATGCTGTCTGTCTTTGGGGTAGCTACAAGCTAGCTCCGCTGATCCAATGCAGCACCGTTGCTGGTCCCTTGTAGCTTCGCGTACCTTGCATTAGCCGGGCAAAAGGTAGGGTCAGGCAATGTGCCTATTCGACGAACCAGACTTTGCGGACAATATTATTACCAGACAAGCTCACTCATCGGCAGCTTTAACCAGTTTCCCGGTCGAGGAACTCCACTCATTGTTCAGCGTTGGTCGCGGGCCTCGGTGGGCTCGGGTGAGAATCGAGAACATCGTGAAAATCCTGCACCAGGAAGTTGGTGGGGAAGCTTACGGCTACCAACCACTGAGAAATTCGACATCTCAGCAACACCATATTCTGGCTTGAGCTTCTACGGGGACCAGGTGCCTGCATCACGGTCGCAAAACGCTGAGCCCCAGGAACAGACCCCCGTTCTCCCCGATCTGTCATAGCTTCAGAGCCGGTCAGCGTCCGGAGCAGTCCATTGCCCCCTTTGCCCCATACTGTGTAGCTCCATGGCTCCGCTGCTCCGCGAGAGCTCTCTTCTAGCCGCAAGCGATCTCCAGGCGAGCCAGACTGCCAGGCATCAAGGTGTTGTCGTACAAGCGTCCGGCCTGTTGTTCATCAATGCTGTCATCAAGTCACCATGGACCTGCCAGCCTGTCGCCTGCCTGTCGCCTGCCTGCTATTCCACAGTCACCAGCATATTATTACAGTCGGATCAGCCGTATGGCTATCGATGGCGTCCATGTTTCCCTGGCAACATTTGATATCTTCAAGATGTCTAGAATAATACGTTGTCCGTTGCCCGTTGTCATCAATGTGCTCATATGTCGATGTAGTAAGGGACCCAACCAATATGTGGAAGGCCTCCACATCCGCATAGTCAAACACCCGGCTTCATGTCTTTTCTCTGCGCAGGGTCGCACGGCGCTTTGAACTCGTCTCACTTCCACTGTGCAGTTCGACGATGTGATCTCTCAAATTTGCCGAACGACGACAGTGATTTCCAGCAATTGCCGATGACCCTGCAGTCATCGTTGAGGTGGTTGGGCCAGGTGTTGAATACACGGATCTTGATTGATTCTATTGATTGTTCTGCTCTGCGTGCAGAGATTGATCATCTGTCTTCTTGGTGGGTCAGATGCCCTGTGCGTCTCTGCCCCACTGGAGATCTTCCGGTGTCTATCTCCGGCTCCCATTCAACACCAGGGACTCGGAATGATTCCCCGGGCAGATTATTGGTTCTCGGACCAAGAAAATGACATCATCAACAGATCCATCTTACACCCCATCACCGCCAGGGTCTCAAAAAATACGATTCGTATTCGTACTTAGTATCGTATCGTATCATATCGTATCGTATCGTATAGGATTTCATTATTATATAGTATACTATATAGTATTATACATTTTAGTAGAAAAAATTTATTTTACTTAAAATACGTTTCAAGGCTCGTTTAAATAGTTATAATTAATTATTTTAACTTTATAAATCTATCTGGATACTTTAAAAATCAAGATATAACGATGTTATTAGCTATTTAGTATTATATTGATATAATATTTATACATAGTATATAAACTTTATATATATATATTTGTGAGATTCTAGAAGGGTCACAAGCCTTGGGGGTGTGAGCAGTCGCTGCAAACGTTGTTGTCATTCTCAAGTATGCTTGGCAGGGCTAATCTACAGCTAAATACTATACTGTACCATGTCAGGATGGATCCACTGTTCCCTTGACAGCCCCTAGTGGGTACTGTACCTAAAGGCACTATATCTGGGATCCAACATCTGACAATATTATATATATTATAAATAAATATCACGATGTTTAAAGCTTAATGTGAAGTTTAGAGGTTCAGATAGGGTCTGGATGAGATGGATCTGGTTCAGTGTCTTAGTTATAGATCTATGGAGAATATTCCCACTTAAATACAGCTGTTGAAGCCCTTTGATATCCGGCTGCCTAACAGCTGACCACAAACCTGCCAGTGGTCACCACAATAGACCTTCCACCCCCTTTGGGTCCCTTTGACCCCTTTCAGCCTGCTGTCAGCTGCAGCACACACCTGATAGGCACTAACATTCTCACACTTAATAATTATTCAAATAACAATAGTATTAAGAACACTTAAATACGTCTTAAATTGTTATTGTTTCTCCTTTAAAAAACATATACATTATAGAAAAAAGTATCCCTTTTACCCCCTGTTTAATACTATCGTATACGATAGTATGGCTTCGTATCGTATCGTATGACCTGAATAAGATACTAAGTATCGTATTTTGAGACCCTGATCGCCGCACGGTTTGCTTTTCATCTCATTTTTGTTTGCTTGTTCGATTCCGTCCGTGAGCATCTGACAGAAGCAAGCCGAGTGATTAGTATCGCACCATCATGCTCATCCGTATTGCGACATAATGGCACAACATCCTTTACCGACTTTACAAGCACCCCTCGCGCCATAACATTGTACCCGTACCTGTTACTCGCACTGAGAAGAAACGCCCTGGAATGCAATTCCCACCATGCTCGCCTCTCCGAGATAGGCGTTGCTCCGAGGGTGTCGCGGCGTTCGACATGAATCGGGGCTTTGCGCCAGCGTCAAACCTCCCCAGCCAAGTCAACTCATGAACCCACGAGGTGCCATTATGATTCATAAACACCAATCAGCAATCAGCAATGTTGCCGTGTCGCTGTTCTGAACACCGACACTGCATTGACCGCTTTCCTTTTCCCAAGATCACGTCAGCATTGGCTGACGTTGTCAGGCAACTCGGGTTACACGTCAAAGAAACTCAATCTCCGCAGCTGTCTAGAACGAACCACGTCCTCGGTTGCGTGCTTGTAATTGCTAGTCAGTCAGCACTTGGGGTCCTGGAGAAGCGGGAATCGTCCCGACCGGCGCCTCTGTGCTACTACCACTCGCCAGATCCTGCTGAAATCCCTTCTTCTTCTGTCGGCCCTTATCATTCCTGCCGAGGCTGTACAGCTGATAGGCTGATCTGAGAGAGGCACGATCTGAGAATCGAATGCTGCCGAAAGTCCATCAAGTCTGCCTTGCTCGGTCTCACTGATTCGCAAGCAGGCAGGCGTCCGACTCGTAGACTCCTTCATACCTAGCTAGGCGAGCGATTATGTTTCCACCTTCCTCTCAGGGAACGTCCTTCCCGAGCTCCTGGGTTACAGTCAAACTCAACCACACATATTGGCAGGTTGACAGCCTGTACTGCTAGTAAGCCAAGCATGATGCCAGCGTGCCACGAGTTGGAGCATCGCATACTTCACGTCCACGCGACAAGTACGCGACTCATGACGCTTAAGCGCACGACGCTCCGGAGACATGCCCGACTCCCGCTACACCACAATTCTCATTAGATCGTAGGCTTGCCATCATCGCTCCGCCTTCCTGCTTTTCAGGAATTTTCTTCGGAGACCGCTAATGCAAGGGACGCCGTGAAGGTGTGGCACCATGCCATTCGTGCCTTTGCGATCGCGTGCTGATTGGTCGAGACTCAGGATGCCTGCGAATCCCAAAGGACCTCCACGTGAGGGAAAAGAAAGCGAAGCAAAGTTGGGCACCCGGCTGCGAGGCGCCGTCCGTTTGGGATCAGAAGCAACGCTCTTGCGCCATTGATGTCAGAGTGGGCTTATTTCCATCTCGCGTCCTGTGTGACCAGTCATTTTCCTCATCGGCCCCCAAAAAGTCATGGCGCGCGAAAGAACCAACTGGAAGCAGGATGATTCGATGGAGGGGTGGGCGGCAATGCGAATGATACGTTGAGGCTTGGGCTACTCCTGCAAGGTACGGTTGCCACACGCGAGCGCCCGCACCGCAAATTCCTACCCGAAAGGGAGCATGGCAATCTCAAAGGCCGCATTTCTCATGGGGGTCACGGGGGTTCCATGCAAACGCGCTGCACGACCTGCATGTATTGGTATCGCAGAACCAGGAGATCCCCAGGCCTCTGCCCAGGGATAAGGCGGTATCTGGCGAAGATTGCCAACGAAGAATGCCAGCGAAGAATGCACGACTTGGTCATGGTAGGTCGGTGGCGGTCTTGAGTCGTGCGGTATGCCAGCAGACTGCCGGTCTAGATGCGCTCGCATTATCTCCATCTACCGGTGAAGGGATCGACCCTTGTTCTCATGTCATCCGGTACCCACTGGCTTCATCACGCGGGTGTATAGCGATTGGATGAGTCGCTACAGGTTGTCAGATAACTATCCTCGTCTATCTCGCTCGGTAAGTGAAGCCGAAGAAGCACGACGAAGACCCTTAATTCCCCCACGGTCGGATGACACCGCCCACGATTCGCAAGCTGCCAGCGAGTCAATGGCCATGCGGGGAAAGCTCTGGCAGCTGCTGGCGGCATGGCATTGCATCGCCTGACCGATGTTACCTGATGGACGTGACATGACATGACAGGAAAGGTAGGCATGCGGTCTGCGGCCTGCGGTCTACAATTCGCAGTTTGCGGCCGCGTTTGCTTGCCCAAAGTGAACAGTATATCCCAAAAGAGGGATTCCCCTGCCTCGTAAGGCTGAGCAGCCAATAACGGCATCCCGCTATACACACGGGATCACAACTCGACGACGTGGGAAGGGGCGGTGAATGCGACCCTCAGTGGCGCTTACGTGGCGCGCGAGATGTGGTAGCTGGCTGACAGGCCCAATATATGCAGGTACAGATGACCGCCTCTACAGCTCTGGAACGTCTGGACCGCGGAGTGCTCTTCGCTGTCTATTTCTCATTGATTCGGAGTTAGAGTCGGGCTTCTTTTGGCGGGCTGTCGGATGATGACGAGAACGTGAGCTTTGAGGGTCGGGTATTGGACCGCGCTGACAACCCGATGTGCTTTGTGACGACAAGTCAGCCATCGACGAACAGGGTTGGGGTGATTACCGGAGGCCATTGTCAGGTGCCAGCAAGGCCGGAGCATGATATGGGTGATTGTTCGCGGGATATCTCGTCAAGGGGTATAGGAGACTGCGGTGAGTGTGGTCATCAGGCAATGGAACGCTCACCTCAGGACTTTGATGCAGCTTATCCTCTGGGCGACGGCTTGCTCAGACATGACTACTTCGTGTAATCATTGTATTTTTGGTCAGAGTTGGATGCGAGGGAGAGAATGGCGCCATGCCGGGACGTCACTCGTATAAGCATTTTCGTGGTGTTGGCTCAGCAGCCGAGGTGAATGGCGAAGATGTGAATAGCCAGCGGCTACGGAAGCACGTGCGTACGTGATACGAGACATAAACTGTGACTAGCTGTGGTATATCGTCCTCATCTTACGAGAAGGCTATGTTTTCATGTGGTCACCCCCTGACGATAGGATGAAAAGGGGTAGCGGACAAATTTGCATGCCCCTGACATTTGCTCACTGATCTGGGGTCAGGGACCGATGGCTAATTACGCAATGCCATCTACGGCATGTCAAGAGTATGAATAATCATGTTAGAGAATGTTCCTTTGTTGTAGCTTCGTTGCCCTCATACATACGTATCTACTGGCCAATTCTCAATCCTATAAGTGTAGGCGACATCTTTCGCAATCAAGACAATGAACGAGACTGTTTCCCGAGAATTAGTGTGGCCAGGAAACTACGAAGGCGATACGTGTTTCCCGATATGTCTCTGGCCCTCGACTTCCACACGGATGCTTCTCGACACAGCTCGCCGTGACCACGAAGTGATCACTCAAGACCTACCCTACCGCCGGTACAGGCCGTTAGAGGCAGATTCCAATGTTCGCTGCAATGATGGTGCACCAGATGCACCCGTTAGACGTGCATACCGAGTCGCCTGTGCAAATTATGTTCCCACAGTCCGAACGTTCCATGAGAGGGTTTGATCCATCCCTAATGCCGATGTTGGCTCGGACATCCGCGGCGGCCAGGATACCCGGCAGAGGGTCCCGGAGCTGCTCCTCTGGGACGTCATATCCATTGACGCCAGCGAAGGCAGGCACTGCACCCTCCAACTCTGGAAAGTTGCGAGTCTTGGAGACCAAGGCCTGGATGAGGTCGGGACTCAGGCGCGCGTAGTCCAACCCCTTGCCGCCTGCGTCGTACGTGCGGAGGACACCGTCTGCACCCAGCTGGAAGCGACCCTCTCCATTCGGGGCGGTCGTGAGGCCTTGCATGATCTCTCGAACGGTGGCTCCGGAAGACTGGCCATGCTGTCAGTACAGGTGTCCTCCTCCAGCTGTGGGTGGCTTACCTCAGTTGAACCCCTGGCAACGACGGCTGAGCCGGTAAATGCGAGGCCCAGGAGGGTTTAGGTGACGGCTTTGGAAATCAACATGATGTTTGAGACAGGCCTATACTAGAGTGATGTAATAGTGATATGGTGTCTTGTGAGTTGAACTGAGTCGTCGTTGGACCTGTGAGTTCTGCTGTTCTCGTGGTTGCCGCCTCAAGTATGCGAGTCGCGGTATTTGTATTCGGCTGTGTCTTTTCCTATACCTGGTAGGGCAACACCAGTCAACGGTCAGTTGAGTCCCGATTCGCCAACCCATTACGAGGTCATAGCCGACATGATGAGCGCCCAGACAACGCTGACGCCAGCAATATGCACTGGTTTATATATTGTTGATGCAACCGAGACCATTATAGACGCATGAATACAGTCGTAGTATTGACTCGTCGGCTCGCATTGGCCCCGAGTATACGACAGGTTGGTCTTGTGCTATCTCAAATCAGATCACGGTCAGCAACCTGCCTCAAACCAGTATAAACCTTAGCATACGATCGGTTGGTCATAGGCTAACTCCATGATAGCGACCAACATCAGACAAGAAAGTGCTGGTCTGGATGATGTCAAAGATATCATCGGCGTCAGCATTGATGGTGTCATTGCGTCCGTGGCAGAATGCAGGTCCGTAGGACTCAGTGGGAAGACATCGCGAGGCCTAGCTGCGGACCTAAGAACCATTATCATCAATATATAAGATGGCAAGACTTCCAAGGTCAAAATGCGTAGCTTCGTTCTCCATCAAGTTACACATAAGCTTGTTTTGAACACAGATATCGAGCCTCCTTCCTCATCAACAACGCCACAATGCTTTTCAGCACTGTTTATCGAATCGTCCCTCTTGTGGCGGCTGTGTCTCTCGCGGGTAAGTTACCGGATTTGTCTTTGCCAGTCAACGTATCAGGATACCCGCTAACCACGCGTATCACAGCACCCACCACGGATGGCAGTGAGCTTGCGTCTGAGAGAATCGACATCACGCCCAGGTCCGGCGAGCGTACTGCCACCGTTTATAGTGGAAGCAGTTGCTCTGGGACCGACCTGGGGTCAGTTGTGAATTTCGGTTGTGGAGGAACTTGTCACCGGCAACCCGAAGCCTACTGCTAATCTATTTGATGGAACCAACTGTGACGGCAACAGCGTCCTTAGTGCTGGCATCTTCAACGGGGAGCACTCGGGTTGCTCGAACACTGGTAGCGCTGCCAGAAGCTACTACCTCTATTACGACTGCTAAGGCACGTCTTCTCCTCTAGAAAGTCTGATAAGTTCTTGGTAGGTACGAACAGTTGCATAGCCCACCTGGAGAGCCGCATTAACGTCCACTTGTAGATGTTCAGCGAGTCGGGCTCACCATCCGGTGAGAGGTGCTCGAAATCTCACAATCGTTTAAATTACTCGAAACCCTACACTCGTTCATATTAAGGGCGTTAAATGGATATGTCGGTTCTAGCCAGGGCCAATTTCCAGGCCCCTGGTTGTTACAACCTGTCAGCTCATGTACATAATCCTCCATCTCTAGCAAACTATGCCCTGCCGTTGACTGTCTCAAGTACCATTGTATTGAGCGTATCGCAGCCAGCTGCTGATGTCGAAATATGTGCAGTTCTTCGCTCTGGCTGTCCTGAGCAGCATCACTTCAGTAAGCAGGTCGAGTGATATTAGGACCATCGTCCCCTTTCTCCTATCCAGTTGCCTTCTAGTCCTCTCCAATCCTCGAGCCGCGGATGATCTTCTCACAGTGGCGGGATCGCCGCAATAGCCAAGGCCCTGCCCTGTTGTGCTTTTCGAACGTCTGAGTCAGCCACCGACGAATAGGGTCGGGGTGTTGTTCAGGAGTTGGCCCCGTCTGCCTGCAAGGTGAGACGCAGGAGAGACGTATTTCGAATCGCTGGTCAGGGTGTTTAGGAGTATACAGCGAGTGTGGTCATCCGGCATCGGACCGTTAATAGCTGAGGCCTTTGAATACCGCTTAATCTTCTGGGTGACACCTTGCTCAGGTATAACTGCTTCGTGTGATCATTGTACTTATGGCGTTAAGTGAGCTTGTTATAGTCACGGGAAACCGTGTCGTGAGGCGTCGCTATAATAAGACTCAAGGACTACATACATAGTACAACATCAGATTCATCGCTCTTGGGCACATACCAGTTCGACGCAATGTTGGATTCGTAGCGTTAATGGTAAACGACATCTTGAGGGTGGAAAAGTAGGTCAGTGAAGACGTTCGTACTCATGCAAGCGACATACCGCACACATATGATCCTCTAGTTCTACCGTCCACACACTCTGAGCGTCTGAAGCTACTACAGGGCACTTTACGCTCACGTATGCCATCGTCAGTTTCCGGTCGCAATATCTCCTAGACTCAATATCTGAACAACGTAGAGCCCCCTACTCTCAGCCCCTTTCCTCTCCTCCCAAACGATATCGTCAACTATCAGAGGTGGAGGCACCGATAAGTCAGTAACCTGTGCTTTACCACTCACTTGTGAACTTTTGTCTTCACAGTACATAAGAACTCGGGTAATGAATATAGTCGCTCGGTTTGTGTTTAATAGCTTATACCATCCCCCCATAGAAGTCGGCCACCCCCACTAGTCGGCCAGCCAAACCCCACCACCACCACCTAAGCCCTTCGATGTTCACTTGTACGCTTTCAGCCCGATATTGAAGTTATTTAAAATGTAATTAGTGTTTTAAATAGCCCTGATCGTAAGGTTTTTTCTAATGTTAAATTTACCCCGCGGGGCGTACGTAATTAGCTGTTAATTACCTCGGGTTTTTTATTTTAAATAGAAAATTTATAGTGCTTAAGCTTTTATTTAAAGCCTTATTTTATATATAACGCAGTATTTTATAGCCCCTTAAAATACCTTCTTATTCGTATACGGAAGATTAGATAGTGAATGCTATTTTTAATGTTATAAATAAGGGCCTTTCGATGCAAAAAAGCGCTTAAAAACACGGTATTTCGCATTAAACGCTATTTAATTAACTTAATAGTAAGCTTATTAAAACCAAAGCTTACATATAATAATAAAGACTTTTTTTACGTAATAAATGATTATAATTAAGTGGATTCTACTATAAAAAAGCTAAGTTTAACCTTTTTATACTTTTTAACTTATAAGATTATTAAAAAGATATTAAAAAAATGCCGTTTAAAACACACTTATATAGTAAGCTTTGAACGCCGTAACCTTTATATTAAAATTAAAAGTAACAAAAGAATAAAGGCGGTACGCTGTAACGCTTTACGCTTAAATTAAGATGATAAATTTTTTAAATCTTCAAAAATTACAGTGTGTAAATATAAAAAACACCTATAATGTCGATAAAGGCGGCATTATATCCGGTTATACCAGCTTTACTTACTCTTTTAATTTAAAAAAGAATAATTAAATTTTCGAGTAACGTAGCTGACAAGCGAGTTGACATTACAAGCGAGTTGGCACTCGTCATGAACTCTCCAACTGCCATGTCAAATAACTTCACCACAACGCATTCAGTTCAATTCAATCAATCGGATTCCTCTTCCTCAGAGGTTTTTATCTCTATTGTACAAGTTCGCGCATTATGGCCAGTATTGCCGCAAATGCCACACCGTCGCCCACGCGCTGCCGCCCGCCTCGGACGACGACTACCTTCACCCATCTCCTATTTTGCCAGTTCAGGACCATCCTTTGCAGCCTAAAGATCTACTGCATCTTCAACGGAAAGTACTCCTCCTTTCACTAGACGTTTGTTTTTTGTTCTCCGGCGTTTACTTAGTAGGTAATTGGCCTCTTCTAGTTCGCGGACCCGGGAATCAACCAAAGCGACCTTATGCATAAGACTGTATGTAGCCTTCGAAAACGAGCTCAACGCATCAATTATTGATGTAGGTGAGCTTCCCTGGTGGTTTCTGACTCGGTTTTGGATATAAACCGATTGGTTTACCGCTTTATTAATGGTGGTAGGCGTCTTCAAAGTCCAAGTAGTGAGTGGCAGATTGGGGTCTGGCGACGGTGTTCGTATGACAGCGACAGCATCCAGCTTTGAAATGACACTTTCTGGGTTAAAAGGAACAAGCCCAGTGGCACTGAAACCTGCTCGAATGTTTCCTAGCGTCATAGCAGCGTTGTGTGCTTCACAAAACGCTGCAAGGAAGTCCTCCTTCGAAACATGGGTTATATGACGCCGGATGAGATCCTTAATCATGCGACCGTAAGCTCGTTTAAGCGGGCTAAAACAGCCGACATCTAGAGGCTGGAGCCTGTGTGACGAGTGGGCAGGCATACAAAGGGTGATAATGCCGTTGTTCTGACAATAATCCTCAAAGACCTGGGAATGGTGGCTTTCGTGACCATCTAGGATGAGGAGGCGTTTACCGGCAGTCATACGCGGTCTGGTATACTTGTCGAAATGCTGAATCCATTCCAAACCAATCTCATTCGTGGTCCACCCGTTGTCGGACACGGCCACCTTCCAATCGCGTGGTAATACCGTGTTGCGATACCATGACGCGAGGTGGGTTTTGCCCTGTAGAATAATGAACGGCGGGACCACCCAACCATCAGCATTAACAGCAGAGATTGCTGTAGACCATTCCTTGTTGCCTTGCTGAGCTTGTCTAGGCCTGCCACGTCTTTCGGCGCTTGTAACGACCATGCCGGACCCAATAATGCCCATCATAAACCCAGTCTCGTCGAAGTTGTAAATATCCGCGTCTTGGATACCATGTTTCGCGACTGCCGCTACAATTTGGTGAAACCACGCGCGATACGCGTCTGGATCCTCGTTCAAGACCCTCTGGTAGTCTATCTTCCGATGAAAACGCGTCCGGAGGCCTGGTGTACGTTTGATGAAGTTCCGCGTCCAGTTCTTTCCAACGCGTCTAGCCCCACGCGCCGCCAACAATTGATTCGCCATATCTTCAACATAACTGTACCGGGGCGGAAATGCTCGCGCATCCAGGTTGAGAATGAAGGAACAAATGGCATTCTCTTCGGAAACCATAAGTTTCAAAGTATTGGGCATGCTGTCGCGTCGTGATGGCATTCCTTTGACTCTATTGCTCAAAGTGGAACGAGGGAAGTTGAAGAGTTTTGCAAGCTGAAATATAAGAATATGAGGGTCACGTCATTTAGCTTGAACAGCTAGCTGCAAGTCTGATTCGTTATAGCGCGGTGCCATTGTTATTGGTGGAGATATGATGGTTTGAACCGTATTGGTTGGAAAGTTCATGACGAGTGCCAACTCGCTTGTAATGCCAACTCGCTTGTCAGATACGTTATTGACTTCTTCGGTTTAAATAATTTTATTATAAAAAAGGCCTTTTTGAAACCCTCAAAAGTTGTAGCTAAATTTCTTTTATCAAAACTATTTTAATAATTAAATTATTTTTCAAACTAGGTATTATTTTTAAAAGAAAAGACCTGTAAGTCTAATACTTTATTGAAAAGTTTTCAAAAACTGTTAATTAATATTATAGAAGTTAAAAATGGGTTTTTTTATAAGTAAAGATAAAAAATAAAAATAAAAACAATATTAAAGCGATCTTTTTAATATTAAAAGGCTATAAAAGCTATACTTTCGTACGTATATAAAATTTTCTTATTTATTCAAAGTTCTTTTCATTTTCTTCATTTAATATAGTTTAACGCGTGTTGATAAAACGAATCTACAAATATATGTTATTTGAATAACATCTTGCTTTATTTCTTTCTTATATATATTAATTAGGGTATATAAGCTTTAAATACCGGGTGTTGGATCCATGTGATTCCACAGTCAAACCATCCATACATGTTGGATTAAAGGTGAGCTAAGAGGGCATCTTGATAGGTAGACACCGGAACCTAGTTGTTCCGTCCCGATCCAGCCCCCTCTGGCACAAAACTGCCACGGTCGCACGAGGACACTCTAGAGAGACAGAATACACAGACACACTTCAACCTCACGATTGGCTCAAATCTGACAATACAGAACCCACATGTATGATTAGATAAGAGATTATATACCAGATTGTGAGGTCACTTAGCCAGACCCTCAGGTCCAGCTAGACTTCCCAATCCAACCATCAGCAATATCATGACCTTGACCCAATACTCGAGTATTATGATTGATCGTTCAAGCCTGTTTCAACAACCGGCTTTATAATGCTTTAAAAGCCTATTGTTAAAAATTTCCCTTTAAGTTAAATTGTTTAATAAATGCATTGCTTATTAATAAAATTAAGCTTATTTATTATTATAAAAAGGCCAAAACTTCTACTTTTATTAAATAAAATACCCTTTCAAGTTTTAAAGTTATCAAATATTATTTTATTAGCTGCAAGAAGTACTTATATCACTTAAAAAAAAAAAACCTTGAAGCTTAATACCTTTTGAAGCTTTAAGCTGAAAGACTAACAAACGCTTATTACAAACTCTTAAATTATAAATTTCGATATAAATAAGTCTCTAAAACCCAAATTAAAGTATGAGAAAATAATAAACGTATTTAAAGTTAAAAAAACCAAAGTTGTTATTAAAAGTATGAAAACTAAGGCCTTAGAGGCTAAATTAGAGTAATTATATTTCAAAAAGCGTTGGAAAAACTTTGATTTTAACAAAAAGTTTGAAAATAATAACAAGAATAATATCTTATAAAGGTATTATTAGCCTTATTATACGTATAAAAGTATAAAAAGAAATAGTTATTAAATCGGAAGATAAAAAGGAAGATAAAGATAACTTTTTTAATAAGGAGGTTTCAAAAGCCTTATAAGAGCCTAGGCACACCTATTTAAAGCAAGTGATTGTAAGGGTTAAGGTAGCTGAATGCTGAAGCAAGGTGATGGCGGTGGTTTCAAGAAGTAGGTGTATGAGGATACTTCAATCTATCCTGGTATGTGTATGGGAATTAGGCGTTTTAAGGGGATGTGGTAGTTGTTGAATGGGAGCCGGAGATAGACACCGGAAGATCTCCAGTGGGGCAGAGACGCACAGGGCATCTGACCCACCAAGAAGACAGATGATCAATCTCTGTACGCAGAACAAGAACACAATCAATAGAATCCATCAACATCCGTGTATTCAACATGTTGGGTGTGAAAAGTGTCCCACTTGGGGGGCTGTCCCACTTGGGGTCCCCCGGCGTTATTCACTCTAGAAGCGGCTCGTCCTTGCGCAAGGAAGAATAGCTACATCTCCGCGATAAACCCATGAATCACCCTGACATTGATCCAACCCAATAATGCTTCTCCGTAACTGTGCCTCCCATGAACGATAATCTCGGGCGAATCGACTCCGCCATCTGCAGGAACAAGAGATCTCATGGTGGTGTTCCGGCTGCCAGCCTGTTCGTAACACCCCCCATTGCCCCAGTAGGAAATCATGCTCTATTGCAACACTCGTGTCAACCGGATGTACAACAAGCTGTCGCCACCATCGTGCTCGCCTTCTCCGCTAGACAGCATGCAGCTGGTGGCAATTCAGCTCGTGCATGGTAGGGGCAGCCCGCGTGCAATCCCGCCGGGTCGATGACGTGGAATCCGAAATCATCTCCAGCACACTCCCCTTCTGCCTGGGATTGGGTGCGGCTCTCAACCATGAGGACAACCCGTTTCAGTTGATCCATATTGGCTGTGTAACGTTTAACCAGCCCCTTTTGGAAGACTTGACACGAGAGGCGCAGAGTTGTAAATCCATGTTCACAAATTGTCGTGCTCAAGTGGCGTCTCACTCTCCAGTGCGAGAATGCCAGGGTCCTGATCTTTCGCCAATACCAGGGAGCTTGGTAATTGATGAAGCCGAGGTCAGTGAAGTAGAACATATCTCTCTCCCAGTCGACAAAGAAGAATGGATAGTGGAAAGGAACGCCGGAGTGAAAACCCGATGTCCGATCCTCGAGGTGGTGCACCTTGATGGTATAGTCGTTGAGCCCACGTAGCTTGCAAGGGACCATCTCACGGCCGTTGAGGACATAAGTCCTCGATTCTCGGTTGACCTGCATGAGGCTCCTGACGATTGAAACGGTGTCGCTCGAGACCAAGTTGCGGACGAGCAACCACTCACCCAGCAGGATGTTCAGAGCAGGGCGCAGTGGTAGGGCGTAGTGCCTGCAACCGCAGCTCCGTCGGCAAGTGCTGGAACAGATGAGATTGTTGGTCGTCAACTTGGCCAGGGTCCATGATGTGACGACTCTGGGTGGTGGAGGTAGGGAACGAGCCAGGTCTGTGTAAGGAAAGAGTGTCGTTGGGAAATGAGATGTAGTATAAGAGTCAAGAACGAGAGTGCCATCTCCTCGCGAACAAATACACACCACTCGAAGGCATTGAGCATGGTGCCTGAAGAAGGGCGCTTCACAGGACGAGGAATACCCTCAGAACAAGGGAACGTGCCTGAGACGAATGTCCGTGCAGCGTCGTCAAGGTTTGCTCTAGTTGGTAGCAGTATCAAAAGGTGTCCACGCTGTACGGTCCCGACACCAAGGCGTAGCACACCAAGGCGTAGCAGGGTCATCAATGACCACTTCAACGTCAATGCTCCGGGGTATGTCGTTCTGGGCGTCCTCTTTGATCTTGCTGAGGTATGGAAGTAGGGTATCCCGATACCATCCGTCGCGAACCGGACTAGACTGGTCATTTGACTCAGAGATGGGCGCAGTGTTCTGTGGCGAGATAATCAAGAAGCCATATTCATTTCTCTCAAGGGTCAAGATGTGATCTGTGAAGATCTATTCAAAGTAACCGTCGATGGAACTGGCAGTGCGTATATAGAATCGGCGAATGTCGTCAACAGATATGACAAGCAAGATGCGGCGAAGAGACTCGAGACGATCACTCCCATCGACTGACCAATGGCTCGTAGGCAGCCCACGGAGAAGGCGATCAGTAGCAACGTGTCTAATCTGCTTTACCCATGCTGGTCTCTTGTAGTGCTGTTCTCTGGCATAGACGCCGACATGATTCACGTGCTGAATTTGTTGGTAAAAGAAAATGTCCCTTTCCCAGTCAACGAAGAAGTATGGGTGATCAATCCATGTTGCGAGAGCTTCGTCATGGTAGTAGCAGGCGCAACATCCGAGGTCAACTCTGACGATTTCCCGTTTGCCCAGGACTGTATCTCTCGTTTCTCGGCTAACCTGCATGAGGCTTCGAAGGGTAGGAATGAGGTCTGGGTGGATGATATTCATAGATATAACTGTCCGGTGGGCGACACGATATATCACGGGTTTCTTGGACAGGGAAAAGAACTCCCAAACCATCAGGCGCACCTCTGTGGGCAGATAGGGAAGGACCTGAACACCGCTGGGATTCGTCATGGCTCGAGTGGTGACACTAAAGTGGATCAAGTGTGGTGGGAGTCGAGGGTGAGCCTTGCACGGGTCTGCTCATTCGTCGCTTGCCGAGTCGGAATTGAATGTGTTGGGCGGAATACTTGCTGCATCTCTGGTGGGAGCTCACATGGCCGCATGGTGATGCCTATAAATACTGCGGGAGCCAAGGTATCCCACAAAGATTGAGATGGCCAAAGATAGAATGCCCATCCTTGCTGGTCATCGAACCCCCTTGCACTTTCCAAGACACGCGTGCAGTCAAGGGCCTTCTTCACATTACCAGATACCATGAAGCCATTGCTCAGTGATTATGGCGCTTGTGTTCACCTTGTCTGAGGGTGTTCATGTCGTAGAATCGACCTCGATGCCCACCTCTTGCCTTCGCTCAACCTCTTCTATTTGTCGCAAAATACCCTCCTTCCATACCCGGTACTCCTCTCGTTTCCGTTCTGTCATGTCCCATTTACTCTGAAACATGGTATCGGGTCTTTGTCTGTGGAGCTTCTCGCTGATTCTGCCGTCGCCATCCTCCATTTCGACATCAGCAGCCTCCTCTTCCGGCTCATCCGTTGCGACTAGGTTCTTGATACCAGCAAACCACTCGTCCCTTTGCCAGCCATTGCCTACGACTCTAGTAAGAGCATCATCGACGTCTTTGGAACCGATGTCGGCCCATCCGATCCATAGTTCATCTTCATCCATCCCTTTCACTGTGACTTTCTCCTGGGCGTGTTCTAGAACATTCAGGATGGACTTTCGTAAACGCGCATATTGCTTTTTGTCCAGGTCTTTGCCCTGCTCCATGACATACAGCTGCGACGACACAAGGAAGTAGATAGCGGCAAGCAGAGGCGTCAAGTGCTCGTTGACCCATTCATCCTTGGTGCGCCTGCCATTGGGGGCGGCAATGGTCATCATCCCAGCCAGAACGGTTCGTCCGATGCGCTCGTCATCCAGTTCCTTGCACAGTAACTGAATAGTAGGTCGTATCCAAGCGGGTAATGCGCTGGTGACACCTCCTGCCTTCTTCTTGGCCGGAACCTGAGGTGGGCGCTTGCCTGTAGACTTTGTAGGTGTGGCCTCGCCCTTCGCGGCCGGAGATCTGTACTTTGCCAACGAGTTATCTTTGCTCGGCGTTCCTCGAGACGGTATCCGCTGCGCGCTTCTGCTCGTGAACAACCCTCCCGCTTCTCGTAGCTTGGAGTTTGGCGTCCGAACCCTACCGGACTTGCCTACGGAGCTCGCAGGCAGGACATTATCGAGATGGGTATACAATCGATTATATATTCGCGGCGGGATCGGGGGTCTCGGCTGGATAGGTGGCAGGTCGAGTGATATCTTTAGACGTTCGCAGGCGATATGCGCGCATGCGTATGACCGGGCGACCTCTTCTTCTTGTTTCAAGCTGCCGGCGCTGTTGCGCGATTGGGCGAGTAACGAAGATGCGAGCTCGAGAAGAGGCGGGGGTAGAGCCGTGGAGTGCGTAGGTATAAGGGACAGCAGGGTCGGCTCCAAGGTGCGGCTCATGTTGGCGATGGCTGATGGCTGTTGAATCGGTCGAGGGAGGCGTTGAGCGATCTCAACGGTGTGGACAGTCCAGCACGTGGCGGGCTGGAATGCTTTCCAAGTTATGTCTCAGGCTGTAATTTTCTCACATCGGGCCTCGAATAGCATCATAGACTGGACGTATTCGGAAGTCACAGAATGTCGTCTCGATGTTTGCGAAAATGGCGTTTCCTTGGGTGATTCGGGGACCCTGAACAGCCCCGAATTAGCGGGTGCAGCTTCCCCTGCAGAACCCGCCGATCAGGGCACCTCCTGCCCGTTGCAACCCCTGACAAAACCCCGGATACGGCAATTCTTCCTCATCCAGCCCAACATCTCATCCTCCACGGGGCACAGCTTGGTCGTCATCTTTCTTGCGATTCTGTCGTCATTGGTTGAACAAAACGAAACATTGGCATTCGACTGCCACCAACATCCATCCGTCAACTGAGGGTTTCCCACATCCCGACAGACCACAACAGACGAAATTACAGCCCAGAATGCGTTCAACAATATTCGCAGCAGCCAGTCTGCTATGCGGAGCACTCGCCCATGGTAACCACGAAGGGTCGCAAAAGCCAATGGTCAGCGAGAACGCCAACTGGATGACGAGGCACATGGCCGGTACGTGACTCGATCTACCTTATGGTGGCACCAAGATAGCAAACGGGAAACAAACAAGCACAAAGCACACAAGACTAACTAACACCAACCAGAGGAACACCACATAAGCGACTTCGACGCCTCGTCCTTCTTCACGTTACACGACTTCGACGGCGACGGCCGGTGGGAGCCCGAGGAGATGCTGCGGACATACGGGCTCATGGACGACTCCAACGCCGACCTCGCGCCAGCGCGCCGCGACGAAATCCGACGGGAGCTGCTGCGGCAGCTGGACACCAACGGCGACGGCATCGTGTCGCGCGACGAGTTCGTGCGCTTCATCGCCTTGGGAAAGACGCTGCCGGACCTCGCCACGGGCCCCGGCCACCACGGCGACGACGAGTACGAGTACGAGATCCACCACTGGGAGAAGTACCACGACGAGAACACGCGGCTGGAGGACCTCACGCACCCCGAGGACATCGAGCACTTCAGGAAGCACGACCAGATGGATGAGGCCGAGGAGCGGCTCGAGGCGCTGAATCGGATGGCCATTGTGGAGGGCAATATCCCGAGCAAGTTCAGGAGAGGTGGTTGAAGGCAAGGTTCGATACGTGATACCCGGAGTGAACTTTCACAGATTTGACTTGGATGGGCCAGCGTTGCATAACCGCATGGCCTAGCGCGGCATTGGGATGATACGCGCGCAACTTGGGTAGAAGATACACACGATAGATACGAGATGACGGACGGTTGGTTGGCGGACCATGTACGAACACTTCATGTTATACTACTAGACCTTGTAATGTACAGATCAAACACGCAGTGCCAAACTCCTGGCGCGAACGTTTTGACGAGCTCGACATGTTCGACGCAAGCTGCCTTGGTGTTCCTCTCCCCTCGCGACAGCTCCAGAAACCATTGCTCGATCTCCCCCTTCCGTGTCGCGATATCCGCCACGCCCACATTCTCGTGCAGGTGCAGCCAGGACTCCTCGCTCCTACCAGCAATCTCCCAAGCATCCCTCCACGAAGCGTAGCTCGTAGGCAGGAGGCCGCAGTTGACGTGCATGACACCATCCAGGGCCCTCAACTCCCTGATCCTCCCCGCAGCGCGCGTATTGTCCTCCAGGAACACCACGATCTGCTCCCCGCCAGCCAGTAGGTCCTCCATTCTTAATCTGAGATCTGCCCCCTGCACGACCTTCACAGACCACCCGTTCCCATTTGCGCCCCGGCGCAGGCCCTCCACGCTCCAGGGGTTGAGCTCCCAGCACAGGACTCGCATGCCGAGGCGCGCATACGAGAACACAAAGTAGCCAATGCCGGCGTACAGGTCGACGGCCACTGCGTTCTTCAACTCCGCGGGCGGCTTCTTCCGGTGTTGCAACAGTCGTTCTTCGTTTCCGCCGCTTATCGCGCCACCGTCAGCGTGGTGGAAGTCCAGCAGCCGTGCCTTCTCCTTGATATTGCCCCGGCTGAACATGGTCCATCGCGGTGCCCACGCCTGGAAGATGCCGTTCTGCTTCGTGTGCACCCAGAACGCGCGCTGGAAGTCGGTCTCTGCTGCCCTCGCTCCCGCTCCCGCTCCATCATGATCTGCCGAGAGGACTTCAGAGGGTCCGAAGTCACCGTAAAGAATACGGAGGCCGCTGGGACTGCGCAGGATGTTGTCTCCGGGTGTATTTGAGGTGGTTGTCTGCTGCTTTGATTCGGAGTGCTCGTTATGGAGCGGGATCCCCTCGTTGACGGCTAGGTGTGTGAGCTCCGTTTTCGAGCGCTTGGAGATCTCGGATAGGATTGTCTTCCATAGCTCATTCGCCCGCTGGTCGCCAGATGAATTTAGTACTGCTTGCCATCCAGATATAGTAAAGGCCCCGGTGGGGAGCAGCACCATGGGCTCGTAGGCTGTCCATCTCTTCGGCGCCTGGGCGATGAGCTCGCCCGGCTCGAGGTCTGTCTGTGGCGAGAGGCTCAGCCAGGTCGTTATCGCAGCCTCGATTGGATTCTGCGCAGGCGGTTTGCGCTTTTGTTTTTCTCTGGCAGGATTCATGGTTGTATGACTTGAAAACTTGGATGGCGACTGAGGAAGGGGGCTTGAATTGTCCACATTTGAGATGTGGGGCAATTTGAACCTCCTTACCGCGAGTCTCGAGATGCCCCTTTTTATTTCTGACGGGAAGCGCTGATGGATGATACTGGACTCCATACCTATACCTACGCGCACACCCACGAGAATTGAAAACTTGGGCTTAGTCATGTTTTAATTTGCACTGCCCGAGTCCAGTGCCTGTCACTCGCTATCAGTATCGGCTGTTGCAATGCGCATGGTCGTTTGTTGGCGATGGCTCGCATGTGATATGATTACTCACCCGGTGCTTGAAACAATCAAGACATAATTGCTAGGAGAAGCGTTCGCTTTTAAGTACAATTGACTACAGTTATTATCGACTGACTGGCTCTTCCATAAATTCATTTGCCAACCAACCGTCTACCATGATGGTATAGAAGGCCGTACCTCGTGTTGAGACGCCAGATACTACTAGGCTCCCAACGTGTCTGTAAGTCTTGCATCTGCTGCAAACTTACCGCGACGACCTCGGTTAGAGCTATTAGGAATCATACCCATAGCAAATAAGCAAACAAATAAATAAATAAACCTTCTTTTCCGTCATCATTTTGGCCAGCAAGCGTGACGTTGGAAAGCCCGCATAGAGACACACAAGAAGCTTAACCCATTGCTCATTAAGACACATGACAACTTTGGACGCATCCAGACACACAGAACAATATCCATAGCAAGGAACGAACGGATCTCTGGCACTCCTCTTGACGTGGAGGAGGCGCTGTCATCCATCTGCACCAGTGAATCAACCCAGCATTCCCAATCGCTCTCCCGACTAACATGATCACAGTAGTCCTCGGCGCTCATACAAGCATCATGCTCTATCCCGTCCTCTCCATCCTCGCGCTGACCGCGCTGGTCACGGCAGCGCCAGCACCAACACCAGCGTCAGCGTCGCCTTCACCATCCCGAGTCCAACCCCGTCAATGCTTCCCAATCGATATCCGCCAGTGCATCACAGATTTCTTCTGCTGCCATGAGAAGACCGGAGCCGACGATTCATACGGTCCCAAGTGTGTCATCCAGCGCTGCTGCGACGGGTCGAGGGCGTGCTTCAGGGATCCTAGCCACCCGCCCAACACCACGAGCAACTTCATCGTTGCTCTTCCCACCGCTACGTAGCAGCCCACTCCAGTTTCTACGTCTCATGGTCGACCGAGGTTGTAGCATTCAGCGAGGCCACCCCGTCGCCGTAGAGGGTCGTGTTGCGGGTGCGAGGCATGACTACGGCAAGCTCAGACAGTGATAGACCGCAAGGGTTTGCCGGAGAAAGAAGCACCCACGGTGCTGGATGCGATCTTTACCTCTCCACTCATCAAGGCAGAAGACAAAACAGTCACACGCATGTTAGCCGAGACACAAGCCATCTTGGGAGCTGGAACCGAGACTACTGGCAATACCCTGTCCGTCTTTACGTACCATGTCTTATCCCAGCCGACAGTATTGAAGAGCCTGAAGGCTGAATTACAGGACGGCGCTTCCAAGTCAGCGGATTATGCGAACGGCAAACTCATGGATTTCAAGACCCTCGAGCGCCTTCCATATCTGCAAGTCTGCATCAAGGAAGCGCTGCGTCTTGCCACTGGAGTCAGCAGCCGCCTTCCGCGCATCAATCGCACAGCGCCGACATTGTACACCCTTGCGTCTGGCAAGACGTATACGCTTCCACCCGGCACAGTCATCTCAATGTCCATTTTTGATCTCCATTATAACCCCACCATCTTCACCGATCCTACGGCTTTTGATCCGCTTCGGTGGCTCGAAAGCGACGCCGAGAAGCTGCAGCAGATGGAGCGGGCGTATTCGCCTTTCGGACGGGGAGCGCGGCAGTGCGTCGGATTGCATCTGGCGAAAGAAGAGATCACCTTGATGACGGGCAATCTGTTTCACGGGATCGACCTCGAGCTGTTCGAGACGAGCGCGAGGGATGTCAGCATTGCGCACGATCACTTTGCACCATTTGCGCCGGTGGACAGCAAGGGGGTGAGGGTGATAGCGAAGTGACTTTATGTCGCACTGCTTGACACAGCTGTAGCCGATGTCGAGGACAGACTATGCATTTCAAAACAGCATGACTATGCTCCACCCAAAAATGAAGAGACCTTCGAGCTCGCTGTATAGCACCCATGAACGTCCCTCGCTCCAGCATCAGACGTCGACATTCACCGTCAGCGTGGAGGACTTGAGGGCTCAAGAGGCTTCCCTCTCCTTGCGTGACCCGAGCGAATAGGAGGCGGATGACATAGTCACTCGTGCACCCATACTCCCGAGCATGCCTCATCAAGCTCGCTGTACGGTTATGGATGTCGTTCCTGTATGCCCGGCATTGATCTTCATTGACTCTGCGCAGGCCAGCGTTAGCTTTCTCTTCCCGAGCTGCAAGTGCTAAGACGAAGTCGATCGCAGTCTCCAGATCAGCCCTCACTACATCCTCAGACTTTTGCGAGACGATTTCGTCCCGTATTAGTCAAAGCTTGGAAGCCCAGACTGAAGCTTGGTGTAGTCGCCAGTGAGTACGAGCAACAGTTGTTCTCGCGGGATTGCTGAGTATAGTATGTCGAACTGTAAATCGTCACCCTCCTGAAAATTCGTGATCCGGTCCTCTAACCGATCGCGTAGTGCGGACTCTGCCCAATGCGCGCCGTTGATGCCAGTACTCTGGGCGGGCTTTCACCTGCTTGGACTCGCTTGGACTCGCTTGGAAGTACTTGGTGGGAACGATCCGTTTTACTTTGGGTTTGCCTCAGTGCCTGATTTAGGGGCATCGAAAAGAGGCGTGGAAGTCGAGTTTGGAAATCGGCTCGCGAACAAAAGCCCTGGTCTAGATTGTGTAGCCTGGTAATGTTCGAAGCAGTTTCGCGCCACTTGCCTTGCTTCATCCCATATTGATGATCTGTGCCTCGGGGCCTCGGACGAGCATGTAGTATTCACGGTCTAGAACAGTATTGCTGCCTCTCGTGGCCATCACTCGACGACAATCTGCTCACTCGAGGCCGCTAGCTTTCGTGGTCTTGTGCTTGTATAGCCCGAGCCTTCAGGGGGAGAGAGTTCTGACTGTCCGGTCGGGTTTCATAAGAGAGTACGAGCTGCAGTGAACTGTTGTACATGGATCCACGGCAGTTTAAGCATAGCAGCTGGAAGAAGGGCTGGGTGTCTGTAACCATGTTTCTCTGCCAATGCTGTGTCGTAGGGTGCGCCTCGGAGAAAGAAGCTCTATTAGTGGAGGTGCTTTGATATTTTCTCGATTCTTCAGGAGGCATATTCGCGGCTCAAGCTTGGCGGCGTTGCAGACTTCCGGTGCGGTAATCGGGAGTGACATCGTGACCAAGACTCAAGAAAGTATACCCCCTACGCTGTATTTGGTAAGCACATGCGAGATGATGGACGAATGAACCTAGCCCACATGGCCGGATGATAAAGATGTCGGTGGAGAAAATTGTCAGAAATTCAAAATCCCCGGGAACAAGCTTCGCGCACGGGTGGAACTTTGGGCCGCGGCGGACTTCGAAGAGAGAGTTCGGGCAGATCCGACTCTGAAGCTAGCCGACTAGCTGCAGGAGGAGCCGACATCGCCTGATGCAACATGCAACGGTGGTCGTTCGACGTGGGGGAGGTCAGGAAGATGGAATAGAGTTGAGACTTGAGTTGTGCGAAGGCCGGGATCGCCTCTCGAATCTCGCGCACGTCTTATCTCCGCGATAAACTAAAGACCTCAGAGTACCTACTGTACAACTGCCTGTCTCTCTGGTGAAAGCTCACGATGCCCGACAAAGAGTCTAGAACGGCCCAATATGGGATACAAAGGTGGATGGTTGGACAGCATTCCCCGCGTCCCCTTCGCCGCCCAGGCTGCCAGGCTTTGAGGTGGTACTGGTAATGGACTTGCATCACGTCTGTGGAAAGACACTGCATGAGACGACTGTGGGATGGACTGATGGATGCATATGTAGGCACATGTAGGTATGGGCTGAAGAATCCTGGACTTCCGGGACTTCCAGACTACTCACGGAAGTGGGCGCCTTTCGCATCGCATCGTCGTCTTTCTCTTGACTAGTGTTTCCACTTGGGGTTGACGACATCGATATGGGAATTCGCTCTGTGATGATTCCGAAGTCGCAGGTCTTCTCTCTGCAGGACATCGTTTGGTGTTTGAAGTTGAGACAGGAAGGTTCCACGGCCGCCCGTGGGATGGTTGTCATACTCGGACGAGCCTCTTGTAGGGGCGGTCAACGAATTTCGCTTCCAGGCCTGTGTGTGGTATGCATATCCCACGTCTCGGATCGTAAGTTATGGTACGAGAATGCAGACCCCCACTAAGAAGTGTTGGTCACGTTGAGAGCGCGGCATGCATGTCTGGGCATGCAAGAAGAGGCTGAGAAGGCCGACAATGTGCATGCAAAAAGGACGTGTCTTTGCCAACCTCGGGAACATTGAACCTCTTCACGAGCCAATTTGGCTTTACCACTACTTATGATCCGCATGGGCAGGAGCCTCGGCGCGTAGAAAGTCAGCAGCGCATTGATACTCATTTGGCATATAACAAAAGGGGAAGATTCCGAATGTGACAACTTGCCTCTTCGAGTGTCATTGGAATATGACGATAGTGGCGCATACCTACACAATGACGATCTCCGTTCCTACTAACAACTTGACAATAATAACCCCGGACTGCGTCGGTGTGTTTCATGTTGCTCAATGTTGGTATCAAAGCAGATCTTCATTTAATAATAGCAACCATGTGATGGCGCAGCGGCTGTTGGATGAGGATGGAAAATTCCCAGAGGAAGAAGTGACGTACTTGTGCAACAGGACTGGACACATAATCCGGCTGACCATCCTGACACATGCAGGCAGGAGAGAGTGGAAAGAGACTGATTGAAGGTAAGGTCTGGTTTTCAATTCAAAGGTTGAGAACTATCATTAGGTTTGCGTATGGTAGTTGCAGACGAAGACTGTCATTGTAAGGAAGTGTGATGCAGAGTCCAAAATCGAGAGTTCAATTGCATGTCCGAATGCCGAAGCCGCAGTTGGATCGTCACATCGAGCCGGAGTTCTCCTACGTTGGTGGGGAGCCGCGACCGGATGGACCGCCAAGCCAGCTAAAATAGCAGCGTCTTGTTGGCTTCATCAGTACCCCAGAAAGAGCCCCGAGGAGGAAGAGAAACCTGAACTGATCTCAAACACGGTCTGGCCGTCTGGCTGTGACTGCTATTCATCCTATTTCTGGACTAGGGTACCGTAGAGACACTTCCAAGGGAATACCTGACGGTACCTGAGTAGTCATTGTCCCGCTTCCCCCCCTCGAGATATGTAAATGTACTATTATGTCACGGGCTGATTCATAATCGGTGCTTACCTGGTGGAAGGTGGTGCACCACAGGCCCCCACTATTTAGACTGCGGCGACAGTAACACACAACCTTGGAAGGCGGAAGGCGGAAGGCGGAAGGCGCCTGCCCACCATCAAAACCACGCGTTGAGCCATCTGCATTTCTACTCCGACCTCCGCCGTCCTTTCCCTCTCCTCCATTCACTCTGTTCACTTCCATTCACACACCAGACCACTCAAATACCCTTTCACGATTCATTACTTGTTTGCATCGATCGCCTGGTACTTTTACTTCACTTGCAAGCCACCGACACAACGACGCACAACCAAGCTACCCAGCTACCACAGCTATCGTGACCTGTAAAGCCCGAGCTTCGCCCGCCGAATTGCCCCGACTAAACGGCCAAGCAACGAAAAAGATCACACAATCTTCTTTTGCTCCCACACACAGCAAATTCACATCTACCACAATGTTCGCGACCAGAGTCCTGCGCCAGGCCGCCGCCCACGGTGCTGAGCGCACCCCAATGATCCGATTTATCGGCAAGCGATCGGTTCCCTGTAAGCTCTCTCCTCACGCTCTCTCCTCTCACGTTTACACCTCGGCATTCCGGCCTACACCGGACCACCAAACCATCACCCCAACAGCCTACCAAACATGTATCTAGCTCATGAACACTTTACTGACCTCCACAAACAGCCCAAGTCGACCACTCCCCGCAACCGCACCCGGCCTCCCCTACCGGCTCCCTGCCCAGCGGCAATGGCAACTCGCACACCAGCTTCTCCTCGTACCGGGACGCGGCACAGCAGCACGGCCCTCTGCGCAAGTCTATTGGCAACACCTCTGCCGCTAAGCTCGGTCCCGTCGAGCCTCCTCGCGGCATGTACTGGGACCGCAATGAGCTGCCCGAGCGCTTCCGACGAAGCCCGCTGACGCTGGCTGAAATTGAGGCCATTGAAACCGGTGGCGCTGCCATGTTCGGTTAAATGTCCGGGCGGATGGATGAGAGGAGAGATGTTGACACACTGCGAAAGCAACGTCAACAGACATCTTAAACATGCGAATGTGGAGAGTATGTGTATGAACGCGTGAGAGACGAGGCGAACGAACGGCGCATACTGATTCCTTATGGGAGGTTATGAGGAGGGTTTTCTGATCCCGAACATGAAACACAGCTCGCCATACCCACGTCAAGGGTCTCGATCGCACCTGCGAACGCAACGCGCGCGTTTGAAGGATATTGGGGAGGAGGAAAAGGACTTGGTGATTCATCACATCACTGTCTAGGGCCAATGCATTACACAATCGCTTGGAGCATAGAACCGCGTCAATAGAGGGATGGCGTGGAAAAGGGGTTAAACCTCGTACATACCCGGTGGTCGGTTTGCTTACAAAATCGCATGAGTTTTGGCGCTGCGGCAAGATTTGCGTTATGAAGAAGTGGGCGTCAGACAGGTTAGATACCTAGTTAACGGTCGAGCCAAGCAAGCAGACTTTATACATGTCTTATCTCTTTCTTGTGACCGCATGTTCGTGGACGATCAATGTCGACAGTCGAATCATCGCACACTTAGCATGGTATCAATATGCGTAGCACAACTCGACTGCGCTAACTGTATAACGAGTGATTTGAATGTTATTTTGAGTACCGCACACTCGCAGTCTCATGATCTGCCACGAGATAGCTCATCTTACACCGACTCGTGCGCAAAGTAGGTAACCTATCTGGCCTTCGATCTTCAGCCTTCTCCCTTGAAAACAAAAGGACGATGCAATCCAGATCACCGTCTTCTCAGTCCATCAATTGCTCCTTGGAGGTTACCGTAAGTCGTCTTTGCCCATTCTCTCACGTTGTGGTGTGATTCTCGGACCAGTGCAGACCTCCAAGTCCCGGCCACTCTTTACGTGAACTTCCCTCATCGCATTGAGCAGGCAAAAGTCCTCACCGGGAGCCGCAACGACATTAACGGCGACGGGAAGGAACTCCTCGCGACCGCTAGTACGTGATTGGTAGGCTACCTCGCCACTAGGCAGCACCATGTCAGGAGCTCCTAGTATTGGGGAGACGAAGAGCTCATCGACTGCCGACTGATAGCTTGGGGACTCGACGGGCGTATCCCGATAGTTCGGCTCGACGTTGGCTATTGGTAGGATCATCAGAGTGCGTTTCTGGCCGCCAAAACACTGTTCGAGTAGCCAGGTTCTGTAGACCTGGAGTCGCCTCAGACCTTCGGCGTGCTGGTGTGCTGTGATCGCTGCTCCGGCTTCCCACCTTTGGCGAACATATGGTATGACGTACGGCTGTTTCCCGTACCGGGCCATGTATTCGGCTCTGAAGCTGTCCGTGGAATGATAGTAACTGTAGTAATAGGTCTGTGATATGACGTCATTGAGGAAGACAGACATGTCGCCGTGTGAGCCTGCCGGTGGGGAGTCTGCTCATCTATCGCGGAGTGAAACCTTCACAATCTCGGCGTCAATGTGCTTCGAAACATCCTCCACGAATAAATCGAGCAATTTCGTCTGCTGAAGGTTCGTTACTGGCAGATAATCCAACGGATATAGGATTCTGAGAGGTCGCTCGGTATGCCTGCTCGCTTGGGGAACCCCATACGTCAAGCACTCTTTCGAGTATGTCAAGCTTCCTTGCGAAGACGCACGGAGTATCAAACGGGAGAAAAGTCGGCACCATGCCATCCAGGGGCACCAGAGAATGGGTTGGGCGAAATTGATAGACTCCGTTGACCAGCGCAGGCCTTCTCCCACTGCCCGAGGTATCAGTGCGCAGTGCGCAGTCCAGCCAGGGGTACGATGCCACAGCAGCAGCACTACCGCTGCTGCTTCCCGCAGGCGAACTGGTAACCATCACCCCGCGGATTGAAAGCTGTCTGGAAGTCGACCGCATCCATCGGCTCCTCTCTCGCGGTCATGAAGCTCAGTTTGCTCAGGCCGAGGACTTTGTGCTCCATTTTCTACCAACACGCTCACCACGCCCGCTGTGGTTGATGAGGGTGGGTAGAGCTCATAGTGTTGGATCCATGCGATTCCAGCCTGCAAACCATCTATACCAGGACCCACATGTATGATTAGATAAGTGATTAGATACCGGATTGCGAGGTCACTTAGCCAGACCTTCAGGTCCAGCTAGACCTCCCAATCCAACCATCAGCAACATCATGACCTTGACCCCATACTCGAGTATTATGATTGATCGTTCAAGCCTGTTCCAACACATAGTAAGATTTGTTACAGAGTGAGGTCTTGAGGCCGTTTAGCAAGAACACATCCTTGACTGCGACTCTCATCTGTGAGAGACGACCTGGGCGAGGAGGTAAGACGCGGGTAGGCACTGCTACGCTAAATGTCTGGAAATGCTCTCCTGCGGTTCGAAGCTGGGTGAAGTGATAGGGAGGTCTACCACAAGTCAGCTGATATCTGAGCTGTACTTATATAAATGTCTACGAACTTTGGTTGAAACGTGGGCCGTAGAGCTGTCAAAAATGTACCATTCACGTCGTCGTACAGGCTGGACGCAGGCCGTAACCGGCCGTCGACGAGATAGTACGGGCCTGGCCGCAAGGCACTCACCCTGCTGTCTTCTGATGGGATCTCAACCCACTGAGTTCCGGTGGTCTCGAGATAGCGTCGCAGTTGGCCATTCAGGACTCGTTCGTGCGACCGGGCATTGACAATGATCAGACCAGCTAGGAACTCGGACCGGAAGACGTCGTCGCACCTATGACAGCCATCGATGACGGTTCTCAACCAAGCTTTCGTGATTGGGATGCCGGCCTCGGCGCTCACGATGGTGACCAGACGAGCAGAGGATGCAGCTATCGGAGACTGAAACTGGGCTAGACTTAGCACAGCAGACTTCGAGAATAGAATGAGAGGCGGGCGTACTGGAACTCCATCGAAGGCGACATAGCGGTTTGTGCCAACCTCAAAATATGCATCGCCTGCACTTGCGGTGGCGGAGTCGTCTCCCTGGCCGCGCATTTCAAATTGATCTTCCAGATTCACAGCACAATATGCGTGTAGGTGAATGGAGAGGAGTTTGGAAGAGCAGGGGATTCGTTTGTATTATAATGCCGGACGGGGTCATCCGATGGCATGCGGAAACACCATCATGACCACGGAAGTGACGTGGTGATTGGGAAGCAAACAGCCTCGAAATCGGATGAATGGCTTGAATACATACGCGGGTAGAGGAGAGACAACTGGAAGAATTGACCTGAGGCAAAACTTGTCCCCTGGCTGAAAAGGGGTTGGATATAATACTTGAAAAGAAAAAAAGGGGGAAGCGATTAAGCACTTGGGAGGTCTCGTGATTTCGCGACTGCGACCAATTTGATGCCCCGCGTGCAGTCGCGAGCTCTGGAACCCGCAACCTGCAACGCTGACGTCGGTATCTCCAAACGCGAATGTACCTCCGGACAGCCACGCGTCGTCTCATCTGTCTCTCCGACCGACCTACCTGCACCCACAGACGCCTGAACAAGCTCAGTACACAACCGCGACTCCATCTGCAGACCGGCATGTCCAGCAAACGGAAGGGCGAGCGATCCATTTCGCCTCCGCCAAGTAAGCGCAAGGCGCAAAGCAGCATATCAAGTGTGGCTAACTACCCAAACGCCCTTCGACTTGGTCACTGACTGTTCTATGCAGAAGGAGCTGTCGCCAGCTTTTTCACGCCGACGTCTCAGAAGCCCAAAGACCGAACCGCCTGGAGCGAACGAGCCCCCGAGGATGATACCCCTGCCACGCTCCTGGTCGGCCGCTACGAGCCAGAGAATATGGACGCATCAGATCGGAGGAAGAGGAGGAAGATAGCTGCGTTTGATCTCGTATGCGTACGCCATCTTCCTGCATCGACGTGAAGGTTAATGGCTGCTCAGGATTCGACCTTGATCGTACCGGCATCAGGCAAGAAATTCGGCAACGACCCTGGCGATTGGAAATGGTGGGACTCTTCCGTCCCATCCCATTTGAAGGAGCTGTACAAGCAGAAAGAGTAAGAACTAGTAAATGACACTGCTCTGAAGATGGAGGTGACAGCTAACATGGTGCACAGCTACCGCGTCGTGATCCTAAGCAACCAAGCCGGCCTGACCCTCCACCCACACCCGAACTCGAAAGCCCCGAAGAACGCAGGCAAAGCGAAGGTCTCGAACTTCAAGCAGAAGTGCTCCGCCGTACTCGCACAACTCGACCTACCTACCACCGTCTACGCCGCGACAGCACGAGATAACTACCGCAAGCCACGGACGGGCATGTGGAAGGAGGTGTGCGAGGACTACGACATACCCGAGCACGAAGTCGACCTCGAGAACAGCGTATTCGTGGGCGACGCAGGTGGTCGGACAGCGCAACTGAGGGATGCTGCGTCGGGTGCAGCGGCCACCGGCAAGGACTTCAGCTGTTCCGACCGGAATCTGGCGCATAACATAGGCATCCCGTATAAGACGCCAGAGGAGTTCTTCCTAGGAGAACCGCCCCGGGAGTTCACGAGAGACTTTGACCTAGCCACGTACCCGTACCCGGAACAGGATGACAAGGTATTGTTCGAGCGAACCAACAAGCAGGACATCGTGCTGTTCTGCGGCCCACCAGGAGCCGGTAAAAGCACCTTCTACTGGAAGCATCTGAAGCCATTGGGTTATGAGCGGGTGAACCAGGATATCCTGAAGTCGAGGACCAAGTGCTTCAAGACCGCGGCGGAGCTTCTTGGCGAAGGGAACTCGGTTGCGATAGGTATGTATTGACTCTGATTCTATTTCTAAGGAGTCACGCCCTTACAGTTGACGTAGACAACACGAACCCCGATGCCGACGGAAGAAAGGAGTGGATCGAGTTTGCGCAGAAGCACGACGGAGTGCCCATTCGGTGCGTGTGGTTCAAGATACCAAAGGCGCTCTGCGAACACAACGACGTTGTGCGAGCGCTCAACAAAACGGTGAGACATCGTCGCGAATACCCTGCTCCGCGTCTATCCAAGCCAGCTGACCAGTACAGTTGAACCCGGAAGCCCGAGCAGGTTTGCCTGGCATCGCCTTCAACGGGTACTTTTCTCGATTTAGAGAGCCCAAGGTCAAGGAGGGTTTCCAGGACGTGGTTGAAATCGAGTTTAGCTTCCGCGGGACCAAGGAAGATTATGCTCTCTGGGCTCGATATTGGAATTGAACCCAGGTGAGCCCAGGTGAGGCTTGGTATACCGAACGACTACGAAACATGGGAGTTCTTGCAACGTAGAAACTGAGACAACCTACATGCGCTGAACGGCCGGGGGCGCTGATCTACTGCTTTGCTTTACGTAGGTTCTGTAGGATACCAAACTCATTCAGGATTGTTCTTGGTGGTAGGCACCCGTGCCATAGTCGATTTCCGCGGATTCACGCTCCACCACTAAGAACTCGATCATAGGCGATAGAGCTTGGGCGAGATGCCCACTAACATTTAATCCCAGTTGGTGACACACCATTCTCGCTTTCGAGACTATTTACACTTCCTCAACGCTACGGCAGATACTACCCCGAGGCAGGATTGGCATCGAATCAGGAGATCACGAGATTTCGGCAGGCAGTCCCCGAGCCATGGAGCTTCCCCAGGTCATCTGCGCAAAGCTACTCCACAACCCCCGCACGTTGCATCTACCGTTTCCCATCTTCCCCACGTTCTAGTATAGATAGTCTGCGGAGAAGCCCCTATCGTGGCTTGGCCTATGGTAACGTGCAGTGTCGACTCGGTATGCCCCGGAAGACCACCGACACCGAAAGGATAAAAGGATGGAACTCATAGGATGTCGATCCTGAACTCAAAAGCGATCTTCGTCATTACATAAGTGACAGCGCCTACTCGACAGACCGTTGGCGAAAGTTTCATCTTACGGTCTTACGGATTTTGTTTGGGGGAATAGTCATGGCCGATTTACGGGTCGACGAGCCTCCAGAGGTCATGAAGGTTGACAAAGAAGAGGTCGAGCACAGGAAGGAGGCTGTTGAAGCAGCCGCCAAGAAACGCGGCATCGACGACGAACAAATCGCTCTATTCCTGCAGTTCACAGGTGCAGACGCAGACTGGCATCATGGCATGACGAAAAAGCTCATGCGAAAGGTCGACGTCCACCTTCTTCCGCTCCTGATCCTGATGTACCTCCTTAACTTCCTCGATCGAAAGTAAGGAACCACCTCTTCCCTCTTGCCTGCTGCTGTTGGATGCTGATTGGTAGTGAAGCAACCTGTCGCAAGCTCGGCTGGGGACTCTGGAACAGGACCTGGGGATGACTGGGACCGACTACAACCTAGCAACCAGCATCCTATTCGTTGGCTATCTTCTGATGCAGCTGCCGTCGAATCTACTTCTCACCCGCCTGCCGCCCTCGATCTATCTCGGGGTGGCCATGACGATATGGGGCGCCATCTCCGCAGCCCAAGCAGCAACGCACTCGTTCGGGGGTCTCGTCGCCTGTCGGTTCTTCCTGGGTTTCGCAGAGGCGCCCTTCTTCCCGGGTGCGATTTTCTTGATGTCGAGTTGGTACACGAGATCCGAGCTGGCGGTTAGGATCGCCTGGTTCTACTCTGGGAGCTCGTTGGCAAACGCCTTTGGTGGTCTGCTAGGGGCTGGAGTTCTAGGTAATCTGGATGGTGCTCATGGGATTTCTGGGTGGTAAGCATACCTACCATGGCAGCAATAGTCTGGCTCCATGATCAAATACTGACAGTAACAGGCGATGGCTCTTCATCATCGAAGGCACCATCACCATCGGCGCCGCCATCACCGCCGCGTTCATCCTGCCGAACTATCCCGCTACGACGAAGTGGCTGACTCCCGAAGAGCGCGCCTACGCCCAGTGGCGCCTCATCGAGGACACGGGCGAGGCCGACCTCGCGGATGCCATATCCATCAAAGAGGGCGTCATGATGGCGCTACGCGACCCGCGCCTGTACCTCTTCACACTCTTCCAGCACCTGTCGCTGCTCTCGCAGACCTTCCAGTACTTCTTCCCGACCATCGTCAAGACGCTCGGCTTCAGCACCATCGAGACGCTCCTGATCACGGCGCCCGTCTGGATCGGCACTTTTTTCGTTTCCCTCGCCGTGACCTACACGTCGGGCCGGACGGGCGACCGCTGTATTCACATCGTGTGCCTGATGCTCGTCTCCGTCGCGGGCAACGTCATCGTCGTCTCCACGCTCGACACGGGCGCGCGCTTCTTCGCCATGTTCCTCATGCCGATGGGTGCAGTGTCCGCCTACCAGATCGTCATCACCTGGCTCGCCAACAGCTTCCCGCGGCCGCTCGTCAAGCGCAGCGCCTGCATCTCCGTCGCGAACATGATCGGGAACTGCGCGAATATCTACGGGAGCTACATGTATCCGGCGACCGATGGGCCGGGCTATGTTGCCGGTGGGAGCGCTACGGCTGTGGTGGCGTCCTTGGTCGCGGTGCTGGCGCTGGTCATTCGGTTCGTGTTGCAGAGGGAGAATAGGAAGATGGCGGAGCGCGAAGCCTTCGAGGCGGATGGGAGAGGGGTGGGCTTTAGATATATCCTGTGAGAGGCGCTCACGATGGAAGAATCTTCAATGCTGAGAAATACTCATCGCGTGGCTCGACTTGACTGCGGTGACCTAGATAGAGAGACGGGGACCTGCATCATGCCGACTCTTACCTCAGTGCTGGTTCATCTATCGGTTCCCTTGGCTCCGTATCTCCACAGTCCAAACCACGCCTCATCGTCTCAGTACTACAGAAGGAATCAGCGCACAAGCAATAGGGATAGCTTCACGTGTTACTAGCTTGCTTCGTGCGTGTACGGAGTCCTTGTCGTACTTGTGTGGTGGTACCGTACATATGATTGCGACATGGGTGCATACTGTATTTGAAATCCTGGACCTTTACATCGTATGAGCCCATATCGCAAGAGGTAAACATGACAATAGCAGTATATCTGTAGACACAGAACATCACGTAGGTCTTCATGATAAAGGAGCATACGGGATGTCGCGCTCGCCTCCCCTCCCCTCGCCAATCGTCGGGGTTCGCGAGGGAGTCGCTTGAAGCCCCACAGCGCGTGGGAGTCAAGCTAAAATTGTCATGATTCCCGAATCCAAAGGATCCAAGGCAGGCTTGGTGATTGAGTACGAGGGTTGAGTGACCTTGCACCTTCAAGCTTGGGTTGAAAATTGAGAGTTGTATTCCCAAGAGTCGCGCCGCACGCGTGTCTCGAGAGCGGGGAGGCAGGTAGAATGTCGCGCGTACCATCCATGGATCCTTAGGTACTACTACCCAGAATCAGGCATGGTATCCCATCCTTCCAATGCCGACACTGCGTCACTCTGCGGCACAGACAAATAGGCAGCATTGTGTGTGAGACGCTAGATGTGAGCCTGTAAGGCTGAAAGCCTGCTGCCTACCGCGGCTTCCTACGACACCCCCAACGATGACCTCAGCTGACAAGGTAGTCGCTGAACATCATCACCATCATGGTCATGATTAAGGCGGGCAGAGCAAGACTCTCATCCAGCACAAGTACCTGAAGTGAATCGCTCGAGTTTATCCGGGTTTAATATTTGCTGTGCTCGCTGGGGTTGAGAGGTGATCTCTACTCTTCGGCGACGAAACCATTCCTTCGAGACAGGCATAACATTCCATGTGGGATTCTCTAGTCTACTAGGTAGATGTTATTAGACCGACGAGAGCGGTTGGTTGGTTGGTTCACGCCGCGGCTGACTTCTTTGATACGATACGTTATAATAAATAATCCCAAGCCCATGGGTGCCACGATGGCTATCGCTTCGTTCCCGCGTGTAACCAGCAACACTCTCTTCATACCCCTTTGTGCAGCGCGATCGAGAGACCCCTTGTGCAGCGGGAGATCATCATCTGAGTGGGAAGACTTCATTCGTACATAGCTAGGGAGGTGACCAAATCGTCAAACGGGTGAAGAAGCATCAGTCACAGCAGGGCACTTTCCCATCTCCATGGCCGTCATAACATCGGCGTTCCTATCAAAGGGACCACTGTTCATCTTCTGCGTCGTTGGAACCATATACACGCTATACGTCCTGCCCGGAAGCAACCTTGGGACCCAAACACAAACACCGTCCAGTCTCGCCCCGACGACGACGACCTCGGAGCCCAGCGATGAAACCACCACACTGCCGCCCATATCAAGGAAGATATGGCAGGCCTACCTAAGCAACACGGTCGACGAAGGCGCCATGAATAGTATCCACCACTGGCCCGCAAGTAAGAAGACCACCCACCCACCCAACCCAGTACCATCTCCCAAGTCCCCTCACTTACAAGACAAACCAACCGCAGTGGCGCCCAACTGGACCTACACCCTCCTAGGCGACGCCGGCGCCAACGCCTTCGTGGACACGACATTCCACGACCGCGCCGATATCAGATCAACATACCACGCACTCAGCCACTGGGTGTTGAAATCAGACTTCCTGCGGTACATGCTGCTCTGGGGCGAAGGCGGCATCTACAGCGACCTGGACACGAAACCACAGGTCGCCCCCTCGGAGTGGGTGCCCGCAGGCGCGCACCGCGACCGCGTGCGCCTGATCGTCGCAATCGAGTACGACAGCGCGGTGCTGGGCCCGACCGAGATGTACCCGATCCAGTTCAGCCAGTGGACCATCGGCGCGGCGGCGCGCCACCCCGTCATGGGCTGCATGCTCGAGAGGGCGCTGACGGGGATCCGCGACATGGCGGCCGCGAAGGGGATCACGGTCGGCGAGATCGACCCGGGCGAGAACGCCGTGTACAACGCCACGGGCCCCATCGCCTGGACCGAGTGCGTGATGGACGGGATAGGGGCGGCCCTGGGGCCGGACGTGCCGTTCGCGCACTCCAACCTGTCCGAGATCGCGGAGCCGAGATATTACGGCGATATCACGATCCTGCCTGACGGCTACTTCGCGGCCGCTTTGCCGGTGGGCTCGCCGAAACCGAACAACGGGGACAGGGTCGGCTTGGTGTCGCATGATTTTCGGGGAGCGTGGAAGCATTCGTGAGGCGATTGATATCCATGAGACCTGTACTTGATGTAGTGTTTGATCAGAATTTGAAGATGCCATCGCCTCTATTGAGATATGTACAACCCGAGTAGGATAGACTGGTCAGTCCCAGACGAAGGTGGTGTAAAACAGCGCCGCAGAAAAACCGCATATTGCATCCCTTTCGCTCCCTACCTATGGTGCAGGAGCCCGATGCATTGAAACCTGGACCATTAACCGCAAGACACAACGCCAGGAACTGGAAGAAACTTTTCCCTCCGAGGTATACAACTTCATCTTCTCAACGCCGCAGGTTGCTTCTATCCTCTACTATGCCCATCAGACGGCACTATAGCCTCCACGGCTTCCACTCCCTTGCACTGTGTTTAGCACACGCCTTGTCCAATCTTTCATCAAGTAAGGAATGTCACGAATGGTGTCGCCGTGGGGTAGGAGGTCCCAGCCTCTAGCTCCGTAACGGTTGTAGTTGAGCCAGGATCCAAAGATAAGGTAGGTGGCAGTGCCCAGGAAAACACTGTACAGACTGGTTAGCTTATAAGACACAAGAACCTGAAGAATGACCACTCACAGAATGACTATCCAGGTAAAGAATCCCCAGTGTGCGCTGCCCCGCTTGTCCTCGCCGTCGCCGCCGTCCGACCCATCACCCGGCTTACTGTCGCATACATACTTGGAAGACCAAGTCAAATGTAGTACGTCCGTGTTGAGGTCGCCATCCATAGGTCCGTAGCTGCCGAACACGAGACTGGGGTCTTTCTCGACTCCTAGCTGAATCTCCTTGGATGGCGTGTCGTCGTCGTCGTCGTTATCTCCATCACCTTCGCCTTCACCATCGCCTTCGCCTTCGCCTTCGTCCGCAGCCCGGAAAGATAAAGGACTGTTGCGCGCCATCAGGGGATCGTCGCTGCGCTCATACTTGTCGTCCGCCGGATCGTACTCGCCCTCGGTGCCGTTTCGGGATTCATCGCAAAGGAACTTAATAATGGCCTGCTGTTTCCGCTTTCCGCCGCCCTCGAGCTCGTGGAAACCGCCCTTCATGACGACACGCAGCCCTTGCTCTTCGGACTCTGGGTTGATTTCACTGAGTAGCGCTACCTCGGAGTCCAGCGCGCCTCCACCATGGTTCTGGAGTTCGCCTGCGACCGGGATGGCCTCGGAAAACGTGTCGGTCGGCTTGTCGCCCAGCCCAATCAGGCGTTTTATAGCGCAGACTAAAGGGTTGGCCTTGTCAGTATGTGCTTGGTCCGTGTTCTCGGGTGACTGGGGGAAAGCGTACTTCGAGAACCATTCTTGCATTGTTCCCCCTTGTGTACATCGCCTTTCTTCTTCAGTGGCCGACAAATGTCGACAGTGTAGGTTGTGTTGTGGGCGACATCGCCTATGATACGGGTGGTGACGACGGAGTGAGGTCCTCCCAGGTTCTCTAGGTTGAACTGTTGCCCTTTGGACACGACGATCTGGTCGCATCTAAACATGGCGGCGGCAGGCAGGGGTGCCAGTAGTATAGAGAGCAGCAGGGCGGCGTCCGCCGTCCGTACCGTCGAGAATCTCATGGCTAAGTAAATGTAATGTATGCGACCGGGAGGGGGGAAACGTCGAGGTACTGTAAAGATAGGTCTTCGGAATTGGTGGTTTAAGAGGCGTAGGACGAAGACGACGAACGGATGGTCGGAGGGAAGGAGAAGTAGTCCGGAGTGACTGGAAACGAGGACAGCAAATGTAACAGCACAGTTACGAAGAAGCGAGTTGAAGGATAATCAAGAAGGGGTCAGTCGTCTACAGCATTGACGAGACAAGGCGTAGGTAGGTTGATAAGCTGAGGCAAGGCTCACGCGACTACTGTAGTAGCAGCTACATATGATGGAGGTACACCTGGCTAGAATTGATCACGCCCGGGCATCGTCATAACCAGTGCTGTTAGGTAACGTGCAAGGGAGTGCTCACACCCGCGATTATGTAATCAAGACCAATGGCATCGTCTTGCGCACATGACAGCCATCATCAAAGCCCCTAACCTACCCCCTCCTTCAGCAAGCAAGAAGTGTACGTTTTATGAATGGAATAAGGACTATGGAAAAACCATTCTCAATGGCTTGCCTGGTTAAAGATGCTTATTCCATGATGATTATCTGCTTAAAATGAATATAGCATTGATACCTTGGAATGGATAGAGACGTGCTGGACGAGACTTGGGGAGGGTCATTGTACATAGGCCAGGACCTATCAACTGCCTCACCGTAGGACATCTAAAGCTACCTTAAAGAGAGGGCTCGAAGACGAGTATTGCATACCCTTTATGAGTAGGGTGTCTCCGGTGCGCATTATCTACCATGAAGGGATGGGTGCTGTAGCTTCATGTGATAGGACACAGTATTGCGACAGCCGTGATGCTGATTCACATCACAGTGTTGGACTTGGGGTTTGAACCATCAATTATGTCTTTGCTACGGATACTAAGACGAGTCTTCTTGTTTGGTACAACATGCCTAGGCGCCTGGCCAATTACCTCGGGAACATTACTACACAACGAGGTTGCCGTAGTCTGTCACCAAGCTAGCTGGTTCCAACAAGGCAGACTATACCAAAGAACATGCCCACCTCCCCCAATGCAATGTTGGATGATAATGCCTTGTGCTTAGTGACAAATGGGTATATGGATAGCGCCCCGAACCGTCAAACCACATGCACCAATAGCAATCATGCATCCCTTGCGCCCTGTATTTCCCAAAACGCCTGTGACGGTAGCCGAATCCCATGCACCAGCATCGTTTCAAATCGACACCTTGTCATAACTCCTACTTGTCCTACATTCCCTGCGGCATTCCCCCTCCCATGTTCATAGCGTTTTGCTGCTGTGCCTGTTGTGCCATTTGCCGCTGTAACATAAACTCCTTGTGCATTATTCCCCTAGCCGTTTGCAGACAGTTCTGTTTAAACCTCTCGAGTGGTTCGAGCGGGACGCTGCCAACACTATCATAGCCGCCAGTTTGGAGGAAATTCGCAAGGTTGGTGTGAAAGATCTGCTGCTGTCGGACGCGGATTTGCGCTTCAACCATGTTGGCGTTGGCCCCTTGCTGCTGTTGCTGCTGCCCGCGTTGTTGCATCTGTTGCTGTCGCATCTGCTGCTGCATCTGTAAGTGCTGCTGCATCTGAAGCATTTGAGCGTGGTTCGCATGACTGCCGTTTGCAAAATTCGGGTTGCCCATATGTTGCTGCCCGGGCATCTGGCCCTGCATTTGGTGCTGATGCTGCATGTTGCCCAATGACTGCTGATACCGCTGGTGGATCTGTTGTCGCTGCGCCGCGCTCATCCCCGAGTTCGGATTCTGCATGTTGATAAATTGCTGTTGTAGTAGCTGTTGCTGCATCATCTGGTTATGCATCTGTGGGTTTTGCATGCCGTTCGAGTGCATCGCTGCGAGGTGCTGCTGCTGCTGCGCGATGCGCTGCCGCTGCTGCTGGGCCGCCAGGTGGGCAGCCATCATCTGCGGAGTAGGATTGTGCTGGCCCATGTTCTGGCTGCCCATGAGCATGGCCTGGCCCATCTGGGAGTTTTGAGCCATCATCGCTGGAGGTGGGCTTGCTTGGCTCATACGGGGCGTAGCCATCGGCCGGCTGACGGGGGTACCGTGTGACATTTGAGGTGTAGCACTCGGCATGCGAGGCGTGCCAGACGGATGGCTCTGCTGACTGCCCCTCGCTGACATACTGACGGCCATAGGCGCCGACATCGGCGCGTGGTTCTGAACCACCGACGATGGTCGTGGCGGGCTTCCCCCCATGCCCGAGTTCGTCTGTGACATGGGTACGTGGCCGACCATGGGACTCGACATGTTGTGCGGCGTGTTTTGCCGCACGACGGGAGAAGACACCGGCGGCTGCGATACCCCCGGAGGGAAACGATGGGCGGCACCATTGGGAAGGCCGTTTGCCATGGGTCCATTCTGCGGAGGGTGGCCGTGTTGTGGCTGCGGCATTTGGTTCATCTGAGGAGGTGATTGGGCCGCGGCAGCTTTCGCCTGTGCCTGAGCTGCTTGGGCTTGCGCATGCTGCTGCTGCTGCTGCTGCTGCTGCTGGGCATGCGCATGCGCAACTCTTTGAGCTTCTTGCGCTTGCGCTCGCCGCATGTGCGCTTGTCGCTGGGCCTCCTGTTGCTGCTCGCGGCGTTGCTTCTCTGCTTCGGCTTGCTGATGTTGCAATAGGGCCTGTTGCTCTTGTTGTTGCTGATGTTGTACTTGTCTCTGCTGGGCGAGTTTCCGCTCGTTGTCAGCATTACGAAGCTTCTCCTGCTCTTTCTTTTCATCGTGTTCCCTCTGGATTTCAGCAAGAACGTTGAACTTCTCAAATCGAGCTTCGAAACCGGCAGCACCAGACTGTCCATTCCCGTCCCCCACATCCGTCGCACCTTGTGCACCATTAACACTCGACGAAAGGCGTTCATCCCCAGTGAGCATGAATTTCTCCTGGCCCGTAGCCAAAGCCTTGTCGGCCTCTCTCTCAGCCACAGTCCGTTTCCGAGTCTTGGGCTTGGGGGGTGGATCAGAATGCTTGGGGTCGGACATGCGCGTCAGCAGAGCAATGGTTTCCTCCGTAGTCTTGGTGACTTCCAGGTGTAGTGGAGCTGTGGTAGCCAGAAGGATTTGCGATTCTGCATCATAGACATTGCTCGCCTCTAGCTCCATACTCTCCCGCTTCTGCTTCTTCGCTGGAGGCGGCATACTAGCGGCCGTCGGTGTTGGGGGAACAGCTGACATGGGGGTTGGCGGCGGGTTCATGGCGGAATCAGCGCCGCCTGACCCTCTGGGTGTTGAAACTCTTATCATCAAGTCCATCTGTAGACTCTGGGCGGTTGGGTGGAGCACAACAGTGCAGACCTTGGCTTTGGGCGGTATATTGCTCTTCTGTCCACCAGAAGCCGCCGATGGAGCCGGCATATTCTCCTTATCGTTGCTAACCCCATTGGTGGCCTTTCCTTCGATGCTCAAGCGGCCATCTTCTGCGGTGTTCATGTTCTCCTTGGGATGTGGCACCCAGGAGGATGGCGTAACGTAGGGAGTATAGTTATGGATTGACGAGGGCGTGTCGGAATTTGATTTAGACTTGGGCCGCACGACGTTTTTTGACTGGGCGACTGCTGATTTGTGATCGTGGATCTGTACGATCAAGCAACCGTCATAGAAGGGGACGCCAGCATCGTTCAAGTGCACCAACAAATCATGGGGTATAGTCCGGCTCCTGACATGGTCTAGGAACATCTTCATTGGTGATTTGTATGAAAAGGTTCCATCTTGCAGGTCGAACCGGAAGTGTGTGGGGTGGAGGTGAACGACTAACGACGGGGGATTCCCAGCGTATTTCTTCAGAATGTAAGAGTCGGTGACCACTGCCGGGGGCGGCTCAAAGAACACTGGCACAACGGCATGGTTCTTCTGACCACGCGGTATGCTCTGATTGATGGTTTCGCGTCGCGAGCGAGCCAGGCCCGGCCTGTTATTAGACCCATTGGTACCATTAACGCCGGAAGGGCCCGACCCTTGTTGCTGCTTGGCAATGGCGGTTGGGTGCTTCTTGGTTGATACGGACGGAGAGGGAGACGACTGTATGGAAGAAGCCCCATTTGTCTGAATTCCGGGCGGGGGCGGGCGTTTGATCTTGGGAACGGGCAACGGAACAGCGGTCACGACCGGAGCCATGGCTGCGCGGGCCACAAGGGTCCTCGAAGCGCGTTGCGTCGAGGCGCTAGATGGTGATTTCTTTTGGCCCACGAAAATACAGACTCGGAGGCGGTACGAGGTCCGTGAAGCGTGGGATCTTGAGCCGAGACTCTATAGGGAGGTCCATATAGTGGGATGGTGAGCCACTAGGTATGTAAAGGGTGACCTTAGTCGTGTCGCGTCGGTACGGGCATTGACCAGAGCGTGTATCGAGGATGTCCGGGCGGTTCAACGGACCAGTGGTTGGTTTGACGATGGCGTGCGCGTTTGCATTTCAATAGCGTTGAGATGTGTGCGATATGTTGGCGACTTCGACGGCTATGCGATGTCGTGCGACGGGCAGGGGTGCTCGATACTTGGTGGACTTGGACCAACTTCTCGTCGAAGCTGGCGGACGCACGATCTTCCGGGCGGCGGTCGCAGTTACATTGGAAAAGGAAAAGAATCGGAGCCACTATCGTGAGCGACAAAGTCGCCACCACAGGTAGGTAGCTCTAATTCAAGGAGCCGTGGGTGAAGAGAGGAAGAGAGGAAGAGAAGATGATAGGAAGAGAAGAAGATAGGAAGAAGTGTAGATAGTAAGGTATGGTGGTGGTTGTCTTTGTGTGGGGTTATTAGTGACGGAGGACAATCAAAGGCAGGCGGCTATCAAAGTTCCAAGTGGTGAGGCTCACCAGGTGACAATTGGGGGGCTCGTTCGGCAGAGCGCATGGACCATCCTGGGGCACTGTCTTAAGGCTGACTACCATCCACGTGATCCGAACCAATCAAGGTCGCCATATGCACCTAAAGGGGCATATGCAACCAAGCCAACATACCCCTAAGGTTAAACCTGAATGATATAGTTGAGATGTAGAAGCAACACCGCTTTGGGAGCTGCTGAGTAAACCTTCCTTCACTCTTTGGCTGGTACATTCGGAATGTGAAAGGTATAGGGTTGGAGATAAGCACAGGCGGACGCAGAGTCCTGTACACTTGATATTATGCAAGGGTGGAGGCTGGAGCCGAGGTATGTGGTGTCCGTTGATGAATGGCTCGGAACGCCAAGCTACATCGAAGAAGTATGTGCCAACTTCACAGGTATATATATTCAAATCAGAGAACGGTGTTATCAATCAAATCACGCTCATTCCTTGCCTTGAATCCGACGGGCCCAATCATCACCAACTCTCAGACTATCCACGACGACCACGCCTCGGCCCCTTCCAACTCTTTCTTCCTTCTGCCACCAGTGGTCCTTCTGCTTTTCTGGCTTCTCTGCTTCGGACTCGCTATCGGCAAGTCCACCGTGCCCACCATCGGCCCCGACGACCAAAATGACATCGTACCTGAGCCACGTCTGGAGTTGGTTGATCACGCTCCCGTCATCGCCAGCAAGCGACTCTTGCAGGTAGACAACGTCGGGTTGTAGGTGACGCAGGATATGCGCATGACCGTTGGCCGACGTGAACGGGAGCACCATAGTCTCTTTCTCAACTAGCGTCAATGCCTGCGAGTAGACAGCATTGAATGCCGAGTTGGCCGAGTTAACAATCAGTCTGGTAAGTCTTTAGCAAATGACTCTGTGAGCGAGTAGAAAGGGAAAAAACGTACAGTGGACTCTTTGTCTCATCTCCTGGTGTCTGCGCCTGGTCATGGCCAATGTTTGAGAACGAGGAACTCAATGAGGCTGGAGGTAGGGTACTTGCTGGCACGTCAAGGGCTGGATCCTTGAGACCAGGCGAGTAGATTAAAACAAAGAGCTTGATTTTCGAGAAATCGGTATTTCGTGGTATATGGGACAAGACAGACTGGCAAGCGCGTTAGAGACAGTGAGTACGACAGAAATGGTGGGACTCGACCCGGAACATACCGCATGTTCATGAAACCCGTCCTCGTCAAAGTCATCCATGTTTGTGTCTGCCGATACGACTATTGCAACGGTCTTGCGCCGCTTGCCAGACTCCTTCGGCCCGGACGAGGATGATTTTTCTCTCCTGGCTTCAGCCTCCTCCGACCACGTCTCGTGATCGGCGTATGCGGTCTTGTCCTCCTCGCGTATAGCGGCGAGCGCATTGCCGACAGCTGCGCCTACCCCTGCCACGCTCGCCGCTACCGTCTTGCCGGCGTTCGTAAGAAATTGTTGGGGGCTCGGGGTTCGTCGTAGCGCGCCGGACATCTGGGACCCCCAGCCTGCTGAGAGACCGCTTGCTTCGGGGTGTACTTCGCCTACACCATAGCTGACATCCTCGCGAGAGAAAGACGGGTTGGCGGCAGTCGGGGGCCGGGCGTTTCTGTCGGTGCCATACGGTGGATTGTCGCCATAGTCGGCGTTGTCGTAATCGAGACCGGCGGGCGACACTTCGCTCTCTTCCTCGTCGCTACTGCGCTGGCTCCATGCCCAAGCTGCGACACCGACGGTCGCAACAGTGACAGTAACCACAAGCGGAACCCAGTGGCTCCAGACGCCTCTTCGGCGGGATCGCGACGATTCGTACGAAGCCGACATTTATTCAGGTTGGATCATTGCAGAGTCGGATCAACAGGCTCGTGCCTTGCATAAGGTTGGGTAAATAAGATATGTAGAGCACAAGGCAGGATACAGGCACGATCAGACGGTGGTGCTGAGATGCGATTGCTGCGACGTCGCGGCTCCTGGAAATAGCAGGCTGGGAAGCTCTGACATACCGGTACCAGTATCAGCACCGTTATTGTGCGGTCAATGAGGAGGCTGGTGTCTGCCGTTGACCGATCATCGCGAGTAGCTGGAGATCCCTGCCGACCAATCACAGTGGAGGTGTGGAAAGGGGGCTGGGTCCTCAGCCCAGTCCCCGCCAGCTGCTAGCACCGGTGTGCTGATGTGCGGACCCGAGTCTAGCTCAGCCACATGATAGTCAAGCCACGTAAGACTCACGCCACATACATCCCACCATCAATGCTGATCGATAAGGCAGCCAGTCTGGCAGCTGTCTGGAATTGTGACTCTTTCGAGATGCACCAAATGCGTGCAAGACATGAGGCAGACTCGATCTTGACGATACTCCAAAGCTAGATACGAGAAGCTACACGTCACAACTCTGATCACGAAAATCCACACGGTCGCTGCCCTCTGTATCTTCGAGACCACATCACACCACACCTGGTCCCGAGGAGGCCAAACGAAGGGCATCCAAGAAGCAAGAAGCAAGATGCCTCACGCCGTGTCGATGCCCGCCACGGGCCTCAAAGCTCTCATCCTATGTGGCCCTGGGTCCTCTTTCCCAACGTTCACCGCGAACCCAGACGAGAACCCCAAGGCTCTGTTGCCCATCGCAAATCGGCCAATGGTCTGGTACCCTTTGGACTTCTGCTATCGGACCGGCATCACAGGTGAGCATGGTGTTTTCTTAGTTGGCGTGGCTCATCACGAATACCCATAGCCCTCTGCGGAGTCGGCGTGCTGCACACATTCAAGACCTGGATCGATTCCGTTTTCAGTTCGGCCCGTTCAGTTTCCATCGAGGCTCTTCACTCCTCATACCCATCTGCCCTTGATCGCTGAAATTCCCAATTTGGTCTTTTTGCTGATGATAATTATAGACATCACCCTCATCTGCCCGCCTTCAGCCGCAGAAGCCATCACCACGGCCCTGAACACTAACCCTTTCCTTACTGGCCTGCCGCACCCGCGCCCGGACCTTCTGGCACCACGGGACCTGGACCAAAATACGGGCACTGCTGAAATTCTCCGCTTACCAGAGGTTCGAGAGATCGTCAGCTCTAACTTTGTAGTGCTCCCTTGCGACCTTATTTGCGAGTTGGGGGGCGACAAGCTCTTGCAGGCATGGATGGTCAAGGCAGCAAGCCTCCCCGATCTCCTTGGCGATGGCGCACCTCCGCACTCTAATGGTGGATTGAGTGTCTGGTACGAGACAAAGGCTGCGAACCCCGTCAAGGGTGAAGAAACAGATTTCGTTGCAACTACCCCCATGCCCCAGTCTATGGTACCTACATCGAAAGATTCCTTGCTGCAGAACCTGTCACATCTAGCCTATTCAATGCCCACGGATTCGCTCAATGACCTGATTGAGGCGAAGAAGAGTTTCCCCATACGCCATGGTCTACTACGCAAACACCCCAGGCTAAAGATGCGGACGACGTATCGCGACGCCCATATCTATATTTTGCCCAAGTGGATAATGGACTTTGTCCAAGAGAACGACCGCCTAGAGACCATCGGTGAGGACGTCATTGGGTGGTGGGCGAAAGCTACCTGGCAGACAGGGCTTGGTGAGAAGCTGGGCATGATGAAGGTTCTCGAGGGACGGGCTGATACATCCAGAAAGGGTGGAGATGCTGAAGACGACAACTCCTCACCTGAGGGTGGAAGGCTAAGCTCGCCCTCCAGATCTCCAGGACGATACGACAGTTCTCCACCTGCAGATTCGCACAAACGACAAAGTGACGGACTGATAGCCAAGCCAGCTACTACCATAGTACCACCGATTTTGGCTTACATCCACCCACCCCAGCCAGATGCGCCACTCCTCCGCCGGGTCGACACAGCACCACTCCTCCTTGCTATATCGCTTCAGTTGGCCAAACTGCCGTCCATCGAGGAGACAGGGCCAGAAGCAGCCTCTCCCTTTGCACATACCAGAAAGGTCGCCTATCCGGATGGGGTAAAGCCCCGAACGACAATCACCAGACCGGATTGCCTAATTGCGGATAACGTCATGGTGGACGAGAAGACATCGATCAAGGAGAGCGTCGTTGGGGCCAACTGCCAGATCAAAGAGGGTGCCAAGCTGTTCCAATGCCTACTGATGGATGGTGTGGTGGTTGGCAAGGGTTGCAAGCTGACTCGTTGCATTCTGGGCAAGAGGAGTGAGGTGGGCGAAGGCTCAACGCTCACAAACTGTGAGGTGCAGGAGAACCTCTTGGTGGAACCCAGAAGTGAGTACAATCAGTTCAGCCCCCTTCCCCGGTATCCCGGTTTCGGGTCGGCTTGGGGCGGTGTGCAAGGCTTCGCGGCTAACTTTGAACAGCTGAGGACAAGGATAACAAGCTTATGAGCTCTTCAGGCATGGAGGCCAGTGAGCAGGAGATACAAGACTTTGATGACGGCAGCTTAGAGGACGCGGGCGATAGTGTCTTGCTGGGTTAGCCAGTATCGACTCATCCATTATCCACGTTCTCGGTACCGAAGTACGCAAAACCATTGGACATACACAGTACAGCACTGACAGGGATACGTCTTTCTCGTCTACTGCGGTAGGGACTGAATGCGGTGTTGCACAGCAGTGGCAATGCCAACTCTTGCATGGATTCCCGGTGATATGCGATACGGCATGAATGGTTGCTTCCCAGATCCCAGCTATCTGTCTGTCAAGCGTGGTCCTCATATGCAGGTTAGCCCATCTCTTCCAACCTATTTCAAGGCTGGCGACTCACCCTCGGGGACCTCACGCAGTCATCATGGAGCAGTCTGGGTCGCTTCCCAACGCGAGGTCCTGCTGTACAAGGCCATGTCAACGGCGGGGGTATACCGGCATATAGGTCCGGGGGCCAGTGTGGCTAGGATATATCAGAGAGCCTCTCTGGGATTCCTTGCTCTTACATGCATCAGGGAAAATCAAGGATAGAGTGTCATACCGTGGCAGCACAGTGTCCAACCTTCGAGGTTCTGTTCATAGCACCCATAGACGACGTCGCACCAGCAACGCCCAAGTACGAGACTGTTGCCCAGGTACCACACACGGTTGCGATCATTAAGCGTGAACTCTTTTATTTGTTCGCTAATCGACTAACAGTACCTAATTCACTAGATCAGAGTGCCCTGTGATATCCGCAAAACGACCCGAACCTCTGACCCGAGTACTACGTCCCGGTGCATCTAGGTCGAGCTGCGGCCAAGAAGATATTTCAATTCACTGCCACGAGTCGATCGGCTGGTAGCCGTAACTTGGATGACATGATCTGTGCAGCAAGATACAGCAGCCGAAATCCAACTGCCGATGCCAAGGTGGTACTCCGTATGCGACATCCGTAATCCGTCCGCAAGCAGCGGCACGCCTTTGACCTGCCTGTGTGAGATACAAGCGATCCTGGCCAGAAGCGTTTCTTTCCGCGGAGAAGCGTGCGTCTATGTGCAGCCGGAGTGTGCATCATCACCTGGGAGAAAATCAGGAGATGAAGTGTCAGTGTTCAGCACGTGATACTCCTTCATCCCATTCACGTACATCTGTTGGATGTTTGATGCCTCGGATGACACTCCCAAATCCGGGCGCGGCACTCTACAGAGCTACTGACCATGGCAGGACTGTCAAGAACGCGGCGGCAATAGTCGATAGGCCCTCGAAAGTGAAGGAGTCGGTTTCAGGATCGCTGTACGATCGACTGCCGAGGAGTATCGTAAACCTACCCTTTATTGGACGCGAGCATCGGATAGCGGTAGCTGCTGAAGTCGGAAAGCACACTTCGACTACCTAGGTAGCGACAGTGGTTGAGAGGGGCGACGCGAAGGATATCGAGATGTGATAATATCTAGCGGTCTGGGAATCAGACGGACCTGACTGGGCGAGACGCTTGAGGGGATCTGGGGAAGCTATGCTTTCGACGAGGCAGTGTAACCTCAAACGGCGCGTACGGGGGAACACATCACCACCTCTCGAGGCATCACGGGCATACATGCACGCTGCCACTGATTCGCGCCGGCTTTCAACAGCCTTTGATGGCTGCGACCCAGCGGCGGTCAGCTTTCCATCGATGCGACGGCACAAGCGCCACGAGGCGACCTATTATAATCAGTGCGAGAAAGCCCTGTGTACGGCCTTCTCTTCTGCAGGCTCCCGCTCGTAAATCACATGCCCACGCGTGGCTGCTATGATACATGCTCCAACGGGAGCACAGAAGCGCCTCTTATGCCGCACTGTAGGGCTGACTGGATCACACCAAGAGTACCTATGGATGGCCTCATCGCACTGACTCAAGACGAACAGGTTACCCAAAACCGACAGAGCTATGGTCGAGATCATAGACCAACCGATCTGCGAGCCGCGCAAGATACGCCCAACGTCTTTTCCCTTGGGACTCGAGCCCCCTGCTTCACAATTGATTATCCTTTGCGATTGAGCCAACCGCAGCGGAAAATTTTGATCAATATGACAAGTGACAGACTCGAAAAGTCAAAATCCCAGTTAGCTGGTTTCTTCTATTTCTCATCTTATAATCCCTGTCTTGCATGTTGGGCAGATATGCTTGACATGGGTTTCTTCCGGGTTTGACCCCCTGCTTTGCGTTGGGCCTCGTCTGGCTCGCTTGTGAAGCAGTTCCGGACGTTCGGGACATCGTTATGGCTGGTGTTGGAAAGACGTCACGAATTGCCCCAGTTTATCCGAGATGTCACTTCCAACGGTGAAAGGTTGGTGATTGGCACTGATGCTGGATTCGAAAAGGACTATGCTTACATAGAGATCGATTCAGGGTCCTTCCATCTCGAAATCTCGATAAGCTCTTGTGAATCGTTGCATTGGCTATGCAGTCGCAAGTGAGGAAGCACTCGAATTGGGTTAGCTTCTTCTGCCCCACGTCGACAGCATCCTACTCATCTCATCTAGTGTGACTACGTCCGTATGAGCCTACACCCCAATACATAGGTATGATCAACTGCAAGTGACAAGTCAGAATACACAAGACGGATTCGTGGCGAGAGAAGTGACTGAGTTCAGACTGTGACGGATTGAGTTATGTGGTGTACATGGTGCGCGATCCTCAGATGAAGCCGAATATGTAGGGATCTCATCCTCTAATCCAATGCCTGCCCGAGCTGGTCCCCAAGTGTCAAATCCAGAACCCTCCCCCTTTCCAAAAGTGACGGACCATGGTACTCCCCCTTTTCTCAGATTGGGCCTGAATATGTGAGTGACCAGGGTCATTGTGTGGGCAAGACTCGGGTGGCTACTCACCATAGGTTTGGTGCATTTGGAAGAGTCTCATTCCCGCTCTCTATTTGGGTGAAGAGGGCAATCAGCATTGGTCAACATATCTTGTGGTAGGTAACCTCCAACTGCGTATTCGAGACCGGGCGTACAATTTCCGCATTTAGGAAAATATTCACAGTGTTCCAGATGCTGACTCTCGACACAGTTGGGTTGTGTACAGTTGTAGATGGGCCTGTGTAATGTGCACATCTTTGGACCAAACGAACTGATGAAATCGGTCGGTTGCTTGTAGCTGGCGGAGGCGTGGGTATGAGAGGAGCCAGGAGGTAGATGAATGGCAGGTGTATCACTATGGATGGAAAGAAGGATGGCAAGAGCAGCCAGCCCCTTTCATATTCCATCACGACGCGAGAGAGGCAGATCGGATGCTACATTTCCGGGACTAGGAGCTTCACCGTCTTCCTCTTGTCAGCGACCATGTCTATTCGCCTCTGCATGCAATGTTCCTTCGATACTCCGTGCCTTGTCGGCAGCCGCCTTCCGTACCGTGTGTTGACGATGCGATGCTCGCGACAAGGCATCAGGAACTGCACGTATCCGCATCGGATGCAGTATGGCTACCTCCGCGCTTTCGCCATCGACGTTGTCACCCTCCGTTATGCGGCTCCGGTGATATATCAGCTTTTCATGTGGGGAACCAGCTCATTCCTCTCGACTCTCGAGGCTTCTTCAACACACGCGACAGGGGCAAGAGCTGACCACTCAAGTCGTATTCGTCATTGAAGGTAGGTACCCTACCGTCTATTATTGCCACCTATCGGCAAGCCTGCTTGTATGTTTGCTGGCTTGTCGTGTCCTGGGATGCATTCAGTGATGCAGTATCATCGTCGAACAAGATCTCTCGGCTTGTAGCTGGCTTCGGATTTGCTTGCGGGGGCGATTACAGAATTTACGCTGCATACAGCTCCTTTGAGGGGCGTTGCCCCCAAATGGTATTGTTTGGGATTGTCGCTCGCGAGTCTTCCGGGGCAGTCAGGGGGCAAGAGGGGGTCATACCTATGGGTAGACGCTGTTGCGATCTAGAACCGTCCGGCCACGCCCGTACATCTGAACGGATTCGTCTCGAAAATGCGAGAACACCAGACTGGGACTAGCTACCGCCGAAGGAAATGTTTGCTGGAACTGCCCCTATCAGGATCAGGACCGTGCCACTCACGCCGCGTGTGGGCATGACCGACTTGCAATCTAAGAATATCGAGGCCAAGACCAATGCATCGAGACCGTTGACCAGCAACTGACCCAATAGGGCATGATACATCGAAGAAGGTTGCTTGCCTGCCAGCCTGCCTCGAGAGCCGGTAAAGCAGCACTGGTTGCCAAGAAGTGAAGCAACAGAGAAGCACGAAGAGCTCGGCAATCGTGAGACCGGCAGTCAGTACGGTTTGCGCAAACGCACACGGCCTCGAACCAGCATCGGCAGCGAGCTCAGCGACCCAGGAGCTTCGATACAATTATAAGGTGTTGACCAGGGGCCAAGTAATCGGCACTGTCCGTGGCCAGAAACGTCCCCGATCTGCAGACAGGGTCGACTTTGGTAGTCGCGGACCCTGGGTGGTTTGGGAACAAGGGCACAAGGGGCACAATGCCGTGTCTCTGGTGGGTGGCGCCAGCCACACAAGGTAGAATGCAAGGCGCCTGTGCACTGTCATTGCGGGTAAGGATTGAGATGGCGATGATCATCATCACGCCCTACGAGCATCGTTCAGGGGTAGAGGTGGCAGGATCGGTGGCGCATCTAGCCTCTGCACCTGGCTCGCATCTTTACTTAGTGCCCGAGGAAAACCGCTCGTACATGGCTCGAAATGGCATCCCAATACGGTATGTTTGCTATGGTGCAGAACGGCTATGCTGTTCTTGCTCACGGCAAGTGCTCATGGGGATTGGCGACGATACGGCCCCTCAGCAGGGTGAGAAGTAGGTCGAGTCAACCGATGTGAGCCCGAGGTTCTCGCTGTCCAAGGTCTATCTGCCCAGGTTCCCCAGGCGCTCTCCGGCAGTTCTTCGAGACACCCACACTGCCGGGGAATGTTGGCGCTACAGCAAAGAGACACGGCCGCGATGATTGGCTACACGTCCAAAATGGTGTGTATATGGCTAGTGAGTGTTCAACGCCATAGGAAATCTCCTCCGCGGGGTGCAATCGCAAAGCTCTTTCTTCTCTCGGTAGTGCGAGACTGTAATCATCTCCTCAAACCTGGAGAAATTCGATGTCTAGACCCCTGAACACTTACCATCGGCGCCACACCCGAGATTAACTGCTCGAACGAGGGATCAGTGGGCGGAGATCTACACAGGGGTTAGCTTTCCAGGCTGACTTGACTCTTGCATCTGGCTAGCATCAAAGCGACGAACTATCTGCTTGTTGGAGAGGTAGTACGCAAGAGCCACCTACTTTGGCCCTTGATATGAGACCTCCAAACCATCGCATAGTTCGAGTCAAGTACGTTATAGCATCTCAAAATCCGAATTCGAGTGTCGGGACTCGGCATCGAGATCGTACAAAGTTAGCACCTTTGTAAGCCACGCAATCTTGGATAATGGACATGACAAACCCTGCGCAATGAGAGCAAAGCCCGGGCCGACATCGGCTACCAAGCGTTCATTCTACTTGCACGAGTATCATAACTTCTGTGAGAAACTATAGAGGTACTCCCAAAGCCGCGTAAACGGCTGTTTGCTATGTAACCCGGGGCAAGTTGCTCCACATGAGGAGGATCATAGTCATCAAGATTCCCCTTTAGACCCCAAGCCAGGCCTGAAGACTCAAGACGTCTAATCAGGCCTGATATATTCATTCGGTTTGACCATAGGAATATGAACCCGGCCATTTGTTGTGTTTCGAGTCTTCTCAGCTTCGTGTCTTTTCTTAGAATGGGACGTCGTGAGCCTCGTGAGGCTTTTAGCGGTAGCAAACATCCGCAGTCTTCAAAGCCCCAGGCTCATCAGACGGGGTTCATGAGACGTTTTTGGCATCGTCTCCAAGATAGCAATAAACTGAACTTTAATTTTGGTCTTGGGCAAAATTGGTAATCGTTGTCGCTCATGGCACAGGTCAGGCTACACACAACAGTGACTTCATTCAAACTATGTGTCTAATCACCGTTGCCTTTTCCTCTCATGAAGTTTGGTCAGGCCACAATATGTCTCCAGATCGGCCCATGTCTATGATGTCTTACCATAGACCGGTCTAATGCACACGGTTCACCATTAACGCGGGGCCAGGGCGGCCCATTCTTGACTACTCATTCCAAGTCCCAAGTCCGCGCTTCTCTACAAGCGACAGACTCTCCAACGCGCCTGTCTCAGGTTTCGTGGATGCAGGTGCGCACCATGGCAAGCCATGCTCATGCGAGATCGATTGCTTTTGTCAACCCCAATGTAGCAAGTCAGTTGACTGCTTGTTTGCTACGTTGGCTGTCCGCTGTGCGCCCTCCTGCACCTCTTTCTAAATTTACGGCACAGGGGAACCCCTTCCACGGTCAAATCGACTGGACTGGTGACCAGTCATGCATGTTGGTCGGCTGTGACAAGGATCGAGCATTGACCCAGATGGTCGGGTCGAGAGTGATCTCCTAACTCGTCCCGGAGAGATTGAGGGGGATCTACCACGAATAACCCACTGTAGTTCAGCAACATGACTGAGATGCAGGAAATGGCCAAATGAACCGCCATCTTTGACTTGGGGTAGTGGCTTGGAGACAACGGTTCACTACGTGAGCGAGGGCTTTGAGGGCACCGCCCATATCTCCGCCCAGGTACCTCTCACGCCTGACTCCAAGGCCTGGAAAGCCACCACACGTCGTCAATAGCATTCCAAGCAGGATCTCAGTCGTTCCATAGCCTTTGCGGGCCGAAGGCTAAGTATTGGGAGACTATCCCAAGTTAGCAACCTAGACCCCCATCGAAGGGATACCTGGCTTCAATCTCTACCCTTTCAGTCTTCGGCACTCTATTATAACTATTGCCTATCCCCTCATTCCTTCCGTACATCATACAACTTGTCCTTCACTGCAACTCTCAACGAACTCCAGTCTCGGTATTATTCCTTATTACCCAGCTTCGCCTTCAGACCCGACCCTTGCTCCCGACCCTACCCGAAGTGTAACGATGAATAACAATAACCATATCCATATGGACCTAAGGGTCGGCTTCGATGAGGACTTCACCATTGAAGGCCAGTCCATGCCTTGCAGCTCGGCATCCAGCAGCTTCTCCTCTGCTTCCACGGCCAGTTCATCCCAAGATCCCTTCACACCCACATCCGGTCGTTCGACGCCGGGACTTCGACCTATGATGATAGACCACGAGTCAGTCGCTTGTGGCACGTCAGGCGGTTTCGGTTTGACTCCACCGACATCAGCCTTTGGCGGCTATTTCCCAAACGACGTCAAGGCAGACTTTCCCAACTACATGAACTGTGGTGGACTTTCAGCGACCCCGAGCCGGAAGTCAAGCATGCCGACCAACGTGATGGACTTTGACTACACTTCGATCATGCCCACAACTTTGGCTTCTCAGAGCAATCCTACCCAGTCCACAAACCCCCAGGCTCTGGGCCATTATCCATTCGCAGATCAGATGACATCCTCGCCATTGGTGTTCCCTACGCCCCCGTACCCATACGACAGCAACACTTGTGATGTTTCGGCAACGTGGGCATGGCCTGGAGACAGTCCTGTGTCTTTCTTCGACAGGCGTGATTCACCTGCGCTATCATCTCCGGTCAAAGACCTCGGTCTAAGAGAACGGAACAACATGACCCCATCCTTCCTCATTCGCCATGGGAGAAGGCGTCTTTGCGTAGAAGAGGTACAGCAGAAGACTTCAGCACTACAACAGGTGCAGCAGCATGGACAGCGGGTCCACGTCAAACGAGAGAGGGGACACAATATTGGAATCACCGGACCGATAGTTTCGGTTCCAAGAGGCAACTTCTACTGCCAACACCCAGACTGTCTTGCCGGGAACCACAAGCCGTACAAGAGGCAGGAACACCTGAAGAGACATACGCACTCGTAAGAAACCTCCCCAACTTGGGAACAGGCCGCCGTAAGCTGACATGAGTGTTCAGTCAACACACTATCACTCCGAAAACAAAGTGTGAATTTTGCGTCAAGGAGTTCAACCGGAGAGACAACTACCGTCAACACCTTTATCTGCACACTCTGCAGGGCCGTGCCATCACCCGAACGGACTACTACCCAGGAGCTCAGGCTGTATACGACGCTGAAATGAAGAGGACCAAGCAGCGAAGCCAGCCGAAGAGTAAGGTGGCAATACCCAAAAGGGAGAGCAAGTTATGATAACACTCTACTTGCTGGTGTCTTCTTGACGACGCCGATCTTGGCGACGCGGCTACGCGTCTGATATGGCTAGGTTTCTAGACCAAGTTACATGATACCTATTTTTGCAAGATACTTGGGTCTTGGGAGGCAATATCTGGAGTAATGATTTGACTCTATTCACGTTTGCATCTGTTGTCTGGCACACTTCTCTGCTTTTCTGGTCTCGGGATACTTGTGTACACGGCTACCTCGGTGGGATCACCCATGTATCAAGAAAGCACCATCCCGACGGATTTGGACGCCAGATGGGAGAGACTTCTTGGAACGAAAAGCTCGCGGATGGTAATCTGGCTTGTTTTCCATGGTGGCGCTGAATTTGCGGAAAAATAGTACTGCACAACAATAGCCTTGGCATTTGCAGCGGAGTTCAATGAGTTCAATGCGGCATGAGTACGGATTGCAGTCATCGAGGTTTGCTTCGCCTGTCCCAAACAGTGACCAGGCTCAGACCGACAAACATGTCGAGTTTCTCAAGAAACCATGTATTCTCCTCCGCCATGAACAGATCATCCGCACCCCACATATGCACAAAGGCATGTCTCAGTATGGTTTTGTAGATGTATGACCGAGACAGCCCGACAGCCGCGACTCGATACAAACTGCAGCCTTTGAACTTGACCCCGAGTTTGCTCACTTGGACAAGGGGGAAGCCTAATGCTTGTGTCCATCATCTGGCGCTCACTACTGCATGTCTTGCTCTCTCGAATCCCAAATGGGCGATCCGATGAAGGTGCTCAAGTCTGTCTAGACTCAAAATTTACCAGCGATTGCCTATCTCGCCTTCTTGTTGGGCGTTCGCTCTATGCAGACAGATTGCACACAAATGACCGATCCTCCCACCGGTCTCATGATTGAGCGACACAGCGATCGTGATATCACTCTCGAGTCTTACGCAAACCCATAGCCGAACGTGACACTCATCGTCCACCATGTGAAACGCTCCGCGCCAATGGCCGATCGAGCAAAGAAGCGATCGGTGACCTGACAGCTGGGACGTTGGGACTTGCCACCAACTGCATGAGCCCAAATCGACCAACAAATAGCCAACACAACTCAGCCGGCCCTGACTGATCACATCACACTGATAGCTCTCCAATGTCTCACTATAGATGGTACATATCCCGTAATGTACCGCAAAAGCAAAGCTTGCGGGCATTAGCTCTTCCCAAGCAAAACAACAGAGATGAGGGCGGGGCGGACGTCCACCCCGAGCGGGAAAGACAACAGCCACGGCCCGATCATGTATAGATCTGAGTAATGAAGTACGTGGCAGTACGTGGCTTTGTTTTCCTCGGCCGAGGAATGCTGGGTTGGGACGACTAAGATAAGACATGTAACTTAGGCCATGGACAGGCAGACGCGCGGGAAGTTAGACTGGCTACATCCACGTTGGCCTGATATGATACCAACAGATCCAGGAGATAGGATTTAGGATACTCCACGTATCAACAAGTTGGCAAGAGCACAGCTCGCAGTCGTACATGTGGAGGGTGCTGTTGGGTGCAAGATCAGGTCGCTAATGGCTTGGTTGGAGGCGGTGAAAGGGCAAGATGGACTCGGGCCTCTGGATCAGCAGCGGAGACAAGTCATCTGCGTTCAGAGCATTCCGACCGTGCGGCCGCTCGCTCAGCCACTGCGAGGTGGGATATCATGGCCATTACGCCTGAAGTGTTCACTTGAACTCCAACTTGGCAGAGACAGAAACAACGAATTGCCAGGACAGATTCCACGTTCCCACCTAGGCTGTCAGTATCCGAGAGAGGCAGTTGCGTAATTTCTTTTGCAGTGAATCTGCTGACCCCTGGCCCATGCTGCCAGCACCAGCGTAACCGCACCGCCAGGACGCTGTATCCGCACCACCGGGACGCTTGTTGGTGAGCGACTTGCATCTGTTGGTAACCAGCTTCGGCTATGATCTATCAAGCGGACACGGAGTTGGAACGTTACCATCGGTCTTCTCTTTCGCTCATTTCTTCCCTCCTGAGACAACGATTGTAGTTGCTGCATTGGGCATTGGCCTCTGGGGGCTCCCCAATGCTGGCCTTGCATTCTAATTTGCCCCAAAAAATCCTTGAATGGAAAGAAACGACGGTTTCTCTGCTGTACGCATTGTGCTGTGTTCGTGCGAAGGTGATGACCGTCTGCTGTGACCTAATTACTATAGACCCTACAGTATCGTACAGACAAGACAGATCGCGCTAGGTAAAACCCCTGCGTCCGTCACAATACCCCTGGATGTATGTTCTACTTTAGCCAAGCCACCTCAGGCATGATTGATCGTGCCTAGTCGAAGCCATGATTGGACGCCCCAGACCAACATCCAACACGGTCTTGCCAAGCAAGTTTATGTGGTAGGTATGATCAGCCGGTATTTACTAGCCTACAACATTCGTCACGATTGGCTACCAACTACCGCATTCTATAGGGGAGGCACCCTACGTATCTGACAGATCTGAGTCAGTATGCCATCACTGCAGCTACCTGAATACCCCCGAAACTTCAACGGTACAGATGATCATCAGATAGATGCCGCCAGGGAACGGTTTATTTCGAACTTGATAAACTACTGTATTCAACCATCACTTTAAAGGCTGATAAGACCACCTGGAGTCACCGTCTTCCATGGCCATACTAGTCAGATGCGGTCCCTGATTAGCGTTGTGTCCTAGAGCCATCCATATGTACACTTCGGAATTAAATCTCGTCAAGTCCTTTCGGCCATCAAAATTAGATATATGCGAAAGTCACGCACCGTGATACCGGTATTTCCCTTGCAACGCATTCAGACCGAGTTAAAATCATGACAAGTGAAATAGACCCAACATGAAGTGAGAGTACCGTTATTACAGTTCAAGGCAGAAGTACTGGGCTACACTCATCACTCACAAGTCTCTGCCCACTTACCTTCACTAGAATCTCACAAAGTCTTTCTGTAGCTATTGGAGTCATTACTATGGTATCGACAAATTTGTCTAGATAGGCCACGTTCTATGAAAATTTCAGAGTACTTAATCGTAACATAATTAAAGGTACCTAGATCTACAGCTGGCCAGGAAGCGGATAGAGGCTTTTGAAGGTTCGGTGCAAGATTGGCTGAATAGAGTTCAGATGAGCACGATGTTGAAATTTCGGCAATCTAATCCACCTGCCAATGCAACCTCAACAGAGACGAGGACGAGGTCGCTGCTTTAGCAGACCAATGTCTTCTGCCACTATGCGAGGCCTACCGAAGTCATCATGTGTAAGAATTATTTCCATCGCACAGCCCCCTGATTGGCCAGCAGGCTGGTTGTGTAGATGATAGCGTCGCTGGCGGGCGTTTGGATAGGCCATCTGGAATGCCTCTCGTGTCAGCAACGATTGGAGCGGTGCTTCGGGCTGGTCGGGTTGAGGTTTTCGAGGAGTGAAGGCTGCTTCTTTCGCAACGCCTTCGAGGCCATGTCGGAATTGTCAGTGTCGCAAGGCGAAAGACGACCAAACGGTCAGCAGGGCTGGTCGTGGCTGGTGTAGCGACGTCGATAAAGGTCACGCTGGTAGTACGCAGACCCATACCTGAAATTGATGGATGATATATAGTCCGGTATCTTGTTGCCCTGTATCAATCAAGGCATCAAGGGGCCGGCTATACAAACTGTTCAAGTGATGGTTATTATTGGGGTTAGGAGTGAAAACGGTCGGAACTGAGGAACAGTCACAACAGCAAACAGTTTTGGGGTAATAAGCTAACCGCGCAGAGCCGCGACAACTATGAACAGACCCATTAATACATAGAGGTGGCTTTTACCTTAGCTAGGTAGTTAATGCTTACACCCTTATTATATTTTGTCCGTTTAATCCATAGCCTAGCAATACCACCAGTATTACTAGGTGTTAAGTGAGATAACCAACGAAGATTTCAGCAATATTCTTCCATGAGAATATGTGTGAATGGTTCTAGGCTCCCGATCAGACATGATCCAGGTAGATTTATGAGCTGCTCATTTTGCCAAAGAGCAAACCATCTCCATAAGCATTGTAGCCAGTCAAGCACATGCTTGACTTCAAAGCCCTTGACAGTGGTTTGTGATACCTACTTCGATACATACATGCTCAAGCAAATGAAAAAAAAACAGCCCTGAATCGAGTAAAACCCAACGCCATGATGTCGTCGGTCTCATGGCTAAATGAGCCAGGTGACAGCATACAGCAGAAGACGAGTAGGCCAAAGACACAGGACCACCCGAATACACGGCCTTGCCTAGTATTCAGGGACCCATCAAAGATGAATGTGGTGGAGAGGTTCACTACCGCTCAAGTCTGGACCGCAACGCTTCAGCGAGGAAAGGGACACAGTCTGCGAGACTTGTTGGACCGTTGTGTATATTGGGACTGTGTTTCTCTGTCAAGCAAGTATGACTGCATCGTTAGAACTCATTTCTCAAAGACACTCATACAGCGTAAGACACTCTATCTGATTCTTAAGATATATGCTTGACTGGTATCATTATACCACCCGGATTCTTGTTATTGTTGCTTCCAGCTTCCGTCTTTGTCTCCACGACTCCCATACTTCCACTCCCACCCTCGCTCTGTCGAGGAACATAGTCCTGCTTCAGGTTGAACGAGCGGCTTAAGCAGGGCAGTAAAGTCGTTGAATACGTTCTGAACGAAGTGGTACATCAATCGCCTTCCCTCGATCACCTACTCGTCCTTCAGGTCAACTACAGTGTATGATGAGTGGCGGTGAGCCATTGTATGTTATAAGCATCGTCAGCCACTTACAACGAATAAAGAAAGCTTTACCTGAACAGCAATGAAGTGGAATCGTTCAAACTGCTAAGGAGATACGAAGGGGATCATGTTTAGTTCACGAGAACACTCCAAACAGTCTTACACGCACTGAACAGAGGATGCCTGTACGACATGACTCTGACTTGAGCTGGCGCATCTACGACGTTGACTTTTAACATCCCTTCCCAGATATCAAAAATGCTTCAATTGTACATAAATATATACACAGTGACTGCCCACGACAGCAAAGCAGCACATCAAAGGACGGTCGACCACAGAGCCTCAAGACCCAGCGACTCCGCAAAGGCCGTGTCCACCCACGTCCGTCTGGCCAGCCATGCACGACATCGGCAGCAGAATGTCCGAGCAGTGCGATATCGCGCAAATCCAAAGCCAATTGAGCAATCAAGCAGTAGCATGTATGTATGCGAGTGTATCGTTGCGCTGCACGCATGATTGGCGCGGCGCACTGCGCTGCTGCGCTGGCGCAATCTGACCTGCTCGCTCGCTCGCTCTCCACCTCGTTTTGCGCAACGGCGCAAATCGCAGAGGAGGGCAGAGGGGGAGCGGGCAGAGGAGGGAGCCGCATTTGCGTACATAAATATGGGCTTGCTCGGCCGGCAGACTGACTGGTCGAGAGAAGGAGAGGAGGAGCCTCATCTGTTCCTCGCCTCCTTAATATCTCCTTTCGCATTCTGTTCGGTGTAAGAAAGATACGTGTTGTGTTGCGTCATCTGTGGTCGAGCAGTTACCTGTAGTCGTCGTTGTCTTCGTTCTTGGCTTACTTCCTATGAAGTTGCGTCGATGCCCATCCACCTATACTCCGACTGCTGCCAGTACTGATACTACTATCACCACATACGATACCCATCGTGATGACTTCGAGCCCGGCCCAGAACTAGGCGCGAACTAGGACTTGTCACTAATGCATTCCATGCTGCAACGACCTCGGCATCTACTGACTGTTCACGACACTCCCCACCTCCAACCGACGCCTCCAGCTTGGACTTACCACCATCAGCCCCTCGGTGCCGAGACGCGACTGATCGAGTCCTGCCGGATCAACTCGTTCACCTCCTTCGACCGCTCGTGGAACGCGGCGAAGGCGCTGCTCGTGACCAAGTGGAAGAAGGCCGTCTTCCACCGTCGTTTCCGAGGCCTCAAGCGAAGCATGGTCAAGCAATTGGCCTTATCCCCCGAAAAGAAGTCTAGATCCCAGTCACGACTTCCTAACTCGAACGCAAGCGGTGTTTCGATCACAGTAAGTCGTTTGTGACAAGATCTAAGTGCCACACATGAGATCCAAGCTTACCTCCTCGTGTGTCTAGACAGCACAGGCATTGGCACAGGGCAGTGAGCCATGTCTGACAGACCTCGATGAACTGAACACAGTACACGACGGATCCAAAACAGGGGGTCAGTCCAATCGACGGTCTACCACACCAGTCGATCCTATGGAGAGTAACAACAAGGCAAGCGCTGCTCGACGATCCAGCCATTGCCCACGTGACAAGAAAGGCGAGCGAAAGCAGACGCCCGAGCAGTACGTCGCCCTCAAGAGACAAGAGGCCGTCGAGCGTGTGATGGCTGCTTTCAACAAGTGGCTCGACAAGCGACTGGCGATCATCTCCTACGCCTACGAGGCTTCCGAGGCGTCCGAAGGCACCACCGAGGGCTCCAGCAAATACCCTTCAGACGGTAGTGGCAAGTCGAGTACCTCGTCCAAGCGCCCGAAGCGCCAGTTCGAAGGTGATGGTCAAGATAACTTCTCTGCTGGCGGCGACGAGAACGGTAAGGATCGAGCAGGCAACAAGCGGGCGAAGAAGGAGGTCGAGCTAGAGCGAAAGTGGGCCTGCCCCTTTTACAAGCACGACCCCGAAGCTCACAGTAAACACCGAAGCTGTGCTGGTCCAGGATGGCCATCGCTCCATCGGCTCAAGTAAGTGCCTGCAAAGCAGAAGGTAACAAACAAGATACTCACCAATATATGAAGGGAACACTTGTACCGCATACACCGCCTGCCCAAGCACACGGTACGTATCAAAACATCCCATAACAAGACCCTAGGCCTTGTATTCGAGAACAAGCTTTGTTGTTCCCTTTCCTTCTTCGTCTAGAGATTGTTTGTACGGGTCTGTGGACACAATGTTAACGTACACGCAGTGCCCTAGGTGCACCGAACCCTTCGAGGATGCTAAAGACCTTCAATCTCATCTTCGTGCGGACGAACCTTGCAAGACGCTCGAACTGGTGCCGGTCCAGGGGATCGACGAGGCTACCGAAGCCAAGCTGAGAATCCGGAAGAAGCATGGTCCAGGGGTGACGGAGGAGCAGCGATGGAAGGAGATCTACTTGATCTTGTTCCCAGACGCAAACCGCCATGCCGTTCCAAATCCATGTAAGTCGGCCTGAGCCATGAGATCAGTGGCAAGAGATTGCTAACGCACCAACAGATTACGACAGCAATGATCCTCTGGCGCTCTCCAAGCGCGTCGATCGGTTCAGACGCGTCGAGAAGCGCATCAAGAAGGAACTTCCCCAACTGGTACAGAAGAGAGTGGAAAGGAAATTCGAGAATGTCCAGATCGAGGTGCTGCATAACCTCAACGACATCATTCGGGATGGGCTGCTGGAGTTCTTCAAAGGCCTGCCAAGAGACGACCGCTCTCCATCTGTAACGCCAGCGGCGACACCGAGGGCAACGACACCAGGCCTGAATTCTAGTCATGAACCTTCGCCAATGGACGAGGCCAAAAATGTCTCGATGGATCTCTCCACCTACTTTGATGACCCAGACCTGCCGTTGATGCACTTTGGTGGTTTCGACAACTTCGATTTCAGTGCCGAGTTCAACTTTGACTCCTCGGATGGGTTCACCTTTGAGAAGGTATCGGACTCTGGGTATGCTTCGACTAGCACCGCAAGAGGTTCCCGAGGGCGATAAGAGCCATGTGAAGTCGTCTCTGGGTGATATGGTATCGGACTCTGGGTATGCTTCGACTAGCACCGCAAGAGGTTCCCGAGGGCGATAAGAGCCATGTGAAGTCGTCTCTGGGTGATATGGTATCGGTTTCCGCTGTCGTCTTCTTGGTTGCTGCCTGGCGTACAACTCCCCTCTGGTTGGAACATGACTCCCTGTGTGTTGTGATTATTAGTATTGTCGAAATAATGTACTGGAAAGGCTTGAAGCGCTCCTGGTGGATCTGGCTGGCTGAATATCTCGGATGGCTGGAGGAGTGGCAGGAATGACGTGCTCATCGTAACTCGAGCTCAATGAAGTCTATGTTACCTGCAACTCGGCCGGTCAACCAGTCTGTGTCCAGAGAGGGTTTGAAGAGACTGCGGGATCAGGCGTCGCAAGGGCGACATGAAGAAATGCCTTGATGGAAGATCATACCTCTCGTAGCTTTCCCACCAGCGGGCCGCGTATCTGTTTGATACATCGGGCCAAGGCCGTTTGCACACGGACGGTGCCAGTTTGATCATCTCATTGCTTCCATGTCTGCAATGTCAATGACGCCACAACCGTGCTGCCACGGGGTCAATGATGTATCAGATGGAAGAAAGCAGTGCTGCAGGTGGATGGCTGTGCATCGCAAAGCCCGAGGAATATGATGGAGGGCACTTTGCCAATGATGAGGTCTGGGCTCTGCCCATACCTGGCACCTTACCTCTAAAAGACAAGACTCGGTGCGGTAGAAGTGTGATGGGGGATCATCCCGATGAGAATGTGGCCACGCGCTCGGGACAGAGATGACTGTTGTTGCACAATCCATGCCATTGATGAAGTCTGAGTACTGGAAACTGTGTATGAACCCGGACCGAGAAGTTTGTTGACTTTTGATAGCCAGCAAGCATCCAAACTCGGGATGTTGCGTCGAATCCAGAGCATTCGACTACCTAACCTTAAGGTAGATAGGTAATGTACCTCAAAAGAAGGTGTGAAGCTGCAGAGCTAATCGAGCCAAGATATCCCGAGAGGTTGACTTTCGGTGAGATGAAAGAATAGGTGCAGAGGCAGGCGGCAGGCACGTAGCTGTCTAATTACGCCGGGTGTGCCTTCAAATGGTAGGGGCAACACAAAAGAGAGAGCGAGGAATCACGGAGGCGATGAGAAGGGGCTTCTTCGAACCTGTCTGTACTGTGATATATTTCGATTGAATTGTTGACGGTAAAGTGTTAACATGCAGGCGGGCTCAGGAAATAACCTTCCACAGCCCGCCGTCAGGTATGATGATGAGGAGTTCACCTGGTCTAGCACTTGCAATTGCGATAGAAATAAATTATTCAAAAAATTCAAAAAGAAAGCGCTTGCAATAATGACTTAGTTCATGCAATAGAAAATAGATGTTACTTATGTTGTTGTTAAGATATGGACGATTGAAGATTGATGGTAGGGTGGTCAATTGGGCTATGGAAGGTTATTTCCCGAGCCTGCCTGGCATGATGGAGAGGGAGGTACATCTCCTCCATCCATGCCAGCAGCCCCGCCGACACCGGCCGGGCACCTCACGGACCACTGGCGGATTTCTGCAGGTGCCGGTATTGCCTCCCACCTGCATGCCACGAGTACCATAGTGGACGTGATAGCGGGCATGATAGGCATCTAGGGAGCACCTGCAGCTCAAGGGGTGAGGGGCTACACCTTTTAGGCATTAGATCCAAGGGTGTGCTCATTACCCAATTGGTGCATTGGTGCACACTGCATTGGTGCTGCACGGGCCCGCGTCCCATCTTCATGGATAATGAGTGGATGTTTATCTGCAGGTGAATTATTGTCCATCCACCCTCACCTCCAATTCCCAATTCAGGGGCCCCTGACAAGCCTGAATTTTTATATAATTTTCCGCCGCCAAGGCAATGGCAGCTCGTTGATCGTCCGTCGTATCGCAGTTGGTGATTGATCAATTCAGTTGTGCTCTGGCCTCAGGTGTTTGTCACCTTCATGAATGTGCATGTGCATGTGCATGTATGTGCCTGTATGTGCATTGGCGGCCCCGTTTGTCGCGTCTAAGAGTGAAGAGAGTTTCAACTTCTGATCTTCACCCATCTGCCCGCCTGCCCGTCTGCCCGTCCACCTCCCTCACGAGACATCCAACACTGCATTTGACCTTTGACCCGATACCCGATACCCGATACCCTATTGTGCGAGGCGGTCCTTGTTCAGACGCTCGACCTGCTCTGCGCTTGGCTTGAACTCTCACACTCCCAGTATTCCTCGTCCTTTTCTTGTGCCGGATGCCAGCCCTTTCGTTTGTCTGATTTGATACCCCTTCAAACTCGTGACCGCCACCAATTGCTTTCTTCCTCACCAATAATTTTTGACATCCCTACTCAGAAAAAAGCCAACGTTGTGCCTTGTTGCACCATATCTTCTGGAAGCAGGCGACTTCATCCGATCACAACTCCACGATACGCAAGTGACACCCGACACCAGAATCCATTGGCGCTCCGAAGATTACGAGATTACATGGGCATATCCCCGAGTCATCTCTATACCTGGTTGACCACCTCCTCGAGTCCCGCCCGCCGCCCGTTGCCCGCCGCCCGCAGCAGCCTCTACCCGTTGACGCGGGTGAAGGAGCACGACTGCCTTCCTCCCTCCACCAGATTGATCGCCTCATGCGGTTGACCGACCCGCAGCATCGGTGCGACCGAACCCACCGCTCCAATGCCCTGGCGACCTCTGCCGCGCATCGCCTTTGCTGTCGCGACCTATCCCTTCGAAGCCAAACTCGACAATGAACTACCTCTCGAGATAGGCGACGACCTCTACATCATTGAAGAGACACCCGAGGGCGAATGGCTGCGCGGTTACCTGCTGGCACCCCCCACGCTCCTCGCTGGTCTGACCTCTGTCAAGGGCCAGAGTCTTGAAGCTCGCGTCTTTTCTGGCATCTTCCCACGTAGCTGTGTGGAAATTCGCGAGGTGCTGGGCAACGGAGATGAGGACGACAATGCCAGCCTGGACGGGGTGGATGGTGCGCCGCGACTTGGGAGCGACTCCGGCAAGAGTGGCGTGGCCTCGAGTTCCGATAAACAGTCCAGAGACGCAGAGGCAGAGGCCGAGGGAGAGCAATCGCCAAATCAGGGGCAGGGTCTGACTAGGTCTCCGAGGGCCCGGCGGCGGCCTGTTGTGCGTGTTGAATCTGCATCTGCATTACAAGCAGCAGGCCGAAAACCATCCGCACCGGTGCCCATGTTGAGGATGGGCGACGAGACTCCAACGTCGATCAACGAGCCCTTGATCGACGAGATCGCGTCATGCCTGCGCGAATGGCACTCGACCAACTTCCACGAGCTCCTCCTTACGCGACAATATGCGAAGCTGGACAAGGTCTCCCAGTTGATTCAGACTCTGGACTTGTCCCGTCGTCAGTTACTGCACAATCTTCTCACCGACCGCGAATACACCGCTTTGCGAGAGAAAACGGTCTGGGATCTGGTCCGGGGAAACAAGCTGTGTGGAGGAGAGGTTATAGTGCGCGATCCCAGCCAGCGCGGGAGGGTCTTGACTGGTGATGACTCCGTGATCGACATCACCAGACTACAGTCCGTTATGTGTTTGCTAGAGGAGCCGCCACAGCCACACGTCGAGCTGACCGCCTTACACCACCTGATGGTAGATGTGAGGAGCTTCGCCGGTTCCTCGAACGAGCCTACAACGTTGGATTTATACCTTGTCAGCAAGTCTGTTGGTGGCACACTTACGACACTCTCCGAAGCCTACACAATCGAGGTGCCATCTGGTAGTTTGATGGGGTATATGGCCCGGAATGCGCAGATGCGCACACTCTTCACCGATCTTACTTCTGCCGACATTGGAGACGGGCCTTCCGCTGATTCAGAACTCTACTTGGTAGTCAAGATACGCGCACCACAGCAGATCGTTAATGGGAAGCCTGCTTCGAGGTCCGGATCGTTTGGCCAGGCCGCTACGCCTTACTCTAGAGACAAGCCTCCGTCTTCAGGTGGTGGAAACAAGGCTTCTAGGAGAAGCCTGATGTGGGGATCGACGAGGTCGGCATTCTCTAGAGGAGGCCCGAAACTCGATGCCCTGTCCGAACAACCAGAAGAGCGACCTAGAACCGGAACTATGAGCAGTAGAGATGGCGCGAAGCCTCCAAGCACCGCAGGCTCCTATTCCGGCCGCACCTCCACGGATGGCCCACAATTCACTCAAATGACGGCAGACAGGTTGGTGGGTATTGGCGTGTTGAGCATGAAAGCCATCATGAAGCAAGAGGACGAGTCGGAGCATGTGGTCACGGTTTGGTCCCCGTGTACCAAGGCCAATGCCGAGAGATACGAGAACAGCAAGGGATGGGATAATCTAGTGCGGGATCTGCTCGACAGTGATTCGGGCCATTACGAGAAGTCCGGAAGGGCGGAACGTCTACAGGTTCATTTCAAGTCCTTCAACTACCCTGATGCCGATACCCTGATCAAGGCGACCCCGACGCTGCTCTCCGGCATTAGCAAGACCAACAAAATGGGATTTTCTGGTGCGCCCACAAAACCGCGGTCCGACATATACGTGACCATCAACGAGGCGCTGCTAGCACGACAAAACCTGCTCTCACGCTATGGGGGCAGTGCTACTGCCATATCCAGCAATATGCACGGGCATAACCTAATGGTGTCGTTGGAGGTTCGTCGACAGTCTGGCGACAGAATCGATTCGTGCATATATCCATCCTCCAACTCCGAAGCGATGACTACGTGGACGTCATTTGCTGTTCAGCGCGGAGAACATTGGAGCCAGACACTGAAGCTTTCGCTTCTTCCGCCGGATGTCACAACATCACACATAGTTCTGACTGTCTCTGACTTGCCCACCACACCTTTTGCGATCGCATACATGCCGTTATGGGACCAACAAGCGTTCATGAGTGACGGCTTGCATTCGCTGCTTCTATACAAACTTGATGAGTTCACTCAAAGCGCACAAGCCGGACCGGTTGGTAAGGGTGGCTACCTCTCTGTGCCTTGGAGTGCTCGAAGCGATTCGAGTGAAGTTACGGGCCCTTTGGCAACAATCCGAGTTGGGACATACCTATGCAGCACCCGGTTTTCTCAAGATCGCATTGTCCTTGGCTTGCTGAAATGGAGGGACGGTCCTAAAGATGGGATTCCATCGCTTCTGAAACAGCTTATTTTTGTACCAGAGATCGAAGTCGTCAAGCTGCTGAGCGACGTGCTCGACGCCTTATTCGGCATCCTAGTTGAATTCCAAGGCAACGACGAGTATGAGGACCTGGTGTTCACAGCTCTCATCAGAGTACTTGGCATAGTTCATGATCGCCGGTTCAATATGAGTCCTTTGGTCGACCAATACGCCGAAAACAAGTTCAACTACCCTTTTGCCACACCATGTCTCGTCAGATCATTCACCAGGCTGCTCACGAACCCTACGGAGCCAGAGACGGCCCGCAAACTACGCGCAACTCTCAAAGTTGTCCGGCATATACTCAAGTTCATCACCCATGCTAGGGGTCAGCAGAAGGCCAAGGAGGCAGGTATTGGTATTACGGGTAGCACACCTGGCTTCACCCGCCATCTGCAGAGCATTTTCAAAGCATTAGACTCGATGATGCGAAGCACAGCGCCCGTGCTTGTCGGCAGCCAGACCCTGGCAGTTCAACACTTTCACACCTGGCTGCCTGAACTCACAGGGCTACTCACGACCGAAGAAATTCTCCACATTGCCATCGATTTTCTGGACTCGTGCTCCCTCGTGAAAGGGAAGCTGGTGCTATACAAGCTCATTCTGATCATTAACTACTCAAAGCTGGAACTTTTCTCCAAGCCCGAGCAAAGATCAGCTTTGTGTGCCAACACTGTCAGGTGGATTGCGCCGCATTGGGGACAAACAGACGAGGTCACCGAGCAATGGAAAGGCCAGGTCCGCTTGTGCTGTTCGGTTCTGGCAAGCCAGGCTAATCACCTCAACTCGGAGATTCCCGACTACATTCCAAGAATCATAGACTCGTACCTGGCCATCCAGGCCACCGAGCTAAAGCCGAAGGACCGCCTTTCGCTACTTTTTCCTACCACCTACCCATTCCCCAGCAAACCAATCCCAGGCGACTCGGTACAGTTGGACGAAGCCCTCGTTGAGCTTTCCGCTGTCTTGTCTGCCCTATCGAACTCGCCTAACGGAATGCAGCTCGAGCTGGCTGTGGAAGATATCACGGTTCTGCTGAAGAACACGCTTCAAGTGCATATGAGCATCTTACAAGGCGAAGCATTCCCGTCGTCTTGGCTCAGCGTGTACATATATCACCACAAGTCCACGATGAGGACGCTGCAGTATCTAGCAAGTATCCTCTTGGAGTCGTTCCTTCCACAGCCTGACGATGCGGAAGACTTTGACACCGAACTTTGGAGAATGTTCTTTACCACATTACTCAAACTCGTTGGTAGCCGGTGCCTCGCGCTTGAGACGTTCCCAGAACAGAAGCGAAGAGCGGTATGGAAGATTGCTGGCGATGTCAGAGAACACGGTGCAGAACTGCTCCGGCGAACGTGGGAAGCTGTTGGCTGGGAGACGAGCCCTGATGAGCGGTCGCGATACGGACTGGCAAAAATGGGTGGCTACCAAGTTCAATATGTGCCCACACTCGTGGGTCCAATCGTGGAGCTGTGCCTGAGCGTCCACGGCGGCCTTCGGAACATGGCGGTCGAAGTACTCCAGACCATGGTCGTGAGCGAATGGACCTTGAGCGAGGAGTTGACCGTCATCCAGACGGAGATGATTGACTGTCTGGATCTGTTTTTCAAGAATCAGACCATGACCGAAAGCATCTTACAGAAACTCTTCATCCAAGAACTTTACGAACGATTTGGGCCACTCTCGAGAATTGAGGGAGAACCGCTGTACGCTGCCCTGAAGGAGCTGATCGATACGGTCGATGAGTTTCTCGATCTTCTGGTGGCTGTCCACAGTGGAGGTGTAACCAGCGAGGCATCTCACCTGATCAACCGTCTGCAGCTCATGGAGTTCCTAAGAGATATGCAGAAAGAGGATATATTCATTCGATATGTCCATCAACTGGCAGCGATGCAATTCACCGCGAGGAACCATGCAGAGGCCGGTTTGGCTCTTCGACTACACGCCGACTTGTACGAATGGGATCCTACCAGAATGACACGTGCGCTGCAAGAACCGGACCTTCCAGAACAGTCGCACTTTGAACGCAAGGAACGCATTTACTTCGACATGATCAAGCACTTCGAGGACGGCGAGGCGTGGAGCAGTGCACTTGGTGCGTATAGTGAACTACGGACACAATACAAAAGCAATATCTTCGATTTCGCAAAGCTTGCCCGGGCTGAAAGAGCCAATGCCACCATCTACGAGACGCTCGCCAAGGGCGACAAGCCGACTCCCAAATACTTCAAAGTCGTCTTCAAGGGCCTCGGTTTTCCGATCAACCTCCGAGAGAAAGCGTTCGTGTACGAGGGCTCTGGTATCGAGAGGACGTCTGCATTTGTCGATCGCATGCAGGAACAGTTCCAAGCTGCGCAGATCCTCACAAATGGGGATGTGGACAGTGAGGTGGAAGGACAATATCTGGTCATCTCGGCGCTGTCTCCTCATCGCGATCTCACCCACCAAGTCTTCCAGAGGGCCCGAGTGGCACAACCGATACGGGATTATCTCCTCTCGGCGCATCCGCAGAAATTCTCGGTGTCTTCCAAACGCAGCACAAGCGGGCCCGTCCAAGATCATTATGCCGAGAAGATCATATACTCGACGGCTGAGGCGTTCCCCACGATATTGCGCCGTAGCGAGATTGTTGACGTCAAGAACATCGCCTTGAGCGCCAAGGAGACGGGTCTAGAGCGCATAGTCCGCAAGACGCAGGAGATGACGGCTGTTGAGCGGCGACTCGCGGAGAGCGGAGATGATGACGAGGTTGCGCAGGTGATGGTCGGGGCCATAAGCATATCAGTGCTTCCCAACTTGGAGAGCAGTGTTGTCTGTTATCGACAGCTGCTCCCTTCAGCTGACTCGGAAGACGACGAAGAGGAAGAGCCCGAGCTTGATCCGCAGGAAAATGCCATCAAGATGGCGTTGATCGACCATGCTATCATGATCAAGAGGTGCCTAGCAAGCTTCGCTCGTAGCTCGAATCCGATCCTGACCAGGGGGCATCAGGAACTCTATCCTCGTGAGTACACCCCATACCGTTAGCATGAATGATCCATCACTGACATTCCCAAGATTTCATGTCTACGTTTGCGCCCGAGATTGCGGTGTTTGCTCCTGTTTCACCACAACGGGAGAATGGATCCACGCCATCGCCCACGTGGCACCGATCGTCACCTGTCACGGAGAACGGTACCCCACGAGGACATATTCGCAACTCTTCGACAAACGGCACTGGAATTGTGGAAGAAGCGTCATCCGCTCAACCCATCTCGCTGAGGCAGCGTGGTACCCGGCTAAGCTTCTTGGGTGGCAGGAAGAAGGATTCTCAGCAGTCCAACAGCGACGTGTCGAGCTTGAAGCAGACCAAGGCCGACCACAGCGAATCCAACAGTCAGCACAGCAAGAGCCGAGAGAACTCACACAATCGGAGGAGCATGTTCCGTACTGATACAAACGACACCAATACGAGTTCAAATCCCTTTACTAGGCCTCACTCAAACGGCGCGGCTGACCCGACAACGCCAGATTGGGGACCAGACCGGGCACGCAAGAGCAAAGAGATGGTCAACGTCGTTGAGAGCGACTTTGGCAAGTCCACCGACGGCGGCATGATGAATATGGGCTCAGTCAGAAAGCGGCTGAGTATGTTGAAGCTGGGAAAGAAGCAGAGCAAGCCGAATGGTTTTATGGGAGGGCTGAGCGAGGAGTAACAGCCGCCACTGATAGGGACCGGTAATACATAACCTAGAAGCCAGCACGAGCCGGGGCCGCCATGGGAGCAATGCATCCGCAGGAGGCGATTGGCATTTGTCGAAGAGATACCAAATCCCTGGGGAGGAAGTAGGATACAGAAATCTTTTGACTTTCTGCAGAGTGGCGTTCAGGATACGCTCGAAGGGGCCCGAGACGGCACGGCATACGTCCCTCGATGCGCGGCGGCGGCGCAGATGCTGCCACGTTTTGCGGTGCTCGATGGTGATGTGCAAGGCACGCACCCGACGTTATTAGTGGTGGCCAGGGCGAGCAAGGTCTTTTGGTCAGCCCTATCTGCTGTCCTCGTGCACCGAAGGGTGTTTGTACTTGTCATGTAATCATGTTTGTATGTATCAAATACCTAATTATCAACTGAGACTAGAACTCAGGACTTGAAGACGAGCTATAGCAACGAACAGTCATGAAGTATGTAATCAGACTATTGGACCGGCTGTCAGTTCCAAGGCCATGACGTGAGGAAATCTGGAAGTTGGGTCAAGGTAGATTGCGAGCCGGGTAAAGCTCAACATTCACATGTCGGGACTCGCTTATCATGAGGTGCTCCCCTACCTGCATCATGCATGAGCAATTGCCAATTATTGAACGCCGAATGGACTCCCGTTGACCCCATTCGCCCACGATGCCTCAATCGGCAAGCCGGGAACAAGCCCCTAACAGCCACCGGTGCACGATATGTCCGGGTCCAGTTCTGATTAGACGGCTTCTGCGAGAAGGAAGCATATAATTAGGTAATAGAGCAAGCCTCCTTTGAGTCCTTCTGCATCCTACCTCTTTGTCGGTTTGTGCACGTATGGTATGATACGGTATGGTATAGTGTGGTGCTTTACGTGATGTGACTATCTCGGTGGTCTTTATCTTTAAGTAGAGTGTCACCTTCCCATATCACCTTCCCAGTGCGGCCACCTCGAGAGATACTGTAGATACTGAGTAAACCCAGTCCGAGTCCCTCTGTCTAGCGCGAGTGGCTTGCGTGCGAAATCAGAGCACCAGCCGCATCTATTTGTGGCTTGATAACAGACAGTCTTAAAAAGAAGCCACCTAAGGCTGGTGAGGCTCTTTTCTGCACGCAAGCCACTTGCGCTAGACAGGGGGACTCGGACTGAGTTTACCCAGTATCTACGGTAGAGAGTCGAGAGGAGGGAGACGGAAACCCCCAAAACGGTGGTGTGCATAATTCGAATTATGCCGCTGCTAAGAGGCCCATGCAGCCACTAGTCAAACTTCCCCCCCACGCAGACCGGGGCCACGTTCCGAGGGTGGGCACTTGGCAGACCGTGGTTGGTGGGCCTGTTCGTTCCTGGCTTTCTGGAGGTCCCCCTTTTCGTCGCTTTCTTCTGCTCCTCCCACATGCTATCTTTGGTGCTTAATAAGTGCATATGACCTCCCTCTGTCCACGATGCGTCAATGACGAGCGATGATGGCTCGTCGAGTCTGCTCTGATCGTTCCCTTATAATGAAGGTATCGGGATGTTTTCATGGATGAACGGATCTTCCTTCGCTCGCAAAAGTGGAGGGCCACATTCAGCCTGTTGCGTTACGGATCCGCGCCTCTGTCGATCCTGCCATCCATCTGTCCATCCATCTGCCCGTTGGCCCCAGCCATCTTCTATTGTCCGAGAAGGGGTACAAGTGTAACTCTCCTCATCGCATCAGAGGCTCGGTCTGTTATCTCTTGTGTCAGTAGAGGGGACGGTAGGCTACCGCTTCTCTAGGGACCAGAACTGTCCGTTTGTCCACATTGCACAATACCCGCAGTCCCGAGGCCAGCGAATAGTCGTTGGTGGACGGCGATCTACCGGCTTGGCAGTTTTGGGACATCGCGACGGGTCCAGCGGGTTGCAAGTGTGCCCACCGGCGCAGATCCAACATTGAACAGATCCCTATCGTAGCACGGGCAGACGGGCATCAGTTCAGTCCACCGACCGCATCCAGGGGCCCCAGCCCACAGGGCCACAGCAGACGCAGACTCAGCTGCTACAGTGCCCATAGTGATAGGAGAAGAGGCACGGTACGCGATGGGACCACGTTTCGGGGGAGCAGGCACAAGAGGCCCAGACTGCCCAGATGCAGAATACTACCGAAATGCCATGTCAAGTGCGGAGTGGCTGCCAATGGTGAAATATTTTCTTCTCTTTTCGTCGTCAACTTCTGTCGAACATACCACCCTGTCCTCCCTACCTGCCCTGCACGTTCCCTTCTTCTATCTGTTGCTTGCTGGCCGTTATCTTGTTTCGTGTGTGCTCTGTTATACCCCTACTGCGCATTGCGCTTACCTGCTGAGACATCCTCGACCTTATCGCACTGCAGCACTGTTGGCTTTGAGGCCTGAATATTGCCTACATCCACCCGCACCCTCCTTTTCCACGCCGACCAGACGATAACGAGCGCGTCGCCACGGCATAGCAGCATCGATATACACCCAGATACCAATCCGCCAGGCCAATTGCGGGAGACAAGACTCCATACGATCGGAGCACAATGCCCAGCTGAGCCCCCATAGTGCGGAGATAGCAGCGACGCAACCTTACCTCTCTATATATATGATGCGGACGATACCGAACCGATACCTGCCTCTCATCGGCCGCTATGGCACTGTCCTGCTCGCCGCTCTGCTCGTCTACTACATCATTCGCGACCCCGTGACGGCAGCCCTCAGTGGCGCCTCCCGCCGTTCCTCCTCCTCCGTTGGCGTAGGCCAGGGCAAGGGCACCAACACGGACAAATGGGGCAAACCTATCCTAAGCGGCGACGACGGCGTCGACCCTAAAGACCCTATCCTCGGCCCCGCAGCCGCCGCGCAAGGCATTCGCGACCAGAATGCCCAGATACCCGTGGGCGATGACCCTGTACCGCATGTCAAGACCTTCAAGCCCGAACCGCCGCGCTACCCGGAAATCAAAGACCATTTTCCGTGGCTGACGCACTCGCACAAGTCGCCGCCCGTCCCCGAGAACAACCTATCGCCCGTACCACATGTCGAGGAGCAGACACCGCTCTTCATCGGCTTCACCCGCAACTGGCCGCTGCTCCTGCAGTGCGTCAGCAGCTACGTGGCAGCCGGCTGGCCGGCCTCCGATATTTACGTGGTAGAAAACACTGGCACCTTCCGGGCAAACCGGCAACACGAGCTTTCGCTGCAGAACCCCTTCTTCCTCAACCACACGGCGCTGCACCTGTTGGGCGTGAACGTCCTCGCGACGCCGACGCTACTGACCTTCGCGCAGCTGCAGAACTACTTCCTGCACACGGCCCTGCAGCGCAACTGGCCCACATTCTTCTGGAGCCACCAAGACGTCCTGGTTATCAGCGATGAGGACGTCTGGAAGAAGGACCGCGACCATGACTGGGACCACGACCCCTATGCCACCATCTACGAGCGCTGCGTCGGCCTGATGCGCTACCTCTCGGGACCGGACATGCCGCCGTGGGGCACGCACTTCTTCGCATACGACCAGCTTACCCTCGTCAACCGCGACGCGTATCTGGACGTGGGCGCCTGGGATACCCACATACCCTACCAGTCCGCGGACTGCGATATGTATCTAAGGCTGCACTGGGCGGGGTACTGGCAGCCGCAGTCCGAGGCCGGGCTGATCTTCGACGTCGGCACCGCCCTCGACAACATCGGCGCGCTGTTCCGGTTCCCCAGCGCGCACGCCACCTTCGAGGGCGATCTCGTGTTCGCCACGAAGCCGCCCGGCGACAAAGAAGACCAGGCCGCGACCCACTTGCGGCTGCAGCGCGAGGCGGAGCGCCAGCGCGAGGAGGAGATGTACCCCTGGGTCGAGAAGGAGGGCGAGAGCTTCAACCACCTGGTCGAGGTGGCGAACCGCATGCAGGAGATCAAGCTGACGGACGCGGACCCCAAGAGCGCCGGCAGAAGCATCAAAAAGCGGCAGGAGCGGCAGACTGGCGGGCTGGGCGAGCCCTTCTACCGCCACCCGGAGGGCTTCGCGGCGGGTGTCGACATGCTGGACGACGCGGGCCGGCGCGTGTTCGCCGACAAGTGGGGGCACCGTGGCTGCGACCTGCTCGACATGGGCATCGAGGCCGGGGACGCGTGGAGGCTGGAGCGCGACTGGGATATCCGCCAGAGTACGGGGGCGGAGGGGGGGAATTGGGGGAAGGATTGGATGGTTATGGAGGAGGATGAATATGGACCGTGAGAGAGGGATGTCTGTCTTGACTATCACGACGATGGATTTATCGCGGGGATAGGTGTCTACTTGCATATATGTAGAGACCTGGTGTTCGTTGGTCGTGGATAATGGGATCTTTTCTATACATACCCGTCTGCCCACATACTTACGTCTCTACCTACTTGGCTATATCGTAATGCTCGAATCGATGAATGAACGGAGTGATACATGACTGTTGTGCTTAGTGTGACGAAATCTCTGTATGGTGTGGTCTGATGTATTGAAGCCTGGCAGTGTAGGGCCTGGAAAGGTGCTGTTCCATGGTAATCGTGACGAGGACGGTTCGCTCTCTTCCGCTTGTGTGAGGATCTTAAAGAGTAGGACGGCGGAAGTCTCCTTGGGGTGAGTATGGAGTACAGGAGAGGAGGTTAGATACTTGAGAAGACGCTTACGTGTCATTGAGACCTAGACCAGTCGGTCCCCCTTTTCTGACTCCAAGAGTTCCTCGCTCAAGCGCAGTTGAGACACGGCGTTATCTGGACATGGCATCATTCTTCGCTTATAAGTTCTGCCCTGGCCTGTTAGGACTCCTATAGGACTGTTGCCTGGGAAGGGTGTGTATTGACACAGCCTAGCTCTGCATTCCTCCGGTCGTCGGTCACTTATATCAAAAGACGACCTTTGAGATCAGGCAGATTCAGAGCTGGCTTGTTCTTCCAAGCACCTTGGCAGGCGAGAAAATGTATTTGCTCCAAGCTACACATTGGCACTGTTGCCGTCCTCGCAATTCGGGCTTGCGCTTGGTGCCAGTGCAGAGTATGATTCGAGATGACATATCTCTTGAGAATGACATACGCAGGTCCCTACTGGCGTCCTGCATCTCTGGCGCCGGCCGCACATTCGCAAGGTCGACGAATTTTGTACCACTGAGTAGTCTTACAATCTTTAGATACATAGCGACCTCGAAGTCTTTCCAACAGACCGAGAGAAAAGCCAAAAAGCTGACTTCAAAAGCTATATAGACAATGAGCTTCTTGGCTTCCAATAATTTCCGCTCCAGAGACCTTTCTGGGCTCGGGATTTGGGACATGAAGAAAGCATGTGATCGCATGTTCGTCGTCTACCAACAGCGTCTATGGGGGAAAACCCGCAAGAGTGCTAGCCAAGCAGCCACAGCGTCATTCGTGGCGAGGTAATGCAAATTGCAATGCTGAGCGTTGGTGATGTTGGAAATGTACTGATGCGAAGACGTGGAGATGTCCTTTCCTCTTGGCCCTCAGCTGAATGCTGGAGTATTTTTGAAGCTGAAACTTCCCGTCAGGGCAACATGATGTCATGCCGTGCCACAAGAATCTTCTGAGACGCAACGGATGAGAGATCGTCTCCCAGGAATTCAGATAAAGTTGCAAGGCCTGCATGATTGTGGAACTGCCGTCTTTCGCAGTCCGAACGGCTGCAGTCCGGCCCCCCTTTTGGGAGGGCGCTGAATGCCGGAGCATTTTTAAACGCCGACTTTGGTCGGTAAGCCTCCCGAGATGCAGCGCACACCGAGGGCGTCAGCAATGCCGTAGAGCGAGAACGAAGGCGAGAACGACGAATGCATGATAATCTGAAGCGCTGGCACAGCTTACCGGATGAGGACGCTTTCGCTGGCACTGGACGTTCATGGAAGCATCACTTACAGGGCCAAGGGTGCTGCCGCTTGCGTCTCTGATATACTTGACATCTCATGCGCTTGGCCGTGGGTCTATCTATAAGTTATCTGTAGCCGGCCAGTGACAGAAGCCTTGCGTATGTAATAAGTTGCCTATATGCTCTGGTGATATGTTATAGATGCGCCGTGCAGAAGAGAGGTGTCACTTGGCACCCAATCGTGATACACATTTACTGCTGATGTTTTAACCCCTTCCAGGGTCGTCTCTCAGCCTCACACCTGCAGATGGCGTAGGGGGCGCATAACCCTACCTTTCTTTGACTGCCGATGTCACTTCACAACAGCCGCGTCTTACTTGAGCATGGAGGCGCAAACTGAAAGTTCGCTGTGCGATGGCTTGAAGGCAACGACGTACCTGGCTCCCGCTCAGCCAGACCGACCATTGGTGAACGACTTTACCTAGGTCTTCGATGACGATCAATCATAAATTTCCTCGGTCCGGTCGGATGATACACAACCATCGTTGGGCTGTCGAAGCTGCCGAAATTCTCAGATATGGCAGACGTGCAGGAGCCGCAAGGTGCCAACTCGAGATCCAGCCCAAGCAGCCACATCAAAGGACTACCCTGACCTACCTGTGGATGGGCCGAAATAAGCCACTATTCGTAGTGATCAACGGCTTATTCCCTTCCACAACTCCTCCGGTCCCCATTGAAAGGACAGTGGCATATACCTATGGTTGTGTCACGGCACTAGATAACTGTTATCTAGTGCCGTGACAGGTTGCTACCAAGGATTAGCAGAAATGATATTCGGCATGCGGATTCCCGAACTCCTCGCTGTGCGGACGAGCGCCCGGCGATGATATGGTTAGGTTGAGCAGGACTGGGATCAGCAAGAGGGTTTACTATATTCAGCAGTTGCTGAAGCTGCGAAGCGGACAACAGATGTTGATGAACATTTCTTGTCAACGTCATACAAGCGCCTCCATGCTGCAGGCCACGCTTCACTTCGGACTTCCTGTCTGGTAAGCATGGGCGCCCGATGATGATTGCACGAGATACTCGAGGGCACATTCGCTTGTGAGAATGTCGTCAGCACCAAGGGGAGATATCTGATGAATGGTAATAGAACATGGCCGACTCCCTCTGTCAAACAAGTACTTATACCAACTGTTTCCGCCAGTCTTCCATATAAGGCACACAAGTCATCGGAGCTCGACTCGAAAGCAATACAGAAAAGACAGCATTCAACTATATCTACTTGACTTCCATTGAATTCTGTTCACATTGTTTGAGCCGAGAAGTTGTGCTATAGGCGCCTTGGTGTCCTTCCGTTTTATTGCTCCGAGACAGAGAGCTCTAGTCAACATGACGTACGAATCGGATATTGAGAAAGGGGCCATGAAACCTATGGCGGCCCCGTCGACCCTACGAGGGTCATCTACAGGGACAAGAACACCAACAACACGAGCAGGCTCTTGCAGGAGCTCGGTGGATAAGGTCGAGGAAGGGGTTCAACCAACTCCAGAGCAGGCTGTGCTTCCAGAGCAACTCGGATCGGAATTGTCTCGCAAGCTTCGCCGTAAGTTTCCTGGTCGTCACCTACATGTCGGGTTGGAACTAACGAATACCAGACAAGTACGCGAGTTCGTACCGAAAAACCTTTGGCGTGATCTTCACCGCGAACCTCTCTGTCTTCCTTGCGTTCATGATCCAGTCGAGAGGAAGCCCGAACTCGCGAGACGTGGGTAGTGCCGCGTCCGCGAATCTCATGGTCTGCATTCTGTTCCGGCAAGAGGAGTTCGTCAACTTAGTCTACGAGATATTCGTCCGCGTTCCTCACTCATGGCCTATCTACATTCGAAAGCGACTCGCAAAGGTCTTCCACTACGGAGGCTGCCACTCTGGTGCAGGGACAGCCGCTGTCGTCTGGTACCTGCTCTATACCATCTTGGCCACCAAGGAGTGGATCCAGGACACTCAACGAGATCAGCTAATCAACATGACGACCAGCTGGATCTTGGTGATAATGTTCATCATCATCTTGTCATCAGCACACCCCAGCCTGCGGAGAAATACCACGATCACTTCGAGGCCTTCCACCGATTCGCTGGCTGGACTGCTCTGATCACCTTCTGGGTCCACAACATCGTCTCTGCCAACGTCACAGCGCGACAATGGCAGACCAGCCTCGGTCATGTCCTGCTGATATCCCCGAACTTCTGGTTTATCTGCATCTCCACCTCGTGCACCATCGCCTCCTGGTCTCGTCTCCGTCGCCGCGAGGTGTACCCAGAGAAGCTCAGCGACCACGCCACTCGTCTGCACCTCAAGTACCGAGGAATGCAGCCCTTCTACGGGGTCAAGATCAGCGACAAGCCCCTGACCGAGTGGCACGCCTTTGCCACGATCCCTGACGTCGACCCCGAGTCTGGCAAGATCACCGGCTTCAGCATCGTCGTGTCTAACGCCGGAGACTTCACCAAGGAGCAGATCATGAAGCCGAGCGAGCGCAAAATATGGGTTCGCGGGGCTCCCCTGCACGGGCTTCTCTACACCTCCAGACTATTCAAGAGGATCGTGGTGGTTGCGACAGGGTCCGGTATTGGCCCCTGTCTCTCGCTCCTGTTCGCCGATGTCACGCCGCGGCGTGTGCTCTGGAGCTCGCGAAAGCCCGAGACCACTTACGGACCGCAGGTCGTGAGCCAAGTCAAGAGGGCAGACCCCAATGCGGTCATCTGGGACACCACGGCCAAGGGATACCCTGATATCGTGCGCGAGACGTATCAGCTCGTGCACGAATCTGACGCCGAAGCCGTCTTCATCATTTCCAACCCCAAGGTCACGGAGAAGGTGGTCTTCGGCTTGCAGACACGCGGCATCCCTGCCTATGGAGCCATCTTTGATTCTTAAGGGACCAACTTGGAAGTCACGTCTTGAGCCGCAAGAGCACAGGCGCTGTTCCCAGAGGATTTTTGGACACTTATGCGACATAGAAGCAGTGTATCGTGTCATTGCGAACGATGATACGAACATGTGGGATGTCATTCAGGGGGTCAACTGTGGGGATATGAGCGTGCGGCGGGGAGCTGCTCGTGTACTTCCATCCATTTCTCTCGTTTTCTTTCGGGTTCATATAGTTCCCTGCCCAACATCCTTCTGGGCGAAACATGTTAAACATGTAGGCGGCGCGCTTTTGAATAGACTCCTGGGATATGGGACTGCTCTGAAGCACGATGCTGCGATGTCCAAAGCTTACATTAGACATAGATCTACCACATCTCAGAAATGAAACTTATCTTTATCTTCATCAACTTGGCTTGGAATCGCTTGTGTGTTTTGCCGTCCAGAACTGAGTCGAGTAGGCCTGCCTGTCGACCCACCCATGCAATATTGCCAGGTCCTGTGCTGGGTCTTGCATTCTGGCGTGCCCGACTGGGAGACGGTGGCGAGGGGGCCGAAGGTCTGCCAAATGCTCGCCAATGTTGCCATGTCGAACTCCCTGTTGCGGCGGAGTCATATATCGGCAATACCTATCATGACCTTTGGTTTGGCGAACGGATTCATGAAGGTGAGCCTCGATGTCTGCTTTCCCACTGGCCACTTGTTTCAGTCATAACGTTGTTTAGGATTATGCTGGTGGTTTTGCGCACATAAAATACACATATAAGATAGTATCAACTAACTAGAGTGCTTGCGCTTGTGAGCACCCTTGGTCTCATGAAGGTTTATCAGGCCGAAGACTGAATACTTTGGTGCGAAATACGCAGCGACTTCATCGTTATTCTAGGAAGTTCACCCTCAAATAAAGTGGATATGTCTCTTCGTGTTCGACACCGTTATGTAAACTATGTAAACTGCCTCTCAATGCAGGATCATGAGATAAGATGCCCATCCACTTGCTGTATCTGCTATGGAGATACGACTACGGCTCGTCCCACCAGACTCCCAGCCCTCAACTGATCATAGGCCTTCTGCACGTTGTCAAACGAGAATTCTTGGACGTCAACCCTCAACTTGCCTTGCTTGACCAGCGCGCAAACCTCCCTCAAATCTTGCCGCGTGCTGCCAAGGCTGATGGCAAACTCGCAACTTGTGGCGAGCAGGCCCCAACTAACTCCAAGCGTGCCTCCCTGCATTCCCAGGAGGACGACACGTCCACGGGGGCGAGATACCGCCGCTGCTAGCTTCAGAGTCTCCGCAGTGCCCACGAAGTCGACGATGGCGTCAACGCCTCGACTCTTTGTCAAAGACATGATCTGCTCGGAAGCCCTCTTGCCATCATCCTCGAATCGCACCGTCTCATCTGCTCCGACATCTCTTGCCACCTTCAGCCGACCTTCTGCATTGTCCACTGCAAATACCCTCGCTGCCGTCATCAGCTTGATGAACTGGACGCCGTAGGTACCTAGGCCGCCTATACCTATCAGCGCCGCGCTCGTGCCGGGCTTGAGCCGCTGCACCACGTTCTGTATCGCATGATAGGCAGTGACAGCAGCATCCGTAAGCGGTGCGTACACCACAGGGTCCCCATCCACAATGGAGATGGCCTCAGTCCGCGGCACGACCAGAAACTCCGCCAGCCCGCCGTCAAGGCCGCACCCACGCGTCATACAGATAGCGCCCCGTCGAAACGCCTCACAGTGCTGCTCCGCGCCATCGGTGCAATACTCGCAGTTCGAGCAGTGTCACATGTGATGCACGACGACCGCCTCCCCAACAACTAGATCGGTGACGCTGCTGCCGAGCTCGGCGACGTAGCCCGCGTTCTCGTGGCCCAGGATGTAGCCTGCGTCGAAGGAGTTGGCAAAGGGCTCAGAGCCGGGCTGGCTGTCGACCATGTCCAGGTCGGTGTGGCAGAGGCCCGCGGCTTTCATGCGGATGAGGACTTCACCGGGGCCGGGCTGCGGCTTGGGCACGTCGACGTATTGGCCTGGGGCGCCCCATTGTACGAGTTTGAAGGCTTCCATCATGGTAGGGAGATTGAGGACACGAGAGACTGGAATATGGAGTTTGACGGGCCGCAACTTCTGTCACTTAGTGCGAATGATGGGGTGTTTAGCTATGCCTACTATGTTTCCAGTTGATACGGAGCCCATATCTTATATCCTGCAGATGTGTCTGAGCTGCAAAAGGGGGAGTGGGCCAAGACTGGGGACAAGCGGAGTATCACCACGCCTCTACGAGTAAGATTGCCTTATGCACTGTGCCAACTCGTGTGCATGAGAACGCAGACGCATAGTCCCACCCTACGATATCGTCCGACGCAGGTCGATGCCGGTGGATAACACGGCAAGGTTACAGCTGGGCTTGACATAACGAGTCTCCTGTCCTCATCGCGGGTGCGGACCAACGCTCGAGCAGGGAAGAGGCTGGCGACTACCATGATGTGTCTAGCACACGGGAAGAATGTCTCGTAGGAGAACGCCCGACTCTGCACTACCGGAGATATCGCAGTCGCTGGCGTCCAACCCCAACACATCGGCCTGGGGCGTCAGGCTGAAATAACAGGGAGCCACACTGTCCGCGGCGCAGATTTCAAACCAAGGACCAGAACTGGAGCTCTGAAATGGCGTGGTCACCTCGTGTCCAATATCGACGGTAAGGCGGGTAAGGTCACCACCCAGGGCGACATCGATACAGATGTCGTGACTTCGGGGAACGAATCCGCACTCATCTCATCAGGGGCTCTAATGCTTCCAATAGCAGTCTATGAGAACAAAGTACAGTTCTACTAATGGACGGCGCCTCAGGGGGTTACTATCTTTGCCTGCTCTATTCGCCCGCATCCTCAGCGTGGTATCTGCTGGCAGTGAGCCCTTTGACTTTAGATCTAAACGAGAAACAGAACGACGTCTCCCTACGACTAAGCCTTGCTCATCCATTCAGGCACAACCTTCTTCGCAAAGCGCATGAACTTCCAGAATCCCACAGCATATTCGACGTTGCCATGCGGGTCGGTTACGCGTTCCGGGAAAGCTATACCGGCTCCGAATAACCGAGGGACATACTCCCGATCCGTCTTACTTCTTGAATCCGAACTCTTGAAGAAGCGGCCTGTCACATGATCGAATTCGACGTGCAAGGGCTTGGTAATAGTGGTATCTCTCTCGACGATCTGCAGATCCGGTAAGGGATTGCGGTTGTAACCAACAGCTTGAATGATATGGGTGCAGTCGGGGAGCTCCGCCCGGTAGACCTGGTCTTCATTGCCCGTCGTCCAGTGCTTGGTAATGATCTTGCTCACGAGACTGCTCTGGAACGTCTCTTCGTCAAGGTTTTGGCGGGCCCAGTCAGCTGCCTGACCTTTGAGGCCCGTGTTGTCACGCAGAATCCAGCCGTCCATGAACTCGGCATAGCGCAGCTTGTTGCGTGTGAACCACTTGACGCGCAGCTGAGGATGAGACGAGCTGGCCATGTTGACCAGGTTCATTAGCACCAGTATAGCCGAGTGGGAGGCGCCTATGACAGCGACTGTGGCGGGCTCCCTGTGGTCAAGAGTCTGGTCTAGGAGCGTAGGTTTGAGGGCATAGTCCAAGTCGACCGGCTTCAGGCTCAGGGAAGATATTTTCTCCAGGCTAGGTATTGTCTTCGAGATTGGGCTCGAACCAGTGCAGAGCACCAGATGGGACGTTGTCACCTTTTCTCCATTATGTAGTGTGACTTTCCAGACGTTGCTTTGCTGTGAGAATTTTAGCTTCTGTCGCACTACAATAGCCTGGGGTGAGTCACATACCTCGTCAAGGACGGCAGCCTTGATTTTGCTTCGCCGTTGTTTCACGTCTGGGTGTTGCGCCAGACCCTCTGTGAGCATGAGGCACATGTCGGCAGCGTAGCTAAGACGGCAGCCCTTATCCTGGGGCAGGGCTTGCAGCGCGGTTACGGCATTGGGTTTTGGGGTGGCATCGACAATGTCCCGAAAAGCTGAGACCTCGTTGGCAAACTGTAGGAAGAGCTTGACGTTCGTGTTACTAGGCACCTCACGGTACCTAGAGTTGACCCGGCCAGCCTCAAAATGAGGGTCAACCCAAAGGAACTTTCGCGCTGAGAGGTGTGGTGACTGTTCCAGCAAGTTGCCGAGGACAGTGATGCCGCCGGGTCCTGCTCCAGCTACGACAGCGCCCGTAGCAGGTGACGGGGCTGACGTAGAATAGCCATATGCGCCACTCTTGATACTGAAATCCCCAAACCCACGAGGCCGTGCATTCCAAGTGCTATGAGGATGAGGCAAGCATACTTTGAAGGCTCGCGCAGGTCTTGCCATTGTCCAAAGCACAGGGCGAGTTCGGCGTATGGCGGGAGTGACGGAGATAAGCCGAAGGGTTTTTCGGAGTAGGAAGACAAGAATCTGGCCAGGGGTACACTAGCACGCGTTAGGCTGTATTGGGCGTAGCTCATATAAAAGTGGATATGATTACTGTCTTGAATGTGGGGCGCCTTTCAGAGTCACGATGCATCTCAGTTGTACAACTCGTCATCGTGATCGTATTACTTGCTCTGTGCTTTGAGCCGCCGATAAACATGGCCAGTTGAATCAAGGTACGAGAAGTGGCAGGTGAAGTGGGAGGACCCTGTGTAGCCTGACGCCTCGACCTCTACCGGTAAACGGTGCGTCACCTAACCCTGCTGCTTCTGCCAACCCCCCTATCATCATTTTCGATCACTCTCTCTGGCTGCGCTATGGGATCAAGACGTGGCATTGAAAGGTAGCTATGCGCCCACTGAGTTGTTTAGCTACCTCCTTCTCACGCTCTTCGGTACTTACGTTATCTACCAGCTTCACGTTGTCGGATACCTCATTGGTGCCGATGCTGATAGGCCACGCCTAAATCATGACTGGGTTCCATTCGGCAGTCAGAAACTAGTCTAATTGTGCTGGAACGAGGTGGCCTGATCACTGGGTTCCAACAAGTCGAAGTCGTATGTCTTCAGAAATTGGATGAGGAATTGCTTCAAAATGTGCAATGCAATCAATCTATCTACCTGGGCTGTTGCAGGACGTCAGACCAATTTTGGAAACATCAACGCTATGTACGCAACGGGTGGCTGACACTTACGGCCCCCTTCTCCTTCAAACGAACTTCTCAACCTGCTTCTCACTCCACTCCCAGAAATTACGCGCCAAGTCAACACCTCCCTCAGCCTCCGGACCGGCTGCAAGCTGCAGTTCCTTGCAGATAGCCTGGAAGCGTCCGAAAGGGAAGATGTAGTCCCCAGCCTTGTCGGCAGTAACTTCAGGAGAGAGACCAGCAAACAATTCCGTGTACGCGCCTTTGACAACGGGGTAATGCATGAGCGCAACCTGCACTCTCGTCAGGAAGCTCTGATGCTTGAACAAGTCCGATCGTAGGTTGCCAGGGTTCACTGGCACGCCCAGAACCCCGTCCGCCTTGTACCGCTTCGAGAGTTCGACCCCGTAAGCCCACACGCCAACCTTGCTGAGAGCATATCGTTGAATGCTCGACCTAGGATGATGGTAGTCCAGGTTGTCTAGGTCGATACCAATGCGCTTTTCGTGGAACATCTCGGCTGCGAATGAAGACACGAAGACGACGCGAACCTCGTTGGACCACGTGCCTCTGTCCGCCGCCGTAGCCAAGAGGGTCGGCATCAGCAACTTGGTCCAGAGAAAATGCCCCAAGCAGTTCACGCCAAGCTGCCTCTCGTAGCCCTGCGCTGTCTTTCCAATACTGGCGTCATCATTGGCCATGTAGCCGGCGTTGTTGAAAAGAACGTGGAGCTTTGACTCCGCTGTGATGAAGCGCTCTGCAGAGTCCTTGACCGACCGTAAATCCCCAAGATCTAGAGGCAAGAATACCAAGCTCCCCGTGGAGCTGGGTTCAGTGCCCCGTATGTACTTGATAGCATCGCGTTCTTCTCGAGCAGCGAGGTAGAACTTTCGCATTCTTCGAATAGAGTATGCGAGAAAGTTCTCTGTCAATTCCCCACGTACTACCCGTTACGATGTAGACCTGTTGAGTATAATTGTTAAGTTCGAGCGCTGCGTGGCCTCCGGCCGTGGATCGAGAGCTTAGCCCACCTTGCCGTTCAGATCGGGTGTATCCTTCTCCGTGAACGCGGGCGCCGGGGGGAAGCACTGCGTCCAGCCGCTGGATATTGTAGGTGGCATAGTTGGACGGGTGAACAGAGACAGAATTTGACCCGAAGAAACAGTGTAGTTCACAGCCCAAGATGTTCAATCGGCGGTGCTGTTTATCAATAGATACTACCCCTCCAAGTCTTTCCTGTTCCGCCTTCTTTTGCCAAGTGTGCCATCTTGAGGTCAGCCAATTTGACTGCGCCAACCAACTACTCTCCACGGGTAATCAGACATTTACTCGGTGGTAGTGTCTAACAATTAAAATGTGGGTTGACCGCCATCTGGGACAGGCAATTGGCTACAATCCTAACTGCGCTAAAACCCACGTACTCAGCGCCCAAGGGGATATTTGCAGCGGTGTCGAAGTGGGGCTGACCCCCGTGGGGGCACCGTGGGGGATGGAGGATCGAAGAGCCTCAGGCAAGTTTTATGATACTCGACCTCTCCAGGCGGATGAGGCCTGAACGATGACCGAAGATATAATGAATGTCGAGTCTCTAGGTGACTACTATACTATTGACGGGATATCCTCCAATATCGCGTGATACCATGAGCCCCTTTCGGCTCTGGTTTAACGGTTGTGCATCGACGATCAGCGGAGCGTTTCCTCCTGGCCAATCAAGTGGTGCTGCTGGCCCCGTTCCGGTCGACAGCGGGAGTGGCCGAAGCTATGATGCAGCACTTGGGCGCTTGACAAGGACCCGACCAGTTCCATTTTCGTGTTCCCAAGCCCAACCTTCTTCGGCTTCTTCCTTTCAGCAGTCTGAATAGTAAAACTTCAAGAGAAGCGACTCAGGCACTAAGTGCCAAAAACACACTATGGTCCGTCTTTGGCACAGCGCCTTTGAGCGCGATTTCTTCTCTATACGTCGCCTGTGGCTATTCCCCGTGGTCGCCGGGTCTTGCTGGTTCACGACACTCACCATCCTGCTGATCCGCTGGCTCGCCATCGGCCGCCCTCAGTATCCTAACCAAGTGAATCCATACGTGCCATTCATCAGCGACATCGCCGCGCAGACTTTCCAGCCCGTCTTCATCGTGGGATGCGCCGTGACCGGCCTATCATTCTTCGGCACCGTGTTCGCTGTGCACCATGTGCGATATTCACCCAAGTTCTACGGCCTGACCGACGACGCCCAGTGGCGGCAGGCCGTGTCGATGGTGGCGCTCGTTGCTGGACTTGCCGGCGCCGTTTCTCTGGTGCTGCTCAGCATCTTCGACACCGACGATGCCCATAAGCGCCATCGGTACCTCTTGATGGCCACCTTTGGAGGCTTGTTCGTCAGTGCCGTTACCACCACCTTCGTGTGGTGGGACCAGGCCCGGGGCCCAGTCGTCTTCGCAGGCTTACGGAAGTGGTATGCGTCTTTGCTGCAAAGGCCTGCAGGTCGATCACATGTGTTGACTTTATCCGCAGGTGCCGGTTCAACATCTCCCTGGTTCTTTGCCAGTTCGCCGTAGGTATCGTGTTCCTGAGCACCATGTACGCGGGCGATTACAGGGTATCGGGCATCTTTGAGTGGATCCTCACGTACCTGGGAGCGTTCTGGCTGGTGTCGTTCGTTGGTTACACGAGGTGAGCATGGTCCTTCAATTCGAGGCACGCATTTTCGCTGACAAGATCTAGATTCCGGGAAGGTCAAGATCCCAAGGCGACTGATGGAGACGAGCGACAGCCACTACTGGCATAGCCTCGGTCCCCCTATTTCGCTTGAGAGCGTGAAATCATCGAGTTTCGGGAACACTGTATCTTGAGGTACCCTCAACTGAGCTACCGTACAAGGTTCTCACCGATCAAAATGAAGGGTCCACTGGGACTATGTCTCCCGTCCTCCTCCACGCCATCTGACGCATTTCGATCATCCTCTTCCTCATCCTGGCCGAGTAGTACCTTATAGAGTAGCACGATTTCAGGATCTAGCGGATCTTCGATGTCGAGATTAATTGCGTTGCTCACCATCAGCCCATGGGCCTCAAGCTGACAGTTGATCGCGTCGTGGAAACGTTCACCACGGAACGTTATGGACACTGGGGCCCATATCACCCGAAACGCCGTTGAAATAGTCCGCCCCACCCCCCGACGTGGGAGACCGGGACTATTCCGCAACACCACTTCTGCCAATAACTCTTCCATTCGGAGGGGCACTACACTGCGCCCTGCGGCTCCCGGTACGACTCCAGGAAACAAGATCTCGACCGCGTCTCCCAGCCTAAACGATACGTCCGTCCACACGGGGCTTATGCCAGACGGCGGTGGTTGTTGCACCAGCATCCGTCTCCACGTTGCATCTTCGTTCTCTTGGCCCGTATCTCTAATGAATCCGCCATGCGTCGGGCTTTATCGTTTATCGGTGCCACGCCCCGAGAGATGAGCTGCAGCGGATCATCTACCCCAGGATCGAGATGCGGGAAGCAGCAACGGAAGATGCCCGCAAGCAGGAGGTTCGGCGTCTCGGCTGCTTGATAGTCGGGTTCGAAGAATAGCGCTTTCTGAAGCGCTGGGGATCGCTTGATGAGATCATGCCAGTAACGGCTTACTCTCTGGGCCGAGACAAGCAGCGTTCTCGTATCGAGCCTTAATAGTATCGCTTCGAGGAGCTCGGGATATGTACGGTCTTCTCCATTGCACTTGGGCGCGGCATCCTGGTCATTCTGATATTGGTGGCTGGCTTGGCGTAAAAGGGTTACGTTTGCATAGGGAAAGTGGGGATCTTGGGTACTCTGGTCTAGACGACAGGATATTTATAGTAAGAGTAGGCTCTCAGTGTCGCATACAACCACTGAAACATAGACGTGACTTTGCATCATGAGTGCTTAAGTGCTGTCTTTTCCAAGTCATAGGCTGTCCCTGAAGCTCATGCCGTTTGGTGACTTATGCCTACATGCAGCCGCCGTCACAGCACATTATTAGCGCCTAGTACGTCCACAATGAGCATGCACTATTCGAGTTCCAACAGAAGAATAGTCGAAGTCCACCTTGAATGAGATGAGATACTTCTTTCAATGTGACGATGGTGCCTTCCACAAAGATGGTAGATACACTGCACCTTCAGAAGTCTTCGTACACCCCTTATTTGCTAAGCAAAAGGTGTATTCAAAAGTTGACAGGAGTATGACGGACGGAAACTTATGATGGGTGAGTGTATCCCGCCCGAACATAGGAAGTGAAGTATCGTATCACCTTGTAACCCGACAACAAGCCGCCCAATTTTCGAGCAAGATTCCCACCCCGGCAACGAAAGCTCGCTTCTCGGAATGTCCCATCCCAGCTGCGTTTACCGTGAAACCCCAACCCAGCGACTGACTACCCAGGTCACGTCTGTAGCCCACACATTCACAACACAAACCGATCATACCCAGACCCAAAATGCACCACAAGCCCCCACTCATCCATAGTCCGCCCCGCCGCGTCGTCCGTCGTCAATCTCAGCTGCGCGACCGCCGCCGGCAGCGGCGCCCAGTAGACGCAGAACGCCGCGAACCGGGGCATCGCGGTGCCGGTCCAGACGTGGTCGCTGTCGAAGATGGCGCTGACCACGTCTTCCATGCGTATCTCTGATCCAGCCCCAGCGTTTGAGTTGTTGGTGGTGCCGCCCTGAACGATCCAACACCGCGCGATTGCGGATTCGCCGCCCCAGTTCGCGCCGACGACGAACCCGACGGTCGTGTGCAGCGGTGGCTGCCGGAGCAGCATGCGGCGCCACGACGCGGCGGCGGCACCGCCGCGCGTGAAGGCCTGTTCGCCGCGAGGGGTCCAATCTAGCATGCGGAAGAGGAGGTCCGCGAGCCGCAGGCCGGGGGTGCGTTCGGTGGTGTCGAAGGTGGCAACTCTTGTGATGGGAACGGGGGTGCTTGGGTGCCCTGGGGGAAGCAGAGGGGGAAGGGGCCGACGAGCAGCGGGTTGGGGGTTGGATCGTGCGCGGCTGGGTCGGCGCGGAAGAAGAGTCGGCGTTGGAGGAGGGGAGAGGTGGTGATGGTGGTGTGCCAGGGGTGGTCTACGCGCTGTGCGGATACGAGGAGGGTGCGCGTGTCGACGTGTAAGAGGATGGCCTCGAGCAGCTCGGGGATCGCGAGGGCTCTCTGCGTTGCTGGCTGGGTTGGTGGTAGGCCGGCCATTTTGTGCGTTATGTGTTGTGCTACGTGTGTATTATGTATGAAGACAGCCTCAAGTTGGTTGGAGCTTTGAATTATATAGAAAAGCACATCACGAAAATTCGATAGTGATCCCAGCTACAATGGCTGAAGATGCAAGATTGATGAGTCGGCTCAGCTGTCAATGGGCTGCTGACCGTCATGCCCCTGATGTATAGGAGGTGATTATCGATGTAGTACCCCTTGCAATTTGCTAACATTAATACTGGTATCTCTTAGGTAGTGAGTAGGCCGTCCACCCAATGCACGGCCGTTGAATCAGAAGAATCGCCAAATTGAGTTGGGGCCCTTGGTCTTCTTGAACCGACTGTACAAGTGGCATAGGGGAGACAATATCGCCAACGTGATAGCCCACAGACCGAAGTACACCCAGAGGTTGTCTATGCCAATCGCAGGCTTCTGCATCACCGGATCTTCGAAGCCCATGTCGTGGCCGTACAATCGGGTCAAGAGACCACCCAGCGAGAATAGCATGAACTGGTGAACTATGTAGAAGAATAGCGCTGATGTGCCGTACGCAAGCAGGATCGAGAACCGCGATGCGATACGAGGGGGGATGACATCAAAGAGCGTAAGTAGAAGTAGGTTTGCTGCCATCGTGAACGAGAAGAATGCGACGTCCGGCGGATACTTCGTTATGTAGAAAAACGACTTGGGGGACACCAAATATTGGTTCGTGCCAGGGTGTGCAGTGTGTTCTGCCGTCTGCAAGCAGCCCGTTGATAAGTTTCCGAAGTCGAACACGCGTGTAAAGACGAAGAAAAGTCCGAACGCAAGAGCCGAGAGTAACGTGGCTAGCCTGATGGTTTTAACGGACCACGGCCGAGCGAGGATGAGACGACCGTACAGTAGGCCGAGTATGGAGAAGGATATCCAGGCGAGCGGCGGGAAAGCAGATATAGCCCCGATTTCTTGGACCACCCAGAACCATATTCTTAGAATAGGGCTGTCGGGAATGATCTTCGCGGTTACTGGTTTAGTTCCTGCTGAGCATCGACCATGAGTTGGGGAGAGCCAGATATTCCACCAGATGGTAACCCCAGTCAGCGCCAACAAGACGACGTTGTGAAGATGCCATGACAGATCGGCCGCCCATTTCTCCTTGGCGCTAATCTTCACGCCATTGCTCATGGTTAGCAATGGCTGCGTGGCGTCGTCGTCCTCGGTATCCTCCGGGAGGCAAGCTGCAAATCCACGCGCAAGCACCGGCTCCGTTTTGCTGATAACAAGCCACAGCAATCCTGCCAGTAGGTAATCGATGGCCAAGGAGAACAAGACGACGTTCAGGAACCATATGCTGCCTCCGGACACGACGACGCCCATGAGCACACAGAGGAGGGTCAGCACGACGGCGCGGATGACAAAATGCCATACCATCTGGAAGCCAGTCCAACCGAGCCTGGCGCGAGATCGACCGAAATAGACGACTCCCATTCCGAGGAGGAAGGTGAATCCCGGAGCGCAGAGGTGTGTGAGTGTTCGTATTGTGTAGGCGATTGGGCGATTCCATTCGTGCACGACGGCGCCGTCCCCTTCGCCCACGCGACCTTGTCCATGCTCCCAGGCATTCAGGGCGAGGACGTTGTGATCGAGGGCCATGAATACCATGAGGAGACCTCTCAGTAGGTCGGGCGCGAGGGCTCTTGTCGCAACTGCATCGGTGTTGGCGGCCGGCTTCCTCGTGACGGCTTCTTCAGCGTTGTCACTAGGCCGGTCAGCATCTTCATCTTGCTGCCCGGCTGTTCCGTAGTCGCGGCCGTTTACCGGTTGGCCGGGTCTGTTTGCGATTTCAACATCGTCGCTGTTCATTGTCTGCCCTTCTCCGTAGGTGAACTGGTTTTCTTGAATGCGGTCGGCCATTCTGATGGTGGACTGCAACTCCACTCAACGGGATGTAGTTGATGAGTGACAAGTGACTGATGAATCCAAGACGCGAAAGAAGGACTGCGAATTTAGAGAAGGACGGCCGGGTCGTCTAGTGTAATCCAGCTTAGGGCCGTGTGGACGTGCCACAGCGCTCGGTCTCACATCATCGTCACCCCCGTAGTGACTAACACGCACTGTAATAATAAGGTACAGGTAGCGAAACAGTGGAGACTTGGAACTTTACAAATTGCAACCACCCGCTAAAATCTGACAACATCGCCAACGATGAATAATCAACAGAAGTACTCACTCAGCTACCTATTACTTCCACCACCATTCATCATCATCAAATTCAATTCATGGTTATTAATCATGTTGATTACGAGTGTTTGAGATTCAAGAAGTACGATGCTGTCAGATCAAGGAGACATGTCATTTCGCCGCAACGGTACCGGTTCAGCCCTAATGCGACTCCTTGTGCTCGACCTCCATCGCATCCTCCGACGTCGCCGCCGCGTAAGGGTCGACGTGGGTCGTCGAGAACTTACTGGCAGGGATCCGCATGGAGAATAAGATGTCGAGCTCTTCGTACGTACGACCCTTGACCTCCGGCAGCCGGAAATACGACCATACGAAGACGACGAATGCGGTGCCTCCCCAGAAGAATCCCGACTTTCCGCTCCAGTTCCACTCGGTCGGGTTGATCATGTACGCATTTAGAAATTGCGAGATGATGTTGACGAGCTGATACGACGTCCGCGCGAGCACCACAGAGAGCGGTCTGAGGCGGACCGACGACGTCTCCGAGATGTAACTGTACTGTTTACAATATCAGCTTGTTGTCCGCGCCTGCGGGGAAGGACGATTAAGACCTACAGCCAGTGGACCGATGGTCAACGAGTAGATGAACAGCCAAAGCACGCAGAGTCCACCTGAAGGCCAGAGGCCTTTATCGCCCGCTGACACATCCAATATGCCGATGATGAGTAGGATGGCGCTGAGGAGCCCCATGCCGCCAATGTACAGAGGTCGCCGGCCCCAGTATGTGATCAACCACCACGACCTAGGGAGGTATCAGTTGGCTGTATCCCGTCTGGCAACGACGTGTAACTACTCACAGGATAGTTCCGATGAAGGCTATTGCCTTGGCACCCAGACTCAGGTTGAACGACTGAGCAGTGTCCAGGCCGGCAGTAGTAAAGAAATAGGTTGGGGTGTAGGCGAAGCTACTTCCGGACAGGATCTGGCCCGCAAGTGCCATGCAGACAATCTCAGTTCGGCGCAAGTTGACGCCCTTGAAGCAGTCCAGATACGTGCCGCCCTTCGTCTCTTCAGCCTCCAGCTTGGTCGTGTGGATCATCATGGCGAGCTGGTTGTTCATCTGCTCCTCTGTCTTGTTCCCACTGAGCCGCTTGATCGAGTGTCTCGCTTGCTCGAGGCGCTCGGTGCGGACTAGCCACCAGGGACTTTCGGGCGATAGGTAGGCAACAATCATGAGAGGAGTAGGCCATAACTGCAGATGACACTGATCAGTACGGCACTGTGAGCCAGTTGAGTGGCGAGAGTACGTACCCATTGGATGGCAAAGGGAATCTGGTAGCCCAGGTTCCCTTTGATGTCAAGACATCCTGTCAACACACCGGCAGCCACAAGTTGACCAATGGCCCAGCACAGGTTGACGTATGTCGTCATGTAACCACGCAGGTTCGTGGGAGCGACCTCAGACGCATAGGCCGGAGCCAGTGTTGCGAAGACACCCCAGCATAGACCACAGAGGATCTGGCCAACCATGAGCACCTCCGGGCCGGGGGCGAAAAAGACGACGAAGATGAAGGCATTGAGGAGCCCCAGTGAGCCAATCATGACCCATCTGTAGCCGTACTTTGAAGCGATGTATCCATTGATCATTCCGCCTAACCAAATGTCAGCCCGAGGTGAGAGTATTGATGAGAGGTTGTTGTCGACTTACCAAATACAGCTCCAATTGTGCTGCCTTGGTTCAAGGCAGTTTGCCACGGGCCGGACACCTGCCAACCAAGTTCAGGGCCGTAATAGTCTCCGAACTTCTTCTGGAACTCCGGATAGGCAAAGAAGGTGCCCATGAGGATCGTGTCGTATCTTCACAGCATTAGCAGAGACCCAGGATTCCTGCGCAAAGTTGAGAGGCTGGTCAGAACTTACCCTTCCATGATGATTGTCATCGAGATCAAGATTGACCAGAACACTGCCTTGCGGTTCTCTCTCAAGGCCTGCCAGAGGGTTTGAGCGTGCTCATCGTCGGTGGCCTGTTTGGCTTCCAGAATGGCATTGTGGCCCAATTTCTCCTCCAGCTCGTGGTCTGCGACCTTCTGCGCGGCGGTGATCTGGACAGTGGTCGCCATGGTGAAGTGTCGTAGAGTCAGTCGTCGACACTCGGTGCAAGCCACAAGCTACAAGACAGAACAGCTTGGAGGAAGGACTCTGATGAGGCTCACTCGAGCAAACACGAGGGACCGTCACATCTAATATTTCCCCACAGACTGTTAGTCGGTCACCCTCGTGCCATAGACTCCTAGCCAACGAGTGTCTACACGAACACTCCCATGGTCGAGACCACACAGGCGGGCCAATGGCACCCACCCTGTCTGGGGTAAAGTGGACTTTGGGGAAGTTGGGGGAGCCGGGGAACCATGCACCTCGCCCTGGCTCGGCCGGTCCATCGCTGCTTGGCCGGGTTCGCCGAGTGCTGTCGAGTTAATCCACCAATGCCGCCGTTGATCACCTCAGGTTTGCGGCGGAGGTAGAGCAAACTTTGGCTCGCGAACCACCTGATAACGTGGGTAGCACCGTCACACGAGTGTTATCTGGTGACAGGCCTGACCGCCTAGCCGGCCAGAATATGGGGTACTGAAGCTAGGTCTTCGCTCTGATCCCTACGGTAGATCGTGGGGTTCGACAATCCACCAGTAATACAGCTTCAACAGCACCAAGTCCACTCAAACTGTCAAGACATCTGGATCCGGGGTGTTGGTTCTCCTGCGGAAGCTGGGCTGGTGGTGGGGACGTCGAATGGATATACGGCCCGTGGATGCGGTGGATTACTGACCTTGCTGACGGTCACGGGGCCCTCATTTCGGTTCTAACGTGGTGTATGCTAAGTTCTAACTTACTCAGTCAAAGGTGAGATAGTGGTAGTCAGACAATAACATGAGCGATACATATCCAGCAGGTGACGAAACCCGGCTTTTCGCACAGGTCTTTACATAACTCGATAAAAAACCAACATGGGACCTTTTTAAAGCAAAAGACACTTAAGTTCATCTCGCGGTGCACCTAGCCCTAACTCGATGCGTGCCATGATCGTAAATTCATTTAGAGATGAGGGTCCTTCATAGCATTCGTGTGCATGTCAGTAATGACCCTGAGTATTGATATGAGTGAGCTCGAGTCGCTTCGATGACCAGCAACAGACAGCCGCGAGTTTTGGCCACCTGGCTCTGCATTTCGAGGAACCGAATGATGCCATGCGACGCGATCTCCGAGGAACCAATTCTAAAGTCAGGCCCATGACGTACAGCAAGTCAATGTGAATATGCTCGCTCAGCTCTTCCAGGTGGCTTGTCCACAGGCTGCACCCTCAATGTGAAGATCAGCAGGCCACCACGAGTACTCGAATCTCCTTTGACCTCGGTTTTCGCGTATATAATGGCCTGTGGGCCTGGATGCTTTCCTTTCTACTTGTTCTCTTCATTAATAGCCCCTGAGCCCTTCTTTAATACAGCATTGGACAGATTCTCATTGCCAAGTGACATCTCTAAGAGACTGCTCGCCGTGGCGATGAAGCTATTCTGGTGACGAATCTCGACTCGCTGCATTGATCTTCAACTTATCAGCTTATGCTTTAGGCTGGCCGGTGGCTTCAAGAAAAGGGGTTGAGAACATCAGAGTCCGTGGGAGAGAGCCATGATACCAATAGAGACACCTCGTGTCGGTGAATATTGAGTGACTGTTTGACAGCGCCCGGTAACGACAGGCTCCTTACATCTTTCTCGGATGGGTTCCGAGACCATTGACGAAGTGTGCATGATTATGTACCCCCAGAGCGGTATACGTGGGGAATCCCCAGCATTGGTTAGGTATTCTGATTGAAGGCTCGTACAAAACCATCCAGGGGTGAAGTTGAAGAGTTATATTTTACTATGGCCAATACCCCAGCTTTGAAGCGAGGAGCTGCCCCTGTCCGAGACAAAGCCCTTGCTGCGGTCTGATCAAATGACTTTGCTCTGAGACTGGCCTAGCTTCTGGCCAGCTCCCCGCCTGGGTTCTCCGGCCAGAGCGGTTCGAGATCATATTCCCGTGGGAATGCGTCCAATACTCATCGAAATAGGCTCCGGTGTCCGGTTCCAAGATGGCTCCATTTGCTGACCCTGACTTGCACCCAAGCCAATCCCTCGTAGACGTGGTCTATTATGTAGTAGAGTATCAATGCGCCGGCAATGGCCTTGTATACTCTCTTCTGAAATGATTGCCGAGTCTAGGATGAAGCCCAGCGTCATGAGTAGAATCGCCGATTATAGCTTGCCTACTACCTACATCTACCCGATGGTTCTCCTGAGCAGCACAACAGGCTCTGCCTAAACATGTCCATGTGGCCCTGAGGGTAGATGGGCCACAAGGCAAAGTTGGTTGTAACAACGTCCGTATGGGTATCACTATCACTAAAGTCCTATCAATACACACAGCCACCGCGTCTCATTTTTAGGTCGAGCACAGCCGTGCGCCAATCCGCCCATGCACCAGTCCGCCAGGTCCGCCAATGCCCTTGATGCTGCCAAGATGCTGTCAAGTCGAATCCCCTCCCGTCCTGACGTGCCGAATTCCATATTCCGTATACTGTTGGCCATGGACCATTTAGGCCGAGCCATACTATGCCAAATCGTCTACACGATAGCAAATCCCGAGCCCCCGGATCCGCGCCGCTGTGACGACACTGACTGTCCGCTCTTCACGCTGGTCTTGGTTTCCATGCTGGTATCCTTTGACCCGATCGTCGGGGCCCTATGCACGCTGAAGTGGACTGGGTCTGGGATGGTAGTACTGGCTATCGGACTCAGGGGCATCATTATGCAGAGCTGCGCCTCGGGGTCTGGTGTTTTCCGTCGGAATCGTTTCGGTATGAAGGTATTGTACAAAGAGTTTGTGAAGGTGGGTGTGGTCCCAAAGACTATGAATACCTGCGAATGTGTGTTAGTTTGACTAAACCAGAACGCACACCTATACCAGACTGGGCTATGCGGAGCTTCCAGTAAAGCCACGGAGCGCTGACTCAGGGTACACAGTGTCACAATGCGTCTTCTTTCTGGGACTCACGAGTAAGCTGGTCGAGACACCAGGCATGAAAAGCAGGAAGTCAACCTTCGCCGCGTCCGGCGACAGATTCGGAGCGTCCCCCAAGGTCTCCCTCGTGTTGTTATGGAGTTGCAGGACTTCGGAAGTGATAGTGATAATCTGAAAGCCCCCCAGTAGGACGAAAGCGATCGTGAAGCGTATTACGAGCCATTTGTCATAGATACTCCTGTAATGCTCCCGTTCCAGCGTGCGTATCGACGGTATCGCCTCTTGATCTCGATCTCGAATCTCGTCTTGAGAGCTTCTGGAGCTGTCGCAGTGGGCGTTCCACGAGACGAGAAGTCTTCGAGTCTGTATGTATTTGACCAGGAGAGTCAGCAGGAGCAAACTGCCACCTGTGAGGCTGACGACAACTGTGTATGTCGGTTAGCCCTCTAGTACGACAGCATGATCGTGGGGTCATGCTCACTAGCAATATTGGCCAGTAGCAAAAAGGCCGCGAGCGAGTTTTTGACCGCTTCAAGTCGTAGTAGACTGATGAGGAGTACTGGCAGGAGCACTGACGTAGCCTTTGCTACCAGGTTGGTTTTGCGCCTGAGATTCTTGAACTTTGCAAGATCGGTGAATCGGAACACAGAGTGTGTGAGTGCACCCGCCCTGTGCATCTAATCTTAGCCACGGGATTCCAAAGGCAGTTGCCGCGAAGACGAACCAGCAGCATGTCAACATGGCCTCGACATTGTAAGAGTAGTACTCTAGAGGGAGTGTCAGTGGTTCCTGTTTTCACCCCGAGCCGAGGTGAACTAACGTATGTAGAAGAGGACGAGATCCAGTCCGGTCGACTGTCCCGCAATGGCGATCTCGGCGTCCCCCAACTTCTGAACGGTATGTCGATACTGCTCGATTTTGATGTTTCGCCAATCCACAATGGTGTGTATTTGCTGAGCGATACTGGCCGCCGTACTGAGGAGCGTAAAGAGCCCCAGCAAAGCCACATCTGCAGGTCATTACTTCAGTGAATGTCCACGTGTAAGAGACGATCCCAAGAACCACTTACAGCTATCCCTCTCATGGTGTATCCATACTAGCCAGATCGTAAGGCAGCTGCAGGTGAGGCATATCAGAGAGTAGAGAAGAACCCAGATAGCAGCACCAATCACCTCAGGCGGTAGTTGAACCACCATAACGAGTCGACGAGGGCAGCATGAGACATTGGGTATTCGACAGGTTCTGCTCCCAAAATGGGCAAACCGGAGTCAAGAGACTGGATGTGAAGGAGAAATAAGGCCTGACGATATGCGGAGACCTGTAGACAGGTCACAGACCACTCTCAAGCTGGTGCCGCCGGTGGGACTGCCGAGATCTACGAAGGCCAAGACCCATAAGCCTAGTGTGTGACCAGATCCGGCTCAGACGCCGGACGCACCCATGCTGAGGATCTACTGATGCATGAATGAGGGGGAGCAGGTTGACGGGTGACGGGCATAGTGAACCGATTTGGAAACCAGTGGGCTATGTCACAAAACGTCAGGAGCAGAGCCAATCATATAAGGATAGGTGCAATTGTTGGGTTACGAACCAGGCACCCAGGTCCCCCTTTGGCCCAAAGAAAGGGTAACAGTATAATGAAGGATATCACGGCACGATCGCCCATGAGCATGTGATTGAAGTCGTGGATATACTTCGGCTCAGGCGTGACTCGTCCACAGCAACACAACTGCAACGCACTCAATAGAAGATTGGGTGAGGGTGTTCAGACGTGGTCGACGACGTCTGCGCGCCCACATTCGTGCTTACTATGCTCGGAGTATTTTGGTGGGGGGGTAGTGCATCGAGGAGACGTCGCTGGGCGTCTATGCACAACATCACTCTCCATCAACCGGTTAACTTGCCGCCAGTGGACACAATCGATGGGAAAAGCCGTCGACGTGGGGCCTTTTCATGAGATAGGCATGCCTCAACGAACGAGCGTTTTGAGAATTGCGTGTTCACCGTTCAGACAAGTTTAGATGTCAACTCGATAACGAGGTGTTCCCAATGTGAAGGTGGGCGACGATCTCCCAGTCAAGCTTCCCTACGCGGATCTTGGTACGCTGGCTGTAGATCTCGGGGGAAGCACGTTGCCAACAACGATTAGAAATGAAAGTAGAAAACCGAATATATGTAGGGACTCCGACGATCGTGCAACCTAGTTCCTGGACATCAAGTAGCTGTATCTCCACTAAGTGTTTCGCATTGGGGGAGCTTGTTCTCGAGCCCCAACCCAGGAGGACCATCTTCTGGCACCGATACAACCCGCGCAGCTGTTGATAAGCTGCACACCCCAATCGTTGGCCAGTGGCCATCCACAGGAGCCGTTGGTTGCAACAATACCAGATCATAGGGTCTTCAGTTTGTAGTCGAAAATAAACGAGATTGAAGGGCTTAGCTCTACTATATCTCGAATTTCTAGGAGTCTTCTAGTGAGCAAGCTAACATTAGCTCCCACGCGGACTCCCAGATCGCCGACTCCCTAATCAAACAAGCCTCACGATGACAGTCCACCGGCGCGCCGAGAAGCCTTCGCCGTTCCGCTAGAACCCGCTTGCAGCCGCAAGCCTGAAAATTCACGCTCGTCATGGGCATCTGGTGGGGGTACTTGTACCAAGACAGACCAGACACAGACACCATAACGATCTCGGGCTTTGCTGCCGTAAGGTATGTTTGCCAGCCCATGAACCGAGCTCATTACCTACTTATTAGGTTATAATACAACCCGTAATGGCGACAGCACCCTCTGCATCCGCCCCAGTCCCTTTATCAGAGCTTACCGCGCGCCGCCCATCAAATCTTTTGACTACTCCAACAAGCACCAGCACGCGATACGACAGCGAAGTCCAAGGCGGCTCAGACGGGCTGGAAATTTGTCACATCCCATCGTCATTCCCCTATGATTCCATGGCCATTCTGGGAGTGCTGCAATATAGAGGGGAGGACGGGAGGGAGTCACACCTTCCTACTTCGAGGGCGGCAGTATAGTTATGTGGCAGTGGGGGGACAGAAAAGTCTGGGCATATGCAAGGAAACCGTGCTGACCTAAGAGCTCCCGCTTCTCAGGCGTCAATGGCGGTTCTTACTGGCTTACATAAATGCTTGGACGTCTCGAGTGCTTGCTGCACAGTCAGGGATGAGGGCTTGGTGCATTTGTGATGCGACTGGATGGGTTTCAGAAGACTAGTAGACAGAAGACGTTGCATTGGTAGGAACTGGATGATGAGTGATGTTGTGCTTGCTTATGAGATATCGTGGGGGGTGTGCGATGTTGTCACATCGTATCAGTTTTCGGTGACACTGGTGTCCGTGGCCAGCTTGACGACGTCTACCCAATCCTTCGGCCTCGTTCGTCCTCCATCCCATGCACCATTCAAGTATCCCTCGGCTTCACGAGCCCACGACAACAGCTGTTCTTCTGCTCCCCATTCTCCCATAGCCATCAAGCCAATGGGAAGCTTGCCGTCTCCCTGCTCAGGTTCGACGTAACCGACCGGCGCACTCACTGCTGGGCAGCCTGTAGAGTTCGCCAGCCAGATGTACATCATTTGCCTGATGGTTAGGTTGCCGTCGCTGAAACCATAGGCTTCATCTCCAGGGTGAATCTTCCAGCCAGGCTCAGGGGAAGTCGGCGTGACTATCAACAAGCCTGGGTATTTCTTCCACAAGAACGCGAGGTGCTCCATTAGCAGCTCCCGGAGCTGGCTGTATTTGACCATATCGATACCTGAAGTGTGTCCACCGACTGACAGGAGTAACTGGTTGCAGTGATTGACCATGGAGAGGGGCTTCGAAGGGTCCTTAGCACGGGATCGCTGTAAGTCCAGGGCTTCGACAAGTGCCCACGCGCTGTGCGCGTACTGGCCCTCATTGAGGTAAGGTATAGATATATCGACCACCTCGTAGTCAAGCTTCTCTTCGAAGTAGGCAATGGCCTTCTTTGTAACCTCACAGACTGCTGAAGATGAACGGTTGAACCATTCGTGGCAGATGCCAATTGTTTTCTTCGCAGTCGGGCTCGGCGGTACAGACGGCGCAAACGACCCTTGTGTCGGGTCGTCTGGGTTGGGCGCTGTCAAAACTCTGTAAGCAATGGCAAGATCGCTTGCTGTGGCGGCCAACGGACCTATCACGCAGATAGCAGACTTCATGGTCCACGCCCGGTGCAGTGTTGGCTTCAACCCATACATGCCACAGAAGGAACTCGGTATCCTGATGCTGCCGCCGGCATCAGTGCCGACTGATATAGGCACCAGACCGGCAGACAAGGCTGAGCCCGCACCCGACGAAGAGCCTCCCGTGTAATACGACGTGTTATACCAATTCTTGGGCGAACCCCGGCGCGGATTGCATCCACTTGTATCACTCCCGAGCTCATGCATGGTCAGTTTCCCGACAACAAGAGCACCAGCGGCTTCCAATTGCGCAATGGGCCAGATGGTACAGGTTGCTGGTGCAAAGAACGGCTCTGAGGGGTCGAGTTGTAGTCCGACATGGGAGACATATCCTTCTACATCGATGTCATCCTTGACGCCCACAGGCACCCCATCGAGGATCCCAAGAAGGTTCCCATTAGAGTACCGCTCAGTCGATGCTTTGGCAGCCGCAAGAACAGCGTCCTTACGTGTGACTGCCCATGCTGATGAGTATTTTCCAGATTGCGCCTGGCCAGATATGAGTGGAAGCAGGGCTTCGGCGACTTGAAGCGGGGTCAACGTCCCCGACTTGTATAGCTCCTGGAAGTCAGCAGCAGAGTAGAAGCGACCCGAGAGGTCTTCAGGCTGTCGTTGGCAGAGGCCTGATGTGATCTCAGGCTTGGCGGGCGCACTGCCGTCCGCAGTGAGTGGAGTGACGATGGGCTGTCGGGCCGGTCAATAAACGGGGAAGACGACTTAGATAGGTCGCAGTAAGTACTTACTTCGAAGCGCGGATGATACTGGCCTAGTCCTGGGATATGTTTGATGCCGCCAAACTTTGCATTAGTCCACGTCGCCTTTGCGACTAGCGAAGATCGTGAGATACTAAGCGGTAGATCTGGAGCATTAGATGCTGTACTCGGCAAGTAGCGACGATAGGGTTCGGGATGTCCTACATGTTGGCGGCGATGACCAATGGCCATCCTCTCAGAACCGGGTTGGAGTCGACAGCCGCTTCATAAGCCGTCTTGGGACCTTCACGGGCTGGAGGATAGCCAGAGAAATGCTGTGGTTGGGACATGGTTCCGGGTTCGGGAGGATCCACTGCTACTCAGCAGCATGCACATGCAGTTCCCCTTTGCACAGCACAGTCCTGCAGCAGGCTACAGCGAGGAACCAATGGTAACTTCGTATGTGTTTGGGACAAGATTCGTGGCACGGCGGGAGTGGCGGTTAGATTAAGAGGATGACGATGTCACAGTGAGGAGGCCGTGAAGTTGGGCCATCGGCGACGGGAGGATTTGAAAAGCCCGGTTGCCCCGTCCCCACTATTATTATCTGAAGAGTTCCCACCGGCTCCGATCAGATGGGTTTGCGACACGCAGCATCTTCGAACACAACTCAACCGCAGAGTGGGATGGAATGGGACTTGGCGCATTTGGACTACCTAGGGGCAATTTGATCTCATGAGTCAGTAAGTGGCGAAGCTATGTATGTTGACCACCAGCTCGAAGAACATGTCTTTGATACAATTGGCAGTTAACGTAAGATATACATCGCATTTGACAGGTAGGACAGCAAGTCCGGCAGTATTCGAAGCTTCTATCAGGTTAAGAGTTATAGTTGCGGTCTAAATACGAGTTCTAAAGACTTGCGATGCGAGGATGCGTGAGCTTCCGATCTTACCTACCCCTTACTCCTGCATCAGAGGAAGCAAGAAGTCCAAGAGACATCCACGCATGCGTGCCTCGTCATGACCTACGCCCTCTACAACGTCAAACTGTGCCTGAATGCCCTCCTCTTTCCACGCTCTGTGTAATGTCTGCAAGTTCTCAAGTCTTCCTCGCCTCATGACCACCACTTCGCCATCCTCTTTACTCCCCGACTCCTTATGCTGACCCTGACCACTCCGCCGACCCTTCACACCCTCCAGCCAGACCCAAAACTCCCTGCCGCCGGGGAGATCGACATCAGCGCCGCCAACAGCCAGCTGGATACGCACCCTCGCAATAGCGTCCTTCCTGATCGCCACAACAAACAGCTCCTCCACGTCCGCCACTCCCAAAGGCCACTTCTTCCCCTCGTCCAAGTGCGTCACCTGTCCGGGAGCCCCCGCACTCACATTCACCAGCCTCTCAGGATACAAATAGAGGAACCGCAGCGCAAACTGCGCGCCACCCGACCACCCCATGAGCGACACCCTCTCCGTCTCGACGCCGGGCCAGCGGACCTCAATCTCGTCCAGCATAGCCAGCAGCGCGCGGTCCGAGCGCAGACTCGCCGACCGCAGCAGCTTGTAGGAGTCGAGGTCGTTGGGCCCGTCGAGGCCGGCGGGGAACATGGGCGCCGCGATGGCGCAGGCAGCCGAGTCGGCGAACGCGGCTAGTTCGCCGCGCATGGCCGAGATGTTACGGCGGGTTCCGTGGACGTAGATGAGGAGGGGCAGTTTTCTAGGAGCCCGCGGTGAGTCGAGAGCCGCTCCCGCGGGCTGTTTGGAATTGTAGTGCGCTGGTGGGATGTAGAGCGTATAGGACACGCGGGGATCAGACGTCATAGCTTTGAGCGGGATGTGGCCGACCATGTAGGTGTCCTCGAGGAATTCCGGTGGAACATCGGCTGTCGTCAGGGGTCTGTCCATGCTGTACTGGTAGAGGCCGAGTTGCAGCGATATTTACGACAGGATGACGCGTAGAGGGCTTGCGGATTGCTTAATCTACGTAGCAGTACGGTAGCCAAGCTTTAGGCTTCCTCTTATATGTATGCAAGCCACCACCGAGACGCTAGCGAACGGAAACATCCTGGGCGGTGATACGGGTGTCGCGACGAGGGTTTAGTCGTACGGATACGGAGTTCAGTTGAGGCTTAGAACAAGGTACGCGTCACTGCCTTAGTTCCCCAGGCGGGCCAAAGTATTCTGCAGCCTCCCTCCCATAGATCACATCAAACACCGCATCAAAGCGGGGAGCTAGGTAGTGGTATGGTCTCGTGGTAGTCTGTCAAATCGGCGCCGTATGCTCAAAGAACCGATTTTCGCATGGGTGCGAACCCGAGCTACGGCGCTACGCTCGCGAGCTCGAGGTCGTCGAAGAATGCGGGGCTGGGATCGACAGTCAGGAGCTCAGGAGATGCTTTGGGGATGACACATATTGGCGAGATGAAAGCTTGGCTCTACGCACCAGGCACGCTGGCCGACCCTGAGAGGAGGGTTGAAAGAGGAGGTATTCTTGTGATGAATGATATATGATGGCTTAATTGGTTCAGGTTAAGCTCTGAGTTCCCAGGAGCTTAGATCTCGTTCCCAGTCTTTTCATCCGTCTTCGTTTTGCTGGACTGTCGTCTGCTGAAATATCTGCTGAGATGTCTTCCTCATACCCCAGCCAGGTCGACGCAACCGAGCTCAAAGAGCCGTCAGTGCTGCAGGCGAGCGCCTCTCACGAAGAAAACCACAGTTCAACGTGCAGCCACAGCGTCGACAAGGCGTTTGAGTGGAGGATAAAATGGAAGCTCGACCTGTTCATCCTGCCGGTCATCTCATCCGTCTACTTCTTTGCCTCTATGGTAAGCTGCTTAAAGAGACTCGACAACGTATATAGAACCACAAGACTCACGCATACGTAGGGCCGTTCTGATCTAGCAAACGCCAAGATTGCTGGACTCACCGAGGAACTGCACCTGACGCCTCAGGACTACTCGAATGCCGCGACGATATTCCTCGTCGCTTATGTCATCTTTCAACTCCCTGGCACCCTTCTGATCAAGAAGATCCGTGCTCCTATACAGTTCAGCGGTGCCATGATAGTGGTATGTCACGGACCTAGGTGGCGAGACATGGCTAGTGCTGACCAGATGGCTTCTCTCCTTCACAGTGGGGGTTCCTGACAGCAATAACCGTTGTCATCAAGAACCATGGCCAGCTACTTGCTCTGAGGTTCCTGATAGGAGCAGCCGAAGCATTCGTCCAAGGTGGCGTTTTCTGTACGTCTCTGAAAGTCCTAGGCTCTCATGCTTTCTCTGCTAGTCCGTTCTGACAATCTCACTCCCCTACCAGATCTGTCCTTCTGGTACGAGTACCGCGAACTCGCCACGCGCGGCGCCATCTTCTACTCCATGTCCACCGTCGCGGGCGCCTTCAACGGCCTGATCGCCTACGCCATAGCCGTGGACCTGGACGGCGTCAACGGCTGGCGGGCGTGGCGGTGGATCTTCCTCGTCGAGGGAGTCCTGCCCTGCGGCTTCGCCTTCGTCGTCTTGGCTCTCCTCCCTGCGAGCCCGTCGAAGCTGCGCTGGGGTTGGAAGCCCGAGGAGAAGGAGTATGTCGTGCAAAAGGCATTGCGGTCCCATAACACCACTGAGGCCCGGCTGGATGTCAAGAAGGTGCCGGCGGTGCTGCTGGATGTGCACTTTTGGCTGTTCACTCTCATTGCCTGCGGTGGCCATTTCTGCTTGGGATCGCTATCGAACTTCTTGCCAGACATCATCGAGGTGGGTGTTTACTCAGCTATCGAGTGGCTTGGGGGTTTATTGACGTTAAATCCAGGGTTTCGGATACGACACAGTCAACTCTCAACTCTTTACAGTCATCGTCTACATCTCAGCGTTCATCGGGGTGATATTCTGGTGCCGGCTTGCAGACATAACCAATGCCCGCGGACTGGTCCTGGCTGGTTCGACAGTAGGGGCCGTGGTTAGCTACGCGATCTTGATCGGTGCCACAGCCAGGAACACCCGTTTTGGTGCTACGTGCTTGCTGGCGTTCTCGATATTCCCGAACCCTGTTCTACAGCTTTCGTGGTCGGCGATGAACTTCGTTGGTTACACTCGAAGGTGAGCTGTTCATGATCCAAGCACCTTTCAATCCGCTGAATTTCAACAGAGGTTCTGCACTGGCGTTCTTCAATATCATATCGCAGGTATTCGGCATCTGTGGCACCCAAGCCTACTCCGACCCGCCGTACTGTGAGTATAGGTCTAACCCCTCTGTTTATGCTCCGTGTTGACTCGTCTCCAGACCGAAAAGGAAATGCTGCGGCCCTGGGTCTGTCGGTGATGATCATTGTGGCCTCCTTAGCCCTCAGGTGGTGGCTCAGTTACTTGAACCGCCAAAAGGGATCTCAGCTCTCTTCTTCGCCCACTCATGAGATGAGCCAGCAGAGCATTGAAGATATGGGGGATAAACATCCTGGTAGGGTCCATAAATGCAATGAGCGAAAGGGGATTTGGAAGTGCTAATTGCTCTCGCAGGGTTCCTTTACTCGACCTGAGTTGGCATGCGAGTCCAGCGAGCTTTCAACGGAGAGAGGGATCGCAGGAGCCCGGCTTTCATACTCCCATTGGCTCCAGACTTCGCATCGAACCATTTCGACCTCTTAGCCATTGCGTTCGGCCTTATCCGTGTCGAGCCTGTGTCTGGTTGCGTTGTCTCATTACTGTGAGTGCCGATGTGAGGGTACATTGGTGTCATGTATGACATTAAAAGGAGTATGGTCATTTGGGACTTGAAGTCCTTGTCAAAGTGCTCGGAGATAAGCTTGCTGAGGTGGCCCACCCGATTCACATGTTGGGATCGTAGGATAGAACGCTCTCTCCCCCATTCAACGTTCCTCGTGAATATAATCTTCTTGCGTCTCACCAGAGGGCTCCATAACCATCATTACATCGTAAAGGCGTGCTCCAAATGACCTCTAGGTCCACCCTAGCACCAGTATCGCAGGCCGAAACTCTGGTAATCGCCTCCATTGCTGCTGTACCCACGGGTGATCTTGAGAGAGCACCGTACTCGGTCGGGACCTCTGTCGCGTTACTGGTCCATTCGTGCCAATAGGGTGTATCAGTGCCATCCTGTCCTGGTAGGCCTGGAGTTCCTCCATGATCGTTGTGTCTAGGCTCGTCCTCAAGGCGAACTCGACATCTTCGCGTCGGGGAATCGAGGGAGCCATCTCCTGGTAGCCCGCCCAGACTTTATAGTCTTCAATCTTCCTCATATCGCTCTTGTCGCACAAGTCAAGAATGGTTCCTTTGCCCTTGTCCTTCTCAGTCATGTCGGGTCGGAACTTGGGCCAATACGCAGTGCTGATCTGGTCGACGATCAGGTAGACCACCTTAACACTGTGGAATCGCGTGCCCTCAATGAGGTCCTTGATAACGGCCCGAACATCGCCCTCGAAATCTCCAGAGTTGATGGCTAGGGCCTCTGCCGAGGCAAAGAAGGGCTCCGGGTTCGACAAGGGGTAGGGGAAGCCGCTGGCCAGCTCGAGGATGTCGCTTGATCCGATGAACCAGGTCTCGTTGTGCTTGTCGCGCGCAGTCGGGAAGCCGCGCACCACAGCATGGTTCATGACGACCTCCCGGGCTTCACGACACACGTGAGCGATGGTGGGTGGGAAGAGGCGCCAGTCCTCCCACGGGACGTTCTTCGCAAAGAGCTGGATCCGACCCCGCGGCAGAGCGCGCACCCAGATTAGGCGTCTGACCTCGATGGGTAGGCGCGGGAACGGAGGGAATGTCTGCTCGTCGGACATTGTTGCTGCTCCTCTGTGTTGGACCTTGCTGCAGCCAGCGGGGTCCTCCTTTGGCCGTGACTCGGGATGAAAGCTTGTTTGGTGACTCAGCCTTTACTGAAGTGCCTGGTGCCGATTCCTTCACATAATTCTATCCACTTTCGGTGTATACAAAGCTTAACCATGGCTAAGACGAGCTGTCACTGGTGCTATATTGCGGATTAGTAAACCAGCTGATAAGTTGGAGGCTGTCGCGAAGAGCAAATACATGGGACCGGGTTCGAGCTTCAGTCATGGTTGTGGGCGGGTATCCAGACGTACGGGCAGTCGGGTCGCGACAGGTAGCGTACGACGAACGTACACACATGGGTATTTATATGTAATCTGATACTGAGTCTGTACCTCATCGAGGACTGTCAGGGTTGCGCGACGATGCCGCCTTGATGAGGGCTGTGAGGCTGCCGGCAAGCCCCTGACAGGCCAGAGACGGAGAAATTTGCGGGCCCGGGCGCTGCTGGCTCCTGCTGCTGGGGGTTGGCGTGATAAGTAGGTCTGATCACATCATCTGCGCTTTTGGGCTGTCGTCACGCCTGTGGTGATGGATGGATTGGCCTGGTAGCCCTGGTTGCTGCATGCTCCTCTCTTAAGCGCCTCATTACATGATAGTGAGAGTTTGCACTGCGACTGTCGCGCCCGGATGCCTGGATTAGGTTGCCCGCGGGGGGTTGCCGTTGGGGGGTTGTGGCAGCAGGTGGATCCCGGTGTTCGTGATACCTTCCGATATCTCCTGTTACCGCGCTACTTCGTTACCCCATTCCCGTGTTACCCTGTCACACTACGATATTACTCGGGTTGATGGCCATACAAGCGGTTGCCTTCTCGTGTACCACCACTGCATGTGTTTAAACGAGGAAGCGTGTATTATAGAACGTCAACTAATTAAACCAGTTGCATTGATGACATCCGCTACGCCTTTCCCATACCTCTTGAGGCTAGTATGTACACAAGCCGTGTCGTTGGGACCAAATCATGCTCCAAAGGTTCATGGCGATCCTTAAAGACATGGCTATGCATAACGCCTGGATAGATCCCATGAAACCCACCCTCGAGCTTGGGCCGATCATTTCCTAGTTCCGTCTGGTGATGACTGCAGAAGCAGCGTATACGCAGACTCTTACGGCCCCGAGGACCGCGAGCGCACCGTCGTTCGGCCGTCCAGCATACCGCAGACTCTCAGCAACCTAGAGCATCCATCATCACTACTCCTCCTTCCCCTTCCCTGCCGCTTCGGTCTTTCCCATTTCCCATTCTGCCCACTTGAGTGTCGCGCCCGTTGTGAGGAATAGGACCGGCCAAAAAGCAGCCGCCCTGAGCATGGCACCCTGCACCGTCGATGCGGGCGTCTTGAAAACCCTTCGCTTGATGGCCAGGTGCCAGAAAGACTCCAGGAAGAACCCGCCGACACAGATGCGCGGGAGGTACTCCTTGCCTGTTGTTTGGTGGACGCGGGCCGCGATTGACTTGGGTTGCAGTGTATCTGGCGGTGAGGACATGCTCAGACCTCTGTGATGATGGCGGATTGAAGGGTGTGTGTCAGGGCTTCCGCAGAAGTGAAAGTAGGTTGGGAAGCCAGATATTTGTCGAGGGTCTATGATATGAACTCAGATTTGTCAGACCAAATGCGCCTTTCGACGTTGCGTTATTGGGTTGTTTGAGAGAGGTTGATGATAATGGATAATAGTGTTCAGCCCTTAAAACTCGATAGGGCTATGACTACGGGCCGCTATACTGCTATTAACAAGCCGAGTGTCCAGCCCCACATCGTTTTTTACCCCCCCCCCCCACACACACACACACACAAAAATAATGTTGCGCCTAACAGCTAGATTATTCTTTATAAACCACGCCGTCATACACGCTATCACCAGCTAATTTATATTATTATTAGTAATATCTGTGTTGGATCCATGCGATTCCAGACTGCAAACCATCTATACCAGGACCCACATGTATGATTAGATAAGATAAGATAGTGGATTGAGAGGGCACTTGGCCAGACCTTCGAGTCCAGCTAGATTCCTCTCAATCCAACCATCAGCAACATCATGACCTTGACCCCATACTCGAGTATTATGATTGATCGTTCAAGCCTGTTCCAACAATCTGTTAATATTTATTTAACTTTAAATAGCTTTAAGCGTTATTGTCAGATTCAAGGGATCTCCAGGGGTGTATGCCCTGTGGAGTACTGGCTAGTCAGGTAGCTAGTCAAGGAGGCTGCCATGACTAGCACTCTAAATCGTACATTGACTTGGGAAAAGGTGGGCCGGAGGATTGTGACGGCCTGCACAGACCTTCCCACATGACAAGCCGATACTTCCCAATAAGGGAAGGATCTGACCAGAGGATCCCCTTAAAGGGGCAACCTCCCGCTGTACCTATCTCTCTCTCTTCCTTTCCTCTCTAGTCTTGATATTCTCGTCAATAGAGTAATAGCTGCTTGTTGCAGGCCATGTCCCAGCTCCCCAGTAAGCTCGCCGTGACAAGGATCGTCTCTAGCATCTCCGGAGCTGTACAAATAGGTGTAGATAACACCCAATTGGGATAGCTGAGAAATGATAACAACGATTGCAGCTACCGCTCAAGACCACAGGCTTGTCAACCCTTTGAAATCTGACAGTTATTAATTAAAAGCTTTTAATCTTTAATATTATAAATGTTATTAAAATCCTTGTTAACATTTAAGATACGTATATGGTATTACAATATTTATATATATAGTATCATAATATTTATATATATATAATAATAAATTAATAAATTAATAATAATGAAGTTGTTAACGCTTCTATCGTTAATATTTAAGCGATTATAATTAATATTACGAGCGGAAGATTAACTACCTCACCTCTCTCCCTTATTATTAAATCGCACGCAATCTTTCTCTACTCGAATAATGATCGACGAATCCGTTAATAAATGCCGAAGAACATGATAACCGGGTTGAAACCTATTTGTCGAATACACGGCTGTTGATTGATTCTATTGATTGTTCTGCTCTGCGTGCAGAGATTGATCATCTGTCTTCTTGGTGGGTCAGATGCCCTGTGCGTCTCTGCCCCACTGGAGATCTTCCGGTGTCTATCTCCGGCTCCCATTCAACACATTCGTGCTAGTATCTAACACTATTCGTCCACGCAGTCGTTTAGACTATACAGAGGCAGGACTGTCAAAAAGGTCATGGACAAGGTTACAGGACTATGTACTCCTCTGCATTGTTCCCATCTCCGCTTCCCTTGCTTCCCATCCTGTCTATCAAATTGCCCAGAAATGTGAGCATCAAAGACTGACTTATGATCCAATCCGCAGCTGTTCCGTGGACAACTTGCTTATCACTATAAGCACACGTGCATATACGAGAACCATGAAGCAACAGACGAGCCGCCCTCGTCGTCTTCGGTCTACGTGTAGTCGAACTGGATCATCTGCGGTTGCGGATGTCCGTATGCGGCACATCAAGCCCTTGGCAAAACTACTCAGCTGGCGTGATAAAGACAACAACTACTACCTACACAGTTGCGCGAGAGCCGGAGCATCGATAAAACGGGTGCGGCTATGGTACAAACTGGAAATGATCCTGTTGCTTCACGGATCCGCGGACATCATGGAGTTGGACCAATCAAATGCATGGTCATCGGGCGACGAGGCAGATTGTGTTCGTCTCTCACTCCATCTCTGGCTGGTTGACTTCGTTCGTGATGCTACTCACCTACTCACTCACCGAGCAACAGGCTGATTGGGCAAGGCTTCACGACAAATGTAAAAGTAATGAGTTACTGACAGGCTCGCAATCGACGTCGAGTTCGTGCATTAGACACTAGAAAGGTGCTTGCTCCTCCAGGGTTTGCAGTTACTGGAGTCGTATTCATTTCGCATGGAGCCTCGCTTGAAACGGCCCTGAAAGCCATGGCAGGGTGACCTTCCACTCACTCTACCTTATTAGGTACTCATCGACCCCCTTTTCTGACCCGTTCTGTACGTCCAACACCAATTGACAGTGTTGCGATGCCACCTTGAGTTGGAATGGGCTCATCTGACCATCCTCATGCAGTCGCCAACGTCGACTGCACGCGTAACCTGATCACCATTGCGCCAATATCCGGGGGATGCCCGTTTCCGTTCCTTCGCATCCCATGCACCGTCTAGTATCGCCGACTCCTCCTCGCGACATTCGCACGTCCAACATCCAGAAGCTCTCTCAGGACAATCCAGAACCAGAGCGCCTTGATCTGTTCCCAAGCCCAAATCCGGTATGATCGCGGGGTGGCGTTAAAGCCGACGATCCACAGACCGGCCAGAACACCGCAAACGATACTGCGCCGCAGGATCTCGCTCGGTCCGAACTCAGCGAGTACGAGGAGCAGAGTCTCACAGGCGGCGTAGGGCCAGTAGTTGCTCGTCTGCCAGATGAACATCATGCCGCCACCGCCACTACGGTCCATGCGACCACTGCGAATGGTCTGGCGGCTAGGACCGGGAATGGTTATGGTGATGGCGTGGTTAAGACCAGAGATCTGCCATTGGAACCAGCATGCACAGAGGACGATGAGTCCAGCGCATAGTCGATCGACGATGAAAGCGCCCTCGACCGGGAACAGCCACCCCACCGGTGTGAATGGCATGGCGGCGCTGTAGAGGAGCACCATGAGCGGGATGGAAGAGAAGCGTCGAGCACCCATGTTGAATTGATTTGGCGGACCTCTGTAGGGCTCGTAAGGTCCGCTGGGCTTCGGGGCCCCTGAAGGGGCGTGTGACTCGTGGGTGACCATTGTGTGTCCCGTGATGGATGTTGTTGTTTTGAAGGGTGACGATGATAGAGGATGGAGGCGACGAGGGAGCAAGAGACACACCGGAAGGCACCCGAGCTAAGTAATAAATACGGCCAACAAGCCCAGGCTGCCGCCGCCGACCCCATCACGAAATTACACGATGTTGCCAGGTTGGATCCGAGATATAAAGTGGTGATTGGCTGCTGCTCCTAGGGCTGTGCCAAGGAGGAATGTCTTTGCCGCTGAGCCACCCACGACAGGCAGGATTTCATCGTTCAGCTGCCTAAATTAGCGCTCTGAGCCAGACTATTGCGGCTACAATCTCCGAGAACCCGTCGATAGTTGCTATTTCTACAGACGGCTCGTTGATGGAATGGGTCTGCCCACAGACTTCGAAGAAGAAAGGCTTTTGAAGTCATTATGTTCTGCGGCGGCTGAGGCTATTCACACCTTTTTTTGTCTAGACATCCCGTAAAATGTAAGTACCTAGATTTAGGTAGACAGGCCGATAGTGCAGGTAGTTGGGCTTGGAGGGGTGCAGCATATATAAGTACCCCACGTCGCGCGTCCAAGGGCATTGGATGCCGCGGGCTTCATCGTCATTTCGCTGGAGCTTTCGACAACACCAAGCTAGCGCGCACTTTTCGCGTGAGGTCGAAACCATGAGGACGCCTGCTTGGAATGTACGTAGAGTTGGGTGGAAACTGCACCGACATCGTACCAATGGAAGAGGCGGGGGGGGAACAACAATAGCATCAGATATGACTCGCTGGAGTTGATATCCAACTTATCAGGTGGCAGACTCCTTTGGCTTCGGCTTGAGATGCGTCCCTGTTGTATGACAGTATGCATTCGAGAAAATCGCAGAATATACTCGAGTTGCCATCTCGATGCACGCTGCCCGTGCCAGTAGATCATCGTCTCCACTGGCACTAGGAATTCTTCCGGCTTAGTAGTTACCGGTATTCTGCTGTATGCAACATGATTGGCACAATGGGAAGAGCTGTGGCATTGAAACAACGGCCGTCATTATCGTTGCCGGTTGGACGCAGTCTAGGAGAGACGAACGAACGCCATGCGTTCGCTGTTTACCCCTTACCCCTTGCCCCTACATATAATACCGCCCGCTAACCACGAGAGACATTGACGTCACGAGCAACAAACCTGACTGCGGCAGAGACAACCCTACTTTAATGCGTTCTGCCACGATAAGTTGAGCAGCTCCGATTGTCTATCTGGTTCGATACTCAAGACACTATATCTTTTGCCTTTGACTGAATTGTTGAAGCATCGCTCATTCGTTATTGATTATATTGCACTTGCTGTTCTTTCCCAGGACGCCTCTTATTACCGCGGGATAATAGCCGCCGCCGGGCCAGGGGTTTTATTGACTCGATTGTCGGGGCAACGAGTGTCAACAATCGCCGATCCGCACCAACCTCCATCTGCCAACCAGCAGCTCTGGTCGCCCTCAGGCCTTGCAGATCTGACAAGTCTGCCAACGCAGCAAAAGCAAGACGGCGGATCGATAGTCTTCTTCCTTCTGGCAGCTCATCCTTGCGAAGTTGTAAATTCTCAACCTTTCACCTACCCTGAACCACCGTTGCTTTTGCACAGCTGGCTGGCCGCCACAGCTTTCAGCGTACCACTCTGTACCACCCATACAATCAACAGAGCTCGACGCTACCAATCTTGTCCCCCCTTCGATGCCTCGATCCAAACCCAACCCCGACTTCGAAATCCACGTCGACCCATCCTGCCTTAGTGCCCCAATGGACGAAGAAACCCAACCTCACACTACCGAGCAGAACGAGAACACAGACGCACATATACGCGTAGACGACACGGCCTCGGTAGAGGGGGCAGCCTCTCCAGAGACGACTAGTACCCTACCAGAGGCGCCCTCCGCCGCTCCAGAGAACCTCGAAGCTGCAGAGGCGAATCCCAAGCATGACGAAGAAGAAACTGGTGCCGAACATCTTGAAGAGTCCGAACTAGAACAGGACCCATCCGCTGTTGGGATGGAGGGAAAATCTTCAACAATCGAAACAGACATCGCCGCGGCCGACAAGTCTGATCATGATCACGAATCCCACGTGCACCCCAGCATCGAAGAGGACATACTAGACACAGCTCAAGAGGGTGAATCACCGAGGGGTCTATCCTCGCCGCGAAGAACGTCGAAGCGGACTGAGGCCATGATCCGAGCCGCTGCTCGTGACATCCTCGAACACATAGATGATCATAAGAATGACAAGGCGGGGGACAACGATGAAGAGACCGGAGACATCTCAGTACTTAGTGAGAGAACGGGCGAATCCTACGATCCACACGACGCCGAACATTCCTACACCGAACAGTCTGAGAGTGGTGACGGCGATGATGCGTCGCATATCTCTCACAACCCGACAGCGGACGCAGGAGGCGATAGCAGCTCACAACACGAAGTCACGGACGACGAGACCTTCAGCGACAAGAGCCCTCGTAGCTCTTTGGGATCTTACGACGGTGGATCGGAGTCGGGGAAGAGAATAGATGCGGACAACATGACTACGGTCACCAGGTCTCCGCGCATCTCGGACATATCCCAGTATGACAAGGAGGACTTCGTTCCCACCGCCCGAGGTACACCTCGACCTCCCTTTCGAACACCTTCCGACGTGCGAGCAATGCAAATGTCCTCGCCCACTCCGTCCCTGATCGGCTCTCCTCGCTCTCCTCGATCAACCAAGAGGCATTTCCCGACAGTGTCGAGACTAGGGACGCCCACGGCCTCTACACAGTATTCTCCCAAGGGCAAGTCCACGCCGCCACGATTCAAGACCAAACAAGAGGCCCCCCTCGTGCTACTACACGTGACATTACTACCTCTCCGATGGATGTGGGGCGACTTGGTCAACAACCTAGACCCGACCGAAATGAGTGAGCAGGCCAAGACACTGCGAGACGCGTGGCAGATGTTGCAGGATCGCGTTGGAGACACGGTCATCGAGAGAGGTATTCTGCTAGGCCATCCTCAGAATGACTATGAGGTTCTTGAGGAGCGCCTACTTGAAGCCCTCGAACTGCCAGTTCGTCGACGGGCACGGATCCTGGAATGTGGCCACTACCTAGGCCCGTCAAATGAGATCACTATGGGCGAAGAGGAGGAGAGTGAGGATGAGTACGGACAAGAACGGCGTCAGTCGGCATACAAACGCCACTGGTGCGGGACTTGCAAGAACGAGATACAGTACGATGCTCTGGGCACAAGCAAGATCTTCCGCGTCAAAGTCTATGCTAGTAACGGACTGATGCGGGCTGGCGCTTGGGCAGCATGCTGGAAGGAGATGGAGCGTGTCGATGCTGAGTTGGAGCCGATTGTCGACCCTGCTGTGCAGAACGAGATTGTCCGTCTCGCGGCTAGTCAACGCGAGCGTGAGTTATCGCACCGGGAGGAGGCGGAGATTGTCAAGGAAGTGGAAAAGCAATTCGAAGAGGAGCTCAAGAACGAGCAAGCTGGTCTGCTGCACGCTCAAGACGAGGTACCGACAAACCACCTCGAGCCAGAGCCGGCGTTGGAGCCTACCCCGGAGCCTACCCCGGAGCCTATCCCGGAGCCTACCCGTCCTTCTCGCTCGGCGCGTCGTCGTCAGCGGGATGAAGAACGGCTTCGGGAGATTTATGAAGACACCCCGCCTCCCCCTGAAACGCATGCTGAGGCACCGCCCTCGCACGAGCATCGTCATCCGGACTCTTACATCCCACCACCGTCGCCTCGGTCACCCTCTCAGGATGCTTACGAGAGAAGAGAGGCCAAGAGACAAAATTACCAGGGCGCATCACTACCTCAGCTTCTTCTTGAAGCCCTGCGAGTCTTGGTGCAGGATCGCAAGAACGTGGCCATTATCGCTCTCAGTGTCTTTGTTCTGATGCTTGCACTCCGAAGTGCCCCTTCGCAACAATCCTACGAGCCGATTATCAGTGGGATAAAGGATGTTCCCAAAATGCATCAAGCTCCGATCCTTGAGACACCACAGCCTGTTGCTCAACAGCAGAGTCAGCTCCCTAACGTAGAGTCGAAGGTGGAAGTTCAGAACCACCAAGAGTACTCAGAGTCACAGCAGTCCGCTACAGAGGTGGAATCTGTGTATTCTGCACCTGGTCACGGAAGGGTTGCAGATAGTGTATCTCAGCCTATCCCAGTGCAGGATGCGGCGACTGCGGCGCAAAGTGTGTCGACAGTTTATGGACCTTGTGAGACACCCATGGCTTCTCAGCAGACAACTGCTAGCCAGGTCGCGTCCGAGGTGCCCTACTCAGAGGAGACCGAGACGGTTACGCAGAAGAAGGTCGTAAGGGTTGTTCAGACTGTGACCGAGACGGAGGCCGAGACCGAAACCGCTGTCGAGACTGTTACGGTTAAGGCTACGCCTATCCCCGAGTCAGCTACGCCGTCGGTTGTGGAAGAAATGGTGGCAGATGAGAACGTGGAGGGGGGCGAAGAGCTGATGGACGAACTGGTCGATGAACAAACTGCCCTTTCCGAAGAGGTGGATGACCAAGCTGGCGTTTCTGACGAGGTGGATGGCTTTCTCACATTCAACATGGGATCTGAAGCCGAAGCTATGCCTGAGGATGTCGGCGAGGAAGTCTAATGATAAAGGTTATGTGTGTCCCCGTGGGGTACAACTGGGATTTTAGGGCACAGACTTACTGCTGCTATGAGTACACATGTAATGAAATCGCGAGGAACAGGTCTGCTGCTGTTTTCTTGTATGTCAATGGCCTCAATGACGAGATGAACTAGCTAGGAAGATTGTGAGAGATCGACAATACCAGTACTGCACATACGATCGTATATCTCACTGCTGTGGTTCCTGATGTGAAGCCGGATGAACAGTAGCGATTGATGTGACACCTCATTTGCAGGATGGTTGTTGGTTGAGTTGGTGTTGGCCCCAAGGTCGCAAGCGACTCGCTACTAGCCGTCCTCCAGGTGCTACAAGTCCAGAACACATGCTTCTTTTTGATGTGTAGTTCCATTCCACGAACCTACCTTGTGTTCACCGTGTTGGTTGGGACATCGCTGAATGTCACCACGCTTTTATTTGTTCAAAGGGGGTGTTGGTACTGACTGTTGGTTACGTATCGGTGCTTTGGACACATAAAAGCATGACGATTGCTCACTGACTAGGAGACGGCGTTCCTTTTACATCTTTTGTCAACCTATCGCTAGCGATAGAGCCTTCGGATACAATGTGCGACCGCGAGCCCAACCCAGGCGCAGCTGAAGGCAAAGTTCTTATCAACATTATATTTAACCCCAACGCACCCGGATCTTACCACATAAAATCGAAGGACTGACGAATCCTCGTCTTCATCGGTGTCAAAACAGACGAAACGGCTAGCTGCTTCGCAATAGTCGCTCGTCGCCGTGACAAAATGTTAGGCCCGTTCGACTTCGAACCGACGGGCAAAGATAACCTTGCAAGGGATGGGCTTGAGAGTATGGTTGCCAGCGGAGTCTCGTGTGACCAGCGCTTGTTTGTGTACCAGGATATCGACTTTCGTTATGTGCATATCTGTGAGGAACCTTCCGTGCTATGTCTATGTGGCGTGATACTGATGGTATGATGCAATTACTTAACACAACATTGAGGTCACGGATGTTACGCGGGAGGATTAATTTACTTGATAGCGCATAGGTGCTGGGTGTCTTTGGTGGGGTTTATTGTTGCTCGCGATGCATGGATGCGCGGGAAGATGGGAAGGCCTGGGGTCACGATGGACAGGGGACAATTGGCGTTTGTGCTACGAGCCTCCATCAAATGAAGCTTTCCATGTCATCTTAGATATCGAGCTTATATAAACAAATCTTGCTTAATCTCCTGGGGAGACGTATTTGAATTTAATGTATTCTCTTGGCCGCTGATGTGCCTTACACTTGGCGATCTGCCATGTCGACACCCCTTTTCATTGCGCCTAAGTAGAGCGTGTTGGACGTCTCCGAAATACTTATATCTATATACACCTTTCTTGGTCTCTCCTACTAGAGGTCCTGCCCACTTGTGATGCCCGGTTGCCGCCGAGGCTGTAGCTATCTCGCAAATTGCTACTCGCGTGCCAGCTCCATCCCACCCCTTCATGTCCAGCATAATCAACTCTTGTCCAAGTTGAAACGATAATCTTCAAATAACTTGCTCGTCGGGGATATAGCAACGGCCGGCCGAGTATTTGTGATTCCCCCAACCCACCCTGTCAATGCAAGTGGTGTCTCGCCATGTAAATGAACACACCAAACGCCATAAGATACACTACAATCATGAGCAGAATCAGAGCGCAGACGAATTTTCTTCTCGAGGACAACGGCCGAAACATAGTATATTCACCGCACGTTTCGACACATGGCTCTTGTTGTGCTGGGCTTGGTGCGCGGACGAGGGGGTTGAATGTGCTGTAGGTGTACCGACCTCCTTGCTGCTGACGAGGCGGCTCGACATACCCTTGAGAAGGCTAAATACGTCAGCGCCTTCAATGCGATGAGGTCAGACTCCGCGAGATTACTTGGATTATCTCTGCATAAACCCCTGCCGAATGTGCAGGCTGTTTTCGAGGAGAGGATTGTGATGGGCTCCGCGGGCTTGCTGGTGTGTTCGCTGCTTATGACCTTACCGGATGTGTGGGCTGTTGTCGAGGGGAGGGTTGTGGTGAGCTCCGCGGGCTTACATTCAAAAAAAAGTCTGACCTTGTCGGACTTGTAGGCGGTTGTCGAGTACGGGGGTCTGACTCTGATGAACTCGAGGAGGTGGACCAGCTGGAAGGCATCTTGGTGATCGGCAAGTTGGCTCCCTCTAATATGTGAGGATGTCTATGCGGTGTTTGAGGAGGGTAGTCTGAGACTGATGAGGGTGGCCGAGGAGGGGAGTCTGAGTCTGATGAGCTCAGGACGGCGCAGCTGGATAAGCTGGATGAGCTGGATGAGCTGGAAGACATTTTGGTGATTGACAAGTTGGCTTATGAGTTGAGAGGGATCCAAGGTAAGAACAGTGATAGTTTCGTTGGAAGGAGATAAGCAAAAGGCGGAACGCAGACTTGTAGCAACGTCGAGAACTGCTGGATATCGTTAGAAGCTCGGGGGCCCGTTTCATATCATAACCTTGACATGCTCGGACACGGGTACAGGACTTCCACACGCGCTAGAATACCCCGCTACAGGGCATTCGTAACACGCACGGCCTTCTGTATCTCTTCTCACATGGAATTTACATGTGGCTGTCCCTTATCAAGATTCACGATGGCGTCAACCGTCTCGCGGACCTGGATGACAGAAAGCAGCCACACCAGCAAATTAAGAAACTCTCATCAAGCCATTGCTACGTATTGCATTCAGAGGAGTCTCGTAAACTGTAATTAATTGTGTTCATATTTCGGGAAGGACATATTTGGGGAAGAAGACCTCCCTATGCACCACGCCTGTAGCAACGGCATAACTGATGACATATATCTTAGACACCCATACTCACACGAGAACAATCTAGATGGCTCGTACTGCTTGCCCGTTTACGCAGATTGTGATTGAAACATTATCGTGGCGAGCTCTCTGGAGGGCCGGTCGCCGGAGAATGCGAGGGTATTGGGAAACGGACCTCCGGCTAATAAGGTACCAAGGTAGTCGCCAAGCCGCCCCGGAGACCAAATGCCTCAACTGTCAAGCGTCGCACATTTTGCATACATGTATTCGTGCCCTGTCCCACTTCTCCTTGGTTTAAACACCTTGCTCTCTTCGATACGCGTATATGTTCCCGGAGAGTTCGAGCCAAAGGCACTTGACCATCCTGTATGTGTTTAGCAGTGGGGAAGTTTGAGCACATCAGGCACGTGTTGTAATACCGGCCTTGATTGTAGTGTCACATGCGAGCGACGGTATCAGGTTGGATAGTAGTTTGAATATCAATACTGTATATAAGAAGACAAGCTTGACGCCACCCTGTTAATAAACTGAGCCTCCAAGCGTAACTATCTCCTATATACTCCGTGGCATTTACGCATACAATCTGCCACCGCAGGCAACTCCCGCACCACTGCTGCAAGAAGACTCATGGCCCATGGACTGCAACTGGTTGAGCCTGAGTCGGGTAGGAGCCACACCAGAGAATGCCTGCGGGGCCATCGGTTTCACTACGGCTGGTTATGGCGGAGATATGACGCAAGCTGAATTAACTGCAGTGGCCGAGCGTGAGGCAGGCACGAGAGAGAACGCGTGCTGTGTGCGATAGAGGAGGCAAGGACTGGAGTGTATGGAGTTGGCGGCGAGGCAGGTGCTAACCGCAGGAGGCGGGCTCCTGCTTCTTAAGTACCTAGGGAGAAGCGGCACCACCTGCAACGACTCAGAGGCTCACTTCCATTGGACAGTTCTTCAAATGGACGAGTGGCTGTGTCCGGGTCCGGACATGAAAGTCATTACTCGTCCACAAGACTGTCGAGGTACATTGGGCCATCGTCCTCCTCGCTGGCTGGACCCTGGGCCTGCGCCTGGGCCCGGGCCAGCGTGCAATTTCTCTTTTGCTCCCTCCGCAGTTTCTTTTCCATCTGCTCCTCTGCGAAAGCATGCCGCTTGACTGGGTCTAGGAGACTCATCACTTCCAAGCGCTCGGCGTCGACGGCTTTCCCGTTCATGTCTGACACAAACTTGTCAAGACCTGCCTCGTTGTCGAAGATCACCCAGCCGCCTTCTCGCCGAGTCAGTGTGGTACGTTTTCCAAATGAGTGTATCCCGCGGTCGTAAGTGTTCCCATATCCTGCGACTATGAACGGGTCGTGTCCGGCTGCTTGGACGTAGCACGAAAGCTTGAATATAGAGTCGATGCTGGGGGGCAATCCCCCACCCCCTACTGCAACCACTTTCGCAGTGTACCGGCGAGTTAAGTGATCGGCGGCGCATTCCCAGATACGCAGTAGTGGACCACTCCGATCCTTTGTCCTGCTGGGATTCAAACGCAGGCTTCCCTCGAGCTTATCATCCATTGACTTCAGACCTTCGAGCAGAGCAAAAACCCTGACGGCGTCGATGCCGGCGCAATGCTTCCCATTCCAGCGAGGCAATCCCCATTGATCAGCGCATTCGCTATACGGATATCCCAATTTGGCCAGGGAAGTGCCGAGTCCCATGCCAGGCGTTCTGGAGGACCTCGCATTTTGAAGCACCTTGTCGAGGTCAACGCAGGCCGCAAAATGCCGTCCGGCTCGGGGGAATTCGCCGTACATCCGCCGGAGGTCGTTAAATAGGCTGAAGCCTACAACCATCAGGGGTCTTCCGCCAGCCTCTCGCTTGAAGCCTTCCACGACGCCGTCGACATAGGTGTCCAGATCGGTACACTCGATGTCGTCCAGTTCGCCGAGAAACCGAGAAAGAAAGGCTCAATAGCCCCCTTGGGCCTGCCCTCCCGGTGCCGAAGACGTTTGATACGGGCACAACGAGTCTGGATGCCGTACTGGTCGACAAGCATTTGTAGCGTGCGTGCTCTGCCACCTTCTACCTCGGGTGCTTGGGTATGCGCATGTTGCGAAGGATGGAGAGTCAGAAGGAACGAGAGGCCAACTTCAGTGCATGGCTCGAAAGGTTTCGTCGTCACTGACTGGAGCACCTCGGCTGAGGTTCTGTGGTTCATGGCGATGAACTCGGTGTCCAACGCCACGAAGGAGAACTGGTCGCTCCGTAGGCACTCGTCGAGCTCATCAAGAGTGGTTATTCGGTTGAACCACCACGGTGAGAAGGTTCCCGGTCTCTTGTCGATGTCTGACATGCACGGCGTTCTCGGTTCTGCGATCGACTCCTTGATGCAAGATGATGAAGCCAGCGAGTTTGGTGTTCGGTTTGGTATAAGTTACAGGTCCAAGTTTCCGTTGACAAAGCTGTCATACGAATATAAGTACTGGCAGCGCTAGCTTTCTCCGAGGTGGCTTAAGGTTTGTCATATCTTTCAAGTGCCTTCGAAAAACGCCGCAGGGACGGAAAAGGCAAACTTTACTGGGCTGGTCAATTAGATGAGTCAAAGGAGATCGCTGATGCGGATATGCGGCCCGGGCAATTCTTTGCTGCAGCTGGCGAGTTTGCTATTGAACAGACAGGCAGGTATTTCTCGTCGAACATCTGCCCCATGGTGGTTTTGTCACCACGTGCACGGTTCCGTGCTACACAGCACGAAACTCTGGACCATCATGTCATTCGGGACGAATCCTCGATGTCGATCGTAAGGCAGAATCATGCTACATCACGTAGGTAATCTTGCCGGATTTCCGTGAACACAGGAGCTGGCGTCAGCAAACGCCTGCCCTTCCCCGTTGGACCAAGACCTGTCGATGTCTGGGGCTATTTAGCAGAATGTAACGCCATTGAAATGTCGATGTGGTAGCCATTATCGATTTGTCTGTCGCATTGGCTACGCAACGATCAACAGTGCAGGACTGAATACGAGGTGCCGTACAGTTGCTGACGAATACGGAGTCACACTCAAGATCCTTTCCAACCCAATTGGATCACATGCTGCGATCTGTCTGCTAGGCTGGCACCATCAATATGTTTTCAGAACGCTATATAAGCAGAGAAACCACCATCTGATATCTAACTGACCTACAAAGCATATTCCAACTTCAACATGCGTCAATCATTTGTCTTCTCATGTCTCGCAGCTGTTGGTGCCCTTGCGGCACCACAAGCCATCACAGTCGCAAGGCAGAGCCCGCCGACAGACGAAGAGTTCGGGCTCACCATGACAGTCAACGGAGCCTACGTTTCTCTGAACGCAGTCAGCAACGGTACGGAGGACTTGATCTTGGAGGCCCAAAGGCTGAGTGTGTATCCGGGCACCCCAGGTGAGTTACTCTACAATCCTGAAGCCATCCACAAGTCGAACTAAGGAGATATCCTTAACTATAGCTTACCTCACTGGTACGAGTCCAGCCGCCGCCCTGAGCTTCGACCTCACCGACAGCACTACTGTTCCAGCGGGCGTGTACGGGGTGCTCGTCCCGAGCGTCGGGGACAATTACGGGTATGCGACTCCAGTCCTGGCGCGCAAGGACTACGAGGAGTTCGAGTTTTCGGTGACCAACGGTACAATCCCAGCCCGTGTTATTGAAGTGCCTCGATTTGCTCACGTGGATCACAGGCACCATCTCGCACAGGCTGACGGCTGCGCTACAGTCGTGGTTTGCTTGCCTCGACACGGTCAACGGGGAGGATAACTATGTCCTAAAATGGGGAGTATTCCAGAGCAATGGTAGCCCACCTGCAGGCTGTGCTACAACCACTGTGCAGCAGAACTTCAACGTCCCTGGTGGTGCGCGGCCTCGAAGGTGACGACGCAATTGTCATGTAACACTCCTTGGTTGCTAAGCAGCGTCAAGGGAATGGAGATGCGAGAGAATCTGTGTGCGGTCTGGGAAAGTATATGATAATGACAGAGCCTTACTTATTCATGACCATGTAGCGGCGCTGGTGGCTGCAATGACAGTGTCTCTCCAGCGGGCGAATTTCGTTGTGATTTTGTTGCATTGGATGCAGTGCAACGCGGCCGGTGCCGCACCCCACTATGTGCATGTCTTCATGTTACCCAGCCTACTTGACTGCAGTTGGGAATGAACTTGATTTGTTCCTTTACGAACACCCCGAGGAAGTTCTTTTGCCACCGGCTTCCCCGCTACTTCGAGTCTTTAGCACCCTCCAGATGCGACTTATCAACACCAGGACACTGGAGCTGGAGGAATTCTTGGAGGGCAGTATTCCAAAGCACTATGTCATATTGTCTCATACCTAGGACAACGAAGAAGTCACGTTCCGAGACTGGCAGGACGTCAACGTTGCAACTCTAGGGCAGGTTATACGAAGATTCGGGGAGCTTGCGAAAAAGCTGCGCAGCACAATTTTGACTACCTCTGGGTCGATACCAACTGCATAGACAAAACGAGCTCCGCCGAGCTCAGCGAGGCAATAAACTCTATGTTCGCCTGGTACCGCAGTTCCACCGTATGTTATGTCTATCTGAGTGATATTTCGCCATGGCCGGGGCAAGCTATTCAGCAAGATGTCTACCGACATATCGGTAGGAGCAGATGGTTCACTCGCGGGTGGACTTTGCAAGAGCTTTTAGCTCCTGCTCGCCTCGTGTTTTATGCACGAGACTGGTCGAGGATCGGGACGCTTTCTACCCTGTGCGGTGGGATTTCCGCTATAACCCGGATCGACGCGGATTACCTCACCGGAAAACGACCTCTCGAGGAAGCAAGTGTAGGAAAGAAGATGTCCTGGCTATCTGGAAGAGTTACGACGAGGTTGGAAGATATGGCGTACTGCATGCTAGGCATATTCGACATCAATGGCACGTATAGAAGCGTCCCTTTTCTATACCCCAAGTCCTTGGTTCTGGAACGCACTTGAACCTTCTGCTAACTTCTCGGCAGTAAGTAATTCTGCTAGGCGATTCTAGAAACGTAGGGTACGGTAACTAACCATGGACATTTTCATACATCAGATGCCTCTTCTTTATGGAGAGGGATCGAAGGCTTTCGTTCGGCTCCAGGAAGAGATTTTGAAGGTCTCCAATGACCACACCATATTCACTTGGACGTGGAATGAGTCAGTCCCTACCGACTGGGTCAGCATGCTTGCTCCATCCCCGGAAGCGTTCAGACACTCGGCCAGTTTCATTCGGACGTGGACCAATTTGGGCAAGACACGGAACTACGCCATGACGAATGCTGTTCTCGATATAACCCTTCCGCTGGTCCAGTCTTGGCCGTACTACATTGCTATTCTCAACGTAAAGCACGAGACTCAGTATGCTGGTATGCACGCCTGCATCCCGATACGAGGATTCCTTGATCTTGGGTATAGGGAAGGAAACAAATTAATGGAGAGAATGCCCTTCCCCCCAAGCCCGATGTTTATAGATCCAGAGTGGACGCTATGTCGTGTGCCCTTGTTTATTCGGTCAAGACCGGATCCTTCGAATCGTGCGCTGCGCAGCATGGATCTAGCATCTACACCGACGCCGATCAAGCACGGGTTTCTGATCGTGATGGACAGTACTCAAAAGCTTCTAGATTATAAGCTGCAGAGCTCGGGGGATCTCAAGTCAATGGGGGACATTTACCTATTGGAAAGGACGAGGATTATCCTCGGCATTGACACTTATCCCCCTGGAGTGTTCGATGCTGCAAGGAGTCTGCTTATCATCCCGGAAAATCGCCGAACGGTGTCCGGAGCTCTCATCAGGTTGGGACGGACGAAAGACAGCGTGTGCATCATATTTCTGGGAGTGGTGGATGGAGAAGCCTCTGGTCTAGGAAGATCGCTGCGCTTTTGTCAGACCATGCCATCGAGACTATGGGGCCCGCCGGGAGACGACTCGGGGCGTAAACTGCTGCTACAATCGCTCATGGATGAGATCAAACTTAAAACGGAAAGCCACACCGAGCACATATCGTCAGCGTTCTTCCATGTTGCATTAGCACATGAAGTTGTGATGCGCGGCATTGGCCCTTGAGCATGCTTTCCCAGAACTAGCGCTGTTGAACATGGCATAAGATCGTCGCCCTTTTCGCTAGTTACCTGTCGACTCTCGCTCATCAGTACTGTTCTGGCAACATACTTCCAGAATTGCGACACAGGATCGTCGGAGTTGGCTGAATGCTGCAATGTTCGATACGATGCAGTTCAGTGTCCTGGGGGATCCGGTAATTGAGTTGAACAGGCCACGACCTGTGGACAGCTTGGGCTACGCTTGGGCGCATGTACATGACAGTAGAATTGGGGCTGGCGAGCGCTTGCTGTTGGGAGTAGAAGGCTGTCGATCTCCATTTCACCCTGCTCCCGAACTCATCATAAAGCAGTGTTGGATGGAAGGTTCAGGCGTACATGCATACCAGCATGCTTCCCAACAGCACCTCGATAACATATCAGTGCCCACAAACGCCGTGCATTCGCTACAGGAAGCGAGCGGGCCTCGGGGATGTGTCCGCAGTCAAGTAGCGATCCAGCGGCTTCGTCTCATCCGGAGCAACTCAGAGGGCTTGGATCAAGCAGATGCTGTATGGCGCTCGTCTCGCTTCGGATTGCACGAGTCCGCTCCCAATATTGACGACTGGCCAGCCGTTTAGCCATGTTCACAGCCCTTCTCTTCTCGTTGTCGACCAACCTCGCAAAAAAAGCCAAAGTTGCTCCAAAGCACGAAAGACAGAAAACACCCCATCACTTTATGCGTGTTCACTGGAAAAGCGGCATAGTATTGGCGAAGCAACACGTACGGTTGATATTGCTTCGTGAGAACACAGGTAAGGTTCCGAGTACCGTACAAGATTGCCACCGCAAAGGAGCCTTAGCTACCTATGCCGCAATCAACTCATGAAAGATGTACCATGTCCAGCCTGATGGTCCACCACCCTGTTTCGCATGCAAATTCCACGTAACCGAAATACCCTCGGTCGCCAAATCCAGTTCCCATATCGTCGTATCGTCGGATAAGTCGGGCTTTCTAGAACACAAGAGCAGCACCCTTGGTCTTCTTGTCACCACTGTCCAAACGTATTAGTTTTGGGGTGATTGTCCGATGGAGGGGTATACTTGCCCAAGCTCGAAGTGCTTGCATCGCTTCAGCGGCAGCTGCTTCTTCGCCTTGCAGGTAGCGCACTCTAGTCTCAGGACCACCTTCTTCGTTGTCTTGGCCTTCTTATGGAACACGGGCTTTGTCTGACCACCGTAACCGGATTGCTTGCCTGTGATCGATCAGTACTGTGTCCTTCGTCGTGTGTCTGTAATTGTCGAATGAATGCGCGGAGTGGTGCGTTGGAGAGGATCGCTATGTCTACGATGGACAGTTTATCGGGCAATGTATCGGTTCGACGTACGGTCATATCTTCGCTTTCCCTGGGCGAACGGGGAAGCCTTTCCAGCCTCTGTGGAAGAACATTGTCAGCCAAAAAACTCTCCAAGTAAGCATCGCGATCCGGCGGGATAGACGTACTGTACTGGGTGACCTTGTGGAGGGTGTGCTTGTTCTCCTTAGCGCAGTAAGTCTTGCGCGTCTCTGCCGGGAATGTCAGCCATCGCGGAAACGTAATCCACGGATTCGAACAGGGCGCATACTGGGAATGTTGACCATCTTGGCGGTTGGACTGGTGTCGCGATATGGGTGGTGATGTTGGTCGTTCGTTCGTTCGGGTCGGTCAGTAAGGTGCGCAATAGCTGGAGACAGACCAATTTCGATTTTGCCCACCGGAAAACGTAAATTGTGTGGCCTTGAGCCCTTTGTGGCTGTGATCTCGGGTGAAAACAGTGGCGCCGGCGGGATGAGTCAAGCCACGTGACCTTAGTGGGGCGTATCTACCCTTCTTGTAACTGCAACACCTCTCTAAATGCATGCTTGGCTTGCGGAGATCTCCACTGTTCTTAATGAAGCCTCAGTGGCCCAACTCCGACGAGATCTGATCCATCATCCACCCATGACTGGGCTTCCCCGAAAGACCTGATCGACAATTCGACATCGTGTACTATACATTACACAGTGAGACATGATTCCCCCAAAGCGCCCCACGTTCTGGTGTAGCTAGGGGTTGACGACGACCTACCTGGCTGGGACGCTCATCGGTAAGGTCGAAGACTAGGGGGCAGGCCAATCACGGCCGTACCTGTCACACGTGCTCTTGTGAAGTGAACCTACACGATGCGGACATAGCATTGTGTGAGGCCAACTTAGGTAGGGAACGGAATCCTCGATCATCATTTTGTGGATTCGTGGCTGGATTGAATCGCTCCTATTCAAAACTCAAAAAAAGAAGCGTAAAACCAACCAAAGCTGAACGTTTCTCTATACTACTGCGGACCATATATACGCGTGCTCTGGCTTGCGCGACCATATATAACAGATGGAATTCCCCAAGCTCGCAGACTGGCCTTCTCATACATGATCACTCAGATTCAAGTCTAACAGCACCCGATATCCGAAACCCACTCGTACGATGCAGCTCTCTAGCCTGGTTTTACTTGCCGCGGTAGCGGTAGCGAAGCCGACGGTGTACTTCATCCGCCACGGCGAGAAACCCGACGAAGGCAACGGTCTGAGTGTCGAGGGTGAACAGCGAGCTGAGTGTCTACGAACAGTGTTCGGGGCCAGCTCGCAATACAACATTGGACACATCATGGCACAGACACCGAAAGACAGTGAGTATCTCACGCACCCCGAAGTCATCCTCGTGTTCTAACGATTCGGCAGGTGGTAAACGCCAACGGCCCTACCTCACAGTGAGGCCTCTAGCCGATGACCTCGGTCTGACGGTCGACGTCTCGTGTGACCGAGATGACGAGGCGTGCGTTGCCGATGTGGTTGATGACTATGATGGCGATGGAAACATCTTGATCTGGTATGGTCCACCTCACTTCGTCAAAACTCGGTATGATAGCAGAATACTGACCGCTGCGCAGCTGGGAGCATCACCAACTCAGCAAGCTCGCCGAGGAGCTGGGCGCGGACGACGTCGATGACTACCCTGATGATTCCTACGACCTCATTTGGACCGCTCCCTATGACTACAGCGAGATTGTGTCGATAACATCTGAAAATTGCCCTGCATTAGATGATTTGCACACTCGGCGTCTTGTTAGAAAGCAACCAGTTAGGCCTCGGTACAACAGGCAATCGAGAGAAGACTGAGTACCATCTCTCTGGAGATCTGAATCGTCTATAGATTTACATCATCTAGATCTATTCCTCATAAATATTATCATCACTGCAAAAGTCAGCACTCCTCCCATACGCCCCGTCTTATCTAATCGCGCTTCACGATTTCAGGGTGGTCAAACTCACAATTTCTCAGCAAACTTCCCCCTGCCCTCCGCGTCGCGGTTGACAAACACACTGACGCTAGTCTGGCCGCACACAAAGTCGCCAAACCCGTCGTCGCCGATGCGTACCTCGCGGTCGCTCCAGCCCAGCACGTCGGTCCACACCTCGCCGGCATGCACCTCGCCGACGTGCATGCGCTTCTCGCCGGGGCCGGCGTTGCTCAGCACGACGGCGCAGCCCGCGCGCCGGTCCCACGTCCCGTAGCGCACCCAGCCGAGACACGTCGCGTAGTCGAAGTAGTCGGCTTGTTTCCCGTAGGCGTAGAGCTTGCGGGCGAGCGCGAGCTTAGGCAGGATACCACCACAGGCGGGCGGGAACGGGTGCTCCCCCTTGATGCCGTAGAGGTCGCCGTAGAAGAGGCATGGGTAGCCCTCGCCGCGCAGCAGGATCAGGGCGTAGGCTAGCGGCTTGAACCAACCTTCTATGGGCGCTTCGAGGGCTTGGTAGGGTTGCGTGTCGTGGTTCATGACCAGCGTCTGCATCTCTTTAGCAGTGCCTCAAGTGAAGGCTTGCTACCAAGAGTAGTTGGCTTGACTGAAGGCCGGGACTCACCACTGCGTTGACAGGCATAGAGGCCACCAGCGTGTCGTCAAAGACTTTCCGAAGGTCTGCGCCGGAGCTCTTGCTGATCTGGCTGAAGTTATACACCAGCGGCGCGTCGAAAAGCGAAAACTTCTTGCCCATTCTGTCGAGGTAGCGGGTCATATCGTCCAGACTGTCCTTCCAGAACTCACCGACGAAGAACCAGCCTTGGCCGTAGGTCTCGTCCAGTATGGTGATGAACTTGCGCAGGAAATCTTCGCTGTAATGTTTTATGGCGTCAAAGCGGACGCCCTTGAGGGGCAGGGTCTGCGCGAGCCATTTGCCCCAGGCGAGGACGTCGGCTTCGACCTGGGGATGCGCGTAGTCCAGATCGGACCCCATCAGGAAATCGCTGAGGGCTGTCAGTCATGCTCCCGACTGGCGCCGTCATTACAGGATGATTATTCCGTACTAATTGCCCTTCTCGCTGTCCACATCACCGTCTTCTGCCCAACCCTGGGACTTGTCGCCCATGATCTTGTAGATGGCCGTCTTCTCGTTCCTGGCATTGTAGTCGACGCCGCTGAAGTGGTACCAGTGATACTTCATCTTGCTGTACTTGTCGCCGCGGCCAGGGAAGTCGAATCCGACCCAGGCTTCGATCTCGTACTGGTCACTTACCTCCTTGTTGCGGTCATCCGGGTCGACTTCCACCGCCTGGCACTTTTCCTTGTGGTCCGCAGCGAAGCGGTGGTTGAGGACGGCGTCGAAGTAGATGCAGAGACCGGTCTTCTTCGCCGTTTCGCACAGCTTCATGAGCTCGTCGTAGCTGCCCCATTTCGTCGCAGTAGAGCCCTTCTGGTCGAATTCACCCAGATCGTATAGATCGTAAATGTCATAGCCATTCCCCTCCTTTGACGAGCCTTTGCATCTGTGGGCATGGAAACATTAGATGTACTCATAAAGGTCTGCCTTCCGATGCTACTGACGCGGGCGGTATCCAGATGTTGTCAATCCCCCAGGCTTTTAGCTGAGCGGCCTGCTTTTCCAATCGGACCCAATGCTTCTGGTCTGCTGGGACATACCACTCAAAAGCCTGCAGCATGGCATTGTTCACCGGGGTGGGTTTCTGTTCCTCGGCCATCTTGAGGGATTTCAAGATGAGATAATTATGACTAGTAACCAGGTAGCGACAGAACAGGAGAGGGAGCCAGAAAAGTCATTATATACTACCTATTACATGGTTATCTTAGCTTCAGGTACCAGCAAACCCAGGTAAGCGCTCATGTACCTAGATGGGGCAGATACCATATCAAGCTGATTCAAGCAAGATTCACGAAATCAAGAATCAAGCGACGCCACCTCCCAGTCAGCCAGTCGGCTTGGACGTCGGCCGACTCATGGCGGCTTCAGGCATGAGAGATCGCGAATAAGAAAAGGTCTAGACCCAACGGTGGAGTTTTTAGGGGTTGAAGCCGAAAACCCCATCCGTGCCTTGTCCCGGCAGCTAGTCATGCCACTTCGTTGGAAGAGACGTTTGAAAACGAGAGGAATACATCATGGATGAATACACCTTTCTGATGGTGACGAGCAACGTTGAACCATTCTTGCTGCATTTCTGCTCTGTGCCTGGAGGCGCACAGCCAGGTAGCCCGACACCCGGTGAGAGGTAGATGTTGCGATGTAAGTGGACCATCGAGGGGCAGATAACGGTTGCCAATGCCAACCTTGGCTGTCAGCTCGACTCAAGAGGACGCTGGCAGCCTAGCAATTGCCGTATCGTGGCACCTGATGTTAGATACTAGCACGAATGTGTTGAATGGGAGCCGGAGATAGACACCGGAAGATCTCCAGTGGGGCAGAGACGCACAGGGCATCTGACCCACCAAGAAGACAGATGATCAATCTATGCACGCAGAGCAGAACAATCAATAGAATCAATCAACAGCCGTGTATTCAACACCTGACGTCACTGGGTGCATAAAACTGAATCCGGCTGTCTTTCTGGACTTCCAAGGTTGTGTTCGAAGGCTTCAGCCTTCCAGGATTTGCGGCTGGGTGGCATAAAGATAAAGCTCCAAGCTGAGCTGATCCTCGGTTGTACTTTGCGCATCAGGTTGAACTTGAATGGAATGCAACTCATCATTGTGACACTCTATTTTCACCGCCGAGGGCAACCCATAAAACCCGCTGTCAGCAATCCTAGCGGCCTCCCTAAGCGGCCCCTGAATCGGCCCTCGGGAAACAGCTGGCAAATCACGGAGCAGCTGCTGGCTGTTGGCCAACTTGGCCTCCGAACAGTATGGTGGCACTGCCGGGCCGAGCGTCGGTTTAGTGGTCCACCAGAAAAAGCAGCAACTGCACCTTTGAACCAACATCCAACATGACACCCATTCGTGACCTTCCGTTTACCCATTCACCTGGTCACCTGCACTTGCCCTTCCAGGCGCTGCCTGATAGGTAAGATTGGTAGGAAGTCGTCAGCCGCCGGATTGCGACCCAGACATATTACTCAAATCACCCCTGACTGGTTTGCTTGCCGCCAGTTTGCTCTCCTTATATAGACGCTCTGCGGTATTCACCAGATGGCAGCTCTCATGTCTCTTCAACTATTCTCTCTTTGCAACAGTCTTTCACAGACGCGGATAAAATATACCGAACCTTCTCACCCGCAGTACTCCTTGCTATTTGAATCCAGGCATTGCTACCGGGGTGCGATAGGTTAGACGTTCAAGCAGCAGGCTGGCTGACTAAGAGCTACCTTACCTATCGACTGCCCTGCGCCGCCAGCGAGCATGGAGATAGATGCGCCCGACGATGCGCCACCCATCCTACGATTGCCTGTCGAGCTGCTCCTGCAGACTTCTTCGTATCTCAGCGTGGCGGACCTGTTTTCGCTGCGCCTGACCTGCCGTCATGTCGAGGCCTCTATATTCGCATCGTTTTGTCAGGAGTTCTTTGCCGAACGCCGGTTCATGATCACCTTCAGCAGCTTACAAGCTCTCGTTGATATCTCGAGTCTACCACGATTCTCGGAATACATCACCCATCTCACCATCGGGCTTGACCGCTTCGACACCAGTGAAGCATTGCCTCGCTTTGCCGACTACTGGGACCCCGTGACCCATACAGCGCGCGATGCCCCCCTGGTCAAGGAGGGGATCAATGAACACAAACTTGAAGCATTTACCGTCGAGCAGAACTTCATCGTCAGCAGTGGGAAACTGCAGATGATGCTCACCGAGGCGCTGGGGAACCTCGAGAACCTTCAGGAACTCAGCTTGCGAGACAGCAATGCACGCAAGACATCCAGTCGCCCAGACTCGAACACGTTATTAGTCAGTCACGGTGCCGCCCACGTTTTCCGAGAAACGGGTATCAACTTCATCGACCATGAATCACACCTCCATCCTCACGACCACCAATTCGTGGACATTGTCTTCTCAGCCCTTCTCCTGGCTCTAGCGAGAAGTGGCACACAACTGAAAGCATTGACAGTCGACATAAGCAAGCACGACGTCGGCTTGTCGAGTTCTGCCTTCTCATTGCCCATGTTCCTCCTCCATGACCTCCAACCAACTTTGTTCAATCTTCAACACCTCGACCTGTCAATTAGCTTTATCCAGGCGACTCTGGGTAGCTACTCGAACCGCTCAGCCGGGTTCTTGTCATGGCAGCAACACCAGCTGTTTAAATTCCTTGAGCAGACGCCCAACCTCGTCAGTCTTCGGATAGTATCAAAGGAACGGGGTTTCGTCGCCGATGGCATCATAGTCTGGCTCGCTAGCCTACTAGAACGAGAGAGTGATGGTCATGTACGTTATCCTGCGGTTCCGGGAGACCAAAGTCTGCTAACATGCATGTAGCAACCCGACAAACAGATCAGCCGGCCGTCCCTCCCACACTTCGAACACAAGTTCCGAGCGCTGCGTGAACTAGAGCTTATCAACATGGCGGCGCCTGCCACGACGCTCTCCAAAGTCTTGTCCTGCCTTTCACAGTCGTTAACCAAGCTGTCCTTCAGCAAGTTGGCGTTGACAGTCACGGACTCAGACGACGAACTCGACAACGATGCCCAGAAACCGAACGCGTGGGTCTTGCTTCTACAGGACATGTATGCCTGTCTCCAGCTGGAAAGCTTCGCGGTGTCTGCCTTGGAGCATCATACTCCGAGCTGTTCGAGGCCTCAGAGTACTGGCGGCCACCCGGTTGCTTTCCTGCCTTCTAATTTCGGTGTCCAAGGCAGGTTGGCCAGTGGGATGCTAAATACATGGTCGCATACGGGGAATGTCACCACCATGAAGGATTTCCTCCAGGAGATGTCTATAAAGACAATCGTTATATGCCCACGATGCAAACAGAATAATGCCGGATATCGGTCTGTGGAGGACATCCTTGAGGCTTGAATCCCTGCGAGTCGATTGTCTATGAGTCGAGGATACATGCCACGTTGTATAAGCGAGGGTGAAGTATTAGCATCCGTTGAATTGCCATTTGAATCGTCTGAATTCGAGTCGAGCCCTTCAGCTTCCTCCTCGCAACGTGCCAACATACATATGTCATTTTCCCTCAGCGGTTGAGGATCACATCCCAACGCGACCTCCCGCACATCTCTCCTGCATTAGTCGAACCCAATTAAGAACTTACTCCCCTTTCGGCATTTGTCTTATCAATTGACTCGAGATAGGAGGCGCACATGCATGCTGCAATGCAGCAACGCACCCCTGACCGGGAATTGTGATAACAGGCTTCTGTATCTGAGGTGCCAGTGCAAGTGGCGTGACCGGCTGTGCATCGAGGAGTGTCACGGGCGGGGTGACCGGCGTCGTGAAGTAACCATCATTGCCGACGCCTTTTAGTCGAGGTTTGCCCTGCGCTTTTACGTTCTACCTTCCCAATTAATGGACTGAAGACAGACCAGCGAGCTGTCAGCATTTCTAACTTTCCAGTGTAACCACACCAGCAGGACAGGCAGGCAAGGGACCCAGACATACACAATGGCGACCGCGGCCGTCACACACGGCGCCATCGACGAGTCCGTCGTCCCCGGCACCGTCCACCTCGTCGACCTAGAGCACACATTAGCAACGCGGCACGCGCAATCCCAGTCAGACATCGTGCTTGTGCCCACGCCCTCCTCGGACCCAGACGACCCCCTAAACTGGACTCCCCGTCGCAAGCGCCTCGCCCTAACATGTGCGCTGCTGTACACCTGGTTCAACGGCATCGCGCTGTCAGTCGTGTACTCGGTGCTAGTCCCACTCTCCACCGCACTGGCCGTCACCGAAGCCGACCTCAACGCCGGGACAGGCTACATGTTCCTACTCCTAGGCTGGGGTCTCCTCTTCTGGCAGCCCCTGGCGCTACAGTACGGCAAGCGCCCGACGTACCTCGCATCCCTCCTCGCGCTGGCGGCCGTCACGGCCTGGGGCCCGCACGCGCACGGCCGCGGCCAGTGGATCGCCAAGAGCGTGCTGACGGGCTTCTTCGCGGCGCCCATCGAAGCGCTTCCCGAGACGACCGTTGCGGACTTGTTCTTTGCGCACGAGCGGGCGACCTACATGGGCTGGTATGCGTGGACGCTGGCCGGGAGCAACTTCTTCGCGCCGATTATTTGCGGGTTTATTAATGATGGCGTGGGCTACCGGTGGGTGTTCTACTTTCCGGTGGTCTTTTGTGGCGTTACTTGGATTTTCCTGTTTTTGTTCATGGAGGAGACGAATTATGATCGGAGGAGTGTGGGGGTTGTTGCTGCAGAAAGTGCTCAAGGGGTTGCTGTCGTTGATAAGGGAGAGGATGGCAAGGAGAAAGGGGCTTCATCCCTCGCAGGGGGCGAAACCGCCGAGATCCCAAGAACCTCGACGAAGACGTTCTGGCAGAAGATGTCCCTCGTGGACAAGCCGCGCCCGTTCATGATGCACTACCGCGCATGGCAGTCCCTGAAGCTGCTCTCGTGGCCCGTGGTCTTCTACTCTGGGTTCAGCTACGGGACGTATCTGATCTACTTCAACATCCTCAATGCCACGAGCTCCATCATCCTGGGCGGGCCGCCGTATAACTTTCGGCCGTCGCTGGTCGGGCTGAGTTATGTCTCTTGCATGATTGGCGTCACCCTCGCGTAAGTTCACCCATTACAGCTCTATCCTACGAGTCGGTCGACCACGTACTAAGACGGCAGCACAGGGCCGCTTTCACAGGCATATTCTCCGACCGCTTCATAATCCGGAAAGCACGGCGCAACAACGGCATCTCGGAGCCCGAGCACCGGCTCTGGCTCTTCGCCACGAGCACGCTCATCATCCCGGCCTCGATGATCCTCTGGGGCGTCGGTGCCGCACACAGCGTGCACTGGTTCGGACTCGTCTTCGCCATGGGCACGGCGGCCTTCGCCAATACGGCCGGCATCACGCTCAGCGTGTCGTACCTGGTCGACACGTACCGCGACCTCGCGGGCGACGCGCTGACGACGTGCATCCTCGTGCGCAACACCATGAGTTTCGCCATCGGTTACGCCATCACGCCTTGGGTCACGAACCTGGGGTACCAGGATGCATTTGTGAGCGTGGCGTTTGTGGGACTGGCCATCTGCAGTGTGTTCTTGGTCATGGTGCGCTGGGGCAAGCGGTTCAGGGAGGCGAAAAGGGTACAGTACTGGCGAGAGGTGACGAAGAGGGTCGAAATGGGCTTTGTGCATTGAGAAGGGAGGGTTGGGATCTTGTAGGGGGTAGGATGTAGGTAGTTTGCCGTAGAGAGGCGGTGAACAGCGTCACGAGTCGGGTTGGAGCTCTTGGTCTGCCATTCGTTCCACTCGTGGGTATCCATGATGCAAATGTCATGCTCAAACTACACCACGGGGCCAGCATCTTGTGTAACGTGGAGCAGTCGGGTATAGATCTGTCACACCACGGGGCCGGGCGGCAGCAGGTTTCACCAGAGCAGATTTGTCTCGGGACGGCACCACGGTACCTGTATAGTAATCCATCGAGCGCAATTGTCTCGGGTCCCATACATTACCATATATCCCCGAGGATAGATGCTGGCAGGGAAGGGATATATACCTATACAACGCATAATAATCAAGCCCGCCATGCCATGCCATGCCACGCAATCAAGCCCCCTAATACGCCATCGAAAATAGCATCATATCCCTTTGGCAGCGTCTCTTCTGCCTCATCAAGTACCAAAATCATCAAGTGCCCGATTCTGGGTACATCATCTCCGGGAACGGAGCCGCAGCACAACCCGAGCAGACTCGATCATTCGTGCAGCGATCGTGTTTGTCACAATGCCATTCCGCGCTGGGCTTGCACACCCGGCACTCCTGGCAGTGCTCCCAGAGGTCCATCGGCACCCACTTGCTTTGACAAAAGCTATACCAGAATCCATTAAAGTCGTTGGAATTGCAGTTGCCCAGCCCTCCGCGCAGCAGCTCAAACTCGAGTCGCTCTCGCTCTTCTTGTTTCTCTTCTTGTTTCTTCTTGTTGCCCTTGCCGCTTTGGGTTTTTTTCCACTTCTGCTCCCATTCCTTGAAGGGCGCTGTGTACTTGCTAATAGTCACCCAGGATGCGTCATCATCTAGCAACATATCTACCATCAAGTCCATATCTAGTTCTTCGATATTGGGCTGGTTTGAGAGCCATGTTGCGAAGCAGGCATTTGCGCCACAGGGTTTGGGGAAAGCGGTGCTTGTCCCAAAGAAGGTGGTCAAGTCTGCGAACGGGTTCCCGCATGAATTCCTGCAGGAACACGACGAGGTGCAGTTGAGCCCGTATTTGCTGCATACGCATGACATACAAGCTTTCTTCTTCCCGCGGCCTTTCTTACAGGCGCATTTGTTCTCGGGTGGTTTTGAATGCTCGGTCGAAGGTGTAGGGATCGATGTCCGCGCTGGTTCAGAGCTCGTGTAAACCTACAATATGATATTAGCTGCCTTTTTCTTTGCCACAAAGGGTCACCACGCCTAAGTTGGCTCCCGATCTGGCTTACCTCGGTCGATTCGTCTGCCGTCTCGCCCTGCGCATCCTCATCATCGTTCTCAGGAGGATCCTCCGACATGGGACGGTCATCATGCTGAGGAGTAGGCAGAGGGGCAGGACTGTAGTGCTGGTTCACAGTCGACTCTGTATACGGGGTGGTGTTCGTATGGTTTACCGTGGGCTCTGGATATGGGGTGGCGTTCGTATGGTATGCCGTCGCGTGAGAGCTCGGTTGGGAAGAAAATGATTCTCCATATTGCGTTATAGGGTGCTGGGCGTGCTGGATCGCGGCCGTGGGGTTTCGAGGTTGTGGCTGGTGGTAGGTCGTAGCCTGATGACTTGGAGGAACTGGTGCTGGCGAGTATGGCCCTCTGGTTCCCGGCTGGGGGGTGTGAGTGGTTGGATAGCCTCCGTTCTGTACACCGTTGAGTGCCGCCTGAGGATAGTGCCCATTGTGGGACGGCAGCTGGGGACTCGGCTGTGGCTGCGGATAATGTGTGGTGTTATAGGCGTGTGCTTGCTGCTGGGGACTATAGGGTCCGGCACCGTATGCTGCTGCCGCCGCGGCCGCTGCGGTCGAGGAGTTCTGGTAGCCTCCGCCGTACCCGTTGTGCTGTGATGTCACCGGATTCGCCGCATATGAACCATAGTTGACAGTCGGGAGACCGGACGGCGGAGGCGCATAGCCGCCATTGGTGTAGGCGCCCGGCGAGTATAGTCCGCCGAGACTCGGGTTGATCTGGCTGACCTGGTTGACGTGGGCTTGTCGAAGGGCGGGAGCTTGAGTCTGCGGGGTGGTGTGGACGGCTTCTCTCGAGGTATTGGATCGCTGTCTCTTTGATGGCGGATACGACATTGCAATCACGCACCCGAGTCGCCTGTGAGTGTTGCGTCTGCTGCTACGTCGACATCGGGGCGACGTCGAAGTCAATGGGTTGTGCTGCAAGTTGGCAATAAGGACTGCAGGTGACTGCCGGGCATGAAATTGTTGTGATAAAGTCAGACAAATTCCTTTTTTTGGCCCCGCGGCGGAACGCGTCTAATGGCGCTGTTGGCCCGTGTGGCCGCCGCTGCACCGGCGCCAGGTGCCGGTGGGATCCTGCGATAAGGTACCTTAGCGTTACTGATAGCGTTCAGGCCTGAGACCCCTGGAACTTGGCAGCAGCTCAGGGTACCAACAATGCACCTGCAACCTGCAACCTTCCACCTCCACCTGGCATGCAATGAACCCATGCGAGGCTAATTAAATAGGGGTAGGGAACAAGCATCAACGGCCAAATAGGCACCTACTGTAGTATTCATATCTGTCGCTCCCTCGTGGACTATAGACAAGGTGAAAACGGAATGTTCATAGGTAGATAGTATACAGGAGTGTGACTCTAGGCCTGAATTTTCTGAGCCTACTTCGTAAAGAACTGGTGGTATCGTGTAGATCTGTGTCCTCTCTACGTCTGTTTCATGGCGCAGGATGAAGAAGGTGGTAGGGCAGGCCAGGGGTTGACCACAGATAACCAGCTTCCACTGTGTGCCGTGCTAGCATGACCAAGCAGCCTGATTAGGGGAAGAAACACATCATCGATTATACTTGAATTATCCATCTTCGACGGCGATATAACAGGGTCCCGCAGGTCTGCTCTTAACTGACATATTGGAATTTAAAGCCATACACATCTTTCATTGTCTGTGTACTGGCATAGGAAATACGAGGGTCTGATGATCACCTGTTTGGCTTGCCACAACACCGCCGCCCAAGGGGCTGCCCGGTCAGAGGGGGAGCTTCGCCTTTAACACTTTCCTGAGACTCACAGTAACCCGTCTTGGGGAAAAAAAGATCTTGCTATCGAACCGTTTCGTTTAGGCAAGCAGGTGATATCTTCGAAGGCAATCCAGTTACTCGCATCAAGCACAATGACATGAGGATGGCCCCAAGGGTGCTACACAAACATACAATCAGTTTGTGTGACCGGTGCATGTGGAAGATTGACATTATTTGGATGGCTGAGATGCGCTCGTGGAACCATCGTCACCTCGCACCAAGCCAAACGCAAAATGATAAACAGAGATGACTATTCAGGACGGCCTTCACCTTTTCATCATTCGCACAGCAGACCAGTACGTCTTTGAGGCAATACCCATATATCTATACGGTTCACGTCTTTGTCAGTACCATCTTGTAGGCATCTCTCACTGCTTGCCTCTAACCTGTAGTCCTGCAGCACTTGCGAGAAAACAACACCCAGCGTCTATCGAAGTTCATACCAAAACAACCTCTTCCAACTTCCCAACAAACCAAACATCGAAAACATGCGCGATTTCCTACGAAACTTCCTCGTGGCAGCCGCCCCTTTCCCTTCCCGCCAGCCCCAGGCCCCGTCCACACCGACAACACCGTCATACCAACCTACCCAACCCACGCCCCTACCTACGAACAGTGCGCCACCTGGGCACGCGCCAAGTCAGACGCCTCCTGCCTGACCATTAGCAAAGAGAACTGCCTCAAGACGCGCGAGTTCCTGCTGCTCAACCCGCAACTCCACGGTGACAGCGAAGAGGTGTGGGAGGACTACTGGTACTGCGTCCGCAGCCCGGACGGCGCTGTGTGTGTGGTGAAGACGGTCACCGTCATTCCGTTGCCGGCGACGGCGACGGCGACGGTTTTGGGTACTCGACAGCTGTGATATAGGGAAGAGGGAAGTCGTCGGTGGGGTGGGAAAGGGTGATGAGAGGGTTGCGATGGTGCTTGGGCCCGTATGGGGTGGACAGTTGTTGATTGTAATGATGGCCTGATATCACCCACCCCTGACGACGGGACAGAACGGAAAGGGGGGAAATTACCGGTTTGTGGGAGGCGATGGTGTATTCGTCGACTGGCCACCCGACTACCACAACCTGAGCCTTGAAACTGGTTGTTTGGGATATTATTAACAGTTCTAATCTAATATTTTCCACTATTCAAGCGCTTCCACTATTCAAGCGCTTCGTCTACTCCAAAGCTCCATCCTCTACATCCCTCGCATAAACCCCCTCTTCTGCTTCGGCGGCTTATCACCCTCCTTCTTCTCGAACTCCTTATCGCCATCCTCCGTATGCACCACATAGCGATCCTTATCCTTCTCAGCGGCACGCTTCTCCCTCTCCGTATTCCAACGCATGAAATAACAGCAGAACGGGAAAAGCACCGTATTGACCGCGACCCAAGCGAACAGCACCCCAAAGTTGAGCCCGATCTGCGAGTGCAGGTCGAATATTATCTGCCGGCTCGCCTGCACGATATGATGCAGCGGCCAGGCGTAACCCCAGCGGAAAAAGATCGGCGACAGCTCGATGGTGTAGAAGGACGTTGACACGTTGGTGATTACCCAAAAGATAAGCCATAAAGCAGTCCACGGTTGCCCGATGACCATTGCGACGTTTTCGCACGCGATGCCCAGCGCCGCCATGCCGACGAAGTTGAGCATCCAGTAGACGGGGAACGAGCCGCGACCGTACGCCGTCGCCGAGAGCGCCACCTGCGTGGGCGACGCGGGAGGCGGCCAGAACGGGATCTGGAAGGCGAGCGAGACGAGGGAATAGGTTAACGAGATGAAGAGGTAGGATACTATGGTTGCGACCCAGCGCCAGACGATGAACTGCCAGAAGTGGAGCGGTGGGTGGCCTTGCGGTGTGATGTATTTCTAGCGATGGTGTTAATCAAGTGGCACGACCTCAGGGCAGAGTCCCGTCTGTGGGGGAAGTGTGAACTTACCGTGTGGATAGGCAGGAAAAAGGAAAAGGAGAAGAAAGCCACGATGATGAGATAAATCAGGCCGATAGTAACAGCCGGCGTAGCGGTCGCCGGCATGAAAGGCCGCAGATCGATCTGCAACGGCGAGACGCCCGGGTTCACGGCAGCGGGCGCCCGCGCCATCATCTGGGTCGAGTACGACGAGTTCGACATCAGCATCCGGCTCCAAGTGGCGCCGAACTGGGCCGCAAACTGCGTCTGCAGCATCTGCAACTGCGGCAGGATGTAGTTGTAGTACGTCGACTCCTGCCTCGCCGTCTGCACAATGATCTGGATCGCGCCCGTGGGATCGTACGACGCGTTCCCCGTCAGGACGGCCTGCTGCAGCAGCGCGGTGGCGTTCGGGTTGATGATGATGGCGGCCCACGAATCAAAGTCGTACACGCCCTGGCGAACGTTTGTGGGATCGTAGTCGTACTGCGCGGGGTCCACGGTCTTGTAGCCCAGCGAAGGAGCTGGCGAGCTGTACATCTTCTCCGTCAGCTGCGTCACAGCCGGGCCGACGAGCGGTGTCACGCCGTCGTACGGCGCTACCCGCCCGTCGAAGTCGACGACGTGGACCCCTAGGTGTCGCATGTTCTGGTCTACGGAGAACAGCACGGCCCAATAGAGCGATAGCACGGCCATCACAAAGCACATGAGTATGACGACTGGTCCGCCATGTCAGTCCGGCAGTTCTGCTGAGCGGTTGGTTGCGATGGGTGGGGAGGATGGGCGATGGCTTACTTGTGCGCGCCCACATGACCAGGACGTGTTTGCGCACCTTGCTCATCTTGGTATGCCAAAATCCCACGCTCTGGTGCGGCTTCTGAGCAAAGTGCGCCTCCGGATCCCCGCCGCTGCGCTCGTGCGACTGGTCGTAATCGTGGGGATTGATAAGGTTGGCATCGTGACCACCGCCGCCGCCGCCGCCGCCGTTGCTGCTTCGGCTTCGGCTTCGGCGCATAATGCCGGTGGCCGAGTCCTCAGAGCTGTCATTTTGGGCGGCGATGATTAAGTTCGAGGCGTCTGGTACGTTGTTGCGCGAAGACATTGTCTCTCGTCTGCACGTCTATCCAAGACAGCCTAAGGTAGGATAACGTTAACAGGAAAAGTGAAAAGCCACCGAAAGTATGATGCACGCCGGCGCACGATGCTATAAGGGGCAAATTCCAGTAATAAGAACCAATATGGATGCCGTCATCAATGTTCGGGACTAATCAACTACATGTAATGAGCATCTAAGCTCCGGCAATTTGATCTCACCTATCGCGACTATTCGCGGGAATCGTCTTTTTTCGCGAATAAGATGAGTCTGCGACGCTTAGTAAAAATAGTAAGGGTGTAGACGGTGATGTCACTCCTGAACGCGACCCTCCCGCGCACCCGGATCCGGCGGAGCGTCTCCACGAAGGGCCACATGGTCGCCAGGATGGTGATCGTTGCAACTATTTCTGGCCTAGTTGGGCCGCTATTGTTCTCGACGATGTCAGGATGCAATCAATATATTTCTCGGGCTGGCTGCTCTTCTGGTCGCAACCTCAGCCTCATCATGAAGGAAGACAAAAGGGATGCGGTACGGCCTCGAGGGAACTGAGGTGCAATCTGGGAACACCCACAAGTTATCGACTTCGTCAGGTCAGATTCATCATCATAAACCTGAGCCTCCATTACTCAGACGTATCTGACGTATCTGGAAGTCAGCCGGCCGGCTTTCCCCTAACAAAATCCACAAGTCCCAGTGTTGCAAGATGCTGCAATCTTCCCAACCCATTCTGTCGTTGATCCCGTGTTGAATCCAGAGGCATCTCAAAATAAGTCGGTAAAGACGCAACATCCAACATTAATACCAACGCCATCGAGTTGACGGTCAAGTCTGCAAGGCATTGCTTGACTTAAGTACCTCATGTTTGAGGGTAGCTACCCAGAGGCATTCTGACCTTGACGTTATGTTAACCTTGTGACATGTGGTCCTCGGGAAGGGCAGTGGGCAATGGGCAGTGGGCAGAACTCTACTTGCATAAGTAACACCTTAAATGTGCTGGAAGAAGGGAACCCTGACAGCCGCGCCCTGGGGTCGCGCGCAGCCCTCATCATGACCTCCAGAGATTCGATCTGGCTCCGAACTTGATACGTGAGTTAAAGTCGTGGAAGCGAACTTGGGACCTCTCTCCTTCTGGCGTTCGAGGTTAAATATGAGCCCCAACCCTGGCGAGGACTGATACATAGCGGATCAATTTTTTTGTTTCATTTGAGCGGCGTGTAGCCTTCTATCTAGTAAAACCATTGAGCAATTCAGCTCCACAGGTTGTTATGCCAATCCTCAGTCCTCATAAGCAGCGCTATCCCAAGTGCTATTCGTCAATTCCCCAACCGAGTGCTGGAAGACTCTTGAGCCAGACATATCCCAAAACTAATGCAAAAACAAATAAGAACAAGATCATAAAGGGCAAACTGCCATCCCTTTTCGTGTGATGCGATTCTTCCTAAACGCCTCATCCAGCCAGACAAGATCCCAGGAGCCGCGAATATGGACAAGAGAGTAGACATATAAAGACATTCGATACAAGGACTGAATGAGGGTGTGTTGATGGACTACAAGTCAATCGACAGCAGTTCTAACCTGGCCATGGTGGCCTCGAGGCTAGCCGCGAGACGCTCAACCCGTCTCAGGGCAATGCTGGCGATGGCCTCCCCTTCCGAGGCATCGACTATTTCGTAGCGGGCGAAGGCCTTCTCGGGTTCAATGCCGCCGAAGATGTCGACGGTGGACAGGCTTTCGGTGTTGAGCTCGGCGGGAATGAGAGTGGAGGCAGGTGTATCGTCATCGAAGATGTCACCGTCGAGTTTTGCGACAGCTTTCTCAACAGCAGTAGGCTCGACAGACAACTCTGGAGCCTGCGACTTCTCGAGCGAGTGCGACACTGGGTCCTCGACAACGGGCGCATCGGTCTTCTCGTTATCCAGGGCAAGGGATTCGCCTGGTATGATGGAATTCTTGCCCGCCAGGGCCTCCATGTCGATCACTGGCATCTCAGGGGTCTCCAGGACGGAGAAGACCTGGGGTTGATAGTTGAAAGCATCCGTGTTCAGATTGAGCATGGAGAAGTCCATGGTCTGTTCGGGCATCATGACCATACCAATTTGCTGGTGTTGTTGACCTTGCTGGCTGTTGTTGTAGGGGTTCACATCCTTGGGTATCTGGCGCTCTGGTTGTCTCTGCTCGACTTGCGGCTGCGCTTGGGGTACAGCGGCAGGGCTGCTGCTCAGGTGGTCCAGGAAATTGGAGAATGACGGCGATGACAGGAGCATGCGGGTGAGGTCAGACAACCGTCGGTTCTCCTCTGCGAGAGCACGGTTTTGGCCGCGCAATTCGCCGTTCTCGGTAACCTTGGTTGCAATCTCGGCTTCGAGCTGGGTGATGTATTCTATCGCACTGATCAGTATATGCGCTCTGCCATTGGAGTTGTGAAGTATTACCCTTTCTTCTTGATCGGAAAGCACGAGCAGACACCTTGTTGCGCAGTTGGCGCCGCTCCTTGCTACTGAGCTTCTTGCCCTCTTCGCTGGCCAGGAGTCTCTCATCCTCGTCCATATCATCCTCTTCCTTCTTGGGTCGGTGGATCTGCATAAGAGGCGAGTTGTCCACCCCATCTCCCATATTAGCCTTCGCCCTCATGGTATTTAGCAGCTGAGTGATCTTCTGCTCGACGAGTGGGTCCGAGGGAAGTGGCGCCTTGGGTCGATGGTGCTTGCCCTGCTGGCTCTGTCTCTGGTGCTGTTGTTGCTGAATGATCTGTTGTTGCTGTCGCTGTTGCTGTTGGGCTTTCGCCAAGGCAGCTTGCTGATGCATCCCAGGGTACATACGGCCAACACTACTCGTCTGACTGGGGACGGTGGGCGATGGCAGCTGGGCATCACGGTTGTCGACGGCGTGCGGGTTGATGGTAGATGGACCGGCGTAGTAGAAAGATGGATCCGATTGAGACTCGAAGTCGACATCCATATCGGGGGTGTTCATGGAGTGTTGCGATGGAGCGGAGTTGAAGTCGAACATCTCCTCATTCGAGCTCATGTAGTCCATCGAGTACCCGGTAATGTGTGCGTTGCTCTCGTTGACTGCCAGGGTGCTGGCCAGAGCGCCCGGGACGAATGGCGTCTGCTGTTTGTACTGATCATACTGATGGCTGGGCCCCGACAATGTTTGGCTCGGCGGCATCGTCGATGGTGTCGCGGTCATTGTCGTCGTCGGCCTAGCGAACTGGGGTTTATTTGTGGCAGCCGGCGAGAGCGACGGTGATTGATATGATAGTCCATCGTACTCGGTGAAATCTAGCAGGTCGAGGGGATCCACGACCCCGGTCGGACTCGTCGTCGACCGGTTGGACTGGCTTGAGACCGACATGGCTGATATGACTGACTGCTCCCGTTCACCCTATTTCGATCCTATCGACAGATCACCCGATGGAATCCGGCAATACTAGAATGATCGGTTTGCGTCTGGCGATGTGTATTGGTGATGGCTATTTCTGGTGTTTCGATGTAGCAACGTGGTGTGTGGTGAGAGGAAGCAGCAGAACAGGGAGGAAGTGCGGATCAGCTGGGCCGGGCATTTGGACGTTATGGGTGCCTGGACGAAACGGCGGGCGTGCTGGAAGTGGGCGGTACCACTCAGACAGTCAGACCAGCCATACCCACAGACTGCCATACCCACGCAGCTGGCAGGCCCAGGGGCGCTCCGCTATGTAGACTCCCCGGTGGCTTGGCAACCACAGTGGCCTCGTCGGGCAGGTTGGCTCACGGTGGGCAGGGATGGCAGCATCATTAAGAGGGGAGGGACGCGTAAGCCCCCTATGGCCTTGCCAATAGTAAAAGCCGAGCGCGAGCTGGTCGACGTGCCCGGGTACGAACGGATTAGGAGAGCCTCCCGTTCTTGTGCACAGCTGCACAACAGAGGCCCGCCATCAATGTCTGTGACCTGTCTGCATCTGTCTGCACGACTGCATGGTGAAGAGTCGCCCAGCCTGCGAGGGTGACGACGCCGACTTCCACCAGCGTGCTTGGAACCCAATGACTGCTTCAGCTCTCTCTACACGAGCAACGAATATACCCCAACCCTTGGTTGGCGGTGAACAGTGACCACGAATTGCCTACGACCAGCAGACGAAACAGGACTCTGCTCCGGTGCGGATTGCCTCTGAAGGATATGTCGAGTACCGTGTACTTGGACATAAAGAGGTTAACACAAATATCTTCTGCTCGGAAGACACTTGGGGAAGTCCTCAGTACCACGATGCATCCCGGCCTACTGTACTCGGTCTTGCCTAAGAAGCTCATGATGGCAGCTGCACTCGCGCCGTCAAAGCATGACCGGGAGAATGGGCTAACCGGAACTTTGTCTGTTCGGCATTGCAGCACTGCCATTCCTCCTGTAGGAATTGGGGTTTGCCAGCGGTTGATCCTGCTGAGCCGTCGTCCACTGTCTGACATGCTGACATGTTGGTGTCAATTGTTGCCAATGACTACCTCTCAGCGGTGCCCAACAGCTTCCAAGATATTGATATGCCTACAATTCCGTGCTTCGAAGGTAATGCAGCAGTTGTGCACGGCGTGTGCACGCAGCACTGGCAGACTGGTGGCGCCGCGAGATGAAGCGATACGCTGGATGGAAATTGGTGAAATCAGCACAGCCACCACCGACCAAGTGTTGACCTCTAGCTTCGGCATCTTTCCGCAGAAGTGTCCACTTGGCAGATCGTATTGTTTTGGCCCCAAGAACTTCTTCAGCTCGAGCATGCTGGCTGTGAGCTGTTGATCCTACCTACCCAAGATGAGCTCATGAGATGAAATAGAGCGATTGAGCCAGGTGCGCAGTACACACAATAGGAGCCGGGAGAGGTACAGTTGATCGCATTGAGACGTTGAGAGGACAAGGGCGGAAAGTTGGAGGCCACGATTGACCGAGGTCCACCTTGATTTGACAGACTCTCTAGCGGGTGAGGCTTGGACACTCCACGTCCCCTATTCTCAGCTGGGCAGGGGATCAATGCTGAAATGCTCGACAACGGCTGGCATGGGCTTTGTGGTTATGCTGGCGCAGCAGAGAAAATTCGCAATGGTCCTAGCTAAAGTAGGTAGCTAGCGGGGCATAGCGTGGCATACCGGTTCTGTTCTTTCTTTCTGTTGCTCTCATCGAGGGCTCGAGCCAGTTCGACACTGGTGAGAAGTCGAGACCGGGTGGACTTATCGACTGGTCGTTGAGAAACACCCCAAAGGAGATATCGAGTCCGGCGTCATTCAAGATCTTCATCAATGCCGTACTCGAGTGAGGTGATTCACACATGGTAAGCGTAAAAATAGCTGCAAGCAGGCGAGGCTGTTTCATCTCCATCTGATGCAAGTTTCTCCAATGAGCTCCAGTGAGTCTGGGTCTGGAAGACAGAAAGCAGGGGATGGACACTCCCCGATATTACTCTAGGGCCATCGTGGGCCATACCGGCTGTCCGCAGCTTGGTCCGCATCTCCCGATGGGGGTCACTCCCGAGGTCTGATATGGGGTGATATGCATTCGAGAACACCACAGCATCTTCCATCTCCCCTTTTTGTTCGATGGAGCCTCATCTACCCTCATCTGCGGCTTCAATGCGGCAGTACCGATGTGGGGTGCGTCCAACTCCCGGCCTGTCAAGTCCCAACTAGCAAGTCGACGGTGTATGGGTGTTTCAAGAGCACGGAGCGTCCCGTTCTAGAACCTCGAATGAGCGGTAAAGGCCCTTGTTTTCACGATGGTCTCAAATTGACACCGCGGCAGCAGGTAGGGTTTCCCTCGTCTAAATCTGGAATGCGGTGAGACATGAGAGCTGGAGAAAGACGAATCGTACTGTACAAGACGCTGCTTGCATGCTCAAGTACACCTGTCTCGGAAGTTTGAGATGGACATGGTGAGATTAACTTAAACGCTATGAATGAATATGGGGTAAAGGTAATGTATCATTGTGTCAGATTCGAAGTCCAGTCCAGATGTCATGACCAACATCTCTCGGTTGTGGCGTACTGACGACGGCCGTAGTGGCTGTGCAGCCAGGTGTGGCGTTTTCCTTCCGGCCCAGATCTTTGAATCAAATACCTCCGTCTGTCAGAACCACATTCCGTCGCTGCACAATATGAGAAACACTTCATGTTGTGCGCATTGCTTGTATGCACGACATCAAGGATGATCTCCCAGATTTACAGCGAGTCATTGCATCTCAACAACCTCGCGATGATGCCATACCCAGTAGAAGATGGCGCATGGTGGCTGTGAGCTTCTCGCTCTCGCTATCACTGACGGCAACGGCGGACTTCAACAGCTTCCCATTCCGCTCCCGAGCTGGGACATAGTAGTCTCGGGTTTGGGATTGCACCGAGATCTCACATTATCAAGAAAATCTGTGCCACACGGATCTCGTATGAATGCTTTCTTCTCAATTGTGGCCGGAACAGCACCGGATTGAAAGATGCTCGACATCTCTTCAGCGTATGAGGTATTCCAGCAGATCAGCGGCTCAACGGCTGCTATTTCTCGATTTCCTCCCACTTCCCCCACCAAGCGCCTCCCACGACATCTTGTCCATCCCTGATCTTGACATGCTCGATACCTCCCATCTGCAGGGCCAGTTCGCGCCACTCATCAACAGCGAGCTCGGGTACGTCATAAGCCGGCGGGTTCCCCTTCACCGCACCGGCCCCCGACTCATCGTGCAGAAAGCGGCGTTCGTCAGTGAGGATCACCTCCTCAAAATATCGTCCTGGACCGCCAGCCATGGGTGTTTGGTAGCGCCTGACCAGGGCTACCCCGTCCGCTTGCCGCAAGATGCGCCGTGCTGGACTGTCTTTGTCTTTGTCTGACATGATGTCCTGATGGTCGGCGCGAGGCATGTGGATCTGAGTATACTCTACGACTCCGAACTTCTTGAGGAACCATGACGCAACAACCTGCGCGTGCCTGTGCCATGCGGTGCTGAACTCTTCGTGCGAGGTATCTGGCCTGCGGAAGAGGGGACCGCCGATTGAGTCGAGTTTGTGAGGTTCAGCTGTGGTAGTCATGCTGTGTTTTGATTGTCGATGTCCTCGGATTTGTCGTGTTGTATTTTGATTGTCGTCGTCCTTGGATTTGGAAGCAAGCATTCCACTCTAGCACGAACGTCCTTCTACTTCTGCTGGACCTATGGGTTTTTGAACTGGACAAGTCTCACTTTGAGCCTTTCAGCTTCGGTTGATTCTAGTTTGCTGACGCCACCGATGAGTCCAATTATATGCAACGAATAGGAGTGTGATTACATCAGCAGCTTGTATGCATGCTTACTCCAAGAAACACACATGCCCGCTCGGGCTGATGGCGTCCGTGTTAACAGACTTGGCCGTCTCACGTCAGATTACAGTACACAAAAGGCAAGCAAAAGGGTTCCCGTATCCGGACGCTTCAACGCAATGACCAGACCGCCATTCCGCGCCATCATCGTGGGCGGCGGGCCCGTTGGTCTCACGGCTGCGCATGCGCTCTCCAAAGCCGGGATCGACTTTGTCTTGCTCGAGAGGCGTCTGGCGGTCGTCGAGGATGTCGGTGCTTCTTTGGTGGTGATGCCCAGCACGTCAAGAGTGTTCTCGCAGCTCGGCATCTTGGATCGCTTCCGTGCCATCGGTGCAGCCGTCGAACGTCTCTTCGCCACCACGTTGGAGGGCAAGAAACTTTACGAAATTGACCCTTTTTTGTTCATGGCAGCTAAGTGAGTGCCTCACACCTGCTGCCTCAACCCCACTGACGGACGCACCTGAAGCCATGGCGATACACCACGAGTTTGCCACCGCGCTTTCCTGCTCAGAATCCTTTTTGAGGGGCTTGACCAGTCGGCACGGTCCCGCATTCTGACGAACAAGGAGATCGTCGACATCTCGCTTGATGACGCTGGTGTGGATGTACACTGCGCTGATGGCACGCATTACAAAGGGGTCATCGCTATCGGCGCAGACGGTGCTAACAGCTACGTCCGTGAGGTGATGCGCGGGCAGGCCTTGAAATCGACACCGGCAGCAGCCATCAACCCTGCGAACCCGTTTCTGGCCGAGTTCCGCGTGCTGTTCTTCACTTTTCCACCGCCATCTAGCCTCAAAACCGGCATCGCTTACGAGTCCCACGGCCAGGGCGCGAGTACGCAGCTGGTGAGTCGGGGCGACAGGGCGTGGCTATTTGTGTACGAGCCCCTGCCGGAGCCTACGCGAGGTCGAGTCTCGTACACGCATGACGACGTGGTAGCGTGCGCACAGCGATGGGGCCACCTGACTGTCGGGGGAAACTTGAAGGTCGGCGATCTGTTCAAGCTGAGGTACCACGGCAGCATGGTCAATGTAGAGGAGGGCCACGTGGAGCACTGGAGCTGGAACCGCTTCGTGCTCGTGGGCGATTCTGTGCGGAAATTATCACCACCCACTGGGATGGGATATAACAATGGCGTCCAGGACGTTGTTGCCCTGACGAACGAATTGCGCCACATTGTTTTTCCTCCCGCAGACAATCGCGCTTCTTCCGACGGTGACGAGGAAGAGGAGTCCAAAGGGGAAGAACCGGGGCCAACGGTCGAAACTCTGTCTGGCGCATTTCGGAGATACGAAACCGTTCGACAAGAGGGTTCTAAGAACGACATGTGGGCTTCAGGTATCTACCTAAGACAGGGCGTTTGGCACAGCAGGCTCTACTGGCTGGCCGATAGATACATTCTACCCTGGCTGCCCGTCGGCCCCCTCTCGTGGGCTTTCGCGCGGATGCTTAGTGCAAACCTCAGGAGCGCGCAGGTCTTGGATTTCGTGGAGGGGGAAGAGCCATTCAAAGGCAGCATGCCTTGGGTTCATCCTATGGCCCGGCCGAGTGATGCCTGAGGCCTTGACAGTCATATCCACCGTGCACTTCGAAGTTTTGAATCCAGCCGGGTAAAGCAGCTGGCGGGTTAGTTATTGTCAACAATGTCACCACGATACGATCAGGACAGGATTTCCTTAAGATCTTGGAGAAGCTACTCAATTTACAACTATCAACGGGAGATGAAATACTCGGCTTTGGACTATAGGTTAGCAACCGGACAGTAACCTGAGTTCTAATCGGCATGGCGCAAGGCAAGGAGAGCCAAAGCCGCGGTAGCTACTTCAGCAGAGTCTGCAATATCGTACCTAGAGGGGTCAGTAACAGTCTCCGTCGACACTGGCATAGTGACACCGGCAGACTGGGCAGACTTGGCCTCCTCAGTCTTTTGTGCTTTGAGCTTCTGTTGATATTTCTGTTGCTTCTGTTTATTGATGTCCAGGTGCTTGGGGCACACCAACCGTTCGGGCGCACATGCTTCGGGACACTCACGGCAGATATCTTTCGCAGCCTTTTCCGTAATCCGCTTCTTGTAATAAGTCCTGTGCTTCTGGCACCTGACAAGCCCAGGAGAGCTCGGTTCATAGCAATACTTACACAGACCGAGAGCCAGCCTATTGGCACGTCGCGCACGAGTGGTGCAGCGAACGCAGGTTGCGTTTCTGCTGCGAGTTCGTAGTGGCTCGTCACATTCGCTACATGTTTTCTGGGCTGGTACCTCGGGCTGTGCACCAGCCTGGTGCGTCTCCTCGGTCATTAGTTGATCCATGTGAAATGCTGTTGTGCTGTTTTCTGGGTTTGGATCGGGCTTGCTGAGATCTTTCACCCTGAGTCTCTGGAACTACGTGCCTTATATACCTAAAGTAACCACTGGTAACATTACGCAGGAGAACAATGCAATTGTGCACAAAGACGCGCCGAACAGGGACATCAACCCTGTTCCCTACATTGTCTCACAGAAAAGACTGGGTTTCCCATTGATGTCATCTAGATGCGGCTCAAAGAAGAAGCCGAGTTCAAAGAAGCAAGCTTGCCTTGGTTCTAGCTTCACTGTGCGGAGAATAGGCCCCCTTGTTCCAAAAGAGACAGAGTACCGAATTCTTGAAGTGCCTCGGGAGCAAGACAGACAGGGAGCCAGAAATGATTTGGAGGGAAGGGCTTTGATGTTGACTTGTCACACGACAAGCTCAGGGGTCAGCAAACTTGGAAAGATGCGTTCCTCAAATTTCGATTTCCGGCTATCAAGGCTGCAAGGGTATTGTCCAGAGCAACCATTACGAGCGTACACACGACATTGCGCCAACCTCTGTACGTTGAGCGTCCTGCTGAAGATTCGAGGATACTGCCCAGTGTTGTTTGAGAAACTGTGCGATAATCAGAAGACTGTACACGGTCATTAGGTAGCGCTCATCGACATGAAGAGCGTGGTATCTTCCGAGAATCGTATGAGGAGTCTGACCAGGTTCCAGTGCGTGATGGTCACAGGCGAGCAGATAGACTCCCGCACCTCCTCTCGGAACCAGAACAGTCCATGGCCAAGGAGAAAAGGGGGTGGAGAGTATGCAACTACCAGCTATTAGTACCGAGTCGAAGGTGACGATTGCCCCTCATCTCGTCCTCTTCCTCCTTTTTGCATACGAAGTCACATCGCCAATAGCCACAAGCGGATAGAAGACAGTGCAGGTAGGCATTATAGCTGTCTTCGGACCGCAATGAGCCCTCGAGCGTGAGAAAGAGGGTTGATTGCTCCGTAAGTCAAATCCGAGCGGTGACAGCTATGGATTGAGTCCGTGTTTCACCACAACCTCGGGTGCGTTGTCGCGCAGGTGTGTTGGTATGTACACCCAGCCCTCATAAGTCTGTACGCGCATGTTGGCAAGACTCCAGATCGCCAGTGCGATAGTTGGAAATACTGGTACAAGCACCCTAGAAAAAGCGTCAAGCATAGCCAACCAAGATCCAACTGCTTATTCCGGTGTGCTTATCCCGATTTGATGAATGTACCGTTGTTTGCTGGACGGGTGGTGTACGGAGACTTATGAGGGCTCAGTGTACCTTAGTACCCTACCTGGTAGGCACCTACCTAAGGACCGGAGTCTCTCGTCGAATGAGTGGCAGGTGAACATGTGCTTGGGGGCGCCCCTCCCCAGCTGGATTGCGGAGAGCCGACTGTCGGGGTAGGTGCCCAGCCTGCCAGTGCAGTGACACCTCATCGGACGACATGGATTCATCTCGTCGAACAATCATCACATTCTCGGTCACCTGCGCCACGGTTTCTACCTTAGTCACCAAGGACTTGCACGAGATTGACTGAAGATGGCGTGCTCAAGAGACTACTTGAACAAAGGGTGGACGTTCCGCCAGAGCGACGACGACACTGCCGACGCCTGGCTTCCCGCCCAGGTTCCGAGCCAAGTTCACATGGATCTATTGGCGAACAAGAAGTACGTCCCAATCCTGCTCCATGTCTAGATTGCGCCGAACGAGGTCAAGGTGGACGGTCGGCAGTCGTGCGACCATAAACGCTGACCTCGTAGCAGGATCCCCGACCCTTTCCTCGACCTCAATGAACTATCTGTACGATGGATCGCGGAGAAGGACTGGACTTACAAGACGCACTTCCAGAAACCAGCTGGACCAGCGACAGATGAGCCGGTTGTCACTGATCTTGTCTTTGAGGGCCTGGATACCTTTGCGACTGTCTTGCTGAACGGCATGGAGATCCTGAAATCCGACAATATGTTCCTATCACATAGGGTCGATGTTTCGAATCACCTGAAGGACCAGAATGAACTCGAGATCACCTTCGACTCAGCCATGCTTCGTGGTAGTGAGCTGGTGAAGGAACACAGCCGCGAGCACACTTTCTATGTTCGCCAGACAGAAGTCAGTCGCGTCCCGGTGCGAAAGGCTCAGTATAACTGGGGCTGGGACTGGGGTCCAATTCTGATGACCGCTGGGCCCTGGAAACCCATCTATCTTGAACAGTACGTCGCGAGAGTCGATGACGTATGGGCTCAGTGCGAGGTCAGCGAGGATTTGAAGACCTGCTCAGGCCGAATCTTCGCCAAGGTAGTAGCTACTGCAGACAAGGCAACCTCCTTCACCCTCTCTTTGACCCTGGATGGGCAAAGCGTGTTGGAGCAGGAGTGCAGCGTGGACTCAGATGGAATTGCGCAGACCGAATTTTCGGTTGAGAACCCTCAGCTCTGGTACCCATTCGGTTACGGCAAACAAACCCGCTATGAGTTGAAGGCAACCCTTGGTTCATATCACCAGGTCTCCAAACTGGTCGGCTTCCGGCGAACCGAACTCGTCCAACAAGAGGATGCCTTTGGGAAATCGTTCTACTTCCGGATCAACGGCGCCGATGTCTTCGCTGGCGGATCGTGCTGGATCCCTGGTGACAGCTTCCTCTCAAATATGTCTGCCGAACGATACCACGACTGGATGAAGCTGATGGCGGAAGGCAACCAGATCATGATCCGCATTTGGGGTGGTAGGTTCTGCTTATGCGCAAATCTAAGACTCCTAAGGTTAACATGTCACAGGTGGGATCTACGAGCATGATGCTCTATTTGACGCATGTGACGAGCTCGGTATCCTCGTCTGGCACGATTTCGCTTTCGCATGCGCATCCTACCCTACCTACGATTCATACTTGAATTCAGTGGAGGAAGAGGCAAGACAGAATGTCCGGAGGCTACGGTCTCATCCTTCGGTCGTTATCTGGGCTGGTAATAACGAAGACTATCAAGTCCAGGAGCGATATAAGCTGGATTATAACTACGCAGACAAAGATCGCCAGTCCTGGTTGAAGTCGTCTTTTCCCGCGCGCTACACCTACGAATATCTGCTGCCCAAGATAGTCTCTGAAGAAGATCCGGAAAAGATATACCACCCCAGCAGCCCTTGGGGAGATGGAAAGCCGACCGCGGATGCAACCGTGGGTGACATTCACCAGTGGAACGTATGGCATGGTGCGATGCACCGTTACCAAGAAACCTTCATGCTCGGCGGAAGGTTCATCAGCGAGTTTGGAATGGAGGCCTACCCGCATCTTGAAACCACTCGCAACATGATCCCAAACCCCCAGCAACAGTACCCGGGGTCAATGATGATGGACTTCCGGAACAAGGCCATCGACCACGAGCGTCGAATGATCTCATATGTCGCGGAGAACTTTCAGATCAAGTATGATCTTCCGTCATACACTCATCTGACCCAAATCGTGCAGGCAGAGACTATGCACTTTGCCTACAAGACGTGGCGGCGCGAATGGGGAGCACCAGGTGCACGGAAATGCGGAGGCGTGTTGGTCTGGCAGCTGAATGACTGTTGGCCCACGATGAGCTGGGCCGTTGTCGACTACTATCTTGTCAAGAAGCCAGCATTTTATGCCATTGCCCATGCATTGACGCCTCTAGCTGTGGGGATATCTACAACATACCACCAATGGACGGCTGGTCACGACGATCCCACGTTGCCCTCCAGGGATATCAAATTCGACCTATGGATCGCCAGTAGTCGGCTTCAACCTGTACAAGTTGACATCACGATACGGTTCATCTCCATCCGAACTGGCCAGGATGTGTTGCCCCCCAAGAAACTCGACTCACTAACGGCGGAGTCGAATAGCACGACCGAGGTCATCAGAGACTGCAAGGTCGAGGCAACAGGCCCGCCGTTCGACCCCACGAGACCTTTTGACTTGGCCGCTTATGATCCTTATGTGATCCATGCAGCTATTTCAGCCGACAACAAGGTAGTCGCCACCGACATAGCCTGGCCCCAGCCTCTGAAGTACCTTGACTTTTCCAGTCGTGAGGTGGTGTTCAAAGCCGTGTCCAGCAGCCGAGTCTCGATCACGGCTACCCGTCCTGTAAAGGGTTTCGTTTTCGAAGAGACCCGAGCTACGAAGAAGCTCAGTGACAACGGCTTTGATATCATTCCTGGCGAGAAAGTGGTTGTGGATGTCATGGGCGTGAGTGTAGATTCGTTGCGCTATACATACATCGGAGCGTCTGAGGGCTCTATCGCTATCTCCCTTACCTAGAGATAAGAGCATGACAGAGAGGCGGCATTTGTAAAAATAGAATAAGCACCCTAGAATAAGCAGATTCGATTCGATTAGCCATGTTTGATGCTTATTCTAGAGTGCTTATGCCATTTATAATCAATACACTTTTCTTTGCGGGACAAGGGCTGTACGGAGACTTTTAGAGGTTCGGTGTAACGACTGGCGAGCCTTGGAGTCGGCTGACGGCCGACGGCCGAACTATACATAGCTACGCTGAAGCCGATTTTTATATTTTTTATTAAGCTCTTCGACAGCAAGGGAGGAGCTAAACCCAAATACCTGGAAAGGCAACAAAAAGCAGAGCCCCTTTATAAGTTTCCGTACACCAGCCGTCTAGCAACTACCGGTATATTTATCGAATCGGTATAAGCACGATGTAATAAGAATGAATAGTGGCGTATTAAGCAAGGACTGCTTATTCCTCTCTGTTTATACCAGTACTTTTCAATTCTTATGTGTGATCTGGAATGCTCTCAACATGGCGCGCACGCAGGCTGATGAGGGCTGAGTGTACCTAATCTAAGGAATAGATTCTATGTACCATAGTCGTACCTTCGAACGCGGACTTGCTAGTCGAAGCCAGCCAAACATGGACTTTGCGCAGGACCGCTACACTAGACCCTTCAAAGTCACCTCTCATTCACCAAGCGAAAAGTGCGTTCATTATAAATGGGATAAACACGCTGGAATAAGCATTAGAGTTGACTTCTTGGATCAGAGCTGCTTATTCCAGGGTGCTTATTCTATTAACATGAATATAGCATTGATATTTTATCTAAGTGTTGATTGAGGCACGCCAAACGGAGACTTATGGGGGTGAATGTAGCAATGGTCTGGCACGCGGTCAGAATGCGTTCATAGATTCGTCCAGCACAACTGTGCCGTTCCCGATCATCCTGCTTAAGGTGATGGCTCATGGGACCAGAAGAGGGAGCCAACGGGATGAACGAACGGGAGCTGTATGCAAAAGAAAGCGCTGACAGGATTTCAACCGGTTCCCATTTATGTATTGTGGTGATGTGTCGGCGTTTGTCTCGTGTTGCTCTCTCCATGGTAGCTGAAGCAGACTCCAGTCGTGCTGTAGGCCTGTGACGGTATTAGACCACACTGCCAACACCACCGAAAGCAACCGGCGCGGATTTTGGATGGGGACCATGATGATAGTAACAGGACAGAGCTTGAACAAGAGATGGCGATGAGTGGTTGGCCTTGTTGGCGAAGCTTGAGCTGTAAATGCCCCCCTTTTCAGAGGCACATTGCTATATGAGATTACATGATGCCTCAAGAGACCGCCTTAGCCTCTCTTAAATTGCCCTGTTCGTGTGACAATCAGGCCTGCAGCTGCGCTGGTCAGGGCTGATGGTATGAAATATCTAGATTCAACAATATCTAAGGAAGAAGAGGCAAGGTCGGAAGAGAACGGGGAAGCTAGGGGTATATATGTACATGAATATGTGGAGGTATTACGTAATACCGTAACAGTTCGATGCAAGCTACGCAATCGCAAGGTATTTGAGCTCTGAAAATGGTAGGGGCTGAACGTTGCTGGTAAATATAGTTTTTGTACAATCTTGCTCACAGAACCGTGGAAAGAGCTGTCTCCTAAGCAGAGTTTTTGTGAGATTTAGGAATGGTCTGTTTTGGAAGGAAACAAGGACAGCTGATAGGGGTATCCTACTTAAATAGGTTGTAAAGGTACCTCTGACAGCTATCACATGTGATCCCATAGGATGACACATATACCGCTCACAAACATCACAACAAGGCTAAATACGCCACTGAGCACGTATCCTGACAGTTCCCCACTAACCCATTTAGTTTCAGGGAAGGCTTGTAGTGATGGTCTTCCCGTGGGTAACTGCATTTATGTTTTGGAGACCACAGTCGCGAAGAAGTGATAAATACACGCACATGTCGCTACTGCGCGGTGTATATAAAAAAAGAATAAAAAAAAATGCAATCCACGCTCTTGATCCATCATCGAAACCTCTGCCAGACCTTCCGGCAACCTCACGCCCACGTTCACCATGGCAGCTACCGAGAACCCACCTTCATTCACTTGTTTCCTGAGCCTACCACCGGAACTGCAGCTCATGATATGGGACCGTGCCAAACACCGAACCGCCATTCTGGAGATCCAAGTCGTGAAAGGCGCGGGCACCATGAATCGTCTGTTGATGCCGCCCTCGGCCGCGGGCTCATGCGTCATGGCCAGACAGGCCATAATGGGCAAGAGCATGAACGTCGGAGCCCGGCCAGAACACACCACATGGACTGACTGGCGTTTTCCTTGGTATGAGGCTGCCCCCAAGCAGTATATCTGGTTTGACTCGCCAGGGGACATCCTGTACTGGAACACCCATTACTCCCAGCTGGATCACAAGCCCATGCTGCAGCATCTCGAAATCCAGAACGTGATGGTACGCAACGGCACACTCGGGGTCCCGTTCTTGAAGCACATGTTCGAAATATTTCCACGGCTGAAATCTACCGCTGTTCTCTTGGGAGCCATCGACCTGGAGTTACCAGCCATGGGCGGACTTGACCACCACCAGTATGCGCTGGTGGATCTAGAGAACCCTGTCCATGTGGAGCAGGTGTGACGACTCATTCATCAGCTCCCAAGCGACCGCCGCATTGAATGCCAGCAACAATGGGACACAATCCTCAAGAACGATATATCCGATGAACACCGTGGGACGGCTACTAGTAGTCTAGAAGAAAGTCTAGAAAAGATTGGAAAGGAAGGCATCATCCCCCGAAATGGCTGGGACTGGGCTACGTTCCACGAATATGCCAAGAACATATGGCTCGACGTTCGAAACGTCGACTTTCCGTCTGAAAAGAGCAGTTATCTCTTCCGACTTTGGGTCGGACCGCAAGGGCATACCCTCGAGTATCACTGCTGGGCTGAGACTATCCTGCCAGACATGTCGCAGCTGCGCAAGGTTGCTTTCGTGAGGATACAAGGAGACATAGGGGGGTTGCTGCAAGGAGCGGCCGTCGAGATTGGCAAGAGTAAAGGAAAATCGGCAGACATATTACGTCGGCTAACTTGGTCTGAGCGGGTATAGAGTTCTTGTGTAAGGGGTCAACAATGAGGAATCACATCAGGGGTCCCTGTCCGTTGGTCAGCGAGATCGCGATAAGGACGACGATCCAGATCTGTGGGGCGGGATCGGCGCAGGTTGCCGCTGAGGGGTTTCCGGATTTCTCCGTCACCTAGAGGGCACAGGAGAGGGAGAGATGAAGTGGACGAATGCACAGCTGAAGGTTGGGCTCAGCCGTCGTATCAGCAGAAGCTGGCCATAGAGTAACCTAGCGAGAGTTTAGCAGTGTTGCGTTATGACTGTTGCAAATCGTCAGCAACATCAAGACGGCATTGGTGATTGGTGATGACAGCAAAGCCACCTTCTCCTTTCGCACTTGCGAAGAATTGAAATATGTTGGGTCAAACTGCACGACCTACCCCTTTCGTATAGTTCCGTTGACGACGGCTGAATAGAGAAGCTGGATGTGTGACGTATGCCATTGTTCTTGCCAACAAACCCACAAATGAAATACTGTGAACCTGCCTCACCCGAGACCAACTGAAGTCAAAGAGAAGTATCAAAATCCAACTTATCTCTCGACTCCTTTTCCGACAAACGCACTCGGTATCCCAGACCAGACACGCGATTCCGACAATTGGATTTTCCGTTACATCCGCGCGACTTGTCGAGACAAGCTTTCTGCGGCCACATCGATGGTCGTCGACAGCTGCTTACCGAACGGGCGCATACTTGCGCTTCCCACTGCTGCAATTATCTGTCTGCTGCTCTGGAACAGCAGGTCGTCTACGATTCCACACGAGTCATATCTCAGTACTGAGGACGTCGCTGCCAGAATGTCCGACTCTGTGGTCCCCGCGTTGAAGGTGTCGGTTCGCCAGGTCAGCTCATCGCCGCCGAAGCTCGCGATCGGAGTCACCAACACCCACTCGGGCCCCGTGACGGTGCTTACGTGGGATTCACCGCTTGATCCACTCGCACTGCAGCTGGGCCTTCTCTCTTTCACGCCGTCGGGAAGCGACAGCCCCGTGGATATCCCGACGATTCAGGTCAGGCGAATGATGCCGCCCAAGGCAGATTCTCTCGTGACCATCGAGCCGGGACAGACGGAAGAGCGTCAGGTGGAGCTCAAGGAGCCCGTCGTACCTCTGAAGCAACTGGGCAGCAATATGAGTGCCGTCTGTAAGGGGCAGTGGACCAGCGTGTGGCCACTCAAGGCGGATGAAGTCACAGTCGAATCTCTGGGTTCAGTCGGTGCCAGTGAAGATGCTTTCCAAGGTAGTTTCGAGAGCCCGGCGGTGGATATAGAGGTCTGAGGGCGCAGACAAGGAGTACACTGGGAGGTTTTGGTACCTGAGGGAGGAAAAGGTAGATGGAATACATTACCAGGATCTCAGTCGGCGGCATCGGGTCGGCATACTCGCCTGTAAGAAATGAGAATTATATGTCAATGAAAAGGGCTCTTATTCATGTCCTTCTTTCGAAGCCACATTAAACCGAGGCGCCCGGGCGTGGGGCAGTCAACCGAGCTTAGCACGCTTAGGGTACGCTTAGGCGCACTATTGTGGGCAGTGACGGTCTGAGCTCTGCTGAGGTAAGACCTTAGCGGCCCCAGTGCGCTAACACCTGCCCCTGTAGACATCTAGTATGTCCCCTATAAGATCCCGTCGACCCCAGATCTTCCCCACCCCCACTCCCCGCCCCCGCCTTGGACCCCTAAAAAGGGCAGTACCTGACGTTGTACCTGCATTGGTCTCTTCCCGACCCGAGGCCATCAAGGTGCGACCGCCAGGAACACCTTAACCTCACCTGCACCTGTGCTGGTACTCATAACAAGCACCTCTCAGCCAAAACAGGTACGTCAACTGCACCTCCCTTCCTACGATTGTGTGCTTTCAGTTCACCGGGACTCAGGACTCAGCCTCGTCCGACCTGTAGAAGACATCGTGACCGGATGGACCTCAGATCTGCTCGGCATTGGACTCTATTCGAATCCGCCACGCTCACCTTCTCGGCAGGTGCTCGCACACCTACTACAGGTGTGACCTTAGGTACTCGGAGAACTTGGCCTGCAATCCTGGAAGTTCGAGTGAAATGGAGTAACCAGGCAATCAGGTGCTTGTGACAGCCATTTTGCCCTGGAATAAGCAGCCTCGAGACTGCTTATACCGTTTTTTTGTAAATTGGAATTTGGCGTTCCATGACACCCAAAAACCACAGGCATCACCATGGCTAAGGTTCACTTCATTCTGCCACGCAGCGTAGATCGCTTCCGTCCCTTTGCCCAGCTCCCCTACGATATCCGGTACCAAATCTGGGACGGCATCATCTTGACACCTGGCATTCACTTCCTGAAGCTCGTCGCCAGCAACAGCTTGGATTCGGCAATAACATCGGGCGCTTCGCTCGATATAGCCACAACCAAAGCGTTCGCAAACAGCTTCTCTGCCGTCCTCCAGCCATTGGGCTTCTCAAGTATCCAGGCCGATAAATCCTACTACGATAAATCCTACTATCACGTCAAGACCAAGACGCTCGCCCAGCTATCTGCTGCTTGTAAAGAAGCAAAGCACCTAGTCGACCAGGCCCTCTCGAGAGCAGGAAATCTGACCATCAACACTCCCCGAGAAAAAACACTGGTTCTTCTGGAGAGATCGTCAGACATCGTGTGTATCGACTATCCTCACACAGCATACACCAGCCGACTGGAGAACTGGGCCAATAGCCTGGATTTGGAGCAGCTGGCAAGGATTCGCAGGCTGGGAATCCGCTATACGACCGATTGGGACGGTGCGAGTCCCCGTCTATGCCGCAAATGCGGCCATGTACACCGCACACGTCATCGGCGCTTACCGGTACCTCGGCATATATGCGAATTCGCTGCTCTGTTCAGAAACCTGGAGACGTTCTATTTCGTCGATTACCTTGCGGTTCGATCAGTGAAGGGTTTGTCCCACATTGGGGAGCAATTTGCGAGTGGCGATGCACGCAGAACGTATTACGAGGTCGACCAAGCTTGCAAAATCAACACGGGCGTATACGAGACGCTGGACTGGGTCCAAGAGAACTACGTCACCTACTGCCGCCGCAGCCAAGGGTCCAAGGGTTCTACCAACCCAGAGAGAGTCCAGTTCAAGGTACTCGCGTGCGAATGGACTGCAGACCCGAAACACACCTCGGGAGCTTCGAGCGCAGACCCGAACCCAACCTCGAGAGCTGCGTTCCATGAGAAACGACGATCGACAGCCCGTATACGAGACCTGACAGCGGCTTTTCAGGATTTGCGACTAAATGGGGACGCTGGTCCGATGGGTGCCGAGGGGATACGGATGCCCGTCGCTTTTGGGGATGGAGGCAGATCCAAGTTCGAGTTCACGTTCAGGGCATGGCTTTGAAGAAATGGCAGTTCACAGACGGCTTCGATGGCCGCTGATGGCCTATGCAATGCCTATTTCCTTGTTTCTTACGGAGAGGATGATACCCACATTGCGCAGGCGTCATCGATCACGAAAGGGGGCGGTAATGTGTTTCTCGGTAGCTATTCCTGTGGCATAAAAGCGTTCGAGCACCAAGTTTACGTCTAAGGAAAAGTGGTATAAGCACCCTGGAATAAGCAGTTATAACTTATGTTCTCACAAGCCGTGCTAAACGCTTATTCCGGAGTTGTTATTCCACACGTAGAAAATCGCACGAGTATTTAAGACCTTGATTGCTGGGTGTACGGAGACCTCTGAGTGTAGTGTAATGGGTCCTTTTAGAAGCGTTTAGCTGATCGCAACCACTGACACAGCCCAGCATCATGTAATCTCTCAATTGGTTAAACGCTGCTGTACCATTTACCTAGTACCCAGTCTGTTGGGTACCGGTTGAACACCGAGACCAGTGAGACTTGTCAGGGCACCAGCAACTGTGAAGTTTAGGAATGGACTGTATTGGAAGAGGAATAAGGTATATCTGATGGTGGTACATTCTTACTCAATTGGGTGGGAAAGGTACCTCTAACAGCATTCACATGTGATCCCACAGGATGACACATATGCTGCTCACAGCAATCACAACAAGGCTGAATACGCCACTGTTATGATATCTGACAGTAACTCAGTGTGCTGGCCCAGAACGGTATGGTCGATGAAGTACAACTTCAGGCACCAAATACACCTGTGAAACGCTCCCATTAGAGCTGACACAGTATATATGCTAGTACTACTTCATCTCTGTGTGATAGTCGACAACCCGGATGCGTGTTCCACCAATATACACAGAATAACACAGGCAGATACCCACGCAGCGCGTTTGACTAATTTCTCAAAAATGGTATAAGCACTCTCTCTCACATTATTACACCCTCCTTCTCCTTGTTTAGGCGAGGAGTTTCTGTGCTTATACGCGTCGAAATAGTACCCTCGAAGAACAGGTGTAGTGAGTTTCGAATCTTCCGCCCTGGTGGGCAAGGGGCCGTGTTGCAGCCCCCGATGGAATACTAGGGCACGGAAAGCCGTTGCCGGGGTACTTTCATACTTGTTAGCTCTGATTCAACCACAAGAAGATGGGGGCCTATGTACCTACCTAACACATCCTGTCGGCACCAGCGCTTCTCGGCATCTACTGCGGGCAAGCCACAACGCTCTCATATCAGGATGACGGAATGAGAGATACCAGCCACGATATACTTATTGGCAACGCATTAGCCCGTAGTCTATGCTTCGTCTGTCGATATTAGATTCTTGGTGAAGACAGCGGCGGCGGAGTCGGTGACAACCGACAGGAGGTGCTCGACCACTATAGGCTTGGGCAGTTCTGTGTACCGGGGCCCTGAGCATAGATAGGGATGAGTCTCTCTGTTCGGGCTCTGGAGAGCGTCAGGGTGGCGGCGGGCTGTATCCTGGAACGTGAGGTTTCTGGCTGCGCTTCGGATGATCCCAGGTCACCGGGTCACCCTCGCGACTACCGAGACCAGCGCACTGAATTCGAGCACCGTACTCGTATGTAGCTATAAGCTCCCAGCTATCCCATTGGATATGTTTGGCGCCCTCGTTGAGCTCGTTCATTGAGGTACCAGGCTCTAGGTGTGGCGCGAGGTACAGCATTAATGATACTTGAAGATTTAAAGGGGCCCGGGCAGGGGTTTCCAGGTGGCACTGTGCCTTGTGGTAGCGGTATCCAGAATAAGGACCAGGGTCACGATAGGTGACTATTGGTCTGTATTCTGGAAGTTGCTTGATTGAAAGAAGGGATGGGTGGTGTCCCCATCCCAGAAGTAGCTATCATCCCAGTTGGGTACAAATCAGGTACAAATGGGTACCCGTTGGGCTCCAAGGTACCTTGTATCCTGGTCCGTGACCCATCCGTCATTGTGGCTGGAAAATGGGTTGAGGAGCCACAGCACTTGCTGGCAACCAACGCCCCGTTCGTGCGATCCGTTGATTGCATATATACGTTTAAATGCATGTAGCATCCTGCTGCAGATTTGTCGACCGACTTGACTGTCGATGCTTCAACTCCTTCACCAGCTTGGCCGGTGCCTTGTCCCTTTCCGGCCGCCTATCCTCTCCTCCCTCGACGGCCTTCTCACCGCCCTTCTTCATTTCATTCACCACCTATTATAAGAGTATCACGTACACTCAATCGGTAGCGATAGCGGGCGGGCCTAGGTCCCGCGTCTCGATCTCAACTCCCCTCCTACAACCTCCTACAGCACACTCATCTGCGCTGGTCGCACTCATTCAACCGATGACAACAGTCCACCCAACGTGATGATGTTCTCTCGTCAGACTTGCGGCAGCTTCGCCTTGACCACCGTCTGCTTCTTCTTTCTGTTCCTGACCGCAAAGCGTCTGGGCGAATGGTCGCTTAACAGCCCCTACTCGCGCGTCGTCCCATCGTTTCGGTACCCGCACGGCCAAGCTGGCGCAAACTCGACAGCATGGGACGGTTCCGCCGTTGGTGCACCTCATCTCAGACCATATGACCCGGTTTGCGACTCGTTCCCTAATACTTCCAATATACTCGTTGTCGTGAAGACGGGCGCCACCGAATCATATACGAAGATACCTATGCAGCTGATGACTAACCTGCGATGCGTCTCCGACTTTCTCATATTCTCCGATTTGAGACAAAATATTGCTGGTTACGAGATCCGCGACAGTCTCGACAATGTCTTGGCTGAGACCAAGCATGACAACCCTGACTTCAATCTGTATCAACGACAGCAGGCATGTCCTATCGACCAGGAGAGTTGTGGACTTGATGACCACTTGAGATCAGAAGGCTGGGATCTAGACAAGTACAAGAACATCCACATCGCCGAGAAGACATACCAGCTGCGTCCCAATTACGAGTGGTATCTGTTCATCGACGCCGACTCGTACGTCGTCATGCCCAGTCTGGTCCAGTGGTTGCGAAAACTGGACTCTTCGAAGGAGTTGTACTTTGGCAGCGTTAGCCTCATTGACGGCTTGCGTTTCGCCCATGGCGGGAGCGGCTACCTTCTCTCACAAGCCGCAATGCACAAGTTCGTTGGCAGCCATCCTGGGATTGCGAATCAGTACGATACCCGCATACGCGAGTCATGTTGTGGTGACCACATGCTCGCCATCGCCATCAATGAGACCATCGGTCTGAAGGTGAAGCAGACAGTGAGTTCGCTTCATTTCCAAATCTCTCCGACCTCTCCCGCGAGAGGTGAGCGATGCCGCAGCAGGGACCAGCTGACTGACACCTCCCAGTGGCCGACTATCAATGGCGAGAAGCCCCATACTATTCCGTTCCGTTCGCAACAATGGTGTCAACCCATTGTTACGATGCACCACATGGACCCGGAAGAAATGTCGTCGTTCTAGGATTTCGAGGCACGTTTTCGAAAGCGTCAGGCGGGTGGTCTATCACCTCAGCGGCCCATGGTGTTCAAGGATATATACGAAGAGTTTGTTGCGGCGAAGCTGCAGCCAAAGCGTCAGAACTGGGACAACCTTAGCGACGACGTGTTTTACGTCGACCCGGAAACTGCACACGATAAATCGCAGTTGAAGCATGCTAAGCAGACAGGCCTGACATCAGTCGAAAAGGCCGCGTACAAGTCATTTCTGGACTGCCGGAAGATGTGCGACGAGATCAAAGACTGCTTCCAGTTCTCCTACCATGATGGCATTTGTGCCTACCACAAAAGCTTCTTGCTAGGCAAGCCGAGGAAGCCTGAGGATAAGAAGAATCAAGGTTGGACAAGCGGATGGGCTGTCGATAAGATCCATTCGTGGGTTCAGGAGCATAGCGAATGCAAAGAGCCCGTATGGCCCAAAGTGTAACGCATTGAGCCTCGCCTGAGGTGTACCTAGAGCAGGGCGTACATTATGGCAACTAGCTGTAGCTTGCATTGTCTGTCTCAGATGACAATAGGGGTCTGCACAACGTAATAGTCTTTCGAGCTCGTCTTCTCAATGACAGTGTGTGAATGGTATGCTGAGCTAGAATGGGCCACGCCACCTTATAGCACATTGGTCAAACAAGATCGCCAGCTTCAGGTTCACCGCTTCTCCCAATACGATTCCAGTCAGGTTCTCTCAACCTCAATTTATTACAATCACTATAGGCATGTACCAGACTGATCAAACCGAAATCGGAAGGAGCAGAACTGCACCCTTATTTCTTCATACAACCTGAGGCAGCCAAACGTTCGCTTCCTCCTCCGCTGGCAGAACCCCGTGCAAACGAAAACAACCTCAGAGAGCTTACCATCACCAGACCACGTTATCAAGCACCTCATCGCCACCAAGAACCAACGACCTCGCGAACGCCCCATCAGCGCTAAGACGTCACAATGCATCGCGTCCATCTGCTCGTCGGCATCTTCAGTGCCTTTCTGGCATATGCGGTGGCTGTGAGCCAGAACACACTCCCGACTCTCACACTGCCGGTAGAGACCGTCTTCCAGTTCGGCGAGATAGGCACCTGGATCGAGAATCTGGTGATCCGCAAGAATGGGCATATCCTCTTCACCACGGTATCCCCCAACGCATCTCTCTACCAGCTCGCGTGCCCGTGTACGGCCAAGACGGAAGCTACGCTAGTCCACCACTTCGCCAACATCACGGCCCTCACCGGCATCGACGCGGTCACGGATGATACGTTTGTTGTCCTGGGGGGAAACACGTCAGCGCCGGGAACTCCAATTCTGGGAACTGTAAGCAATCCTCGGCTTTTGCGACAACGCCGCCCCTCTTTTCCCCTTTATCCTCCGAACGAAAGCCAAACTCACCCTCAGGTTTCCTGGGAGAGTATGCGCTGGTGACACAAGGGCTTCAAACTCCTCGCTTGATCGGGTATCTACAGAGGAAATAATGCTAATCTTGGTCCTGACAGTGGTCGGCTTGGGAGGTGACCTTTGGCGTCGACGCAGCGGCACTCTTCATCCAGAAGATCGTCGACCTCCCCGGTGATGTGATGCCGAACGGCATCGCACTGGTTCCCAAGCACCCAAACATCCTTCTCATCACGGACTCAAAGGGAGGCTCAATCCTCCGTCTCGACCGCGCCGCACGAACCTGCGAGCCGGTGATCCAACTGCCCGTGATGGAGCCCGCCCCCCACTCCGTACCGGCCATCGGCATCAACGGCCTCAAGATCCGCGACGGCTTCGCATACTGGACCAACAGCTTCGCCAGCACCATCTACCGCACCTGCATTGACGACGACGGGTTGCCGTGCGGGGGCGACGACGATCCCCAGAACGCGACCGAGCTCGTGGCCGTTGTCCGCCAGACCTGGCTGGACGACGTTACCTTTGGCGGGGACGGCACGATGTGGCTGGCTACCAATCCTAACAACACGGTTGTTGCCATCAGTGCTGAGGGGAAGCAGGTAGTGGTCGCCGGGTCTGGAGCGGATCTGGGCCTTGCGGGAGCCACGGCGCTTGCTTTCGGGAGGACTGCCATTGATGCGGACGTGCTCTACGTGACTACGTCGGGCGGCCTTGCGTTGCCTATTAACGGCACGGTCGTTGAGCCTGGCAAAGTCGTTGCGGTTAATACTGGCAACTGGAAGGAGATCTAGCCCAGGAAAGCGGATGAGTCAATCTGGGTGCCTAGTTAGACCTGAACTAAAAATCCGGTGAACTGTATCAGACTCGGGGTCATGGGCGGTGATTACCCAAATATTAGATGCGCATATAGCAAATGCGACGAGTAAAACCATGTCTTCTATTTCAGCCTTACACCTTAATCTAGTAGAAGAATGACCCTCCTATCCATTGACCTGAAGTCCAACAAGTCGTCTGCGACATCTCCTACGAGGGCGAGACCTACGACTCCCTTACGACTAGACACCGAGTTCGGGTATGCATCAAACGTCGTTTGCCTTTTCGACTCTGTGTGATTAGAGGCAAGTACCTGGACAGCACTGCCTTTGCAACGGCCTGTCAATGAGCCAGAAGCAAGTCATCGCAAATGGTGTGGGAAGACAATGACAATCACAAATACGAGTGGGATGACCGAAAGTGTGTGGTGCTTGACGGCCGTAGGAGCATTTCATTAGTATTCACCAGCAGACACAGCGAAGCAGGATAGTCAGATTATATCAGGCAAATGAATTCCATTCCTATGCCTATGGTATATACTCGAACAGAAAACCGTGTGAACCGTGTGAACCGTGTGAATTGGGGAATGGGAAACCTTGAGTCGTGAGACCAGAAGAACTCCTTGCTGTGACCTAGCGACCTTGAGAGACGAATCATGCAAATCAGCACACCCTAGGCTGTAAGACCGAACGAAATCCCTTTGATCTGTACAGCCCTCTCGTGTGACGAACGACGCAAATCAGCATCATGCCTGAAGTGGCAAGAGCAAAGGAAACGCCTTCCGTAACCTGTAGACCTCTCGAATGATGAGCCATGGCGCGTACCTGGAGCTGTGAAAGCAACCGAGATCCCTCTCATCTGTACAGTCCTCGAGTGATGAACGATGCAAGCGTCCATACCGAAAGTTGTATGACCGAAAGAAAGCGTGTGACCGAACAAGAAAGCGTGAGACCGAACGTGAAAGCGTGTGACCGATTGTGAAAGCATGAAACCGAAGGAGAAAGCGTGAGACCGAATTTTCCAGAACCTTAGACCCCTCAAGTGATGTGCGATGCGGATGCAGATCTGGAAAGTGGAAGCTGCGAGATCAAACGAAATACCGTCCATAGTGTAGGCCTTTCGAGCAGCAAGCCGGGCGAAATGTCGTACCGTGAGTCGTGAGACCAAACGAGATCAAGTGTAACCAGTGGACCTTCCGAGTGACGAGAAACGCGAGTTGGTAAACCAGAACGTGAGACCGAACGAAACTCTCCCATGCAACCAGAAAACCTCTCGAATTATGCGCCATGGGAAATATGAGGTCGTGAGACCAGCCGAAGCTCCTTCTATGACCGGGGGGAATCGTGCAAGGAGAGAAGCGAGCCGTGCAAGTGAACAAACCGGAAGACGTGAGAACCGAACGAGAACCATAACCTTTGATGACCGTGAAACATCATGCAAGGAAAGAGCCGTTCCAAGGATTGACCATAGCAATGCATGTGAGCCGAACCAAGCTAAACAACGAAGAAAATGAACGCCGCTTGTGCCTCCTCTTCCAGACTGGAAGAAAGGCCTTAGGCGTCGTGCTGCTGCTGCTGCTGCTGGGCAATGCGCTGCTGCAGGGCGATCTGGGCCATGCGCTGCCGCTGCTGATGGGCCGCCAGGTGGGCAGCGATAACCGGAGCAGGAAGAGCAGGAATTTGCTGGCCCAAGTTCTGGCCGTTGTTCTGGCCTTGACGGAATGCAAAGGTCGCGTTGGCCTCCGTACCCCGACCGTCGACCTGCCGGAGGCTGGCCGCCTCGGCGGAGAGGCGAACGGCCAGGTCCTCGAAGTCCAGCGACCCGACAGGCGGGTACACGCGCTCACGCGTGGGCTCCTCACCCTCGTGGAGCTCGCCTTGCTCCATCATATACTTGCGTAGCTCTGCTCGGAGGGGCTCGTTGATCAGCGGACTATGGTAGATGGCGTTTAGTCCTTGCATTTGCATTTTGAGGACGTGGTCCTCGCCCTTGCTGGCGTCGTGGAAATGCGGGTTCTGTGTCTCGGTCTGGAAAATCTGTACCAGACCGGGGGAGGAAGAGGCAGCCGCGGAGCCGGCACCCGAGTTGTGGGCAACGGATTGGTGCTCCAGTTTAGCACCTGAGAACTTCTCCAAGATGTTGATGATCTCGTAGGGCTCAATCGCGTAGCCGGTCGCGAATCGAAGCTCCAGGCCGAGCCGCATGCTGAACGCGTGCTCTCCCGCGTTGCCGGTCTGGATGAGGTCAGTACCGAAGCCGGTACGTTCCTGGAGGAGGCGGTTAAGCCACTGCAGAACCCATGGTTAGCATTTATTCTGGACTGTATGAGAGGCCTAGCAGTGCGACAGCCGGTCTCTAGAGCTAGAGTCCTTTGAGCCAGAGACTGAACTGCCAGGAGGACGCAGATAGGGAAAGGACAAGAATTGGATGTTATTAACCTCGTTCACCACCTTGGAGCTGCGGCCCTTCTTGTCGAAGAAGAGCCGATTGTTCCGCACCTTCGGCTTGGAGTTCCAGGCGATCCGAACCATGGAACGAGGCGAGACAGCGGCGTACAGGCCGGCGGCGAAGACCTTGCAATACTCGTGCACAGAGCCGGGCACGTAGTTATCAGCGTCAATAAAGCCGATGTCTGTCTCAAGTCAGTACCGGGATCAATCACCAATGGCATGTTGTTCGCTGGGGTTCCAGCAGTTGCTGGGCTGATGATGATGGGCGGATTAGGGGTCAAAGGAACTAGGTTACATACTGCGCGAGCGTTAGTTACTGGCACAGAGAGTCAAAGCGTCCAAGGGGGTGATTATCAAGCAGACATACCACTTCTTCTTCGCGATCTGGCAGAGCGCAATGCCCATGATCATTGCTTCGCCTTTGCCCTTGCGAATCTTCCTCTGTCCATCCTCCAAGCACACCAAGTCTGGCATTCCGGCAGCTTCAAAGGCGGCGGCAGCTCCTCCGTCGTTCTGGTGGAGCGCAATAGCATACCGCTGTGCGTCAGCGCAGAACTTGTCAAGTAGACGAACTTCGGCCTCGTAGCGGTCCACGGGGGACCGCGAGCTGTTAGAGACTAGGATGACTAGGCAATCATGCGGGATGCCCAGGAGGACACCCTCAATCGTTCGGTAATCCTCGTTCATGCACGGAATCACGATGGCCATCTGAGTCTCGATACTAGTCAGGGCCTCTCTGGCCACAACGATGTCTCCGTTAGCAGGCGAAGAGGGTCCTGAGTCAAGCTCGATGACGCGCAAAAGCTCGTTGATCTGGACGTTGCCAAACTGCTCCGCACGAGGGCGGACTCCGAGTCTCATGTTGGCGGTAAGTAGAGCGAGGACGGAGAAACTGAAAGAGTCGTGTAAAGAGTATTGAAAGGAACGTCGGTGTAGGAAGAACTGTAACGGGCGATCAAAGGGGTCAGACTGTAGTCACGTGCCGAGCAGGAAGACTGTGGCAGCAATGAAAGGGGAATGACTGCAGTCAGAGATCGTCGATGATAGAAGGCTGTCGACAATGCGACGATTGAAAGAGAACAGAAGCTTGCAAATTTGGAGGTTGTGCGCGACTGGTGTGGTGTTGGTGACTGAGGGTCCGAGTTTTTGGCTCCTGGAAGAATCAGTTTTTGTAGAAGATGTGGCCGCCCGGTTGCGTTGCCCGGCACCACAGGACATTTACAACTCACAGGCCAAACACCACCGCTACGGCTACCGCTGCTGCGCGACCACCTGTACCAAACCAGGCTAGATCACCAAGAATGTCAAGTCTTGTCGTGTCTTTCGTATACCCCCCACGTGGAGCTGGATCGAGTGGTCGAAGTGGTCGAAGTGGCAGCTCTGGGTACCTACTCCTTGGATGTGACAGAGCTTGATCCGTGCGTAGGTACCTACATGATTTCCTCCCAGGCCGCCAGTTTGTCACAGAGCATTGTTGATGACGACACCTAACAATTCAATCAGAGCATTTCCTCTCCGAGTTCCTTTGTCCCGTCATCATTCAACACCATGACCGCCTATCTGGGGGCCTATCAGATTATGAAGGGGAGATGAGACGGGCAATCCGGATTCCCGGCGCACAAAGCCCCCCTTTACTCGAGTCTCGATTGGCCGCGGCTCCAGGACCGGTGGATATCGTCCGAGTGTTTGGTTTGCTAGATGGCCTGATGGCCCCCACTCCATCCTCGAGGCGGAGATCTTGGTGAGGCCATAGCCTTCCCAGCGATGTGACATCTCGTAGGGCTGATGCTGACGAGCGTAAGCCTGACCAGATGGGAGCTTCTATTGCTGGGAGCTGAAGCACAGCGGAGCCGAGTCGTACCCCGTACCCCTTGACCGCCCTTCGTGATATCATGCACGTATAGCGGGCTTATAAGCTCCTCCACCCTTCCGCGTTCTCGAATCCTGGTTTGCTCAAGCAATCTCGCAAGCGGCGAGTCCGAGCTTGCTCGTATATGAGTCGGTGCTTTCGTCAGTGGTGCCAAACATACACCCCCCGGCCGCGACGTACCTAGACGGAGGCGCGTTCCGGGTGCTTTCACAGGAGACACCTCCGCAATTTCGCAAACGGTACACATGTTGAACGAGGATACTTCAAATCATGAATTCGTGACTAAGCCATCCGGACGGTTCTGGCAGATCTAATAAAGTGTATGTGGGTTGCTTTCCGCCGTGCGTGGTGGACGCAAGTGACCGACTCATTTCATCGAGTTTCCGCCGCTGTCCATCTCCTCCCGGACGGGCTTTCCAAAGACGCCCTTCTCGCCGGGCACGTTGGTGCTGCCACTGTCGATGCCTACGTTGGTGGCTCCTGAGTCCGAGGCGATGGGTGCCTCGCCAGGTGCATGGCCCTCCGTGTGACCAGGGGCGTTGGGAGCACCGAGGCCCTGGGCTGAAGATGGGTGTCAGCCGGTGTATGGTGACATGGTCAAACGGAATTTGGGGGCCACGCTCCCATTCCTGAGGCGTTGAGGCTCTGCAGAACAAAACCTTTCGGAGGTGCTTGTGTTGAAGCAGTACGTACCCTGAGCTTGCTTCTTCTGGAATTTGTCGCTCGCGGCGTTGTTCTGACCAGGTGTCTTTGAGCCAGTCATTTTGAAGGTATGCGTCAAGGTGGTGTTTGCTGACGATTGGTGTTAGAGGTGTGTAGCGTGGTCGTAAGATTGCGATGTTTGCTTGCTCAAGCAGAGAGAATCGGAAGATGAGATGGATTGGCCTGGCTTGGGTTGTTTAAGGTCAACATAGAAAGAAGAGTGCAATGTGTTCCTAGCCGCGCGCGAAGTCTGATGTCCGAGACTGGCTGCACATTACGTCAACCGCAGCCAGGGGTCGTTGATGTCATCGGTGCTCATCAGGGGCACTGTAGCGGACCGCGGAACGCGGAACGCGGAACCCTTTAGTCAGGCCCGGCGACGATGCTCCGGAGCTCCGCGGGCGGCCGATCCCGATCGCTGTCTTTACTTACTTAACAAGGTCCACGGGTAACCAACCACTAGGAGAACCAGATGCAAAACAAATTGTGAGTTCATTAGTACATTCAACGTTGCCATTGTACATGTAAGTAGTCGCTTGATTTCGGATTCGATGTTGAGTGTTGTACGATAAAAGACATCCACCGCCGTTTTCCCAACCCCACCAGACTCCCACATGTTTGCGCGGTTATTCGTCCCGAAAAGAAGCCACCAACGCCCGGCATTATGAAAAAGACCCAAGCCGTGATGCAAAGTTATGAAAAGCCGTTGGCGTTTAAGTTTGGGACCGAGATATGTGTTTCCGGCTGTGCATGGCACCTCCTTAGGAAAGTGCCGTGTTTAGCTCCGCCCAACATGAAACCAGAACGTGTGAACGCTTATGAACAGATAGGTAGGATGAATATATGTTCGTCAGTTTCCCTTTCTTATACTCCCTTACCTAGACACCCTGCTCCCAAATGCAGAAAAAAAGTTGACTCCATAATCCCGACAATACTCTTAGCATTTTGAGTATGAAACATAGGTCGGCGTTAGTTGAGCACCAAATCGTCCACATTGACGTCCTTTGGTTAGGCAGTACTGAACGGTGGGTGAAAAGGGCTTGAGATGAGCCCACGCCGGGGGATCGAACTCGAGGGGGCAACATGGGCTCATCCCAAGCTGGAGTCTCCCGAATAGAAGCCCAAGACATCATTCGGGAAATAGTCGCCAAACCAGCTCATCATGTCGGTATGCTCGAAACTGGTCAGGTACTGACCGATATCTGTCTCGTTATCGTAGGTTTGCAGGTGAAGGTCGGGGCCCATGTAAGAGTAGCCGCTTCCTGCAAGGCCGCTGCCGCTCTGAGCGAAATTAGACGGCCCGCCATCCGAGGAATATGAAGTGCCTCCGCCGGGTGTCGAGTGGCTCGTGTTTGCGAATGCTTGGCTTTGTGTGCTAGAGGGAGAGGCACCAGTCGTGAAACTGGATGGGTCGTACGCCGATGGGGAGGGGGCATATGACATGGAAGCGCCAGTCGTGGAGCCTTGCGAAGGCAAGGACATGCCCAGTTTGCGGTCAGGGGTCGAAGGTCCCCTGCTCACATCGTCTTGAGTGAAACCTTCATACCGCAAGTGTGATTTCCCTTGCATCGATGAGCCCGAGACCCGGCGAGGGTGGCTCACTGAATGACGTAGAGCCGACGTATTGGGTTGAGGGTACGCCGGTGGGTACATGGACGTTGATTCCGGCGGCGGCGGCGGGAGACTCTGACGAATGGGGTCATATATCATGTTCCCAGGTGGTGTGGGTGCCGATGTAGGCATGATGGGTGCCGCGGTTTGCTGAGGTGACTGCATAACTTGTCGATGATGTTGGTAATGTTGGTGTTGGTGTTGGTTTTGTTGCTGATGTTGCTGCTGGTGGTGATGTTGAATCATCCCCCCGTTCGCCACTGGGTTCTGGAAAAGAAGAGTTAAACTTGACTTGGGTGAGTTGGTCGTTCCAGTCAAGGACCAAGCCAATGGCCCGTTGTCTGGCATAGGTGAGGCCGGGTAATCGAGGCGAGCCCCAAACCTCTGAATGGCACTGTTCCGCCGATCTCGCCTGGTGCTCTCGTACTCTTCGGTGGTAAACGTCTCACATTCCCATTGGCCATTCGATTTAAAATCCAAAGCAGTGAGGATGTAGCGGACACCGCCCCAATATGCGTGCATTTGCTTTAGAGCCTTGTAGCATCTTTGGTAGTTGTGAGTTGCGGCCTGTGCCAGCAGTAGGTGCTTTGACGACGCGTTCATGTCGGCGGCAGATAACGTATTGCGATATTCGTGGCCTCTTAACTCCGGTGGGGGCGATGTGTTCCTTGAGGTCGGATGCGATGGGCTGTTCTTTGACTCCATGATGAATGCGCACGCCGCTATATATATTGGCTGTGATGTGAATGGATTGCCAATGAAGCATTTCGGATCCAGTAGCTCGGCAAAGGCAAGGATATCGGTAATGGTTTTAGCACTCGACATGGACAGCTCTCGACTGTGAGGCTTCAGTTGGTGCTTCCGGTCGATCGTCACCGACCCTGTAAGTAGCGTCGGCTGGTGAAGGACGATGATCGAGGCATGAAACCAGAAATGCAGAAGGATGAAGGTCGTCCCCTGTCCATTATCCACATGAGCTTTAAAATTTTTGGCATCAAATCGGAGTCGCGAATCCATTTTCTGGTGGACATTCGTAAGCTCGTTCTCCAGCTGGACGAGTTTGCTCAATCTGTCCCGTGTGAGGTCCTCCGGATGGCTGATGTTATTCAGGACATCGGATACCCGTCCATAGAGGTGCAGGATCCGCAGAAGCGACGCATACGGGTCAGGCCAGCCAGAGGACGAGTTGATGGACGACTTGGGCAGTTCCAGATCAAAGTCATCGTCCTTGAGGGTGACCGGGCGACCAGTACCGGAGGAGATGGCCCGGTCCAGGAAGAAAAGTGACCAGAATGTGTCGACACGCTCCTGTTCGAATTCCTTTTGCTCTTCCGGACTCAGCGTATCTTCATCGCCAGCTGATTGACTGTCGCCGGTAGAATCGTCACTCGCCTGTCTCTCCGGCCATGTGTTGCCATACTGATGGCCTTTCGCATTTCGATACTTCACCCCGTCCTTCTTGGTAAGGCCCAGGTCCACGGCCATACGGATGGCTACCCCGAGATACATCCAGAGGGCGCTGTCTTGGTCGGCCCCAAACCCAACGTACGCCATCAGCAAGCATGCCTGGACGGCGGCAACTGACGGGCATGGGAACGTTTCGACTGTCTTTTCCTTTGCACGTTGAGCGTATACCTGGCCATACTCGGATTTGGCCAGCTTCCCATCATTCCACCTCCTAAACACGGGTATATCGGAGAAGCGAGCGGCCGAAGCGCATACGGCGTCGACCAAGATAGGCTCGACGCGTTTCTCTCGCACTAGCGATGGAAACTTGTCGCGCCGTAGAAAGGGATAATTGCTTCCGAGGCGCAAGAAGAAGGTGTCGACGAGGTCCAAGATGACCGGGCTTACATCATTCTCGTCAGTGGGGTCGTAGAGAGGCATATCCTCGATGTGGCCCAGTTCGTGATCGGGTTGGGTTGGTGACGTGGCGGAGATGGAGCTCCGCCTCCTATCACGCACTTTGACAACCATCTGTTTGAAGCCTGGCACAATGGCAGTAGGGCCGAAGTAGCGGAAGTATGGAACCCGGTGGCTGCTCTCGTCGCGATGTTGGACCGGTGACCGACTGGTAGGGCTACGGCCGTCTTCGGTCGTCGACGAGTTTGTCGGGCGCCGAACGAGGATGCCGGGCCGCGGTGTAGGCTGCGATTGTTCCGAATGATGGCCGTCCCAATCTATGCGTTCCGTCTTGAACTGCATGGTGGGCGTCGCATAGTCCTGAGCCGGGTCGGACATGCGACCGGCCTCGAACGGCTTGTTACCATTGTGCTCGTTGTTCTCGTTCCTGTGATGCTGATCTTTCGAGTGTCTACGGCCGAGGTCGGGCTCATCGTCCAGGTAGTCTTCGTCGTCGGGGTCGAGGTGCGTCGAACCGTGGGCGCCATCGGGGTCTCTCTTCTTGTCGAGTCCAGTTCCGTCCGAGTATCCCAAGCAGACGTGACCGTTCCTGGTGCAGGTGGAACAGGTGGGATGTTCACCGGCGCACCGCGTCTTCCTCTTGCGACAAGTGAGACATGCGGCATTGATCCTCCGGCGCTTCGTGGGCGGCTGGCCCTGGTTATTGACAAAGCGGATCTGCTTCGGTGTTGGCAGCACGTCGGGGGGATTGTTGACGAGAGCGGCCATCGTCACCACGGAACTTCGGCGTCGGCTTCGGCGTCGGCGTCGTCCACTTGGGCCGCGATGCGCGAGGAGAGGGTCGGTCGCCGCTGGGGACCACCGTAGCAGTACATATGTAGGGCACGCGTGTTGGTAGAGAGTAATAAGTTATCGTCAAGGCCCCATCCTTGAAGCACAGGCTAAGCACCGCAGTCCCAGCTTTAGCCTTTAGGGGGGGTCCAGGGGGCGACGGGCCCGCGGGTCTGTTCACTAGATCTGGGGTTGACGCCGGCGGGCAACTGGGGGTGGGTCCTTTTGGGGTTTTGTGGGTTCGGACGGTGGGGCTTTTGGCGGGACAAAACCGGGCTTCGGTTTCCAAGCAGCCGAAGCTTCTGTTCTAGATAGTAGATAGTAGATGCTGATGTGGTGTACTGTCCCCAGTAATCAGGTGGTATGCACCAAAGAGTAGTAATCCCAGGGGGGGAGTATGCTGTATGCTGTATGCTGTATGTTGTATGACCGATCATCGATCCGTGCGACTTGCCGTCGTGCACCCACGCCGTCACTGTCAGTTGTCGTTGTCGTTTGGGGATGGAGTTTACCCCATATCAACCGCTGTCTCTTAGGTACTCGACGCAGGAGGGGTAACCATTGCGACCGAGTGAATGACAACGACAGCTTGGCTGTGTATCACACACACTATCATAAGGTACGGTAGGCAGTATTTCTGAATAGAGAGTGTCGTGGCAATAGTTCTTCTCGATGAAACCAAGGCCATCTGTGGGGACCGGGAAAATTGAAGAAGAAGGATAGCCAAGGTCTAGACTCTAGTAGAAGAACCTACCTAAGCTAATAAAGTGACCTGCAGTGATGCCGGCCGGGCAAGAGAAGAGGGGGGTGGCAGGCGGGCAGGGTGCTGAACGGGAGCTGAGAACCGTTGGAGACATGGATCCCCGGTTGGCGACGTAATAAATCTGGGCCAGTACCAGACGTTCCATCAATACGGTAGCCATCGTATCAGTGTGCCTTCTGGCAGGGGCCCAGAATACCATGTTACGATGACTAGTATTCTGGATGTTCTGCTTGCTGTCTAGAAGGATGGGAGTTTGTCCCATCCGAAAGGTCTCTTTAGTCTAGATACAGTGCAAACGGTACCTTGTCCCTTGGGCAACAATCCGGCCCCACCGACAAGACACCTGACAGCTGGAATCAGCTGGATCCACATCAGCTTCACCTTACACCCCTTTAGGTACCTAGGCAGCTTTTGCTACCTATAGTAATATGTCCCTGCTAGCGGTATAAAACCCGAGACGACGTTGCCACTCGTCTCTGTATGTTCCTTAGTAAGGAGTCCAGAAGATGCGAAAGAAAGCGTCTTGATATTGCGTATATCACTGCAGCGAAATCACGGCACTTCGGGAGATCGCTTGTATGCCCGATGCAAGAGCTCCGACGCTGGCCATCGATAGGTACATTGCGTTAAAGCATCGAGCTCGGATGAACCATGGTACGGGCACTTCTTCAAGCAAGGAGCTCGGGTGAACCATGGTACAGGCACTTCCCCAGAGGAGAATGATAGGTAAACTGACATTCAGCCAGACACCACTACTAGGGTAGTTATACGGAGTAGGGTGTTCATATACTATATACATGCATACGGGGACACGGACAACCGGCCAAGCGTACACCTCACCCCCTGAAATAATGAACTGCGGGTCCGTCACTGACAGGGCATTGCCATCGTATCTCTGCATACCTTACGACAAGATACTCTGACTTTCTGTTTCAACAAGAAGAAACCTGACGTATTCTCTCTCATGAGGGAGTTCGAGTCCTTATTTACGGGTACTTGGCAGGGCTCCTTGTCTGAACCGACCCACAGTTCACTATCTCACGGGTCGACCTGTAAAGGAACAGAGACGACCACTAGACATAAGGAAGACAGAGGCTGTCGTAATCAGTCTTGAGTCGATGTCCTGTCCCAATGTCGCCATGCTATTGGAACGGGAAACGCCCGAGTTTGGTTGATCTAGAACTCGAAAGTACGTGCCCAGTATGCATGATCACTCATAGGGAAAATAAGATCAAGACGACATGCGCAATCCTGGCCAGACTGCCGAGTAATATGTAGATGTGTGGCCATGTTGGCTCCGGTACCAACTTGCCGTGACATTGGAGCAAGACGCTCGGGTATTTCCCCATGTCTCCGGCTAGACGGTGCCGGGTCATCAGCTAATATGGCGCATCGCCCCCTCGCGAACCACACGGCAAACACCTTAGTATATGGGGGGGTTGGTGCCCCTTCGAAAGACGCCGTCTCTCAAGTAGGAACTCGAAGTCTGTGATAATAGGTAGCAGCAGGCAAATTCCCCGAACGCGAACCGTTGAGCAGTGAAGGATGGGAATTGGAACTCCCCTTGGCAAAATTTTCCTCGAGTCTCAAGTCCATTGGTGGAGGGGCCTGGCCTGCCACCCGGGACGGTAGTATTACGGCGGCGGACGTCAGTTCATATGCACGCACGCTTGACACGACCAGGGCTGATCATACGTAGTGCCAAGGCCAGACTGTTCTATTATTTAAAGGTCTCTCCGAGCATGTGTGGGATCATCACAAGTTCGGGCCGCCCTTCTACCCCCTCCTTAGCTGGGCGGGCCGGCTTCTCGAACAGGAAGAAGCTGTATTTGAAAAGCCTGATTCTTGTAGCATCGAGTCTCCGTAAAAGACTGTGAGAAGCTTCATATTGCTGCTACATATTCATTGTCAGTGGGACGGGAGGACGAAATCACACAGCTACATGCATACGATCAGTCATTGCAGGAACCGACAAAGCGACTACTTATGCTGAGAAACGCTGGTTCAGGTATTTAGACTGATTAATTCGTCTTCCAGTGTGAAACCAGGCCGTAAAAGCCGTGCCCCTCGGGTAGCAGTTAGGGGTTATCATATATTCTCCGAATTCTGAGCTGCGTTGGCGTGTGCCCTATCAGGCAAGTACAGCATCCGTGGGCCACACCGATGAATGCGCGGGCTGCTGTCATTGTCCCAATGCCATTTAATATCTTGAATGGCCCCTAACGGCCATAGCGAGCTTCAACCGAATATGATGTTGACGCCCATCTCAGCGCTCACCCTCCTCCAGAGATCGGTGTTCTTCCCGTAGACAGAGGCGTTATTCATAAGATCCAGTCGATTCCAAACCTCACGAATAATCCGCCATGCCTGCTCGATGTTTGTCATCCCTTGTCGTAACTCGATCTCGACGAACGCCTTCTGCGCAAGACCTCTGTCTTCGGCGCTGATCGCCTCACATGCGGCCACGAAGAGCGGCCACAACAACGCGCCCATAGGCCCTCCATGTACCGTGGTCTCCACGCAATGGGAAAGTGCCGCGTGGGCGTGTTTCTGTACCGACTGGTGGCTCGGCAAGTACCCATAGATCGTGCGGTACAGATAGACGAAGGCACTGTGGCGGTATGCCAGAGCATTATGTAATATCGACTGGAGCCGAGGTCTTTCTTGCATCTCCCCTTCTTCAATGCTCCTCAGCACGCCGTCGTGTATGATGATATTCGGCGGGAGGCACGGCTCCCACTGTGCGAGAGCAGTCTCTATCGCTTGAGATGTAGCTTCGAACTCGGATCGAAGGACCGCACCCTTCGATGACTGATTCGCTCGAAGCGCCTTCTCAAGCTCGACTTTCACGGACAGGAGATTCGATAGGCGATGCATGATTGGCCACAAGCCTGTAGCCATCCCAAGCAGGGTGTCTACATTGCTCAGGGGGGATGCAGGGGTGGCATCGAGGGGTGGGTACGGGAGTAGGCAGCCAGCAGCTGGAGCCGTGGAGAGAGGAGGCGTCCCTAGAGACAGCGCCGTGATGACGTCGTAAAAGCGAAACGCCTAGTAGTCTGTCAGCACCGTTAGACCACGTAGGGAGTCATGTCGAGCCTACGCGTTCTAGGAAGAGCCCAGCAGGACTCGAGTCTTGAGACGAGCACATTATAGTCAGAGCCCCCCTCAGGTGTCCATCCACGATGCTCGTTCGCCCGCGCTGGACGAGCTGCGCAAACAGTCGGTCAGTTTCTTATTATTATACTTCCGCTGAGAGAACTGGACTCGGTGGCTTACCACTTCATAGTATACCAGCAGCATGATTGCAGCCAAGAGCTCATTCTTATTGCCCTTGCCCTGGTTTTCGATCAACCTCGTCAAGCCTTGTATGGCCTGGTTGTGAAAGTAGATGGACTTCTCAGCATTGTCGACACCACGATACTCCAGGTGGGCACTTGCTAAAGCATAGATGGCGTTCATGACCGGCGTGCTCTTGAACGAAAGCGGCAGCACCAACTGCTGGAATGGATTGCCAGATTCCTCCCGAAACACGATAAGATGTGACAGCACATTGCAGAAATGGTCCACCAGAGCGCGTCGATTTGGACGATCTGAAAACTCGGAGAACGCTGGTATGCAGAAGTCGAGCGTCGGGGACCCTACGGGTGACGGCGCGATCATCGCAAGATCTGGTCGTAGCGACCGCGCATGCGACATGACACTGGCATTCGAATTCCGTCGTACTATGTCCCGGGCCTGATCTTCATCGGTCTCGGTGTCGTACTCGTAGACCCTCGAGCCGGTTGGGGACGGGACAGAGTCACCCTCGTGGGAGGAAAAGTTGAATAGCGAGGTAGTATCCGGTCTGCTCTCGACCGGACTGGTACACACAGACTCGCTGACCTCGCCAGGCGCATCATCAGCAGCGTCGTCGGGCCATTGCTCATGGTCTGATACCGAACCGTCTCCTGTTTGAGGAACGTGTGCTAGACCGGATTGCGAATCTCTCTTCTTCCGCTGCCGGGGCTTCACGGTTCCATAAGTGCACTCGAGGCCGCGTTCTGTGCAGCGCGCACACCGTGGTCGTTGCTCGTCGCATTTCTTCTTCTAGTTGGGGCAACGATACGTTAGATACCTGATTCTCGGGACAGACTTGCAGCATATCAGTAGTGAAACTGGTGCCATACTTTTTCTTTGCTGCAGTCGTGTCAGTCACGCAGGCTCTCGTCAGCAAGGTAGTCCACGGATGGGCCGAGGTCGGGAGAACATACCAAAAGGCGCAACCTGTTTTCCCAACCCTGTTGATCAGCTTTCAGTCCAGGAAAAGACAGGAGGCTGATCAGCTGGACGAAGAGCTGACGCCGCAAGTTCTGAGTGGCCCTGGAAAATGAGAAACTGGAAGAGAACTAACTGACCTGCCCGGGACCGTCTTTTGGGAACTTTGGGTGGCGCAAGCCTAGTGTACAACAGCATCTTGCCAACGAGAAGCAAGCTGCACAAGCATGTTTCGTGTCGTGACCCTGCTTCGCGGACAAGTCGATGCTATGATAAGGCTGGAGCTCGAAGCGGAAGCTGCCAAACCAAGGACATATAAAGCTACCTACCTATGTAGGGCACAATTATCACGATGCGACCAGGTATATTTGTGCTACGTAGTACAAGCTGATCGTTGAGAAGCTGTACTGTCAGGCAAGTGGGTGAAGGCTGGGGATGAAGCGATGCGAAGAAGAGGATGCATTGGAACAATAAGCTATGACGCAGGCATAGTTGAGCAGAAAAGAAGAAGAAGAAGAGAAGAGGCGGAACGAGCTACAGACAGAGCTTCAGGAACGCCGGAGGCCGGTTCCAACATGACTAGACCACCATCGTGACGAGTGGAGAGCGACTACGATACCTGGTCATAGGAGACCCTTCCGGGCAGGGCTTCCGAAGCAGATGGAGATGAGCACGCGGGCTTGGATATATTCGGGAACATCTCGCTGTGGTGTGCCCACACCCACAAGGCACGCCTGGCAACGGACGGAGCAGAAGTCTAGTAGGAGCTGAACGGCGAACCCCAGAGCGAGGAGCAGGTGGAGAAATTCTGTAGGGACATGATCGACTTGCGGGGTTGGGGACCGGCACGCCCCCTAGTCTGAGGGCCTCTCCTCCACTCCGCAGACTACCGTACTCGGTTGACAGGGGTGCGAGCCTTTACGAAGTCTCGTCAACCCGACGGCCCTGACCGGCGGCTCTGGAGGGCCCGTAACCCTTGGAGCGACTGCAACGCTGATAAGCTTGTTCTTGGCCACAAGTCGTGATCGGACCTTGCCCACGGACCACAACAACTCGTATAATCGCTGTCGTAGCCATGGTATCTGCTCTGAAGGTTGGACGAGCCCATCAACACCAAAGTCCCAGGGTTCCACGGTATTTCTTCAGTCGAGTTTCGGTCTTTCGCCTGTGCACCCGTCCACTTGGAGCAGCATCAGACAAAGGCGCGCGAGACGATGCTACAGAAACTGGACTGAGTAATACTTGAAGCTGATCATCAGCGATTCCGTGCCATCAAAGCGAAGTTGTCGGTCCAAAGGATGACAACTCGGATAGCAGGGACAGGTTTGCCGTCTGGTGGTACAAGGAGTGAAGGGACTACGAACATCTCGTAACGCCTACCTCGTATCATACTCACCAGTCGACGCCCAAACCTGAACACTGGGTGCGTATGACTGACTGTCTGTTTGCCTTAACAAACAGGTCCAGGGTCAGTCATCTGTTATTCCTGTTGCACATGGTGCTATAGGCCTTGAAATAGTTGCTGAAATCGGCTGCACATGTCCAATCCTCGACGCTTGAGGCTTGAGCCGTCATGTCGGATATATCCATCTGATGGACGCGTGTAAGGGTGTGATTTTTGCCATTCAGGCTAAATGCGCGCGACCAATCAGGACCATCAGTTATAGGGCTATCAGGGGTACTGCAGGTGGTGCCAGCGGCCCGAATGAGCACGGGCAACATCGCGGGGGCTCCACGGCTGTCTCGGCCAGCTCGGGCGGGCGGTCCCCAGTCCTCACCGTCACCATTACACCCATCACCGTTGCCATCACTGTCGCCATCATCGTCGCCATCATTTTCGCCATCATCTGTTGATCGGGGACAGAGGACAGACCGTCGAGTGACTATCAGATACAGACATCTTCCTCAACTCTTTTCTCTGTGCCTTGTCTGTTTCAATCAATCGGAACCCTGACCGCACCTATGCCAGACTGGACCACAACGAAAAGGCTTTATGAGCTTCGTTTACCTCGATGAAGGGACATTATGAGGACGGATGGCCCATCATATTGACTTCTCTGGCGAGCCCAGCAAGGCGCGAGGACTCAGAAGCCGTGTAGGTCACCAGAGCCTCAAGATGCTAAAACACGCGCATATTATATCGTCTCTCTCCTTCCAAAGATGGGAGCTCTTCTTGCTACACACCAGTTCACCATTGCGGCCGGCTTCAAGCGGACCCGGGGTCATGCAATGAGTACTTAACCCTAGTAAGTGGCATGGTGCGTGTGTGTTTGTGTGTGTGTATCCATGTCGGTCAGGACCGATCGGTGTGTGCCGTACATCTGACTGCAGAGCCCCATGGCCATTCAGCGTGGAAGACAAGACGCCTGCAACACAGACTCGTTCAGCCATGGGTTGCACGACATTTTCTATCCACTGATAGAAGCATTCCTTCGGCTGCTTGGGCTGCTCTCAGCCCAATCGTCGAACAGCCTGGCCGCTCGACACTGACGACTTCGGAGGAGCGGGGGTGCTGTATTGGGGGCCAACAGCGATGCGAGTCACACCAACTTAAAAACTGGCAAGACATGGCTGTTGAAGGTGTGGTCGATGGCCGTTATCAAATGAGAGGCATCGTGGTTTTTGGAACGCCCTGCAGGCCCTCGTCCAACCCCTCCATGTCAGCTTTCCTCTCTTGTCCCATAGGCCGAGCATCACGAGCGTTACCGCAAATTCGCTGGTCTGCTTCTGAAAGTCCCATCATGAGAAGTCCATGCCAGCCTACCCTAGCCGACTTGGGGAAGCACATTGTCGATCCCGTACTGTCGGTCCCGCTGCTGCGTCTTCACGATGGTACCATGAGTGGGAATCTCGATTCCCTGCCGCCAACCTCGCAGCCCTGATAGGGTAGGTAGGTGGTGTTCTATTTGTCGGTGTCGCAGCCTTCCTCGTGCTTACACCTTACCGGAGCTATTTGTGCCAACGTAGCGTGGCGCAGTGTAAGTCGACTAATCGAACGCTGCAATCACCAGCTCCAACTTGGCATTCTTGTCTTTCTTCATCAATATTGGCCGTCTTGCTCGTTGCGTGGCAGAACGAGAGCAGGCACAAGGCATCTCGATGTGCGACATCACCTAACCTAGTGAAGTATAGACCACTCAGAAGCAATCGACCGAAAACTCGAGAGGGAGAAAGAAAGACGACAAGGCTTGGGTCAAGCATCTTGCTCCCTTCGACCTATCTTACCCATCAGCCGCTCCACCTCGAACTCGACCAAGAAAATCGCCACTATGCGAGACTTTTGGAACTATCCCGGCTGCGTTGGACTGATGGTGTTGGCGATCTTGACAGGCAGAGCCGGAGCCAACCTCGAAGACGAGTATCAGGTCCTTCGGCTTGAGAAGAATCACAATATATTTCGCCATCCCAAGAGAGAGGCTTCTTGTGAAATGACCGACTGGTCATTTTGTCCGGCTTCGGTGGGCGGCGGTTGCTGTCCGAACAACTTCGAATGCGATGTGTCGTCCTGCTACGCCACAACCGCGGGTCCGACGACGGCGTGTGGCCATGTCGGATGGTACAGCTGTCCATTGACAGCTGGGGCAGGTAAGTGGATGTTGTGCATACGTGTGGTTTTCCAGCTCTTACTAACAACCGCGTGTAAAGGAACTTGCTGTCGCGTTGGCTACATATGTGATCCCAATGGGGGTTGCCCACCACCTGCGGGAGTATCGGTTACGCAAACGTGCCCGACGAGCTACTTTGCATGTCCAGCCTCTCTTGGTTTTGGGTGTTGCCAGGACGGCAAGATCTGCGGCTCGGGCGTCTGCTACGATAGCACTCCAACAACCTTGCCAGTCAGCGACACGACGACAATCACGAATTCAAATGGCGATACTATCACGACCATCGTCACGAGTATGGTGGTCATCACACCCGGCCCCGACATCTCGTCCAGTGCTGCTGGCGTCGCAGCAGTCCCCAAGCTGGTCCCTAGTACCGTATCGAAGATGGATTCTGTTGAGACTGGCAGCAGCAGTGGTGGCAGTGATGGCCTGTCGTCAAGCGCGCTCGGCGGGATTGTCGCTGGTGTTGTGGTTGTACTGGTTGCTATCACAGTCGCAGCTTGCTTCATCATCATGCGTCTGAAGAAGACGGAAAGGGCCGCCAAAGCTGCCGAAGCCGCTGCCGAATCCCGACGGGAATCTTCAAGCGGTCAACAGCGATCGCACAAGCCAGGCTTTGGACGACCATCTGTGTCTGAGGTGGACGGCACTGTCGACATTGACCCCTTATCCATCATGCGGCCGTCACCACAATTTCGATCTCGGTCTGACTCAAGCGCGGGCAATAGGTCGCGATCTCGGACCCCTGACATGCGTGGTTCGGGCACATCGTCACCGCCCGCTTGGCCAGGCCCGTACAATCCCGCTCCGGTCTCCGACGCCTCAGATGGACGCCAGTCAAGCCAGTCCTCCTACGCTCAGCAGGAAGCGCGATATGGCCAGCAGTCTCCGCCCCTGGGACGGGTCAGCTACGAGTCCCAGACATCAAACGTGCAAAGGCACACGCGGAAGTCAAGCGACGCGAGCGAACTCGATGGCGTACCTTTATCGGAGCTCGACACTCTTGAGGCCAGCGAGGCGGCATCACGACGGCGGTCTAGCAGCGCGACGCGACCGACCAGGGCTAATGTGAGGCGGAGCAGTGATCCGTCAGGGCACTCTCGTGGGCGTGGGGATAGTGTGACTGCCGCCAAACCACCGCTGCATACTGTCAGTGAAACGTTCGAGCTTCATGGTCATTATGGACCGCATAGTCTTGTGGCTGGACAGACGGCAGCTAGGTTGAGCAGGTCGACGGCCAGCTCTGCACCGAACTACGGCCCTGAATGAGAAGACGGATTTGGAAGAGACGTGTGGAAGTGTGGTGTGCGCTCATGGAACTTTTGAGTAATCTGAAATGGCTACGTTGGGTGTAAGCATGGAATTGGGCGATACGTGGGGATGGCCTATTCCATGGTAATATGGTCTGCATACCTACCTAGGTACTGGTTCCCCGGTAAAGGAGTTTGGATCGCATGCTTTCGGTATACCCGCATCAACTGATGCTCTCCTTTCCAGATACGAGCAAGGATCGGGTCGTTCTGGACATCACACATAGTATGGACACAGGGATGTCAACGGGCTGGGTCTGATGTTGAAGATACAAGATGACTATTTGGAAGCACCAGGAGGACAAGTCTGGAGCACACCACAAATTCCTGTCCATACTATTTAGGTACACTCTCATATAGGCGGCTTCTTGTCCATATTTTTCAAGCAATAGAATATAGTTCAACAACCTCTGCCCATGACAGCGACGTGATGAACATGATCGAGCCCCCGGTACTAGAACTCATGAGGAAGCATATGAACACGCTATCCTTGGCCATACATGAGAACTGCTGGTAAGATACCTATTCCGATGCGTCTCGCGTTAGTGCAGACTGTTCCCTGCAGCTGACTTTACGCGCAGGACAGTCACCTTTCACTGTAGGCAGACAGATTCACGGTCGATCACACACCTATTCACTTCACCAAACTCACCCGGAAGAATCATCCATCTCTCACCTCATCCCCGATAAAAATCTTTATAAATATAAACTTCCCTGAAGCCCATTCTCGACCAGAAGCGCACTCCCCTCACCACCAACAACAACAACAACATCCACTTCCCAAGATGGCTTCGCAACCACCACCCCCAGCCTTCAAAATCGCCCCATCACTACAGCCCTACCAGATCACACCGGCCGCCTACATCATCCAGCACCCCATCGCGCACTTCATAGCGTCCGGCATCGTAGCCCACGCCGACCGCATCCTCCTCCTCCAGCGCAGCCCGCACGATGTCTTCGGCCTGCACTGGGAGGTCCCGGGCGGCATGCCCGAAGGCACCGAAGAGAACGTCCTTACCGTCGCGGTGCGCGAACTTTGGGAGGAGACTGGGCTGCGGGCTGTCAGGGTGACGGACTTGGTCGATGAGACGCATGACTGGGTCCATGCCGGCGAGGTCTGGCGGAAAGTGACGTTTCTGATGGAGGTCGAAGAGACTGCTGGGAATGGGGATGGCCGGCCGGTGGTGAGGCTTGCGGAGGAGCATGTGGATTGTGTGTGGGCTTCTGAGGAGGAGGTGAGGGCTGGGAGGTGTGAGGGGAGGGTGCTGGAGTGGACGAGCCCGGAGCAGGAGAGGACGGTGCTGCGTGCTTTTGAGTTGCTTCGGGTCATGTTTGATACTCAATGGGTTCACATAGCTTGAGGGACCTCGTTGTCTGCGCTTCTACAGCAAGAACCCGGTATCGGGATGGTTCCGAGCAGGTACTGTACCCCTGGAGGTCCACCCGGGGGTATTTACCTGGTGTGGTTTTTATTACTGTAGCTAGCCGTCCTGATTCCTGAACCTCTTCCCAATACATCACGTTCCCCGAGACTTGACCAGACCCCCCTCTGAGCGACCTGTGAATCTGACACCCTGGTAAATACAGTTTGCCTGCACCGCAGTACAGGGTTATGCCTGTAATCACTATCACCACCTACCAAGGGCGGCGTAGAACCGCAGCCTCAAAGCCTCCGCACCCACCCCGATCGAACCTATTCGGTCAGCAGCTGAACTGAACCCCTGAGGCCTCGCGAACTTATCTACATGCCGCAATGCCCTTCTCGCAGCCTCTCGTGTTTCTTCGCGACCTCGCGAGCAGGTTGTTCCGCGGACCCTTCAGTGTGATTTTCAACAAGGTATGTGCTCAAACGCCCCTCTAACACCCGGGATTTCTGCATCATGGGGGTGTCGCGGCAGCCCGTTTCCCCCGCTGATACAGCCCGCTTCATCTTGCTGAAGTTCTGAGCCATGGACAGTCCTATGTTGACGCCTTACCCAGCTACCAAGCATGGATACTTCATCGACAGTAGCAGCATGGCTGTTTTTCGCAGTCACGGCAGTCGGCCTAGGAGGTCTCATCTCCCAAGCGAATGCTATCAGTGACCAGATGGACCCCTTTCACGCCACTCGCAGCGCCGAACACTTGGGCATCTGGTTTCAACGCCAGAGGGCATTCCCCTGGTGGCGGATTGCTAAACCACCACCACTTGGGCCCGTCATCACTGCCAGTCTATCGAGTGGTTTCTGCAGCATCCAGACGGTGCATCTGGTTCGTCTCCCGCTAAGACCCGCGGGTAAGGCCAGCTGGGCTGTTTTGCTGAGCATAATCCACTCTGAGCCTTTGCCGCAACCGCATGCCGTGGACGAAACCACAGGAGAAAAGGGATCTGGGGCGATAGTGAAGACGAAGGGCAGCTGGGGTGCCACAGACGCTGTTGGTGGTCCAAGAGGGCACTCCGAGTGGTCGTTCCTGGAGCAAACGGTCCTCGTGCGGCACAACAATGCCGCGTGAACCTACACCATAACATACGCTGCCAAGGGATTCCCTGGTGCGCACGGGAGTCGACACCTTTACAACATGATGGGCGGCAAGGTTTACGAGGTGGACTTCCTGTCTGTTAAGAAGCAAACGACCGACGCAGCTTCTCCAACAAAGCTCGCGTCCAATACGCTAGTTCTAGATCTGCTCAGCACAGAGAAGGGATCTGGGGTCAAATTGATGATCCCGTCAAGGGAGCAAGATGTCATCAAGCATGCGCTAGACTGCTTGCCGTGGACGTCCCTTTCGTGGAGTATACACCGCGGGCTGAAAGACATTCTAGTAGCGTATGCCCGGCCAGTCATGGATTCGTTCCGGACCGAGCTGGCCGATCTGCTCAAACAAACGGTGAACGAACAACCGCACTTGCTTGATCGCCGGGGCTGGAACCCGCAATTCGTCCGGCAAAGCATGGGAGAGATGGCAGCGTCCGCTGTGCTGGCCAGCGAAGGCAACTCGGGTGATCTCGTGCGGGTCGTCACGGATATCGTCATGGCTCTGGTGGACGGGTGGGATGTCGCCCAGCTCGACGAGGTGACCTTTTGGAGGAATGCGGCGCCCGACAGGACGCTGGACTTGCAATGGGATCGTGGCGCTGACGAAGGTCTTTGTGCTCGAATGGAGTAATGAGTTTGATTACCATATGTATCATGATCTGCCAATTACACTGTACTTGGGGTGATACGATATCCACCTGATAATAAAACATACTTTGGTATAGAACGGTACTCTTTACGATCATATCGAAAACAGATTATGCGATGGCTGGAGCTGGACCTATCAGATGTACGTAGAACCGCAAAAGTGTCAAGTTACATGATTTGTTGATAACTGGATTCCCTTTTATTCTCATATGACCAGTTTTGTCTGTTCATGCTGCATGGCAATATGTCCAACCGCCTTGATCACAGCTCATGTTCAGACTTGGTAGCTTTCTCATCACCCAAGTCGGCCGTTTCCTCATCCACGCCCGTACGATGCTCGACCATGCCAATCTCTGCAGTTGAAAAGGCGTCAGCAGGATCCCTATACGCAGGGACAAAGTTGACCGCCAAAGCGTAGCTCAACGCAGCCACGAAGAACGATAGCGGGACCACCATAGCCAACGCGGTGCCATGAGCATCGGCCGCGACGCCCGTCAAAGGCGGGACGGCAGCACCACCAGACACACCGGCCACTATCCATCCCGACCCTCGCTTGGTGTGTCGACCGAGTCCGCGCATGCCCAGGGCCACGATGGTCGGGAAGCAGATGGACTCGAAGAACAGGACCACATAGAGCAGCGACATGCCGGTGTAGCCGTCGTGATTAGTGGCGGGCGCGATGAAGATGATACAGCAGGTCAGGAAGACCAGAAAGACGTGGCGCGGCTTGAACCACCTCATCAGGAAGACGCCGATGAAGCGTCCGATGGCGAAAGCGCCCTGAGCGCCGGCGAGGAACCTGGCGGCCAGCGGATCGGTCGAGGTGGGCTGTGTGTCTCGCACGTAGTTGATGAAGTAGGAAGCGATGGCGATTTGCGCGCCAGTATAGCAGAATTGCGCGAACGCCGCGTGGAAGAGGCGGTACTGCTTCCAAAACGGCTTGTCGTCGGCGTTGGCGTGCGTCTCGTTCGCCTGGAAGGCCATGTCGGCATCGGTGATCTCGGGAATTGTGGACAGGAAGAAGCCGAACGCGAGGAGGAAGACGAAAATCCCGATGGCTATGTAGACCCATTTCACATTCTGTATGGCCTCATCATCGCTGAATGTAAAGATGACATAAGAGCCCAACACTGGCGCAACCACCTGCAACAGTCTGCGTCAGTTGTTGCTTTGTGAGAAGAACATTAGAGAGATTTTGCGACTGTTTGAGACTACGAATAGGCTATAATAGGCACTCTCCTCTCCAAATGTGTCTAAAGTGAGGGTCATATAAGTACGTAAGATACTGACAGTTCCAATTCCATTGAACGCTTGAGAGATGTTGATACGAATCTCGGCATATCTAGGCGGTCCGCACACTAAAGAGCAAGAGTGTCAGTATTCACATCATGTACATAACATGCTGTTTGCGGCTACTTACCAGTGATGTACGGATTGGCAGCGGTCTCGAGTGACCCTAAGCCGTTGCCGATGACGAAGATGGCGATGCAGAACCCAGCGAAAGAACGAGCTAGAATGCACGGGATCGCGATGAATGCGCCAACGCCTTGTGAGACAGGTCAGACATAATGACCTCTCAGAGTTCTCCCGGCAGAGAATACTCGGTGCTCTCACGAACCGTATAAGCAGAGACCCCATATGAACGTCGCCCGGTAGCCATAATGTCTCAGGATCCAGTTGGCATGGCCGAGAGACGCGAGGGGATAAGCACCGAAATACGCGGCCTGAAGACCAGCAGATCTCGCTTTGTTGATCTGGAGGGTATTCTGGAAGTGTTTCTATAACCGTGGCAGTCAGTTACGGCCACTTGAAAGCCCATGTCCCTTGTCTGGACTGATGGCGCGCAGTAGTGGCAGATCACCAATTCCTTGACTGAGGATACTCCAGGGGAGTACTAGAAAGGATGTCACGTACGTTCAGAGTGTCGAGAAGCCCGTACGAGAAACCCCAGAGAAAGAAGAGGACGGTGACCAGACAGATGGGGTATAGCGACGCCCTCAAGGTCAGTTCAGCGGCTCTGGTCCTCTGGTCATCTCTGGCCTTGAGCGACCGCCTCTTGATGAAGTCTTTGAAGGCCATCTCGTGATAGTCCCTTGGGTATTGCTACCGTAGCCTGCCAGATAACGATAATGGCTGGAAGAGGGGGGCTTGAATGGGACGAAGCTATTCGCGACGGTATCGTTTGACTGTCGTCCGAACTCAAAAGCGATAGTAATGTCACAGACAAGAAGCACCGGCCCGCCGCTTTATGACTACCGTACGAGTGACCTGGGGGATCTGCTGCTGGGACAGGTATGCCTGTGGTTCGTTACTCCAATGAGAAACCTGCCAAGTCCATCTCCTCACTCCATTCCATGAGCAAAACCTGGGGTTTCCCCAGGTTCATGTGGGGAAAACTCGGGGGAGGGTATCTTGGATTCCGCAATTAGACCGAGAAGAGCGAGTCTCGGCAAATACTGTAAAGTACGAGGTGATTTGGTCTTCCTGTTCTCACTGCTGTAAGTCAATTCCAGGATGTCATTTACGAGGATCTCGTAGCGGCCGGCATCTGCTGAGCTTGTGGTCATCCTTTTCCTGGGTATGTCTCGAGACATTGTGAGTAGACCCCAACCACCTACAACACACATCGACAATTGTCATGATGATACCGTGTGGTTACGGTGCAGAGATATGGTCTATGATCCAACAACAGCACTCCTTCGATGAGTAGTGTCTTCATCGTGGACCCACCCGAGGACTGCGTTCATATGACTCGGAAATATGCCTTTACCTGACTTCCTACGCACGCTAGTAGTCAATTGAGCGACCGGCCGGCATGGGAGTCCGTTATACTCTGTCAGATACCTGAAGATGGAATACGACTCAGGGAACTATACAGGAGGTGCCGGATCGAGGCCTACCTGTTCGATGATGTGCTGTCTGTCAAGCTAAGACGACTCGAGGTTTTGTCATCCACGGTGCCAGTGTAACTTCCACTTCTGCCACGCTCCATGCGGCCTCCTAAGTGTTTGCTCCATCAGGATCAGTCCTCGTGGTGCGCAATGCATGTGGTGCCCGCTCCCTTCGGCCATAGGTGATACGAGGTACATATGCACGTTACAACCCAACCTCGATGGTTAGGATTAGCTTGGAGTAGAATCGTGCAACTGGCAACCCTTGAAATGTTGCAGCGTAGGCGACGTTACGTAGCATCACGCACCTTCGCCTCCTGAATAGGCTCGTCAGCATGCGACGTCGGCCCGACCTGCGTAGCAATCTATATGCCCAGGTATATTAGTTCAGCCTTGTGGGCCAGACGGTAGAGCCTGGCTACAGTCAACTTCTGTAGACATGAGTTCATCATGTCTCTGCCGACTCGGTAGATCCTGGGGCTCACGTCTTCAGGTGGCGGCTGCTGAACCTTTCGGATTGTATGCTTGACTTCAAGACTGAACATCACCTTTCCTTGATATTACTGCACAGAGCACCAGGACCCCCTTAAGAGATAGCGGGTGTGGACTCTTGCCTAGGTCTTCATAAGGCGTATGCCGTCCCACTGGTATTGTAAATCCTCGACATATACCCTGGTCCTTGATCGCTCACCCTCCAGGTCCGCTCTGTCCTGGATAGGTGGTTGCCCCCAGTTCTCTGACCCGTACGCAGTGAAGGCGGGTCATGATAAGAACTCACGAATACCTCAACTCATTGGTGCCTAGTTTTGATGGTTCCAAGATTGAGCTGGCCTCTAAAAGCCTTCGATAAAAGAGAGGGGGATCGTTGCACTGTGCCGCAACGATGATCGTGTTCTCACGTGATATTTGCCGTGCCTCTCGTAAAGCCGCTGTGGTTCAAACGGATTTCAACCTATCTGGTAACTCTTGTGTATAAGTCAAGAGAAGGTGTCTTGATGTGGTGTTCGTAACAAACACCTTCGAGGACGTCCTGGATGTGTGAGTCCCTTCAATAGTGGGTTGCCTACCAACAGTTGACAATATATCTCATCTCTTGCCAACCTGCCTTAAGGCATAGAGAGGCCCGTAACCAGTTGCAAGATTGCAGGTAGTCCACCAGTCGGGGCATCAATGACTGATTCATCGGGCTCGGAGTGGGTGTTATCATGATGTAGGGTCTGTCTTGGGTCCACGAAGGTAATGAGGGCCCCATTGAGCTCACTTTCGCAGGTTAACCGCTATGTCCCCGGGCTAACACCAAGAGCGAATAGGAAAACCCAATATATTAAAGGACCTGTGTCGTTCCCTGCTGGAGTGTTGCGAGATCCACGGCACATAGACACCGAGTTGGGAGGCCCCTTTAGGTGATGGCGTGGGCCCCCCACCTTGTCGTCGTAGATTCAGCTGTGCGGAAGAGTTCCGCTTCCTAATTGGGAGGCTGGGAAGTTAAAAAGCGAATCATCACAATGGTCCCAAAAGCCAGGATAATACTACTTGCCCATGATACGAAACAACAATCGATGCCTTTACAAGATAAAAAACAAGGTAGGTGAGCAATTGAAGAGGGAAGGCCGCCTCGATGCCTCCGCCTGAGGCTGCATCGAAACATGTGGGCTCGTTCACTTGCTTTTAGTGGTTGAAGCGCTAAAAGCCTGTAAGGAACAGCGCCAGATAGCCTTCACGGACCTGCTGTAGCTGTGTAGTTACCTACTGGCGGGCTTATCGGCGCGAAACCTTACCCGAGAAATTGCCTAGTCATCCAATTGGAACCACTCAATGGCTACTATGGTCCCCACTTTCCCGCCATCTCCCGAAGAACCGTCAATCGCCATTCCATTTTTCGGATTTTTCGCTAGACCCGAGACAAGGCCAGCTTCCTCTTTTGTTTCTGCAATCTTTTTTCCTAAAAAGCCTCAACCTTTGCCCTTTGCAGCATCACCCTGATCGACGGCATCGCCAATCGAGCCTGCGAACGACTGAGTCTCTCGTCGCTACCTCTCCTCTCCACTCATCCCAATTACTGTTTTCTCTATATCCCTATCCCTTCCTCTTCTTAATCAGCCGCCATGTCTGCCTCCGCCCCCGTCGAGAAGGCTGATGCCCTCGCCCGCAAGGCCGCCGCCAACGCCCCAGGCCAGAAGACCGGCTTGGCCCTCTACTCCAGATTCGCCCTTGCCGGTGCTATCTGCTGTTCGCTCACCCACGGTGGCATGACTCCCGTCGATGTGTACGTTTCAGATCATCTTCTCTAGATCTTTTGCGCCCACTCCTTGCGCCCGTCGGCCACGAGCCATCATGACTTCGCCTTGGTCTCCCGGACATCTCAGATCATCTCCCGACTCCACCAGCTAACAGCGCTTTCGTAAACAGCGTTAAGACCAGAATCCAGCTTGACCCCGTCACCTACAACGGTGGTCTGATCGGTGGTTTCCGCCAGGTCATCGCGAAGGAGGGTGCTGGTGCCCTTCTGACCGGTGTTGGCCCTACCTTCGCCGGTTACTTCCTGCAGGGTGCTTTCAAGTTCGGTGGATACGAGTACTTCAAGCAGCAGGCCATCAACATGGTCGGTATTGAGAATGCCTCCAACTACCGAACCGGTGTCTACCTTGCCTCCTCCGCCTGTGCTGAATTCTTCGCCGATATTGCCCTCTGCCCTCTTGAGGCTACGCGTATTCGTCTCGTCTCCGAGCCCACATACGCCAGCGGTCTTGTCAGTGGTATGAGCAAGATGGCCAGCCAAGAGGGTCTCGGTGCTTTCTACGCTGGTTTCGGACCTATCCTCTTCAAGCAGTAAGTCATCCAACTTTGCGCGCAAGCAGCTCCGCTCGCAGTCGAATTCAGTGCTGACTCGTCCCGTAGGGTCCCCTACACCATGGCCAAGTTCGTTGTCTACGAGAAGGTTGCCGAGGCTGTCTTCCGCCAGTACCCCAAGAGCCAGATGTCCGACGGCATGCAGACTGTTGTCAACTTGGGCTCCGGTCTGATTGCCGGTTTCGCCGCCGCTATCATCTCCCAGCCCGCCGACACCATGCTTTCCAAGATCAACAAGACCAAGGGTCTGCCTGGTGAGGGAACTACCAGCCGTCTGATTAAGATCGCCAAGGAGCTTGGCCTGCGTGGATCCTACAGCGGAATCGGTGCCCGTCTCTTCATGGTCGGTACCCTGACTGCTGGTCAGTTCGCCATCTACGGTGACATCAAGAAGGCTCTCGGTGCTACCGGTGGCGTTGAAATCTCGAAATAAGCGCGTTCAGACGAGTCTGGATCTGCGAGTCGGTGGTGGTGGTGACCGAGGACGTAATTTTGGGGTAAAGGAGCGACAACTTCTATACGCCTCGAGTGGTTGTCTTCAACTGGCTGAGCATGTGGGAGGCAGAGTCGTTATATCAATTCGGGCAGCTCAGCATAGATTCCCGATAAAGCTGCTTTTTCACGTTTGCATTTAGACTGGGTGGTACCGGGCTGGATTTGCAGGCTTCTCTCGCAAGTGTCATTTGCCATGGGCCTTGGGAGACTTTGGAAAGGTCTCCTAATTCCCGATTATCTGTCTGCTGTAGATGCATAGAGCACAGAACAGACAGGCATTTAGAAGCAGACGACGGCAATACCTGACGGAGGCTGTACAATAGACTGTTGGAGACTGCTGAATTGTACTATTTCGCCTAGACCACATCCTCTGCTTCGTTACCAATCCACCCTGACCACTGTGGTAGAACCAGGTGAACCATATCCATAATTAGGTATTGAACCCAGCCAAGACACATGCATGTGGGACTACTCGGCTGCCGACTTGGACGAATGTCGGGGCCTGTGTCGAGGCCTGTGTCCAGGGGCTACTAGGATGCGCAACGACGGCCGGCGCCTGGGGATGATTCGAGTTTCCTTGCATACATGAGCGGGAAGGGAAGACCTCTGCGTGCTTTGAGATATCGCTGATGCGATTGGTTGGATGCACAGCTTCAAACAGAACTACGCAGGGTATGACACAGCGTCGTTGTCGAACATGAATATTGCAGATGCGTGGCCTGTCCTTCTGGACGTGACGGAGTTGGAGTTCTCGAGCGTCCTCTCGTCTCTGTGTTCTTTGCTCTATTCTATGCAAGGTCCGTTATCCCTGATACAGGAGCTGCTTGTTCATTATGTAGATGCTGGTTCAGATGGTGTGGCTGATATCAATCATGAGCCGTATAGACATACGGAATCCCCCTCAATCTCGAAGCTCCTCCTCGCGACAGGCCAGCTCGCAAGCGACAGCACAGCCTGAAAGCAGACCACAGAGACCAGCGTCCTAGTATCCGAATTCGTCCTCAACAGCCCTGACTCAGACTGCAAGTTCGAAGGCGTAGCCCGGATGAACTACCTGCACGACCTCTACCGCCGGGCCGGCAAGATCTCGGACGCGGACATGCTTACGACCCTATACCCCCATTGGCACACCTAATCACTCAATATCGCTGTATGTTGTGACGGTAATGACAGTCTGTTTCTCATGGGCTAGAGAATAACTCAACAACGAGCCGAAATATATACAGACAACCTGCACCCTCGTCTCTTCCTCCCGCACACTCTACATAGCTTGGTCTAGCTTCAGGGACGGTATCCTTGGCTCACAGGATCGCGGCCGTCCATCTGGTCCTTAAGGACGGGGACCGCCACCGCCAGTGTTGCCAGTAGAAACACCACCTCCTTCATAGTAGTGAGCAGCAGCACGGGCGCTGGAAGTGTAGTTGGCGGTGGTGTCGACGAAGACGGTCAGGTAAGCGAGGACACCGCTGTTGAGGTCATCGCCAAGACGGACGTAGGCAACGAACGGGTCGTAGTCCTCCGTGGCGGTCTGGGCGTCAATGCCGTCGTCGACGTTGAGGGTAAGACGTTGGGTGTTGGCGGTGTACGGGGTCAAGGTCTCGACCTCGGTGATCAAGTCCTGGTCGAAGAACAGCTGGCCGATGTGGTTGGGCTTTCCGCTGAGGTACGTGTTGTTGGACAATATGGTGGCGTTCTCGGTGCTCATCAGGTGAATGTGAGGAGCGCGGCCAGTGTAATGACCGGGGAAGATGGTGTCGAACTGGGCAACACCGTCGGCGTCGGTACCTTGGATACCACGAAGGTAAGTGGCATCAAGGCCGCCCTGCCCGGTGGCATTGACACCGGAGTAGACGCCGGTGGAGTTGCAGTGCCAGATGTCAATGAGCATGTCCGGAATCGGCTCGCAGGTGTTGATGTCCACAAACTGCAGGTCGAGATGAACGGGGACACCGGGCTCAGCGTCAGTGACGTCGGCCTATAGTTCGGGGAGTTAGCATATATTGCCCATAGTGGTACGTACGCCTAGAGATGTCACTGCTACGCAGACCGGTGAAAGTAGGCAAGAGGTTGGAATTCCTGACATACTCGGATCAGTTCACCAGCAACCCAGTAAGGGCCGATGGTCACCTCTGGAACGAGAGCACAGGTAGCATTGGAGTCGAAGATGGTCTCCAGCGGGGTGTCCAGCGAGTATCCGAGGGCGGAGGAGTCGTGGTCAACGGTCGCCCATTGCTCAAGGTCAACCAGGTCTCGCTTGGTCCTCATCACCTCTGACAGGACGGGTTAGCCAAGGTACAGAGAGCACAGAGCCTGTATCGTGACTTACGACCCGCCAGACCGCGCTTCTGGCGGAGGGCCTCCGCAGCGGCAGCACGGCGGGCAACGGAGCGGGCTTTCAGGGCAGCGGTCTCAGGAGAGCCGGCGCACGAGTTGAGAGCGCGGCGAGCGAAGGGGCGGGCCGACTTGTGTGATTCAAGCTCACGCTTAACCTCGTCCGCGGGGTCGCCAGGATGAGCGACGGCAGCTCCGATGATGGAGGAGAACGCCAGAGAGGCGGCGATGTTGCGTACGTTGACCATTTTGACTCGACCTAAGAGGATCTGGAGGTAGAGAGGGAAGGACAAAGAGTGAATGGATGGCCGGTTGGGATGAGGGTCAGGTAGACGGGTCAGCTTGAAGGAAGAGCATCGTCTTTATATCTTTGCCTCCTGGCTCCGAGGTCACCAGGAACAGCAGCCAGCCATCAGCGTAGTTGAAGCCTCGCTAAGGTCTGCAAAGCAACGAAGATCTATGGTGCATGTTCTAGTCCCCGATTGTCGTGACGGAGTTCTACCACCCTCCTAACCCGGCTGACAACCCGGCGGACCCTCCCATCCAAGGATCTTCTCATTGGAGCATATTAAGAGGACCCCAGAGGGGAATCAGCCGGCATTCTGGAAGAGGTAGGTCAGGGCAGCTAATGAGAGACCTGGATTATAAACCAATGCTGTCGCAGTACTTACCGGCGGCAACGTCCCAGGTGAATGCGGAACAGCGCCCAGGCGGATATGGGTCGTTGTATCGACGATGGGACCCAGTCGCGAAGAACTCGGGATGTGGGAGGGACTTACGCGTCTCCCTGCGGTTGAGGTTGTATGCCAAGCTGCCAAGGACTATAGGAGGACTATAGCAACAGGCAGTTGTTGGAAGGTCTGTTGGTGTCCGCCAGGACAGCTTCTCTCCCTTATGATGGCAGTCCTCCCAGGGGTCTCCATGCACTCACCGGCCAGTGGACCAGCGTCGATTGACACCGGCGTGGCCCCTCCGTCTATGCTTGGCTGTCCTGGCTCGAACCTCCAAAGATGGGTCCGGCCCATCAGATCATGAGATGGTTCCCGTGGGGAGTATCTTTGAGATCTGATAACGGCGATCCTTGTCCGGGCGGTTGAAGGATCACCGCTGCTTCATGCATGACTACCCGGGGTGCACCGTGAAGAAGGGGCCAATGGACACTCCGGCGAAGCAACAATGCGATACGCCGTGGGCTGGGAGGGAGCAGTCGTTGGAAGTGGAAAGTCGGACGGCGCACCCCTGAGGAGCTTGATGGTCGTTCGTTGGCGGCCTTACAAGTCTGGAGCCTTGGCTCACACGATGACGAAATCACAAGCCATTCTTCTTCACATGATATTGCAGTACCTCGTATACTTCAGAACGAGAACTACAGTCTCTATCACGCCATTTTTCCAGGCACGAAGGGATGGCCGGCACTGAGCCCACCATCGACGGCCCAGGCTTGACCGTTGACATAGCTGGCTTCGTCACTCCCGAGGAAGAGGGCAACTCGCGCGACTTCGTCAGCTACTCCAGCTCGCTTCATCGGGTTCAGCTGCCCAATCTTCTTCTCGGTGCCCCGCGCGCGAGCAACCTCAAAGGTCGGTGCTGTCATGCCAGTTTCGATCAGGCCAGGGCAGATGGAATTCATACGGACCCCCGTCCCTGTCAGCTGGTAGGCTATGGTCTGGGCGAGTGACACCACGGCGGCCTTGGATGCAGCGTACGGTGTTGTGCCGGCGTTTGACCGTAGTCCGGCCACAGAGGCAGTGCCAATAATACTGCCCGAAGCCCCTGGCTTTTCTGGTGATGTTTTTGTCATAGCCGGTGCCGCATACTTGGCGGCAAGGAACACGCTGCCACGCAAGGTTAGATAGAGCGGCTATGCTTGTCCGGCCACCAAGATGACCAAGATGAAAACGTACCTCGCCACATTCGTGTCCATGATCTTCATGAACTCGCTCTTCTCGAAGCCCGTGAATGGAGCAACAGGGCCGACTATTCCGGCATTCGCGAAGAAGATGTCGAGCCTCCCGTATTTTGCCAGAGCATCGTCCACCACGGCCTTTACGGCTTCCTCATCCGCCGCATCGAACTGTCGAACATGGACGTCTACCGTAGGATATAGGGAGCCGATCTCACGCCTATGCGCGTCCAGGTTCTTGTCGTCGAAGTCGCAGACGTAGAGAGCGCGGGCGCCGCTCTCGGCAAACAGGTGGGTGCTTGCTCTGCCAATGCCTAGTATGGAATTCGCTCCTACGCGCCAGACCCAGTCGTCAGCCAGCCCAAGCCCAACCTGCCACTATGTTTGCACATACCAGTGATGATGACAACCTTGCCCTCGACTCTGGGCCCATTGGCGCTGCCGGCGACCTTCCTGATGGCCGGTATGCCTTCGAAGGTGCTGCTGTCGCTTTGCGGGGAAAGCTGGCTCCCCAGTGCTGCTATCCTTTCCTTCGCGATGTCGGACATTCTGTTGCGGCGGGTGACGACGTAGTTATCGTCGTACACGCAAGTCACTGCCACTGCCGCTGCCACTGGATCGAAGCACGGTTGTTGCTGGGCGAGTCTGACGTCGACTGCTCTCAATCACCACATGCACATTGTCGTGGTTAATGTGAACGACTTCTGGAGGCCCGAGGGTCAGCGCTGGAGGAGCGGAGCGGAGGAGCCGAGGCCTGTCCATGTTGCCACTAGTGACTAGTGGACGGTAACTCGGCTGTGCCGCTTCGGGCCCGAGGTCAACCCCAGGTTTTGTGCTGCATCCCCGTTTCACCGTTTCACCGTTTCACCAATCAGTAGCTCGACCCACTTCCCCACTCTGTCGCCCCTCATCCCACAATATTCCTGGCCAGCTAAGGTGAGTACGCTAACAACGCGCCAGAATATTGTCATCAGTTTTGGACTACTTCTTCGAAAGCGCCGTGGAAGTGGTGACGAGGGTGGTTGTGATGGTTGTCTATACTGATCCCAGACGATCTAGGGCGAGTAATCAAGAAGCTGTCCCGTTGAGAACCATGAAGAACCATGAAGACCCAGGAACGCCCATGGTTCTGCTAATTTCTCACTTTCTTACTGTAAAAGTCAGCGGTATGCGTTTCTATGCCTAGTACACTTCGCCCTATGGACTTGGCAATATACTATAAATACGTGCGCCCTCCACTTTTGCCACTGGTACTCTAAAAATTTCAATCCCTCCCTACCTGCGAGAATTCCAAAGTGAAAAAGTTCGTGTTCCCAGCTCATGGCCCGTTCTGAGAAAGGGGAGGTACAGTGTCAGTGCAATTTCCTTAATAAGCATCGAGCCGTCGACATAGGGGTATACCATTCAGAGCCCACTTTCGCAGGGTCCTACTGTTGAATACACGGATCTTGATTGATGCTATTGATTGTTCTGCTCTGTGTGCATAGATTGATTATCTGTCTTCTTGGTGGGTCAGATGCCCTGTGCGTCTCTGCCCCACTGGAGATCTTCTGGTGTCTATCTCCGGCTCCCATTCAACACCAGAAGATCCCCTTAAAGGGGCAACCTCCCGCTGTACCTATCTCTCTCTCTCTTCCTTTCCTCTCTAGTCTTGATATTCTCGTCAATAGAGTAATAGCTGCTTGCTGCAGGCCATGTCCCAGCTCCTCAGTATGCTCGCCGTGACATGCGCTAGCATAGTACACCAGGGGGATTGCAAAAAATCAATCCCAAAATGCGTGAACTGCAAGGGGCCTCATGCTGCTGACTTTGACAAATGTCCTGCACGTCCCAAGGTTGTGAAAGGTATCATCCACAAGTACATATAGGAGCAAATCCAGGAAATAAGCCTGGCCAGAGAAAGAGCCAGATCCAGGGCCTTCAATGAAGCATGCAGACACCAAGCTGGGTCAATACCTAGCAACAATAGTAAAGACACCACAATACAAATCGATACAACAAATACAGCTCATCCCAGAGACGCCGACACTATTGTTGTCCGTCAATGCTAGGTACATCAAACAAAACACATCAACACAGGCATCTGGTTGTCCATTCTGTAAATGTGACAGGAGGACAAAAGAGTGCAGGCCCTACAGAGTTAGACATTAATCTGGCTGACTATAAAGGAGAGCAAGCAGACATCATTCTGATGTGAGAGCCCTGGGTCGGTATACCACCAGGCAGGAGAATGGGAGTAAAGACACACCCAAATTATGATATATATTCCTCAGTCGATTCCTGGGACAGCAACAGTACACGCCCCAGATCTCTCATCTATGTGAGAAAATATCTTTAAGAGGATCAATTTTGGCCTTATGCTACACAAGACATCATTTAGGTCTAGGTACGAGGTATTACATTTGCCAGCGTTTACTGACCATGTAATAACCGCAGGAAGTGGATGACATTCTAGAAGTATGGACTCCACTCTTTGGCTGCGTTATAGCCAGAGATTTCAATGCTGGCAACACACCATGAGACTCGAGCAATCCAGAGTATCATAGTGGTACCACACTCGCATAGACTATGACAGATCACGGACTAGATCTGATTTCTGAACCAGATGTCCTGACATATGATAACAGAAATGTACCAGATCTGGTTTTCTCAGATATCCCCATGGCTGAAGCCTAAGTAAGTGATGTACTCCAGTGCACCTCAGATCATAAGACATTACGAATAGTCATCCCAATTCAGGGAGATCTGGACCGGGTCCCTAAGGCCGATTATTGAACAGTACCGGATAATAAACTACAAGAGCTGATTAATAATGTCTAAAACAGGATTCATGAGCTCCCACGGCTGGGTGCATCCCCTGTCCAGGTGGATGCCTTTACGCAGAGCTTGATCGACATGATCCAAGGCTGCATCAGGACAGTGGGCAAGAAGCCCCGACAATCTAGGCCCACTGCTTGGTGGAATGATGAATACAAAGCAGCTGTTCAGACATACAGAGCCTTTTCTAAACGGACCGCAAGCCAAAAAGGGCGGAATTCAGCCCGACGGGAATTTTGCCGCGTGGTTCAGAAAGTTAGGAGAGAGTACTGGCAGACTCTAATTGATTCAGCGACTGAACCAAAAGACCTATACAGAATTGTTTCCTGGTACAAGCTGTCAATAGAATTGCGTTCCCCCAATCATCATAGGAGACTAAATATTTGAGTCATAAGAGAGCAAGACAAATGCATTACGCTCAGCCATGCTTGAACGAAGTACCCCAGACAATGATATTATTGACCCCTGGTCCGCTCAGATCACACAAGCCAAGTCACACATACTCCTTGAATACCATGTCGGACTAGAAGAGGCTGAATGGTGCACTATAGGGACCAAGAGCAACTCCCCAGGAGTAGACACCCTCACAGTACGGATTCTGAAAGCTTGCTGGCCAGTCATTGGGGAACATATCAGAGCCCTCTTTCAGACCTGTCTACAGATCGGACACCACCCTAAACCATTCAAAATAGCTGAAGTAGTGATGATCCCAAAACCAGGCAAGACAGACTACTCCAATCCCCGGGCCTACAGACCAATATCGCTACTGTCATGTCTTGGCAAAGGCCTAGAACGACTGATCGTAAAAAGAATTACCTGGTTTGTTGTCAAACTTGGAATTCTAGCTCCATAATATTTTGGAGCTCTACCAAAGCGCTCTGCCACTGACTTGGTAGCCGCACTCATACATGATATTGAGCAGGCCCTTGACCAAGGCCTCGTTGCAACGGTAGTCACATCAGATGTGAAAGGGGCCTTTGATGCTGCCCTAATGGGACGGCTGGTGGTTCGCATGAGAGAACAAGGCTGGCCGGGCTTTCTCATAAGATGGGTCCAGTCATTCATGTCCGAGCGGTCCGCAAGGGTTCGGTTTGAAGGTATCGTGACCGATATAAAAGCTCTCACTTGTGGGTTACCACAAGGCTCACCAGCCTCTCCAATCCTTTACATGCTGTAACATCTCACCCCCCCCTTGCGGACCACCCCCCCACGGACCACTCCACACCACACCACTCTCATTCAGATGAAGCCATCTACAACCACCACAGTTGCTAAATACACTAAGGTCGTGGTGTTCTAACCATAATACAGCTCCCAGAATCCGATTCCGACCCTAAATCTTCACCAGGGACCTCTTATGGGACCTCTTTGCCTGCAGCGGAGTCCCTATAGACCCTCCTGTTCCTCAGCTCCATTTTGGCCTCCCTTATGTTAGCCATTGTGACGAATCGTTCCCCTGGTGTTGGTTTGACTGCTTTTTGAGTGGTATTAGCCTTTTTAGCCACTTGAGCCTCAAGCAGCTCACATTTGGCCCGTAGATTTGCAATGGTAGCAGCCTGAACATCCATGGCCTTGCCAGCCTTCCGCACCAACAAGCGCTCAGAGGGCCCCCCAAAAGAAGGGTCCTTTCTTTCGAGCTTTCGAGCACTCTCCCGCAAAGCCCGGCTTCCAGAGGGTGTTGTGACAATGGTTTTAGCTACCATCTCGAGAAAATCTGGTGTTGTGGCTCGCTCAGAAGCCTTAGGGTCCCTCTGGCGTGCCCTGGCCACCCCCTTGTCCTCCAGAATCACATATTTCGACTTCAACGCCTCTGCTCTGTTGCGAGGAACAATCCCAGTCTTTTTCCAGGCAATTCTGATGTTGAGGAGCGTCATTGTGTCCTTCCGGGCCTGCTCGTAGCACTCCAAAACCTCCTCCTTAGATGGCCTGAGTCCCAGACGGCCGCTGGGCGTCTCCTGGAGTAAGGTCTTCAACCTCTTCTTCACCAAATTGAAGACTCCCACATCTAACACCTGGACTACATGGGAGCAGTGAGGTTCATAAAAGATCAACCATACTTTGTTTCTCAAGCAGGTGGCTAGGAACTCGTCATTCGTGTGGGAGTCGTGGCCATCACACACCAAAACCACCCATGTGTTGCCGTGGACCTCCCGAATGTGAGGAATAAAGATATGTTGAAGCCATTCTAACGCAATGGGATTCGAGGTCCATCCATTGGGCGACGTAATAAACCTCCAGTCGGTGAATTTGCCCTCGTTTTGGTTGCTAAATCACTGGGCTTGTACGTTAACCCCCTTGAGAATCACCAGCAGCGGCAAGGTCTCACCAGATCCGCTCACACACTCTAGGGCAGTTATCCATTCACCCTTCTCGACCCTTTTCTTCATAGCCACGTTGCCAGAGGCCTCGGAGACCACCCAATGGGAGTCCCTAAACCCCTGGGCGATTCCCATTTCGTCGACGTTGTACCAGCGTGCTGGCATGAGGTTAACCACGTCAGGGGCGTCACACCGATCGAAAAAAATGTTGATATTTGCCGCTGTAGCACCATTCACTCGGTTGTAGTCGATAACACGAGACTTCATTATCTTGACTTCCGGGTTTCGAGACAGGAACTTGGATGCCCAATTTTTCCCTAATTCTTGAGCATCCCCGGTGGCATGGAGCATCCGCTGGGCCATGAGACGGAACTTAGAGACCGCCGGAGAATACCCTAGCCGTGCTTGCCCCAAGGCCCAGCTTGCCAGCTTATGTTCGAGATACGGTGAGAGAGCCTGTTGGAGAGCGCTGGTCTCATTCCGCGTTGGGGTGCCAGAGATTCGTTGGTTGACGTACGAGCGACTGATTTGCTATTCGAGGGCTGACGAGCGGACTGGAGCTCCGCGTTGGATGGCCAAAATGGCGGCTTCAACTTTTATTTGACGGTCGTAAAATGACATCATGAGATTCAGCAGTGGATAAGGATTCAAATAGTGTGCTTTGTGAATAAGGATTCAAATAGTGTGCTTTGTGAAAAAAAAGATGCAAAAGTGATGGTGTAGATGGTGGATCACCATAATCCTGGTGGTTGGTGAATTACGCGTTTGTGGGTCAGAACGCGCTGGTCCGCGGGGGGGTGGTCCGCAGGGGGGTGGGAGATGTTATACAGAGCCAATCTGTGCCTGACTCGGTATGAAAAGGAGATGCTTTGAATATGCAGATGACCTAGAGACTCTCTGTATTGGAAAGAACCTTAAAGAAACAGCCAAAGAGGCTTCTGAAAATCTTTATTTATTTAATTAATAGGGATATAATAATGCTATTAAATTTGATCCCAACAAAATAAAGATCATGCACTTCTTGCGGAAAAAGAACTCAGATAATCCTCCGGTCCGCCACAGGACAATGAACAAAATAGCAAAGGACTCTATGTGATGGCTAGGTGTCCTCCTGGATAGAAAACTAAACTTCAAAGATCACGTTTCTTACTGGGCCAAGAAAGCTAGTAAGGTAACAAATCACTTTTGAGGACTATATAACACAGTCAAAGGACTTCCAGTAAAGTCAACCAAGAAGGCTGTGAAAGCTTGTGTTATTCCTATTCTTACACACGGCCTGGAGGCCTGGTACTTCTTGGTACGATAGATGCTGTACTATGAATGGCGATCAGAGCTATCTTGCCGGTCTGGAAAACACACCCTGGACATATCCTACACTTTGAATCACAGATTCCCCCAGCAGAAGTTCTTACGGAGTCAATAAGACGATGTCACGGCCTCCGACTCAGACAAATAGACCAGAGACACCCTCTCGTCGGCAGGCTCCAAGTACAAGCTTGCAAGGAACCGACAAGGCTACAAAGGAGTTTCCAGCTAATTCCTGACTTCTAAAGACCGATATTCACTAAACCATCATAAAAAAAGCCCCCAGTCCATAAGAATAAAGATAAACAAATAGAGCTCTTTAAGGAATAATTATAGGAGAGAAACATGAACACTGACCTTGTCATCTACTCGGATGGATCATAGTTGGACGACCAAGGCACAACCCGCACTGGATGGGGTTACACCATCAGGAAAGGTAACACTACACAAGAAGTATATCAGGAAAAAGACAGACTTCTTCAAACAGAAGTAGTAGATGCTGAAGTCCATGGCGCTCTCCAAGGTCTCGCAGCAGCCAGGATAATTGGATGCGGAAAACGGCTATATGTCTGCCTGGACAACACGTTAGTGGTAGATAGGCTCAATGGGACTCCACCCGAGACATCATAGATCATTTTTCTATGATTTTAAGAACTTGCCACAGCACACATTCCTAAAGCGACTATCAAATGGATTCCTGGACACAGAGATATTGATGGCAACAAAGCTGCTGACATATTAACAAAAGAGGGTGCCATGCTTGAAACGGACACAACAAACCTTTCTACAATCTCTTGAGTAAAGAGAGATCTCAAAAGGAAGAGCAAGAGAGAATTTGATTAATGATAGGAAAACCAATTAGAACCTAGGTATCAAGAAGTATACTTACATACAGTAACTAAAAGGGACCTTATATCTTTTGAAAGGAGCACTTTATACAGACTTCTAGCGGCCAGATCTGGATATAGCGACTTTGTTAGATATTATAAACATTTTAGGCATACAGACTCGAATGATCACTGCAACTGTGGTGGAAAAAAAACACCACAATATATTTTCTTTTGTAAGAGACTTGGGACAAACCGATTACCGCCCAGGTACTCGCCTAGGGCAGCCTGTTTACAGTACTTAGGGGAGAGGAGCACAGAATGGGCAAAATTCGTGGAGAAGAGCAAGTTCTTCTCATCAATCTGCCGGGCCAATTCGATTGACTGAAAGCCGTTACGGGTCCGGGTGCGTGGCGGGTAGGCAGAAGACAACGACATTGACAGCCAATGCGTACCATAGAAACAGACGCATATTGTATGATCGATGATGAACTTGATGATTGTGTTTGGGAGATGAAAAATTGTTGCTGAAATGTGTAGAATGCTGATAGTTCTTTGGAATGAATAAAACTAAATGGTTCTTCTCGATGGGCTCGGGCAGACCACGCTCAGCCTTATATATTACGATTGGGACCCAACTTAATACCCTCTGGCAGATCGTCACTATTACTATGTGCGTCGCTAAGAATCGCCGCACTCAAACACCGAGGCATCGCTGAGAGTACACGCACCGAACTTCCCTTTCCGTCCTTCCGTTTGTATATAATTAGTATGCAACTGTGGGCGTGTATCCACGAGATCCAGTGGCGATGTATATTTTCGTGCCCCCCAACCAACCACCTGAAACACACTAGCTGTTGCTATTAGGTAGTGTACCCGCAGGAGACAGACAAGGCCTATGTGTCAGTGTGTGTAGATCAAGTGGCGTCCGGTTGGTATTACCTACCTAGGAAATATATCTCTTCTAATTGGTTCCTGGAGTTTGTTTGTTTGTTTGTTTGTTTGTTTTGTATTTAACGTGGGGGGTAGCTCCTCAGTAGTGCAGACCACGCCTCCCAGAGCCTCTGCATCGCAGGGTTGTGGAGGTCTCAAGAAAATAAGTACAGTCAGTCCCGCTCACGGGCCCATCCCCGTTGTTGCGGCGGTATGACCTTGGGGTCATCCATCTGGTCCTTCAAGAACAGCTATCTATCGGAGACAGATTGTTGAAAAGAACTTGCTCTTCTCCACGAATTTTGCCCATTCTGTGCTCCTCTCCCCTAAGTATTATAAACAGGCTGTTCTAGGCGAGTACCTAGACAATAACCGATTTTTTCCTAGCCTCTTACAAAAGAAAATATGTTGTGGTGTTTTCTTTTCACCACAGCTGCAGTGGTTGTTCGAGTCTGTATGCCCAAAGCGTTCGTGGTATCTGGCAAAGTCGCCATGTCCAGATCTGGCCGCTAGAAGTCTGTGTAGAGTGCTCCTCTTAAAGGATATAAGGCCTCTTTCAGTTACTGCATGTGAGTATACTTCTTGATATCTAGGTTCTGATTGGTCTTTTCACCATTGGTTGAACTCTTTCTTGCCCTTTCTCTTGAGATCTCTCTTGACCCAAGAGATTGTAGGAAGGTTTGTCGTGTCTGTTTCTAGCATAGCACCCTCTTTTGCTAATATATCGGCAGCTTCGTTACCATCAATATCTCTGTGTCCAGGAATCCACTTGACGGTCACTCCAGGAGTGTGTGCTGTGGCGAGTTCTTGGAATCGCAGAAAAATTTTCTGTGATGTCTCGGGTGGAGTCCCATTGAGCAATTGGTTCCTGGAGCTTGGTTGTCTGTTGTCGGTTGTCGGCCTACCTGTATGGCGTAACATGACCCACATGTTCAGGATGGACATCTGTAGATCGACACCAGTATAGTTTTTATACTAGGTAGACCCTCCATGATTCCCCAGTTCCACCTTACCGACGTCGATGGGGAAAGGAGCGGTAGACACACTAAAAAATAGGAAAGAGCGAGTGGTACTCAGTGCAGTATGCATCAAGGTGCGTGGGCGACGGCGTCGAACCTTAGTCTGCGGTCCCTGATGGCATGGTATACTTATTAGGCACTGAGGATAATAATATGATGCAATGCCAAATTACAGAGCAATCAGCCAAAGGCCGGATAAAGGGTGTTCTTGTCTCTGTCGAGCGATTATGCCACAGGAAAACAAAGCAATTACTCTTGGACGCCTTTGGGGCGACGAACAGATGGTTCCTCATCAGAACCCTGCCTTCCTGGTAAGAGTATGTGAAGAGATCACCAGATGGGCGAGACTGCCTCAGCGCCAATACTCGGAGGATTGATAACGCGATGCTTTCTTGGTCCGCACCAGCTCAATCTGCCCTTCCCAGTGATCAGCTGTACCCCTTTTCCGGAAACGATACTCCTTGATCGCAGCAGCTACATCCCGAAATGGAGCAGGTCCGGCTCTCTTCACGGCTGCTTGGACATCCCGAGGGAGTATCATTGCATCCCAAGCCGCGTAGAATATGTATGATAAGGGAGGGACCCCGGCGGCGACGTGATTCGGCGTCGCAGGTCCAACGTTGCTGCAAAGTTTCTGATCTTGCAGATTCCACATGTATTCGTTGAGTGCAGCACTTGATCCGATCGTACCAGATCCAATCCACACCGGGATCGAGTACATGTTACCAGTCCAAGATTCTGACAGCTCCGGTTGATAATTGAGGTATTCAGACTGCGTATCCGTGTAGGGAAAGGACTTGAGACGGCCTGAAGTCCAGTGTGAATAAGGAGCGAGCCCCCCGGGCCCGGCAACCGCACTCGCTCGGGTTGTACTTTTGGACCGAGAGGAAATGCCCCTTGACTCGTCTTCAAAGAAGCTGAATGTATCGTTGCTGAAGTCTTCGTCCCCAGGATCAAGGAGCTTGTCGAAGTCGACATCTCGCCCTGTAGACGAATCGACAGAATCATCGGTAAAATCTGGTTCTATCTCAAGTCGGAGGTGGCGAAGACCCTTGAGGACAGATGGACCCCGTCCGGTGGATATGGTGGCTGCTTGCTTGATGGCCTTCTGTTGGGCAGATACAAGGTCTAGAAACCCAGTCAACTGTTCGATGATAGCACCTCTGGATCGTGCGGGGATATGGGTCAGTGTTAGGGAGCTGATACGGGGGTTCATATCGGGTTCAAAGCCTTGAGGGTATGCACGACGGATGTTTTTGAATAGGGGTCCCTCTGCTAGCCTTGAAGTTGAAGCTAAAGATTGTCCCTCGATGGCAATTGTTGGCACTCGGGTTACGAGAGAGTGGTGAACCTCCAGAGACCGAAGATTTGATGATACGACGGGTCGAAACAGATGGGCTGAGCCCAATAAGCCTGTAACACGAGTTCTCCCAGGAGCCGGGACGTGAAAACACGAGTCACATTCAAAATGCTCGAGCCTCCCTGATGAATTTCGAAGTAGTCTTTCCACTCCGAGCGTAGTAACCCGGTTTCCACCCAAATAGAGATGTGTGATTCCACCTTTTGCAATGCGTATATCGCCGTGATAGGATGCCATCAATGGACCCGTGGCACCAGCTGTAGCATCATCCAGTAGTAATTGCTTGAAGGCTTTGGCATCATCCCGTTTCAGGGGACCTAGTCCGTTGGAGCGGATGACTTGCCATTCTTGAAGTTCAGTCTGATCGGCCCGCTGAGAGTACAGCGGGGAATCCGCAAAATACCTCTCTGGGTGGTTGAAGTAAAGACTGTGCTCTGATTCCTCGATGAACTCGAAAGGCCCGCAACTCCGACTGCCAATATTCCTTGGCAGTGTCAACTTCCCCTCCCTTTCAAAATGCGCATCTGTGTGGAAGGATAAAGACGAAAAGCAGTGCTCCACAATGTCGTCAATGATCCTATCCGTAAGTTTATTGTTACTTAGATCGAGGCTCCATAGCTGACGACCGAATGTGAGGAATAGTAAGCTGGCGGTAGCATCATCCATTTCACGCCCCCTTGCTTTGAAGACGCGGAGTTCTGGGAGTAGCCTCGGGTTCAGTGTCGATTGGATAGCAGTCTTGAGTGATCCAGGAACGTAGGAAACATCTAGGTACACCAGGTCTCTGAAGAAAGCCGGGTTGAACAGCTTTGGCGTCAGCTCCTGACGGCAGTTGGCTAGGTCAAGCAACTCAAGTGAATGCGCTGAGAGGCTATTCGTGGCTAGAGAACCGGGGTCCAGTTCAGGATGACCATCCAGTAGCAGACAGTTCAACTTTGGGAAGTCATGTGGTATAGTTCGAAAGCTGTTTGAGATAGCCCGCTCGCTAGCTTCAGTGGAGTAGAGACCGGATGCTCTTAAGGCGAAGTCACGAAAGTCCAAGGAGCGGACCATCGAACGGGTTTCGAGCCGCGCGGACTGGATGTGCTTGTTTATGAAGCGACGGTACCAGGTGAGGTCTGTCAGTCGTCAGTTGAGACGGACAGCTGTTGTAAGACGTCCAGGTCGGGCTCTGGGTCCTTACCATCATTGGGATGCAGCCCGAGCTGTCTTATGACCACCAAGGGATCCTGCCAAAGCCGAGGATTAAATTGACGATAGAACCGACGGTCCACAAGGCAGCATGTTTGCCAGCATCCCACTGGTATGAAAGAGGCAACCAGGGATAGCCAGTCCGGACTGGTAGTGGCTTCGTGGTACGATGGAAGGCCGTCCATGTCGATGACCGCTTTCGAGCAGGTGCAGGTAGCGCATATGGAGAAAACGGTCCGGTCGTTGCGCACAGCTCATCTTCTCTACCAGATGGACCAATATCGGTATTGATCGGGTTTGATTCGGGGTTGAAGAGGACGACGAGTAATTGTTTTCGGATGAAAAGGGTGCGATGCATGTGATGAGTCCTGTCAGAGGAAGTCAATGAGGCGGATGTCACGAGGCACTTCTGTGGCTCTTCAACCCCATTTCCAGCCACAATGACGGATGGGTCACGGGCCAGGGTACAAGGTACCTTGGAGCCCAACTGGTACCCGTTTGTACCAGATTCGTACCCAACTGGGATGATAGCTACTTCTAGGATGGGGACACTACCCATCCTTTCTTTCAATTAAGCAACTTCCAGAATCCAGACCAGTAGCCACCATTCGTGACCTTGGTCCTGATCCTGGAACCGCTACCCACAAGGCACACTTCAACCTGCACCGCCACATCTCGTCTGCATGGTGTTTGCGGTATAGCAATATCGCAATAATGAAAGACAACCCCTTTCTACCTGCCTTTTGTTACGTGAGCAGTCCAATTCGCAGTTTAGAGGTTAATAAGGGTTAAGTGCTGGATCCAGGCTTGATACCTTCAAGAATTACTTGATCCTACCGCACCTCTGGGAGGCTTCATACTATGGAATGAGTTCAACAACTTCAAATCGTCTTTCTGGAGTTGCTGGCGTGGAATCGGCCAGGACTCATGACGAAGGTATAGGCTGGTCAAGTAAGGACTGCGAGAACCAGAAAAGGGAGAAGAAGGAGAGTAATGGCGAGCACTAGAGTCTCTTGGGCCTAGTTGGTCTGAGATACTATTGCACCTCCAGCGTGATCTTCGTCCCAACCGGTGCTCTTCCTGTGTTTTGCGCTGTTGCGCAAAACGTGGGGGGCTATTGCGGCGCATTCGCCAATCAATGGCGCAGCCAACACGTCGGTGTCTCGCATGCTTATGATTGCTCAATTGATACAGTCTTCTGCATGTACGATGACCGGGTGCCGCGCGCGAGGACGTTGGTGGACATGGTGATTGTGCGCTGCTTCGATTTCGCGAAATTGCCCGGTATCGCGACACCGAGGTGAAGACTCGTTCTGGGGGCAGCCTCCTGTGACGTGATAACACATGAGATAATACTATTCCGAGGCTGGTTTCTAGTCTCTGACGTCTTGCGTGAACCTGGGATGCGGTCGGCGCGGATGCGACGACGGGTTTCGCGAGCAGAGCCTCATCCATGACGGCGCGCTTCGGCGTGCTGTATCAAGATTGACGATGTATAAAGGTTGATGATGCTTTGGTCCGTGGAGAGTCTCTCGAGAGAAACCCTAAGTAAAACAATTGAGACCATCCACCAGCAGATAGAAGACTGCTTCTTCGCACGAATCACTTTTACAAGCACCCAGTCGCCCACCCACCTCCAAGGCCCCCAGACCATCTCTGCAGCAAGATCCCACAATCTTCACCATATTCAGGCGAAGACAGACATCGATCCAAAAATGTCGCGTATCTCTCAACCCCTGAAGAAGCCCTCCGCTCACAGGTAAACAAGCCAATCTGTCCAGGTCAACAGGGGCTAACACATCGAGCAGAACCCAGTCAGAGATGCTGAAGGACTACCTCGCCAGCGGCCCCAACGTGACAGAGAGACTCGTCCACAGCGACATCTTGCCACAGAGGACAATGGAGGAACGGCTCAGGCAGAAAGCAGACGACGTAGCTGATCTGGTGAAGCAAAGCAGGGGTGCCAGTGGCGGGTCGTTACGCTCGGCGTAAAGGGGGGAGGTATTGAATGGTAATGAGATTGGAGGCACGTCTTGTTCTTTCCACGTGTATGATAATGCGTCTATATTGGAAGGACGCAGAGTGAAAGGACGGAGTACTGAGCGCGGAGTCGAGGTTGATATATGCAGAGGTCTGGAGTTACGCGAGACCTCACCGCCTCCGGGGTTGGTTCACCGTCTCGCTCGTGCGTCGTCGCATACGAGCCAAGAACTCCTAGGAAGAATTCTCAGTACGAATTCTATCAAAATAATCGTTCTGTCGAATGCCAAGGAGACATAGTGGTACAAAGAGTGCAATATGGGCGGTAATTGGTGGCGGTGTGTTGACATGGGCCATCGTATCGAGATACCAGGGCCCGAGGGCGAAGATGATTGAAAACTGACTTGCCCAATTTCTTAAGGTAAAAGCGGGAGAGGAAACGATGATGACGGCGTCAGGAGATCGTTGATCGGAAAGGGTGAGAATGTGTCCTATACCGAGCAATCCGATGTGTATATCATGAAGCATCATGATGCACTACGTGAGCCACCGGATCATGGAATTAGGGAACACACACTCACATTCAAAAGAGAATGCACAGCAGGCATGTGTCACGTTACATATCCAGGGACCAGAAGGTGTCTGCAAGTCATTGTTTATGAATCTTCAGACATTGGCTTGATTTGCCAGATGCTCGAGTGACAAGACTGTTCCAAGGTTGCCAGTCTACTCTGCATCGATTGATAATGTACAGAGTGGGTTGTCACCCACGATCAAGAGCGTAAATACCACGTCTTCTGTGGCAGTAACGCATGAACAGCAGAATCCAGCTGCCAATGCCACTTCGCGAAATACCGTTGCCGATCAGCCTTCCGTTGTATCCATTGTTGAATGCAACGAAGCACCCGTTGCCTTCGTCTTGGCAGCTGCTATTCGTTCGGCTTTCCAAGCCTCTATCCGTGCCCTCAGGTCATCTGCAGGTACGACGTCATCGATGCTCATCGGGGCTCGTGTGAAAGGATCTAGAGGGTTTGAAAGCAATTGCTGGACGATAGTGGATCGGTCAACAATGTTCTGAGACGGTAGAATGACGGGGTCATTCATCAACTCTCCCATGAGAGGATCCTCAAACTCGTCCGGTATGTCACCTAGGTCAAGCTCGGCCTGGTCTAGGCGTTGCTTCGCTTCCGCAACCTGCTTTCTCAGCGAGTCCCACGCAGCGACTACTTCGGGCGCTTTGTGCAGACTGTTCTTGAGCAGCCGAGCTGCGGCTTCAAAGTTCGTCGGCTTGTACGAACGACCATCCGAAGCAACAGCATCGATAAAGGTCGCTTTCGAGCTCAGGTTGATATAGACGTCAATGAAGTCTGATAGCAACGTCTTCGGGTCGAAGTGATACTTCTTGGCATCCTCCACCTTCAACTGGCCTCGTTTCGGACCCACCAGGGTCTCGAGGTTGTAGTTGAGCATGCCTGCCAGTCGTACTACAATCTCTGGCATGGTGAAAGGGTCACGGAGCGTGTCTGTGAATAGTTTCATCATCCCCATGGTGTCGTTAACCAGCTGCATCCAAGATTGGCACTGGCTTTCTGCTTGTTCCATATCCGTTCTGGCCTTTTCTCGATCTTCGGGGGACAGCGCGGGATCCTGTAATTGTTTCTGATAGTCATGTATCTTCACGAGCTTCGTCAGGGCCTCGTCTAGAAGGTATGTAGCATCGTTCAGTAGCAAGTTGACAAATTGCACGAAAAATTGTCGATTGACCCTAAGCATGTTAGGAATGTAGCAAAACTGATCTCAATTAGTAACGTACCTGCTTTCTTTACTGAGATTATCCCGGTAGACATCGTTCGGCCAGATCGCCTTGATGACCTGGAAGATCTCATAGCGGATGTTGAATTTGTCGTAGAACGCTGAGCTGACTCCGCTATGCTCACATTCTGGGCTAATCAGTATATTTTAGCCACACAAGTAGTATCAAAAACATACCGATGTAAAACTTCATGAGTGAATGCAACAAGTGCTTGTTGGCAAAGTCCGACCCCATCAATGATTCGCCAAACACACCGCGGCTGAGATGATATATGGGCCATGTGCCAGAAAAGAGGAGTGTGACGAGCGAAGACTTGAGATACGGGTTCTTGATATATTCCGAGGACCTCAAGAATGTGATGCATAGGGCGATGAGCTCATCCCCTACGGCTGACACGAGGATATCCGGGACATATCTAGGAGAGTAAGCACAAGCTCAGGCCGCAGGTGATCCGCGAATACGTACCTGAAAACGAACTTGAAGTTCTCTACGATATCTTGAAGAGCATACTCGGGCAGACAGCTGAAAGATGCAGGTTGGTTAGCCGGAAGCGGGAGGCTAATCGGCTTGCCGGGGGCATAGTCCGTTTGAGTAGCAACTCTGAGAAGCCAGACAGCGACGTGGCGCATGAACATTAAAGATGTTGCCTGTATGCCCTGGTCTGTCACCACTCCTTGAATTGCATACTTCAAGGCAATGTACTTCTCGACGGTGTTAACGGCGGTTTGGACTTCCCGCTTGGCCATGGCCAGGCGAAGTGGATCCTATTCTAGTCAGCATGGATGAGCATGTTCGATCGTCAATATATCAGCTTACGTTCTGCAGTTTGGGCAGTTCATCCTCCATCTGCTTGATGACCTTCTCAACATACTTGATGTCTTTATCGAGGTCCTTGAGCTTCGCTTGAGTTGCACCCAAGCCGTAGTGGTGAGCGGCCAGCGTCAGGAAGAAGATGTCGTTGACAAAGTTGGTCTCGCCGTTTAATCGGACGTTATAGAATGCATCTGCAGTAGCTTGATCGGCATTTACCTTGGTCTCATCGCTCATGTTCACCCGCGGATCTCGCTGGAGGTAGCCGATGTCCACTTTGTGAATCTTGGAGAAAGTGGTGTCCATGATAGGTTGGAAGAGCTGGTCCAAAATAACTGTCACGTTGACCATGAAACCGTCCGAGGCAACGTCTGCGGACTTGACTTGTAAAGCACGCCTCTTGTGATTGGCATTCATGGTATACGCAAACCAATTGAGTAAGTGGTTCCTGGATTCCTTGCTGGCCTTCGCGAAAGCGGTGGCGATGCTCGTCAAATCGCCCTGGTGAGCTTTCAGCGTCATCTGTAGGGAAGTCTGGGAAGATCTGACATGGCCCTTGTCAATAGTCCGGGGGCTGGAGAAGTACGTCTTCGTCACTTCGGTCTGCAGGGGCGAGATCCTGAAGAAAGGCCCCAAAATGGTTTGGTTCTCGCTTGCCAACGCCATTTGCTCTCTTGTCATGCCTGGAGTCTGCTGCACTTGAAAGCAAGGATGTTCCGCGAGGGCATCAAGGAGCACCGGATATCTCGAGTACGTGACCAAACACTACAATCGTCAGCGGTGCCCTGCGTTCAGGGGGTCAATATGATCTCACATTGACTAGAGGTTTGTAGTCATCGTTCATGGTCAGACTGGCCAGTCTTTGACTGATTTGGACCATGGACTCGGTGAAGATTGAAGCAATGGAGTCATCTTCCTTCATACGCGACACTGCTTCCGAGAAGAAATCTAGGCACACGCTATCTTCGTTGTCGTGGTTGCGAAGGAGGTAGGGCACCAGCGTATCGTGGGACGGGTTGGGGTCCCGGCTGTTGGTCATTAGCACGTGGCACGAAAGAAGCCAGGAACCAGCACCAGGTGACATACCCAAAGTACTCCGGCATTGTGAGTGCAAAAATGCAGTTGCTCATGCACAACCGTTTGGCCTCGTGCAATATTGCCTCCTTCTCTTCAGTTGGACGTCTTGATGGTTTGTTCGCTCGCATCACCCGTTTCCAGCAGGGCAGTAGGTAACCCATGAGCGCCTTGGTTTCCGGCACATATCTAGATGCCTCGAGTATGGCCGAGTCAATAGTGGAAGCGGTGAGTTTGACTGGATCGCCCGACTGTTCCAGCTCTGATTTCAGGTCGGGTAAGTAGGTCAGTCTGGCACCCTGGCTATTGACTGTATGGTGCTCTTCCAGTGTGACTTGAAAGATGTCCCCCAGTACTCTGTTCGACCAATCCTCGAGTCGCTCTTCCTTCGCGATGTTGATCTTCTTGGACGGAGGTGCTGCTGCTCGCGGTGTGTCAACAGCCGCTGCTGGTCTCTTGAGGTTGCGACTGTTACCTGAATCGCCAGACATGTTACTTCCGGATGTCGACTTCTTCCTACTTCCCAACTGTGTGAAGTGGTTACCGGCCGAGGGCTTGTTTGCCGAGGCGGGCGCAGGTGTGATGGTTATCTTGCGGTTCGGGGTCTGGCTTCGGGAAGCATTCTCTGGGTTTGGCGAACTCGCTTTCGAGGGTTCGGCCGAGGGTGATGAGGTGGAGGGCTCGGAGGTGGTGTTACTGTCGGCAGATCTGGAGCTCGAAGAAGCGGCGGTCATATTTGCCAGCTTCGCCAGACGCCGTTGGCGCATCTACAATAGAAGTCAGCGCGAGGAATATCCAGAGGCCTGACTGATCCGTGTCACCTACCTGCTCTGCCGGCGGCAGCGTCGGCTCTGGCTGCTGCTCGTTCGTATCCATGATGGCTGACTGTGACTGCGTGACTGTGAAAGGCGATCTGATGGTTAATGAGATTAATGATTAATCCGAGGTGCCTCGAGGTTAACAAGGCTGGGTGAAGGTAAGCAGCTGCAGTATCGGAGTTTAGCTGCGGATGGACGTAAATGGAATTCACCATTGAAGTATGACACACCAGGCTCCAGTTATCAGTAATCGGTTATCGCCAGCGGCCGGCCTGCCCCTCCGCGGGGAAATAGCTGAGGTACCTAGGTAGACGAGAGCTCAGGCCAGCGGGGGATCTTCTCCCGAGGTTTTGCCCAGGCACGTGCTTGGCTCGTTGACACTGTCTGAAATACCCACTATCTTCTACCAACGTTCGAAGGTATGAATTCTTTCCAGAGCTGAGGTCCTCAAGGAACAACCGCGTTGGTCCGATATAGTAGGGCTTGTAGCGCAGTAAGTCTTTGAATGCTAACAGAGTGACTTACTAATGCGAACAGAGCTGTTGATATACCATTTTATGACGCTTCCCGTTGCGCTCTATGGCGTATGTGCTTTAGCTCACTCTCACGGCTATTTGCGATTCGGTAAACCACACATCGGATCACAGGTCGCTATCATATAGGCGAACAGTCTAGGGAGTCACCTCAAAGTCCAGAACCGATGAGAATCTTCTCCTTGAGATAAAGGAGAAGAAGCTGTGGCAAGCAGACTAAATAAACCGCCCGTAAATGCCATAGAAAGCATTCTTTACAGGACGAGAGCTTTGAAGTATCTAAAGGAACTTGGGGGAGATGTCAAAGCTCTCTTGAGCACCTTCTGATCTAACATGGAACCCTGGAAACAGCTGAGGCTTGTATTGCATTTGGCTTGGCTCTGCTATTTGTTCATTGAAAGCCAGATCTGTCAGGAATCCATACCTGGGGCTCGTTCCAGAGCGCAAACTTCCAAGCAAAACAGCAACCTTCCTACCTCTCCTACCTTACCTTAGGTTTTCTGCCTGGCCTCAAGATGTCCAGCGGAGCAGCCATAGTACTCTGTATAGCCACAGTGGCTGACGAGGCGGCGCCGGGACAGGTCCGGACATACTGGACTTGGAACTGAACTTGAAAGTTATCAGCCTGGCTATAGCAATGTACAGGTCGACCATCTTGTAACTGCCCGACTAAAACGCGCCTCAACCTTCCACCTGGTGTTGGTGTGCTTGACACTCCAACCCCGATCGTTCGCGGCGTGTCGTCTACGGCGAGTCGCCCTCGATCAAGTTCACAGACCGAGGTCGATCACAAAGGATAGGTGCTCGAGGGCCAAAAGACGATATCGACTTTAACAAGCCGGACATGGCAGTACCTCTCTTTCCGGACGGCCAAGCATCCGACGGCATTCTATAAACATCTGCTCTGGTACCAAAAGAACCGCGCGCTCCGATTACGATATGCCAACGTGGTCGGCAGGAGACGGATTTATTTGTCATGTTCTTATAGACTGCCATATCGCCTTCGGGCTGTAAGGGCTCTGGATTCCGATTCGACCCGCTCAGCATACACCCAGGTCTACGTCATTCCAGCACGGCTGGCCACAACTTTGGGACAGACCAAGGTCCAAGGAGGCTTCATGCACCGACATGTATGATCGGAAGTGGTTGGACGTTGGAGTGTGGATACAATGTCTTTCTGCCTGAGATTATCTTCGGTGGTGTTACGCTGCTATCCGCGCCTGGTTCTTTCCGAGCCCCACTTCGGGAAGCGATCTTGACTTGCAAGAGACCAATCGCCACCAATGCCACGCAGCCCTTTACTCAGCTCAGCAAGAGCGCCAGGGGCCTTTCCACGTGCATTCTAGCCAGGTCGAAAACTGCAGCCAACGATATCGTGCTGATGATATTAATACTTGCTGCAGGGCTGATCACCAGCACCCGGGTGACTGGTCAGCTATCTGACACGGGGTGTCATGCAGATCTCCCCCAAGTGCGGTTGGGGGTCGCCGACCACCTACCAGTTCGCATTGGTGCTATCTGGGTAGAGGGAGGTGACGGGCGTCTAGGTACACGAAGTCCATGCCATCGAGGAGCTCTCATGGAAAAGAGCCGACTTGACCTGCCGAGACCCAGACTCATCCGTTTTGGACTTTCACGGTCCACAACGGCACCTCGTGTTGACGCTCATTATGCGTAAACTTGTGTGTATGTTGTGTGCGATCCCAGCGGCTTGGCTTCACCCTCCGACTTTCAGCCCGGAGCAGCAAAATTGCAAGCTGCAAGAACAACGATTGAAATGGTGGGTGCTGAAGGCGCAGAGTCCGGTATCGCCTTGTCAATTCAGCTTTGTGGCTAATTTCTTACCAATCCTGACTATACAGTCTTTCTTCTAAATGCGATGCGCCCGGCAGCTGGATTTCCGAATCACAACTCCGTCTGATCACCGATGACTGATGACTGATCACTGGTCACTGGTCACAAAATCAGTTCCCAAATGGACACCCTGCCGAACCAATGTCATACTTCACTGTGCTTCAGGTATATGGACGCAAACATCCCTTCAGAGTCTGCCAACAAGTGTCTCCTATTACCGCGAGCAAACAATCTCGAGCGTCTCCAGCTTATCTCACACGCTCATATCGTAGCACAACATGAACGACTGAGGCCCCCGGTCCCACAGGCCCTTGTGGCTGTTCGCGTACTTGAAGAAATAATTGGATGGGCACCGTCCCATTCTTGCTGTGCACAAGCTTCACCATCGCAGCAGAGTTCGTGTTAACCTTTGCGGGCCGCTCCTGCCGCCGTCTTACACACGCGAATAGATACTGAACCTCCCAGGAATGCATCAACGAGCCTCCAGACTATAAGATCATCGCAACGCTAGTTCCCGTCTCATCACTGCAGCACGGAGTACGCGGCTATATTTCGGCCAGAGGCTCCTCTCAGCTTCTGAGCATCTCCCTCGCAGATGTGGTCGATTGGACCAGCCTCTTCACAACTCTTCATTTCCTTCAGTGAAGGTCCAGTCTCACCATTTTCTGTGTAGCCGGCAAGCGCAGCAGCCGAAGTGAATGCCCGGGACTTTCCACGGTAGGCTTGATACCTTTGTCTTCTACCGTCTTATTCGCCCCTTGGATCCGTCCATCACATCCTCAGTGCCGTCTTGGCCCGGCAATGTTCAATCCCTCGGGAGTCATCTCGGCCAGCACAGAACAGAGTCACTGCCTACATCCTGCAAGATTCCAACGTCAGGTTCATGACTCGAATCTTGGAACGCATACCTGCCTTTTAGCTCGACGGCCGTTCACATGGTGGCTATGGCGGCCATTACTTGATGGCCCTCTGCCACTCTTCGCTGCATCTGCCCAAGTTGTCAGACGGGTATCCGCAGTCTTCTGAAGCTTCCATTGGCGATGTTGTGTTCCCGCCACAGACTTCTCCATACGAGACCAATTTTCGTCAGGGACGGAAAGTTGCAGGAGCCGTGTAACACACCTGGTCTGGCCTGTGCTGGCTACCTGGTCGCTATCTGGATCTCCGCGATCCAAATTGCGTGATCCCCCAATTCTCCCTTCTCCAAGCACACGGCAATGTGTCGTGTGAAGCGTCATAGCCTCATCTGGTAGCGCAGGCCTTGGGGAGGCTGAGGGGAGGGTATATATGCACCCGCACGGCGGACATCTTGCTGCATGGCCGATAGATAAGACTGATGCTGGCTTGTCGCTTCCTGGGAGTAGTGTCTCTCATATTGGTCTCTCCAAGCCATACGGAGATTTCGAGGTCGTCCACATTCGTTTAAGCATCCTCACCGCTTTAGTCCTTTCGATTTTGGCTTATACCCAAAACATGCCTCTCGTTCCTTGTCTCTATTTACCTCATTTAAATATATATCTATGATAGACAAGTCTCGGCCTCAGACCCTTACCATGGATTGTCAAGGGGCAAGCATTTCTAGCGACAACTGCATCAATATCACAGAACCCCTTAATCATGGACGGAAAGAGGACAGTCCCGAACAGGTCAATTCGAGAGATCCGGCAACATGTTTGGAAGAATGCCAGACAGAAATCATTGATGTCCCTTTCCAAAGCCTCGGAGATGCTTGTCGCCACTTGCAACGTTATGACGGCCCCCTCTTGGAACTATACTGCTGCGACGCAAAGTGTGGCGTTTGGATTGATGCAGTTGGACAAAGTCGTAAGTAACGACGTCGGCCATCAGGCAAGACGCATGAACCAGGCTTCGTTGACAATGTTCCTCAGCTAATGTCGACCTAATCATTAATAAATGCCAAAAGTAAGCATTAGGTCTTCACTCACTCTTATGCAAACATTAACAAATACTAGTAACGACTACTACTCCATCTCCGACCCTGGGCCTGGGTCAACTTGTCCCCCTGAGCGAGGGAATAACGCACCAGGTCTTCCACCTGGCCCGACAAATACCCAGGGTTCAGAATCACGCGCAAGTATTGAAGCTTCAATAGCGACCACTGCGACTATTGCGAGTACTGTACCGCCAGCATCTACGAGTGCCGTATCGCGATCATCTACGTCTGCCGTACCGCGATCATCTACGTCTGCCGTACCGCGAGCATCTTTGTCTTCCAGCCCTTCGTTACCATCTACACACAACCCATCTAATTCGACCTCGAGTGCCGCCCATTTCACCGCCACGTCAACCGGCCTGACAGAAGGGGGTAAGGCGGCCATAGGTATATGCTCAGTCCTCGTGATAATATCAATAATTGCCCTTCTGGGATTCCTTGCCCGTCGCCGAAGGGAAGGCTCGAGGAGTTATGTCGGTACCGTAGCTCACCACAATCGTTCATTTTCTGAACCTCCTAGCGGCTCTCGCACGCCTCTGATATCTCCGCCACCCACTGGATCATCGAGGAACCTCAGCTTAACACCACCTGCGCGGTTGAGTGATCGCAGGTTTCTCCACTCGATGCGAATGTCACGCTCATCACCGAGTCCAGGCGGGGACGACCTGGCCTCCCCGGCGTCTCCTATATACGCACCTACCCATAGCAGACTTGTGCCCCGGCACGAGCGCCGGGTGACCACAAGCAGCATCAAATTCCCGCTTTCAGCACCGCCCCCGACAGCGACGCACTACTACGCGCGGAGCAGCGTCTACTCCCTCAGCAGTGGCCCCGGCACATCGACCATCACATTCGCTTCGCACAAGGCCAGCTCCATCAACTCGGGCACCGCAACAGTAGCCGGCACAAGCACACCACCCCTATCACCCACGCGCCCGCCACGTCCGCATGATGGACCGCTCGAGATCCCAGATCTGGTAAAGCCCGCTGGGCCCCCACCAAATCGCGCACTCCCGCCACCGCCGCCCAACCACCCGAATTCACCCACCTTCTCCGTGTCTCCCGTCTCGCCACTATCACCCACCTTCTCCCCGCGACCCCTCGCCCTCGGCGGCGGCAGCAGCCCGGCCATCAGCGCCGTCGCCATCCCTCCACCCGGCCGGCACGACCATGACAGCATCAACAGCAACAACACCACTAATACCAAAAGCAGACACCACCACTCACACCACCAGCATCACCAACACCATCACGACCCTGCCGCCATCGGCATAGCCCTCTCGGCCTCGACGTCCACAAAGGAACTCTGTGATCTTACCGAGTCGTACGCGCGCGAGACGCGCGAGAGCTGGGGCAGCTGGAGCGGGGCCGGCGGAGGCGGGCCGGGCACGAACCCGGCGGCCCCCAAGAGGGGGAGTAATAGCCCGCGGGGCTCGGCGGATAGGAAGGGTGGTGGTGGTGGTGGTGGTGGTGGTGGCTCGTCTGTTGCGCTCCAGGAGTTGGACCTGGAGAAGCTTGGGGGACGGTATTGATGGGGCTTGGGTTGTAAGTTGAGATTCAAAGGGTGGAGGGGAGTGGGTGTTGGTATGGCAAAAGGTAAAGGGTAGAGAGGGGTTGGGGTATAGGTGTATGGGGCATCCTTTAGACGGCGGCTGTATGTTTGTCAAGATAGCTGGCTATCTCCTTGCTGGTGTATAGGTGACGGGGAATGGGGTTGTAGTGTAGGGATATGTGAGGGAAGATGACTGGGGTCAATGTAATTGCTAGTAGGGCATGTAGTCAGCAGTCAATACATCCTAGACATACAGATGTCGGGGATGGTAAAGGTTAGCGTCTCCATATGATGGGTCCGTACTTCGCCTGCTAGATATGCGCAGATATACATGGTAATCAACAAAATCTCAGAGTGATGTAGAGATGGTCACTTCCCATTATGTTATAGCGTGCGAATTACCATCACATACGGACCCAGAGCCCCCTGGTATATGGAGACGCTAACCTTTACCATCCCCGACATCTATAGTCAAAACAGAAAGGGACTGGAAGGGACTGGAAGGGACTGGCCAGTGATGTTGTAGATACACACTGAAGCCAACACAACGCCGGCGTGAGGTCAACCTGAAGCGACAATGCCGAAGTGGATTGTTGTTGGTGATGTGACAGGTCATGTGTAATGGTCAGACAGTCAACATGCACGTCACAACCCACCAGTAGCATTGCTCAATCTCACCAGACAGCGTGCATGTAAGCGGCATATCACACGTGCTCGTAAGCAAGGGATAGGTATCGTCCCATTCTTATTCTGACTACTGCACACAAGAGACCTTACTCTATTCTAACCTCCTATCGTGTTTCGTCGTGATCATGATCTTTCATTCAATCGTTCAAGCACCAACCTCCTGCAGGCTCTTAACCGTGTCCACCGCGCTCTTCTCGATGGGGGTCCAGTCGATGCCTAGCACCTTGGTCGCCCGCAAGTTATCATACCCGTAAACGCCCTCAGGCAGTTCGCCACCTTTGACGCTTTCGTCGGGCAGCTTGTCGGCCAGGTCCGGCAGGCCCTTGCGGACGGCGGTCACGAGGTCGCGGTTGGAGAAGTGGCCCGCCGTGGTCAGGAAGCGCTTGCCGCCGGCCTCGGGCTTCTCCATGGCGTTGACGTGGGCGAGCGCGACATCGCGCACGTCGACCCAGAGGAACACGCCCGTGGGCGGTATCTCCTTCTTCCACTCGCCGCGGATGAGCTGCACGAAACGCTCGTTGCTCGTGTTGATGGCGGCGAGCGAGTTGAGGTGGTGCACGACGGGGCCGAAGACCATGGGCGGGCAGATGGTGGCCAGGTCGAAGTTCGGCTTCTCGTTGGCGACAAAGTCCCAGCCAGCCTTCTCGGCGTACTTCTTCGACACGCGGTAGGCGGTCGGCTTGGGCCCGTTGAGCCCGTCCTCATACGTGCTCGGGTTCCAATCGGCCTCGCTGAACACAGTCGTCTTGTCCTCGAGCCCGGACTGCGAGAGGATGGCGGCGAAGGACGAGGTGATGACAACGCGCTTGACGCCCGGCGCGAACTTCTTGACGGCCTCGAGGACGGATGTGGTGCCCTTGATGGCCGGGTCGAGGAGTTCTGTTTTGGCGTCGCTCCATTTGAAGTGGAAAGGAGAGGCTGTGTGTTGGACGTACTCCAGACCCGGTGTCTGCATCACTTCGTCGAAAGCGCCCGGTTGCGCAATGTCGGGCACGATGACGACGGTGAGCTTGGCATTGGGGTGCGCATCACGGATCTTGGAGGCCTTGTCTTCGGATCGTACCGTCGTTACGACTTCGTGGCCTCTCTTGAGGAGGAGCTCGAGGACGTGGGCTGCGGTATTTGGTCAGCTACGGTAGCCGTGTCAAGGTAAAGGGACATACCGGCAATGAAGCCTGAGCCACCTGTTGGTCCGCGATGTTCAGTCAGCGTGTTGATCTCAAGGTCGGCATTGTTCTACATGGCGATAGAAGGTAGCTGTCTAACTACCCAAGGCCAAGTGGGCGGCGGGGTAATGCAGTATTCACGAACCTGTGAGAAGTACTTTGGGCATGATCGCAGCTTTGGATGTGGCGTTGAAGGGTCAATCGAACTTTGGCAGGGAGTTGACAAGCCTATGAAGGGGATATCGGGTATCAAGGTGTGTTTATATATGCTCAAGTTTTCTCTTCTTGCCCTCCACCTGGGCATGATTCACCCGATGGAAACGCGCCGCAGCGACCAGCCATCCCGCCATCGCGGGGTCGTCAACAATAACGTCACATCAATCATGACGGAGATCCATCTGTACAGCACTTTGGTATGTCGGTACAAAGAGTCCATGCATAATGCACGAGGCGTTTTGTGCCGGTCGCATAAATTCGCGCTCTTTTCGGCGTTAAGCCGGCGGATACACTCGGTCCTACCTTGACCATCCCCGGGCCCCCCTTTTCCGACTGCTGACTGATGAGTTGGAGGAGGCAACATCGGCTTTACTTCCTTGATGCAGGTGTTTCAAGCTAGACACTACTACAATCAGCAGTTATCAATCAACTTCGCCTCTTGAATACACATTTTTGAGATGGTCCGATCGGTGATAACTTATCTCCTGTAGATGACTGATTGAACATCGAGACGGCCGGAGCTGAAGACCATCGCGCTGGAATATGCCTCCTGCGAAGCAGATGGGAAGATAGATCTCTTCATCGGCCCTGTATATCTGGTTTGCGCCCTCCTCCATAGTCCTCCATGGAGTACATACCCGCTGACACAGATATTACAGTAGCGACAACGAAGCCGATCGCCACTTGAGCGACACTTCAACCTCCATGTTCCTTAGGTCAAGCTGATCTAATTGGAATGCCGGTGGTCTTCGAATTTGCCTTGCTGCTCATCGGTTCTATTTTTGCAGTCTTCGGCCGGACGAAGCATATGTCCATGTCCTTGTTGGCAAGGGGCGCCGGTCTGTGGAGCTGCTGGGTCCCGATGACGATGGAACATTATATCCGATTCACTCAAGTTGGTTACTGAATTCATATCCAAATGGAAGCTGATTTAGGTATGTGAGTGGCCCGTTGGAGTGGTACTCATTCTTTCGCAGTGGTGACAGTTGGTTGGGGTGTCTATCAACTCGACCAAGCTGGCGGTAATGGGTACCCAACACCCCGGGAAAGGGGCGCCCATGAAAGCAACGTGATGACCTAGGTAGCTTTTCTCCGTTGGGATTGTACATGCTCTTCATTCCAAATACATCGCCCATAGTGCGTGTGTTTAGCATGGCCGGCCATCCTTCTTCCATCACCATGTTGAGTACTCAGTGCGTTCCAAAAATGGATGTACGATACATTGTTCAAGAACTGATATGATGGGAGTGCTGACCTGGGTACGTCCGCAGCGAGTCGAAGAACATCAGATATACTTCCCTGTCTGACGAGAGTGTCTCTGAAACTATTTGAAAGAAGATGAAGCCGATGGAAGCCGTGTGAATTTTTATCAACATGATTGGCTCCCAGTTGTGTCAACCGGGAGTTGGTAGCCGAGGCCCTCCCAACCAGCACCCGCCGCAGTTCCGGGCCCGGCAGGGCAGGCTTACGAGCCCATCAGATTTTTGACTCATCACATTAACCATCCACAGGATCGCGGCCCAGAGCCGTCAGTAAAGAAGTCCTCCCTGTTGCCTTTATCCGGTGGCCCTGTTGGTCTGTTGGTGGGATATTTCGGGCCCAGGGACGTAAGGGGCCCCGACGGCACATATATCACGCTCACATCAGATTCACATGCCAATGCTTGAGCCAGGTTTAACGCAGCCCCTCACAGTTGGTTGTCTTCCATCCCAATCCGGCGTTTCCGACAGTTTCTAATACTGCTTCGACACAACATACCACACTCCACTCACCAACACAGGTTTGGTCGTCAACCGTCGATGGGCTCAATACCTCACAACATCATTCACGAACAAAGCGTCGTGCACTGGATCCGGCCATGTGATCCCAAAATTCCCCTGTGATGGCGTCGAGCCTTTGTAGGCATCATCATGGTTATGTCGCGGAGCCAACATTACAGCTCATCGACAAAGAAGAAGCTGATCGTCGACCAACCAACGGACTGTTCTGCTGTCAGGAGCTCGATACTCATCGTGATGTATGTAGGTATAAGAGGACACGTTCTTCAAGCTTCTTCCTTCTCGTTCAGCATCTGCCATCATCCTTCAGCGTCCACAAACCCTTGCACAGTTTACCTCGAACACACATCCTCCATACCTCGGACGAAAACGAGCGACGAATTCAAGACCTTGGTGAAGGAGTTTGGGGCGATTGAAGCAAGATATGATACTATCTTTGACAAAGAGCTTAAGTCAGACTTCGAGGACCACATTTCAGATGCAGAGGTTTGCAAGATTTACGTGGAGTCATTTCTCGATGTACCACCGCCGGACGCCCAGGACACCGAGAAGACCAAAGCGACCGAGTTCAAGGACACCCTCGGGGCTTGGATATCCATGGTGGAGGGTAAGGTAAAATAATTTGAGAAAGAGGCCGAGGAGGAGAGCAACAGGAAGACAGGCCGAAAAAGGGCGAAGAAGCCGGGCGTGGAGACGATCGATGAGGGATCATAGGATGAAGACGACGACGACGACGAATAAATATCAGAAAGCGGAAGGCGGTTCGACATCAACCACAACAGCCTTGGGTGATCGACACCACACATTTCTTCGACTCGTCAAACGCGCGCGCGCAACCTCACACCCACGAAGACACCCACGTAGGTACCTACGGAGGCACCCACAAAGAGACATCTCACTCATACACTCCTCCAACACTTGGTATACTGTGTTAATATTCCTTTTTTTCGATTTCCGGCTCTTCTGTTCCATTTTCTGCTTTTTGGGTTGGCGTTTCTCTTTTTGGAACTAGTGCGATGGAATAACGGGATTTCATGCCTCACTCTACCCTCATGAAGTCCTCTTGCTTCTCAATTTCACTTATTATTTCCATTAATACTATTATCTGAACTCTCTATGTTCTTACACGTGCGGTTTTCGCTGGACTACGAAGAGAGGGCCAATGTTTGGTCTCCAACTTTGACTGCTCCTTGGCGTTAGGTGGAGGCTCATCATGATGCACCTAGGACGGGCGTTGAACCAATCCCACTCAAAAGCTCAGCGTTCATGTTTTTTCTCAGTACTATCTCCCACTCACCAGGACCGAGCCTCTTGGGATCACTATTCACCTGAGTTGAGTACCTGAGGTGGATATGATCACGAATGTTCCTCTTAACGTTATGACACAAACCCCTTTCCAGGTATGAAGCCTTGAACTCTCACTACTACTAGGTAGTCAGTTTGAAAGAGAGATCAAGCCCATATCACAGCCATAGGCCCCTCCTCCTGCTTCAGATCAAAGTCCCCCAGCGTCAAGTTCGCGACCACTGCTCCCATAAATCCAGTCTGTGCATCTCGCTCCATGATCACCAGCCCATTCGACACCTCATTTCCGACGGCGACGTACCGGTTGTTCTCGTCGGGGGAGAGCGAGAAGTGCCTTGGTATCTTGCTGTATGTCGCTTGAAGGCCCAGAAACGTCAAGTGTTCCTCCTTCGATGACGAGGGGTCTGTGGACATAGGAGAAGAGTCTGCGGCAAGGTTCACCGCGTACACTGCCAACGTGTCGCTGTCATACGACACTGTATTGCGGTTCGACACGCACGCGAAGCGCCCGTCCGTCGATAACACCACTTCGGCCGCCACGTTGATGTTGTCGGGGTCGGAACTTACGGCACCAGGCTGTAACGTTGACGCGCGCTGGATGAATGTGACGCTCAGAGGCGCGGTCCCTACTCTGTTGCTTTTGTGGCTGTTTTCCACGCCGTCCAGCGTGTAAACGCTGACAGTATTGTCCAGCTCGCCTACCAGATACGCAAAAGTACGCGTGTTGTTGAAGACCCGAAACGTGACGTGCCGCGGCCCTGTATCTGGCAGCACCGTGATGTTCATCAGGGGCTCGACGCATTCCGGCCCGTCCACCGAATATACGTATACGAGATCAGCTCCGCGGTCGGGCGCGAGCATGTAGCGTCCCGACGGATCGAATGAGGCTGCGTGTGGGTTGTTCTGTATTTGTGAGTCGTTGGAGTGGACCGGCGTGGTCAATAGTGTAATGGAACACGTAGCTGGCGGCACCTATCGACCCAAAGGGAAGGATGGGGTGAACGGACACGGTCGATCCGTCGCTGTAGTTCATGAGTTAGCTACGTGCTTGAGCTTGTGGTCCTTTCTGCCAAAATCTGGCACAGGAGATGGTGCCGACAACAGCAGAGGTAGATCGACTGACATATTCGCCGCAGCCAGCGTCCTCCCGTCTCGGCTGATATCGCAGTAGACGCCGCCTTGGCCACCCGAACTGTCACTGCTTATCAGATCCCATGGGCTGCCACTGCCATTATTACTCCCACTTCCGCTGCTTCCAGCTGCCTTTGAAAACGCAAACAGGCCTCCACTAACATCCGTCTCGTCCAAAAATTGGTCCCTGGACACAGCATACAGCCGATCACCGCACGCATGCAGCCAGCCTGGCTTGTGGCCCGCGTCTGTGGTGCCAAGAATTGTCAGGCTTTCGGACGCGGTCTTTGAGGCGTTGAAGGCGTACGTCAATATGCCACGCTTCTGGTGCGCAACGTAGAGAGTCAGCAGCGGTGAGGACGGCTCTTCGCGGGGAAGACCCGAAGCGATGCTGGCAGGAAGGAGAGAGAGGAGTACGGGGATGGGGTTCAACATGCTGACGTAGATGGATAGCTGTGCCTAGCCTTGGTCGACTGTGCTATTACTGACGTGAAATGCGTGCACTTTGAACTTCACAGAAATCAAGAGAGGTGGGAAATGGTATTATATAGGAGGATTTCTTCAGCCATCATGACCGGCATAGAGGGTTCGTATCAGCTTCGTCAATTGCGTGCAAAACTCATTCAGCCCCCTTTACCCTAGCGCTCCTTCATCTACCCTTCTTTCATGGTCTTGGCCGTAGTTCACGCTCGATGAGCTCTAACGACACCTGGTGATCATGGCACAACCCTCATAAAAGGCCGTTGGCTGGACTAGGAGGTAATGCGAGCTTCGCCCTGAAGGCCGATGGTTAGCTGGTTGGTTGGTTGGTGAAGGTCTGACATGCGCAAACCGCAGATTCGGGGGTACGCGGCCTCGTAAGCGGCTTTTCGGCGAAGGGGCCAGAGTAATGCATAGCCTGCTGATTCTATTGCATCACGTAGAAATCCAAATGGGATGATCTTGTCGATGGCCCATTTGATGCTCGTCCTCGTCAAATGGGTTCTGCAATGTGAAAGACGCAATCTCTCAAGATCGTCCTCGTCTAAACGCCCTTCATACAAGTCCACGTAAGAAGATCCATCACTGGGCTAACTCTGTAGGAACCATGCCAGAAGACGAATATGTGGCTTTGTTCCCATTACGAGGTGAAAATCGAGTTATATGTGTCGACGCAGGACAGAGATCCAGATATACAACGGCGGCGGCGGCGAGTACGACTAGAGGAGAGACACTCAATACTGGCCGGCGATAACGTAAGTCCAAGGACACTTGGTGAGGACTCTCCGCAATATTCCATGATCCTTCTTTCTCTTCCTCCCTCTCTGGGCCCCGTCAATGCCGAATGAGCCTTCCGCTGGACACCTATATGGCATTCGCCTCGTAGATAGGTAGATGCAGCCTGCTATGATTCAGCACGAGCAAGACCAGAAAATAGCACAAGGCCTGTCGACGCAGAATTAAGAGCTCTTTCGTACTTCCGTGGATAATCAAATTGATGAAGAAAATGCAGAGGTGCACGTATGTCTTCCAACACCATCGCCTAACGATGGTAATAGTGGTAGGCCGCTCCCACTCCGCGAGTAGCCCGGCGAGTGTGACATACCTTGATTGTGATCTCCCGTCAGTATCTCCAGCAGGTATAAAATATTTTATTTTTATTTGCCAGATTCAAGAGCACCTCGACAACCACGCGGACAAATCAACCCGCATAGCCCAGTCAACATCCTGGGGCTCAGTCACGGTTCGTGCAAAAGCGACAGGAACAGACAATTCCGTGTAGGAGAAGGTAGAAAGGTTAGCATTGCTACTTCCTGATCTCATCTTTTCGGCATTGCTGTGCCCTCCCAAAATAATTCATGGTAATGGAAGCGTCGACCACGCCAGGAATAGTGTAGCCATTCACACCTACATAGGTGCACCGCATCACTGCTACGCGATTTAGCCCACCGCCTCCGTCAAGCAAGGTCAATTTGAGCGCCAATGTGTCTAAGGAAAAGCCTCAACCCAAGCTGGTGTCTGTCCTCTTGTCCGTGCCACCGGCCGAAGCTCCTCATATCATTCCCATCTCATCCCGTCTTCCTCTTTCGTCATGTCATATTGTGATCGTAAGTTTTCATGTATGCCAGTCCCAGGGTTAGATCCTTCATATCGAAGGGCAGATGCCGCGTGCCCTGTTGCTGCCGTGATAATCTACTCTCGAACTCTATCCGATTACGCAGCAACTCTCAACAGCCTCTCAATAGTCATGATATGTTAGAATGGCCCTGTTGGGCTTCCAACGCAGCCATCGGTCTGATCACGCAATTGGCTCTCTATCTGGATCTGATGGTATTCACTCTGATGGTTTGTCTCTCTTAGAGAAGCATCACATACCAGAGGGAGGTACACCTATGGCGCTCGCTTTACCCCTATCACATTCTTCCCACTAGAACCTGAACTTGTTCCGTTCCGAACTTGGCGCCGTGTGGGTTGGAAGCAGCTATCACTGATCACCTGGCCGTGGTCAATCCCGATCCATCGGGTACATACCCTGTTGCCCCAGCCATACAGTAAGCTGCTATTATTGTCTTTGATCGTATATGTCAATCTGCAAGACATGAGTCAAATATGATGCTGACTCTCATATGCGGATAGACTGAGAACAGGGTGTGTTTGCGAGGACCGGATCATGTCCCGACGTCATGAAGTGCCAACATAGCGAACACTCAGGGGCACTGGAGATCAGTCTCCGGGTCCGATTGCACACTCCGAAGCGTCCCTTGTCGCCGTTGCCTGATGATTGCAGATCATCCGGGGAAGCATCCCAGTATCGGAAAGAGGAACGAGGGCTTGCTCTCATGATATGTAACGGAAACGAATGACACAAAGGTGATCGGGACAGCATGTATCGAATCTCCTTCCGATAGATGAACGAAGTTGCGAGCGCTTGGGACAATCTGCGTCCTCACTACTCGGACTTGCGTCAGGCGTCGGATCCACCGGGAAAGTGAAGCAAACGGCCGTAGGATGAGAGGTCGCGTCGCACGAAGTCAGCCCGATCATGCAGAGTCCCGTGAGGCCACGCCGGCTGGGACGACCGGAAACTTGCACTTCGGGGGGCACCGGTCGGGATCTTCGTCGTCAGGGGAAGATTAGACGAGAAAAGCAACCTCATTCCCAGCGCCGTGGGTCGGCCTATGAGTGGCGAGCCAGCTTACCATCGATGTACAGCGTCCCGTCGTCTGTCACTTCTCGCATACGACGCCTCGGGTCCTCATGTCCCAAGAACCAAACCCTCCCAGACATGGAACGCATGTATACCAAATTTAGATGAGTGAGACCCGTTGAAACTGCCCCTAACCGTTCGATGTTGTTGAAATCTTGTAGCACGACAATCTCGGAGGTGTTTCTGGCTACCCACTGCATCGGAACGAGACTGATACATGCGCCTTCTTTCCACTTTCGATGCAGCATGCAAGATGACGCGGAAGCCTGCAGGTCTCAGGTCGATGCGATTGGGGCATGAATCCATCTCGAAGGTTCCAGTCGGGTCTCACAGCAGTCAGCAGTTGGTCATATGGCTGTGTCTGAGACTCTGTTTCAACCGAACCAAACGGTGGCCCCCACGTTGACCGTTCCAGAGCCATGGTTCCCATCGTGATAGGCAGCCACTTCCGGGAATCGAACGAGTCGCAAGATCAACGCTCACGTCGGACAACTTCTCCATCGTCGACTTCTATTTGCGGAGTATCTGCTTCCTTGAGACAACTCTGTGCAACTGAAGCCATCGTCATATATCTCATATCACCTCTCACAAACCGCTCTGCAAGTCAGTAAACCGTCGAAGGGCTCACAGCATGGGCTATTTCAAGTGAGACTCGTTATTACTATGATACATGCCATCCAGCACCACCGCCGTTATTACTCGGAACGACATGCATACTCTGCATTCGTTACCGATCATTTTCGTCGGTGCTACCAGTTCCACACAAGGCTTGCGAGCTCGGAATTATTGCAGGATGCGATAATGAATGTCTCAAGCGTGAGACGGGGATGGGAAGCCTTCTACGACAAGTCGAACCTTACGTTTACCAATCCTTTCGTCGGAGCAAGGAGGAGTATCGGAACCCATGGCTTTGACTTGCAGGTATTTCGATACCTCGCTGGGTGTGTACCGCGATGTCCCGAGTACATCGCCTTCACAGGGGCGTCACAACATGTCAAGTTCGATTGCTAGCATATATGTCCTCATATATACCTGACCATGCCATCCTCAATCCGGTAAGACAATCGTCTGACGACTACGCCCGGTTGAACAATAGGAGGTACCCCGGTAGTCTATCTTTGGGATGCCGGTACTGGGGCGTCTATTTGTATCTCGCAGTAAAGGGGTTTCCGCAGGGCGATGGGAACCTGAACCACTGACTGGCTACAACGCTTTGAGGCTGCCAATGGCGTAAGGAGCACCATAGATGCTGAGGCTGAGTCTCCATGTATCAGAGTCACAGATGTCACATTGCGACGCAGCTGCGACATAGAACTTCATGGTCCTCGCGACGGTTACAACAGTCACACTCGCGCAATGATGCCAGAAACCCTTGTAGAAAGACGGGGTAACAATCACGGTCATCAGTGCTAGACAGTAACGTAAGATCTCCTGTGCATTCACCGCTGTTGTGCAGTGTACGCCGCTTGTGTGAATATACCCCTTTCGTGCATGCATATAACCTTGACCCTATATCGAAGTGGTACAACAGCTTCATCCGCCGTAAGTAGCTTGCTCTACGAGACCGTAAGATCAACGTCAAGGTAGAAAGCCCACCACGGTGCAAACTCAAAAATTGTGGTTCCAGGGAGCCGGGCCGGCCTAGCAACCCAAACCTACGGGCCGGCTCCTCGACTGGGATACGAACTCGGTCCCGAATCACTGCCCCTTAGATCCCAAAGCTTCCCGAATTGTTCTATTGCATGGCCATGCGTGAGTGCCTGACCCGGCCACTAGGCTTCGTGGCCCCCCTTGCGTGACTTGGCTGACCGTCAACCTGGAAAGATGCAGCCCCGACGATGACCAGAACGGTGAACCCCGCTGCATGATGCTGCTTCCAGACGGTATCGCCACTGATTGGGCACAGCCACCTCACATGCGAGGAGGAGAGAGGCTGAGCATTCCAACATGATGGACGGGATGAGATGGGCTTATTTGGGCTGCTGTTGATGTCAGCGCCAGAACCTAACCCACCTTACCTTACGCATGTAAAAGCGAGGGCCAGTGAGTGAGGGGGACTCTTAGAGTATGCGCTAGATGGGATATTTTGGGCCACCAGGTCGGCGCCTGGATCTGTGTTGGCGATCTCGGCATAGGAATTCCTTCCGCAGCGGCTTACAGGAACGCGCGAACCCGTCAGACAGTTACATTATGTCGCGATAGTGCCACAATGGTGGTATCGACAGGACTGGTGGGCGCCGGAGTCTCCCTTGCCCAGTGCCAACCTTGACCCTGTCACTTGTATTCTAACAAGACACTCATCGATTCCCAGGAGCGGCATCGACCCGGTAAGGCTTGCAGCTACTCCTAGACGTCCCCGACTATCGTACGTTGACTTGAGAATGATCTGGTGACGAAACCGGCAGCCTCCGCTCAGCCAGTATGACACCACTAAGGCATATAGACGAGATGAGGGGTTCACTACGGTAGTACTGAATAAAAAGGAAGAAGTCGAGACGGGCGACTACACAAGGATCAAGCAAGGCAAAATGATGTCCCTCATAGGATGCGTTTCATGTCAGGATGGCCTTACTTTGGACTGGACATCTCAGCCTTGCTGCTCCCTGCGAGTCCACCCAATGGCATTAGCCTCCCGCGGCCGCCCGGAAGCGCGGCTACTCCTCGCGACGGCGCCGGTACTTCGAGGGACTTTGGGAGACAGCAAGAGACATCTCGTAGATGGCATGCGCTTGAGACGGCACTAGGTGAACCAAGGAGGAAACCTCCGTCTTGGGGCAACGATGGGCACTGCTTGTCTCCTTAGCGCAAGCCGCTAAAAGCTTGGTCTCGGTAACAATACTTGAAGCACACAAGTGACTGCCATGATCAGCTGTTTGCTTGCTTCATCAGCCGCAAGGGCTGTCAAGAGCAAACAATAAACAAGCCAATAGGCTGGCGTTGATGCTGGTGTTGACACGACGGAGCGCTTGGCGGCTCAGGATAGATATGCTCAAGATTGAGCATACATGCCCAGATCACCCTGCCTGAGATGCTGTGCGGCCACTAAGCATACGCAGGGCATCCTTGAGTCGATATCAGCCTTCCTGGCTTCCCCAGATTCCAGTGTTGGCTCCCGTCATCCAGCAGTCGGGCCATCCATCCTTGATGAGAGTCGCGTAGCTGGGATTCACGGATCGCAAGCTGCTCGAGAGAGAGACGCCAGAAGACGCGAGGCTCAAGGCCGGGCTCATCCCTAGAGACCGTACGTGCAAACGCTACTAGATCAGCGCCTGCAGGAAGATACAGCGAGCTGGTGGGGGAGGCTATCGGTTAATCAGCTTTCTGAAGTTAATTCAGGGAATATCCTTGCTGAGCAGACAACTTCTTACATGGCTGTCCTGACTTAAAGATGCGGGCACACTGGTCTGCCTGCAAGCTAGTCGACGGCGGCACTGGCGAGGAGCACCCGGGTGACCGCACCCGGGTGACCAGGTCCAACAGGTGATCGCGCAAGTCGCGAATCACGATACCTTCCCCGATCGAGGAGATCTCCCGTTGCGCGTCTCGAGTTTAGGAGATATATGGTCTAGTCCAGACGCCACGGGCACCATGTAAACTCAACCAGCGCCATCCTCGGAGGAGTGTACAGTAGTGTGAACCGCGAACTGCCGTTCACATGCAGCGACTAATATCGTTCGGGTGACGGCTTCGCAGGAATGCGTGTGATAGTGACCTGTGGATGATGATACGTCAGCGCCATATCACACTGAGACCGTCCTAAACACTTGCTAACGTAGTTGGCAAAGACGGAGGCAGTTGAGCCAGTTGAGCCAGTTAAGCCAGGTCGCCAGGCAGACGAGGGTTCCGGAAGCACGAATTCCAGCTTCTGACTAAGGGCGTATAAATCAAGGGCCAGAGAGACGATTGGCCTTTTCTCCGAACGCTTCAACGGCTGCGTGCAGCGAGACACCAGATCCGACACCAGATCTGTCGTGGCTCCGAAACCGTCTTCCGCCATCCCAAAGAGATGGATCGGGCACCACCTCGCATGCGGCTGCCCGAACTGGTGTTTCCCCAAGCCACGTAATCCGCCGGCCAGCCATCGGCGGCGGACGTGAGAGGCTCTGTCTGTCCAATAGACTAGAAATCGATCAGTGCAGACATGTAATTGTTGCATGCTTCGATCCCGGAGCGTGGCGGTCTGGCCAGTCTCCATCTGCGTCACCTGCAGCACATGCGCGGCGCGAAAACACCAAGACAAGTTTTGGCGGTGTCCAGGTCTAGGTGAGACTGGAGCAACCGGCGGTGGCACAACCTGGGCTGCCTGGCAGGAGGGCGACAGAACCATCGAGGCCCTGCAGGCCGTCGCATGTCGTCACGTTGGCCGGCGAGAGATGCGTCCCAAGTTTGGTTATCCTGCAGTAACTTCACTCGATGGCGTCGCATGATCCCCTTCACTCAGTGTCACTCGACTAAGCTCCTCTGATATCCCATACTGATAGCGCACTGCGACGTAGATGCCTCGTCACACTCTGCTATCGCACCTGGAAAGTCTCGAGTCTGGTACCTGTGGAGAAAAGACCTCGATATTGACGCCGTTCCCCTGACCTTGGACCTTGGACCTGCATTAAGCATATGCAGTCCTCCATCCTCCATCCTTCATCTGGATGCGCTTCTGCATGCGGAACCGGAAAATTTGATCGTGGCTCTCAAGGGGCAGCATATCCGGTTCACGAGGTCATAGCTACGACCCGACACTGGTCTTATTTTGCAGTGCTCGATGGTCAATGGTGGTGAATGGCCTACGAGCGATTCAGCATGGCCTCAGACGCCAGAGCACATGGAGGGCGCCCGTCTTGGAGCACTAATAAAGGCTGTCGGTAGTTGACAATCTATCACCCAACACGGGCGGTGTGTGCCGTGATACACGATGCGATGGTCGAACAGCTGCGAACTCCTGCAGCGCCCAGGAGATTTTCCAGTCATGCCTGCTGCAGTGCGCAAGTCAAACCGTATGGTCAGAATATCTCCGATTGCTTGGCGGAGAGGTTGGCGGTCGGAACGCGGCCGGATCCTTCTGCAGACAAGGGAATCTTCGTAGTGACTGGCTCAAGTTGCAGTGCTTCTTTGTACATAATGTGCGTTTCGTGTCATCTTGTCCAAGTTGATACTAGTACGGCATGCCTCTCTCCTTGCCAATAGACGCGCAACGTGATCGGAAGGCTGTGTGCCTATCCCGAGCCCTCACCTTCATACCCTGACATGATGACCACTGACATCTCGGCGCTGCAATGCCTGTGCCGGTATTAGACCGACACAGTGGGAGATATAGCAAAGAATTCCCACGTAAGACTCAGGAAGAGTCCTGGTTGCCGACGTCTTAGAAGATGCAGTAAGATAAGGTAGTGATGAGGGGCGAGACCGGGACCGACCTGGAAAACTCTGCCTGTTCCTGGTTCGCCGTCTCAATTAAGCAGACCATTGAGACCAACTCGGAGAGCTGCAGCCAGTGGGTGGCATCGTGGCATCGGAACGTCCCCCGGACTCGACCACTGTGCCCACTGTCAGCGTACCTGTCAGCGTAACAATGTACCTGTTTCCGCGCTTCGTGGAACCAGGTCTGGAGTCTGGAGTCTGGACAAAGCCATGCTCGTTTCACCACTTTCATTCGTTCCTCGGAGACTATGCACGTGTCGGGCCACTTAACCGTCCACGGGTGATCGGCAGTTTGATTGCCTGGTGACAGGAATAATGGAACCAGATATCGTCAATGCCCCCACGCCGACGCCCATATATGTGGCTGGTTATTGAGACGAGTCCCCGGGTAACGGTAAGAACGGTACTCCGTGATAAGGGCAAACGTCAACGTTAACGTCAACGCCTTGCTCATATTACCTCTGTAATCTGACGTTTTCTGGAGTGGCGGCTGTCAATCCGACATGGGAAGCAGATCCGGTGCGGGCCGTGCTGTTCGATATGAGAATCCACAGAGCCCTTAATAGCTGGGGGAGACAGGGAATTTGGCGACTGCAATCTTGTCGGGACTCTGCCCGCGCGGCCCCTCGTCTGCCAAATCCACAACGGCTTTCGTGACCATCAGGGCAGGGAATGACGCCGGGGCCCCAGAGAAGGCGGGACCGGTGAAGCGAATTGCGAACCTGCGAAGAAGCGGAAGCCCGGAGGAGGAGCACATTGTGGTCAGTAAGTCGGGCGAGGCCGGGCTGGCATGTCGCGTCATTGCAAGGTATCGAGATCTAGAAAGGGTGTTTTACCCACCCCTAATAGCGTGGATAACGAGCATGGGCTTATTGATGAGAACTAGGCATGGGAATTGGAGTTGGAGACACAACTGCAGGCTGATCACTTCTTCAAGACGTGGCGTGGGTGGCTGGAGTGTGTTTCAGACGAGGCCTGCGAAGAACGGATTGCTTGCCCGAGTAGAACTGCGGCTCGTTATGACTTCCCACGTGTGCTTGTCAGTTGTGAGGTTACACTGAACGATGATACAGTGTCACCCGGCACTCGTGGTCTGGTAGAAGCGGGTTCACCGAGTCGGAATAAGACAACAAGACAACAAGGCAGCGAAAGATAGAGACACAGTTGAGGTCTGGAGTCTGGAGCCAGTGGACCAAAGCCATGTTCAAATGGATCGCTGCAAGGACGCCGCCTTGTTTACAGCTCTGGAGGAAGTCCCTTCGACTCGCTCTGAATCTCTGATCGGACATTACTGGATCTACTGCGTAACGGGCTAATGCAAGTACGAGGTAAACCTTGGTGAACCTGTGGGGATATTTATGAAGCGCATGCAGGAAACGTGTGCTGAAATACCTTACATAATAACAATTATACTACACCAGGCTCTTCCTCCACCGGCTGCCTGGCAGGCGAACTCGACTTCGGAGATTTTTAGACAAGGGCTGGAGGACCCTTGTAGGATTGTTACCTCTGCCGGCATCCAGTCCAGTCGGGGTTAATGCAGGGCTAAACAAGCTCCACGAGTGCCACTGGACGCTACTGGTACTGTGTATAGGTAGTGATCAGGTAGTCAGGCAGGCAAACCCAACATTAAATGAAACGATCGCAAATCCCCACCACAAGTCGGCCACTTCTATACACGACTAACATACGAATAAAATACTTTAAAATAAATAAAAAGCAGCCAAAGATGGAGTACTGATCAAAGAATATAACTACCGGCTTACAAAGTTATACGATTTGTTACAACGAAGTTATGTCTTATTAAAGTCAACTGGTAGAAATCGCACCTATTCAAGGTGCTGTGGCTCGTTGTTGCTGTTTCATTTATTGTTGTGGGCGCCTGTCACGATCAAAATATCCATCTCGGGGGAGGAGTTCTCTGTCAGCAATTGAGGCACTGGGATTATTACAGTATCTGGTAGGTATTCAGAGATTGGCAAGTTGCCAATTAGAGTACAAATCCCCCTTTATGCAATGCTGTCCGTGAAGCGGGGGGTGGAGAGCCGCACTGTTCAAAACCCCCCTTCGCCCCCCTGAATCTTGGTGTCTACCCCCTCCCGCTTCCTTCACGGCCTGAAATTGGAAAAATAATAATAGCAATCAGAGCGACTTGTGGAGTCGTGGAATGCGGAATGCCATGCCATTTTCACAAAATTCACTCGGCATTCTAAAAGCCGGCATGTTGATGGACTCGAGTCCATTCGTCCTGCTTGGGAAGAGCCCGGCCTCGTCGGGGATGTCATATTGTTCAGCAGGCTGGCTGTTTCGTAACTCGTCGTGCCCGGTGCCTTTCAACTCTGCGGCCTGGCATTGACGCTACTATGACCGAGCCAAGGTGAGGTACCACCACTGAATATATGTTTGTCATCTTTAATTGAATGGCAGTACCAACAATTCCTCAAGGCATGAGACCTTGGACTGGGTAACGCCAAGCCGTTCATTCAGTGTCACCGGCGATTCATCTCGTTACAAGACGGCGGTGGGCGGGCAGTTTACCGATACTACCGGTATCTGGGCAACCGGCGAGGGCAGTCTTAGCGCTGGCCCACAAGCTGTCGACGGTCGATCATGGTCGATCAGCGTGGCTTGTCGGCTTGCTGAACGCAATGCGGACATTTGCCCATGCCCACCTTCCTCCTTTCAGCGTCGGTGACAGCGCGCTTGGACTGACATGACGGGCGCCGGGCGCCGTCGTTCATGCTGTCTGACTTGACCTGCGTGCCTGTTCTAGGTGTCCAATCTTATCTAACCCGCTGTCTGAATCTCTCATCCGTGTGGGGATGCTTTCTTCCTAGTCGCAGTCCGTCACGAGGATCACGTCTGTGTGCTGTAACTTGTGGGGTCCCGGCTGCGCTGTCTGGCTGTGAAACACATCCGTCCGTCCGTGCCATCACTGCATCACCAGCGTTCAGATGGAGTCACGTCTTCAGGTGCATATGCCACTGAGTGGAGATCTTGATATTTCAAGTAATCATGTCCGGGGTGCGCGATAACTTCACACCAAGTACAGCACAGCAGAGTGTTGGAGCAGCTGAAGAATGATGGTTTTATGAACCATGTCTGCGGCTGACTGACAAGAACACTCATTGGTCGAAGCAATGGATTATCAGGCTTGTGTTCCTGCAGTTGACCTGGCTGCTGGGTACGAGGCTGGTTGAATACACAGTAGGTACTTAAAGAGGTAAGGGATCCATGGATATGAGATGAGGGACGGCACGCGGGCCGCACAAACATGTGGTCCGTGAGTCTGCAGCATAATGGACACACAATCTCCATCGCTTGTGTAACGTCGACGAGGAAGGACCCGGTCACCTTCGGGATGTCAACAAGATACATATTATCAGGTGGTCCTTTCGCGCCGGACATCACCAAGGTTGGAAGTCTTCGACCGACACGGGGCCCAGCTCGACCTGTACCGTGCTGTGGTCTACTGCAGGAATCATACACCGGCCGTTTGACAACTGGCAGATGGCAGAGAGAGGCCCGCAGTCTAATAAAGAGCGCGGATATTTGGTGGTTGACGCTCGAGTTACCAACTCCAGCACGCACGGGAGGTTGATCTGCAACATTGCGGGCTGTTCAGGGACCCACGCAGCCACGAATGCGTGGAGAACGGCAAGAGGGTCCCGCAGCTGTCTCGTCACTCGTGAGTTTCGAGGAGTAGGCACTAATATTGTTCCAACTTCCAAGGATATCGTCCGTCCCTGGAATGCATGTGCCAGGACCAGGGCGACCTGTCAGCCTGCCTGTGCGCGGTCTTGGTAGTCTGGTGACTCGTGAGCCATGCGGTGTGGAATGATTCTCGAAGAAAACAGTGGTCGCGATCACAGCGTGACAGCTGAGTCCTCTGTGAGTGATTCCGTCGCAAATATATTGGTCTTGCTCGAGGGAAATGCACCTCACACGCCAAGACTCCAAGAATAGCCACCACGTTTCCGGCCCCACTTCGACCGTCGCAGGCTAGGTATGTCTGTGTAGGCTGTCAGCCACTGTGTCATCTGCTGGTAATTCGGATTACCCGTCTCGCTGCTTGTTTCCGCCCGATGGCCCGGGTTGCAACTTGCAACTATCTACAGCGTGGTCGTCCGTGTATTACAGCTGGCTGCTTCGGGAGAGCTCAAAGCGGAGGCTTCCCTCGTTCCATGTTCTAGCTGATAACGTTTTTACGGGTTATACGACTTTAAGTCTCTCCAGGTGTGACGCGCTGCTTACAGCTTAAAAGTGAATTGGACTGGAAGCCGCCGGTTGCGCGGTATGTTGCGACGGCACACACCACGTCCAATGACATCCTCAAGGTCGTCGGCTTGCACTGCACAACATTGAACGTGGGAAATGTACTGTCAAGTACCTTCTGCTTCCGAGATCTCATCTTGCCTAATCTGAAATGAATACTTCGATGCTCGAACAATACCTTAGGTGATAGCCCACAGCAGACAAGCCCAGATCTACGCTTGAGCAGCTGCAAGGACGTCGTCTGTCGTCATGGGGCCGGCCCGATTATATGCAGCACCTCTCAAATCTTCAACGGCGGCCGGTTTTCCTGTTCTCGATGGCTGAAGGTCAGTGCTCTTGCATATTCGCTCCACCCGCACCGGCCGAGCCGCTCAGCCGGTGCGGGCAGCAATTCCATCTTGAGCGATCAGGGTGGGAAATCAGGGTTTCGGTTCCGTGGAATTTGATGTAGTCGAGTGGCGGGACTGCATTTGCAGATGCTGGCAGGCCGCTTGGCCTCGTCGTCATGAGACGGCGGAGGACTGACGATGGGCAAGGCCGATGAGATGGATCCAAGCAAGGTATCTTGCACACCGACCAGAGAGAGAATCGTGCGCGGAACTAGTTTGGGATGCTACCATAGATCCAGAGGTGGTGGCATCAACGTCTGCGAGTAAAGCCTTTGAACCAGACACTGCTCAACAAGGGAACGAACATGTCGGGGCCGTTAGTAGTAGCCCAGTAGTAAGTATACGGTCTGAGCGGTGTGAACAGATGTGACCGTTGTGACGGCCGAGGGGTTCACGGCCGGCCGGATAGAGGCTTGAACTGGAGCTGATTGGTGAGGGCAGACTGCATCTGGCAAGGGGTCACATGGAATGCGGGGGCGGGGAAGAGGAAGGAATTGGAAGGGCGACAGTGTGCGTGATGCTTTATTACATGTATTTATCACGCCTAGGTACAGATCGGGTTGCACCAAAGTCTGCAGTAGACATACATACATCTGTCGTCCGGACGCACACCACATACAGCAAGCACAGATCTCTAAGCCGATGTATAAGCCGATGCATGATCGATCTATAAGCCGATGTATAATCAATCGAATCAGCCCTACCGATTCACAGACCCCACGAAGACAACCAGTCGAGGGGATACGGACAAGTGCGGGGTACGACGTTCAATGTTGCTAGCCTGGCGGTAGGAAGTATACACATCCACGGGCGACCGACCGCTGAAGGTCTGCGACTACTACGATCATGAGAAACACCTGCGACTACTATGATCACGAGAAATAGTGGAGGACTGCCGTGACGAGTTGAACTTCATACATGCTGTAAAGTGACTGGACTGTCGAGGTGCAGAGCAGCATGCGAGCACGCCTTGGCATCTCATGTTCTTCTTGTCTTGAGGCTTGGACATAACGCATGCGAGCGCATGGTTTGATGGGCACACTGATCAGGCACTCTACCCATCATCCAATGGTGTCGGTAGCGTCAGGGTGGTGGTCGGCACGATCAGGAGGTTGTGGCATGGTAACTCCAGATCTTGTAATCAATGCGCCGCTTACCTGCCTGCTTACTTGCCTAAAGCAGGTACTTACATGTGTTGAATCCAGACCCAGTCGGACGGGATGCTCGACAAGAACTTTGATCACAGGAACTGGCCCTGCTGGTCGACGGCGAGCTTTTCTCCGGGTGGCAGGTTCTGGACGCTTGACTTGAGGCATGACAGGTATGCTAGTCGGTGGGAATTTTCCCATTGGTCCCTTCACTCAAGGGTCCGCATAGATGTTGCAGATGCGACCCCTGCATCTACATTCTGCATGTGCGACCTAGGTAGGTATACATCATGACCAGATTGGGCCTGTTCATATTTCTCCCAAACTCCATGTTTCTTTTCAGGAAACGTTGCGATCAAGAGTACTGCCACTATCATTGATCGTCGTAAATCTCACCGCCCGGGAAGATGCTGTTGAGATATGGAGCATCCATCCCACCTCCCACCGTCCACTGTCCAGAAGGCGGCGGATTGTCCCGTCCGACTAACGGGCGGGCCGTCTCACGAGGATTTCGGAACCAGACTTCGACCTACCACGGTATCCCATACTCTGTGGTGTGACTGGTGTCAAGTGACTCAAGTCTGGCCTGGTGCAGCGCGAGCCCAGAGACAAGCTGACAGGCGGACAGGATGGCATTGGAGACACGCCGACGGGCAGACACTGGTGACTGATCTCCCGCCACTTCGAACGTATCTGTGCATGAATCCGAATACCCGTAGAAAGAACTTGAAGAGCGTATCCTGTCTTTGAGTTGATTACTAGAGGATCCTCGTAGGTGAATGTCTCCGCGCTGCCGTCGCCATTGGACGACTCGTGCCGTCTCTGCATTATGTATCCTTCCCCACACTCTCAGGGACGCACTCGCGAATTGGGCTGCTCACGACGATGCAGAAGCAAGGTTCTTTCGCCCTACTGCCCCGGACAGTGGCCGACCATTCTCTGCCGCACCAGCATCACCAACAAGAGGAGGGCAGCGGTGGCATGTGTAAGGAATCTATGCCTACGCGATTTTCGAATGCGGGGAGATGGTAGCCTTCCATCTGTCTGCTCTGTGCTCTGCCGAAGACTGCCGTGCCGCGTATGGTACGGTCGAGGTACAGGCCGCGCCGTTGTGCGACATCAGAACATTCTTCCTAGCCATGTGTCCCCTCTGGGAAGCGTTGAATCCACGTGCGTGCCGTCCCGTGTCTGGGCCTGTCAGACTACATACATATGGTCTCTGCCACCAGTATCGTGGCAGGCAGGTAACCAGCACCCCTCACCGACCACTCCGGGGGAACGGAATGCATCAGAAAAAAGCGCCAGACGCGACCGCTCGGTGATCACGACGGCGCGAGCTGTTACATCCTGTGCCGTGTCATGCCAGGCGGGAGGAGAACACCCACTTATTGCCGTATCTGGCCCGAAAGTCTGGGGAAAGCGGCAGCTTCAGAAGGCGACGGCACAATCTGCAACAGCTAGTCGGGATCCTCTCTTCGCAGACCTGGTCTAGACTTTCCAATTCGCTTCCGTCATGGCCATGCCGAATCCCACGCGCAGAGGCAGGTTGCCTTCTTCCGGGAGCTTTCGACGGCAGATTGTCGCAGAGAATGAAACCACATGACTTCAACCTCCCTGTGCAGTTTGCAGTGTGCTGTAGCGAGATGCCGGTGGCTCGCGCCATCCCAGGTGCAGTGCCATCGCTTAGGTATTTCATTCAGTACAGCAGTCAAGAGTCCATACTTGATCGGCATATTGGTCCTTTCATGGTGTCGCGGCCGGCTACTATAGAGGCTCTTCCAATCTTGACAATGAGGCGCGCATTGTTTACACCTCGAGGCGAGAGTGGTCAAGATGAACCGGGTAAGCTGCTTCCTGGACCTGACTGTTCTGCTACCTGGCCGCTTTCGTCGACGGCGCCGTGTGCGGAAGACGGCTAGTCGGGCTAGAAGGACGATACCCCTGTGGATTGCCCTTTCGGTGCGAAGGTGTGGGTAGGTGTGCAAGGCCATCCTTGTTAGCATTATGGGCTCCCACGAGGCACAGCGATGCGAGACCTTGTTGACAGGAGCTTATTAGACATCGGAACAGTCTCGAAAGGGGTGCATTGCTTGCATCTCTTGAGCTCACTTCCTCGCAGTTGGTGTGGGGAGAGACAATACGAGAGAACCCCATGGTGCCAGACGCAGAGATCCAGGGCTTCCTGTTAGCGAGGTGGTATTGCGATAATAATTCACGACGTGACGAATCCTTGAATGCTGGACTGATGAGTCATGTAGGCCACAATCGTGGATGACGCCTCTCTGGGGGCGTGTGATCATTGCAAGAGGCCGCATAGACGAACTATGCCGTTGTTGTCGAAGAAGCATCAAGGATCCATGCTGACTTTGGACACCTCGAGCGTAAGATGATCCAAATTCGGCATTGTAGTCAGGTGATATCTACGCTAAGGACAAACTGGTAGCCGCCTCAACTGTCAACTATGGCCCTATGTTTTGTGTTAAGACAAGGAAGAGATTATTCGCTCACCTTACCGGTAGACGAGGTCGAATAACTTGACGGCGAACGCCGTGCAGCTCGCGTAACCCACATATTGCTGCCGACACCGGCTAACACGGCTCTTGACCGAGACCACGGAATTCAGGGGTGAAATGAGACACTCGTCATGAGTGACGAACTCCGATATGATTTATGACCGCTCAGCGGCAGTGTCTCGGGTGGAAGCCGAAATGACCTCCGTAATCACGTATAAGATCTTTGTTATATGTTTTCCTCTGGGTTGTTGCTGGGTATATATCAGCAGACAGGGACAGACACTCAGCGTCGCGTCGGTTAGGAGGATTTGCGAGCAGCCTGTCAATATATCTCCGAGCCCAGTGGAGAAAGGGTGGACTGGCAGGCTTCTTTTGTCCACAGCTGGCGAGAGCAGAATGACGACACGGAGGTGTGTGATGAGTTTGAATAGCTTCGATCAACTCTCGACAGAACACGGGGTAGAAACGGAATCAGGGGAGGCTGCCTGGCTGATTCTCTGGTTATTCTTGCCTCTGCCAACCTCTTTGTCCCCGGGTTTTCACTCTGCGGTCCAATGATCCTACCTGACCAGTGACCAGTGACCAGTGACCAGTGACCACATAAAAAGTCGGCATCTGGTCTCAATCCTGCAAGGGTCATTGATTCCGGTCCATCGCGGCCGACTTTCCACGCGGCAGGGTGGTGGTGATTATGGTGGTTGGTAATAGACAAATGGTGATCTTGGTCAAATCGTCACAGAGCTGCGCTCGCAGTTGAATGATGGATGCAGAGTCCAGAGTCCAGACAGCGACTCGGCTTCTCTGTGGACACTGGACATGGATCGTGAAGTTGAGCTCGAAGCGAGAAGAAGTTTTTGGCTTCAATGTTCCAGGTCCCGTCGCTTCCAGGCTTTGCGGAAACCTTCCGGCGGGGACGCGACCAGTAAGCCCCGGGCATAGCCTGGGTCCCCCGTCCCCCGTAGCTTCCATGGCCGGGGACTAACAGTAAGAATTTAGGGGACACCTAGGGTTACACAATAGCGTGATGACAGCGCTATAGCGCATGTACTGAGGTGCCTATAGGTACCTGGCGCGCCTGTGCCTGTGCCTGGGAGGCAAGCAGGCATTGGAACATTGAAGCTGCCCAGCGTTACGGCACAGCAGACACAGTAATAAAAGTACATCACACTGTGTGCTGCAGACTGCAGACTGCAGACAGGGCAAAAAGACTTCGGGCCGGTCGCTCTATGCGGATTAGCACGCTCAACTTTCAAGCATATGAAACAGTGGAGGCAGTCAGGGCAGTATCACATCGTTAAAGTTGGCAAGAGAGTGACGAGTGAGGTGAGCTTCAGCCCCTGAAACAGTCTGGAGCGAAGTTACCTTGCATGCCACCATGGTACCAGGCTTCAGGCTTCAGCAGCACTTGGAACGGACACGGAATGCTGGCCCGGCCCCTTGGTCCTTGGTCCTTGGACTGGCTGACTGGGGGCGGCAGTGGGCTGTCCGAATCCCGATGGATGCTGGCCCTCGTTTGTTTCCCTCCACCTACTTCGTCAACGGAGCGTGTTACTATATGTAGTAGACTCGGGACAGCCTCGCGTTTAGGTGCCCAGTGGGGTTTATATAATATCCATCCTTATAAGGATTCCACTTGCATTGAAGAGGCTGAACTTTGCCCTGGCCTAATGTAGTCACCAACATAGAGTATCTACTATTGAGAGCCTTTTGGTGTCTTCTTCGTCATGACTTTTATTATCAGGCGTGGCTAACCGTATCTAACCTTCGTCCATCTCATCAACGACACACACAACTCGACGCATACGCGGCGTTCCTCGTGGTGGATTGGAACTCTGGACAGCCACGGCGCGAGCCGGCAGAAGTAACAATTGAAATCGACGGTCGTGTATTCGTGAGCATGGGACAGCGCGCAGTCCGAGTACCTAGATCGGCTTATTGTTCGCATTAGCATGAACTAGTATGGCGTGAACGATATTAGATATTCGAGATCCAGGGCCGACCGTTATCAGCTTACGACGACCTGTCTTATTACAATGTCGGCCCTCATCAGTAACTACAGGAGTCAAGATCCTACCCAGACAGACAAGACATTCTGCTAAGAGTCAGTGTTTCCGACGGCTAATCGCTCCAATCCCAGTAACCTACCCACGATACGACCATAAACGCAGCAGGAGAGCCATCCACTTGCAGTCTCATCCCACGCGCACTGCTACCTTGTATCTGAAAACGGATCGGATATCACGCCCTTGAAGCTCCAAAACAGTCTGCCTAAGACTCTACGACTCTGCGACTCTGCGGGCTCGACTACTTGTTCCCATTTCCGCCCTTCCACCGCCAGACCGACTTACCGTCCAGGGGTCTCTCTCTCCCCTCTCTCCTCTCCCTCTCCTTCTCTTCCTCTTTCTCTTTCACTTCCTCTACCCCTCCTCTCCCCTCCTTGGCCGTCGACAATGTAGCCAGTCTTTCTTCACCATGCATGCGCCTATATCAGACGACGCGGCTCGCAGCTCTCGGGCGGTCAGTACGTGTAAGTGAGCCACCTGCAACCGGTACCGTACGCAACGATTAGAGTAGTGCATCGGTGTGCACAACACTCCATCGCACATGGCCGTGCCGCCTGCAAGTCCGGGACTCGTATATTGATCACATTCGATAAGGAAGTGTAGTGATTGGGGTCCTCACCGTTCGATAAATCCCCGGCTAAAGCAGGTACCGACCGCACATCTACTACTCGTCTGCATGTTGCATTGCCATGCGTGCTCCGCGATTGGCATGGCACAGCAAACCCGACAGGTCAAAGATGAAACTTATTGCCTCCTCCATGATGGGATTATTCAGGCTTATCAGAGTTCTCCTGCTCCTCTCGTCTCTTATTACGCGGCGAGATGAGAAAGCGGAGCAGACGAAGTGATAGATAGAATCCCGTCGTCGAGAACACACGGTAGTTATACCCCTGGGTGCAACATACCATGATGGCGTTGGGGTTACACACGCGCTCGCGGCATTCAAAGCCGAAGCATACATCACACAAAGCACACCACACCTTCATCGACCTCTGTGGTACCCTATCGTGCAAAAAGGAAACAAGTCGTTTTTGTCCTCTCCTACGAACCTATTTTACCTACAGGGGCCAGCTTGTTAGGGAAACTCCTCTGCGCTGAGGGCTGTGAGGGTCTGGGGCGGCGGCACCACAACCCTTGACCGGACTGGCACTAGACCAGGAGGCAGTTTGCGACGAGTGGCGTCGATGAGATTGAGTACATACATGACTACATGATCCTTGTGCCCCACGACGGCCTGCCCTGCTCGCCAAGCTTTTAATGTTGGCCGGGGGTTATTAGGGGGGCTGTCGACAGTCGACATGGTCGTCGAACCCTTGTCCCCTTGCCCCCTTGCCCACCATGTACTCCACGATCCATGTCCCAGCATGTATGTCCCGTTCCCTTAACCCTACGCTTACCCTGACCCTGCTCGGCCGGTCCACTCTACGACTATACGTACCGCCGACCCTGCATGTGCTGTGTGTCTGTCTGTGGCTGCTCGTCGACTTTCAGGTACGCATCCGTCGCATCGGGCACTCCAAGGGTCAATCCAAGCAGCCAAGGTACCTCGAGCGGTATGCCTGGGGTCGCAGCGGCCGTGCTAGTCGGGGCAGGTAACCTCATTGAGCGGAACCAGAGGGGAAGGGGAAGGGATATTTCCAAGTACTATGTACGGGACCTCCATGCGTACATACATGGCTCACCCATGCGGTCTCTGTCTCCGACACTGCTCCCACAGCTTCGCCATCGTCATCTTCAGGGTCCCATCTCGCTGCCATGTCTGATGTCTCTCCATGCTTCGTCGCTGCATGTCTGCTGCCGACTGGTACTGTACTGCTACCCCATCTACGACCCTGTCCGTCTGATACTTCATATTCCAGTCTCGCCAACGCCGGCACCCGCTGTATATTTTCTTGTTTCGTCAAGCCCTCCACTGCGCAAGTGCCGACTTTGACCGACTTTGACCGGCATCCAAACCTCCTCCCCGCCATTGAGCCTGGGAAACTCTACGCTGCCCTCTATCAGCGTCACCAAGAGCCTGGGCAGCTCCTCAACTACACTTGCCGCGTGCTTGAGGTTACTCAGCAGCCAACCCCCTACATGAGACTCACGAAACTTCGCTGTATGTCGATGCAGACAAGTAAGGCATAAAACCGCTGAGTGCCCACCACCACCACTATAATCCTCATCTTTTACTTTGCGCCATTCAAATCTTTTTATATCAGGACTATTCCCCATTGAAATCTGCATATGTCAGTGTTTCGACCAGGTCCCTAGCCTTCGGAGGGATCGACACAAACTTACGTACGCACATGGTGCTTCTCCCCTTGACGTCTTGCCTACTTCTGTACGAGCGACCCGTGCTGCAAGTCGAGAGTGCTCGAGCCTTTTTGGCTTCCCTTCCTCGATGATCCACCGCCCGCTGCTATATCTCCGCATCCCTTCTGGGGATATCTTCTGGATACCCGGTCGAGAGAAAAGTAGACAAGTTCCCCCACTCGGTTGAACATCCCAGGAAGCTCAGGGACGACAAGTTATAACCTGGATTATAACCCGTTATATCGCCATCGTTGCAATATACCCTTATCCACACTGCTCTCGGGTAGCTGGCTTGTCATATGCAACTGCGATCATCCTCACTGGGCCACGCACCACAATCTGGGCTTACTTAACCTTCCGGTGGCGCCACCCATTGGTGTTCTGACCTGTATCTCAAACCTCAACATCTTCTCGCCTGATCGGTCTTTAAGGGACATCGTCAAGTCTCCTTGTGCTTTTGCTTCGCCATTGTTCCGACTTCTAGGTCGAGTCACCACCAACGGTCAAAACGAAAGCCGGCCTGACCTAAACGTTGCCTCCTTGTCTCTCACAACCTCGGTCACCACGGGGATAGGAAGTCACACGACCCTTCCAGCATCAAGCAGCGGTCTTTGACATCAAGAGCCTGCCAAGTCCACCGACGACCCCATATTTCACTGTCTAACCCAGTATCTGAGCGCTCAAGGCCTCCGGCAGCAGCATTGTTGTGCCTGGTCCGCTCTCCTGTGCCGCGAGCATCCGAAACCTAATAGACGCCGGTCACAAGGAAGACTGACACCGCACCATTCAACAAACTCAGACGCCATCGACAGCCTGAATTTGTCACCAACTGGACTGCTCGTGCACCGCACGCACCGGTTGACCACAGACGGCTTGGTGACCTACAGACTCGAGCCTTTGTTGTCGTTCTGGTTCGTTACCCGCAAGTTTCACAGTGTTTTTGCGCAGAGCTCTTTTCTGTGTATGTTAGCAATCTCCATACTTTCCACGAAAACGCGTCTGCCGCCCACTTACACGTACCGGCCTTTTGTTGGGGCGTGTATCAGAGCGATGTGTGTGTGCCCTAACACCTCAGGCTAACGGACCATCAGAATACCATCAGACTGTCCTCATCATCTTGACTTCATATACGCTTGCTGCGTCTGTTGCGTCTGTTGCGTCTGTTCTTTTCTGAGCACAACCCTGCTTTCGAAGGCATCTGATCAATCTTGATCTTTATATCAGTGTTCAAGCGCTGGACGCTGTCTCGTACCTTGAACTCGACTTTCTCTTGCCAGCATTGACTTTTCTGTTGCAAAGCGACTATTGGCCGAACTTCGGGACGAAATCGTCCTGGAGAAACACATCTCGGAAACGCATAAGATTTGGACGTCGACGTCGCATTGAATCCGATTCCGCTTCCACCCCTTCCGAGCCAGGGGCCATCCACACATGCCACTGCCCTGGAACGGCCCACGCCATCCCTGCTCTCCTCTGTCTTGAGGGACCGCGGCGCCTGATACACCCCCGGCGACCTTTCCGGCTCCCGAGTCGTCTCAGGCATACAAGTCGTACATCCCGCGAACACACCACCAGTTGCTGGGACCTCGATCTTCAACACAACTGCAGAGATGGAGTTGATGGAACTTGTCGAGAACGAGCCAACGGCTCGCCCTTTTCAGTGTGACTGGCAGTCGTGCAACAAGGTATGTGATCGCTCACGTTCGCATGTCGGCACTCATGCCTTTCGACCCGCTTACACTGCATTAGAGCTTCAACCGCAAGTCGGACCTTCAGAGGCACTACCGCATACATACCAACGAGAGGCCATACTCGTGCTTAACACCCGGATGTGGCAAGAGCTTCATCCAACGAAGTGCCCTGACGGTCCACATCCGAACTCACACGGGCGAGAAACCTCACCAATGTCAACACATCGGGTGCGGCAAGAAGTTCTCAGATGTAAGCAGTTCCCGTCCGAGTCCGAGTCCGGTCCGGTTGGTCCTTGGAGATGATGGTGGCTGACCTTCACAGTCTTCGAGTCTGGCTAGGCATCGACGCATCCACACTGGCAAGCGGCCATACCGGTGTGCTCACGAGGGCTGTCTCAAGAGGTAGCTCCTCCCTTCCCTGCGGTACGATCAGCAACCACTGACCATCTATACAGCTTCTGCCGCAAGACGACCATGGTCAAGCATCAACGACGCTCACACCAGCGAGGACTCCATTCGTCAGAGATCGATGACTTCACATCCGAGTCGGACGGCGGCGAGTCTCCTTGTACGCCCACGCAGTCGGGTATGCCCTGGACATCCAATCTGGGCGGCGGCCACCCAGGTCTGCAAGGTCATGCCATCCACCGAGCCTCCTCTTTCGCCGACTTTGGCCAGCACATGAACGGGTACACCGACGCTGCACAGTTCGGCGGCCACCGCCACAGCGCATCGACGGGCGCCACCCACGAATACCACGGCCAACCCATCCAGGAGCAGCACCCAGGTGTCCACATGCTTCACCGGACGGCCAGCATGCCTCAGCACTCGTTCTACGTGACGGAACAGAACAATCCCGGCGTGGCGACGTTGAACACCAACCCAATGCAGCCGTACCAGGTACCACGACAGCATGTGGAGCGGCCCATGCTCGAGATCCCGTACACCTCGGCGGGCATTGCCGCGTCCATGGAGAGCAGCCCGAGCATCTTCTCCCCCGTAACGTCCTGTCGAAGTACACCGGCGCAAGACTTCTACACGCACCAGCCCACGCAGGCCCCAGCGTACGCGCTCGACACCTCATCACCGGTGATAGAAGAACCACAACAGCTCGTCCAGTACAGCCAGCACATGCCGCAGCAGATGCAACCCCCAGCACAGCAGGTGCAAGAGCAGTACCAGCAACCCGCGGCGCACCAGGAGGAGCAGTGGTACAGCGCGATGCCCTACCAGGCGCCCGTCGAGGTCGCCACCATCGGCCAGCTTCCCTCGTACGGGTCCGGCGCCTATGACCTCTGGGGCATCAAGCAAGACTTCGACGACCCGTCCATGCAGATGCCCAGCGCCCGCATCGACAGCATGTGATAGACAGCATGCAACGACAGCCTGTAATGAATGACAGTAGTAATGACAGCGTGGAGCAACTGTACGCGCATACACGAACATGATGCCCTTCCTTTCTTGTCGCATAATTCATGATCCTTCGAACTTGTACCATTAACGACGCTGTTCTTTTATTTATTTTTATTTTTGCCGCGTGTGGAGGATATACCAACCAAGAGGGACGGGCCAACAGAACCATCGGTCGAGTGAGTTGGCATGGCCAGACCTCGTTTATTCTTCAAATTTTATCGTTTTAGCGATGCTTGACAAGCAACAATGCCATTTGCTTCTCGATGTTCAGCAGCGTGATCGTCTCTTCAGCGCAGCAGCACGCCAGCAATATTCCGGATGGTCGACCGGGGTAGGGGGGACTGACTGCGGGTGGCGATTGCTGACCTGACCTGACCTCTCTGTATCAAGCTAGGGTACCATCCCTTTCGACGAGCGAGTTCAGCATACTTGACGACAATTCAGATAGCACAAGGCGCCGGGGCTGGCTTGCGGTTGACCATGATGATTCTTTTCCTTCTCTGTTACCGTTGCACACGTTTTTCACGATGTTCCGACCATTTTCTGACGACTCGACACGCCCACGCCCACGTCCACCACTCATAGGAGGAGGAGGAGGAGGAGCAAGATTGCATATACTAGGGGTTCGGAATCTGTACTAATAGAAAAAGGCTCTGTTATGATTTTTTTTTTGGGGGGGGGGGGGGGGGGGTCGAGGCATATTCGCGGGCCTTCGGGGGTGGCTGGCTCGCCGAAAGATTGAGGTGGACGAGTCGTTCGAGCGCGGCGTAGAGTAGAATAAAAGTTTGTGGCCAAGGTGGCATGACTTGTACTGTCAGTAGTAGTAAATAGGTCGGCCATCGTTCGTCTGAGGATAGCGCGACCTGAATGAAGATAGAGAATGATAGAACGATGGGAAGTTCATCTCGGCTCGTCAATACGTGTATAGAAAGAAGCCAAAGGATTCGCAACGGTCACCCAGCTGACCTCGGAATGCAACCCCAACGAACAACTTGGGAGGTTCAATCTCGCACACCTCATGCACCTGGTGCATCCTCCGCGTCAGAGCCTCGAACCTCCACGAATGAGAGCCGGGCTGCTTGCCGCGCGCATGCCGAAGCGAAGGAAGAATCCCCCTTTTGAGATTTCATGTGTGGGGGTGAGGTGGTTGTTGGCGCTGCGTCGCATTTCAGCTACATCCAAAATGCGACGCTGGGCAGCTGAATGCGGGCTGCTTTAGGCAGGCGGCTATCACTGATTAGTGACGACCACCGTGATCCGCCAATGCTTTCACATGTCGTCAACGCTTTGGTTGTTTTGGACTTCGGTCTTCAGGAGCTTATATTCAAGGTTATGCATGAAGGAGCCTAGTGGTTAGTCCAGACGCGTTGAGACGCGTTGCGAGACGTTGTTGCGCGGGTTTAATAAGGTTTAAGAATGGGGTTATATCGGCCGCGCTCAAAAGGGGTAGGTGACCAGCGCCCGACACTTACAGCACTATCTGTCAACCACCAGGCAGGCGTGCCGAAACATGTAACGAAAAGACCTACTATCTTGGGATCGCACGCTCAAAGGCACGCGCTTGTCTCTCCCTACCTTCCACCTAATATTCCACAGCTTGCGTATCAAATGGGTTTGGGGGCTTATCCGTCATGAGGACATCGCGATAGAGCCAGGAAGAATATCGAGAGGCCACGGGTTAATGGGCGGTTTTATGTAACGCCGCCTCGACCTAGACTGCCCTGCCTTCTTTCCCCCTTCTCTGTCATCATCTACGCGAGACACGCAAATAAGTCTACATACCTTAGTTGACACAACACCCAGATGAACGACACCAAAGTGCTCCTCAAAGAACTGGACCTCCTCTCACAACTTCACCCACAAATCGCGCGTGGGAACCGGCAGTAGTTCGAGCATTCAACCCCACGAAGGGCGTTTCAGTTCTCACAACACCTCTTGCATGAGACGAACAAAAGAACTGCATTTTACATTCGTACACGTGCCTAGCTAGACCTACTTCTAAGTGTATGTTGGCTACTTGGGATGTGAGTGTCTTTCTATACGGGCGCTGCACTTCAAGCCACCCATCCCTGATACTCGATGAGCATCTGAGAACTGGGCATCCCAGTCGCAATGCGATCAAGGCCCTCCGGATTCCTTTGCGCTTCCTCGACTAAAGTTGCCGGATCCAAGCAAAATAGTGATCAAACGCCTCGCTGCTATGCCCGTGCATAGCATGCTCGCTCGGGTTTCCAGCCTAAACCCTCCTTGAACCTGGAGGTTCAGACTCAAAAGTCAAATAAGTGAAGAGACTATTGTGTCTACTAGAGATGATGTAACTATGAAACTACCCATCAGTCTTCGTGTTGGCACCATCCAGAGGGCCCCGCGAGGCCGGAGACTCTCGGGCGGGTGCAATGCCAGGTGGCGCCGGCGGTGGAGGTGAAGGATTGCCTCCAGACCCCGATCCTGGCAGTGGAGTAGGGATCTCGTCGGGTTTTGCCGATGCGGCCGATGCAGGGACGACCATGGGACCCTTTGGTACGCTCATGCGGTCCGGCAGGGACTCGCCTCGAATGACTTTCTCGACTTCTTCCTTGCTTAGTGTCTCGTATTCGACGAGTGCCTTGGCTAGTAGATCTAGCTCCTTGCGGTGCGAGGTAAGGAGTTGGCGGGTGCGCTCATACGCTTCATCAAGCGTACGCTGGACTTCTGACTCGATGATGGCCCTTGTCTCACTGCTGAGCGTTTCGTACCGACTGGAGTACTCCATGTTCCCTAGCTTCGTAGACATGCCCAGGGCCGCAACCATATTGAAGGCGATGCGAGTAGCGCTTTGGAGGTCCTATTATCCAACCGTTAGTTTTCAGATCATGGTATTGTTTGGGTGAGAGTTGAGAGCAGCTTACGGACGAAGCACCACTGGTGACCTGGTTAAGACCATAGACAATCTCCTCGGCTAGTTTTCCTCCCAGGGCCCCGTCGATCATTGCTAGATAGTTTGAAACGCTGTAAGAGTACTTGTCCATCTCCGGAAGATAAGCCGTGTGACCGAGGGAAGGACCACGAGGGAGAACGGTGACTTTATATAGTTGTGAAGCGGACCCCTTGCTGAGCAAGGTGGCAAGGGCGTGACCAGCTTCGTGATAAGCTGTCATCTCCTTCTCCTTGGCAGTAATGACCATGGTCTTTCGCTCGGCGCCCATGATGATTTTGTCTTTGGCCCAGTCGAAGTCTTCCTTCCTGACGGCAGTGGCCTTGTTCTTGCTGGCATGGACAGCGGCCTGGTTGACGATATTCTCAAGTTCGGCACCGGACAACCCAGAGGTAGTCAGCGCTATGGACTTTAGATCAACCTCTTTGGCAGCCTTGATCTTCTTCGCATGATGCTGGAGGATAGCAAGACGTCCGCGAACATCGGGCAGATCGACCGAGACATGGCGGTCAAACCGACCGGGGCGTGTGAGGGCCTTGTCTAGCATCTCGGGAAAATTCGTAGCGCCAATGATAATAACACTGCTGCCCTGATCAAACCCGTCCAGTTCAGTAAGGAGTTGGTTGAGAGTTTGCTTGACATATGCGGCGTCGCGCGCATTACGTTTGCCGCCAATAGCGTCCAGTTCATCGATGAAGACAATGGCCGGAGACTTGGCCTTGGCGGCGGCGAAGAGCTCTCGAACTCGCTTGGCACCAACTCCGACGTAGACCTCATCGAACTCACTGCCAGACATGTAGAAGAACGGAACACCAGCTTCACCGGCAACAGCTCGGGCCAAGAGTGTCTTTCCTGTACCGGGAGGGCCAACCAAGAGAATACCCTTGGGCAGTTTGCCTCCGAGCTGAGAAAACTTTTCGGGGTTGCGTAAGAAGTCGACCATCTCCTGGAGCTCTTCCTTGGCCTCGTCGGCGCCATGCACGTCGGAGAAACGAGCCTTCTGTTGCTCAGCTTTGGCCTCACTGTCAACCTTGCCACCTGGTCGCTTCAGAACACTCATCCCTTCAATGAGCATGGTGATCACAACCAAACTAAGGTAAGTAAAGAGACAGAACCACATGATAAACTTGACCCATCGGAAGATACTGCTGCCAAGGGGCTCGTCGACGACAACATGGAGCGGGCCGTCCTTGGCACCCGTTGCTTGAGTGCCGCTTTTGGCAACGGCCAAGTTGCCTCCACGAGATCGGGCAGCGAGCGCTTGGGTGACGGCTTGTACTTGCGTGGGTGTCAAGCTACCAGGCAAGTTTCTAACTGTCTCGTTGATATCCTCATTCTGACCACCCGAGCTTGCAGCCGGAGCTATGATGCTCAATGCCTTCTGGTACGCTTCCGTCGCGGCAGGGTTCATGGCGAATCGACCGGACTGGTATCTCTCGATGATGATAGCTGGCATGTTCGCCTTCAAGAGAGCCTGGTAGAATGCGTTCTGAGCAGTGGCGCTGGTTGGGTTTCGGTTCGCAGATTCCTCCATGTGGGCGAGTAGGTTCCGGGATAGCCCGCCGGACTGAAATGATCTTCGTTGCGACATGTCCATCCGCGCAAAGGGAGTTGGCGACATGCGGAAGACTGCCGAGGTGGACATAGGTCGGATAGATAGGCGCTGAGGAAACAACCTACGCGCGACCGGGTTCGAGGCAAAGAGAGCGCTTCGTTGCATGGTCGAGATGGAGGATCGGATGTCGAACGAAGCAGGGACACATTGCTGTGGCAAACGCGTCGGGGCGAGAGCTGCATCGTGTCGAGGGTCTCGAAGGAACTCTGGCAGCTCGAATTTGGGTAGGGCGGCAGCAGGCCGAGGCTGAACTGGTGACGTCTCGGAACTCGATGCGATGTTCAGGTTCCGCGACTGCTTCGGAGTTGACGAAGGTGCTCGGAAGGATACCATCAGGGTGTTCGCAATCGAAGGCCAGATCTCCGTCGTCGCCGCAGCGATGCTCGAGAGAGCTGGCGTCTGGAACGCCATGGCGACCTAGTTTGGGCGCGCGTTCCGTCAGGCCGGGACGAGGCCTCTGTGGCTTCGTGTGGGTGAAAGTATGCTGCGGTCGAATATAACAAGCTCCAAAAGGACCGAAGTGGGAGAAGAAGTGAGGCTCGGGGCTCGCCACAATCACGACATGAGTAATTGACACTGGACAGAAGGAATCCACCTGGAGAAAGGACGAGAGTGGCTAAGCAAGTACTACTAGTATCTGCTGAAAGGCGATGGTGGAGGAAACTGACCGCATTCTTCCGGGCCGCACCTGACGAGAACGAGATTCGAGATTCTCAGCTGCCCTGTGAATCGAAAAAGGCGGCGAATCTGGAGGTTTGCTTCTTCCAAGGCTGACGCCAGGTTGGTTGACGTTGCCAGCTGGAGCCCGGGCCTCCGCGCCACTGCAGGTGCACTGGACGCCTGGAGCTGCCCTGCCGGTGGAGCTGTCCGTCGCCGGTCTTCGGCAGAAAGTGAGCGCCGATATCTTAGGCACGCTAATCTCTTTCGGTCATAGTCCGGCTCAAGCTAATCCCCCTTATCCACCATCTACACGACGCCCTTGAGCTCGCGCTTGTCCAAGGGAGGAGGAAGACGAACAGATACTAGGCGAGAGGCACAATTTCTGAGCAGTGCTCTTGATGGCAATCTAGGTAGTCATCGTATTGAGTTGAATTTCCAATTTTATTTTATCTTCTGGCCACTGGTCATGCAACTAGTACTGACAGCGGCCAGTGACCATTGCAAGGTGTCTATCTCTCAAGGCCCTGCCGTTGTCTTCTATTTCTCGGCATGTGCAAAGAGTGCCTCTCCCTCTCTTCATCGTATGACCAGTTCCCGTATAGTCAATCCTGCCCGTCCTCTTGACGAATCGCTGACTTAGTCTCACTCTCTAATAGCTCTACTTCTACATCGGTACGACGTCTGTAATCTACAGTCATGCAGGCTGGTTCTGTGTCCCGACACTTCTAAGACTGGCTGACATCCCACACGTTCCCTGTCTTGTTGCTGATCTACAATTCTTCATGACACATCACCCCACCCCGACTAGCTATCATTCGTCAACCCTCTGCGGATCGCGAGGACATTGTCCACGATCACAGCATCGATGCCTTCTTTGACTTGGCGCTAGAGAACACCTCGGTCAGTACTCACTCCAAATCATCGCAAGAGTTTGAGAGACCATACCTGAACCAATAGGGAATCGTTATTCTGCGTCCCATAGCTGACGCAAACCAGGCCAGTCTGCTTCACCACCTTGACGAGCCGCGGGCTGTTCACAAAAGGCGACGCCTGACTGACGATGCCGAGCAGATTCCATCGACTGGCAAAACGGATCGCCTCCTGGAGACTGCTCGCCCTGATGTCGCTGACCTCCTCACTTCCAGCGTCCGTCAGAAACATGATAGGTATACTGGGCTGCTTGAAGCTGAGACAGAGGCATATATCCGGGTTGAAACTGCTGAAGATGATGTGCCGGTTCTTGGCCATATCGTACACCTTCTCCAAGACGGTGTCGCAGAACGAGTTCAGCTCAATCGCGTACGTGTCCATATGCTGTTGCTCGCTCTCCAGAAGCATGGGATACTTCATCTCGATGTTGAACCCCACGTTCTCGGGTACCTTCTTGAAGAGCTCTTCTAAAGTGGCGAAGGGGTCCTGGACGAAGTTGCCACGCGTGTTGGCCTTGTAGCCCGACTTTTTGAAGTTCAGAGTATACTTCATACGTTCATCGAGGTCGAGGGTATCCTTCACGCCCTTGGCAAGATCCATAGACATTGCTCTCGGTCTCGGTCCGGTCTCGTTCTTGGCGCCATTCCCATTAGTATCATTCCGCCGGCTCTCCGGTGAGTCTCCGCCGGATCCGCTGCTCGTTCCATTGTTGATGTGGAGGAATTGCTCGAGTGTCAAGGTATGCACTGGAGCATCGATTCCCGTCTCGCTCACCAGGAAGTCATGGTAGATGACAGGAACATGGTCCTTGGTCAACTGAACGTCGAATTCGACATAGTGAGCTCCCAAGTTTGCTGCGGCAATAAAAGATGAGATGGTGTTTTCACCAAGCTGGAGCGACTTGTTCGCCAGGAAGTTCTTGCCAAGCCCACGATGACCGAACACCATGGTCGAAGATAGCTTCCTCCAGTATGTCTGCTGGGAATTGACCTCCATATTGGGATGCGAGAATGGCGTGATGACCAGAAAGTTGAAGTTTACGGCACCGATAACCTCGAGGTTTGCGCCCATGATTGGCACACAAACGTCACCTTGGAGGTTCATTCGGCTCGTACCCAATGTAGGACGGACCGAAGACAGCAAGGCTACAGCACGCCCAACCTTGCTCTTCTCGTTCCCGGAATATGTCGGGACAATATCGAAAAGCAGCTTGACATCTGCTGAGTCCGTGATGGAGAACAAGATTGGCTCAGTTGAGATGTTGTCGTGCACTGGCAAGTCTATGGTTGTTGGCTCGCCGATGGCCCCTTGCGCCGAAACGACAATGGACAAGGCCGTGTCAAGTTGGTTCGTATGTGCATCCGCGAGGGGAACGCGGTCAAGCTTGACAGCTTCGACATCCTTTCGCATATCCATCGAGCCCAAGCTTACCATGACAAGGCTAGTATCTTTGAGGTAACGATGGCCGAAAGACTTGACCGGGTCTGCAATCCTAGTACTGCCTTCTGATTTTCTGTCTTCAAGGGACGATGTTTCAGGAGGGGATGAGGACGTAGGCGACGTTTCTGTTGATTCTGAGCTGTTCGTTGGCGAGGCGATGGCCGTATGAGGTTCCAGGAGCTCGGCAATACGCAAATGGCCCCTGAGAGCAGCGTGCTCTTTGGCAGTCCAACCGAACGAGTCAGGTTTTGACGCATCGACACCAGCATCCAGCAGAATCTGCGCCAGAGTGAAGTGGCCATCGACAGCTGCTATATGCAGAGGAGTCCACGCAAATGACTTTTCGGTAAGCTCCAGATTTGCTTTCTGCTCGTCCGAGCCCTCCAGCAAGACCTTGGCGCACTCGACATGCCCGAACCGTGCAGCAATATGCAGCGCAGTCTCACCAGTCTCATCCTGCCAGTTGATGTCGACTCCTGCTTCTACCAGCATTCTGACAATGGCCACGTAATTCGCCTTGCTAGCCATTGCCAGAACAGCACTAGACTGGGATACTGCTCGTCGCCCAGTGTTTTTGACGTGGTGAAGACCTTGCCAGTCCTCTCCAAGTAACAGACATTTGGTAGTCAACGGATGGCCACCAATGACAGCAAGGTGCAATGGCGCATTTCCTTCCTTGTCCTGCCACTCTGGAGCATCGATTCCGTTATCAACATTGAATTGACCCCATTCTTGCATCTTGGCCATGATGACTTGGCACAGCACAACGAAGCCGTACTGCGCAGCATAATGGAGGGGAATGCGGCCCAGCGAGTCCTTGCTGGACAACGCAGAGCGTTGCTCCGGCTTGAGATTTTCAAGCACATAACACAGAATCTGAACAGTCTCGTCATCCTTGTTCAAGAGACCGGAACTCTCCAGATTTTCTTTGGGTTCACGATTCGGCATCACGCCGTTGGGCTGCGCGGGCGCGACGTAATGGCTATTGTAGTGGGAACTCATAGGGAATGCAACAGCATTAGGTTCAAGATCTCCGGCCGTGGACGACGTTTTGGTGCGGCCAATGTGTATCACCATGCGGTGTATGGCATTACGTTCGTTGAGGTCGCTCGGCTCATCCAGAGTTGTTGCCTGCTGCAGGAGATAGGCAATACACGCTCTGGCCCGGGTGGTTATAGAACGCTGTAAGAGGTTGAGCAATATCTCCTGGGCTGCTTGTTCAGTTGTCACGAGGTTGTCCTTGACGGAACACCAGCTGCTCTGTAAGGCAGCCGCGTCGTCTTTGCGGATTGAGCCCTCAAGCCCGTCGAGGACGCCCTGTGGAACGCTCAACATGGCTTTGGCCGTCACTCTTCCGAGCGATCGGACGGATCGTCCCGACCTATCTGACTTGGCATCGTCCACGTTCTGGGCATCGCCAAGCACGGAAAGCCATTTGTTGATCTCGTTGATGAGGCGCACAACGGTGGTGTCCCTTGCAAACGGTTTGGGGTCGACCTTGGTAGTGATATAACGCTCTTGCGTCGTCGACTTGGAGACCTTCTTGTCCAATTTCTTGGTGATCTTGACAAAGCCTCTACGGTTGATCTCTCCGAACCACTGGAGGTTCCTGAGCTGGTTCCGCAGCTCGAGCAGAGCTCCCATCAGCTCTTCCGACTCCTGGTCGTCGAGATCGGCCACGACATCCGGGCTACTGCCGTATCGATCCTGGAGTAGCTTGAGGCGGCGATGGGCCTCGCCAAACTTCTTGTTGTAGAAGGAGTCGACATCCTCCAGGTTGCGGTCCAGAGCGAAGAAGAACTCTGGTGTTCTGGTTAGGGGATGCAACGGGGGTCCACGAGGCCTCAGTTAAGGAGGTAGCCCACCTGCTAGATCAACCCTCTCGCCGGCTTTGGCCGTCTCGGCAGCGGCCTTGATCAACTTCTTCAAGCCCTTGTAGTTGATATAAGAAGATGCCCACTCGGGGACTTGGTTGCGCGGTAGACTATGGCATATGGTGAGTGTGACAGGAACGAGAGGTCAAGGAGAACATGAAGCCTACCTGCGTCCGAACTTCATGTTGCACGTGTATCTTATCCGACGGATGCAGGAAAGGAGGATACAAGTGCACCGCGATAGGGAACGGAACTGGGCTATGCCCAAGGTCGATCGACACCGATGTTACAACAAGTACAAGCAAGTATGCAATAGTATGGAGCTCTCGCCTTCCGGGCTTTTTGTAGGTGGGGAACAAGATCGGCCAGTCAGTGGCAGCGCTGACGGGAAACCAGATGACCTCGGGAGGATCGTGAAACACCCAGACTGTTTGCCTCCGAAACTTGGAGTGGAGTATGAAATTTCACCACGTGAGAGAATGAGAGGTGATTACGAGTAGGCGGTGGGCTGGATTGTCTGTTCCTGCAACTGAGCGCAGAGTCCAGTCGCCATTGAAGGGTGAAGGGTGAAGCTTGGAGGTTCAATGTTCAAAGGGTGTGTGGGGAACGGAGCAGGAAAATCGAGAGAACAATGGACCTCTTTTAGTCACGGTTGGGGTGATGGATATTGTTTGACTGTAAAGTCGTGAGTATTGGATCGAAGCAGCAGGGTGCAGGTTCTTTGTATGTGTCTGGTCGTTGCCCTGATCATTGATGGCTGAGATGTAGATGTAACATGGAGGTCCGTTTAGAACGTGAACGCCACCACTTCGAGGAGGTAGGTACGGAAGAGGTATACAGCACAAGAAGAAGAGAGACTGGAAACTCGGAGACCCCGTCTGCGTTAACAGCAGTGATGTAATAAGCCTAAAAAGACAAGCTATGAAACCCACTATTCCGACATCAGACAGCCCTGGAGGTTAGCGGTGAGACCTCCCGGACGGAAAGTCGGCTTGCCATTTTTAGTCCAAGACGACGGTTGAATAACGTGAGGTTGAGTTGCTTGTTTGCTTGTCAAAGCCGCGGGACGCACCTGCAGCCAACAGATCCGTGCGACAGCGAGTCGTGGTACCGCTCCCAGGCTCTGATTGGCCAGTTGAGGAATCCAGGGGCCGTCACTAGCAGTCCCGGGCCCCGGCGACTCGTTACGTTCAGGGCACACACCACTGACCCACCACCTGCCACCGCCGAACTCTCTCTGTCTGCATCTGTCAGACTGTCACCATGTCACTGCAGGTGGTCAGTGGTCGATGCGATGCGTCCACTCGATGCGACCACGATCCTGCTCTGCTGTCCACCATTCGGCACCCCTCCAAGGTACCCCGACTGCCCGACCAGCCCGACTTACATTCTGCATGCATGCGCTCTTGAACACGGGGACTGGTGTCACCTCCCAATGATTAGGAGGTCCATGTATGTGGTGACTATAACTCTACCGCCACACCGGTTTCGGTTCCGTCAAGTCAGATCAACTCAAGTCACATCAGCTGGTCCAACGTATGTCCCTTGGCTGATATGTATGCGCGGAATTCGCTCCGTGTACAAGGGCTGTTGCGTGGACGCATATGCATGATACATCTATTTACATGTATGTTCTATCGTATGTATGGGTGGTCTTCATGTACAAGGAACAGTCGCCTGTTCCAGCTCCTCTCTTTCTTATGCCAAGAGTCTACAAGGCCAATGATGGCCCAGCAGTCCAGAGCGTACATATGTATGCTACATATCATACATGGCTCCCCACACACCAGAGTCCCCTTCGAGCCGGCTCCTCACCCCAGTGCGGCAAAGTGAAGAGACATGCTCTCGTCACTCGGCGTATTCGTCGGCCTGGGTAAGCAGGATAGCGCCACCGGCTTTGGTGCGCGCAATTCCGTCCCGGGATGCGCATATCTTGCCGTGCCATCTGCAAGCACGATGTCCTCTCGGCGAGTTGCTGGAAGCACGAGTGGTGGCATGTAGGTAGAGGGGGGTAGCTCCGCTCCTTTGTCCAAGTCTTGCCGCTCTGCTGCTTCAAGAAGAGTCGCTTGTTGTCCGAGATCTCTGTGCTTCATACGATCGACAAGCTTGCAGACAAGCTTCTCGGCAACTTTCTCGACCGGCATGCGGTACCACTCGGGGTATTGAGACCGGAGCTCATGTTGTGTTTGGCTACTCAGGTTGACAAACAACGTAGCTCTGATGTCATCTTCGGCGTTACCGACAGCTTCCTCAAGCTTTCTTATACCAACGTTGTGGCCTTGGTCTTCGGGCTCCGGCAAGTCGACTGAGCCAGGTAGATAGAAAGATGCCAAGACTCGCATCGGCATGTCTTCTGAATTGCCAGAATTCTCAAGCCTCTTGACCAGTCCAGCAGCATTGGGTATTCGTTGGAGAAGCTGATTCTTGACATCACCTTCTGTCATTGGACCCGAGCGTAGTTCAATGTGCCCGAGAGCCCGGCGAAGGACCCTGTGTGAAAGTTCTGGAGCCTCGTACCGACTCTGTCCAACCGGCCTCCGATGTCTTTCAGGAGTCAGAATAGACGAAGTGTCAAAGTCGTAACCCGTCTTCATCTTGATGACGAGAGCATGCGCCATCGCGGTGATAGCTTCGATATTGTCCTTCAAATCTCTGTACCTCCGATCAATCGAGAGTAGGCCTGCCAGTCGATCGAAGCCAATCATGGCCTCCGAATCCTTTCGCCTCATCTGCTGAACTGCTTCCAGGTCGGCAATGGCTCTGTCGAGGCGGTTGACAAATGATCCGCCCGGATTGCTGAGTCCCTTGACTGTGGACATGCACAGTTGCGTCGTTTCCTGCACTTCTATCTGCAGTTGCATTCTTTTAACAAGCAATTTCAGCTCCTGCGTTGCTGCGCGGTAGGTATTGCCGACTAGGCCATATAACTCGTCGTAAGGAAGCCAGCATATCTCCAGCAGATGAGAAAGGCTCCCAACTACCATGCGAGATGTTGCTGTTGAGCTGCGACGCATTATGGAGTTGACTATAGCGGCAAACCCTCTGAAGTTTTTCGCAATGCCTATGAGCAGTTTCCGTGCTGATGCAACATCGACCGTTGCCAGACAGGCCCTGAACAGATCATGAAGCGTCTCGGCTTGAACCATAGCCCCTTGGCGCATGCAAGCCACGAACATCATAGCCGCGTTGCAAACTTGCCCGTAATGGAGCCAGCACTTGATCAGGCTGTCAAACACATCGTCGCCCCTGTGTACCCGCTGGACGAAAGCGTGCTTACGCGAGGCACAGTTCTTTGAGGCCCATTTGAGGAACCCGTCCGAATGCACGAGCTGCTTGGCGAATATGCGAACGTTTAGGCCGGTGTCTTTCACACCCCTCATCCTTTGGATGGTGTCTCGCATGCCTTCTAGCTCGTTCGTCCCTCGATAGTGGTTGAGGAGACAAACCATTGTCTGCTGCGTGGCCGGCCATGCAGTGTTCAGAATGTATGAATCGATCACTGCCTGCGCCAGATCAGGTCGCTGAATCCTGTTGAAACCAGCAATGAGCGTGTTGTAGGTGTGCATGCTCGGGGGCGCACTCGATGTCAGGAGATTGTAGCATATCTTTCCAACAACCTTCTTCGATGATGTCGCTTGGTTGAAAATGCGGCGGATCGATTCACTCAGCATGGACCGCGTCCTGGCAGTATTGCGGATGTCCCTTTCCGGGTACTCGTAGCTAGGGTAGTGTGGACTCCGTCTGACATCTTCGACTTCTTTCCATAATGCATCTTCCGCTTCGGTATCCACCCCATCAATTCCCGCCTTGTCTCGATTCCGTGTGCCGTTTTGTGTCTGGCTTCGGGACAGCAATTGGCCAACCAGCTCTTCGATTTGAGTCGTCGTACGCCCAAGGTGATCGTCGGTCTTTGGTTCCCGAAGGATACAGTTTGGGTCTCGTTCTTCGGCTGCGATTGCAGCTTCGATCTTTACCCAGTCCACTTGAACCTGTACCCACGACGGACGAGCAAGAGGTCGATGAGTTATGTCGCATAAATGTCCCAGCTCCTGTAGTAAAGTACTGGAGGCCTCTTGTCCCCTCCAACTTGATAATGGCGTTGGGTATGCGGGGCCGTTGGAAGGTCCGGTCTCGATGCCATCGTGCTGGCCGCCATGCTGGCTCCGGGACTCCTGACCCGGCAATGTACTCAACGCGGCTCTGGCCTTCTCCAACTTCGCATCGAGCTCCTTGCGCCTGGCCTCCTTCCTCCGCGCGTCGAGAACGGTAGCAGTGCCTAGTATGGTGGTGTAGCAAGCGGTAAAGAGGTCGGCAGCGGTGACTTTCCGCCTCGAGGCGGCGGTGGTAGATCGGCGTGTTATCGTATTCGTGGCATGGAGGCAAGCTCGACAGCGACAGGAGAACTGCGCCTGAGCAGCGCGGGACCACAGTGATTGCATAACTCAGTCATGTCGTCCGCCGGAGGTCAGCGCTGGTGCCCAATTGGCGTCTTGCAGGTTGTTGTGCGTCAATTGGGCGGTTCGGCGAGATGATGTTAAAAGGTGCTCGCTCAGGTTCAGGTGGGACCATCCGGATGGGAATCAGGTCACTTCAACGCAGCTGTTGCCGGGCTGTCACACAGACTTGGCAGTGCCAGCCTTTATCAATGGACAATGTGCCACCACCTCGAGAGTCGAGGAGCATCGATGAGGCCTCGACCAATCTACCTCCACATCACCACTACAGCATGCAAATGATCTGAGTCTCGGAATCCAAGTCAAGATGTATGCACTCACTTTGACTGCTGAGCTCAATGGGTAAGTCTGTACAAAGTCCCATGCCCACCGATTTCATGGATCTGACTGGGGTGATATTCTAGAGTGACGAACTTGCGGCCCAAGGATACCGCCGAAGATCCATTCTGGTATACCTTCACCGTACAGTGTACATCCTGCCGCGAGACGCATCCCAATGCAGTCAGCGTCAGCAGATTTGTGAGTACTCTGTAACTCAGATTTCATCGACCTGTTGTTGCAGTTTACTGACTTCAACCAGGAGATGAACGAGCTGAGCGGCAGCAGAGGCGAAGCGAATTTCGTGTGGAGGTGCAAAAACTGCAAGGTTTGTGTACCATTTACCATGCATTCGACACACACAACTAATTCAGTCTGCAGAGAGAGTCATCCTGCTCCATCAAGACCACGCCCAAGCCTTACCAACAGAAGGAGCCGGCAACACAGCAAACCGTCATCGAATTCGACTCCAGAGGCCTGGAGTTCACTTCCTTCTCTCCCGAGGTAAGTCCTGCTTCCCAGAATTATGTTATTCGTCAGCTTGGAGACTGAAGTGATTCAGGGTGAATGGCTAGCAGATGGTTTGGAGTCTGGTACGAAGTTTGAGGGCATCGACTTAGGGGAGGGTGAATGGTACGACTATGACGAGAAGGCCAACGATGAAGTCAGCATCAAGGAATTCAAGTGGGACATCAAGAGAGCTTAATTCAGGAGTCCTGAAGTCAATCAACATGGAATGAAATGAACCACTGCAAGTTCACTTGGTGTGGAAAGCCCTGGCACCACCGGAGACTTTGTCGGAGACTTCGTCCTGCACGAGAATCGTTTGAGCCGTTCGTCTCTTCCATTCTCATGTGTCCCCTATCCTGAATTTTGACGGGCGACACATGGAAAATGCCATGGTGAGTAGAAAGAGGATCACGACGATTGAGCGCTGAGCAGTGACATCGGCCCCATTGCAACCTACATCCCCAAATATCGCCACCGAACAAAGATCGCATCAAACCCAAACTAGAATGATTGTACTTCTCGTGGCTTCAAGGTAAAATACCTTACACAATACTTGACTCGTAAACAGAAGTAGAAGCTGGCTGGCTGGCTGGCCAGAGTGAGGCTGTAAACCCAACCAAGCTCAAGTGGGGCCTTATCCAAAGCTCAGAACTCCACCACCCAATCAACATCGAGAGCAAAAATCCCAACTGAGGCTTCAGCCTCGAGCCTCGTCCATTCATTTTCCACCCGCGACCGCAACACAACAGCGGCGAAGAACCACCACAGAGCAGAACAACAAGCAGCGCCCCTGTAATCTGCCCACCATGAGTGTAAGCCGCTGCCCTATCTTGCGCAATCTGCAATCTGCAATCTGCATATTCAGTAGCTGACCCAATGCCCACAGTTCATGCCAGTGAACCCGCGGCCGATGCTGCAGGACCTGTACGTCCTCCACGCTCCAGCCCCCTCGCGACCCCCTCCCTTTCCTACTGCGCGACGAAACCAACCGACATTCCAGTCTCGAGTAGAGAACAAGCACTGACGATTCTTTGGGGGTGATATAGTGTCAACAAGGACATCGTGGTGCGACTGAAGTGGGGCGAGACCGAGTACAAGGGCAGACTGGTGTCCATCGACGGCTACATGAACATCCAGCTCACCAACGCCCAAGAGTACATCGACCAGAAGTTCACGAGCGACCTGGGGCAGATCCTGATCCGGTTCGTCGTCCTCTCTTTCATATCGACAATACGGTTCATGATTATGGGAACTGCAATACTGACTGTTGGCGCGATGTGATGGAACAGGTGCAATAACGTATTATGGATTAAGGGCGCGGATCAGGGCGAGAGTGCCGATACGAAGATGGAGGGATAGGCGCCGGTGGCTGTCATTGCTGGTACGAAGCTGGTATTGAGGTTGCTTCTGCGCTGGCGAGGTGGTAGCATGATACCCCTGGATGGAAAGAAAGCGAGATTCAGATGGACGATGGCGGCCTGGTGTGGAAATGCTTTGGATGACACAATGAGCGGCTTCGCCAGAAAAGGAGCTGAGAGGCCGGGATGCTCCATTGGACCCCATTGGACCCCCGTGGAGATACGGGCGGGACGGACAACTCGACACGTTTGTCAGGGAAAATGGCGTCCGGACAGTCATGGCATTCATCATCACAAAGCTCAGGGGCACATCAAAACATGGGAAGGCGGACCATCGTTCACTTCTCTTGGTATCTCTGTAGCAGGGCAGCAGCAGCAGCATCTTCGATCGGAGCAAGCCTCTAAAGAAATCTGCAAAAAATGCAAAAGCTTTTCCCAACCATCACATGTGCCTCCTTTACCGGCCCTTTTGCTGCTTCCTGTCATCGTGCGCTCCGTGGACCAGCAATGCAGTGTAGGTAGGTACTGACACATCACATCTGGCAAGCCACCTTTCGGCTACTGCACAGCTCTGAACCACCAACCTTGACCCTCTGGGAAGGACCAACCCACATGAAGGCCTCAACCATCCACTCGTACCATACCTTGGCATCGTCCGTCTGCCGCCACATGCTGACCTCGAGCTCTGTGTCTGGCGGGAAGTAAAGCGGTTGCTAGAGAGAATCGTTAGCCGTTTCCCGGTTCTTGACAACTATGGCATGCGATAGTTGAGACGTAAGGGGATTTGATGGTGGAAGGGAGAGCGCCAACTCGACGTACCTTGAGCGGAAAGAAGATAGGGAACCACGAGATCATATCTTTGCTCTTTCTATCAATCATTTCCGGGAGTATGCTCAGCTCAACCTTCTGCTTCGCCTCCGGCTCTCGGTCGCTGTCACCTGCTGATGTCGTTCCCTTGGGCGCATAGAGCACCGCCTCGAAGTATCCTGCGAGACCGTGGATTACACCGCGCGACCTACACACGAATGTAAGGTGGCAATGCCGAGCGTTGTGGTCGTTGGCACCGACACCGCCCGACATGCTGCCTCCTCCGCCGCCGACAACGCCACCAGACCTGCGCGCCTCGACCGCATCCATTGTCGCCTGCGGCAGAGGGTGCACAAACTCCCATGCCTGCTGGAAGCGGGCGCGGCCCGGCACACGCTGGGCCACGAAGTCGAGAGCGAACAGCCGGACTACCCATGGCGTATCAAAGGCATTGATGTCGCCCGACTCTCGCCGCTGGCAGATGTCGGCAAAGATACGGGGTGTCGAGATCGGGCTGAGGTGCGCCGTGTACGAGCTTGGGATCGAGATGCCGTGTTCTGGGACCAGCACATGCTGAATACCGTCGAGACACTCGGGCGAGAGCTCATTGTCGCCGAAGGAGCCGAGGAGCTCCGATACGAGGATGTCGACGTTGCCATGGACTACTTCGGCGTCATCGGGCGAAGATACGATTGGGCCTTTCCAGGCTCGCATATCGGTCTTGACGACTGTCACGCGGCCGCCCCACTGCGTCTGATTCTGCCGCAGGAGGTAGACGTATGCATTCGGGTTCTTCTCCACGGCCCATACTTTGACAGGCACACCAGTACTTTCGCTGGCTCTGAGGGCACGCGTCACGAGAGGTCCACGACCAGAGCCTGCGACAGCGATAACGACACCGCCTGGAGACGACGCGGGTTTGCCCTGGTCTACCCATTCACGTAGAGCCTCCATGATAGCCAGTTCGTACTGATAGTACTTGACCGGGTCGCCTTCGAACACCTCATAGGTAATGCTCTCCAGATTGTCGGAAAGGGGCTGCAGTGGCGATTGCAGCCAGTCCTGGAAGTTGGTCAGGGTGTTCTGCTCCATGACGCTGAGGGGCTCCTGCTGTCTCTCGACGTGTCTCAGGTACGAAGAGTAGGCATTGAGAACCTTCTGGCCGCTCTTAGCGGGTTGCGAAGCAGCAGCCTCTTCCAAAGTAGGGAACTCGGCCGCAGACGAAGTACCCACGACGTCCTTAATATCGGGGCCAGCTTCCACCTCGGGTCCGACATCGCAAAGTATGAAATACGGGGCATTCTTGAGTTGCATATAGGTCATGATCAGGTTCTGATGAGCTCGACTCAGCGATGGGTGGTCGGCTTTATTCGTCTGAAATGCCTGAGGGCCAAAGGTCAGATACTGAAGTGGTTCGGAAAACCATCTGGTCTGCAGTTCCTTGTCGGGAAGCACTCGGGGCACTTTCAGAGCTGAAAGGGAGTCAGTAAGCGATGATACAAAGGCGATGGGTGAGTGAAGGGTCCCCCTTGGTTACACCGGTGTATATGTGCATAGAGCACTATACATGGGCAGAGGGACATGGGAAAGAGGAGTACTTACCGACTAGAAGTCGTGAATCGTACTCGCAAGCAGTACGTATCACATGCCAGGAGTCCCAAGCGCTGAAGAGGTCAATCTCCTGCCGATCTTGCGATTCATCCTGCTTATCCTTGGACAGAGACAAGAGCGCTATCTTCTCTTCCAGGCCAGGCTCACGATACATGGGCATGTGAATGATAATGTTGACGCGAGTGCCGATCAACAGGGTCTCCTGTATGGCTCGGGCATACTGCGCAACGCCTTGGCTGTTGCCGAGCTTGAGAGAGTCTTGTCTGGGCCCAGGTACAATGATACTCCTGACGCCGCAGAAGTTGGCATAGGCGACTTCGAGGTTCAGGACCTGTCTGGATATGCTCGATACGATGTGATTCGAAGAGCAGAGGTCGATCCACGGGCTTGAATAGGCGATGAATCCACCTGTGTAGGTTCCTGGGTAAAGAGTGGTGTCCTCGGTGGTCAAGGGGGGGACAATAGGGTCAGGGCGTGATCCAGAACTCTGCTCGCCACCCAGATCCGACAAGCTGGTTTCCAGCAGTTGCAATATACGCTCATGGAAACGGTCATTAGTGATGGGGGTGGTGACAAAACTGAACTGTGGCCGATTAGCATCGAGGTAGTGTAGAGCTGTGAAGCCACACTTACACCGGAGTTCAGGACTTGGCCATACTGCAAGTCGGTGAGAGTCTCGGATCTGGTGGAGTCATGCTGGCCAATGTAGAAAGTCGGACGAATCTCGTCATAGGCATCGGACTCGTTGTCCATGAAATCCTTGGCCATCGTAGCTGGTTGATTTTGTTGCGACGAGGCTGCCATGCTGCGAGAGCGAGAGGTCCTTGTTCACACCCGATGTACCTTAGGTACTGTCAGGTGGGTACCTTTGGCGCGGGGCAGTTGGTGTCAACGAGTGAGAGGTCTGAAGGGAAATGCAAGCAAAACTCAGCGGGCCATGGTTGCTGGCAAGACAAGATCAGGCACAGAACTAACGAAATATTGCTTTACCGGGCATTCATGTTGGGCCTGATCGCATGTGGTGTTCACAAGAGACCTCCACGGCTGAAGGTAAGGCGTCAACGAAAAGCGACTGGGCACACACTGGGCTTGAAAAGTTCAATTGAGCACACACCGTTTGATTGGCTGAAACACCGCTGTCAACAACCACGACCCCTGTAACGCAGTGCCTGCCGAAGCTCTGGTCCCTCCCCCACGTCGCTTTTGCGCCAGAGCCTTCCAAGACTCCAAGTTGAAGCTACGAAAATCGGGCTTCTCCAGTGGTTGTCGCGTGGGTGGACTTGACCAACTCTACATGTAGCCAGTTGCTTTCAAGATGAATCGGCGCATGGTAAGCCAGATACATCGCCCCGACCCTTGAGTCTCTGCTCGAGATTTTGCGCCTACTGACCGCTGGTTGCACCCCGTCTAGCTCACCAAAGACGAAGAGGGGGCCGCCGACGAGGTCGAGGTCCGTCGCGAAGACCAGGACAAGATCAACAAATTCAGCCGCCTACACCAGCGGGAGCTGAATCTAGAGGACGAGCTCAAGAACAAGAACGTGTGTTTTTTCACAACAGCATACAGCATACAGCGACCGTTACTAACAAATGCGACTTTGTAGAAAGAAAAGGAAGAGCTAGACGATGTCACTATGGAGCTGGAACTCGCCGACGAAGACGATACCGTGCCGTAAGCCTACCTACCTACGTCGAATACTGCAACGGCCCTCGCCCATCGCCATCACAGCAACTGACAACCGTTGCGGACATGCAGGTACAAAATCGGCGATGCCTTTTTCCACGTCCAACTACCACAAGCACAGGAGATGCTGGCCTCGTCGACAACCCGGATAGAGGAGGAGGTTTCGGTGCTGGAGGACAAGCTCGGCACCACCAAGGAGGAGATGCAACAGCTGAAGGTGGAACTGTACGCTCGATTCGGCCGCAGTATAAACCTCGAGACGTAATACTGCTGCAATGGTATAAAGTGCCTAAGTCAAGATGTGTTCCGGCAGCTGTTCCTTACATAAGGCCCGACCCGCATGAAGCCGGTACGATTTCAGGCAATCTGGGGCTTCAGTCAGACGTCCCACTAGAGAGAACTCTTGGGAGCATTGCAAAGCATTGGGGTAAGTAATATGGAGCTGCAGGTGACGTACCTGCTATGTGCTTCGCGAGAGATATGTACCTGAGTACCCTGGAGTCTTCGCTCCAGTGTCTTGGTCGATCTGTGTCTTTCGATGAGAAGCGAATAGGGTCCAAGAACCCCAGATATACTCCAACCACAGCAACGCCGACCCCTATTTCCCCTGTCGGTGTGCGGTGCCCATAAGCCGGCCATCGAGGGCTGGGATCCCGTCACGGAAAAGGGGTACGTTCTTCTTTTGATCGTGAGAATGAAGACTTGCTTAGAAGTCTACAGCACTCCAGGTTATGCCAAACTCCTAGAGCTGTTCATGAGTCTACCTTGGGAGCAGGCACTCACGCAAGGGGGCATTGGATATAACTGGTGGCGTGCTGAGGGGCCTATGATCACGCTTGTTTTATAAACTATTGGGGTACAGACAATACTGAACGTTTGAAGATCAATTGTATCCCGTGAAACCCATCTCACAGCTCATCGTGTGGACCACCACTCCCAGCTGCGCTTTGCCCATCCCACGGCTTGACCTTGCCCTGAACAATGTCCATCACAAACGCACCCACACTCTCGGATGTGATCTTCGCGTGGGGAGGATAAGGGAAGACCTGTCCGAGCATAGGGTTCTGCACCGAGAGTCCCGGAAACGCACCGGATGCGAGGCCCAGCGGCGCTGTCATGTCAGCGTACTCGTTGGCGTCGACCGTGACGAAGCTGAGATACTCCTTGTACGTCTTCGCTACGGTTCTCATGCTATCAACGAAGGCCTCGCGCTCCTTGGATGCAGTCGCAAAGTAGTAGACTAAAGACTTTCCGGACTGCGGACAAGTATTAGTCAAAACACGCACATCGATGTGATAGTCTGCCTCCCAGAGGATCGAGCAGCCGTGCGTACCTGCAGATACTTCATCTCGTTCGCCCTCGTAAATTCGCCAATTAGCGGTGCCATGCAGCTTTCAACAAACTTGGGCAGTGCATCAATCGCAGTGAAATCGGAGATGGTCGTCTTCAGCTCATCTTTGTTGTTATAGCATTCAATCGTGGTTCGACCCTCTGTTTCTATTGAACCGAAGGATGACCGGTCTCGGTATTGCGAGGCGATGGTTTTGTAAGCCTTGGTGACATGCTCGTCCTGCGGGTTCAAATGTGCGACGAAAACGATGTCGTCGGTCGAAGGAAACCTAGCGATCTTCTTCTCGCTCAGCGCGGTCACCGTCGGACGCGCGGCTCTTTTCAGAAACGAGGTGATACTGACGGTAGTGAAGATCAGCGACTTATCTGGAAGCAACATACTTGGAGTGTGTAGGTCGCTCACGCTGATGCTCTCCGAGGCCCGCGATAGGGTGACATGTTGGCATGACCATCGAAGAACCTCAAGGCAGGATAGGAGACGATTTCATGCTCGTTGCATAGTGCTGCCTCGGTGACGCAGTCGATGCTCATCAAGGCCTCTTCAGTCTCGGCCAGCGGTGCCCATTCTAACTCAAGAGTTTGACTCGCAGGCCTGAGGTTTGTCTGTTAGAAGATGTTATATTCATGGGAAGAAGAGGTATCGTCGCCTACGTCGAAGGCTTCGCGCGTCGATGAAGGGAGTAAGCTAGAATTTCTCAAAGTGTTACGGTACGTAAGCGAAGAAAACACACCTCTACGACTAGAGCGAGTGAATGTATTAGCAGGTTGGCCATTCCCTCCCAGTCTTTCTTCAAGTCGTCCAGAGCACTTACACGCAACCAGCACACGGTTATGCCCCGCCACAGCTCGTCGAAACTCATATTCTCCACTGTGTTTCCAAGCTGTAGTGGTGCCCGCCAGCCCGCAAGCCAAGAGCGACAAGCTGCGGTATTTCATCCTGAGTCTGGGTATAATGTCAGTCGTCGATCGTGAAGCTCCAAGCTTTTGATCTCATTTTGTCACAGCTTCGCGGTTCAGGAGCTGGGTTTCTGGATGGCGAGCGGGCGGGATGAAGTAGGCAGCTGAGGAGCACACTGGGCTACCCTGTAGATCAGGGGTCTTGTCGCAGGGGTCGCCGGCGTGCAGATCAGACAAGGCATGCCCGAGCCATCCTGGTAGAATCTATCTTACCTTCCAGATCTCTCCACCAGAGGAGCTTGAGAAGGGGCTGGCGCGTCACTCCTCCAATGGATGGGCTTGCGCATAGAGACGTTTGACGTTTGAAGTTTCAACCCTGCAGCTTACCCCCCCTTTCCCAAGACTCGGACGGTTTATGAATGAGAATTGAAACCGAAACCATGCGTGGACACTGGACAGTAAATAATCAGAGTGGGTGTTATGGTCGACCGTGTTCGAGTTGTTACTCTTCTCGCAAATTTATAGCTGTCGTCATTCTCCCTTTCATCGCCTAGCTTGACGAGCATCCTTATACTTCCTTTCATACGTGTAACCGTATTCAAGATGAATCTGCTCAAGTCGCTCATGCTAGTAGCTCTAGCTGCGATTGCTACGAATGCCCACAGCCATCATCACGAAGACGATGCGCAGAAACCCATGGTCCTGGATCCTTCGTGTCGGCATCCGCCGTTCCAGAGCCACATCCTGTCCAGATCACCACTGGTCATCTACCTCTCGGGTTTCCTGACCGCAGACGAGCAAGCGCATCTGCAAGATATAACGTGAGTGCCGCCAACCAGGTCGGCGCAAGCAACGTGGCAGTTGACAGCCTCCCTCATAGCAAAGACACATTCACTCACTCGGCTGTTGCCGATGCCGCGGGTGAACAGGGACTGCGGCAGACACGCACCTCACAGAGCACGAACGTACCACGCGACCAAGTCGTCCGTTGTATCGAAGAGCGCGCGCTGTTATTCCAAGGCTTCGACATCCCACGAACGCATCTCGAGCCGCTGCAGCTTGTCAAGTACTCCAAGGACCAGCACTACCACTTCCACACCGACTGGTTCACAAACCCAGCACACGCGTCCTCCGTGACGGGAGGCAACAGGCTCAGCTCGTTCTTCGCCTACGTCTCGGCCGAGAACATAACAGGTGGGGGCACCAACTTTCCCATGCTCGCGGCGCCGAGTAACAAGCGGTGGTGCGAGTACATCGACTGCGATGAGCCTTGGGAGAACGGCGTCACTTTTCGACCGATCGTGGGCTCGGCCGTGTTTTGGGAGAACTTACTTGAGGATGGCACCGGGGACCAGCGTGCTCTACATGCTGGCTTGCCGGTCACGTCTGGGTCGAAGTTGGGCATGAATATTTGGACTCGTCAAGGTCCGCTGAGCGACGAAATTCGGGGGCCGGATGTGCCATGAGGTGAGGCCAGATACTACTTTGAGGCGTTCCAGGCATCCCGTATGTAACTATGCCGTTTGAGAGTCACTTAACAAGGGCAATCGCGGGGAATTGATGGAATTGTCATGTATTGAGTTCTTCGCTCTAGGCGAAATTGGTGTTCACGAGCTTGCGCTTGACGACACTGACACCGCAATCATTGCTGCCCCTGGCGGAAGCTATCTGGCATTCACTCGTATAAGACGTCAGCATAGCCTGGTAAAGTCAAACCAAAGCTCAAGCCCTACGTCGAGAGCGAGATCGCTGATCCCATCACAAGTTGAGCACTACTGACACATGGGTGCAAACACAAATCCAGTATTTGTGACCGGCTTGCTTCCATTCATTGTTGGTATTACCATACCCGGGTATCGATTGTTGCTTATCCCATAAGCTCGCATCCTTCTCTTACAACGCCCACTACTGCGCCGGTCTGTATCGCCTCGCTTCCGCCCCCCGAGACTCTGTATTCGATCTCGGCCAGGCCGTCCAGCCAGCGGATCATAGCCTCGGGCTTCACCTCCATCATGACCAACTGTTCTGACAGCGCAGTGATGATGTCGGCCAAGGCCAAACCATTTGCAGCCTTGAGGGTATTGATGGTTGAGAGGCACGTGGTGACGTCGCTAGTGGTCAGTAGCACGTTGGCGATCTTCGTGATAGCTTCGGGTGGAGGGGCTGCTATGCAATTGTAGATGGTCTCGGTCGTGATCATCTCTCGAACAACGTCCTTCTCGGCTACCTTCGGTCCGTCTCTGGGCTGCATCGGGGTGCCTGGCACAATAGGTCAGTACCAGCAGTCAATGGTGACAGCATATGGTAAAGTTGACTCACTTGATGCGTGGCACGCTTGAAGGACATTGAGCGCTCGTCGCATGTCTCCTTTGCTTAATCTGACAAGGGCATCTGTAGCCTCGCCGCCGATCTTGACTCCCTCCTCAGCAATAACCTTGTCCACCAAGACCCGAATGTCGTCCTCCTTCAGCGGACTGAATCGGAATCGTGTACATCTGGATAGCAGGGCCGGGGAGAGCTTGTGTGTGTAATTCGCAATAATGCAGAACCGTGTGTTGGCTGTGTACTTCTCCATAATTCTTCGCAGTGCCATCTGTGCTGTGTTGGTCATAGCATCGGCCTCGTCTAGAATGATGAGCTTGTAGGCTGCCATCCCCCCCTTCCTTGACGCGCCACCCATGGTGAAGATCTGCTTTGTCGATGCGAACGTCTTGATCTGTTCACGCACGACATCAATGCCGCGATCGTCCGAGGCGTTCAGCTCTAGCACCATCTGTCGCATGTTCTCTGTTCCGTATATCCGTCTCGCGAGGGCCAGCACCGTGGAGGTCTTGCCCGTTCCGGGGGGGCCGTAGAGTAGTAGGTGAGGAAGCCGATTTGAATCAACAAACTTGTTGATGGTAGCTAGGATATCATGATGGCCCGACACGTCGGCGAGGGATACTGGCCGGTACTTCTCTACCCTTGACTCCAGCATCAGCAACCGCACGCAGAACAGTAATCCATGTCATGTATCGGGTTCCTCACCATGGTAGCGAGTCTTCGGCTTCGACTGGGAGATTGGCAGCGCTCCGCTTGCCTTTGGCTGTGTTGTCAGACGAGAAGGTGACGTCTTTTGAGGTCGTGGGGACGTCAACGTCCATCTCGTCTTCGAAATCAGACATTGTCGCGATTGTGGCAGTTGCCCTAATCAGAGAGGCTGTTCTGACTGAGGCGTCGCTTTTCTCTGCGGTACTCCAGATGTTGAGATAGTAGAGGAGTTTGTTGGCGGTTTCGCTTTCGCTGGCACTGGCAGCCTCGTCGATGTAAATGAATGGAGGGATTCACTTGCTGTGGGAGACGCGTAAAATTGAAATGCAGCTCGCGTCGTGGGGACGGGTCCGTGCTCTTGGCGGGCTGCTTATAAAAGGGGCACTTCTTACAAAACACCACAAGGCCAATTCTTCATTTCATCCACAAGCCAAGGTGCGAGACATGCTTCATAGACCCCAGACGGGCGCGGGCATTCACGAGCTCATGTAGCCGCTTATCAAGTATCCACGGAAATGGGTGAAGCTGGAGAGGGTGTGGAAAGGTATGCCTATTCCATTCCTCCATCAATGACATATGTCTGTTTACCGCACCTACAGATTACCTAGCATAACCAGACTCATCCATTTCTTCTCGATATCTCTCGTCTACCTGTTACCACAACACTTCCCGTATCAAGAACGCGTCCCCAAGTTCGACCGAGGGAATAAGGCCTTTGTCCGTGTCCATTTCGACCCGACTACTCTGCTGACTGTCATGACCGGCGTATGCTGTGCGTGGAGGCGGCGCCAGACTAGTAACCCACTCTTCATCCGAATTAGAGTCCGAGTCCGAGTCACCGTCGCTGCTCTCGTCCGAGTCCGACTCACAATCCTGCCAGATATCTCTGTCAGTCAGGTTGCGGACCGTCAATGTACCAGTACCCGCAGATACATCAGGCGCGGCAGCCTGCCTGGATGATGTTCCTGTCCTGCGTGGGCCTGCCGTGTAATTAATGTCGGCGGGCATCAGTTTGTCGTCCTCGGCCATAAGACCCTGCAGCGTATGGGAGTCCATGCCGCTGGTGTCGACAGCAGGCGAACTTGTTTTTTGCTCGGCCCACCAGATCTTCTCCCCCTTTTGCTTCCTCTTCTTCCTCTCGGGCTCGTCCCAGAAGAAGCTCGACTGGCTGAGCGGGCTTTTGGGACTGGTAGGGCTCTTGGGCTCCTCGTCGTCATCCTCGCCCTCTTTTAGCTCTAATGCCTCGTTTAGCGGCAGGTCGTCATCGGGGCTGCGTGGCTCACTTGCCACAATCGTCGGCGACTCTGGCTCCTCGTCGTAAACCTCAAAGGCGTACTTCCTCTCGAGAGCCTCATACGCAACCTGGTAGCGCCTGTGGTGGCACCGCGAGGGAGAGTCACAGTCAATCATGCAGTTGTGCGTCTTCTGGACGAAAGCACGATCGCGCTCTCTTTGCCCGCAGCGGCCCCTGGCTTCGAAACCAAGGACCTTACGCCGCCACGCGCCCCATTCCTGCCAGCCGTCATAGTCGAACTCGGAGGCGCACATGCCACCACGACGACGCTTTTTGCCGCGGGTGGACTTCACGGCGGTGGTAGGGTTGGCGGACACGCAGTAGGTGTGGCCGCAGGCGAGACAGCGGCGCGTGCAACCGATGCGGTAGACCGTGAGGCAGCCGTGGCACTGCCATAGCCAAGGACGGGGCTGACGAGGTGGCGGCGGGGGGGTCATCAGGGCATCGGGGGACGAAGGCAGAACGTTGCGGAGGTGGAGGCGTGCCGGAGGTGACAAGGGTGTCGACGTGCTGTTGGTCGATGGTGGCGCGCAGACAGAGGATGATGATTTTCGGGAAGAGAAGATGGAGAGCTTCGGTAATATCCTGCGTGAAGGCATGCTTTCGGATGTGTATGGGTAGATGTGACTGGTTGTTTGTCTGTTTGTATCTGATCTGCGATGTGCTTGTAGTGACAACAAGGTGTGTTTCGAACGGAGGGTTATGATTAAGCAGCCGCGGTTTGTCTATCTGCTACAATGGCTCAGCAACGTTGGCGGATTCGACGACAGCGTAAGTGGTGGTGTTGGGAATATGAGACGTCTTTGCTAATTCAAGGGGTTTTTGGGGGGTAGCAGCACGTCCAGTGCCAGCACAGGAGTGTGGATGATTGTATTGACCAGAATGCAAAGCTCTCAGAAAGGAGTGTAAAGAGCGAATGAATAGTGTATAAGTAATTAAGTCAGGAGAAAAGGAGACAAGATAAAAAGACAGCAAGGATTGGGATTGGAATCAGAGTAAAACTATCAACAACTCTTGCAGGGTGTGCCATGACCGGGGTATTCATATAGGATGTTAATTCTTTTGTCTCGGTCTATGAATAAAGAGCCGACGACCCGCAGTCCTTTCAGGGCAAGAAAGAGGTAGGCGCAAGTGCTCCAAACTTATAATCGGCTTTGTATACCTACCACCGAGAGAAGCGTCTGTCGATACTCGTCGAGATGACCGTGTAGGTCGGTAAAGACACGTGATGGACAAAGGCACAGTCGAGACGATGTCATAGTGGCGATCAAGATGGTCCGAGACAAAGCGACGACATGGTGTCTCGACATATGTAGAACAAAGCGATTTTGTTCTGGCTTCTCGCGGAAGTGGGGATGTACCCACGAAGATTTCCAAATTCCTTGGAATCAGGAAGAGGTCCGAAGTGACTATCTCGGTATGTTAACAGACTGGTTGACACTGGTATTGATAGGTGCAAAACTTAGTGCTCTCCCCTTTCTGATCAAGTATAGTGGGAACACTCCCTCCTAGAAGCTTACGAATCTCAAAGATCGCAACTCAGACTCCTCACAGATGCCAAATGCCGCCACTGCGATGATGACCCAAGTAGTGAATTGTACGAGGCCATATCAGCGACATGGCCTGAGGTGGTGGCCTGATTGGTGGAAGGGTTTCCCAGACACACATATACGGGAACCTAGGTGGACGCTTAGTCGATGAGCTCGGAACTGTCTGTTTTCTAGAAGAGGAGGCACGGGTGTATCTCGTCATTTGGTTGACCGACATCTATGGTACAATACTGATAAGCGGGTGCCTGCGAGAAGTATGTCTACTTACGAGGATGTTATTGCCAGATATTTCACCGATGTGCGAATTGTATACGAGTAGGAAGATCCAGTCGTGAAGTGAACGTGCTGTTTTACACCGCCTCTGGAATCACAATCCTTTCTTTATGTGATCCTTCAGCATCGCCATATGAACCTCTTTCGACTAGTCCTACCAACATTCCCCTAAAACCGAGGGGTAGCCCACGAGAGCTCTTTTCATCCCAAGCTCGGAGATTCGTGTTTGGCAGTGAGCCGAAACGCACGCGGGCGAAAACTCATACGCAGATAGTAATGTATCACCTGTAAACCCTCCTACATGACCAGGTGACCGCGCCTTTCACTTTCAAAGCAGATGAAACCCTTTCCCAGACTTGACCACACCAAGACAAGAGACGGAGATGAAGATTAATGTCATGTAGCCGGAAGCATGCCGCGACAAGCATCTTTCTTGCTTATGCCTCGATCGCCTTGCTCTTCTTCTTCTGTTCGACCTTGAGTAACAGAGCTCGGTTGATGTGGGGTAGGACACCACCAAAGGCGATGGTGGCGCGAATCAACGTGTCCAGTTCTTCGTCTCCACGGATAGCGAGCTGGAGATGACGAGGAGTGATGCGCTTGACCTTGAGGTCTTTCGCCGCGTTCTGGGAACAAACGTCAGTATTGGACAGAGGCAAGGGCGCATATACTGCACAGTGGCGGCAGGGGGAGGCAATGAAGGCAACAAGAGGCAAAAGCGTGTGACTCACTCCTGCAAGCTCGAGGACTTCGGCCGTCAGATACTCGAGGACAGCGGTGACATACACGGCAGCCTTGGCGCCCACTCGCATCTTGTTCTGGGTGTTCTGCTTCAAGAAACGCTTCACACGACCACAAGGGAACTATGTAGAAACGCGTCAGTAAAGTAGCTCAGCGCGCGATGAAGTCAAAAGCTCCTGCAATCATGCGCATCGAGGCTGTGTATCTTGTGGATATGGATCGCGTTCGTTTCCAGGCTCGGGTTTCCTCTCATGCTTTCCCCACGAATTCGAGTCGTCCGAGCCGAGTCCAACGTGTCATGGTACAAATGCACCATAATTGAGCACGTGGCGGCGTCGGTGCACACGGTTGACGTTCGTGTGGGGAGGTCGTGCGATCGGACGAGTATTGTTTGGCAGTGGTCGTGATTGCGCGCGCGCGTCCGTGGTGCACGAGTCGAGCGAGGGGCACGGATACCGATTGACAGTAGGTCTCGGTAGCGACAAGACCGGTGCTTTGGGTGGACGAGATGGGAAAGTCACGATGCATCACGGTGGCAGCTTACCTGGAGGCCAGCGCGCTGAGAATGGCTCTGCTGCTTCTTAGGACCCTCGGCCGAAGTCTTTCCACCCGAACTCTTTCCGCCTGAAGATTTGCCTTTTCCGCCGGCCATTGCTTATATCGACGCGCGCAAAGTGGATGTTTTGGAAAATGGCGAGGTAGAGGACGCGGACTGGATAATTCGGCGAAAAAGATCGAATGCGTTGATGATTTGGAGGTCCGAGATGATATGCGCGTCGAGGACGAGGGTGGTGAAAATGTTTTGTTGTTGTGTTTTGGTCGGAGAAGCATCAAAAAATCGAGAGGCGCAACTGGAAGTGTTCAGGCAGGCTGGAGGCACTGGAGGCTGTGAGCTGTAGGTGTCCAGTGCTTCCCGTCGGGTCGGGTCGCTGTGAGGTAGAGCTCAGGGCGTCGTTTCAGCGCTATTCGTGCTGGATGGCCTACCTAGAACTAGCGGGGGCTGCTCCTGGTCCTGCTCCAGGGCTTGCAGTTGGAGTCAACTCGAAGGAACACCCGACCCCGCTCCTGCCACCGTCTGTCGTAAGGTACGGCGCGCTAAGCCTGATCCGATCCTGTGCGGCAAAACTCCGGGCGTGGAGAGGAGCCTCCGAGTTTGAGGAGAGAAATAGAAGGTCTGATAGACGGCCGCTTGAGAAAGCCCCCGAGAGCGAGGTAAGTTGACACGCAGAAAGAGGTAAGGTTAAGAGACATAGAGAATGACCTACATGTCCATAACTGCCTTTGAGGGCAGAAACCAAGAAAGGAGAGGCGGGACAGAGCGCACTTACCATGGCTCAAGGAGTGTCGTGAAGACGGTGGCGGCACCTAACGGGCAAATGTCCTGGTGTCTACCGCTGCTATTGGTATGCCTCCGGCCACTGAGACGTGACGAAGTGAAGCAGGAGGCCGGTCACTTAGCAATGACTGACCGGCCGGCAGGAAGTAGAGTTGCTGAGACACGACAACCTTGGGAGAGGTCGACGACGAGAGGCATGTGTGGTTGTTCACTAATGTTGCTTTGAAGATCAAATATGTATCCAGCCAGCGCCAGCCCGCCCTACCTCCTAGCGCAGCCGAGGCCGAGCGGGTCCCGTCGGGTCAGCTCCCGTCCATGCCTTCAACGGTCATTGGCCCGTGCACAGCCAAGCGCATAAGGCGGGGCGCATGTACGTATTGAAGCCTGATCCTATATGCATTCAAGAAGTAAATCCCTCCCCTATCCTTTGCTTGGTCTTCTTTGATGAACTCGAATACGACCTTTTGCACCATCTGTACGTTTACAGATGCTCAGTGCCAGCCATGCGCCAGTGGTACGAGCCAGTGCGAGAAGGCATTAAGAGCAAAATTTACTAAGGCGGTTACCGTAGTTTCGCGTGAACCTTACCCAAGTTACCCCTGAGCGTTACGGTAGACATGGACTGGAGTAACGGCTTCACGTCCTTGCTTGACCATCGTATATGTTTAGAGTGACACAGCCTCGATATAAGCTGTAAGAAGCCGCTCTCGTTGATATGCGATCATTGAGGGCAACATGAGTATGGCCAGTTGGCCATGTTGGGCCTATGTTCATGATGGTTGGTCCTCTTACATCCACTTACGGTAGTCCGTATTGTAAGTGTCATCAGCAGACCGGATTCAATCCAATAAGACCACAGCTGATGAGCAACCACGATGGAATTGTCAGGATAGATGCTGTCTCCCATGCGAGCACCTTGCCTGCTCTATACTCAGTCCACCGACAGCAGCTCCTGTGATCAGTGATCTACTCCATTCGCTACCAGTCAAGTATGCAAATTGATGTGTATCTGAGTTGTGTGGGAAAGCGGTCCTGCCTCTCACGATGCAACCAAGCCGGCAATATCACATTTGCCATTGTAGATAGTCGCAGCGACCGTCGTCGTCACCCCGACGTATTCGCATCCAGGGAACTCGTGCGGAACTTCCATACAAGTATTGTAGAATAGCTGATACCAGGGGCCGCTGTCGAGGTCGATGTCTGCCGTGCAAAGCAAGGATCCATTCACGACTTCGAGTGGTTCTTCGTGGTATAACTCGTATGTGCCGTCCGAGCTGCCGCCTAACAGATACCACGACCGCTCGACCTTACCGGGCCAGATGGTGGCATTTGTGAAACCAACATTGTAGCGATGGGTGCCATTGATCTCGTCGCGTTCGCTTAGGTATCCCGTTGGTCCGAGGTCGTACGGCTGGTTGACGTCGTTGCAAGCTTCACTGTAGAAGCCTCCGCCTCGAAAATTGCCAAGGAGAACAGGGGACGTTGCATCGATCCCTGCGAAGAATCCACCTTGGAGGTATGAATTCTTTCTCAGCTGAATGGCACGGTTGTTGGTTACGGGGCTGTTCGATGCGATAGTGAAGATTTGATGGCTTTCGGTGGTGTTGAGCTCGGCAGGATAGTTGAAGGGGCAGGTGTTGCCAGAGGCTAGTACGGCCGGCACCAAAGCCAAGGCATTTACGACGATTGACCTCATCGTAGGCTAGGAAGTAGGTAGGGAGTAGTGAATACGAGAGGGAAGATGTAGGTTGGTAGGGATCGTTGACTGGGATGCAAAGACTGGTGGTCTTGAGAGCCTGGGTTGCATGTCGAAGTCCACGTACTGGAACCGCTGCCTTGAATGGACGTACCTGCCTAGGTGAAACGAGTCCAAGTAGCTTTACATCATCCAGATTGATGGCATATGCAGTACATCTCCAGTGACGCCTTCCTATTTGAGGCCGTGGAGTATCTAGGAAAATAGGTTCGGATCTAGATAGATACCGCCCCCGTGGACCAACGCGGAGAGTCGTTCTGCAACCTTGCCAAGTGCAGGCATATTATGATTTCTGGACACAACTCGCCGTATGTAGTCTGTCGCTATATGGATTTTGTTCCAGTCTGGAGAGAGGGGGGAGAGCTTGGCACTGAAAAGACATGTACAATTCTGTGGGTCATGGTGATGGTGATGAACAATCCGCGCATGATCATTGAATTACTGCCAGCTATACCCCTTACTTGAACCGATCGATCAATGTAACGTTGCCCATGGCCGTGTAACTGGGATATGCCTGTTGGTTCTGTTGTTTCTAGTCGAGCTTTGTCTCAAACACAACATGACAATATTGGAATGTCCGGCATAACCTCAAATCCGTGGCGCTCGGGCAAGCCTGTTCGTGAATCACTGGCGCTCGAAACAAGTGCCCAGTGACTAGAATCTCTTATAGATTTTCAATTTCACTTGGACGCATACTCATAGAGGAGAAAATCCCGAGCCGCTACGGACTGGAAGAAGTCTTCGACTTTGTATTCTAGCCTGAAGAGAGAGTGTAGTTCAACTATGTGATGAAAGAGGTCTCCTTCAGTCGCCGAACGCGCTGCGTCGAAGTGACACATAGAAGCACATTGTCAGCACCAGGTCAAGGTCCAAGAAGAACATGCATACGTAAACTGCACTTCGTAGCTTTCAAAGCGCTCGTCCCTAACCTGGTCCATCCATTCTGGGATGACAGGAGTGGACCTCAACTAAAACCTTTCGAGGGTGCCCGGCGGCATGGTTCCGGACATTGCTGAACCCTATCCTCCGTATATCAGCAGTTGAAGATGCTCCCGATTTTTTGTCTACTAATTACCAGCCAGAAGAATACAGAAGGCTGTCGTTACATATTTGCAGCAGCTTATGGGTTCGGTTGCGTAAATGTAGTCCATACCACTGGACCGGCAGAGGAGGCATATAATAGAGTCATAATTTCCTCTGTTCATTTTGTAGATATCTTGAGACTTGCGTATCATGGGGCTTGAAAGGAGTACTGTGTCGTCTGTCGCTATCCCTGTCGGTGTTGATGTCGCTGTCACTGTCGATGTTGCTGTCGATGTCACTGTCGATGTCACTGTCGATGTCACTGTTGATGTCACTGTTGATGTCACTGTCGATGTCACTGCCGGTGTCACTGCCGGTGTTGCTGTCACTTTTGATGTCACTGTCAAGGTCGACGTCGCTGTCACGACAATAAATTCCTTGACCATAGCAGCCATATTTTCATTCTGATGCATCATCTGAAGTATTTATAAGCAACGTTGCGTCTCCAGGCGTGCTCACTTCCCCTACAATTAAGGGGCCAGGAACGAGAGCGTGACTTCAATGGTGATTTTACCGGGCATCTATCATGGATTTTCATCCGCTCGAAAGTCACCGTACATGGAAAGGAGGTGGTACCGAGCCGGATATTAAATGACGCACGCGAGCTATCGGTAGCTAGCATGTAGCTGTCAAAAGCACACACGGCAGCCTGCATACCTCAGCTCGCACGAACATCTCAGGAAAACCTCACTAGGGTAGGCCTGCACGTCAACACACGCATAGAGGTTTGGTGATGCGTAACTGTTATGGGGAAGGCACTGATATCTGTGACGGGTGCCGCCGAATATGAGGGCAAGAAAGATTGAGAAGTCCGAGACCAGATGTATGATAGTGCAATACTCGTCCTGTAAACGGACCAGCTTGAGGATCGCGGTACGCAGATGAACCAAGCAAGGTGAGGACAGAATGATTCGCGCAATCGTTCGGCATAAGCGATTCTTCCAAGGGTGATTGTCCTCCACCTCTAGGCAAGAATTGTAAAGACTTCTGCAAGCGAATGAGGAAGTCTCAGCCGAATATGCAGGTCTTAATCTGATCACGATATGCCAAAGACCTGGACAGTGAGACAAATGCTACTGCGATGTCGCTTGATCATGAGCTAGTTCCTCGTGGCCTTGTTGACCGTAGTCGGGTTGGTATGGTCAAGGTAACGTTATGCTCCAAGCACGAGGATAATGACTGCCTGCAGTTCTTAGAGCATCCCTGGAGGGTTGTCGTAAGATATTACTACCGTCATCCGCCCCCAAGCCACGGCAAGGGAGCACCACTTGCAATTGGAAGGGAGACATATGGGACCTTACCGATTGGACGAGTGTTTGCCGGGACACTAACGCATCTTGCGTATCCTAACGTCACCAGAGACACAGATTGGTAAAGGGTTATGTTGGTTTTCGAGACAAGCAGCCTGACGCCTTGGCTGGGAGTGAAAGACAGCCTTCTCGACGTCTTTGGCAAAATTCAGATCAAGGATGACACCTCTCCGGCGCTGGTTCGATAGCCGGCTGTGAAAACATGCCGCAGCTCCATATTCTGACGTTTCAGCATGCGGACACACGATCCCGGGAAGCCCCTCGCGGCATCTCACTGAGCTCTGCGAACTCTTGTGCAACATGAACAAGATGTACCAGCTCACATCGCCGGGAGGCTCAAGCGGCTGGCCCGTTGGGCTGCTGAGAGGTTGAGCATGGGATATATCGAAGATGCGAGTCGACGAGCTCGTCTGTGCAAGGTCAGAAGGGAAAGGCTGGATTTGAGTTCTGCTGGACTTCGGATACATCGCTTCCCGGTGTGGGATTTCATCTGCGACCGCTAGTGAGTGAGAATAAAACAGACAGTTCGAGTAAAGAAGTCGGCAGGAGCGCTGACACAAGTGTTCTTCTGTTTTCAGCCTGAGACGCGATTGCCGAGTTATGGTTCAGATCATGGCACCTGGCGCAGAAGACTCATTTGGAGTCATCTGTACCTTCAAGCAGCTTCGGGGAAGAACTGAGATAAAATGTGTCGTAATAAGGAACCCTCAAGAACAGAGTCGGAGAGGAATGAGACCAGCGGTCAAGGTCAAAAGGGGGTTCATGAGACGTTATTGATGAAGGGGTTCATTGATGGGACTTGGTGGATTACGACCCGAGAATGATATTGCCAAGACTATCGGTTCCATGGTCGAGGAAGTTGGCGGTGGGCGTCTCTCTCGCTATGGAGAAACTGGCAAAGGTAGGTAGTCCAGTGAGTCATTTCTCATTTTCTGATCTCTTGCGGTTCGGAGATGCGTTCGGGCCATTCATGGATCTGATCCTGATCTACTACTTAAGCGGTTCTGGGATTAGCCACGAGCGGCACTGTCACGACTGCTGCAGTCCAAAGGCAGACTGATGGCATACTGTGTTTGCGCCGGAGGTTCAGCGCCATGGGCTGGAGAGCAAGGAGGCATGTCAAACTCGCAGACCAGTGCTGTCACTTGACGTGCTCAAGAGGGATGAGCCCAGCTATGTTATGCCTTGCGATGCACCATGTACTTATTCGAATTATACTTCGGGCTTATGCAGTACCGTGACATTGGCTGCATGTTGTGCTTCTGGCGTTGCTGCTCGGTACGCCCGCGCGGGTCTGCAATGCACGGTGATTCGTATGGCAGACGCGAGATGAGATGACCGGCGAAACCGCCATCCAGAGTTGGATTTCAACGGTAGCATCATTAACGCGCCCCCAACGTGTCCTCATAAACAGCGCGCCTTTTGACCCACCTGACGTCGATGACGAACGATGCCAGGCGAGCCACGCGCCCGGAAACCCGTCGAGAAGACCAGCCGCGGGAAAATAGGGGTTCAACCGTTCTGGTTGGTTTGCGCGCTAATGGTAGACCACCCGTACAAAACTCTCCTGAGTCCTCCACTTTATGTCGTGAAAACGGCAAGCGGCCAGAAGAATTCGAAGAACAGTCGATAGTCGACCGGGTAGTTTGTAGGTGGTAGCCTCTCCTGGTAGGTAGTACGTAGCCTCATCCTAGCCTAGTGTCCAGTGAGGTGACGAGTTACGGCACGGAAGAAGACAGAAGAAGCTCACGACGGCCCATGTGATTGGGCACGGAGAAGATGGGACGCCGTGGAGAAGCCGCGAATTGGATGAGGGAACATGTCACTTGACATTGCACTTGTCCCGGGATATCTGGATTGTTGGAGAGATGAAGAGAAGATGGTGTGCAGCGCGGGCTCACGAGACCTCCACCCATGCTCTCGCAGATGGGCCATGAAAATGTGTGACAAGTTCAAAGGGCTCGACTCGAGTTAACTGGCAGGTCCTGCTTCGTCGTCCAGAGTTCGAGGTGAGTAGGTAGTAGTTGGGCTGAGGTATGTTGTGATACCTGCTTGGCACGCGGGATACGTAGTATCAGGTCGGAGTGTAGGGCGATTTATGAATATAAACATGACTGATCAGACGAGAGACAACAAGCAGAAAAGGATGTTGTTACTCGCTTGCTACCGGCATGCGTCGTCATTGTTGTTGTTGTTATTGTTTGGTGGATGTTGCCCCGGGTGCCATAGCCCATTTTTCTCATCCACCGCAATATCGAACAGGCAAGCGAAAGAGAGTCTTGCACCGTGCATAAGCCACACCAGCGCAAATCGAAAGGCTCCTAGATGTATGTACCTTATGTACACATCCTGTCAGGAGGCTGCCTCCATCGAAAGACTTTTGATAGTTTGAAGGTCTCCAGGGTCGATCATCCGTCAGTTTACTCGTATGAACGTACACCTACGCATACATAAGCAAAACGACAGAGTGCCTCGACCTCGACCTTGAGCGCATAATGGATCTCATAACCAACGGCCGCTAACGCCGCAGCGCCGCCTAGGACAGCTGGTTGTCCGGGCCAGCAACTGCCCGTCCAGCTCGGGAAGCCCCAGCTGCCAGATAGGTACCTACAGTGGACTACCTAGGTAGGCGCAAAGACCAGCGGCCGACGGCCGTACCTTTACTGACCTGGGAGGTGATGATCACAGTACGCCGTCTTCCCGCCTCTGAGCCCCTATACATCTCCATCGCGACACAGCGCCCCTCCAACACTGATGTCCGGACTCACAACCACGGCCGAGCATCATCAATCAGACTGATCGCCTGTATGTCTCCTGTCAGGTAGACACCTGAATAACATCTCCTGCAATTTGCCATTTTTTCTTCAGACATCGACATCCCCATCTACCTGTGCAGGTTTGCGAATTACTCCGTCCGTACAGTACCTCCTCTAGCACTAGTAAAGAGAGAGTTAAAATTCACCAAAGGGACCAGCCGCACACAAACTCTGGCTGGCCTTCCCCACATGCAGTCAGGACTCAGGACCACGAGCGAGTGGCTCCCCGGCTTGCATCCGGTCTCCAGTTCTGACATGTGATTGGGCCATTCCAACCTCAGCTCGTCCATGATCCCCGGGCCGTACAGTGCGTGCCACACACCTACTCCAGACCGTAAGGTAGTGGACAGCTTCAATGTTATTATTTGCGCTCTACGGTACGCCGCTACGATACCGCCACAATCCCCCATTCTCCTTTTTTAGGGTTCCATCCTTCGTGAGTGATCTTGTTTCGCGCAGCTCATCCCGACGCATCGCATCGCATCGCCGCCTCGCGTGCAGACTGCAGAACGGAAACGGATTCGTCTACCACTTCCCATCGTCATTCTCTTCCTCTCTTCCTCCCTTCTTGACTCGTCGTGGGCAATAGAGATTTGGGTTTCGGTAAAGTACCCTTTAGGTTCTGTCAGGACCCAGCAGCCAGGTTGAGCCCTCCCACCTCACACCCAGAAGTCGAAAAAGCAACAGATCAAGATTCAAGGGTCCCTGCCTGCCTGCCTGCCTGCCGTCCAATCCGCAAAAAGTCAAACCTTCGCCGCTAATTTTCCCTCCTGCGCTACCTTACAGCCCTTACCACCTACCACCTTACCACCTTAACTCATTCACCATTTTTACCTGACCTACCTCTTACCTACCGCATTACCTCCCTATCTTTCTACTCCCTCCACCATTCCGGACCACCAGGTCAGACGGTGCACCCATTTCTCTCCTCCTGCACCTCCTCGTCTTCTTCCTCTCTTCGGAAGACGTCCGACGAGCTCATATATAGGTGTATCCGGTCTTGGAGCCTGCAACTCCTGCTACTTCTGGCCTACCATACCCGCGTTTCGGCCTGTGACCTGTAAACGGCGTGATACCTGGGCTCCAGCTTGGGCTTCGGCTTCCTGCATCTGACCGCCAACCATTCTCCTGCTAATCCTGCCTGGTCCTCCAGCCTTCCAGCCTTCCAGCCAACCAACCAGCCAGCTCCAAGCTCCCATCTCTCTCCATCGATCAACCTCCGGTCAACCGATCCATCTGCTCATCCACCTGCCACCACTCTGCGCTGCTGCTGCCGTTGTCGCTGCACGACGACAACTTCGTCCACCCGCATTTTCGCTGAGCCGACCGACAGCACTTTGTCCACTATCCGACCCAGTCGTGCATACGTACGTCCAGGAGGCATAAGCTCTGCTTCAGCAGTATCGCACGGGCGCTTCATCCGTTCTATATACTAGCGTTGGCCGTCTTCTGGTCGTCTCCTCCCCGCCAATTACGCCCACATTCCAGCCGCCGGAAGGGAACTGCAGACTGCTGGGCACCCACAGCAGCTGCGCCGCCCTGAACGTCGCCCATCCAACTATGAATCAACAACAACACGCAATGTACTACGATTATCCCTCGACGTCGAATCGTTCGCCCGGCACAACGAGACAGGGCTATGCTACTGTCGGCCTGCATTCGGGTCTGGGAGGTGGCCGATCGGGACAGAGGCAGCTCGAGTCTGTAGGTCAGCATCTCCCATCCCCCTCGGGCTACGGAGGACACGACGATCGACAAGGTGGTGGCTCGATATACGATTCCATGCCAAGGTTCGACCGTCTGGCACCCAACGGTATGCAGTCTGGATATATGCTAGAGAACAATCAGACCTGGGGCTACAATGGAGCTGTCGCCACCGTGAACGGCCCCATGAACGGCAACGGTAGAATGGCTTCGAGGGGTGTCAACCGGCGGGCCGCTTTGCCTACTGTAAGTACATTTCGCTTCCTTTGGAAGGCGAGCTGTAATCACTGACTTGATTGTTTGTATACAGAACTGGACTGACCAAGGTGGTATGGGCTTACCCTCGATGCCGCAGCACTTCGATCCCAACATGTCCATGAACGGAAACGACAACGATTTGTCTGGCATGGCTGGTGCCGCGGCTGACTCCCGGGGCATGATGACTACGCCAGGTTCCGACTCGGACCAACTGATCCCCACTGCCATCGTTATCAAGAACATCCAGTTCCAGTGCAGAAAGGAAATCCTGCAGGGTCTCATGGCGTCCATGAATTTGCCGCAACCCTACGCATTCAACTACCATTTCGACAAGGGTGTCTTCAGGGGTCTTGCATTTGCCAACTTCTCCACAGCCGAGGACACGGCTATCGTAATTCAGAAGATGAACGGACTGGAGGTAATGGGCCGAAAGCTGCGAGTCGAGTACAAGAAAATGCTGCCGCAAGACGAGCGTGAACGGATCGATCGAGAGAAGCGTGAAAAGCGAGGCCAGCTTGAGGAACAACATCGAGCACCGCTTCCGGTGCACCAACAGAGTGCGCTGCAAGCCCTCGGCGTCAGTGTCAACAAGCAGCCAAGCAGCTCGCCTTTGCGTATGTGTCCCATCTCTTCCCCATCGCTGCCGCCGTTATTGACCTTCAATACAGGTGACGTCGACCTCAATGATCCTGCCACCCTCGAGTTCTACACGCAGCTCACTATTTTCAAAAACGACCAGAGCCGAGAGGTTCACATTTTCCCTCCAGACGTCGCTCCCGAGCAGCGCCGGCAAATCCACATCCTGGCGCACAACATGGGACTGGAGCACAGATCTGTTGGCGAAGCCGACCGACGACAGATTCAGGTTATGAAGCGTCCGCAAAACTCGCCCCCAGCACATGTCCAAAACCAGCTGCCGAATGTTTCGTGGGAGGATCACCGCCGGGGGCTGAGTCGAGCGGCCACCATCGACTTTGCTGAGTCTCGCATGGCGTCGAGCGCGTATCACACGCTGGGCAGACAGGGCGGCCCTACCCTGGAGCTTCCTGGCAGCCCCGGCAACGGGATTCCCAACAACCTCCGGGCCGCCAAGAGCTTTGCTGATCTGCGCGCACACAGTCCCAGCCCTGCACTGTCCGGGTCGAGCTATGCTGGGTTCGGGAACGGCCTCGGCGCCCGCTATGCGGATTTCTCCCAAACGTCACTGACCACGCCACCGAACCTGACCCCAACGTCGGCGCAGAATGCTGCGTCGAGTACCGATGCGCTGCTCGCTGGGAACATGGGGTCCATGAATATTGGCTACGATCCTAATGCGTCACACATGCGCGCCAGAGATGCTCCTGGAGCTATTGGCAGCCAGAGACCTGGTGCCAACGGGACGACAAACCGCAATGCACCCGAGAGACAACCACGTGGCCCAGAATGGGGAGAGTCTGGACAAGGGTTCAGCGGCCGCAATCGTGGCCATATGCAGAGGAGCAGCGGTCAGTGAATGCACCCTGAGTATCGTCACGGATATCCCGCTGACGTGTACCGCGGAACAGATTCGTCAGACGCTGGTCGCAACTCGGGCACTTCTCGGTTCCACTGATCTCGCGGTTCCCAGGAGTAACCACTAGCTGGCCAGAATCCGCAGCATGCGTCTGGCCGTTGCCCTCCACTGCCGGCCTCAGCATTGTTATTTGAAAGTATCACCGCCCTCGCACCTTATCCAAATCCACAACAACGAGCCTCGAATCTCCGTTACGATCAAACCCAACGAGAGACGATTTTATGACAATAGATTTACCCCCTTCATTGACCTAACGCCTCGCTTCAGCATGTCGCATCCTCAAGGGGGGTTCGACGGTACGCTTCGACGGATATCTGATATTTATTTTATTTGCTTTCCATTTTACGGCGTTGACGCGATAATATTTTGTAATATGATATTCTCGATTTTTGCTTTCTCACGGCCGTTCCGGAGCTGGCTGGCTAACAGCCACACCACATCGATGGAGTTTTGCGAAGGCGCGGTCGAAGTGTTCCGTGCAAGGCGGAGCAGGTTATCTTGACCACTGCGTGCCTCAATACCCTCTTAACGATGACTGGCAGGCGAACCATCTGGATACACCATACATCAATTTATGGGCGACCATTCACGGCATGACGAATCAACTCCCTATACCCTCTGGGGCGTCCTTTGAGACCTGACATGCCCACGCGGGTTTGACCGGGCCTCGAAGACCTCCATCACGATGGTTACGCTGTTATGACGCATATGCACATCAATAGATGATGGCAACGCGATGCTGGATGACTTGACGGCTAGGGACATCCTACTAATCACTGCCCTCTTGCCAGAGGAGAAACCTGGGATAGTCCCTAGTGGCGGGTCGATCTAGCTTCGGGTGATTGGACACGAAGAACGAAGCAACGAACTGAAGAAGACGGCGGCGGTGGACGAAAAGGTCGTGCCGGGTGAGCATGCGGTTGCAGCTTCACCAAGCAAGTGGGGAAGTGGGAATGGAAGCAGAGGGAGACGAAATCAGGATGATGGATTGTCAAGTTTCTGTATATGACTGTGTTTCCACATGACAAGCATCGAGGGCAACAGTCGAAGCCTCTGGAGCTACGTGTGTTGAAAGCCAAGGCCACCCATCCTACCCGTAATATGTTTGAACTAGAGTTTCGCTCCCATGGATTTATCATTGGCGAGGTGGCGATGGTCGGTCGGGAGGTGCCAGTAGCTTGGGAATTAGCAGGTGGGTGGTCTGTTGGCTGGGGGGTATTGGTGAAAGGGGACCGGATATGGTCACAATTACTCACTCGCTCAAGGCGTCGCGCTGCTGCAATATACAAGTACTTGGTCGTTCAAATATTCCGAACCGTGTATGGCGTTTCATTAGTCATGCCACTCTGCCCGGTGCCTTGCCCGGTGCCTTGTCCGGCCGGCCAAGAAGCTGAGGTAACTATTCACAAGGACGCCTGCCCCTACTAAATTATAACTATACATTGAGCCACGCCGCTACGTCCCAGCCAAGAGTCTGGATGCTCGTCGTCAATCTTGATAGCCAAGCGTCCTCGCTTAATACTGCCTGCCTGATCGCTGCTAATCACAGATGCGGCCCTGGTCCCCCGTCAAGCTGACTCAAGCTGAAAAATCAAAAATGCAGCTTTCGTATACAGCCGCACCCGCCGTCAGATTCGCCAGCCTATCATTGAGCACTGAGACAGCCTGAGATGAGCCCGGCTTTTTTTGGCAAGAAGGCTGAAGTCTCAACGGGCACTCCAGTCAAGTCTATGGTCTTAGCCGTCAGCATGGGTTCCCAGCAGGCATCCTCGAGCTGAAATTCGGAGAATCTAAAGTATGCAAGAGGCCCGGTCACCTGGTGCTATACCGAGCTCTTCCTCACTTATTAGTCAATTGTTGGAAGGACGCTGGTGACTGTTGGGCTCGAAGTCATGTCACACATTGCCACGGCACCGCATGGTGGTCGAGTTGTGGTTGGCACTCTTCCTCGTTCGCATGCTTCGAGTCCATTCTACGAGCACGGAGACAACATTTATAACCAAGGTCACGACGAGCGGTACGAGACACACATGGCGCCGTACGACGGGAGGTATTGCGATGGACCGGTTCAACATGGCGCTCGAGACACAGGCTCAACGAAGCACAACAAAGACCACCCACATCTAGTCGGCGTGTGGCAGGTCTCGCCAGAGGGACAGAGACACACACCGGTGGTGGACCGAGTCCGCCCCAACTACAAGCCGTCGGCATTGCGTTGGCCCTTCTTGACCTCTCTCCTAGCCATCCTGCTGGCGTTGGTAGCCCTGCTTGGGTATGCTCTGCACGCACTACCCGTCCTGGATGTCGAGATGGACGTGTTGTCAGGAGGCCTTGATGCGAGAGCGTTCAAGAGGCAGGCTTCTGCGTCTGAGTTTCTACCGAGCACCGTCACTGATGACGCTGGGGCTACGTCGACACGACCCCAAAGCGACTTTGGTGATGTTGGTACGGTGACCGTCAGCGAGTCGGTCACGGTCACGCCCATCATCGCGTCCACCAAGCCCACCGAAGACTTCGGCAAAGTCGGATCGGTCACGGTCACAGCCAGTATTGCGTCCTCCAAGGCTAGCGGTGACTACGGTGATGTCGGGACAGTATCAGTCACGCAACCGACTGTGTCCGGTGCACCACCTTCAGATCATGGCATGGTCGGCACTGTGGGAGTCACGGCAACTCTCACCCAGCAGCTGGCTCCTACATTTGTCACGCCCCAAGCGACTGTCTTGACGGACGCCCAAGGCATCCCGACCGCCACGTCGACAAGCACTCCAGCTCCCGTCTCAACGCTTCAGTCCACGACGCTTACCAACTCGCTCGGCCAGCCAACAGCTTCGCAAGTGACGATCGCGCTGGTGACACCTTCGGTCACAGTGGCGACCAACGCTCAGGGGATGCCGACAGCAACCATCACAAGCTACCCCGTCATCCCCACCGACGAGAACGTGGTGGTGACGACGACCTACATCAGCTACGGGCAGTACTTCCTCGGCGCCTTCTTCCCCACGCTCGTCGCGATCCTCCTGGCGATTCCCATCCGCATTCTCAACCTCAACGCCAAGATCTTCCAGCCGTGGCATGAGCTGACGCACGCGCAGGGCGTCACGGGCCGCGAGTCGCTGTGCCTCCAGACGGGCGGCTGGCGGTCGGTGGTCACCAGCGTGCGATCGCTCTTCGGCGGGCAGGCCCTCGTCTTCCTCACGACCGTTCTTACGCTGGCGTCTTCACTACTAATACCCCTATCTGCCGAGGCTGTGGCCCTCAGCCTGCATGGCAGCTGCACGAAGGGAGGCGGCACGGCTAAGAACTGCGCTTACGAGCTCAGCGTATTCAGCCAGGCGGCCAAGTCTACGCTAGCGCTGCTGGCTATGATGGGCTTCTTGGTCCTTCTCATCGTTGCTCTCCTGCTCAGGTGGCAGTCTGGTGTCAGCACCAACCCCTGGAGCATATGCGGCGTGGCCTCTCTGTCGCTGAACCGGGACGTTCGAGACTTGTTCACGGGACTGCCGGCCGGCATCGACGCCGGGAAGATGCCCGAAGGCCTGCTCGACTCTGTTATCGGGGATCGGATCTTCCAGCTGGGGTATTTCTACAATGCGAACGAAGTGTTGGAGTATGGGATTATGCTCCACGATGGCTTCGCGGCCAATCATCCACTGTACCAGGGCAGAGGCGTCAGTCAAGACCAGGTCACGGAGGAACACCCGGCTAGCAGAGCGGCCGAGACGAAGCACCATTTGCCGTTCCTTATGCTGGGATTTCTCGGACGGATATTGTTCTTATCGGTGCTCGGCGGCCTGCTCGCGCTGGTCCTTTACTATAACAACACGGGCGGCGACACGCCTTTCGAGAGATTCATGGCCAGCGAGTCCTTCGGAGTCAGGTTCCTCTTCACGGGCGTCGGTGTGGTCATCAGCTTCTTCTGGGCATCCTTCTTCAACAGTAAGTTGAGCTATCAGCATGGTCAGGCCACAGTGACATGGCGCTAACGCGGTAAAGGTATTGCCATCATGAGTCCGTACCAGCAGCTCGCCCAGTCACCCCAGCAGGCGCGGCGATCAATCCTCGTCGCTCCACCTACCAACGCCTTCTCGGGACTCTGGTCGTCGATCCGCCGGCGGCACGGTTTCCTCGCCGTCGTGGCGCTGACCTCGATCCTCTCGGAATTCCTCACCATCTTCCTCGGCAACATCCCCTTCCGCGTGACGCAGACGTTCCTGGTCCACAACATATGCACGTGGACTGCGGTGGGCATTATCTGCATAATGGTGCTCGTCGTGCTGTGCTCTTTCTTCCTCAAGTGGCCGCACATGCCTGTAGATCCGAGCACGGTGGCCGGGGCTATGTACTACGTCTGTGACTCGTGGATGTTGAGCCACTTTGAGGGACTGAGCACCTTGGATAAGAAGGAGAGGGATTGGAAGGTCAACGGAATGGGACTGAGGTATGAATTTGGTGAGATGGATGGTGTTTCGGGTACTAGGCGGGTGGGTATCGATGCTTCTGAGGGCGGAATCTGGGACCCTTAAGGACATTGGTTGTCTTACAGCCTCAGCTGCTCTTTGGATGACAGTCGAACGGTATTATGTAGGCGTGGTAGGCTTCGGCATAAATACCGGTATATATGACGAGCGATAACGTGTCCATGGAAACTTTGTTTTATCACAGTACTGCCAAACACTACTAGAGCACCACCATAAGACTACCAATGGCGCTCACAACAGCATGAAGGAATAATGGCTAAATGGAATCGTAGCAGCTGGTGGCGCTATGTGCCTTACTATGGACATTGGTATCGACATTGGCTGTTATGAATATAGATATTATCCTAAACAAGACTTGAGGGGCATGATCGTATATGCACTCGATAAACACGGCAGTAAGTATTACACTGAAGTTTGAATAATACCAAAGTTATACATAGAATAGGATACGCTTCTCAGACAGTTCGAGCCCTCAGCTGCCACTGATCACATTACACATGCCATAAAGACCTAGACAGGCACCATCCTCCACTGCACCGTGTCGTCTCCGCACGGCATCGTTCCCTCAACGCCCACCTTCCCAGCCCGACTCGCGGCGATGGCCGAGCCCAGGATGTCGGTGACGTCGGTGCCGCCGACGTAGATCTGCTCGTCCGACGGCGCCGTCTGCGGCTTGAGCTGGAGCGCGCAGCCGTCCTGGGACAGCAGGGTGTTGAACTGGTCGGTCTCGTAGTCGGCCAGGAAGAAGTCGCCCGTGCCGTCCAGCAGGGTCTCTCTCAGTGATACGCACGCGGCTAGCCAGTTGGCCGGGGCGGCGATGTCGACGGGCGTGAAGGTGCTATCGCCGCAGTAGTCTGACGGCGTCGTCTTGGCGAACCAGGCCCAGCACTTGGGCGGGTTGGTGGGTGTGGTGGGGAAGTCGACGATGTCACATGTCGGCGACGCATCGTCGGATGTGGCAGCTGTAGCCCGTGTGTCTAGATCGACGGGACTGCTGGTCGGGCTGGTGCTGGTGCTGGTGGGCAGGCTGAAGGCCGTGGCGGGCACCATCAGGGATGAGAGGACTTGACGAGGGCGCATCTTGAACGAGAGCTGAAGACGCTTCAAGCAACTGTCGAGGTTTGACGTCGAGCGTATAGTGGGGGTAACGAGTGACTGTGAGCTGCCTGCCTGTGTCTGTGCCTCTACTACTATATCACACGGCATCGTCACCAGCTTATGTAGTCGGCCATGCTCATCCCCATCCGCAAAACGAACGAAGCCGCCAGTCCCTGACATCGCCGGGTCTCGCTTCGGCATGCAGGAGGCCGTCACAATCTTGCGTGCTGCGACGTTGAGGTTGTCGTGGGGTCCAATGGCGGTCGAGTGCCGATCCCAGAAAGTGACGGCCCGTCCAATCAGCGCCGGGGCCGACGCCGTCTTGGGCGATGCGGCGGCTAACCACCGACAGGCCCCCCCGAATCACAGTGTGGTGGTCTTGGTGGTATTGGCGGTATTTGGCGTGCACGGCCAATAGCGGCGTTGGCAGCTGTATAGTCTGCGAGTATAACGCCTCGGCGTGCATGGGGGCGAGTCATGGGATGCGCATTGCCCCTGAATCTCGGCCAGGGTCACTTTCGTCGTGAGCGTGTGCCGACTGGTCGTGGTCCCGGTATTGGGATTTCTACCTGCCTCCCTAGGCACACTGCTACGTTGACGAGGGTATGCTATATCTTTGGTCCCTTGCATCCACGTTGTTCAATGTTGGGAGGAGACACCATCCAACGGTCGGCGCCTATATTAGAGTCTAGAATCTGCAGGTCCACGTGAATCCCAAGATTGAGTCCGAACCATGACCCGGCTCATTCATCAACGTCCCAGACTCACTATTCCTTCCAAATTGGCCCTCCTATTAAGTACAAAGGCCGAGGGGGCAATTGCTAGTCTTACACATGACTGCTCTCGATGGCGAAGGCCGTATCGTGCTGAGCTCACAGCCAACCAAGTCGGAAGCGTGGTCCTTTGTGCCTATATAGAACTCATTGATAAATTCGAAGAGAGTAGAAGTATCATTCAACAAGAGAACAAGAGCTCTCTGGGTAACAGAACATGAATGTATACATATGTCACAAGTTCTGTCACACATTTAATCTACAATGAAGCGCTTCTTCTCGCTCTTCTCTTGGGAAGTGAAGCCCTCTCCAAGTATGTATACACCTTTAGTGCTGTTCTCTTCCCGGATCACCAGGTCAGCAATAGGCTCAGACTTCCAACAGGATGATCCCCAGCAACCAGCGCCGTAGCACGATTACTCCAAGTCGCGGTCTCACACATGTAAATCCCCCATGCTCGCCATTACTCAATCGTTGCATACACGCAAGTCTCGTCGTGGGTCGACTCGAAGGTATCTCAAACTCCAACTCTCGCCATGCTGCAGCATGATGCTGCTCCTCTCACCCTCGTTCCCCCTATCTTTCCCTCTTCCAAATCTCGGATGGCCGCTGCCGACAACTGAGATCATCATAAATGCATGTCTAGTATGAGCTGGTTTGCACCTGAGCAAAATAAAACGAATAGGGACCCCAACTCCCAAGGTGATGAGGGGGCTAGTCAACGCCCGTGGTGCTTTTTTCCTTGGAATTCCAAGTCCGGTATCTGCTCAAGTCTCGCCGCTACTAGCGCGCGAATACCTTGACGATGCCGTCGCCGCCACCACTGACAACCCACCGACCATCATGACTCCAGACTACCGTACAGACGCCTTCTCCTCTCATGATGCGGTGACTCGTGATCTCCTGGGTGCAGGTTCGCTTCTCCAGAGACCAGAATCGGAGGCTAGCATCGTGGCCAGCCGATACGAGCTCCCGCCCATCCGGGCTGAGGGATAGACCCGAGATTGCCGCTGGGTGTGCGAGCATGTTGTATGTACATTGACCTGAGAGTGACATGAGCAAGGTTCAAACAAATATCAAGATGACCATAGACTTACCGCTGTTGGCGTCGAAGAACCTCACAAAACGGTCTTCGTGTCCCGAGATGATGACGCCCTCGATCCCGCTGCTGGAACCTCCACTGCCGCCGGTAGGGCCGCTTCCCTCATCGTCGAGTCCTGAGCCCGAGCCCGAGCTCTGGTCGAGGCTCGTCGTTGTTGCCACAACAGCATTGACGCTCGTAGCCATGGTACCATCATAAGTCTCCAGGCTCGCCATGGAACCAATCTCTTCTCCCGTTCTGGTATCGAATATGATTATTGAGGCATCCGAAAAGCTGACCACAAACGCTTCACCAGTAGCTGATAGGGGTTTGATAGATGTTGGCGAGGCTTTGGAACTATTAGATCGGCGTATGTCATGAACAAGAGTCGAGTTAAATGGTGAGTTCGATGCCATACTGGGCTGCGGGGAGTTGGGGAACTGTGAGCCAGAGCTCATCGAGTTTCCTCGCACCCGGCCGCTGCCTGTACCACGCCGTCCTCCTGGCCCTGGCTGGGGGGATGTCAACTGCGGAGGCGCGCTCACAGCCCAGATCTTGATGGCTCCATCGGCCGCACCCGACACCACTAAGATACGGTCCGGGCTGCCATAAGGATTGGATTGACCAAACATAGCACCCAGCGTGGCAGGAAGCACGCAGATGGCCCAGACAGCGTCAGTATGGCCATCTAGTGTTGCCTTGGGGTCTACCCGGCCGCGCTCCCACACCCGGATGGTCGCATCCTGACCGCCAGAAAAGATCCAACCGTCGCCTTGAGCACGCCCACCCGTGGAAAAGTTGGGCGAGGGCGACCAAGACGTGAGACACAGCACGGCGCCGCTGTGTCCACGATGAGTGAAGTCGGCTGGTACATCAAGATCGGATGAATGACTACCCACGTGGTTCGGATTCTCCCGAGGGATATGGAAACGTTTCACAAGACCATCATCGCCTGCAGTGCAAATCTCCGGCTCTCCTGGGCTCCCACCGCCGGAAAATATGACAGTACGAACGGCATCGAGGTGACCGCGCAGTCCATAGCGTAGCTTGAAGTTTCCACTGTCCGCCTTCTGTGCCATGGCATTGAGGGAGAGCTCCTGTTCCGCACTTCTTCTGCGCGACATTGAGCTTTTTCTTCGATGGGAGCTGGGGCCGCGGTTGGGCGATTTTGGGAGGCTCTCAGCGGTGGGAAATACATCGGTATCCGGACGGTGCGAGAGAGGTTGTAGAGGCTGGGAAGACGCTGGGTCGGAAAAGGACCCTTCGCTAAAATCCCACCCATCCGTATCTGTGCTGCCTCGTTTCTCCAGAGCCCCTCCGGCATTCTCAGACTGCCTAAGCTCGTTTGTGTGGTTCGCTTTGGAAGGGGTTTCCTCTTGAGTACGTGTCGTAGGCGGACCAGGAGCCGGCCATTCGTGGGAGTACATTGACGAGGAGTTTTCAGTAGACCGGATCATCATAGGAGCTGACTGCAGATCTGGAGTCTTGGAAGGCATATTGGCGGAGGGGGCTTGCGACATGGGAGGCGCGTGGTTCGGAGCAGGGCGAGCTGGACCCTTGACATTCTGGTTTAGCCTCATGATGTCGTGTTGGTTGAGAGGTAATCCAAAGTCTCCTTCTCTGAGGTCGTCCATCAATGGCAAAGGGGGGGACTCTCGAGGCGGCATCGGATTCGCGGGTGTCATCATTAGGTATGAGAATTCAGATTGGCACTGGTCCAAGAAGTTCCTGAGCTCCTCACGGTCGCGCTCCTCGTCAGCCTGTAACCTGTCACCAAAGAAACCCTCAGACCCTGCCATTGACTCCTTCGGCGGCTCGCTCGTCGCTGCACAAACAGTTAGTACTTGGAAAACCAGCCAGGCCAGGCGGCGAGGGGTTTACGGACGTTTCAGCTTCTCCTGAACCAGGGCTGCCCTGTCGAGCTTGGGAGGGTGCTTCACGGAATGGTCCGCATCTTGTGACGACGAAGATGCGATTTTGAGCTCGCTGGCTTGGTCTTTAACCTTCTTCTCGAGGATATTGACGTATCTCTTCAGGGCCTTCTGAGTGGCATCGGCCCGTCTGGCTGAGCCTTCGAGAGCAGCTATCCTCCCTTTCATCTCCTGGCGCTCGATCTCCCAGGCGTTCCTATCTCGCTCGTGTCGATGCCATTCGGTCTGGAGGAAACGCATAACACCTGCGAAAGATGGCCGTTAGCTACAGCGTCACGTACACGCCCGCCCAATGCCTGACTGCGAGACTGCGACTCTGACAGCGACTCGCCTTGTAATGTGTATTCAGTCGCGTGCGGCTGGTTCCCCTGATGGGCGGGTGCGGCCCCCCCTCCCTGCATCTCCTGAGCACCCACAGGGCCACCGACTCCGTTGCCAGCTCCCATGGCGGAGACCTGTTGCCAGCTCATGGACGCGAACCGTGCAGACTCGAGTCGTGACAGTGACGGTATTCAACCCTCACTACCGTCTTCACCGTCGAGTTCGTATGGGGGTGTTCGACATGCGCATTGGGGTCGCCAACCCAAAGTGCCACTGTGTATCGGTGCAGACGCGCGGGCTCTCGATTGAGGGACCCCAAGAGGCTCGTTTGCGCGTCAGATGGCGACACGCGGCGTTGGTAAAGTGGCAGTGAGTGGTTTCGCAGGCGTAGTTGGCCGATATCGATAGAACGACGGAGGGTTCGACGTTCGACCGTCGACCACGGTGCAGTAAGAAGCTCGGAGAAGGACAGGAAACCTGAGCAAAGCTCTCTGGAGAAGGGGGCCGAGACTGAATGCCCGTGGTAGATTTGGTTGGTGACGTCGGGTCGGTCGCGCAGGGTGGCGTGCTCCAGATGCGATGCGAATTGATGAGGTGCGATCCGGGCTTTGAGAACGTCGTCGTATCCTTTCTCGCTTTCTCTCGCTTGCGACTTCGTGATGACTGGAGCTCCTTCGGATGGGGCCCCTGGACAAAGATGTGATGAATTCAATCCCAGAGTCAAAAAAGCTACAGTGCATGTATCTTTAGGGGCCAAGGCCAAAGCCACGACAGGGTCAGGAGCTTGGAGGCGGTCGCTGTTGCTGCCGCTGTCCGTTCACTACCTAGGTACCTATGAACACTCGCCCAATCAGCGGCTGAGGGTCTGTGGCTGGTGCTGCTCTGGCCTGGCCTTGCTAGCCGGACTGTGGCGTATTTCCCCCGAGACAGTACATGAGGTACATGTCGATAAGTTAAGGACTGAGAGATACCGTAGCGATACGCTCAGACCACCTCTCGTTTTGACCTGAGCCAAACGATTCAATGCAGATGTTGATCATCTGGATCTCGCACCTTCATGGCGAAGAGCCATTGTACATGTAAGCAATGGAACCTTGGGTATCAGAGGTCTACATGACAGCCGCCTATCGGTCTGTTGGGTCTATGTATGTAGGCTGCCCAAGAACATGCACAGTCTCAGTCATGCCAGACCACCTAGGAGGTAAACACAGTCCAGATGCCATGGCTTGAAGTATTCAGTCTGTGGTGATAGCGCTGAAGCTCGGAAGCTATAGTCACAACATGAATGTTTATCCGTTCACTACCTTACACATGCAGTGCGCAGGTATGTACGCCTACTGCCATATGCACTTTGAATGTGTTCATCTGTTGCCCTGGATTTCCTAACACCCCGCCTCGTCGTATGTACATGCACCCATAGCTGGGTGGCATCGGTGATAGGCCATTACCCCCAAGCTGTTGGTGATCGACAACCTCGGCTGCCAAGAAATCAGACGACCCTACGATTGACTCCTCTAAACTCCCTGTTATGTGTATTTCGTCTCGTTGTCCGTTCTCTCCCCTCTAACATACGAATGAAAGGTGTTGCCTCGCTCTCGTCCTCGGAATAGTCTACTGTCCTACGGTTGCTAGTCGCATCAACAACGACCGTTGCAATGGCGGATAAGAGTATGGCAGAAGCCATAGAGGGAATGGAAGGCATTCAGAGAGTGGAAAGGTATCTGAGCTTGTGGACATACGCATACCTTCAGGACCCCAAGAACAACGTGAGTCCTCGGCATCTTTTACATGAGCCCCTTAGGGTACCCGTCAATACCAGCTAATGCCTGTCAGGACTGGTCGTCAACCATCACACCGCACCTGTCCATCGTCTCACACTCAGCATCACTCCCGCATCCCAACATCACCTTCCGCTTGACTGTACAGCCCATCCATAACAATGGCCTAAACAACATGCATGGGGGATGCACATCCACCATCTTCGACCTATGCACTACGATGCCGCTTCATCTGATCTCCAAGCCCGGATTTTGGCAGTGGCTTGGCGTGAGTCGCACCTTGAACGTCACGTACCTGCGGCCTATACCTGTCGGTTCAATTGTGGACATCGAATGCGAGATCGTCCAGGTCGGGAGGAAGATTTGCACCTTGAGGGGCGTCATGAGAGCTGTGACAGCCGATGGCAAAGAGGGACCGAGCCTGGCGGTTTGTGAGCATGGAAAAGTCAGTACGGATCCTCCTGCTGAGAAGCTGTGATGTATCATCACTTGAACGGGAGCAGTGATTCAACGTTGGGCAAGGTCATCGTTCCCAGCTTGATCCAGAATGAAGATTACATTAGACAATATCAAAAGTTGTATACAAATCGGCTTGACCTGCCGACCTGCCGACTTGCCACGACGCCAGCCCAATGCAGTCCCGACCAATGCATGTTCCAACGCCATCTCTCCAAATGATGGGAACTTCCACGGTTCAAAGTGTGTCCGTGAGACGTAAAACATAAGGCAGTTCGCCTTTGTCGCCCCCTGTGGCAAGTCGGATGACTGAACCTTGGGACACAGATTGTAAGCTCGTGCTTGAAGCCTGGCTAACAGAATACGGCTGTCTTGTCTGGGCGAAGCTGTCGGCACTGTTTGCACTGGGTGACCGGGCCACAGCCGTCTTCCCGGCCTTACTCTTTGGTGTTGTTGGCGCAGTACGATATTGATGCCAAGTAGTTGCCGACGAGTTTCGAGCCAAGAGATTAGGTCTACGCGGGACACGCGAACGCGTACTGCTCCTGCTGAAGCTGGGCGAACTAGCTATGCTCCGAGCAGGTGTGGTAGGGGTGGTGTCCTGAGGAGCGTCATCATCGATATGCCCGTCGCTCTCGGAATAACTGGCATCGGGATCCTGGGCGCCGTATAGAACAGATGGGTCCAACGGCTGCATGTCCCGCAACAACTCAGCCAAGAGGTGCATGAGCCGCCGGAACGTTGCGTTGGATAAGGGGCGTGTGCAGAAGCGAGCGCGTTCGTAGATGTCCAGAAACCCAGATGTACTCTGAGAGCTGCACACTACGTCAAGACTGGTGAGGTGAACAACATAGTCTCTCATGGTCATATCGGAAGCACGTTGAAGAAGAGCGACGGCGTCGAGGTCGAGGGTCGGCGTGTCTGCAGCAGAATTTTGATCTACAGGCGCCTGCGAGACTGCCTTGGCCTCGACGAGGTTCGGCAGTTCAGAAAGAACAGTGCTGTACTGAAGGTTGGGCAAGTCCGGAGAGGCCGGCGAGCCCCATCCGTAATGTTCGATGTCGCCCCAGACGGGTCGCAGCGACGGAAGCACAATGCCCATCTCGTCCGCAGCGGTCGCAGGGGGTTTTGGCCTGAACAGTTGGAGGGACTTCCTGCCGTCTTTGGCCTGCGCATCGCTCGTCCTTGTTTCGCCTGCCGCGTCCTCGGACATGGCCTGCAGAGCATCGAGTGCAAGGACCTTGGGGCGAGCCTCCCACGCGATGGCGGCGCTTCTTCCCAGGCTGGCGACAATCATCTTTCGGACCTCGTTGGTGACGTCGCCCTTCTCGATGGGGATCCACGTCTTAGGGATGGAGGCGAGCACGCTGCGGGTGACATAGAGGCGGAGCGCATAGACGAACAGGACGATCAGCACGGTGAGGACGTAGATGATGGCGATGACGATGAGGTTGATGACCTGGTGGGTGGTGCTCAAAGCCTGGCGCACAAAGTCGCCGGGGACGATGAGGAGCAGGGTGGCGAGCAGAAGACATAGTAGGACATAGACGGAGGTGTAGGCTATGCGAAAGACGAGGCGGGCGGTTGCCATGGTTGTGTGGAGGTGCAGGCTATCGTTCGTGGTGACATTCTCGTGCGGCGCTGGCTGTTGGATAACCGCGTCGTAATCGATCGCAGATGTTGGAAGCTCATATTAGGAGTCGCGTGTCCATGATAACCTGGCGTCTGGGCGATTAGGAGGAAGACGAGTGAGCGGGCGATATTAGGTGCCTTTGGCGGTTCAGGGTGAGAAGGGCATCGAGGTTGATGATGGAATGGAGGGCAGCCGTAGACATTTGGAGATGAGGTAGGTACTGTAAAGTAGGTATGTATCTGCAGGGGCCCATGCACCCTCGGGGATTATGTCACCAATCAGGGAGGATAGACAAGATAGACAACCACCTGCTGGGATGAAAGCTGGGGGCCCGGGGACGATGCGAGGATCCGCTCAGCCCGCTCTTCCCCATTCCATCCCTTCAATTATCAGATTTACCTGAATAGGTTCACCTTAAGCGCTGTTCAGGAGTGTGGAAATAATGCCTGGAATGCACTCCAGTAAGGCTACCTGCCTACCTAGCTAGACGTCCGTACTGTCAGTTGCGGCACTGTACTGTTCGTCTAATGCTTAGAACCTTGGAAACACATGACACGATGGGTCGAGGTAGGCATGTCATAACATGTGGTTGATGGCATCATGTTTGCATATTTCAGGTATCATCACAACTCGTACATCTTTTGCGCATCTCATTGAAACCAGTCAGGCCCATTCAGTGACTCGGCTTCTGTCCACAGGCAGAGACTGGAATAGAGCAACTGGTGCCCCTAGCTCAACTGCTGCATTTCCGGTGCCCTCTCTACCGCGCTGCCCTTCTCCTCTGCCTTTGCGTCCTTCTTCTCTGCCTTTGCATCCTTCTTCTCTGCCGCCTCCTTGGCTAGCCTCATGTCCGCGCGGCTGAGTCTCAAGTCGCTGCTGTACGGCCCAAACGCCGTGATGAGCTCGCCCAGTCCGTCCTTCAACGCCGCCAACAACTCTGACGCCTCGGGACACTCTCGTTCCTGCTCGAGATCTGTCCAATGGAAGGGGAAGTCATCTTGGAACTTCTCGAGCTTCTTGATGACTATCGTGAAAGTCCGTACGATAGCTGGCACGTCTCTCTGCACATTGCCGTACTTGTCCTCTGCCAGACTACAAACCGCCAGCTGGGACAACGCATACGCCGCATTCGCGTACATGCTGACATCCCCATACGGACTACCCAGCAAAGCCTTGGCAAAGCGGCGTCGGAAGCACTGCTGAAATACCGACCCGATGACAGGCATGCCTAGCACACGATGCGATAGGGTCCCGAATAACGTATTGACGGCTTCAGGCCTCAGTGCCTCCTTTTGTTCCTTCGTCATCAGCTGGTCCGCCACCTTTGCTGCTCTCTTCCTTAATTCTTCTGCGGGCGTTTTCCCTGGTGACGTATACTTGCTGGCGGCGGGAGATTTTGGAGCACTTCCCGAAGCCCATACAACGGCATCTGTTGGTGGTTTGACCACACGTTCGCGCGGAGGAGGGGGTGCTGGAGCGGCTTGCGAGCCCGGTGCAGGGGCCGGCGGCTTGCCATAGTCGTCAATTCTCTGCTCAAGCGTCTTGATTGCGCTTTGACAGAGGACATAGAGTTGCGACCACATCGGCCCATCCTTGCGGTCAATGTCTTCGTACATAGCTTGCCTCCTAACATCGAAATCCCTTGCGATGAGAGCCAGCTCCCACATGGCGAATGCCTACTTGGTTAGATATCGCATGTGGTCAAGGAACAACGCGCGCTTACAGATATACGGGGTTTCTTGCTCTTGAGGCCGTTGAGCAGGCTGCCATTGGGATCTTTGGAGTCCGACGTGAGGGGATGGTCGCTCTTCAAAGGCTCTTTCCCAAGCCTCAGTCTGAATGCCATGCCGCCAAAGTTCCATATGAAGCAGAGCAGGAAGCTTGCCCATATTGAACGTCCAAGCATCCAGAGACTCCACGGACCGACACTGGGAGGTATGTTCGTTCTCGGTAGGTTATATCGAAAGCGAAAGATCCATATCGCCCATGCCCAGGCAGAGCGTCTGAGGAAGTGATAGAGGACGACGTAGTTAACCAAGCTTATGCCTACAGCGAGCATCCCAGATCGCATCAGAACTATCGGAAACCACTTCCCCAATACTGCCGCTGTCACATCTGACGGTATGGGCTCTGCTTGTCCTTCTCGTTTCGGCTTCACCGTGCCCAGGAGCATGCGATCTAGGTCCAGAGAGATATGCAAGATGCCCTGAACAGCGCCCACGAGTATAACATTTACTGTGAAAAAGAGAGCTTGCTCATTCAAGCGCATGCGGTCTCCGGTGAAGTGGGTGATCCAGCGAAGCTCGGCACCCTCTGGGCTTGACAGCAGGTACGTCTGGCTGAACAGCCACGCGGAGAAGGCAAAGGTGAGAATCGTCTCTGTGGTAGAGAAAGGAAGGATGCTGCCGAGTATAGTTTCGAAGGGTGAGTTGGAAGTTCGGATGCCCACGTGGGAGTGGGCGATTCGCAGGATGACCACAGGCAGGACGGATACGAAGATGGCGAAGGCCCTCAGACCAGGAAGACCCAAAGGAATCCATGACCAGATGACTACAATACCGAATCAGCAAATGCCCCCTTGAAGCAAAAGGCCAAGACAAGGACATACAGGAGTCCCACGTAGACCAGGTGAGAGCCTCGAGGTAGGCAAGACAGAGCACGATGGCTGCGGTAAAGGCGAATCGTTTCTGTAGTTCAGGTTGCAGGAAGTCCTTGTATGGCGCCCGCCGCGCAAGTAAAGGAGGCATCTTTGCAGCTCCAGGGGAAGGCGATCAGGTCAGCGCATCGTCGAGGGGGAATCGGCCGTTCGGTGGGTTTGTCGACGAGCATGCGCAGAAAGGGATTGGGTGCGTGAGCGGAGGAATGACAGCTTGGGCTGCGTTTCGATTGTTTCTCGTGGTTGCTGCGCGAGACACTCGCGGCCCGCTGAATGTAAATAAAAAAGTTGCAGCCCCAGACCAGCAACTGTTGAGGGCACATCCAGGTCCATGGATTGCATTAACGGGCGCCAGGTACCGCCCACGGGTATTGGAGGGAGAGCACTAGAGCCGCTAACACTGCAAGGCGTGTGCTGCAGTTCTGCAGTTCTGCAGGGGTGCTCCAGCTTGCACAGGCTCACAGGCTTTGAGCTTCAGCCTCAGCCCTGATGAAGCGAAGCTGTGAAGCGGTTGGAGAATGATTTGCATAATCGCCTAACTTATCCCACCGGATTGCATAACTCAGCTGTTGCCTGCACGGCTCCCAAGTGTGGCGCAGTCAACGACGTAGCTAGGTTGCCTCGGGGTCCTGAACCGGTGCATCCCAGCATCGCCGGCGACCCACCCATCCATGTACTTGTCACGTTGCTAGATGGTACTGGAGGACTTCTTCAACTTTCTGTGATATTACAAGTACCTCCCGCGTTCTCATTTATCGATACCACGCTCCCTTCCGTCTCCGGCCTTCACCACCATGTCGTTCGATCAGTTATCCTCGTTGGAATCCGGCAGCGCAAGCGGTCGCCGCGGGAACAATGGCGCATTCTCCGACGACCCGGAATTCTCTCGTCTATCGCAGGGCTTGATGAACAAGCTGTTCCACCTGCAGGGCAACATCTCGAAGCTCAGGTCAGACATCAGCCTACTCGGGACCAAGCGAGACAATCCCCGATTGCGAGAGCGCGTTCATACCGTGCTCGAGGAGTCCACGGAGCAGTTCAAGGAGGTCGGCGAGGGAATCAAGAAGGTCCAGACCTGGGAAGACGTTACGGTCAGTGCGCCATGTGCCCTTCTCCATATGGATCCTATTCAACCCTTTATCGATCGCCGCGCGAGCATAACTGACACCTTGTGCCATACAGCCCACACAGAAGTATTCCCAACAGAAGCTGTCGCGCGAATTCAAGTCCGCCCTCAGCGAATTCCAGTACCTCCAACGTGAGGCCCTCGAGAAACAACGGGCGTCCGTCACCGCTGCCAGAGCAGCGCTCGACCCCAACTCGCCCGGCGAAGTAGGCGCAAGCGGGTATGAGGGCGAACAGTTGCAGCTGCAACTGCAAGAACAGGAACAAATCCATCTGGCCCCCCAGGACGAGGTAGATTTCCAAGACGCACTGATCACGGAACGCGAGGAAGAAATCCGCCAGATCGAGGAGGGCGTCGGCGATCTAAACGTGCTCTTCCAGCAAGTGGCACAGATTGTCAACGAGCAAGGCGAGACCCTCCAGACTATTGAGGACAATGCAGTCAACGTTCGCGAAGATACCAGGGGTGCCGACGTTGAGCTGAGGAGTGCGGCGCGGTATCAGAAGAACGCACGCAGCAAGGCCTGCTGTCTGTTACTGGTCTTGGCAGTCATCATGACGATCGTTCTGTTGGCCGTGTTCTTGGGATGAGTCGGTCTGTTGAGTGGGTAGAGTGTAAGAAGCGGCATCTTCCAGGCGTATGGCGTTTTCGGGGAGACATTCTCGGTCGTTTTGGTAGTTCAGCATACCGATCACGAATATTGACACTCATATCGTCCAGCTCTGAACGATATCACAAACGATATCACAATTCAGCAAGCGGTGGTAGTCTATGTCACCTCGGCTTCTATCTTAAGATTCCTTTCGTGCGCTTCATGGAAATATGTGCAGGTTTTGCCCTCCAACTTGCCAGCTACGTTGGACATGCAGTATATGTGGAATGGGTATGTGCAAGTAGTAATACAAAATGTACATGAGCATTCTGAGCTCCGCCACGATCAGTATTCGTTTCCAACTTGCGTAGCTCCTAGTCTTCGCCTGCGAGTTGGTTTGCTTCCTAGGGATGAGACGACAGATTGAAAATTCCGTTGCCCGTGTTATCTTTCCACCTTGTCTCCCTTACCACTCAGAGCATCCTCCGGTCTTCGCTGCGGTCTGATGACAGGGAGCTCGGTGCCCGTACATCTGACCTGCAACACTGACGAGGCTGGCTTGAAATGTTTGAGTATTTTACCACTGATCCAGTTGGTGGCAGATGACGACAACCAATACAGGTGTACCGCAGCCGGAAGGTTGAGTGTGGCCGGTCCCACCGCAATAGCCGCCACAAGAAGAACTCGATGAAAGAATGACCGTGTCTTCTCCCCGATGGCTAATTTGTCGTCATCTGTCAGTGCCGATGGCGCTGACTGGTCAGTTGTAGTCTTCGGACCGAAAAGCGCCCTAATCCCATCGCCAGATTTGGGAATGACATGCGCGACGAGGGTGATGGATAGCGCAAAGGGCAGTATATGATAGGGATCCGCGATCGTCAAGTCAGGAAACCACAAACATCCCTCCACAGCCATGCTCGGTTCCGCAGCTTGAGTAAGTGTCTCTACCATACCAGAGGTAGCAGTCGAGTCGATACCCGGGATATCGGAGGCGGCACCACTTGTCGTTGTCGCCAAAGGGCCAGGAGCTCCGGCAGATTCTGCTGTGCCAGACCCCCCCGCGCCGGCATCTCGAGGCCCAGCTACCAAGGATGCCAGAAGGCCTCGTGGACCGCCGCATAAGCGTCTTACGGCATCGATGGCGGTGAGCCAGAAAGGGAGGCTGAGAAGACTGCCGTAGAGTTTCCACTCCTGCAGGCCTAGTTTCGCATACAGCCTCCTTATCACCTTCTCCTGGCGGGCTTTGACTTCTCGCAGTCTTTTGGTGGGGAAAATGCCTTCTCGTTGCACATCTCGCTGAATGCGTGCGTTACACGCTTGTATGATGACTGCATGTTTGCTTCGGCGTTGCAGTATATCATGGGCGTAAATGGTACAAGGCAGGCGGAAGAAGACGCTGACGCCCACTGCGAATAGGGGGATGGTCAGGCACCATGGGGTGTTGGTGACGGCGTGGATGTTGAGTAGTATTTCCTGTGTGCCCTCGATGGCGGCGCTGATGGCAGGCTGTATGTGAAAGGACCTCTGCATACGCTGGCTTGTGCGTAGAGGAGACTGGACTCGACTCGAGATACCAGGCTCAAGACGAGGACGACAGTGCCCGAGAGCGCCAATGAAACTCGTCGCCCGGAGGGAACGAAGACCATTGGAGGATGTCATGATGCACCGCACATAGATGTGTCTGCCTCATCTGATTGACATGGCTATCTCATATGCATATATATCGTAGCCGAAAGCGATGCCCTCGAGTGTAGGTAGGTAGCTGTTGGACGGCACATAAGTCAGTGGGATGTTACTTTTGAAAGTTGAGGCTGCATGTGGTCTGTGCCCCCTGTAGTACATGTAAGAGGTAAGGTACCAGTCAGTCACCGGGCCCTCAAAGGTCTCCGGCGCGCCTCGACTTCAAGAGGTATGCAAGACGTTATAATGAGCACTCTAAAATAAGCAGTCCTATTTGGATCTCTCACACTCAATGCATACCCGGAGTGCTTGTTCCAAGCACGACCTTGGAAGACCTTAACCCCTAGGTATAGTTAGATACCTAACCTCATGGGAGGTTCAGTATATGTACCTTATGTACATCTGTATGGGGGTATACCTGAGATACATTGGAGAAACTAACATCTCGCAATGGCGTTATGAGGGGTTGCGGTCTGTCTTACACGCGTTGTCGTACCTTAGGTACCTAGAACATTGAAGCTTGAGTGGCGGGGTCGTCGGCAGATACGAGTGCCGAGGAAAGCCGATAAAAATTATGAACCACCTGAACCTAAACCTTCCCGAGCGCATAAGATAGGTACCTACCTACCTTACCGGCGTCGTGTCTCCATCGCAGGTGAAATTGAAGCTTCCATACCTTAGTCGTCTGGTCTTGCTCTTCCACCCCACCGCCGCCCGCCCACCTTCAGCCTCCTGCTTCATCCGTGATTGACGAGTTGATGGGTGAGCTTGACTGGTTCTGGAACAGCATGACAAGGCCAGACTGATCCTTACCTTCTTTTCCTCTTTCCAGCGTGTGCAACTTCCCATCGGATCCCCAGAAGTTACCTTATCTATATACAGAGCTGGACTACTCGTCCTATGCACCTCGACTTGCATGCCAGCTAGCGATATCCCCTCGAGCTGCTCAGCCCCGACGAGTGAGGCACCCTAGTCGTTCGGCATGGATTCCAAGGTCCTGGCCTTTACGGCCATTGCGATTGTCTGCACCCCATTCGCAGCCCTCCTATGCTGGAATTTCGCCCTGCCCACCCTGTTCCGAGTCTTCTCCCAGACTGTAGGCTCGTCTTCGGGCTGGTACCTGCGAAAGAAGACGGAAGGCCGCCGCGCCCTGATCGTCCGAGCGACTGAGGAGAGCGAGAGAACTTTCCGCAAGCAGAGATCCCCCAGAAACGACGGCAGCGATGATGACTGGGAGAACATAGACAGTTCCACGGCAGCAACCTCGAACAACGGTGAAAAAGGCGGGGAAGACTGGGACGGCATCGTTGGCTTCTTCCACCCTTTCTGCAATGCTGGAGGAGGTGGCGAACGAGTGCTGTGGGCTGCAGTGCGTGCCACCCAGGAGAGATGGCCGAGAGCCAAGATCGTCGTCTACACTGGCGACCATGACGTCTCCAAGGACAAGTTGCTCTCTCGCGTCAAGGTTGACTCCCTGTGTCCTGCACTCTCACAGCAAGCCAAGATGAGACGGCTGACCATTCAGTAGAACACCTTCAGCATCGATATACACCCACCCACCATACATTTCCTCTACCTCTCGACCCGGCATTGGGTACTCGCGTCTACCTGGCCTCATATGACCCTGCTGGGGCAGTCTATGGGGTCCCTCATCATGGGCTGGGACGCCTTTTCTCTCTTGGTTCCGGACATCTTCGTCGATACTATGGGATACGCCTTTACGCTGGGTCTGAGCAAAATGCTCTTTCCCGACATGCCAACCGCCGCCTACGTGCACTATCCCACAATTTCCACCGACATGCTCGAGTCGCTTGATCCGAATACTTCTGTCGGCGGTCAAGGTGTGAATGCTGGGAAAGGGGTTGGCGTCAAGGGAATTCTCAAGCAATACTACTGGAAGTTGTTTGCTGGCATCTATTCGTGGATGGGAGCTACCATCGACGTCGTCATGACCAATTCAACTTGGACACAAGCACACATTCAGTCGCTGTGGGGTCCCCGCCGGCAGCGGAAGAGTAGAGATTTCCCCATTGCCGTTGTGTATCCGCCATGCGCTGTCAACGAAATCGAGCAGGCAGTCGAGTTGTCCCAGGAGAGCGAGAAGAGACGCGAGAAGTACATAGTGTACATCGCCCAATTCCGCCCCGAAAAGAACCACCAGCTTATTCTGCAATCGTTTGCTGAATTCGTCAACTCTGGCACCGATGCCGCAAACGGAGCCAAACTAGTCCTCCTTGGTAGTGTTAGGGACGACAACGACTCGAGGCGCGTATACAAGCTGCGTCTACTTGTCAACGAGCTTCACATCAAGGACCGGGTCATATTCCAACTCGATGCTCCGTGGTCCGAGATACTCGAGTATCTCAGAAAGGCCTACATCGGGGTCAATGGCATGTGGAATGAACATTTCGGCATCGGCGTAGTTGAGTACCTGGCGGCCGGTTTGATCTCCGTCGTTCATGATAGTGGCGGTCCAAAGCTGGACATCGTCACTGAGGTTGACGGTCAACCTACAGGTATACTGCCCATGACTCTTCCCCTAAAGGTAATGTGACACTTTACTGACGTCTCTCCAGGCTTCCACGCCACCACTGAGGCCGAGTTTGCTGAGGGATACGAAAAGGCTCTTTCACTTCCCGATCCGTTGGCCGTCAGACTGAGGGCCCGCCAATCGTCCAAGCGGTTCTCGGAAGAGGAGTTCGCGAAGCGGTGGTTGGCCCAGTTGGAGAAGTTGGTAGCAATGAAGATGTGAAGGGTTGATTATATTGCACAGACTACCTAGACTACAACTCGATACCCCCTGGCCTGCGTGGTGGTGGATCTGAGTACACTTGGCTCTGCTTTGCGTTAGAAGAACGGCTAGATAATGTCCAGTAGACGCGACAGAACACGACCACGACCTGGTGGTCTGATACCGATTGTGTATGACTCGGAAGGAATCTGTGCCGTGTGCTGGTGATGTGTCCGACGGTGTAGTTGCTGGCGTTGGGTTCTTATCGCGGTTTGCGCGTGTTATCTGCCCGTGGTGTCCTACTAGTAGAGGAAGCGGACTCAACATCCGAATAAGTCCGACTCGAGTCTGCCCAAGTCCCAAGGTTCTCTCTCGGATTACTAAAAAAGACCGCGAGTTCCTGTCATCAAGGTTCTTTTGGCTTCTCTTAAGGTTCACATATATCGCCAAGTGTCGGAAAAGTCTGTCTCATGTGCCGAACTCTTGACGGTCCTCCAGTGTTTCTGAGTAATTGGTTGTAGTAGCGCGACCTTTGCGCTGCGTCCCATGCCGCAGGGGTAGACACGGTCACAACATAAGGTACCTTACGCACCGGAATTCACAACATGCCGAGAATGAGTAGGTGGCCGCGCTGGGACATCCTCGCACTCCCACATTGCTTTGTCCTTGGAACTGAAGACTGAAGTGTATGTCCAGACAACTTCAGGCGCTTGCCACAGAGCCTTCTGGTGCTCCTTACGGCCGCCTCTTCCGCGCTGGCCGTGCCGTCTCCATGGCAACCAGTCGGGGAATCTGTGCTACAGACTGCGGCGCCTGGTAGTACAGGCGCCGTTGCTTCCGAAAGCAAGATATGCAGCGAGGTCGGCATCAACCTCCTGGCTCGTGGTGTGAGTGATATCCTGGCAGTGAGAAGTCAGAGCAAGACTGACTCGCTTGACCCCAACCTGCAGGGTAACGCTGTCGATACTTTTGTCGGTACGCAGCTATGTGTCGGCGTCATCGGGATGCACCATTCAGGCCTGGGCGGCGGCGGCTTTAGTCTCGTTCGTGACAAGAACGGAAACTACACAGTCATTGACTACAGAGAATCGGCTCCGGCTGCGGCCTTTGAGGATATGTACAAAGGCAACGTCCGGGGCAGCATCGTCGGTGGCCTGGCCGCAGGCGTTCCGGGCGAGCTAGCCGGGTTGGAAAAGGCACACAAGGAGTTCGGCGTGCTGCCTTGGAAGGCTGTAGTCCGACCTGCCGCCTATGTAGCTCGAAATGGATTTCCTGTAAGCGAGGACTTGGTACGATACATGGCGTACGGTATTGCGTATGCCGGTTGGAACTTCTTGGTAGAGGACCCATCGTGGGCTCTAGATTTTGCGCCTCATGGTGAGTTGGTCGCTGCTACAGCAAGTCGACCACCCAAGTCTTGTAACTAACATGGGATCAGGTTCGCTTTTGACGTTGGGAGAGACAATGTACAGGAAACGATATGCTGAGTAAGAGTGGGTTCGACAATGGGACGAGACTGCATACTGACATGGGATACAGAACGCTGGAAAAGGTTGCAGAGCATGGTGCTGATGTGTTCTATACTGGTGCTATGGGTTGGTCATTCCCAATCCTTCAACTACCTACCTCGAATACCCTCCCCTTGGTAGACGAGATAAGACGTCCATCTTAGAAGCCTAGTCTCCTTTTCCCTTCACTGGCTGACCGCTTCATTTGAGCAGCTGATGCAACGATCGACTATCTCCAGAAATACAACGGCACGATGACACTCGATGACCTGTCCAACTATCAAGCCATCATCCGTCAACCCGTCAACATCACATATCACGGTTTCAACCTCTACTCCTCTGGTGCACCTAGCAGCGGTGCCGTCTGCCTTTCCACGCTGAAAACCATGGAAGGCTATGACGCCTCAGATACGGCTGATGTAAACCTAACTCTGCATCGATTCGACGAGGCGATGCGCTTCGCATACGGTGCCCACCAAGCGCTGGGAGATCCAGATTTCCTGTCTGATGTCGACAAGCTCGAGTACAAGATGTTAGACGCTTCGGAGGCTGCTTCCATCCGGCAGCGGATCCTCGACAACTCGACGCAGCCTGTCAAGAACTATGACCCGGACGAGATCTACACGTCCGAAAGCCACGGGACGTCACACATTGTGACGGCGGATGCGTCCGGTATGGCCGTGTCTAGCACGACGACGGTGAATCTGCTATTTGGCAACCTTCTCATGGTGCCTGAGACGGGCGTTATCCTTAACAACGAGATGAATGACTTTTCTATACCTGGAGTTACCAATCAGTAGGTGATTTCAGAAGGCAACCAGGTCCCCTTTAGGTCACGTCCTGGGAGCGAATTTCCTATTTGGGCCTGTCTGATGAGCTCTTTGCCGATGAGGGATGCGTCTGGGCTCCTTATTTATCGCGAAATTGCTTACAGAGAGTTATTACTGACTCTCGATTGATTTAGATTCGGGTACGCGCCAAGTGAGGCCAACTTTATACGACCTAACAAGCGGCCGCTGTCTTCCATCACTCCTGTCATTATCGAGCACTCAAACGGCACACTACTCGCCACTGTGGGCGCGGCGGGAGGATCGCGAATTATAAGCTCGACCACCCAGGTGACGTGGCATGTGCTGGGACGTGCCATGACGATGAGAGATGCGATCAAGGAACCCAGATTCCACGACCAGTTGATGCCAAATGAGGTCGTGTTTGAGTATTCCTTTGAAAACAGCACGGTTGCGAGTATGGCCGAAAAGGGACACAACGTCACCTGGGTCCGCGAGGGTATCAGTGCTGTGCAAGGCATCAAACTCGCCGGGGATGGTATCTTCGAGTCTGTTGGCGAGACTAGACAGAAGAACAGTGGTGGGCTGAGCATCTAACTTCCCCATTGTATTTTGATCCGATCAAGACAGGTTCGAATCTTGCTGTACAATCTTGTATCAATTGATAAACTTGGAAGGCCATTATCCAGTCACAGGCTCCGTTCCATACAAACGAACACAATCTTGCTACGTCAGTGGTCGATAGAACAAGTTCCACGATAGGCCCAGGAGATCATTCGCGGCCAAAGCACTGGTATGTCCACCAGGTGGCTGTTTTTATGATACTGCAAGTTATGGGTTCGTTACCGGCCGGCTGCGTATTGGATCACGCACGACAGCAAACGACAGACTCGTGTACCTCGCCTCCTCTTACATGAGGCTGTCAAAGCTAGCAGCACTCTTCCTCGTACTATTGCCACTGGACAAGGGGCAGGTCGTCGTTTTTTAAACTAAGTACAGTACACGTAACGCTTGGAAGCTTTGTGTCTCGGGGGTTTGCTCCTGTGATTTTCAACTGAAGCAACTAGGTGGTGAGGGAGACACGGTGGTCGCACACGTTCATAAACGGGAACAGGTCCAAGATCTGTCAGCGCTTGCTTTTGCATGGCTGTGATCGTTAAGGGCATGCTAGTCAAACTCGAATGGCACTCCCTTTTTTTTTTTTGGCCGAGTAAGGCTTCCACGTCAATGTCCAATGTCAAGTCCAATGCAACTTCGTATTCTTTCCCCTTGTAGGCCAGACTGTCTACGTGGGCAAGTCCGGTGTTGATATGGAGACGTCTCATCGCCCGTGGAAGCACGGAAACACACCTACTACGGGAAACACGTCCAGGGTGTCCCGATTTGCCCATCCGGGACTCGTGACATGGCGACATGGCAGGACAGTGGCGGATAAGACTGCTGCCTAAGATGGAGGCGGAGCATATCTGGGACGTCACCTGTCACGGAAGCGAGCGGTGCAGAGCACCAAGTCGTAGCGAGTGGGACGAATGGTGTTCTTTCTGCCTTCTCGAAGTTCGGTCTCACATGCAGGGCTCAACAACTGCCCTGCCACGATCCACGAATGGGGCTTCGTTTTTGATCCTTCGGTTGTACGTCATTGCCTCCTCGCTCCGCCTCACTGCGGCTGCTCAGCCCAAAGGACTTGCATGTGGATTAACACCACTCTCAAGTCGACCAGTATATGTAAATCTCCCATGCTGCTCAACCTAAACACAGACCGAAGTCCTAAGCGCTGTGAGAATCCGCAGATCATCTTTCAAGACATCCACAGGAAGGCACCTGTGCATCAAACTACCAAACATCGGCACCCTACAACAATAGGAAGATGTGCTTTGGAATATGTGCACTGGCCCAGCATAAGGTACGTGTCTGAGCCTAGCTGACTCCCGGGAGTTGTCCGTATTGACCGGCTGACCGTCATCTCCAGTCACCAAGGCCTGCAGCTGGTTGGGGCCATCTTCACCCCCAACCCGCTGGACCCATCAACTACAACGAGACAGCGCGGAGAAACCAAAGACGAAGCAGACGCGGTGGTTTTGCCGGGGCTGCCATCATTGGAGGTGACGGGGGTGGAGCAATTGACGGGGGTGGAGGAGGCAGTGGAGGAGGTGATGGAGGCGGAGGAGGTGGCGGAGGAGGCTGTTGATGCCGAGCCGGACTGAGAAGAAACCCGGAGAACAAGTGGAGAAAGGACTGTCCACTTGATCGAGCAGTTGCCCGTACTGGCAGAATGGTTCTGCTCCTGAAATGGGACTTGAGGAGTACATTACATGAGAGATCAGCGCACCAGCCACAACAGTATCAAGCCCAAGCCACAGGCACACAGGCCTGGCGCGTCTGGTGTGGCTCGCCCTACCAGTGGCACACATGCACCGTACCAAAACTCTTCACATGCACCTTCGACTCATGAAAGTTTTGTCTTTAACAATGCGGTTCCACTCCATGAGTACACCGCGCAACTTGTCCACAGCCATCATACAGTCAACCAGAGCAACCAATCAAGCAAGAATCCGCCTCACTCAAGTCCTGATCCGGAGGAACCACTCTCAGGTTCAAACCTCCCCAATTCAAGGAGCGCTATTATCGGCGCGGAAACCTCCTGAGGGCTCATACATAGAGCGCACGTGGTCAGCCGAGAAGGGTTTCAACATGGAATCGCAGCCAAAGCCAAACCACGGCAAGAGGCCCTTCAAGCAGTCTCACCAGGGCGCCAAGAGGAGCCAGAAGAAAGCCCGAAAGAGAGAGCGGGATATGAAGAATGGGTCCGCCGAGGAAGTTCTCGGATTCGACGTACGAAGTCTGCTCGACTCACTTAACCAGCCCGAGGAGCATGCCAGTGGCAATGGGGACGCTGCAAGCGCCGAGGAGACCTTGCCGGAGCAAGGGTCTGAGATCGAAGTTGATGTTGTCGAGCTCGCATCCACGGGGGACGCCTTGGCGTTGCAGAAGGGATCGAAACGCATATATGTGCTTCCATTCGCTGTTCCTGGTGACACTGTCAAGGTCAAGGTGTATCGCCACCTGAAGGAGGAGCAATACACCGTGGCCGATTTCATTTTCGTGGTCAAGCCGTCAGTTTTGCGGGATGACAGCCGAGTCGGTTGCAAGTACTTCTCTACGTGCTCCGGATGCCAGTTCCAGATGTTGGATTATGCCGAACAGCTACACTTGAAGAAGAGAATCGTGGAGAAGGCTTTTAAGAACTTCTCCCAACTCCCACCGGAGCTCATTCCCACCATTCAAGATACGATAGGCAGCCCTCTGCAATACGGATACCGGACCAAGCTCACCCCTCATTTTGATGGACCTCAGGGCTGGCGCAAGAGCAAAGCACCTTTTGAGAAGCGGCCTGACATTGGATTTATGCCAAAAGGCAAACGCTCGACGATGGATATTGAGGACTGCCCGATCGGAACCGACGCCGTTCGGATGGGTATGAAATCGGAGCGCGAAAGAATGGATGTCGAGTTTAACAAGTACTCTCGCGGCGCAACCATCCTCCTCCGTGAGAGCACTGCGCGGACTACTAAAGACGCTTCATCCTTGGCCGAACGAGAAACCCCACCCAATGCCGTCAGGGTTGAGACAGATGGCTTCGTCGACCTGAAGACATGCGTGACAGACAACAACGCCACGTCAACCGAGTATGTTGGCGATTACGTCTTTCACAACCCAGCCGGTTCCTTCTTCCAGAACAACAACTCCATCCTCCCCGAATTCACCGACTACATCCGGCAACACATCCTTCCCACCTCGCCATCCACACCCATCAAGTACCTCATCGATGCATACTCGGGTTCCGGTCTCTTCACCATCACCTTGTCCGCTCTCTTCCAAGGCAGCACGGGCATTGATATATCCGACAAGTCCATTGAGTTTGCCCGAAAGAATGCCCAAGCCAACAACCTGCCCGAGTCCCAAGCCAACTTCATTGCTGCCGATGCAGGAGAACTTTTCAAGAGCGTGATGTACAATGCCGACGAGACCGTCGTCGTTCTGGACCCGCCTCGCAAGGGTTGTGATGCCGACTTCTTGGGTCAGCTGCTGAGATTTGGGCCCAAGAGGGTTGTCTACGTTAGCTGTAACGTGCATACACAGGCCAGAGACATCGGCGTCCTGGTCAGAGGAGAGGCTGGGAATGCAGAAGGGAAGATTGATGGCCCGTCTGGCACGAGGTACGAGATGGAGAGTCTTCGAGGATTCGATTTCTTTCCGCAGACTGGACACGTCGAGGGCGTTGCCGTGCTGAATCGGGTTGAGGCCCCCGAAATCGGTGCCTCCGTAGAGAAGGTGGCCGAGTAGGCTGACGAGATCGTGCATGCGTTCAGATACTGTAACTCATGCGTACTATATATGAAGGCCTGTTCTGTTGCTTTGTACACTGTAATCGTCTGTATTTAATGGCGACCTAACCGGGTAGCATATCTGGGAACGCTACCGGGGAATTCAGACTAGACTGAAATGGAGGGTGTGTGACGGGGAGAAGCTGCTCATAGAGCTTGTATAAAAGGGGTCCCAATAATGGGCTGAATGTTCCATTACCAAATACTTCATCTCGTGTTGTTGCCGCCTATAATGACCCTCAACCTTCCCAGACAAGAGGTTGGAGAAGTCACAAAATCCTACGTTTCCTCTTCGAGAAGGACCTTCAGTGCCTGTATAGTCACCTCTACAACCTCGGCCCTGCGGCTCTTTCTCGCACACTCCTTGAGCACTTCTACTCCATCATTCTCCCGCATTTCCTTGCGTGCCATCTTGCCAGCCTCGCCTTCACACGAGACCATGTTGAAAACGACAACGACGCCTCGGTGCCGCAAGTCCTCGGTTTCCTCGCTGCACATGCCGAGCACGACCTCCACTCCTCGCTTTCTCTTCACAATACCTTTCACGACAGCCTCGTACGCTGTCAAAGACGCCAGCCCACCTCCAGCGGCACTGCGTGTCCCTTCGTCCTCAGCGTCGGCAAGCGCTAAAAGAATATGCAGCCGATTGGCCGCCTGCGGAGTGTCGGCTGCATATAGTGCAATGCCCTCTACGCATTGTACCAGATTGCAGATCAGTTCCACGGCGGCTTTAGAGACCAGATGGTTGGATGATAGTAGTTGCTCCTCGATCTCCGGCCATGAAGTGCGGATGATCGTCGTTCGCGTGTCATCGTCTGTTGACGCGAGGTTGGTGAGAGCCATCAGGGCTTCGAAGGTCGGTAGCAGGTCGCGCGTGTCAGCGGCAGGATCTGGAGGCAGTATGGACGTCAGTGGGCGAATAGCAGTATTCTGCGGCCGGGCACGCGTGCCCCCAAAGACCAGGGCTGGGTTTGTGCTGATTAGTATGCGGGCAAGTGCCTGCGCTGCGCTGCGTTTCGCCTGCATTTCGGTGTCTGGCAATGCTGTCCATGCCGCAACCATCAGATTAACAGCGCCTTGCTGGGCGAGCTGGCCCCTGAGGCTGGTAGTGACCGACAGAGCGAAGATAATGGATATGATGATCGAGAGGGATGCCACAGAGCCGTGCCTACTGTGCGTCACCAAGACCGGCACAATACCGGCGTCAAAGACTAGCTTACACCGTTGCGAGACGTGTTCGTTGTCGTTGAGCGGGTTGGTTGGCGCGAGCTTGCCGGCTGCGTTCGCATAAGCCTTGAGCTGGCTCATCTTCTTCTCCTCGTCCGTCTGGGCCGGTTGGTAGCGAGTAAGGTTCATGAAGATGCTCAGGGCGCCATACGTAAGAGGTGACTTTGCTGGAGCATCACCGAGAACCTTTACAAGAGTTTTCAAAAGCTGCTTGCTGTGGGCAACCTCTTCCTTAATCGCGGGTTGAATGGTAGCGTAAGCGAGACCTTCTACCGAATGTCGCTTGCCATTATCGGGATCTGTAAGCAGCATCGTGGTGAATTTCCTGGTAAGGTCCTCGATGCTCGTGTTCGCCGCTTGGATCCTGTTGTCGGTGCCTTCTTTCGTCTGCGGTGTCGACGGTACTGCCTGAACCCACCTGGTCAGCCCTGCGCGTCACTGCGCCAAATCACTGCCACTGTAAATGTTCGAAAGCAGGCGGTGATGCGAGCGGAAGCTTCAAGGTGCCTACCCTCAGTTTTGCCAAGATGACCGCGGCCAGATGCTGGACTGCCTCGGAGTGTCTTCGCATTGCGATGGAACCCTGGGTGGCATGGAGGTCGGGGTCTGCTGAATGTATGGCCTTTGACAGCTCCTCGGGATCCTGGTCGACGACCTCCTCCAGCCAATCACTGCAGTACTTCTGGATAGCCTCCCGACATTGCGAGTTCATAGACGCCGCATTCAGCATCTCCAAACAAGCCGTCTCGACCTTGCGGCTCTTCCACTTTCTCCTCATCAGGGAGTCGAGGCTAGGCAAGAAGCCCTCGCTCAGAAACATCTTGGCCGTCATGTCTGGAGCAACGGGGAAGATGGCGGCCGCCACACAGAAGGCGACGATGTAGTCATCGTATGTGCCCCTCTTGATGCGGTCGAAGAAGAAATTCCGGAGAGCGCTGGATCCCCCGTCGCCAGCGGCCTTGAGGTAGGCCGAGGCGGTCAGAACGGCATGGCCTCGAACCATATCGGCCTGCCTCATGTCGAGATAACTCATAATGGTGTCGACACAAACGTCGTCAATGACGTTGCAGATGGAGCTGTCCTTGTTGGCGGTGGCAGCGTCGTCGTTCAGTAGCTTGGTCAGCCGATCGAAAGCTTGACAGGTCTCATCGTCTTCCTGGCCGCCCTCCATGAGTCGAGCAAGAATGAGGCGAGCCTGATCTGTGCTGTCCAGCTTGGCCATCTCGGCCGGGTTCGAAGTGAGGTGAATGGGCTGCTCGTCCATGACGGGCAAGTTGTTGGCGTCAAGGCGTGCGTATAGATGTATAAGGTACGTAGCTAGAATGAGACCACAGCTAGGCTGAGAGCCAAGGTGGTCCCTGAGGCAGTTGGGGCGCGGGGGACGACGTGTCTTGCTCGGGATGCTGTGCTAAACTGACACTCTAATAAGAGAGGTAGCGCGAGCTGGTTCTACACCTTGACGGGAGCGTAACGGAGACGCCAGAAAGCTGGCGACAAGCTGGCGGGATGCCACCTCAGTGAGCAATGTAGCGTGCCAGGGCTTGTCACGAGCTGTCAACTCCAATCACGGTGTCCTTCTGAACCCAAATAAAACAGTATTGTGCTGTGCTGGCTGATCGATATCAGATGGCGCTCTGAGATGGTAGGCTGAGAGAAATCAATCGAAGCTGTAGAAGAGAAAAGTCAAATGGGAGTTGAAGCTATCATGACCTCCAGCTACCCCGCCAAAGAACCCCCCGGGCCACCTGCCAGAAGCACTGGACCGCTTGCCGAAAGCTGGCCTTACCGGTAGTGGAGTGGACAGCACAGCCCTGAGCAGGGACGCTGCAACCAATGACGTCGATCTCCCAAATTAGGTAGGTCTTTAGGTATGTATTTAGGTACCTACACTAGGCGACGCGCTCGCGTTCAAGGTCCACACCCGTCTTCCCGGTCAAGGTATTGCAGTGGCAGGAGCTTCGTTCATGCCTCTTTACCCCGAACCAACAAATGCTTCATGACCATTGGGAGGCATTCCAACGTACTTATCCAAATCACTCGAGGCGATATTACCACCGGCCAATCGAGAATACCGAACAAAAAGCACCAAGCGACACGATACCCGAGACCGCCGAGCCTCCTTCCCTGGCTGCATGGGTGGACGGATCGGTGTCTGTAGAGCATGATATCCTCCAACTCATGATACTGTCCAACAACGCGGCCCAGACAACACGATGAATCACATTGACGCATCAGAGCACTACGACGAGAGTGCCTTCACCGGCCAAACACCCTCGCTTCTCACCATCATAATCGATACCAACCCTCGCGCCTGGGCCGCGCTCAACGACACTCTACCCATATCCAAGGCCATCGCCAACATCCTGGTCTTCGTCAACGCCCATCTCGCCTTCGGCAACGATAACCAGGTCGCTGTACTTGCTGCCCACACCAACAGGGCCGTATGGCTCTATCCCAAGTCGCCCAACCCGGACAGCGTGGCTGGACCTGATAGCCAAGATGTCGAGATGACCGGCGTCGATGGTCGGCCGTCACACCCAGAGTTGGGCACCTCGGCCAACAAGTATCCCCAGTTCGCCCAGATCGAGACCTCTATCCTGACCTCACTGCGCTCGCTCATCGACAACACGACCACGTTCGACCTGAAACCGACCACCCTCATATCTGGCGCCCTGACCATTGCCCTCTCCTACATCCACAAGACCTCACTCGCCTTTGAGCCGTCCAAGACCTCCAAGGACCCGGCCAACCCGACCACAGCACCCTCTGCTACGCTCGCCGCTCCGACATTACATGCCCGCATCCTTGTACTGTCGGTCTCCGACTCCGAGCCGGCTCAGTACATCCCCACCATGAATGCAGTGTTCGCCGCCTCGCACGCCCGCATACATCTCGACACCATATCTCTCCACGGCATGCCAACCTTTTTGCAGCAGGCCGCTTTCATCACGGGTGGGACGTTTCTCTCCGCCGCGTCCAACCCGCGGGGCCTACTCTCGTTCCTTATGTTCGGATTTCTTGCCGATGCTGAGGCACGTCGGTCTCTGATCACACCCACTCAAGATTCGGTCGATTTCCGAGCAGCTTGCTTCTGCCATCGCAACGTCGTCGACACGGGGTTCGTCTGCAGCATATGTCTCAGTATCTTCTGTGAGGTACCTGAGAATGCTGAGTGTCTGACCTGTGGCACGAAGCTGGCGTTGGGAAGCTACGGAGCCAAGCCAGCTGTTATACCGCGCAAAAAGAAAAAGAAGAAGCGCATCAATGGTATCAATGGTAGGGAAGAGACGGGCAGCGCGACGGGGACGCCCGTGCCTGCGTGAGCTATCTATCTAGGTAGCTGACATGGGCAGCTACCTGTAGCTTTGAGAGGATACAGGTATCGTAGTTGGGAAGAGGCACGTATGGCGAATCACAATGCCACGGGGTTTTCAACGGCACAACCACCAAGTAGCTGCTCAAATATCAAACATCAAGTCTTCCTTGGCCATATATCATCTGGGATATACCGTTCGGGACATGCTACCCACCTGGGGTAGGTACACAGGGTTGATAATCTATCCAGGAGACGTAAGCCGATGATGCTGACCAGAGGCTTAAACCACTTCGCATTCATCAGCACGGGGGACATCATCAAGTAGTGTAGGATAGGAATTACTTGGCGTTGCGCCTATCTACCTTAGGTAGGTAGGTATCTAAGGGGGTATCTAAAGGGAGTTATGGTTCGTAGGATAAGAGTTTCAAGACCCATCATGGGTTCCCTCTGAAAGCACCGCGATTTTGACTCAATGTGCAACGCAAACCCCGTCCGTATCAGACGTCAATCTTGAGAGCGCCCTGAGCAATGCCGTTGCCCCCCTCAATAATGCGGGACATGACGCAGGCCGGATCCCGGTCGTTGGAGCCCATCGACGCCAATGCGAACGAGTCTGTATTGTGCGCAAAGTACAGGTAAAAACCCCGAGGACCCTTCTTGACCGCCATGACCCCGATTGCGCCCGCCGAGCACGAATTCTTGACGCCCGGATGTTCCTGGAAGTCGTTGAAGACGAAGCTCTCCAACACCTCGCGCTCGTCGGGCTCCTCGACATCCTGCCCGCCAGGGCCACGGCGTGTCTGGTGGTAGATGCGCTCTGCGCACTTTTGCGACGCCATGGTGGTCGCCATATGTTCGCCTGTCCCGCTGGTCACGGCCGCCACCGAGACGCCGTCCCTGTCCTTAGAGTCGGGTGGGATCACGGCGGTTCCGATGCCTACCAGAGCCGCCGGTCCGACGCGACCTCGGTGCTTCATGCCGATGCCCCCCGAGGACGAGCCCGCCGCAAGATGGCCTTGTTGGTCAATAGCAATAGCCCCCACGGTGTCGGTGATGCTATCGCTCTTCTCCGCATCGTTGCTCTGTGCCGAGGCGAACCGCTGTCGCTTGGATGATACCGTCGTCATCACCTTGGAACCTAGGAAACTCAGGGGACTGCGACTGGTATCGGGTGTGCCCCGCGCCGAAGGCTGCGAGGTGAGCCCCGTTCCGGGTGACATGGGCGATCGAGGCATTTGCGGCGTGCTGCGCCAGGAAGGCGAACTGGTGGCGGGCGAATCCGGCTGTCCTTCGTTCCACGTTCCCATCAAGATAGCACTGGTATGTTCTCGCCGTGCTGGCTCAACATCCTCGCTACTGGTGACTGTGACTGTGGCTGTAGGGCCCTTGCCTTCAGCCCGCCTCAGATCTTCCTGCCATCTGACATAACGGTCACGGGCGTTCTTCGAAACCAGCCATTCGTTCGGGACAAGCGCCATTCCCGATTCCCACGCAAAGTCCTTGGCGCCGTTGGCGACGAGGAGGTTCGGAGGGACGCGTCGTAACGAGAGCGGCTTGTTGCTGCTTTCCAAGATGGTCTTGGCGAGGCTGATTGGGTTCTTGATATCTGAGCAACGAGGAATTAGACAAGGCCGCGCAGGGGCGTTTGGGCAAATGGAAGGGTCCCCGAGAGGTGGGGAGCTCTTTTACTCTACTATGCCGGTGCCCACTCCACACATTGAGGGCCTGGAGCGAACTTACTGGGTACGGCACCACAAGCACCACTTCGTCCTAGATGGTCGACCAGGGTAGCATCACATTCGACAGTACCGTCGATCGCCAGGTTGCTTCCGTAACCGGCATTGGTGATCTCCTTGTCTTCGAGGACCTTGATGGCGGCCTCGACAGCATCAACGGCCGTATGGCCCCCCTTTAGAAGCCTCATGCTCACACGCGCAGCCCTATCGACATTAGCATGATGCCGTGATCATTTTGAGTGGTGGGTATCAAAGGGCTGGTACTCACTCGCGGCAAGCTTCGAGGTGGACCCTCTCGTTGGCGGTGCTGTGATACCCAGCCCCTGCGTGGATGAAGACGGCAGACACCGGAGCCTTTTTTCGCTTCTTTGACCGGTCTACCGTCCCATCTATCGACAAGGCGTCGTCCCCGTCCAGGTGTTCAGGGGAGCCCCAATCATCCCAGACCTCACTGTTCCCATCGCTGTCTCCATCTTTGGCAGAGTCGCACGGCTCGTCGTCGTCCATGTCGGGAGGGGGATAGTCGGGTGCTGCAATGGGCTCGTGGTCGTCTTCGGATTTCCTCTTGCCCAGGAACGACCGAACTTGATGTATGTATGCCCTTACAGAGGTCGGGCCATTGGTTTGCGGCTGGGCCCCTCTCGATTGCGCAAACCCCCTTGATTGCAACGATTGTGCTGGTTTCATTGACCTCATCTGGGATGATGTGGGCAGTTCGATGCCAGGACGGGGACGAAGGGAGGTGCGTGCACGGGTGACATGTGGAGAGAACCCCGGGTCAATGATCGACTTGCTGTTGACTGCAATGCTGAGAGGTAGAGTAGATAGATATCAAGTAACCAATATTCCCGGGAAGATAGTAGGTTCAAAGGTGATGACGAGGTTGATGAGGGACGAGTAAACTGAAATTGGCTAAGACGTCTGGTATGACATGCACCTGTACTGTGATGTATGTCGTCGAGGTGGCTCCTGCATCGGAGAAGGTATGAGGTAGGAGGCGGGTGTCTCGTGTGTTACTTCCGCTTGTATGATGCTGGGTAGTGGAAATAGGAGCTACTATCCGCACCGGAGAACTGCAATGGAATAAGCTGCTTGTTCATATGGCACGAGTGAGTTCATACCGCTGGAGCTTCTCTGAGCTGATTAATGGCAAGAAGGGGGTGCTAATGCGAATGGGTTACCGCCTACGTGAGCGTGTATGGATGTGTGCTAACGGAAAAGGTGAAGAGTTGTGATGGAGGCGGATGATGAGGGCGAGTGAGTGCGGGTCGGGAAGGAGTCAGGGGTATGTGGATGAGTATACGGGATAGGAGTAATTGGGGCGTGCTATCGCCAGATCTCAATGTCGAACGCTTGCAGCGAATAGACCTGAAATGGAGGGGCGCCTTGCTTTGCAGACTCGGGAAGAGACATTTCCATCCATCAGTATCAAAGTGCGAGTATCAATCGAAGTCTTTGGAGGCACAATTGGCGAATGGACTATCTGATCGACTGCGGAAAAGCACCACCTGGGATGTGGCTGGTATTCTCACTCCTTGCAGTCGCATATGCCCCACAACGACCCCTGCGGTGCTAAGACGGATTGGCCATTCTGTGTGGAAACGTGGCGTAGGCCCTAGTTGGTACCAGCCACATCCCAGGTGGTGCTTTTCCGCAGTCGATCAGATACGGAGAACCGAGTATAAGTCTGACCCGGCTGTCTTTCTACTGGAATCTACCACATGCAGATTCAGGGGCAAGACACATGAAGGTTCAAGGTTCAATGTTCAATCCCCTCAATTGGCTCTGCACAGCCACACAGTCAACGTACGGCAGCCACGGCCAGCCGGCAGCACTGGCCCCGTCGCACCAGACGGGAGGCTGAGCAAGCGGTAACGGCTGGAAGTCTACCCATCTGCCATCGTCAATCGCCCCACCTGCACCAAAATCACTCCCACTGTCCCAGCCCCAGCCTCGACAAGGCAAAGCTACCCCGCCGATCTGACCTCCAGGCCCGACGGCGATGCCACACCACACCACACCAGAAGACACCACCCCCTTTCTAATTCTTGCCCTTCCTGCGCTGCATTTCCACACTGGGAGTCGAGGAGTCGAGCGCTGCTCCCTTTCCCACTCACAATGGCCAACCAAACCCCTGCCGTTGTCATGGACAAGTACGTTCATCCGTCCTCTCTCTGCCTGAGTCTCGCAGCCGCCTCGACTGCGAAGGTCATGCCCTTGCTAACAATCATGCGACGAACAGCGGCACGGGCTTCTCGAAGCTTGGTAAGATGCATCCTGGACCAGCACGTCCTCTTCCACGCGCGCCCGTCGCACCGTCGCTGACCATCTCGCCCTCCTCCTTTTAGGGTTTGCCGGCAACGATTCTCCCTCCTTCGTCTTCCCGACGGCGATTGCGACAAAAGGCCCTGCTGGCGGTAGTGGAGGGTCTGGTTCCAGCAGACCAGCGGTTGCGAACAAGCCTTCCTTCCTCACCGGCGGTGCTGGTTCCGGGGGTCATCTATCTATGAAACGGGGCACCGAAGACCTGGACTTCTTCATTGGTGACGAGGCTATCGCGGCATCAAGTGGTCCAGGTGTGTTTCGATCTACCAAATGTCATTGGCGTCACCACGATACCGAACTGATCCTGTCGTAGGCTACGGTCTGCACTATCCCATACGACATGGTCAAATAGAGAACTGGGTACAATCCTCGCTGTTTGTCGGTATCTATCGGTATGCGTGAGGACTGACTTGGCAACAGGACCACATGGAAAGATTCTGGTCCAACTCCATCTTCAAGTACCTGCGAGTCGAGCCCGAGGACCATTACTTTCTCCTGACTGAGCCTGTACGCATTGCTCCCTATTCAACGCTGAGATTGCTGCTGACATGAAGCAGCCCCTGAACCCACCCGAAAACCGAGAGAATACGGCCGAGATCTTCTTCGAGTCTTTCAACTGCGCAGGTCTTTATATCGCTGTTCAGGCTGTCCTTGCCCTCGCCGCATCTTGGACGTCCTCAAAGGTCTCGGATCGGTCGCTGACCGGCACTGTCATCGATTCCGGTGACGGTGTCACACACGTCATTCCTGTTGCTGAAGGTTACGTGATAGGCTCATCGATCAAGTCTATCCCCATCGCCGGCCGAGATATCACCTACTTCGTACAGTCGTTGCTCCGTGACCGTGGTGAGCCGGACAGCTCGTTGAAGACCGCGCAAGAAATCAAGGAGGAATACTGCTATGTATGTCCCGACATCGTGAAGGAGTTTTCCCGGTTCGATCGCGACCGCAGTCGGTTCGCCAAGCACGTGGTCAAGCATCCCGGCGGCCGTCAAGTCACCGTCGACGTCGGATACGAGCGCTTCCTCGCCCCCGAGATCTTTTTCAACCCCGAAATCTACTCTTCCGACTTCCTCACTCCACTACCCGTCGTTGTCGACACCGTCATCCAATCAAGTCCCATCGACGTTCGACGAGGACTGTACAAGAACATTGTGTTGTCAGGAGGAAGTACTCTATACAAGGATTTTGGGCGAAGATTACAGCGAGACATCAAACACCTGGTCGATGCAAGAATCCGCGCCAGTGAGGTTAAGAGTGGTGGAGCGAGGAGCGGGGGCTTGGAGGTACAAGTCATCTCACACAAGCGGCAACGACATGGTCCATGGTTCGGAGGCAGCTTATTGGGACAGACGCCCGAATTCAGATCGTATTGTCACACCAAGGCCGAGGTAGGCACCCCTTTTTGCTATATTGCGGACCAGATGCTGACCTTTGAATAGTACCAAGAATACGGGCCCGGGATCGTACGGAGATTCGCTCTACTGGGCGGACCTGGTGGTTCATAAAATGCAGGCGGCAAGAGTTTGAATGCAGTCCTATAGATGGATGGCAAAGGGAGGCGCAAAAGCTTACGATGTATGGGAGAGAGAGATCAGCAGCCAGGCATTTGACATCAGAATATCACCCAACTCGCTGCCCCGACGGTGATTGTTGACTTTTCGTTACCTGCGGGTTCGAATTAGCTCGATTCCTATTCAAGACGCGACTACGAGGCTCCCTTGATGAGCATGGTTCACCACTCGAACATGGTGCTGCTTGAAGTGTTTGAGCTGAGGTAGCGTCCAATTCACGTTGATGCGCCCGGATTGCGGAGAGAAGTGATTTGGTCGTTTCCGTTTTGTCATTACTCACCATGCTACTGAAGTCTTAGGTTGATTGCTTCTAGTACCTTCGTTTCTCCCGGCCGGGAAGATACTCGCAGTGGATAAGCACGATCCAGTATTGCTCTACCTAGGTAGCCAGGGTCGGTCTACGCAAAGCATGACTTGAATTGCTGATCATGTAGGTACTACGTATCACAAGTATACCCCCGACAATCGCTGGTAAGCATTGGCCGGGGCGACTTTTCCTTCGCCCCTTCTCGAGATTGCCACCAAGCCTGAATTCATGTTTCCGGTTTCCCAGCTAGCAGATTGAGAGATGGCATCAATCTCTCAGTCTGACCGCCTGAAAAACGGAAGTTAACATCGATGAGCACCAATCCGAGGTACGGCACATCCACATCACATTCGGGTAGTTTGGAACAAAGGGAAACGTAAAGCCTAGGCTATAGGCGAGCATATGTCATTTACGGCATTCGTCACGATCTCTTGAGGGGTTCGGATAGCGCATCAATCATTTGCTGGGTATGTTCCAGGCTCCGTGAGACTATGGCGAGGCTACTGGGACTATCAAAACCATAGCCGCTTTCACTTCATGGATCTTCGTGGACCATCAAGAGCATAGCAGAACCGGGTTTGTCTCAACTCTCATGGTTCCTTCGTCTGACGGAGAGCCATTGGTATATCCACGTGACGTGAACACAACCATCCCTAGTGGAATGTACGTGCTGGTCCACCGGGGACTTGGCCGACGCCGGGAAAAGGCGATGAGCCCAGACCCCGGAGACAGGTCGATCAATGCCAATCGGATGTCCGGCTTCGCCATTCATGGGCACACTTTCTTATGTGAAAGACTCGAAGCAGAGAAGATTCCGTCTTCATGTCGATTCGTGTAAGATTTCATATTCGTCATGCCATCGCCAAGGTCACTCGAGCCGTGGAACCGGCTCCCACACATTTGATCGCTCTTCCTCTGGGGCTTTGGCGGCATCGCGCGTTGCGATATACCTGCTACTACGTACTATCGTCACCTTGCCAATCCTGGCTATATCCGCCAGCATCTTGTTGACGAGCTGCTGATAGCGTGGCAGCTGATATTCTGTCGTTGGTCCTGTCCTGAGTACCTGCCAACACAGCTTTATACTGCAAACAGGGGTCGAGCACTGAATTCCAAGTGGTAACTATGCTCCGCACAAGGGTGGTAACGCAGCACCTCAACGTCGGAACGAGGCTTGCCATGATCAACGCGCGGTCTGCCTGGGAGTGCTGCTGGCACGGATTCCCTCCGTCGGGTGCATCAACGTGGGCCATCGAGTTGCTCCGCTTCAGCTGCGACGACCGCTACCATCGCGGTGCCTGGGCGTTCTTGCGATCGTGTTGCGCAACGTGTAGTAGCCGTCATCGCGGCATACGTTGTCGTTGGTCTACTTGAGGCATGGCCTATTCGTGTTTCCGGCGCTATCTTCAGCTTGGCCTTCCCTGGCCCTGCGTGGCCGTCCACATCTCCACGGGGAATCTCTTTCGGATGTTCCATTATATCGGCCCTCTCTAGGTAGTCAGTCGTCTTTGGTCTTGAGCTACTGCCTCCTTATTCTGTTTCAGACGATCGCTGACGCTGTTGTCGGAGAGGACACCATAGCTGCCGTCTCTTCTTCTACCTGAACCGAAAGCCACCCCTTTTCACACTCCAGGACTCAAAACCATCCACAATTACACTGTTGGTGCAGCATGTGCTCCCAGGGGGGCAGTTGTGAATCCGAACCCCAAGGACCAACGATATTCGTGCCATTTTCACCGTTCATATCACCGATGGGTGCTTACACGCCATGGCTTGCAGCGAACATAAGGGGGCAGAGATCCAGAGCTCCATGAAGTCGCATTGCCTCTAAAGAGGTGATTTCAACTCAAGAGCTTCTTTGTGGCGCCTGAAGAGCCTTGGGAATATGATGCTCATATCCGAGTATAACTGGACGAACCACCACTACCACAGCAGTCACCGCGAAGGCAGCCGTTGATTATGTTCAAGATTGAAGTGATGTGTTTGGAATACCTACGTTGCACCATACTGCCTCAACACCTCCGCACACTCCTTTTGCTTACCCTCCTGGGCCCACTCCAACGCGGTCCTCCCTCCCTCGACTTTGGCATTCACATCAGCGCCATGCTCAAGCAGCCATTTCACCCTTCCTGCTTTGCCTGCGCTCACAGCAACGTGAAGGGCTGACCCTCTCCCTCTCGGCTTGGGCGGCTTCACATGCAAGGCCTCCAAGGCGTTGATATCAATACCTAGGTCCAGTAAGTACTGCATCATTTCAAGTCGCTCCTCGCTGGGAGTGGATCCGCGTCTGACAGCACTGTGAAGGGCATTGCTGCCTTGTAGCTTTGCGCCATGGGCAAGTAGGAGGTCGATTTCAGCGGGCGTGGCGGAATTTGCTGCACTCGAGAGGACCGTGTGGTTGTGAAGGGAAACGGCGTTGGGGTCTGCGCCTTTATCGAGCAGCCATTTCAGTAGAGGGCTATTGTTGACGGCTCGTCTGTATGTATCTGTTAGCAAGTGTTCCATCCAACCGGTTTCTGTGGGTTTCAGTGGTAGGATTAGGGTCTGGGTAAGCGCTCGCAAAGTGAAGTGAATGTCGGTTCCAGCAACGTACAGTATCACCAGCATTCTATCTCTTGTACCCACATGATCAGGTCGCCAACCGTGGTCATAGAGTAGCTGAAATACTTCTGGTGTACCGGTCTTCGCCGCTGAAGCAACCAGCGTCGTTGATGCTTCGGCTCCATTCTCGAGCAGCAAGCGGAGGATTGCTGGCTGGTCATGCTGCGCGGCAAGGTCGGCACAGGTTTGGATACATACTTCTAGGTTCGTTTCGTCTAGTTCTGGGTGAGAGCGCCAATCGTTAATGATGGTCCTAACGCGTTGGAGGTCGCCGGCCCTGGTAGCGATCTCGAGAGGTTCGGTGTAGTCTTCGGCGTACTCTGGGTGGTTGGTAGACATCGTTCCTGATTGTTGACCACCTGCAGCTGACATTCCAGCTTGCCTTGGCAGTAATTCAGCACTTCAAAGGGCGACAGTAGAGATTCAATTAATCGTGTACATGGGAATAAGGTAGCTCAGCACGGAGGTCGGTCGCAATCATCAGCCGACCATGAACCATGGGACCACGAGCCTAGTGGAGGTGACTGACTGACTAGATTGAATGTTGATGGAACAGACGCGTGATCGTTTCGAGGTTTGGGTTTATCGCAGCGTTGCTCACAATCTGTAGTCATCTTTGTGGGCAACATGCAATGCAACACACATGTGACATTGGCATGGTGGAGTGTGCCCCTGAGATGGGCACATTGGATGGGTCGTCTCTTCCATTTTGCTCTCACGTCCAGCTTCATCGATGTTTACGTCATTCGGCAGCTCCTCGAAGCTACCTTGACCTCCCGTATCGCAAGCACCACGCGTATCATCTTGATGTTGTGGCACTTGCACGGCTGCGAAGAATCCCACTACACATTTTCGCAACGTTATCAATTCGTCACATTGGTCTGTCTGGGTCCGTCCACCCATCGATGGACCTGGCTGGAGAGGATGGTAACGAGGCGGCGGCTCGCTTGGAAGCCGAGCTGGAGCTGCTGCTCGCCATGTACCCTGACGCCATCACCTTCTCGTCAAGGGCTCGCGAGCTTCGATATTCCCATCCTACGAATGCCCCGGGTCTCAAGGCTACAGCAACCCTAGTGCTGCGACTGCCGGATGCATATCCAGTGAGGGACTTTCCCGAGGTTATCTCCGCCGTGGGGTCACGAAAAGAGGACTTGCGATCCGTGACGAAGACAGCATTCGAGAAGCCAGATGTTGCTCCTGGCGAAGAGGTACTTGATGCACTCGTCCTGTGTTTTCAAGAATTGCTGTCGCCGCAGGATAGTCCACCCGAACAGGCCGTCCCTCATCCCACCCCCTTGTCTCCTGGAAGAGATGTCCGGCCCAAGACCGTCATAATATGGCTCCACCATCTACTCAACACCAACAAGCGGAAGCTTGCTCTAAGCCCTTCCATGTCCGACTCTGGTATCGTCGGAGTCACCAAGCCAGGCTATCCTGGGGTATTAGTTTTTTCTGGGCCTGGCGCCATTGTTGACTCTCACGTCTCGGAACTGCGGCACCAGAAATGGCAGGCTTTCGAGGTTCGATACGACACCGACGATGAGAGTGAGACGAAGAGCACATGGCGGTTTAGCCATGACAAAGGAATTCGCGAGGTGGAGTCGATGAGCGATGTGGTCCAAGCCATCTTGGAACCAGAACACAGAGAGCTGTTCCTCAGCTCGATAGGGGTGAAATAGCACGCGGCATCAATACGACATACCCGTACGGTGGCATACCAAGGTGGAAGTATCGAGTGCCGTATACAGGTACTATCATACCATTGAGTACTTAGTGCAGTCCTGCACCAATACTCGTACCACAAAAGTACAGCACTGCCAGCATGAGAGTGTGAGTGAGGCGTACACAGCCTAGGTTTCTCCTGAGCATTCCTTCCAGGTTGGAGCACAGCTTGATAGGACGCATCGAGTTTGGTTCCGCCGAAGGACCACAGTTGCAGTTTGTGCTGCCATCTGATAGGCCATGAGTAAGCCCATACACCCTCAGCGCCCGCAAGTGCAATCACGGTGATTACTGGTGCCGCTGAAGCAGAAGCAGGGCTATTCCCAGAACTAGAGGGAGAGCATGTTGCTCCATCTATGGAAGTTGAGGTGCATGGTGTCCACTGGTGTTTATAGAATGGCGCCAGGTTCTGGTGTCTGGGATGGTAAATATACCGTTGAAGAAACCATGTCGGATGCCGTGGGTCCTACTATCTCATGATCCAGCTGACACATTCGCGGATGACATGGAACTATTCTGCATGTAGTGATCCACCGACGCCGTCAGCATGCATTCCTGCCTCGTTGGGCTCTGACCTACCTATGCCCCTGTCGGTATATTGGAACTTGTCACCTCCTCATGTATACTTGGCACCTTCCTCAAGCGTCGTGCGAACCCCAGTCGTATTCTTGTAGTGCTTACGCCTGATAACGACAGAGAAAAGCGAGAGCAATGGGGTGCAACATATATATCAAGAGCTGGCAGTCGGCCATAAGTGATAGCTATTTACCGATTAAGGGGGCAGATACCACATCCCTCAAGTCACCTCCACTACCTAGCTATCGAGGATCAACATGACCAGCTCCATGGTAACCACACTGTGGCGCGAGAACACAACAGCTCTTATCGTCGGTGTAGTTGTCGTCCCCTTGGCCGCTGTGCTGTATAGCCTAGTTTCGTCGTACGCAAGCACGCGCCCTTACAGACACTTCCCCGTCGCGTCGACAGATGGTCTCTCGCCCAAGGACAGCTGGTACCAAGCAGGCTCGAAGACAATTGCAGCAGGTTTGGAAAACAATGCCCCCTTCCAAGTCATCACCGGCACCGGACCTCGGATCGTGCTACCGAACCGCTACGCCGACGAGGTTGGGAGATTGCCTAATCTGAGTCTCAGTCAGGCGTTTCAGAAGGATTACATGATCAATCTGCCTGGCTTCGAACCGTTCGCGACTCTCAACCGCGATGACCACTTCCTTCCCGAGATTGTGCGCACCAAGTTGAACCAGTCGCTGGGGATCATATCCCCGGACCTCGTGGAAGAAACGGCGCTGGCAGTCGAGGAACGGCTCGGGGACGACACAGAGGAGACCCACACTATCGTCCTGCGCACCGAAATCAACTACCTGGTCAATCGCATCATATCCAGAGTGTTCCTAGGTCCCACTCTGTGTCGCAATGAGAGCTGGCTAGAACTCACCGAAAGGTATAGCACCAATGCCGTCGTCGCCAACAAGATCCTCCGCAAGTCACCGCACTGGGCTCGCAGGTTCGTGAACTGGATGCTGCCCTCGGGCCGCAAGGCTCGTCAGGACCTAAGGGACATCTATGCACTCCTCATGCCAGAGGTAGAGAAGCGCAAGCAGCGGATGAGAGAGGAGCTCGAAGCCGGAAGAAAACCTCCAAAGCAGGCCGATTTCATCGGATGGATGTACGAAACTGCCCGTGAGAGGCGCGAAGATGTCGACTATGTTGCGTCGCAGATCGGCATGAATATGGCAGCGATGCATGGGACCACTGAGGCCCTTTGTCAGGCCTTGGTTGATGTCTGTGTCCGCCCGGAGGTGCTCAGCGCTTTGAGGAAGGAGATCATTGAGGTAATTGGACCTAAGGGGTGGTCGAGTAATGCGCGTCTGAAGATGCGTCTCTTGGACAGCTTCCTGAAGGAATCGATGCGTATTCATCCTCACAACGAACGTATGTTGGCCTAGGAATACCCCCAACGCAGAGTGAAAGGAGTGGGCTAACGCCTCATGCAGTCGCTATCAACCGAAAAGTCCTAGAGGAGACAAGACTATCCGACGGGACAGTGCTTCCAAAGGACGCCATCGTCGTGGTTGCAGCGGCCCACTTCGATCCCACGGTATACGACAACCCGAATACGTTCGACGCCTACCGATTTGTTCGTGAGGGCAACAAGGGGAACTCGCAGTTCACATCGCAGCTGGTGGCAACCAACCCGAACTTCCTGGCTTTCGGGTATGCATCCCCCCCTGCACAACACCCCCAAGACCAAACCTCGTTCGCCCACTAAACAATACCGCAGACTTGGCAAACAACAGTGCCCTGGCCGCTTCTTCGTTGCAGAAATGCTCAAGATCACCATGAGCTATCTTCTCCTGAAGTTTGACTGGTCGCTTGTGGACGGACAGATACCCGAGAGAATCAAGTATGAGACGAACATAGTGTTTGACGGTGCGGCGAAATTAGGGGTCCACAGGCGCAAGGAAGAAGTAGACGTCGGAAGAAGCGAATTTTAATGACATACCCGCTGTTATGCTGGCGAAAAAGTGGACATGATGTGTGCTGTTGTGCTGGCTGGTGGTTGGTGGCTGGATGTTGTAACTGAGCTTACGCAGTTCCAAAAAGGGATGTGGGCTGTGCCATGCAGTAGGGAGATCCTGACTACAAAGACAATGAAAAGTCAAGTTCTAACATGATTCTCTCAAAAAGCCACACTCAGAGGGCACGACATCAAAATTTGAAAAGCAGATCATCAACTGCAAGGGCAGCAAAGGCAACAAGCGAATGTTCTGGGGCTATCTTTGGACGACCCTTCGACATTGGTCTGGATACTGGATTGGCAGACTATCCAAGACTGGGCTTTCTGACAGAGGCCCAATCTCAAGTTCGTCACCAGTGGTATCGCCGAGCTTTTCGAACCAGGCCGGCCCTTAGTGCGTCATTCCAACTTCAAAACCCCCGGCATGGTCGAGCAAGACTACGTCCATATATCGATATGGGGCGAGGGCGAGGGCACCCAGGGCACGAAGCAAGGCGAGGGAAGACGAGGGAAGGCAAGGCCAAGGGAATGATATTCAAGAGCGATGGCACTGTGAAGGATTCCAAATTGGCTATGCCGTGGATCTTGATGAATGACCTGGTGTTGTACGTTTTTGGGCTTTGACAGCGAGTCTGATGCAAGAACAGGGAAGATAGAATCCAAGAGGAGAGCCATCTGGTCAAGTCGATCCATGTGGGATCCTAGGCGATAACTGTACGGACAGATACATGACTGTCTACTCTGAGTTACTGGGACGATGTTGGCAACGTTAATCAGAACCCTGCGGACATATTCCAGCAGCATATGCGTGCTCGTTGACAACGAGACTTCATTACATGAGGTACCATCCAGGTACCATACACAAGTAAATCTAGGAGTTGCAGGCACGAGCGGAAGTTGGAATCAATACAAAATGGGCGGCTATCAGCGCAAGACACCGGGTTCTTGTCGACAGACCTGTGTTCCTCTGACTACATGGATAAGCTAGAGGCGGGATGGTGACGAACAGCTAGAACCAGTGAACTTCCGCTTGATCTTCGAGTGCGCAAAGAATCCCGGATCGCCTGTGGGCTACCCTCAACCCAGGACTAGAGTGGCTGGTGGAGATCGACCTGTCGCTGCTTCACCATGGACTCGTACTTCGGTACGCACCCGAGGTAGGAGTCTGATTCAGTTGAACTGACATCAAGTTACTCCGTACAAGTCTAACGGGCGGAAATGACAGACAATAAACCTGAACATGGGCTGAATTGGCTTCAGAACATGGCTGAAGCCTTCATGAGGTGGTTCAAAACGAACAGTGTTGTCTGGCTGTTTTCACTCCTCTCTCACCCTGTGGGTGCAAATACTACTCGCCCATTTTGCCATCGCCCATCTTGCCATAGCCCTGCTTCTTCCCTCCGCTTGATTGACCCCATCACCGCCGTCATGCCTATGAACTTCTCGGATGCCGCACGCCGAGGCGTCGGAACACCTGCTGTCGGCGATGGCTTCCCCAACCCTGACGTATGTGACAGGAGATTCTCCCCGTCCATATTCTGAGCATGTCTGCGCGCTACTCGCGAGACATGCATCGAGCAACCATGTTTCATGCTTGACTCTATACGAGTAGTAGGCACTGATCTTGCTCTGTAGGTCTTCGATGGCTTCCACTTGTACCCGGGCGAAACCGTCATAAACCAAGCCAAGCACAACGGGCAACGCCGGCAGCAACTTCCACGTCTTTGGAAATGAGAGATAGATTCTATGGCTTTAATTGCAGCGTCGGTGAAGCTGAGAATGCCATATAACTCAAGTATCTGATGGCCTGACGCTCACACTTTCACAGTGACTCACCTTGGGATGCCTCAGGGGTTCTCTGTCGACAATCACTTGCCGGATTTACCTAATTTCTGCTTCTGCCAGCAATGAAATCCCTCCCTGTCATTTGGGTGGGCGCACAAAGAGCGAGCAGAAGTGGAATATCGAGTTTCGCCGTGGCCTATTCCAGCCGACAATAGAGGTACGGTGTCCCACCTGCGCAATGTTGTGAGATCTTCATGTCTCGAGCGGAATACCTAGCTCCCATTGCGATAAATAGTCCCACCGCCCTCGTACGCTTAAAGGAAGGCTCTAACAGGCGCAGTGCATTCGTACTACCAGGCTGCCATGATCGCATCGCAACACCAGCAAGTTGCTCCGTCGACACAGTTGCGTAATACCAATTCCCACAGCAGCACCGGAGGAAGCATGTGGTTTTTGGGAAGAGGCCCCCGATTGTCGTTTGGTGTCCAGGTTGCCAATGTGTGACAGAAATCAGCAGAATGCCAAGAGTCATTCTGCACCTCACGGTATTGGGCAGTGTACGAAGGCCGCGACAGGTGTACCTAGCTTCGTGCGATCACCATAGGTACGGCCGCTTCAACCAAGAAGCCAACCCAGACACGCGAAGCCCCTTTGGACTTTGACGAGCTTGCATGGCACATATGGGCGATGGAAACTGGCCATGACCCAATCAGATCTTTGACGGCAGAGCACATACCCTCAAGCGCAATCGTACGAGCGACTGGGTGGTTCGTAGGGTCCTCGATACTAGCAAAGCATGTGTGTGATTATGGCGCGCGGAGAGTATTGGGACTGCGGTGATATAGCTACTCAACACGGCGAGGAGTGAAGACCAGGAACCACGCGAGTGTCATGAAAGGGGCAAATAGGGGAACGAGATATTTCGGCCAATTCTCCACCATTCGGCCTCATGCAGCGCAAAGGTGCCGGTCGAACTGGATCATTTACGAAAAGGGCTGCCGGTGTAATGTTTTCTCAGCCGCCTTCCGGATACGGAGGTTCGGTAGAGAGCTTCGGTAGCGGGATGATGTGGTGTGATTACGTACGTGGACAGGCGGTCAGCGGCGGGTAGCACGGCCATGCAGGCGCAGAGGCGTTGGATCTGTAGTGAACCATGTCGGCAGGGAGTTGATTGGTGCCAAGCTGTCACGCTGTCACGGTCCTCCCTCGTGCCACGGTAATACGGGGTTGCAGCTCGTATTGTCGCTTGCCTCACCTATCTCCCGTGCTCACAAGTTTGGATTCGCTGCTACTTGGCATTTCGCGTCGTGGTCAGCCAGGACGATGGGGTAAGTTACCTAGAAGCTCAGCATAAGAGTGAGTGTGCATATAAGTCCCGCATCGCCCGCGGGGCTTGAGCTCAGTCTCTTCTCTAGGCCGACCACGGACACCACAGCCACGATATCAACTTCAACTGTCAACTCATCCATCGCCAACATGAAGTCTTGTCTCGCAATCCTGGGCGCTGCCCTCTTTGCCACTGCTGTCTCGGCGCAACAGGTCAGTATCTCAAGTCTTCATGTGTACCAAGACGAGCTTTTGAGCGGTTTCAATGTTCTCTTGAGATCTCAGATAGGCATGTCGCATTAGGTCGAATCGCCCGCATCTACCCCTGAGTCGGTCCTACTGTTGCCCCTCAAGTTTCAACTTCCACGATCATTGACTGACCAACGTTGAGCAGGCCGTTGTTGTCAACTCCTGCGCATCTACTGTCTATCTCCAGTCGTTCCCCGATGACGGCAGCGCCGCTGGTCCTCTTACCACCCTCTCGTCCGGCGGGCGGTTCGCAGAGGACTTCTTCACCGCCGGCTCGGTTCGTGCACCCGCTGAAGCCGCACCCTCGTGAGACTGACTGTGTGGGCAGACCGTCAAGATCGGAACTAACAAGGCACTCACCTCGCCGTTGTTCTTCGGCTACTCCTTCAGCACGAACCCGGACATCGCTTACTGTGAGTGCATTCTCCCCTCTCATCTCTTCAGAAATACCAGCTGACACTGTGTCTGTTTTAGATGAGCTCAGCTCGTGAGTTGCCCTCCTTTCTGATTGCGTGTGTTGTTAGTGATCTAACGTCATATGCCACAGGAAATTTGGCAACCCCTTTATCAGCTTCCACAACATCCTTAGCCCGGGAGAGGGCTGCGAGGTCTTTGACTGTGCCGCCAACGAGACTGACTGCTACAGTACGAACGAAGCTTCTAAGGTGTATACCTGCCCCGCAACACATCCAAAAAACAACTATTTTTCTTGGCGCCCCGTTGTTAGGGCGCAACCTTAATATTTGCACTAAAGTAGGCACTTCTCTCAGTAACTGACTATCTCTGCCAAGGCACAAGAGAATTTTTCTCACAAGCCGGATAGCACCCTCCCACGACGGGCCCCCAAACACGCCCGTGGCCGTCCCAAAGACGACCACCGGCAGCGTGCTCAAATCCCCGGCCCCTAGAAAGACATACGGCCCGGCAACTCTGAGCAGGCTCCGCCAGGCGCTGCTTGACGACATCAGCAGCAGCCCGTCACAGGTCTCTGAGGCTGACTTCACCGTTATTTCCCCTCTGAAAGGAAAATCCCGAAATATCAATGACAGCAGCACCACTAGAATGAAACAACCTCAATTGAACGAAATCTCGACAGACCAAGCCATTATACACAATATAGAGAATAAAGCCTTTTCCTCAGAGTGCCAGGACTAAATTGCCAGAATACTGGCTAAAGACAAGCACCTTTATAAAGCCAGGATGACAATGTTTCAAGAGTGTGCTGCAGCGGTTGATAAGACACTTGAGAAAGCTGGAACCGAACTATACTCTCATGCCAAGGAGTTCAGCGCTTTCTTCTTTAAATGTCTGAATGAGTGGCTAGAAACCCGAGATCCGCCCAAAAGAAAGACCATCCCTGGGGGGATAGGGATAGTAAAGCCCACCATGACCTTTGCCCAAGCTGTCTCCTCTAGCCAATGACAGCATCCACGGACAGTCAACATTACCATCAAGAAAACACAGCCTGGCGCCCGCATCACTGCCAATCAACTGAAGAAGAAACAGGATGATCTTCAGGTCTTTGTCCGCATAGATAATAGCCACCTAGAGCCTTACGGAATAAAGTCTACACTGAACAGAAGACTTAAGCTCCACCCTCAAGAGCTTAGAGAAGTGACCCGGTGCCCCTCCGGATTTACCTTATATCTAAGGGACAAGCCAACTCAGGCTAAGCTCCTGGCCTCCCAACAAGAAATCACTGATATTCTCAAGGCAGAAAAGATCGAGACCCACACGGTCTGGTATCACTATAAGGTTAATAGATGCCCAAGAAAGGTCATCAGTGCGGAAGGATTGACAATTGATATTACCGACATTGTTGTTGCTAATGAAGTTGAAGCCCAAACAGGTGACAGACCTTTAAGGTGCATATTCTCAAAGAACACAGTTGATTCTGATCCGGAGACCACATGGGTGATCTCTCTGCCCCGTGCAGCAAAGAAACCATTCACGCTTTTTGCTCACTTAATGACCTCAAGGCACATTCAATACTCTCCAAAGGTTCACCAGTGTGCGAGCTGCTTCAGATACCATGGTAGGAACTACCAATGTGAAAAGCAAGTATGTGCACGTTGTGCCAGTACAGTACACCAGGGGGAGTGCGAAAAACCAATCCCAAAATGTGTCAACTGCAAAGGACCTCATGCTGCCAACTTTAACAAATGCCCTTCACGCCCCAAGGTTGTAAAAGGCATCATCCACAAGCACACATGGGAGCAAATCCAGGAAATAAGGCTGGCTGGAGAAAGAGCCAGATCCAAGGCCTTCAATGAAACAGGCAGAAACCAAGCTGGGTCAACGCCCAGCAACAATAACGAAGACATCACAATGCAAATCGGCACAACAGATACAACTCATCCCAGAGATGCCAATACCATTGTTGTCAGTCAATGTTAGGTACACTAAACGAAACACATCGACACAGGCATCTAGTCATCTATTCTGTGAACACAGCAGGAGGACAAAAGAGTACAGGCCCTATAGAGTTAGCCATCAACCTGGCTGACTACAAAAGAAAACAAGCAGATATCATTCTGATGCAAGAGCCCTGGGTTGGCATACCACCAGGCAGGAGAATGGGAGTAAAGACATACCCCAATTACGATATATACTCACCAGTGGATTCCTGGGACAGCAACAGTACACGGCCCAAATCTCTCATCTATGTGAGAAAACACCTTCAAGCGGATCAATTTCGGCCCTATGCTACACAAGACATCACCTGGGTCAAGGTACAAGGCATTACATTTGCCAGTGTCTACCGGCCATGTGACAACCCACAAGAAGTGGATGACATTCTGGAAGTATGGACTCCACCTTTTGGCTGCGTTATAGCTGGAGATTTCAATGCTGGCGACACATCCTGGGACTCGAGCAATCCAGGATATCATGGTGGTGTCATACTTGCACAGACTATGGCAGACCACGGACTGGATCTGATTTCTGAACCAGATGTCCCAACACATGATGACAGAAATGTACTAGATCTGGTGTTCTCAGATGTCCCCATGGCTAAAGCCTCAGTCAATGATACACTTCAGTGCACCTCAGATCATAAGACATTACGAATAGTCATTCCAATTCAGGGAGATCTAGACTGAGTCCCCAAGACCAATTATTGGATAGTACCGGACGATAAACTACAAGAGCTGGCAGATAATGTTCAAATCAGGATTCATGAACTCTACCGGCTGGGTGTATCCCCTGGCCAGGTGGATGCCTTTACACAAAGCTTGATCAACATGATCCAAGGCTGTATCAGGACAATGGGCAAGAAGCCCCGTCAATCTAGGCCCACTGCTTGGTGGAATGATGACTGTAAAGCAGCTGTTCAGACATACAGGGCCCTTTCTAAACAGACTACAAGCCAAGAA